CGTGAATTGTATCTACTCGCTGATTGTTTGACTCGATTGGAACGTGAAAAGTATGTCTATGATGGATTGCGAGCTTGGAAAGAACTCATCTCATCGAATATGAATGCAGTGAATGTAGCTGCTACTTGTTGTGGTGGCTCTGCAGTAACTGTCTCATCGACTTCTCATCACCATAAAGTAATAAAGAAACGACTGTAAATAATATTAAACAAATTTGTTCAATGGTTGTGCAATTTTTTAAATGACTTTAAAAAAAATGTACAAGAAAAGGAATTGGGAAACAATAGATCCGATGCATGATGTCATAGAGGCATGTAACGATCTTGAACAAGATTCTGAAAAGCTTCTTGTACTTCTTAATTTTATTGAAAACCTGAAGGAAGAAGAATCAGATGTTGAGAATCTTTCATTTCCATCATGGGTTTCATCGGACCTTGCAAAAACATTTTTAAAGGTAACGGAGATCATCCCAATTGAAGAATCTGAATCGAGTCCATTAAAGAGCGTTATCCGAAACGTGAATGCTTTGGTAAAGAATCATGATTTGTATAAACATGGAACAATACAAGCACTGATTGAGCCTTTGAACCAATGCACAAATGAATATAAATTATTATCAAGCTCTTTGAAAGCAATGCCAACTCATCTCATGCAATTACATGCAGTAACAGAAAAACTGATAACAATTTCTAAGGAGAGTAACGTTGGAGAAAGAGTTGTGTCTTGTGCAATTTCGGGTTTACTGGATGTTGTTTGCGAAATGACTTCTAATAAGCAATACGGGTATGTTACTCCTTAATGATTCAATTCAACTATTGTATCCAGAAATAAGGAGGTTCCAATAGTGTTAGACCACAATTTACCAGAATTTATGGTTAAACCAGATGGTAGTATCTCAACAGATTACCCTTTAACGTGGTTCTACAGAGAAGATTCAAGTTTAGATTCGGAGGTCTCTTGGGAGAATCGAGAAGTAGATAGTTTTAAGCTCATACTTTGTTTAAAAAGTTTGTTAAGGTATGTACAAATACATGTAACAAATACATCTCAAAGATATTACTTTCATGAAGATACAATATGGAACAAAAATTGCAATATGAAAAAGATGACATGAACACATTTAGTAAGGTTTTGGGTCTTTGTTACTTGAAAACCACTGCTTTTTTGTTTTTATTAGAAGCTCGATTTGAAGAACTTGTTTGCAAAGAAAGTCTTGAAATTGTTCCAAAATACTTTTTGTATTCAAAACGATTTCAAATGGGATCCAAAATACAAATATTCGACCTTTTCAACCATGTGTTGAGTTTTTATGTCGACTATGTACCTAAGGATGAACCTGTCACCACTTTGACACCATACAGACCAACAATTTCGGTCCCTCTAACAAATTGGAAAGCCGTTAAGGTTCTTGCTGCAGAGGAAGCAACTTCCAAACCAAAATATTCTGGGCGTTTGAGACAGAACAAAAAAGTAGTTGCCGCGGTTGAAGAAGAGCACGCAGACCGATTTACATACATTGTCAAGTCACAGACATTTATTAAGAACGTTTCGAAAGAAGAGTTGCATGTCATTACTAAGCTTCTGTCCTTGGACACATACACCATATACCTTCCCAAGATTTTGAAAATTTACCGAAATGGCGACGTTGAATTTGAATTGCTGACTGCGATTCATATCCACAATGAGGAAGATCTTCTAGCTCTAACGATTGATGTTTGTAAGGCACTCAAGTTTTTACACAAAATGAACATCGTTCATCGTGACGTCAAGCCCTCAAACATTATGCTAAGACGATTCGATCATCCCAAAAACTATTATTGGTTTGTGCTTATTGATTTTGGTTTAAGCTTTCATTTTGAAAGAACAGACCATGGACTTGTCGACTCTTATTCACACTCTCTTGCCACCGAAAATGCTGGAACACACCTATTTAAGGCTCCAGAAGTGATTGCAATGGAGGCATATGATGAAAGGATTGATATTTTCTCATTAGGATCCACTATTCTCTCCCTAACGGATCAGAAACGGTTTTTAACAACAAGAGCGAAGCAAGGAAATCTTCAAGACATGGTAGGGCAGTTAAATTGGAAATATCCAACGTTTAAACATGTGGTATTCGACATGCTTTCAGAAAAATCCGAAGACAGACCGTCTGCATCAACCATTGTGGACCTGTTGACCCCAGTCGCGCTCGATTGTGAAAAATACTGTTGAATAGTATACATTTCAAGAAGCCAAAGAGATCTAAAGTTCAGGCCTTGACAGGAAGAAGCAAATCGTTTCCTAAATTGATCAATTTCACATTATTGAAATTGTGCCATAATGCAATATTTACTTTGTGAAAAGGTCATTCATGTCACGCTTACACACCCATGGGCTTTAATCGAGGCAATGACTTGCCACAATCCAAAGGATAACCCTCTGTATAAAACAAATGCCAACAAAACCAATTCAATGCATTTTGATTTGCCCATCCAATTGGTCTTGGCTTCTCCTCAATATTGTAATCATAATTCAAGGTTTGTAAAAAGGTCCATTTGAAATATTTCAAATAATAAGCTCCAGAAACCTCTCCTGTACGATCCATTCCAGCTTCACAATGCATGTAAAAAACAATTGGAGTTCCATCCACATAATATTTAAATAAATTATCATCATGATGATGATGATTCGAATGAATACTCTCCTTCTCCCACACCCATGCATGTAATTGTGGCACACGACTCAATAATTGATCTTCCACGTCCCATTTTGCTTCATTCAATGCCAATTCCTTCCGAAGCCAATCGGGTAAATCTGTGGCATTCACCAACGCACCCAATATGGTCCAATGTGCAAGGCCACCCAGGTGTGGATTTTGCTGAAAGAATTGTTTCTCTACTTTCAAATCTTGTTGCGTCTCAAATAAAAACGAAATATCCACTAAATAATATTGGGCAGGAAGAGTCGTATTGTAGTGTTGTTGAGCGACTTGTGAAAGAGTGCTTTGAAGGAGAGTGAAATCAAAGGTAGAACCGCCAGACACTGGAGTGTTCCCTCGGAAGAGGTATCGTTGGAGAGAGGGATTGGAATCGACGAGACGAACCCGATACGAATCCACAGAAGCGTTCACGCATGAAGTGAAGATCAGAACAATCAACAACAGATGGCAACATGTGAGAGAAGAAGGATGAGGACGGCAGCGGTTGGACATTTTGTTGTTGATGTGAAAACTCCGTATTTTTATAAGGACCTTTCAAAAAACAGCATGACACTAAATTTGAAGGTACGGACATGACATTGTAATTGACAATGTAAGGTCAATGTTATCAGCTTTGAATGAAAATCCTGTTAGTTGTTACAATTAAGGTTCTCCCTCAAGTGTCAACATGGACAAGGGATACATGGGTTTTCCAGAATGTACATATTTAAACCATTGAACGGGTTCAGTACCTCTCAATTTCTTGGTTCGAGTCGATGGATTCAAAAATTGATTCACAAATTCATCGTACGAGAACCATTGAGCACCAACACTCTCAAAATCAGCCACACTTTTCAACACGGGATCTTTTTCAACAGGTTCTGCATAAAAGATAATTCGTTGTCTGGCTCCTCCTTTTTGGAAAGGAGAATATTCCACTCGTAAAATGTTTTTCAATTCGACTTGAATGCCAGCTTCTTCTACTGTTTCACGAAGAGCTGCTTCTTCAAAACGTTCTCCTGGATCCACTCGGCCTGCTGGTAGCCACCAACCTTGTGAACAACATTCTTCAACGAGAAGAAATTTACCAGTGGAAGGTTGACGGACAATGACAAGGGCAAAACTGAAGGGTTGGATTAGTTTCAGGGATAAGGAGGATGAGTTGGATTTCAAAATGTGTAAATGTAGCAATTAAAAAAAGATTACAATTTCCAAAAGTAATTTTGAATTTCCAATTATGTATCATGGATGTTCATATCATTTCAAATAATTTCATTCATCCAAAAAACCATTCCGCTACGACTACAACTATTAATACTCACCTATACGTTGGTTTACTTGACATTTCTTGCTGAATTTCTTCTTTCCGTTTAGCCTCGGGAGTAGCCATTTCTCCATGTTCAAAATACAAGTGCGTAGAAAATCCCCAATCACGTGATCCCTTCAAGCTCCGATCATTATTTCGTAAATCACAAATGGTACAAATTTGTTTGGAATTTTCTCGGGCATGATGTTGCAAACAATGTTTCACGAGATCATTTTCGGAAAAGAGAGAATGATCTTGTTGTTGTTGATGGGACAAACAATTTTCGTAGGGACATGGAAACAATTGAGGTGGTTGCCGTGTGGAGGATGATGATGGTTTGGAAGGTTGAAACATTTTTTTTTGTTGGGAATGGGATTAAGTTCACAAGTTCATTTATTTCACGATTTGTTGTGAAGAAGGGTTCATCATGATGGAAGAGACAATGCTTCGGAACTTCACGATTTTTGAACATGATATTATCTCGCTCATCGTGAAATCGTGTTTTATTTTTAGGTCGCCTTACAACAACCTGTCATCCTGTCACTTATGAGATTTATTGCCTAGGTGGCGAAACCAACTCCACTCGTTTGTGTTACTGACCCAAACCAATGCCACTGACAAAATCAAGCGAAGGAAAAGTCAATCATAGTTGTCTCGGTATGGACACTTATTTTTCCTATCGTATTAATCGGAATGAGTCATGAACGGAAAACGAAAACTGTAGAGTGTTTGTTTCCAATTGTGAAAACGTTTGACCATAAATTTGAATTCAAAGTTAGGTTAGGTTTTGATTTTTGGCGGATGACAAATTGATAATTTTGGAAAGTTTGTGGTTGACATGTAATATGGTAAAAGCTCTTTGTCCAGCAGCAAAGCTTTGCCGCAATAATTGAGAGTTAAAAAAATGGAGTTATCATCCAAACAATTACTCAACTCTTTGTTTTCGCTTATACTCATAGCGTCGTTTGTTGTTGCGAATCCAAAGTACCAGATCAATCTCTTTGCTGGAGTATGTTCAGATACAAGTTGCACTGGAGGTTACAACACGGCAAATGGACCAGCCACAAGTACACAAATCAATGGTCCTTGTGGTATGGCTATTACTTCTGATGGTACTCTTTATTGGGCAGATTACAAGAATCACGTTGTTCGAAAAGTGGTCAATGGATACATTTCTACCATTGCTGGTGTTATAGGCACAGCCGGTGATGGGACCAGTTCTGTACCAACCTCTTGTCAGTTGAATGTACCTCAAGACGTTTTTGTTGATTCCAGTAGTGGAGCTGTGTATATAGTGGACAATGGTAATCATAAAATTAGAGTGGTTTACCCAGATCATACGATCGCAACCATTGCTGGGACTGGAGTTTCAGGATTTTCAGGCGACGGAGGTTTAGCTGTGAACGCCCAATTATCAAGTCCTCGTGGTATTTATGTGTTCAATTCAAAGATTTATATTGCTGACCATGGCAATCAAAGAATTCGTATGATTGACAACGGTACCATACAAACCATTGCTGGTAACGGTCAAGTGGGTTCTGCAGGTAGGTGAAATATTCACAAAACAACACCAACAATGAGCACTAACAATCTTTCCAATACAAAGGCGATGGTGGACCTGCAACACTAGCTTCATTGTGTTACCCGACAAGTGTAAGAGTTGCACCTTCAGGAAATGTTTACATTTCTTATTTCGATCATCAAGTCAATGCAATAAGAAAAGTTGACACAAACGGCATCATTTCCACAGTCATTCAATCTCCTTCAAAAATGGTTGGTCAAAACTTTTGGGTCATGGATGATGAAAGAAAGATCATCATACCCAATTGGTACCAAAACACAATTTCCATTTTTACGTATCCTGAAGCGGTGCAAACCATTATAGCTGGTATTACAAATTCTTCAGGTTATTCTGGAGATGGAGGTGATAGTTTGGAAGCAAAGCTTTTTTGGCCTTATGGCGCTGTTGTTGATAACAATGGAAGGATTTACATTTCTGACAATTTCAACAATGCCATTAGAACTCTTACTCCCAATTGTAATTCCGGACAAGTCTACAACACCACTGAATTGAATTGTCTTGACGTTTGCTTTGGAGTCGCTTCAAATTTGCCAAATGTTTGCAGTGGTCATGGTACTTGCGATGCTCCAGATGTGTGTCGATGTCAACCTGGTTGGGGTGGTTTCAATTGTTCCATGCCCACATGTTTTGGAATGTTACAAAATTCATCGAGTGTGTGCAGTGGACATGGTACTTGCGATGCTCCAGACATATGTCGATGTCAGTATGGTTGGGGTGGATCCAACTGTGAATTACCAAAGTGTTTTGGAATTTTACAAAATTCATCCAATGTTTGTAATGGTCATGGATCATGCTACAGTGTTGACACGTGTGCATGTGACTCTCATTGGGGTGGAGGAATGTGTTCCTTACCAAAATGTTTTGGATTTTTACAAGGTAACTCCTCTGTTTGCAATGGACATGGTACCTGTGACGGTCCAAATATTTGTAGATGCAGCGCTGGTTGGTATGGTTCGAATTGTTCCATTCCAAGTTGTTTCTCCAAATTAGCCAATGAAACTACAACTGTATGTAGTGGTCATGGCTCGTGTTCATCTCCAGATAATTGTTCATGTCAAGTTGGATATATGGGCTCTCAATGTGAAATTGAAATCAATCATCCACAACCAGTCCCCAATGAATCTTGTTGGAATTCCAATTCAGAAATAGGAGCTCCAAAACCTCTCATTTCCTCACAAATCATTGAAGATGGTATTCAGTTTTCATTGAACTTTTCAGTAGATCCCAACGTGAAATTCACTCATGAAATGTTGATTGGAGAAAATTCTTCCTTCCATGCAGAGACTTGTCGTTTGACTGGTGGTCAAAAAGTGAATTTGACATTGACCAATTCCACGACTAGTTCATGTTTCAATGTGTATACTTCTACAAGATTCACACTCGACGAGTTGATGAGTAATTCCAATGTGAAAAAGGAATTATTGGGTGAGTGGGTGAAATTGACCATTCCTATTGCACTCTTTTATTTCGATGAAATGGGAATTGATAATGGAGGATTTTGTCGTGCGTATCAATTCACTACCAATCAGATCATGTATGTGAAACTCTCTTCGACTGTCTTTTCATTTTTCGATGAATTCACTCCATTACTACCCTATTCTGTGAATTTATATCCACAAGAATTTTCCACTCATCCAACCTCAGGAGTGCTTCAAATTCAAATGATCTTACGAGCAGGAAATGTCACCCTTCAGTCATTTACCTTTTACAACACGACCAATTCCAATTATTATTTCCAAGTGAGTGAGAGTTCATTCATGTATCAAAACGGTCCGTATGCTTTTTATCAAATTCGAATCCAATCCAATGTCAAGGTGAATGATTTCAGAGCTCTTTCCTATTTTAGAGCCATTTTCAAGAGAGATGGTTTCATGGATGATCTCGTTCAAGACATTCCACTCAAAATTGATTATTCCATTGTCGACGGTCCTTCCGATAAGAATTTTACATTACAAGCTTCCATGTATTTGGCATCGAATGATTGGACTCCCAAATCAAAATTCAAATCTGGTGAAAAAGTCTATGCACAAGTTCAAACTTCCTCTTCTTTGGGAAATAATCATCTCATTGTGAATGATGCTTATTTGTGTTGTTTCAAATCGTTCACACCAAGTATTTCATATAATCCTTCTCAAGGAGAATATGGATGTTCTCAATTCCATTCAGAAACGATGGATGTGTGGAAAACCATCATTTCCAATCAAGTTGCCAATTCAGAATTAGAAACAACTCTGTATCCATATTATGGATCCAAGACTTTGTATGGATTTTCATTCACACTCATTCCATCCATGTTCCCTCAAAAGTATTCCAATGCTTCGACTTCGTGTTTTGTTCAATCGAATGTGGGACTCACTCCCTTGTCAAGATCATCCTCAGCAGTGATTATGGCACTCAATGGAGAGTCGACGAGTGGTTCAAATTCTGCAAGTAGTTTGTTTGTGGTTCAAGTGTTGCCTGGAACAACAGGAGCGGCAAGTCATTCAAGAGTTTCTGGAGTGTCTTCCAACCAACGAGTGGGACTTTTCATGATGGTGTTTATGATTAGTTGTGTTTGTGTATTCCAAGCACTTGTTCAGCTCATGATGGGAGTATAAAGCCAGAGTAATCAATGAAAATAAAATGTTGTTCGAAAAAAATCTCCCGCCACTCAAATGTACAATTAAAAAAAAAGTTCATCAACGCCGATTGCTTTTATCCAACGCTCTTCGGGTGTTTATTTCGTTCAAGTGTAGTACCTAAATCCTTGTTTGATAGAATTAAGAACTAGTCAACAAATCATCTTTATATGAAAACACTTCCGACCTACGAAAGAGATTTCAGGTACTTTTCCTTCTACCTGGATACCAATTATCCTCTCGTTCCTCCTGTCGTGCCACAAATTCAGAACGAGAATCAACAGGGACAAGCGACTACTTCAGGAAATTCCTCAGAAACAACAAACGAAAATACTTCCATCCCTCAAGATCCGTCAGCTCTTTTAGAGCTAGAGCTTTCCGAACGAGAAAATTTACTCGAAACATTGTATGGACATCTTCCGTTAATTGAACAAAACCCAACCGTTGATCCAACAAGATTTAAAATTTTGAATTTCAACGAAGTGCTTCAATTAGCAAAAACTCAAAAATTCGAGGAATATGCTGAATATGAAAAGAACTTGGCAGAGGAAACGAAACTGTCATCTGGAGCTGCCACAAACAAAAAACCAAAAGAAGTGGAGAGTGAAGAAGAAATCAAGAAAAAAATTGTCAAGTTGAAAAATGATCGCAAACGGCTCATAGCTCTCATCTACCGAAGAAGTATTAATTTTCATATCGAGGATTTTATTAAAAAGAAGGCGGAAGAGGAAAAGAAAAAACAAATAGAATTACAAAAAAAGGAAGAGGAAAAGCGAAAGGAACGAGAAAAGGCGAACAATGCCAATAAGAAGAATACTACTGCAACAACAACAAATCCAACACAATCCGAGGCTCCCCCTCCGACAGAAGAACGACCCAACAGCAGAGACTCCTCCACTTCGCAACAGCCACAAGAGGCAACACCTCTCACAAAAAATTCTCCCATACTCTTCTTTTTGTTTAAAGATTATCCAACAAATAGTGAAGAAGCAAATCAACTGGTTGATGCTGGTGTTAATTTTGATTGTATTGTTGTGCTAAAGAAGGAGAAAAAGAGAGGCCCTCCTCCAATTTCTGAAGAAGAATTAAATCAAAAACTAAATGACAAGAAGAAGAGACCAAAAAGCAACGATACCAAGCAGAGACCTAAAAGTGGTGGAAGTGGAGCAAAGACCAACAATCAACCAAAGAAAACAGTTCCACCAGCGTCATCGGCGTCGTCACAAAACAATCCTCCAATATTTGAGCCCGAGAACAGACTATGCCAGTTAGTGGAAAAGCAACAACAGGTATTGCAAGAAAATAATCAGGCCAATCTTCTCAGGAATGTCATGTACATACATTATTCTTTTGTACAATACATATACGATGATGACAATTCGAAATTTGACCCTGGTGACAATATGGAACGTGAGGTGGCAAGATTCTTCTCCACGCTCGTTCAAAATGCTCAATTAGTTATGAATCACTATGACTCGTATTTGCAAGACACTGGATTTCAAACATCCACATATGTCTCAGATGACAAAATTGAAGTGGATCTGAGTTATTATAACAAGCTTTTGGAAAAAGTTCCTGATATTTGTTGCTCTGAGGCAGTGATACTTCATTGCTTAATGGAACAACTGGTAAAGACAGTTGAGGACAAGTTTGAACTTGTATCGAATGGTGATGACAAAAAGGTCACTCAGCAAGTTACAGAAAGTTTAAACACACTACTTTCAACCACATTTAGCCCATATAATTTTTTACAAAAAGCAGATATTGCTGAGAAGCAATCTGAACCAAAGAACACACTTACGAAGATTGGAAATGTTAGCCTCATACCATTTGGATCCAAAATTTCTGAACACTCCTTGCACACCATTCCAATTCAACAAGACATTACAAACGTGGATGTTGAAAAGAAAATTACACGAATGCTTCATTTATTCCCTGATTTGGACGAGTCACACCACGATGCACAACTTGAATCTGACGAAGAACGAATCACTCACAAAACTGAAATTTATCATTTCCTCTCAGGAAAAGATGAAGATATTCATGGGCCATACAAGTACTCTAAAGAAGAAATTGATAAGGAACTCGTACTTCAACAATTTGAACGAATGATGGAAGAACGAGGCCTTACCTATAACTTTACAGACAGAAACATTCAAGAAGTATTCTCTGTTGATACATTGATTGAAGTCATTTCCAACATTGGTCTGTTCGAGAAGCCGCTTCTTGTGTCCAAGTACAACCAACTCAATCATTCTGTCATGCTTGCATTTTATACTGATGTTCCTTCATGCAGATATGAAAGAATTTCTCTCGTAAAACGATTTTCCGTAAAGCCATATTTCTTGGAATGGTTTTCCAAGTATCAAGACTATTTCATGCAACAATTTAATAACAAGTATGAACGACAACACAAGGAGACCTACGACAGAACAGTCAAAATGGCTCAATTTGGTTTGGAAGACGAGGAACATAAAGAGACACCTCGATCTGCTGCCATGGAACTGGAGGAGCTTCCAGAGCATATAATCACTCTTCCTCTTCCTAAATTGGAAAAATCAAAGCGTGAAGAATTGCCAGATCCAAAACATGAGAGATACATATTTGAAGGAAAAGGTTCTAACCTTTATGTAGATACTGTAAATTTTTATCCAAGCGACGGAGCAATAATTTACCTCCAGTCAGAATATTGCACCTCTAAAACGATTTCATGCACGGTCGATAAGGATGGTATGATTTTTGGGTTTAAAAATACCATTAAATCATTGGATAATCCTCACAATGTGCTAAAGAGGAATTGCTATTTTTCATGCACGTTTGAAGACTCCTCTACACTGCTGGTCTACTTGAGAGATCAATTGGACTCTACGAGCACTGAGGTGGATTATAGTTGCACTAATGGGCTACATGTGCGGCTAACACAAGATGGATCTATTCATCAATTCTATCCAGCACAGCAATACTCAAAGAAGAAAATATTTGGAACCGGTTTCAAAGGGCTTTACCAAAACGAAACTAACACAATGACGATCAGTTTAGACTCTGTTGATGAAATAATTCAAGTGTGGAATTCTTCAACAAACTCTGTGGATCAACAATTAGTACGAGAGCAATCAGTGACGATCACAAAATCAGGTGTTGTGATTCGTAGATTTGAAAATGACATTTCTCAAGTAATTTTTCCCAACAGCGAGGTGCACCATTTCAATGCACAAGGAGCTTGTTTGAAGACGTCACCAACTGGAGAGAGATGCGTAGAGTTGCCTGATGGTACAATCACACCTTTGCTTCCAATCAAATATGCCAAGAATTTTGATGCCTGGAAAGAAGCAGAAGTACATGTTCGAGAAGATTTGGTAATGAAAGTAATTTTTAATGATGGATCCCAGTTCGTACAATATTCAGATGGTTTCCGGGTGTGGCGATGTCCTGTTGTCCACGGGCAATTATTTGTTTCTGAGGATGAAGATGAGGACGAGTTTATGCATGTCAATGATTTTTACACTCTCATCGAGAGAAGCGGCTTTGCAACTGTAAAGATTATCAAAGATCAAATGTTTTACGAGTTGCCAGATCAAGCGCTATTCACATACTCATCACAAAAGTTGTATACCTGTTCAAAAGACGGTCACATTATTTCTGTAGACTTAGAAAAGAATTTTGTCGACATTGAGCCATCGAGTTTATCATTTACATCCATTAATAAGGAGAGATTCCACAAGAAATCTTCAAAATACTACTTTGGAATGTATTCTTTTGACTATTTCAATGGAGGAATGAAAACCATCGATATTTTAGGCCATGAATTTGTTGTGACAGGCACAGGTCGATCCATGATCAAATTCTTCAACGAGAATGAAAAGTCAAGCAAAGATATTCATGAAGATAGAATGATTGTTGAGGAAAGAAAAGCAAGTCGAGCTTGCACACCTCGTACACCAAGTAGACCAAGCAGTTCACGACAAGCCATCGAAGCTACAGGAGAGAACGCTAGCCAACAAACAATTTGTCCTCAGGACACTGCCAGTAGCGTGGAAGACAATGGCAACGTTGAAAAATCAGGCGAGCAAAAAGAGAACGATAACGAAGAATCAGAAGAAGTTCAAGCTCTCTCACAATCACTAATTGCTTACTTTAAAAAGAATAAGGTAGGCATCCCTCCCGTCTCTCTCATTGGAGATGTGCCCAATGATGATAGTCATAAGCATCTTGTTCCTCCTCGACTTTTTGAGTTGTCACTCGATGGACGCTATGCATTTGAATATGTATCAGAATCGGTGATCACACCAATTGCAGAGGCAGCCAAATCCAATCCTGACAAGGTGACCTTATCTGAAGATCGAATTGGAGAGTTCAAGAGCGTATCTTCTGTTCACATCTACACCAAGTACGACCAAGGTACTCGATATTTGGAAAGTCCAGAAACAGTATATTCAATTCCAAAGGCTGTCATGCCTCTTGGAAAGTTGAAACAACTCGATCCATCCATATTTTATCATAGACATTTTAATAGATATAGACCTCTCACTCAAGACGAAAGAAATACATTGAAAGAAAAACTTCAGAGATGGAAAGAATGGAGATCAAAACGAGAGGACTATGTCAACGAGACGATGAGTTATGACCCAGAGAAGGCAGACACCAGAACAGAACAATTGAAACAAGAAGAGGAGGCAATTAAGCAAGAATTGGCAAGAATATTTGTGGAAAAGAAGATTTTCGATCTTGCAGAGCCATCATCATCTTCCAACCAATCCCAACCAATGATGCCCAACGAATCCAAAGAAAAACCAACCGCATTGCAAAAAGACAAAGTAGTTCCCAAAAAACAATCCAAGGAACAGCATGGCTTAATGACAAATGATTATAAAGAGCCCATGCAGAGTAAAGACGGCGTTCCAAAATACTGGGCTGAACCTGAAGCCTTGGAAACATGGAAAACACTTGTACTTGGAATTCCAAAGAAGGAAAAGAAGTCGTTGAGAAATTCTGAAAAGCAATTATTGGACAATGATGAATCAAGAACTGTCGAAGAAGTGTCATATGCAAGAAATGAAACATCGTATGATGATCATAACGAACCAATCACAACTGAACCATCTAACACTACTACCTCTCAAAATGCAGTGCAAGACACTTCCATGATGGAAGACCATGCAAATCCCACTGCCGAATATGACCATGTCGAAAACAACGAAGAGACAGAACAATTCGAAGTTGTTCACACAAGAGGAGCTAACGCACATGATCCAAGCTTTTACGATGTGAAAAATGTCAGCAAATCGGTCTGGTTCAAAAAATCATTTGTTCCAACTGCTACGGCCATTCCCAACCACGATTACAAGTCTCTACATGATTCATCCAAGATTAAGGTCAAGACCTCTTCCATGGTTAAGAAAACGACAACCATTGAAAACCATTCATTGAACAATTCTTTACCACCTAAAAACGAGCTTGCAACTTCAATGAATTCCATGTATTTAGCATCTCCAAGTAGTGCTGCAACGACATCCATGCTCTCACAGCATGGATTGAGTAATATTCAAATTTTCCCAAATACTTGTAATTTTGGATATCTAGTGGTTGGAGACGTCTATCGAATGAGTGTACAAATGATTAACAGTGGACATGTTACAGGACGATTCCAAATTGATTATCAAAATCGAAGTCAATGGTTTGCAGCTATGGATGGAAATGCCTCAGCAGATTCTCTGAATAGTACATTGAGAATTTATTGTGACAAGGGTCCTATTGCACCAGGAATTAATCGAAAGATTGAATTTGAAGTTCATGCTATTCGACCTCAAAAAATTCAATTCGATGTTCAAGTGCGTACCGAAGAGAGTATAATAACCATTCCTGTTTCTGCAACCATTTTGTCACAACAAGAATTTGCAGATCATCAATACAGAATTTCATCACGAGTGAAGATTGCTAAAAGTAGACCAACCTTGTACAAGATTGAATTTTAACAAGTGAGATTGTTTCCATGACCATAAACATCAATTTTCAATTCCAAGGCGTGTAAAGAAATTAATTCTACTACTCCAATGTCGAATCTTCACTCGAATCATTGTCTTAATGATCAAAGCTAAAGTTTTCGATTTCAAGTGTTCTCCATTTAACAATGTTCCTTAAACATTCATAAGACTCTCCCACTCATGTGTTGCCATTGAACTCTCTTTTTAGCAATAATAAGTGGATGAAATTTCCAGGAATTGGTTTGTCCACAACAACAAGACGGAATATTGGCCAACTAGAGTTGTTTTGGGTAAAGGTCATTAAGTTGTTGTTTTATTTCTCAACAAAATAAAATCGACAGGTGGCCTTGCATCTTTCAACTTTGGAAGTAAATAGTTCGTTAAACATTCCACCATATTTTTCATAACATTGGTTGTAACAACCAGCACGTGACACTGGAGGTGGTGATGATTGCGCATCTGCAAGTAATCTGTTATTACCATTATTTCTGCCACGAATGAAATCCACTGCACGTCCATAGGTATTGTATGGTGCGTGGTTGTAGTAGTAGTAACTGTCTGATTGTTCTGCAAGTGTTTCCTCCTCTCTCATTGCTTGTCTGATCATTCTTCTTGTGGTTCTTTTGATTTCCTTCTTGACGAGTTCTTGAATCAACTTGGCAAGCTTTACAGAAGAATCTGGTTGAGTCAAGTGTTGTTGTTGTTCTAATGCACATACAGCACATGCCAACAACAACACAAGAAAAACAATACTAATGGAGAGTTTCATATTTTTATGAATGTGTGAAACGATTGTACCTATCACAAAAATTTAATGGATTGCGAAAGGTTACACGAGTGGTGGTTCGAGGTTTGTTCATTCATTCGTTGTAAGCGTTCCAGTTTGTGTTATTCGTTGGTTACATGGATTTATTGATCACAAAACAAGAGAACAATGATCATTGTTCCAAAATACAGTTTAAAGACATATTTGAAAACTTGGAAAGGGAATCAAAGAGCGTCCTTAATAAACATTTATTTGGATTCATTAAATTAAAAATATTAAAATGAAAGTTATCATCATGTTTTATTGAAATGACGTATATAATAATTATTGACCTTTCGATTCCAAAATCAAGTCCTCTCTCAATTGAGTCAACACTCGACCCAACAAATTCAAACCTTTCCAAGTTTCTCTTCGTTTTGCTTTTGGATCATCTTGCGACAAACCAATTCCCCAAATGGCATCGTATGGACTTGCCTCTACATATTCACAGTCGACATTTTCCAACAATGTTCTTCTCAAATCAGAATGTTGAGTGAATTTGGCATAATTTCCTTCATAGACAATTCGCTCTCGATTGGCTTCCCAAATGTCATTGGAAAAGTTCTTGACCTTTCTTCCGAGAGCTTTCATGCTTTTCTGAGAGGATGATGTTTTCAAAATTTGTTGAGCCACATCATCATCTCGGAATAATTTGGCTTTCTGATACATCATGTATTGTTCACAACATGAAAATGTGATCGAGTCGATCGTGATGGATCGCATGTGCCATTGTGAAAAGACCGAGTCTTGTTTCCAGAAATAATGAAATTTCGTGTATTGATTTTGTGCATCAACCAAATACTTTTTAACAATAGGTGTGGATGAGGAGGAAGTTGCAGCCAACATTTTTTTAATTCTTCCTGGTCAAATTATTATTCGATCCACTTGTAGTTCAACAATTGAACAATTTCACTTTAAAAATAGATGTCGTGTGGATCAAACGTGAAAATGAACTTGAATTCTTTACTGTTGTGAAGGGTTCAAATTCAAATGAACAATTTTTCGAATGAGTTTTGGTGTTGAAACAAGTTCAAGATTGGATTCAGGATGAGTGTGTGAAATATTGGTCAGTGTGAAACTACGTAATTTGGGAGCAATGAGAGCAATGTGAATTCTGAGAGAATAGACCATGTTAATGAATACGTGTTGGAGGTTGGCATGATGCAGTGGTGTCCTGTTTTGTGTTGTTGCATTGTTGATGGTGTTGTCATTGTGACCTTGTGCCTTAATTTTGATTTCACTTTGAATTTTTGATAATTCCAATTTGTTCAAATTTGGAAAATATTGTAAATCAATTTCTACTCCACGAAGTGAAGGATCAGTCAATTCCAATGACTGAACATGTGAGAGCTGAATATTATTGTGAATATTATGGACTAGTAATTGTGCAAATGAAATCTTAATGTCTCGTAAAGACTTGGCAGTTTCACGATCCAATATAATTTTCCTCGCTGGCTTGTCATGTGGTGAATATTTAAGGTTCAAACTTGTGCACAAGAGTTGAGTCATGGATGGACATGAAATGGTTGTAAAATCTCCTAGTTCTTCAGATTCAACATTCAAATGTGCTAAATGGGGATTGGAAACTTGTCTGCAATTCTTTTCGTCTTTAGTGAAATATGAAGAGACATCCAAAAAATTGGATACATTTAAGGTTTTAAATTGTGAAGAGAAGCCACGAATGGTGGTCTTTAACCATGCGAAATGGACAGTGAATTCCTTGATCGAGTTGAATTGGCAGAGAGTGTTGGACAAGCTTTCAGTGATGAATTGAGGAAGCTTGTCTTGAAAACTAATTTTCATTTCTTCCAACGAGAGAGTCTCAGAATGCATGGGTAAAATATTGGCCACATCGAATACTTGATGCTCATTGATCGAGTGGGAGAAGGTCACATGAACATTTCGAAGTATTTCAAATTGAGAGTTGAATTTGACTTGTGAAAGATTAATAGCTCTACCAAATTCTACTGCAAACAAGTCGCATTGATTGAGATTAATGTCAAAGATGGAGGTGTTGTGTAAGCTAGCTCCAGTGTTACAAATGTTGAAGCTTAATTTTTGAACACGACTTCCATTCAACTTGAAAGTATTTGGTACTCCAATAATGGAGATGATACTTGGAGCGTTCTCAATGTGCACATCACTCTTGTCACACGCAAGTTTTAGTCGATTCAGGGTTGGGTGACGCTTAATCACGAGCGTTTTTTCATTCTGTGACAATGCTCTGTTATCCCAGTCATACACATACGAAAATTTCTTGAGAGACAAATGTTGGTCAATCCAAAAATGTATCACGCTTCTTTCTTTGGGATCTCTCATCTCGGTCATGTATTCAAAGGTTTCCAAGCGTGGAAATGGTTTTTGATGAGAGGTTACAGATAAAAGTACCTTGTAGGCATGCAAGTAGGTCAAGTTGAACAAGTCACAACCGCCCAAAACAATTGAAATTGGAGAATCCATAAAATTACTCAATCCCAAGTGTGTAATATTGTTAGGAAGTGGAATACCGTTGGTGTGTGAGGAAAATTTCAACAAGGTGTCAGTCGTAGGTGACATGGAATCATCATTCCCAACACTACCAATGTTTAAATTGAGCTTCTTCAAGTTGGTCAGTGAGTGACACAAGTTTCTCCAATCATTTCCTTCCACTAAAAACGAAAATGATACCTCCAAACTTAGAAATGTTAATCTAGATGAAAGTGTCATGAATAGATTGAAATTATCTGGCTCTACAATTACAGGATTTGCCAAAGCTAGGCTTTTGATATTGGAACATTGCTGTAACAAGGTTTCAATCTTTTGTAATTCTTGATTCTTTGATTTTGTGGTAAATGAGAATACGGATAATGCATAGAGTGATTGTAATTCGCTTGAATGAGCTTTAAATATACTCTCAAATCCATTCACACTTCCACTCAATTGCACCTCTTGCAATGATTGAAATTTACATGATTTGGGGTCATAAAAAGACAAATCTTGAACGTATGGTACCAAATCGTTGGGTCGTGCATTTTCTACACATTCGTTAGAGGAGACAAATGAGAGTGACTTGGCATTGGGAAATTGTGCTATCCATTTCTTGAGGAGAGGAGTGGGTTCCATTGGGTTTCTATCAATTTCGTTATTGGTGGTTGGGATATCAGTTATGGTTGTGGAATTGTTTGTTGTCAATAAATTAAAAGATACAGTGGGAGTAGTGGAGTTTGTAAAAGAAATGGAAGGAGAGCAGTTAGTTGGAGAGTACGAAGAAATTAATGGCAATGGCACCTTAACGTTTCGAATAAGATTACTCGCGTCACACAAAGTCTCAACAAATGAGAAAAACATGCTAGTCAATTCGCTTTCCACAGAGCAATAATACGCAAATTGTCCATTAAATCGTCCAATAACCATATCAGTGTTTTTAAACTTTTCATCACACAATACTGAAAAGCAAGTCGTGCTGTAATTATCTGGCATATACGACGCAACAAAGAGATGCAAATCTGCATGCACCTCATTCCAAATGAATGGATTGTAATAAATCTTTTCATGCAGAGCTTTACTGGTGTGCAACAAGGGTAACAGATCGTTGGCAAGTTCCTTTCCGAATACTCTCACGCGCAACAAGTATTTACAAATATGACCGAGTACCTCAATAGGGAGATCTGATAAATTATTGGTTGTTGTTGGTATTGGTTGGGAAGCGAGAAGGGTTTCATCATCATCATGATGGGTATTCCTTGAGGAAGTGTATTCATCATCATCACTCCTGCAAGTTGAGAAATCCAAAGACTCTGAATCAACCACCATCCATTCCATATCCTTGGCAATGAATGATGATTGTTCATGAGGGTGTTGGTGGTGGCAAGGAGGACATACCTTTTAGCACCTTACACCTTACACTTTAGTGCCGTTTGCAATGGCACGTAGTCCCAAAAAGGAGATACAAATAGCACTTAATACTGGAGTGCCAAATGCAAACAGCACCTGACACTTGAGTGCCAAATATCATCAGCACTTGTCCGATTTATTTTTTTTAATTATTTATTAAAAATTAGCAGATTTGCGACCGAACTTCGTGGCTTGCTCAATGTGAAATGCAAAGGAGCGACCTGGCTCAAAAGAAATTGCTTGAGAGCTTCGGGTCACAATTTGATCAGTTCTCGCTGTACAACCATCATCCACTTCGTCCAACACGTCATTTGAAGATGATGATGAGTACTCAGATTCTGAATCTGTAATAATTTTGCTCTTACGGGATGTTGTTCGAGTTGTTGCTCCTTTTTTCTTCTTTGCCTTTGGTTCTTCGACTTTTTCTTCTTCTTCCGACGTCACTTCAACAATTTCACCATCTCCCACTTCTTGAAAATCTTCGTCTTCAATTACATCATCAGCTTCCTGACCGGCGAACTCTTCCAATGCTGTGCGTTGGTCTGTTTTCAATCCTTCTAAAAAGTTTTCAAGAGCGTCAATAGGAGCGGTGTTTGTTGGAATCAAGCCTCTTGACACTGTGTCAGCAGGCCTGGAATCGAAAGGGTCGGCTCTTTTTCTCTTCTCGTTTCTCTTCTTCCTTCCTTGCTTGGTGTTGTCAGCATATGAAAGTGGCACATTTTCATTCAGGCCCAATAATTTAATGACGCCTGTAACATCCTCTCGGAGCATCATTTCAATTTCTACGATTGCATTACCATCATAAGTGGGTACTCCTGTAGCATTTAACACTTCTTGGACGTTGGTGTTTCTTGGTAGATTATTCTCCACAGCACTTGTTGCAAGTAACAATTTAACAATATGCGACTGCCGCCACCAATCACACCACGACTTCACACCTGGACAATAAAGTTCAATTGCATCAAGAATGGTTGTTATTGCTTTCTCAGACCTAAACTTCTCAATATCACTGGCCAAACCTTCCACTCTCGTCCGTACAGCTTCTTCAACTGGGATAACCTTTACCATCCGTTTCACACTTCTCTTGAAGTGAATAAAACAACCAGATGCCAATTGTTCAACAACTTCTTTACCAGCACTTCCAAATTTCTCCATAAAAGCCTCCCGTAATCCCTTAAGCTGAGACTGAGAAAAATCGACAAGGATGGACTTGATTCTTCGATCATTGCCTACAAACAATTCTTTCAAATCCAAACCACCGGACTCCAACGCATCCAAGAACATTCGGAAACAGGTTTTATAATCCTCTCTCTCAATTAAAAAGCGGCATAATTGGAAGCACATTCCTCCTTTCGCATGTTCAAAAAATGTACTTATGCCAAGGTGATTAAGAAACGGCCCTGATTTCGCTTGATGTTTCATATCAATGACTAGCATGTCTACATGTTCCATCAAATGTCGACTGATAGGAAACATTAGGAAACCTATTTTAGGACAAAATTGAACTTGTTGGACCCAACTACCAAATCCATCTGACAACGACATACCAAAAAGACACTCATCTGCCAAGTTTTTCGTTAATGAGGGAAGTAAATTCTCCTCAACCGAAGCAAGAATTGATGCAAAGTTGGAAGTGGAACCAAATTTTGTAGACATGGCTTTTCTTCTTATCCTCTGAATTCTTGTCCCGTTAATCAGAGCTCTGTTTTGGGCACCAGGAATAAATGGAACTCCAACTCCTCTTGTCACTTGTTTTGCGGTCAATGTAGGATTTTGATGGAATGCATGTTCTAACAATTCTTTCTCCTCAGTGCTTACTTTTGAAGGTGGAGGGTTGTGATGAAGATGTTCACCAATGCAAAACAGAAACTGCTTGCCAGAAATTTCGTTCTTGAAATATTTGAACTGAACAACACATTCAAACAATACCATTTCCTTTTGATGTACCGAACAAATGGCGCGATGAGCACTCTTTGCAGCAGTTTGATTACAACCATGTTCAGGACATTGATAACAGCCTCGACATAATCCATGAGCAAGGTTATGCTTTTGTTGATTGATGATTTTGGATGTGTAGCTTCCAAACTTGATGCTGTATTGAATTCCCGTTTTCAAAGAATTATCAGAAATAGAAGACCCCTCATATGAGTAGAGAATATTGGGCAACGGATATTGAATAACTTTAGAAAGATGTTCATGGTGAATCGATTTGTCTGAAAGAAGTTGCCAAGGGTTGAATCTGACCATTTTTTAATCAATTGTTTGATACTAAGGAACGAAGTGTTGGTTTTATTGAGAACAAAGTTTAACGGTTAGTTTCACATACTAGAACCTCCATTTCAATCAACATCCATTTCGCACCTTACACTCAAGTGTCAAATACAAATAGCACCTTACACTCAAGTGTCAAATACAAATCACACTTCGTTCATTTGGCACTCAAGTGTCAAATGCAAACGACACTGACACTAAGTGTAAGGTGTAAGGTGCCAAAATATAACAACTCGTGCGCAAGTAAAGTGGCGGTTCCTGCTGCTGCTTCAGCTGCAACCTCTCGGAACATCATCATCGTTTGAGCATTTAGTAACTAGTCGTGTTGGGGAAAAGCACACAAAATATCAACAACCGGAGAGTGCTGGTTTTTTAATTTGAAATGTTGTGTGGATCATGCCACTTTTACTTTTGAATTATTGCTTGCGTCCGCAGCAGCACATATTCGACCATGCAGGAAATGAGAGATGGAATTTTCATGGCAAGTTTTCGCTCACGGACATGAATGTTGGAATTTTTAATAATTCATTCTGCTCCCAAAAAGGATTTTCTTCAAGATGAGACTTTATTTCATGAGAGATTGGAAAGGTTGAGAGAATTTGAAGCATTGGATAAGGGTGAAACAGTGGTTAATGTTGTTGTTACAGGAGTCAAAGACGAAGTTGAAGAAGGGGATGGCTCATTTTGAGAATTTCCATTTGGCACATCCAACACCACTCGAGAGGATTCATCGTTCTTGTCCAAAGTCGAAGAAGAAGAAGAGTCATTCATTGATGAAACGGATGGTTCCAAACTCTTGGACACTGTATCATTCTTTTCCAAGCCATTCACGATGGAAAAATCTTGTTGTTGATAATGTCTTGAAAATAAATCATTTTGAATCCAAAGTAACTTGTTGAAAGCTCGAACGGTTTTGCACTTGGTGGAAAAGGTAAGTTTAGGAGCTTCCATGATGGCATTGGTAATAATATCTGAAACAAATCCAAATAAGGCGTTGCAATGAATGTAGTCGATCACAATGTTTTGATTTCCTGCTTTTGAAGTGTGTAATTTTCCAACATAATCCAAATACTGTGAAAATCGTGGCAGTTTGCACACAGACACAATGAAAAGATCACACACAGTACATCCAACCATCAAGCAAATCATAATTTTTTCCAAATATAGGAAATTACACGACCATGAACGTAATCCACAATTATAATTCATTGAAACAACAGTATCAGTTTGAACCAAACAGACATTCCTCTTCTTCGTGAGTACTCACCTTTAAGAAATTAATATTTTCATAATCACAAGTCACCAACTTGACCAAATATCTTCCTAACATGTCCTTTCTAAACTTCAATTGTTCTCCCTTCCTATGATCCAATCCTTTTCCTTCCAAGAGAGTGAATGGTTTTTTCAGTGCATATTCCGCAAAGACATGTTTCGTAACGGAAAAGGAAAACAATTGATCATAGACGAGTTCAGTCACAGTGGGAATTAGTGGAGCAAGGATGGGTGTGGATTGATGAATGAGAACAATGTCCTCATGGGAAAATCCAATGAGTTGAGTGAGGTATTGAAGTCGATAGGAAAGATCGGTTTCGAGTTGTTGGGAATGAAGAGTTGTAGTTGGAGGAGATGAAGCAGTGTCAGACATGTCGAATAGTTCGAGGTGTGGAGAATAGTTGTTTGGTGGTTCTGTTCAGAGCAATAGTTCACGAGAGGAAGAATCAAGTTCGGTTAAAAGGAAGAAGTGAAAACCTTTGGAAAAGAGTTTCAAAGAGAGATAACGAATCAAACTAGAGAGAGAAAGAAGCGATGGTTTTTTTAATTGATGTAACTTCAGTGTGTATGCTGCAACCATGAACCGTTGTTTTCTTCTATTTGGGGAGTGCTGACCTTTTTGTTGTCAATGAACTTGCGCACAAATGAGTGTATTTTGTGAAGAGTTACAACCATCATTTCGCTTTTCAATCCCAGAGGCAACTGATTAGTGCAGGAACTAGCTACAAGTCACACTTGTTGGAGTTTTTCTAATACAAGCACACTGGAGAAGTGAACCACGCACACAATTTGAGAAAATTTGGTTTTATCAATTAAAACAATTTTAATTCTAGGTGAGATCAGTATTTTTGAGTGTGAAATCTCAAAATTGGATGTTTACATCCATCACTTGATGTGGTACTGCTACAACAGCTACGATGCATGTTTTAAAGAAGTAACTCTTCAAAAGAGGAATAAAAAATCCAGCTTGCAGAAATAAGGTAATATAAAATTTCCATGAAAAATAATAGCAGTCGTAGTGCATATATAGAATACATTTTGAATTACTTCCACATTTGACCCAACTTCATAACTTGGTGAGTCTTTGGACACAAGTTGCAGAGACGTCCGCAAGCCTTGTTTGGAGTCAATACAAATTCAAACATGAGAGCAGCCAAAATAGCACCCAAGAATGGAGCAGTATAATAAATCCAACAATGCTTGTAGAAGGACCAAGAAATGAGCATTGGACCCAAAGCACGAGCAGGATTCATGCAGGCACCAGTCAAAGCACCAGCCATAGCGTTAGCACCTAGAGCCAAACCAATGTACAAGGCAGCAACAATCTTTGCAATAGGTTCAAAGTTGACTTCCAAGAAGATCTTGCTCTCATTTTCAACCATCTTGCTTGCAGTATGTGGTGCAGAAGAGTATGATTGAGTGTTCAAGTGCTTAACTTTGACAGCAGCTCCGAAAATCGTTGTAACAAACATGAAAGTCATCAAAAGTTCTGAAGTGAAACCTCTCAAAGCAGTGACAACATCGTCGGCTGGTAAAATAAAGACAGCTCCGTCAATTCCTCCTGCAATCCACAAAGTCAATGAAGAGGCAACAGTGGCACCCAAACATTGAGCACACAAGTACAACACTCCTGACATGATACCAATATTACGGGTGACCAAGACCGCAATGGTAACGGCAGGGTTTACGTGAGCTCCTGAAATTGGAGCGAAAACGTGAATGACAATAATTAAACCAAAGATGTGACCAAGTGAGCCACGAATGTAATCTCCGTTGGACCATTGAGAACTGAGAGTACCAATCAAGATGAACTGTTATTTCGAGAGTGGAAACATATTGTAGTGATGATCAATTCGTGTTGTTGAGCACACAGTAAGTGAATTGAGGAAGAGCAACGGAAATGATTGTGAATTTTGGAGTATGTTGAAAGGAGAGTAACATATCACCGTAAAAAAGGATTTTGGGTGATGAAAATTTTGGTGTATGTCGGTACAGGAGTGTCATCATTTGTGAAATTTCAAGTGAGTTGTTAAAATTATGATAGAATGATAAAGATGTGTGTGGTTCAAGTTGGGTATCCATGAAGAGTGTGATGGTAGTCCAATATATAAAAGGTGTGTTTTTGATGAAAGGTTGTATCGTCGTCCATAATTGAAGAGAGAGCAGCAATCAATAAAACAAAAATTAAAACTACAACAACACTCATAAACATCATACATACCAACATGGTACCAAGAAATTCACCCAAAACAGCACGCCAATCGAAAATAATATCGGGATGAGTAAAGTATGGCAGAATATTCTTGGCCACGGAATCAGCGACTGGATCAACATCTTGAACCTTGTTATCTTCCAACTCAATTTCATCAGCAACAATTTCCTTTCGTTGCCCTCTTTCCATATCATCTAAATTGATATTGGAACTAGTTTTCTTCTTTGATCCTGGTCTATCAAATTTCTCTTCGTGCACCTCTTCGTCAAATCGGCGGGACATGGTGTCGTCTGTTATTTTTTTTGAAATTTTATTATTTTTTATTGTTTTTACAAATCCATTCCTCAATACCAAATTTATCCCCTAGTCGTTACCCATTGCAATTCTCATGACCTACCTTGTGCTATCACATTAAAGTGGCCTCAGGTTCAATTGAAGAGCGCGTACGCTATACATTTGATTCTATATAGATTCAAGTTGATTGTTGTTCTTGTCGAAAGATACTATACTTCTTCTCAAAGATTAACAAAAACAGGCATTCCCATGTTCTTTTTAGGTAGCTATGAAATCGACAAGGCAATGATCTATCTATTTGTGTGTTCTTTATCTGGTAAACTGTTTATTTATTTCCGTGACCAACCCGGGTTGTGTGATTCTTTAATCTTTCTTCTTTACAAATTCATGACCTCCGATGCCCGCGCAGTTGCAAAAAAATGTCCTTCGGCAACGAGCCTCTCCGCAGCACCTCGTTCTCATTCTCTCCTCCTTCCGAGTGTATCCCTATTGTTGAAAGAGAGAAATTCATTTCCATGATGACCTCTATATTGAAAAAAACCATCTTCTAGGCTTTAAAAACTTCTTTCAAATTGAGTTAAAGTTGTAATTATTAAAAAATCAATCCATCCCAACAATGAATGATTCCGACCATCAACGTCCTTACGGTGATGAACACAACAACCATACAATCTTGAAGGACAACAATAGTACACATCAGCAACAGATAGGACATGAACAACACATGAAAGATTTTGGCATGTCCAAAAACAATAACGAAACTGTTTCAACTTCATCCTCGTCCTCTACTGCTTTCACGAATGAACATGCCAACATGCATCCTCAGGAAGAGGAATCTGCCGTCATGTACATGGATGGCCTCACTCTTCGTAATGTATGCTACAAAAAGAAGGACAAGATGATTTTATCGGATATTAGCTGCACCTTTCCACAGGGTCAAATGACTTGTATTATTGGTAGTTCAGGTATGTTTCTTTATATATTTCTTTCGAAAACCCAATTCAAATCGTGTCATGATTGTATTGGTTTGTTTGGTCATCACCATCATCATGTCCGTCCTCAAATGAATGCCTTAATCCACTCTCAAAAAGGTTCTGGTAAATCCAGTTTGTTAGATCTCATTTCTCGTCGTGTGAACAACTCGAAAGAATGTTTTGGTGAAGTTGAGTTTAAAGGAAGACCCATGACCAAGAAACTCTTTCAAAAAGAGGGAGGTTATGTTTTTCAAGATGACGTTTTACTTGCGACAGATACCATTCATGAGACTCTTTTGGAGGCCTCTCTTCTCAAATCAAAACTGTCAAAGAATCAAAGCTTGATACAATTATTGAAAGAAAGAAGTGACAGAACTTTTGAAATTGAAAATCAAATGGGTCTTTATTCTTGCAGAAAGGTGAAAATTGGAAATGGTGAAAAGAAAGGTGCAAGGTGAGTAGATTGTTTCTAATTATCTCAGCACATTTCATTAACAAATACGAAATCGTATGACATTACATGTCAACAGTGGTGGTCAAAAGAGAAGAGTCAGTATTGCCATTCAACTCATTAACAATCCAGATTTATTGCTATTGGACGAATATTCAAGTGGCTTGGACTCATTCACTGCTTTTCAAATCGGTAAAACTCTGTCAGCGATGGCTCGTGATCAAAAGAAAACCATTCTGGCCACTCTTCACCAACCTTCCTCTTCACTGTTTGCTTTATTCGACAATGTCATGCTCCTCTCCAAAGGAAGGTTGATTTATTTTGGACCCATCTCTGAAATTAAGAGTTACTTTTCGAAAATTGGATATTCAGTGCCACAAGACACCAACTTGGCTGACTGGTTGATTAACACAGTGTCTAATCCGTTCTTGCAACAACAACCCATCGAAAAGTCGTTATTTGTTGACTTGAAACCTGAATTACAAAAACCTCAACAACCTCTTGCATTATTGGAACAATCAGAATCTCAACTCTCCATTTCCGTCGAGGGAAATCTGGGCGGTGACGAACAAATAGCTGGTGCCAATAATGGTGACACCATTCTCACCACAGAAAAGAAGAAGGAGAAGCTCGAAAATGAAATGGCAGTCTTGCAAAACAGAGTGGACTGGATGGCTGAGGTGTATAAGGTAATTCAGAATGCCAGAATGACGAAATTTTTGAGTCAAAATAATTTATCAACGGAAAAATTAGAGGTTCAAGACGATTCCTCTCCAACACATCCTCAGAAATTGCAACCACTAACATCATCTCAACAACAATTAGATGAGTCATTATTCTCTCGTATCCTGATTGAACTTGTGAAATACTTGGTATTGGTATGGCGTCATTTGAGAACAACGGTACGAGATCCTCTCATTCTAATTTCTGAACTGTTTCAAACCATCTTTCTTGGACTTTTTACTGGTTTACTCTATTTTAGACTTCCCTTGGATCAACAAAGTATTACGGATAGGTAAGTAGTGAGATATTTCATTTATAATCTCAATTCTTTTCACTAACAAAATTTGATACCTTTAATGAACAACAACCACTAATTTGCTCCAAACACAGAATTTCTGCATTATTCTTTGTGGTTGCATGTGCCGCATATGCACCCTCAGCATCTGTTGTGGCCACATTCCCTCAACAACGAGCATTGATGTCACGAGAACGAGAAGGAAATTTATATGGAACTTTTACTTACTATGCTGCCTATACTACCGTTCACACACCAGTAGAGGCTATATTTCCATGTGTCATGTTAATTTGCACGTATTGGCTTGTTGGTTTCCAAAATCGACCTGAAAACTTTTTCATTCTTTTGGGCATTTTAATCATTGTTCAGTGGCTTAGCGAAAGTTTGGGTCTCTTAGTTGGAGCTCTTGTGAAAACTGTTGATGTTGGAAATTTAGCTTTATCTGTTCTCATGACAATATGGATGTGCTTTGGAGGCTATTTAATTCGTAATAGTCAGATAGGATGGTGGTTTTATCCCTTCTCATATACGTCACTTTTTAGATATTCCATTCATGCAATGGCACAGAATGAATTTAATCAATTGAATTTCAAATGTGCTGCCGTTTCAAAAGCACTACAATCTGTGAATATTTCAGACTTGTGCTCTTTCCGAAATGACAGCTCTATATTATTGCCAAATTCAACAGATTATCTTCCATTGCAGCCATACACGACTGAAATTTGCTCTGGAATGAATTGGAATGATACAATTACCACATTGTCGTCATTTGGATGTTTGCAAAATGGAGAACAAGCATTGGCCTATGTATTTCAAGATAGCAAAATTCCAATATGGGGCAATGTTCTCATTTTGTTTGGAATGTTTGTGTTTTTGAGAATTTGTATTTACTTGGCTCTTAGATTTAGACGATTTGGCAAGAAGTAGTTAGATTAAATCCATTAATTTATTAAAGTGATTTTCTCTTTAATTGTTTCAATGATTCATTTCAATATTCCAAAACATTTACAAATTGTTGAGAAGCTAGAACAAACATACATTTTCAAACAATTTTGGTATATTTACAATGTTATTTACAATGTTGGTACTCGGGTCCTGGTTTGGACTCACTTAATACAATACACAACCAATTTTTTTCTCTCCCTTATACGTAAACGCCACACAATGTCCCATGTCGCTATGATATTTAAATGCTTGTTCAGTTCTCACTCGATACACTCTCTCATTGCAATGTGAGCATATGGTAGAATTTTTAGAATGGTCTGCAATTTGTGTGAAATTTAAGGGACACTTATAGACCCATTGACAATTTTCAATGAAATCATCTTCGAGATAGTGCAAGTATCCACGTTTTGACTTTTTAATCAAAGGAAAATCATACAAGTCTTCAATGTCAAACACATGATCAACTTTAGCACCGTTAGGATAATTATTTTCATCCTGATTTGTTGTTAATCCTTGTTGAATTTTCATTTTCATTTCTTTATGTTGTCGTTCTTGTTCCAATCGAAATAAATCTAGTGACGAATATTGTAATTGTCTTCGAATGGACGGCATTTCATCATCTTGTTGTTTCACAAATCTCATTCTCCTCTGCAGAACGGTCAAATAATTCCGTACTCTTCCCTCAAGACTCGAAATTTGAAATCTCGGAAAGTATCTCAACAACATGGGTCCCCAAACAAGTTGTTGCATGGGTTGATATTCCACTTGTTCCTTACTCGTTTCAATCGTATTGGAAAACCAATTCTTGATCGTGAACGTGAAGGAATTTTCTCTCTTGACATTTCGACACATGATCCAATGGAAGAGTTTTGAATCGCATTTTGAGAAGGCCCCCAAATCAGGAATTTGTAAATATTGTAAAATATAGAGCCATAATTCGGTTGGAAGTTGTACATGTTGGAAATAATCAAAAGAAAATTCAATCGTGGGAGTTGATGCATGTTCAGTGATTGGAGGAGTGGAATTGTTATGATCCGGAGTGGTCGTAGAGGAGAAGGGAGAGAGAAGTAAAGAGAACATTTTTTTTGGTCCTATTCCCACGTGGAATGTGACGTTCGAGTTCTCGCTCAACAACACAGTTCAATGTAAATGATCTCTGAGAAATGCATGACAGTATTGTCATAGGGCTGAACTGACACATGTTAAAAATTATTTGAAGATTTTTCATTGTTTCTTTTTCTTCTGTTGACATTGAATGGACTCTCCAACATAATCATACACCAGTTGCATAATTTCACTCACAAATTCCATATCACCCTGAGGAAACACTGGAATGGCCGTACAAATCATATCCATCAATGAAAGAAGCATCTTGGAATCAATATTCAACACGGTCATGAGTTTCTTAACATTGGAAGTCAATTTAACTCCTCCATAACCCAAACAATAATCGACTTCTTCCATGTTTTTAAATAATTCTCCACTTAATAATTCAGTCTTGCTCGATGATTGGTCCAAAACGGTAACAGTGGCTCGATAGCTCCCTGTTGAGCCTTCTTCCATCGGATCATATTGGATATCTCCTTTAAAATGTAATTCCAAGGATGGTTTCTCGGTTCCTTCTCCGAATTTCATCTGAACCACATATTTGCTACTCACTGAATCACGTCCTGATGTTTCAGTATAGCAATTTTCAGTTACTTGAACTCGACTCTGGAATAATGTTTTAAAAGCATCATTCTCTGAAAGAGCTTGTTGAACCTTTTTGGAAGCTTCTTCTGAAGGAAGACTTGTTCCTTCATCTTCGGAATCAGTTCCTTCATCTTCGGATTCGGAATCATCCTCCAATGCATGAACGTTGGGATCAAAATCTTCTCCGTATTCATCATCTTCAATATCTTCCCATTCATCATCATCATTGCCATCCGAATCAGAGCTAATATCTTCTATTGGAACAATCTTCTTTTTCTGTGAACCGTTGAATTGTTTGGAAAGTTCTAACACCTGGCGGTTGTATTCTTCAATGAGTCGTTTGTTTTTCGACATTTTTTTTTTCAAATTTGATCGCCAAACAATTTCAACAATTAATTTGTGAAATTCAAAAAAAATATTGAAAATGCTTCGGGACCGATTGAAACGAATCATGATTCAAAAGGAATTGAAGAATGAGAAGAACACGACAGCAGAAGCTTCTGATCATCCAACATTGGCCTCTTTGAAAAAACAGGAAAATAATCAAAGTGGTATTTCAAATAATTTGATATTAAAACAAGAAAATAGTTCGGGAAATGATCATGCGAAATCCACAACAACAACCACCTCTTCCAATCCTCTCTCATCATCATCTGCATTGAAGAATTCATCATCCACTCAGCAACTCGTTAAAAAATCAGCAAAAAATTCTCTCAACAAGCCTCTTTCTCAAAAAGGAAATACAAAGCCTTCCTCTTCATCAAACCAAAGCAACAACAAGGAAGATAAAAAACGAAAATTAGATCAAGCTCTTTCCCAATCGGAAAAACCCTCCAAGAAGAAGAAGAAAAACAAGAAAAAGAAGCAAAAACAAGACAAGAAGGAAGGAGCAGTTCTCAAAGTTGAAACTGAAAATATTTTCATTTCGGAACAAGAATTGAAAGCATGTTTCCCTAACTGTAGTGCAGTGCTGAGAATTGGACCACGATTAATACTAGTCGCATTTGAAAAAGAGGAGCAAGCCAAAGAGTATTTAACACAAGAAATTGCTCAAGAATCGAATCCAACGAATAAGAAAAAACTTGTTGTTAAAAAGGAAATGAATGGACAACAATTTACAATTTCAATGCATGGTACTAAGGATATTTATCGTCCAAGTTGGTTTGATGTCAAACCACGAACTACTTTGGGAGTATCACTTGGATTGGCAGAGAATCAAAAAGTGACATCTAAATTTGCATCTTTTTTAGAAAAATTATTACATGAAAAATTGGGAACCTCAGAAAATGTTTCAATTAGTGACATTCATAAGGGAAAGGTAGTGTTTTTCCAAGATGCCACTGTCGAAGAGAAGTTTAAACAATTGGTTGAGAGTGGTGAATTTAAGGTTCCTCTCGAATACATTCGAGAAAAGAAGAAGAAGGAACGAAAACACAAGAAGAAATAAAGAATCATTCAACAAAACTATATACGAAATCCTATTGATGCTCTAAATTCTATTTATTCGCAGCACGCTGCTGCTGATGACGATCAGGTCGTATCTTATCAACTGCACCTTGCTGCTGGTTCGAGGGCACATATCTTTGAAACGTGACTTGTCTCTTGTGATGCATTTTCAAATCGGAAAAGTAATACGATGTTGGAAGAGTACAATTATGAAACGCTTTCTGCAGCACCTGATGACACTCTTTAGAAATGGTGGTTTCATTTTCATTCTCATCATTGATATAAAACCATAAACTTTTCTTTTTCTCATGAATGGACATCTGATAAAGGTAAAACATGAATGTTTCCAACAGAACGGTTCGTTTTAGCTTCAAAAAAAGTTTGGTAATTCTTACCTTTGAATAGGGCCATCGTTTTCCATGACTCACTTCCTTATATCGTCGTTTCAGTGTAGAAACACTCACTCCCAACATGCGGGCAGCAATCATTTGAGAGGCGTGAAAATACTTGGACTGTTCATCAATGGTTCTCTGACAAACAGACAGACGCACACATAAGGACTTACCATTTCGTCAAGAGACTAGTGGAATTTCGTACGTACATGGTCACATTATTTACATGTGAATGTACGAACAAGATGGTGTTCACACAGGTGATGATTGAGCATGCTCAGTATTATTATTATTACATGCATACACAAATATTTAGCTTACCACATGCAATCGACCATTCGTCGACGTAATGGAAGAATTTGTTTCTTTCATTTCGCATCTTTCTTGATTCTTTGGAATGGTTCTTTTTCTTCTTGCCTCACCAGTCGCTTGTGGTTCCATGCGAGATTGACCATGATCTGAACACGATGACGAGCAATTTGATGAAGACGAATGATACAAGGGTTCATATTCATTGATCAATGAGTCCACTTGTCCACCACCAGCACAGGGAAGAGTCATGAACTGTTGTTGTTGTTCCTTTGAAGACACATGTTGTTGTTGGATAGGACGAGGGAAGTCAAGTGGGCTGTGATCGAGCACTTGTGCCAAGTTGTAGTTCGTGGTTGATTCAATTCCGAAAGCTGTGGTTCTCGTATGGCTACTGTTCGTTTGGTGACGTTCCATTTTGACGAGGAGATTCACTGCTGACTAGCATGTGATGTGTTTGTTTTTATTGTATTCAAAAACATTCGCCTTATGATCCTGCAGGAGGATCAATAGAGATGATGAGTGCACTAATTCTTTCATTTCATGGTATGACACATTTTTGTTTGTTTGGTTCAAATTTGTATGGGCAGTTCAACAACGCCTCGACAATGCAACAAGCTTACACTCTCAACATGTGTATTTTCTAAAAAGAAATAAAAATTCCACTGATGAAAAAGGTGTTGTATCATTGTAGTAGTGACGCACAGTGGTTGCGGATTGCCTCGAGTTGGATTAATACTTGAAATTGTACGGTTAACGACCATACCAATTAAGAACATATAATTTTTCAATCATAATATTCCTACCAAAATGTTCGAAGTATCACATGAGGAGCATGATCAAGTATGGTTCCACTTTCAGAATGAACCTTATTTCAGAACAGTGCCACTACTTTCCAATTACTTGTTTTGCGTCGAGATCACGACAAGTCGTTGTTTCAAACCGATATTGGAATCAGGTCCCATACTTGTACATGATCATTTCAAATTATTGCTACTTGAAGGGTCTTCTACAACTTGGTATAATTGTTTGGATCCACCCTTTAGACGGGGCTTGTGTTGCTGTTGATAGGAGATGAATGGCTCTCTTGTTAATGATTCTGATGCATCTAGATCATGTTGAGGAATGTAATTCAAGAATGTAATGTCTTTCTTTTTTGGTTTTGGTTTTAATTCTGGAAAATAGTGTTCAATAGGGAGTGTGCAATTTACAAACGCTTTTTCTAATACCTGCTCACATTGAGGTGAAATAAATTTCTCATCATCTTCTTCATCATTCATATAAAACCACAAAGACCGCCGTTTTTCTAAATTGGTTAACTATTGGCATATTAATAGTCATAGAATTTCATCATGCATCCAACCATAATGATAATAATCGTTTCAACAAACCGCAGTAAACATTATTGTGGTCAACAGTTCGGGCCACAGCATCAAGGTAAAAATTGCACAAATGAAAAGATTGAGGAAAATATTCCACTGACCTTGTGATATGGCCATCTGTGTTGTCCTTCGTAAGACTCTTTGAATCTCCTCTTTAGAGTTGAAACACTCACTCCCAATAAACGTGCAGCTAGAACTTGAGATGCTCCAAAATATCGTTCCTAATCATGATGGAAGCAGATTATCATGAAAATCAAACGATCCGTGGTCATTTTAGATTCAAAAAAACAAATAAGGCACATGTTGATGATAAAAGTATATGGGGTAATTGTTATCACATACCATATCGTGCTTTGCCTGCAGTTGAACATGTGCATGATCATGCATTGATGATGTAGTTGGCAATAATAATAACAATTACCCGGATTGGCGTCAATGTTGTGGATGCATGCATGTGTTGACTTGATTACTTACAACATTAATTTTGCTGGGAGCGTTTGTGTGAGTGGAGTATGTTGTGTCTAACATGCATGTGGGTGGTGGATGTGTTGTGAATGTAAACACAGGTGTAGATTGAAGCTGTGTTTGCATGACATGCTGTTGCTGACCAAGACTACCTACTTCAATGGATGCATGTACAGCATGTTGCGCACTATGTTGTGTTAGCTGCTGAACATGCATGTGCCTTGCTTCAACGTCTTCTTGTGATTGATCCATAAGTGCGTTACTACTAGTTAGTAGAGCGTTGTAGTTAGGATCATGGCAAGCAGTGTGCTGCGTTGGCATGTGGTTGATCATTTTCAATTCCAGCGTGCCAGAGGTTATGGATCAAGCTGCTTTTTTCAACGTGGTTGCACCTCGAGGAGAACCATGAGCGTTCGCTTATGGATCATTCTCACTACAATAACCTCAACAACACGAAGATCGCCATTCCATTCAGGTAGTGAGTGTTTGGGTGGTGGTCGTCATTGCGTGTTTGAATGCATGCTCATGTGAGCGAATCTTGTTTCGGGATTATCATTACTTGAAAAACTAACCTCCTGAAACAGGTTAGTAGAAGTTGAGAGTATCTGGTAGATTTGGCCAATATTCCGTATCCCACTACTATCTCGTATCTAGATATGAGATATGTCTCTCGTAAAACCTAGATGATTTGACCAAACATGTACAAACTCTATAATTGTGTCCCAAATTTATTAGGACGAGAAGGATTTATTCAGCGATCAATCGGGTGATTGTATTGTTGTTAGTAACGACCGCAAAGTAAATCATGATGGAAGGATGAAGTCAAAGATGTCGACGAAGCATTTTTTTCTGGGTGGCGCTAGCATCATCCTAGGAGCAGAAGGAAGCAGGTATACCGCATGAGTAATCAGAAAATAAGTGCGGTCAAAAATAAGACGTTTATCTACCATCGAAAAATACCTTCGATTAAAATACTGCTGGACGAATACGGATGGAGAATATCCCTGGTTAAAATACTGATGGATATTAACCATGGCATCAAGGACGACATAATACAACAGGGCAATTACATGTGCATAATACTGGTCATCAAAATACCGTCGGAAAAGTAAATGAGGAAAATACTGACCGACGAATATATGACATATTTTACTGCTCGACCAATACTGTCGGATGAAATACCACTGGCAAGATATGGACGGAGAATAATGTTGACAAAATAATGATTGAAATTAATTATGATAACAACGACGTACAATACCTTCGGATTGGTTCGGATGAAAGTACCACGAATTATTTTCATCGATACTTTGTTGAATAAGACTTGTTGATTTTTGAAATATTTAGAAAATTAATATTTATTTACAAAAATTATAACAAAATGCAAATTGATTCAATTGCCACTTTAACCCAGATGGCAATGAATAGCAAATACAGCTACATTTAGACTTGACTTTGCTGATATCTATTGCTGATAGCATTAGTTGTGGAATGCATTTGAGGTGATACATATAGGAAACGTTATCCATGTGTTTCACTTCAAAGATCAAGGAACTAAGAACTACCTTATCAGTTACTTGTTTAACGAACGCAATGTTCATTTCTCCTTGATCCGTTTCAAATAGGACAAAAATGTCTTTTTCAAGCTTGAATTCTGGTTCTTTTGCTCTTGGTATCAATTTTCTGCATTGAGGATATTTTGTAAAAAGAGCTTTCATGACCATTTCTCGTTCAGAAGCCCTTTTTTCAAGCTGTTTTTTGTTACTTTTGTCATTGAATTGCTTGTACGTGGAATGTTTTAACTCATAGAGGAGAGTCCAAAACCAAGTAACATGACCAATATCATCGACATCCTCAAATATATGACAGCCTGCATGAAAGTTTGGAAATTTACACTTTTCGGATCCAAAACAGTTTCTATATGCAACTCGCCACGCTACATAGAGTTTCTCGGCTTCTTTTAAGTCGTGGTCTGTATGGTCAAACCGCAACAATCGAACAAAATACTGCAAATGTAAAATCCAACACTCATATAGTTTTTGTCTCTTCTCCAAAGTATTATCTGAATATTTGGTATTTAGGAATAGAAATTTGTACCAAATTGGAGCGCTTATTGCTATAAATTCAAGCATCTCTGTTCCGGATAGTTTGTCAATATCACTGTACATTGTAATCCTTTTGCCATTCGGCAACCTTTCTCTCTCACAAACATCCAAAAAATCGTCCATGATTGTTGAGTAATGAATTGCTTTCATTGTTCTTTTAAATTGGGTTCGAAAAGTTCCTTGGATCTCTAAATGGAAAAAATCAATTAAGGCTTTGTGAAATGCATCCACAGTATTAGGATATTTTAAAAAAGGATTATCTATGATATGCAGAACAGGTAATTCTCGTAATTTTTGCGTTATTTTCGCTTTAGATAATTTCAAATCTTTGAATTGCATTTCTTCCCATATTAAGGGTTTAAAACCCTTGTCCTTTGTTCTGTCATTTGATCTTAAATCGATGCTATTAATAACAGTGTTTGCTTCAAATATATTTCTTTTCTCGAAATGCGTGACATACTTTGGATCTTCTATCGTAGACGCTCCAAATAAACAATCTGGTGTTTTATGTTGATTATCATAAATTCCTTCACAACGGCTACATTCTTCTTTCATGAGTTGCAAGGAATACATCTTCTCGACTGTGTCCCATAAAAACCCTGCAACAACAATCTGAAATTTTCTAGACTCACCTGTAGAGGGATCTTCTATTTCAATTATCTCCCCATCAAGGTGATTAATTTCTTTCATCAAATGGCTTGTCATTGTCCAAAAATCGCAGTGAGTTTTTGAGAACCCAAGTAAGCTTATAGATTCAAGTTTTCTCATGAAGTCGCTATTGAAATTCAACAAACTTGAGTACACTCCACATGTTGATGTTGACTTTGTTCTGAATTTTACAAAATCGTCCACATATATCAGCATCACAAGAGGGAATATATCACTTTGACACTTCTCCAAAATTTTGTTGAATATTTTAGATTGAAATGGTTGCTTGGTTGCAAACTGTTGTTGATGCTTTTCTCGGTTGAGACATAATTGGTTGACCAAATACGGATCCATTAACATGTTTCGAATAGTATCTTGTACAGAGTAAAGGATGAAATTATCATTGAACTGCATGGGTTTTTGGGGATTCAAATTATTTCCTCTTGCTTTCAAGGTATCATAGCTCACAAATAATTTCATCAACTCAGGACGGTCTTTAAATGTTGATTTCAGCATTTGAATCATGAAATTATATGCTTGTTTAGAAATTCCAAAGTGATTGATTAACATAAAACAACATAATTCTTCAAAACTTTCAAAAGGGTGATCTTTAGGGAAGTGAAATTCTTGTTCATGCTCGCACGAGTGATTTGATACATATGGCATAGATTGTTTCAGTTTCTCAAAAAATTCAAATATTGGAAATGGTGTTTGTACTAAATTCTGCACGTCAGCAGTGAGAGCTTCTAAGTTCATCAATAAACCACCAATATCACAACCTTCCTCCATAACAACCACTCCTGTCGTTTTCTTGTTGTTTTTTTCGTCATCCATTTTATCCTCATGTTTGCTTTTTTTTAAAAACGAACACAAATGACCACAATGATTTTTGATGATATGAGAATAATAATGATCAAACTCTGTCGTTTGTTCGGAACAACACTTGAAAACGGGGTTCTGAGCTTCATCTTTGTTTGAACATCTTTTCATGTGTTTTAAAAAATTGGATGCATGAGAGTCGAAGAAGCAATCTTTGCAAAAAGGACAAGTGAAGTAAGTTGTGCCGCATGAAAAACAAGTGCATTTGATAGAGGGATTCAAGGTTTTACACTTTGCCGAATTATGGATATACAATTCCAAATCATGTACATTGCATTTGTGGCACATTCTCAAGGAAACCACGTCAAAGAATTTGGATTCGGCCTTGTTCTGAAGCATGATATTTTTTTTTGTAAAGAAAACGCTTCCTGTGCGCGCTCGATCTGAACTCGCTTACAAAAACTTCTCTCCAATAGTTTCAAAGTTGACCCGTTTAAATATTTTCAAAAATCAAAACAAAAAAAAACCAATCATAATGCCAACTGACACTGTAAGGGGTATCAAGAAGAAACGTAATCGAAAAAACATTTCTTATATAGCTCCATCATTGAATATAACACTTTTTCAAGAAAGCAAGCAATTCTTAACTCAGAACAACGCAAGGTTTGTTTCTTGTCAATATTTCTTGGTAATCATTTCTTTCCATGAAGCATCAAACAATGTTGTAAATTGAAATTTCATTCATTTCTCTCCCAAGTAAGTTGTAATGTTGCTCCTATAAATTTTAACTCTTCAGATCTGTTCTAATCCCCAAACACAAGAGCAAAAGCTTCAACTTTCAGACACAGTGGTTACTCATGTTCAAACATTTTGTTCAAGTCTTCCAAACTATAGTATTCTTTCAGATTGTGATAAATCCCAGGTAGATGAAATAGTAAGTTGTGTTTGTTATTTGTTTGACTAAATTTCACAACAATCGTTTTTAGTTGATAAAGATATGCAGGAAACATATAAGTCAAATATTTGTGAACGCAAAAAAGAAGGCGAAACTTCGTAGAAGATCTGGAGTCTCAAAAAGCAAAAATTCAGACAACCTTTTTGACTTTGAAAACGACGAAGATGTGTATGACATCAATTCTGAGGAATATAAATTGTATCAAGAGCATTTACGTAAATCATCATCAGCGAAAATGAGACGCTCAAGACCTGTCAACCCTGCCAACGTTGTTGAGTTGTAAATTATGATGCCAATAAAATTTAAAATGCATTTGCAATAACAATTTTAAATCAAATATTGAACCAAAAAAATTTCAAATTGAATTAAAATAAAATAAGAAGATTTCCATCATTATCATCGATAGTAACAGCCACAGGTGTTGTGGTAGGTTATTTCAACAGTATTTCCGTCGTTATTTCGTTCATTAAACCTCCATTATTAGAATATTTAACATGATGCTTCTTCCGGCTGTATTTTGTGTCTTGGTGGATTCTTTTCGTCAGTAACTCCCGACAGTATTTTTTATCTCGAGTTTTACCGTCGGCTGTACCTGCGGAAACAAGCTTGAATCACCTTCGAAATAACAGACCGCAATAAGGAGACACTACTTATGCACAATATGCATTCAATAAGCTTCATTTACTACCGACGATAACTATGTAAAATACAGACGCGATTCTCTGCTCCTAGGATTACTACTACTACAGGCGAGCAACATCAAGAAGGAAAGTGAGACGAACAAAAGCAGCTTCATCCTGTCTTTGTAACGACAAGTAACCAATACAAAAGTGCGCTTGGCATGGTGAACGTATAACAATTAAAATGTTCTTCCAGCTGGAAGACCAAAGCTGATTTGTTTAGTTCCATGCTCTTGAAAATGTAATTCATGCATTTCAATTCACCACCTAATAGTCCATCGTTGGAAATCTCGCAACTGTTCCAACGCAAGCACAAGGAGTGCTAAAAATCATCCGTTGTAAAGTAATTATCCGGGTTGACCTGGGAACGCCCCGTCCAATAGCCATGTACAATTCTTGCAGGGTGAAAAATTGGTGAAAAAATAAAAAATATTCACAGACCTGCCAACTACTCTTTCGTTGCTTCTTTCCAACCATACCTTCCATTTTAATTTTGAACAACCAACACACCAATGTCCACTCCAACGAACCAACAAACCCTTACAGAAATGCTCTCCCATAGCCAACAAGCGCCTCATCCAAAAAGACAACTCGAACACCAAGTGGGAGAACATGCCAACGACCTTCATCAGACGGACGATGACTCATGTTGGGAAGACGAGCAAGAAGATGCAACAACTATCAAGAAGAAGATTCCAGTGACTCTATTGAGTGGCTTCCTTGGAGCAGGTAAGTACCATGCAAGTGGTTCGAGAGTAACATCATTGAATACCGTTCATCATGTGTATCATGAATCTTGATTCTAAATCATGAATGACATTCATTCAATAGGTAAAACCACTCTCTTGAAACACATCCTCAAGAATCGAGAAAATCTTAAAGTAGCTGTTATTGTTAATGATATGGCTGAATGTAAGTGTATTTCAAAATCTATCCACGTACATTGTTAACATCAAGTTGACCATTCCTAACATAATGAAGTGAATATTGACAATGCACTCATTGAAAAGTCTGGAGTGAAACTCAAACAATCTGAAGAGAAACTTGTCTCGATGCAAAACGGTTGCATTTGTTGTACATTGAGAGAGGATCTTCTCATGGAATTGTACGAATTGGCTCAAGAAGGTCGTTTCGATTATTGTGTCATTGAATCGACTGGTATTGGTGAGCCAATGCAAGGTAAGTATATCATCACTCTTTGAATCATGATTCAATATCACCCATGATCCACAATATTTTCATCCAATAACAGTTGCTGAAACATTCACATTTGATGTTGAATTTGAAATGGTCGACTCGGATGAAGAAGAAGCAACTTCCAAACAACAAAACAAAAAACGAAAATCATCCAAGAAGAACAATCACCAAACTGTCTCAAAGAAAAAGCAAACCATGATTCTGTCTGACTTTGCTCAGTTAGATACATGTGTAACGGTCGTGGATGCTTGCTCGTTCTTCCATGATTTGAGTTCGATTGAAACGTTTGCTGAGAGATTTGGTAAAACCAAAGATGAAAGTAAGGCCACCAACGACAACAATAATAATAAGGACTCTCCCAAGGATGAGAAAGAAGAAGACGCCACCTCCGAATATGAAAAGAACATTGCCAATCTCTTAATTGATCAAATTGAGTTTGCTAATGTCATTCTTCTCAATAAGATTGATTTGGTCCAAACTGACGAATTGAAACAAATTCGTGCCTTCATCCATAAATTGAATCCTGAAGCGGTCATTCATGAAACTCAAAATTCACAAGTCGAACTCTCTCAAGTACTCCATACAGGTTTGTTTGATTTTGAAAAGGCAGCTTGCAATTCAGGTTGGTTGAAAGAATTGAGAGGTTCTCATCAACCAGAAACACTCGAGTATGGAATTTCCTCATTTGTGTATCGAAGAAGAAGACCTTTCCATACTGAAAAGTTGTATGACTTGTTCTATCGTGAAAAGTATTTACAGCAAGTGGCCCTTCGTTCGAAAGGATATGCATGGCTCTGTACTCGAAATGATTACTGTGGAGGTAAGTTGTGGGTGTTATGTGTGAGAAATTCGAACACGAGTTCAAACTTGTATTCTTATATTGCGAACCACCAATGACTCGAATCTCATGATGATGATTGAATTGAACTTATCGTAACCTACGTTGAAATGGTCCTATCCATGATGATGATCCATTCACAATAGATTGGGAACAAGCAGGTCATCAAATTACCATTCACGACGGAGGAAAGTTCTTTGTCGCTCTTGGTGAAGACGTATGTATAGAATTGTACGGAAAGGAAATTGTCGAGAAGGCCATTAAGAATGATTTCTATCAGGGCAAGGATGAAGACTCGAGCTCGGACATGGTCATTGGTGATCGTCGGCAAGAAATTGTCATTATTGGTCAAAATTTGAATATTGAGGAAATTTGCAACAAGTTGGATCAAGCTCTGATTACTGAGGAAGAATTTTCAAAGGGACCTCAATACTATTCCACACTGTGTAAGGATGAGTTTGAGCCGTTTACAAGCTTTTTAGATGTTGATCCAAACATGGAATGGGAGACAGATGATGACGAGGAATAAATGAAAAAGGCCAACTCGAAAGAGCAAGTCGATTGATGAAATAAACGTCATGATCCTGTTCTTACTGTCAACCCTCTTAATTAAATACACACGACCTTGATCCTGTTCTGATTCAAATCTCTTGCAACATTCAAATCTCCAGCCGGATAAAAACTCACTTACAATGTACACGTTTACAGCTTTTTCAAAAAAAAATAATCACCACATCCCTCATCTGTAGTGATTTTTCAAAAGCCTTAATCATCGTACAACCTTAATCGCATCAGCAATAACAATGGCTACTCTTCCATGGACTCAATGGGTACAAGGTGCTCTCCTCGCTCCATCAGCATCATCAGGTGTTGAGGCTGTCTTATTGATCGGTAAGGATGGCTCCATGTGGGGTCTTGCTGGTAATTGGAATGTCTCTCCAACTGAAGCTCAATCATTGGCTGCTCTCTTGAAGGGATGGACTGAACAATCCCCACCAATCTCACCAACATTGGCAGGATCCAAGTTCATGGGAATTAGATGTGATGGCACTGAATTTGTCTGTAATGGACCAAACAAGACTGCTGCTGTTGGTATTGTGTGCTCCAAGACCATTGTTATTGCAATGGGTAAATTGGAGCAAGCTCGTAACATTAGTGCAGGCATTGGAAAGGCCATTTCACCAGTCAATGAATACTTGTAATTGCTTCCAATGAGATTGTTGTTTGGACTGAAATCAAACGAAGAATCACCAAAATATTTTCCCGAACAGTCTTAATAAAAGTGTACTTTTAGAGTAATCCGACGTATTCTAAACACTACATTCATGTACAAGATTTGTTTAAAACTATGATAATTATTATAAAAAATAGCATTCTTAATGTTATTATGATCATCATTATCATTGTGGTAATCATGATGATTACCAAATTGTGTGCATACGTGTGTGAAGAGTACCACAACCTTAAACTTGAATCATTCTCTCCCTCATGGACCTGGCACCACCGATCAATCTTTAAATCTTCAATGTTGGGAAATGTTGTTGAGATTGCCTCAAGGCAATGCATGCAACAATGTTTGGTTTGCATTTCCAGTAACATGTCATTCCAAAAGATTGATTTCGATAACAACATGGTTCAACGAGCTCATTTACACGTCTGGTAACAAGCAAAAGAAGTGTTGCCATGCCATGTGATCCTAATTTGCAAGATGAGAGAGATTATTCCGATTGCGTGATACTACTCCAAAAATTCTTCTCAACACGCACGCACTACCGTCCTCATGATCCTGACATGCAATTCGGACCTTGTTTAGGTGGTCCTTTCACTCTTCCGATTGTTCTTCCACCACTCGATGACAAACTTCCCGAAGTACCTCCGCTACCTTTCGATCTATGATCATTTGACGGATTCAACGTAGAGAAGAATAAAACAATGAAGGCAATAAAAGCAGCCCACCAATGTTTGATGGTTCCGATAAAACCTCGTGATGATTGGATTTTACCAGTGCTATCTATATACACCATGATGATATTTAGTAAATAATTATTGGATGGATCGATGTCAATTAATTATAATATGATCTTGTTATTTTGTAATCGTATTTTAAATTGCAGTTGTTATGTAATTGTATTTTTAAATCGCAGTGGCGATTATCGGAATGGGTTATGCACGAACTATTCCGAAAAAAGTCTCAACAACAGAGAAGGCTATTTTTTTGTATTTGAAATTGAAAACCCATGTTGTACATTAATGCTTGTATCAACACGTGTTAGTTATTATAACATCGTCGCCACAGCAATTGTACCGTTACAAATTGAATTCAAAGCTTCCAGCCGCTTCAACTAGTCGTTATAAGATTCTAGTTTTTGAAAAAAATCAATTCACAAAAAAAAAGCAGCATTCCTGCCGACTTTGTGGAGAGCAACAGTACTCGCCAAAATGACGACTAGTATCGATTGGTCTTGAACAAATTCATTCACACACGACCATAAGACCCAACAACTGTTGTGTGAGTTCGACTTTGGCTCAACCTGATGAAATATATGACAGAAGAGAGCATTTAAAGATGACGAAAAGGAGGAATACTCACATCCTTGTTCTTCTTGAAAATCCGAAAAGATTGTTTGCCAAATCACTCTAGGAATGGAATTGTGAACGAACAACACAAGAATTTCCTCTCATTGTTTCATCGAGCACACAAATTTCAAAGATATTCATTCACACATAAATATTTCCAACATTTCAACCACTTTATGGTTGAATACCCTATTCTCATGTTCGTTATGTAGTAGTGGTCGCTTGATTTTAAGGATCACGACACATCGTGTGAAAACCTGTGTTGTATGATGCCACGGTGTTGCACTCCAAATTAAAATTTGAGCCGTTGTAAAAAACCGTTAAAAAAATTTAAATTGCGCCAAAAAAACTCTTTCATCCCTCCAAAAAAAATCATATTCACAACAGCGAGCTTGAAGCAACAAAGCTTTTGTGGTTGATTCAAGCCTTCTCCTTCTTGTTGACCATCATCAGAGTATATCTGTCTATATATACATTCATTGATGGTTGTTGTTGCTCTTCATCCATAACAATTGTAATCCAAAACTTTGACTCTTCTCATCATTGTTGTTTGGAAAATTCTTCTACAACATAACAATAATCCAACATCATCACAGGTTTACCTGGCTGACTTTACTCCGAGGATTGAAAAGTAGGTATTTGTGTTTACCATTGATTATCAACTAGTTCTAACGATGATGTATTTCAATATATTCTTGCACATTTCTCGTGGTACAAAAGTTCAACCAAGTCTCTCTGCGATTGCATACGACTCACATTGAGAGATATTATTATTAACATACCTTCCACTTATACCAATTGAAAAGATCATAATGAATCCTACAACAACCATGACTACCAAGAAACAACCTAACTCGGCTTTCCTTCAAAATCAACCTCTCAATCCTCCACCTCCTTCCACAAGCACAACACTCTCTACACAAAATTCAGCTCTGTACTCCTCCTCTTCATCGGCACTGATAGATCCAGCCTATCGACCCATGACGCCAACAAACCTTGGCGACACCTCTAAGAATTTATTCGGATTGAATTCAAAATTCAATGGAACAATTCATCACCAACAAGGAGGACTTCTCTCTGGAATCAGTGTAAATAACACAAATCTTTCAAATTACCAGTCCATGAATCAGTCCTCTTCACTCGCACAACAAACAGCCACGACCACTGGTAATCACAACATGGCTCCTCCGACACCTCAACATTTTCCTTCAACACCATCATCCAACACAACAAACAATATGGAATCATTGTCCAGCAAACCAGCAGCAATTCCTGCTTCATCGGTAGCATCCACTGGCAAAGACAAAGCAGACATGTCTGACGATGAAGAAGAGACACAAGGAATAATTTCGGAGAGTACAGATGAATCAGAAGATGAAGCAACAGGAACAAAAAAGTAAGTTCTAGTGTTGTTCAACAACATCATTTATTGAAACTTGTACTAATCATGCCAATGCAATGATGTGGTCTGTCCAATGTTCACAACAGGGATAAATCCAAGGTAAAATGGACACCAGAGGAAGACAAGACTTTAAAGGCCGCCGTCCTTCTCCACAGAGGAAAGAACTGGAAGAAGATTGCTGAACATTTTCCAGACAGGACAGATGTTCAATGTCTTCACAGGTGGCAAAAAGTGTTGAATCCTGACGTGGTTAAAGGACCTTGGACAGCGGAAGAAGACAACCAAGTTATTGAGCTTGTGAAAAAATATGGTGCTAAAAAGTGGTCCCTCATTGCTCAACACTTACCAGGACGTATTGGAAAGCAATGTCGTGAACGATGGCACAACCATTTAAATCCAGATATCAACAAGGGACCATGGACAGAGGAAGAAGATAAAATTATTGCTGATGCTCACGAGAAGCTGGGAAATAAGTGGGCTCAAATTGCCAAACTCCTCCCAGGCCGAACTGATAACGCAATCAAAAATCACTGGAACTCTACAATGAGAAGAAAACTAGAGAGAGAACGAAGGGAGCAACAAGGACTTCCTCCAACCAAGCCACGAGGCAGATCTTCAAAGAAAAAGAAGGAAGAGTCCAATTTGGATGCAATTTCTGAAGCTAGTACTATGAGTACCAACTCGCTTGCATCAAGCCAAACCAATAATAGTACCACGGCATCTGCCTCCTCCACGCCTCTACTTGCTGCTTCTGAGCAAGTCAAACCAAAACGAAAGTACACGCGAAGAAAGTCAAAGAAAATTTCTGAACAAAACTTGAGCGAATTACCACCAAAATCTCAGCCACCATCTCAGATCACAACGGTCATGATGTCAGGCAGTGTTGCTTCAGCAAGTGATGTCAATGTGAGCGCAATGACTGAAATGCACCCTCTATCTCTAAACAATGACAACTCTGCCTTGTCATCATCGTATCATCAAGCAGATAACGTTGTACAGGATTCTGTAGAAGGAGCAAACTATGCAGAAACACTTTTTGCTGATTTGCCAGGAGGTGTTGATCCTAATTCTTCCATTCTTGTACCACCACCATCCTATAACCCAGAACTAAGCTCAGAGGTGTATCCAAATGCGTTGCAATACGATTTGTCATTTTCTTCCTCACCAAGCAAGCAAGACTCTTCCATGTTAAACAGCTCGTTCAACTTTGAAGAAGTTTTTGCAAGCCCCAAACACGATAGAAATTCTAGTTTCATCAGTCCCATCAAAAACACACCCTCAAAAGGTCTCTTCTTTTCACCTCCTAGGGATAGCTTCTTGTCACCAGCTCGGTCAGCCTTTCATTCGCCATCCATATTTAGAAAACGAAAGCGAGATTCTGAGATTTTGCAAGATAGGATTGCACTCAACTCAAACACACCTATTAAGAAAAAGTCTCCAATGAACGATCGTGTATTGACTAGCCCAAACTTCTTATTCAGTCCTTCTACTCCTCAGCAACATGAAAAGGTTAGAGACAATCAGTCTTCTAGAAAGGTTTACTCGACTCAAAAACGATTGGATTTCAATGATCAAGAGCTCATTTCGACTCCACAAAATGCAAGGTCATCATCATCCACCAACAATACCCCAGCAGCAACAACAACACTGTTTGGAGGCGGTATTGCAAACTTTTCTCATATCAACAACAAAATCAATTCGGTAGACAAGAATTTAGATTCATTCAGATCGCCTTCAGAAAAAGTGCCTTTCACACCTGAAAGAGATTTATCATCCTTAAGCTTTTCTCCATTTAGCACCAGGACACCTTCATATACCAATGCTTCTCCAATCTCTCCTAGAATTCCTTCACCATCCAACATGACAAAGCGACATGCATATTCGCAAGCAGAAATGCTCTTTTCAGCCCTTACAAGAAACAGTACTTTGTGAAAGTACAAAGGTGCTCACAAGTGAACGTGAGCTGTATCCGCTGCCACTATGAACATCAGGCCGTTTTCACTCCGAACGGGCAAAAAAGGACATTTGAAAATTTGGGAGCTTGTAATTGTGGATAAGTGGTTATTTGAAATAAAGCTGGGCCTTTTCACAAACAAAAGTTGATGACAATTCAATAGTTTTTGATATAAATATTGAAATAGTTGTTTTTAATAATTCTTACAGGATCGAGGAGAATAAAAGGGATTAGGACGGAAGACTTGGTATTTCACAGAGGAAGTGGCTTAATTGGTGGTGACATTCTTTATGCTTGCTGGGAAGTGAATTTTCCAAAGGAAATTATTGCTCATCTAGCATTTCGTGTCGCTTCAACTCCTCACGCAATTGTTTTGAGAAATCATCAACATCTTCATCATCCCAATCTTCCTCCCATTCAAGTTGTTCTTGTTCTTCTGTTTGATTAATATCCCAATCTATTGATATGGTTTTCAATTAATTGAAAAGTATGAGGTAATTTTTTGATTAATTGATTGATAAGCAGACATTGATTATATTCAATATAGATGTTCCGATCACATTCATGTCAATATTCACAATGCAGCAATGTATTAAAAAATTGTATAAGCCAAGTTCATGATCCGATCATCCGTTAATAATTTTCAAAATGGATTTTTCGTAATCGCATATGATCATACATCAAAAAAAATACATACTTTCATCTTCAAATTCTTCAAAATCATCATCTTCAAGAATGTCTTGCTCTTCCAAATTTTTCTGTTCGGATGGGGTCGTTGCTGTCGCGGAAGTGTCTTTCTTATCGGAGGGCATTTTTTTGCTTTTAATTTTCGCAATTTTGAGATATTTTTAGCATTAAGGATCTTGCCTGACAACAACAATTCGAAAAGACAAAAATTTTGACAAAATGGAATACAAAGTTGAGTTCAAAATTTATTAGTTGTGTGTGTATTGAAGAGTTTCCCTTGTGAAAAAGAAATTTCCTTAAACTTTAAGTTCCTCATCATTCACTTCAGAATCATCAATAAAATCGTCATCAATGAAATCATCGTCTTCATTAGGAGCAAGACAAAATGGGAAAAATTTGTCAATATCGCCATCTAAAACTGACACATCCACTGGCAATAGAATTCCAGCATTTAACCATGAGCTCAGTAACAACGTCAATTCATATTCAAAGTCAATAGCCGATTCTTCTCCTTGAGCCAATTCGGTATCAAAGAATACATCTTTTACAAAATTGAGTAATTTGTCGTCATGGATGGAACGGTATTCTCTCTCACAATAACCATGCTCATTTCTGAAATATGAATTTAAAAACAAGTTCTTGGACTGAATGAAAACTTGTTCAGAATAAAAATGGTTACTTCTATAGGTGTCAATATTGTGTGAACCTTTGGTGGAAATGCTTAATGGAAATCCACAATCACTAAAAACAACGTAATCCAATTCCATCCTCTTGTCATCAGTATCACATATTCTTGCAAATTTGGTCACAAATAGTCCCTTCAACGTTCCGAATATTTTGTGCGAAATGTTTGAAGAAATTCTGTCATCGGTAGAGGTTTCTATTGTTGAGAAAAACTTTTTCATTCTTTCCAACAATGCCACTTGTTGCTGTTCTATTTGCACTAATTTTTCAATGGTTTCAAGATAATTAGTAGCTTTGTTTGATTTCCATTGCGCTAATTCTGGGGATGGCACGATTTGAGGAAATTCCATCGCCAAAGAGTTGTACTTGGTAAAATGTTCATTCATTTGCTTGACATGATTTCTGTTTTGTAACTTGACAAACATTTTAAGAATGGACCAATAACTATATTTGTCGTTTTGCTTTTCATTCTTTTTAGAGTGTTTTCTCTTCTTCTTGTTTGGCTTGAAGTTTGTTTCTTCTTCTTCTTGATTGTTGGAATGAAAGAATTGATTCGCGCACTGAATCATTTCATTTAATTTTATAGCTTGTCGTTCATTTAATGAAAATAAATTTCGTAAATATTCTCGAGCAAATTCTTCGGACTGGAAGCACTGATGAAAAGTTTTACTGATTAAATTGGGTTGTAAAACTTCCCATTCCGAATGATGAGAATATTGTAAAATCAGTGAAGAAACAAGTGAGTCAAAGATTGCCATTTTTTTGCCGAGTGTTGTAAGTTGAGTGGACCAAGTTGGAAGTATGACGAGGTAAAGTAAGGCCGAAGACCAGGAGAGTTCAAAATGTTTACAATTTCCATGCCTTCGTTTTTCTCCAACCATGCCCCGTGAGATCTCATAATGACTGTGTTATACCTTCCTTTGAAAATTCACAGCTGCGCAACAATGAGCTCAATAACAATCGAGAACAAGGACACATGCTTCATTAACAATGTAACAAGTGAATCAAAGACATTTTGTGATTCCCTCGTAATATTTATTCCATAAATCATGGCCTTAAATATTTTCTTCTTTGTAAATGTTGGACATGACCATTAACTTATTCAGTGAGAACTTTGAGGAATGATGGCATCAATGCCTTAGCACCACCATTGACAACAAAAGTCTTGAGGAGACCCTTCTTTTGATAGAATTCCAACAATGGAGAAGTTAATTTGTCATATTCAACAAGTCTCTTTTGTACAACTTCTTCACGATCGTCATCTCTTTGAACAAGTGAGTCCTTAGCTCCGCAACCATCACAAATTCCCTCAACCTTTGGAACCAATGGAGGCATGTCCAAACCATCTCTCTTGATGTGAGCAAAATTGTAGACTTGACCACAATTGGAGCAAACTCTTCTGTTACTAATCTTGGCAATGATAATATCCTCATCTTGATGCAAGTTGAGAACGAGATCGAGTTTAATCTTGTCGGAGAGTGAGTCAAGTTTAATGGCTTGACTAATGGTACGTGGGAATCCGTCCAAGATGAAACCCTTTCCAGTTCCAGCAACACTCTGAGTGATCTTGTTCACCAAGAGATCAATGACCAATTCATCAGGAACCAAAGCACCCTTGGAAGTGTAGGATTGCATCTCCAAACCAATCTTGGTCTTGTTCTTGATCTCTTCTCTGATAATGTCTCCGGCAGCAATGTGAGGAATGTTTAATTGTTCAGCAGCACGACTTGCATAAGTTCCCTATATTGTGTGTGTGTTTTTCAACAATGAATACATTCGAAATTCAATTCGGGTTTTTCATAATTTTTCATTTCACGACAAGGCATGTTGGGTGTGATGAATTTTTGGTATATGTACAATGGAATAGTTGGTATGATGATATGGAATGTACCAAGAGTTAATCATCAAATGATCCATAAAATTCCATCATTAACAGTTCAACGTTGTAAAATCAGAGTGATGATGTCATCATGGAAATAAAGAAATTCATCATCACATGGTATCATACACACGCACAAACAAAAGCAAACCCATCATGTGATGTTTTTCATTCCAATCATTGTGTGGATCCAAAATGTCAAATTTGTTCACCACACACGCACGATCAGCCCACACTCCAACCACATTCACAAAAAACACATACCTTTCCTGCACCAGGTCTACCAACAAGCAAAACACCCTTCTTGAAAGTACTTTGTTCAGCAAAATTAGAAGAGCATTGGGATGAGAAATTTCTGGATTGATGAGTCGATACGATGAGGGAAGAGGATGATCTCGTAGCGATCTTTCGGAAGACAACAGAGGCAGACTTGTTCATTTTTTGTAATTTTTTTGACCTTATTGTGTCATCCCAGAGTGGGATGTAACGTTGGTTCGAAACAAATGTCTTGTTAAATTTAAGGGAGCAGTGTTACAGCCTCATGAACATGTTTTTCGTCCTGCTCAGTGTTTCAAACACTGTTTTGTGCTGAAAAAGCATAAGAGAAGGTCATCATGTGAACAAGATGGAAATTGCAGTTTTCCGATTGGATGACAAAAATAGAACGACATTCTTTCATTTTCTGGCATTTCATTCTTGACTGATAAACACTCCCCAAGAAAAAGACAACAACAACAACACGACAAAAAACCCATGAGCAATCTCGGCGCTGGAAAGGTTCGATTCCAAACCGCTTTCGTTCCCTCAAAACACATAACAGCCAAACAGGCTCGTCAAATTCATTCCTTGGCCAATCCACCGCCACCACCACAAGTTCCAGGACAAACACCTCAACCACCTCCTTTCTTTTACACGACTACCACATCCATTCTTCATGATAATCAACGCAATAGAAAGAAGGATCGTACAGGAAGAAATCGGAAACGGTTTTTATTTAATACGAGATGGAATGATGAAAGGAAGGATCATCATTCATTGTTGAGTGTCGGATCATCATCCTCTGTGATTCAATTTGAATCCACCTTCTCTCTCGTGTATCCCAAGATGAATCCAGAGAATGGTTTTTATGATCCTCCAAAATCATCGGATTCCATCAATTCCATTCAAACTCAATTCCATCGCGAGCAACGAGAGGAATTGCAACGTATCCGAACCATTCAGAATCGTGCCAAGAGAAATCGAGAAAAACTGATGAAAAAGATGATGATCAAACAGACTCAAGAGCATCAATCCGATGAAATGGAATCATCAACAAACTCAACAACATTGGTCTTGGATCAAAATCACTCACAAGAAGCAATGATTGAACAACGTATTCAAGCCTTAATGCAAACTCCCCCATTGAGAGCAGCTCCAAGAACAGCTCCTTCGCATGTATCCGCATTGGGATGGTCCAGTCGAACGACTGCTTTGACCAATGTGACCTATTTTAGACCTGGTGGAAAAATGCATTGAATCGGATGTTTCTGAATTCATCCAATATTTCAGAGAGGTTTATATTCCCTTCTCGGAAATTGGTAATTGCAAACAAGAATTGTGTTTGCTATGCAAGTCTGAAAATTGCTCTGAACAATTTGTTGGATTTAAGGCCGTGAGATCAAGTGCATTGAAAATTGTATTTTTTTTAGGAATGCACAAACGCCGTGAAATGCTTTTGAACATTTGGTTTTTAAATGAATTTTGAACATTGAAAACCAATGTAAAGCAAATGATTATTTAAAAACAATGAAGATTTGGAACAATTTAATTGTTGGAACGTAATTCGTAAACTATGCACTTTAGTTTTGTATTTATTTTCAAATACAAAAAAAATGTCAGATGCATCGGCTTCCTCTAGCACACCCACTCAACCCGAAGTGGAATCATCACCAGCAAAAAAGAGAAAATCAACGTCGGCAGCATCGGGATCATCTGCAAAGAAAAAAACAAAACAAGTGAATTTAGCCAAGAAATTACATTCATTGGAAAAGGAACAAATTATTGTTTTGATTACGGAGCAACTACCACATAGATTCCCAGAAAAGTATGGAGAAATTGAAGCAGATGTGTTGACTGTGTGTCCTGATCAAAATATTAATAACGTCGTGAATGAATTGAACATTTTGCATCGTAACATTCAAAAGGCTTTTCCGCGTGCAAAATATGGATCCAATCGAGATGATTATGCATTTAAACGAGTCAAGCCATGTTTGACAGCTTTCAAAAAAGGAGTCAGTGAAAAAATTAAGGAAGTGAAGGATGGTCAAAACTGGCATTTAATGTGTGAGTAAGTACGCTGTATGATTCGAGCCATGTGCATGTGGCTCACTAACTCTGTATTCAATTCTGAATTTGTCATTTCTCCAGCTTTCTTAACAAGCTTTTGAAGCTCGTGGAAGATTTACCAGATTTTGACACTGCAAAAAACAACAAAACCAAGACTGCACTTTTTAAACAATGTGCCACCAATTATGAAGCAATGCTCAAAGCTAGAGATTGTGATTTATCAGGCGACGAGCTGGATAGTATTAGTGCAGCAATTACTGATAGTGGCCAAAACACAAATTCAGATTTTGCAGATGTTATTGAGAGACTCAAAAAGAAGAAGGAAGCATTGGAAAAGTAGTATCAATGATTTTTATCATGCCCTGATTCAAAGACTTCATCACATCCCATCATTAACTTATTCACTTGTTTCAGTCAAAGGAGTGGTAATTGTTTGGGAGCTAGGCATTGATGAATGTTCGATGAGCTCAAAAGTGTAACCATATCGATCACATAGCCATTCTACTACTTTCAATACATTGGTTTTCTTTTGATCAGTGATCAAGGTGCACGGTATCTCACTAAGTTCTTTTAAGGCTAACTGATCGTGTGAAAATAAATCAAAATTGCGCACAACAAACCAAACCAGTTTTTGCTTGTGGAAGGATGCAAGCCGTTGAACATATAATTCATGGAGCAGCAGTGTTGTAGATTTCTCTTCTGCATGCTGATGATTGTTGTTGGGATCACTGTAATTAACTTTATCCAAGACTCCAAAAACGTATCTCAATCTGTCCATTACATTCTCTCGGGTGATTGGTCCGGAAAGTGAGGTGTAATATTGAACCATTTCCTCAGATTGCGCAATATCATTGGTGATCGACTCAATATTCGATGAAGAAAGCAAATAGGCATCAATGGTTGTGAACAACTTGGAAAAATTCGTGTTTTCCAGTACCAGATTGAGAAGTTCAATGACATTCTCATCACAAATCAAGTGACCAATATTATGCTCTGCTAAATCTTTCAAACCTTGAACCATGAAAAAGTCTGCTGTTTGAAATAATTCCAAGTTGGTATAAATATCCATGATACTCTCTGTTGTTGTTTTGGCTTGTGACAATGCTGTGTCTTCTTTTTGAACAGAGTCGTCACTTCTTCCATCCACTGGATTGTCATTTGTCTCTGCTTCACTTTGAACAGAACTGTTCAATAACTCGAGATTTTCTTCTGAGCCATGCGACTTGGGGGATGAACTCCTTTCTTTTTCCTCATTATGAGATCTAGTTGTTTCTTCTTCTTGTAATTCTGATTCACCACAATTTATATTCTTCTCGTGGTCATTTTCGTTGAGAGCCATTGATGAAATTTGTCCTGTTGTTGCCACAATGACATTTTGAATTTCGTTTTGTCCATCAGAAAGGACATCATCTCCATGATCCATGGTGTTGCTTTCTTCTTTACTGTCTCCAATTTCTGCATCACTTTCTTCCATTGTATTGTCACTTTGTTCGTCATCTTCTTCTTCATAGGTATGGTAAGTGTTGATTTGATGACTTTTTTCAATAACATCTGCCATATCATTTGAAAATACTTGCGAAAAATCTGGATGGGTGTGCGGCAAAGTTGGAGTTTGAAGATAATTGTGGTACAAGTAGTACACAAATAGTTGTAATGTTTTCTCAGTGCTGATAAAGTCTCCAACATTGTACTCTGTGGCTTGTTTTTCACTAAATGTTCCTTTCATTAATTGTTTGAAATAAGGTGAACGAGAAGAAAGAATAAATTTGTGGACTTTGCATTCAATTCTGTGCTTGGATGACTGTTGAACAACAAGTTCATTATCGAGGTGAGATTTTTGCTGCTCTGAATCGTTCGTTTGTTGTGTATTGCTCTCTTCAATGGGAATAAATAGTGTGAAATCTTTAGATTCGTCATCTTTCCACAATACATTGAGAGTGTAACATTTGTCATGATGATCGATCCTGTCTAATAAATACTCGAAAGGAGTTCCAGATTGTGACTGTTCAATTGTGTCCTCGTCATCAATAAAACGCTTTTCCATCGCATGAACATGAGGCTTCCAAATTGAGAACAAGGCATTGAGTGTTGTGTACTTGGCTTCTTCAACTGTCTTGTCAAACATATTTTCTAAAACTCCAAGATAAATATTTTCAATCCATGCAAATACAACGTCAGGTTCCAAACAAATATTTTCAAATTTTTCTAATATTAAACGATCCCTAACCAATGAAATGTCTAAACCTTTGGAGCGCATTTCTGGTGTGCTGAAGAAGTCGTTGTACAATGAGGGACATCTGCTACGAATCAAAGGAGTGTACACACCAATCTTGTCAGACTGAGAGTTCACAATATAGCTATCATTGTAAGATGGATCATCCTCATTGAGGAAATGTGTAATATCATCAGCCATTGTGTTGTTATTCACCAATGTATCATAGTCACATAAATTGTATTCAATGTCCTCTGTTTGGTCGAGCTCTTCCAGATTGGTATTTTCAAAAAATGTGTTCAAATCTTCATAAATCACTTCAGAAAAATTGGTTGGTGCAATAGAAGGTTGTGACTTGAATTGTGGCTCCAAATTTGTAAACACACTCTGCATGAATTCACAAAGCCTAGGTGGTGAATACAATTTACCTAGACCTAATGCCTTGATAGCGCAAATGACATCGTCCTTGTCTACAAAGTTATTTTCCTTCGTTATTTGCAAGTATTCAATAATTTTTCCAATAAAGCTTTTAAGAATAAAGAATCCTTCGAGGATACTTCCTTCGTTGCATGAAAGAATTCCAGCCTGGCGCATTAATCTCATTAAATCCACATGAAGTGAATCACTTTCAGGGTTCTGATGCTCTTCATCGATACTGGTCTCAAAAACATGATCCAACGATTGAATGTGATTATCTTCACCGTTTTGAGGTTGGAACTAATGTCATTGCCCATGTTATTATTTTCTAACATGTCACTCCTATTTTCAAACTTACATTTTTATAAAAAGTGACCCATTCTTCGTCTGCCACGCTGGTGCTCTCTTCTCCTACGCCATGGTACAACCAGTCTTCACAACTTGCTATACTGGTTGGTACGGTGTCAGAGTTGAACAATTTGCTTTTTCTGTACATTTTCAAAGTGGATGATGGAGTATGATGAGTATACCATAGAGGATGACGTGTGTTAGTGGTATCATCCACTTGTATCATGTGTCCACGATATCTCATTGAATAGTTTTCAATGATATTGTTGTCCTCTCCTTCATCGAATGAATCATAATCATCTGAATCTCGATCTGAAATTTCCTCACTATCTGAGTCATGGCAAAATGGGTCAGAAAATGTTCTTTTCAAGTCTTTGGTGATTCCTTCCAAATCAGTGTATTCAGCCAATTGTCCCTCGATTACTGAAACCGAAGCATTGCCAGTCAATAAATAATTCGCACCATTCTCATCAATGAATTGATCTAAAACATATCTTATCAATGGTCTACTTTCCCTTTGATATTGTTCTTCAGTGGTGCGGTGAAGTAAGTAAATGAGCTCCTGATTTAAGCAGTCGAGAATCATTAAGGAGACGCCAAGTCTCATGAGTGACACCTCAATATCTTGATGCTCTTCATGATGAAGCGACCCCTTGACACGCATTCTCATGGTTTTTTCAAGAATACTAAGGAAAGGATGATCTCGTGCATTTTCAGGTGTAGCATCTTGTAAGCAAATTTCAACAAAAGGAGGTTCATAATTGCTTCCAAAATCTTTTTCATCAGCCAATGTTTTGTTGAACAGATACGAGCTAACGTAAACGTCTTCATAATCAGAAAGATCCTCGAAACTCTCGACCGAATAGGTCAACTCTTGCTCTTGATGAATTTCATCTCCAATATCATAATCTTGGTACAAAATAGAAGGTGACAAGTAGAATGCATCAAGGAAGGAGTATCGCAATATTTCTTCTTTTCCTGGATCAATTTCTGAAATACTTGGCAATTTTTCAGAATTACCTTCTTCAGTATTGTCGCTTAATAAATTCTCCTCACGCTGGTCTTTGAGAATTTGTGGCAGAATATATTTGATCCAATTTTCTGGCGTGTTGTACGTTTTTCCTGTTAGATCCCAACCAACACCATCAAAATTCTGTTCATCTTCAAATCTCAAATTTGATCGAATCAGATTTTTGATAAACTCTTCGTCATGTATCTGACATCGTTTTACCATTCTGTCTGCCAGAAAAAGTGAAATGGATTCGATCATTTCTCTCTTTGTAAACAGTTCGGAGAACAGTTTGATTACATGCTCCTTCTTCGTGACATCGTCTTCACCAATGCTACGAGATGTATCATCATTTGTTGGCAAGTGCATTGTGTCACATTTTGAAGAGGTCTGATCTGAATGCATTTCCAAACACTTCAATGAATCTGCACTGGTCCAATTCTGAATGCCAAGAATCAGAGATGACAGAAAGTGTCTAATCTTACGAACGCGCCAAATTTGATTAAACTTCTCATCTTCATTGCTGCCTTCACTACTTGTATCATCATCCAACTCCTGATGAACTTGTTCAGCAAATACATTGGCTCCATGCTTTGGAAAATTATCTTCATAGTGTTGCAATAACAAGTATTTTAAATCCAATGTTTCATCATTGCTGTGATGATTGAATTTTTTCACTTTTTTCAAATGATCATGATTTCGAATAATGCCATCATCCTCGGAGGCTGACCCTTGTTCTCCTTCCTCTACGCTGGAGCTCAGCTTGGATTTCGTGTATGTATTGTCCTGATCTTGCAATAGCTCTCTCTTTCTCTTGAGAGAGAGCAACCGTTCTTCTTCCTCGTGTGTGCGAATGGGACAATCGCTGGACTCAGCATGAAACATTTTTTTTAACTTTACAACGTCCAATATTTCATCGAAATTCGTTGTTTATCTAAAAAAAATTGTGTTGAGCCTAAGAACAAATCACCCGTTTTCATCATGATGCCGAAGGTCAAGAATGAGCTTTCTCGTTCCGTGATCGAGCAGATGGTCTTGTATGGTTGGTTGATAATTACCATGATGATGATTGTTGCAAGTTGTGGATTCAATAACATTCATGCATCCCGAAATATTCCTGTGATTGTGGATAGTGATTTAGGTACTGATGATTTGTTTGCAATTTTACATCTTCTTCATCATGATGAGAAACAGCTTGAAAAAACAAAAATGAAATTTAATGATGAAAAATATATTCATTGTGCCGGCACGAATAATAATTTCACAATTTCAATAATTGGAATTAGTCTTGTCACTGGCATGCAACTCTCTCTTGAAACTTCAGTTGATATTTTACAGAGATTGCAATTATTTACAAACGGATTTAAACATATGAAAATGTCCATGACGAATTCAATATATTATACACCATCACAAGAAATGAAATTACCTAAACTCTACATTTCCATGGATCCACATGGATTAATTCCGTCCCAGAGTCATAGTTTTGCTGAAGGTACATGGTATGCGAAATGGAAAGATAGAGAGCTACATATGGCTGATATTCTTGAAATTCCACCAATTGCGAATTATTCACATCCTGTATTGCTACCAGTTGTCAATAGTCAAGAATATGTCAAGGAAATGATGCACCTATTGAAAAATCAAATAGATTTGAATCAACCTGCAACTGTTTTAGCCATTGGCCCACTCACTAATTTGGCTCGTTTGGTTCTCTCTAATCACAACAATTTATTAGAAAAAGCAATCGAGAAAATTGTGATAATGGGAGGAGCAATTGACATGATTGATCCAAGCAATGCTATTAATGGCGCTGAATGGAACTTCTTTTGTGACTCCACAGCGGCAGAAATTGTGTTGCGAGCATTCAGTGGAAGAACTGTATTGTTTGACTTGAAAGTTGCGAATTTAGGTACGTGAAACTTTTCTATTGTAATGTGTTGTGATCATGATTTTAACATTTTGATCAAATATTCGAATGTAAACACTGTTGTATTGAATTGGTGGAATTGTATGTGTTGTTCGAATTAATGACACAAGATGCTGTGAATGAAACCAATGCTCAGGACATTTACAAATATGCTACCTCTTTTACCATTCCAAAACATTCTCTTCAATTTGTCCAATTGGGTCTTTTAGAAATGTCACGCGCCTCTCTCACCTACGATGTGGTTACTTCCTTTTATTTGACGCATCCACACTTATTTACCTTTCAGAAAATTTGTGTGTCCATTTCATCACAAACTCCTACTCAAGGAATAATTCATGAAATTGATTGTACTGGAAAAGAACAACAGGACATTGTTGTGAATCGAGCAGTAGCATTCAATAAGATTCAATATCTTGAATATTTGAAAGAATTATTTCGACTCTAGTTGGATGGATCAATAACGCCAAAACTCGCGTTGTATTGGAATTTTAATCGAAATTGGCTCTACAGCTTCCTTTTATTTGATCTATGAACATGCTCACAACCTTGATCATTTCCACTTCACTATTCAAGTAATGGATGCTTCAAACAGAATGCCTTAAAAGACACAACTCAATGCAACTCATGAATGATTTGAATGATGAGCAATTTCGATAAGTACTTGTCGATTTGTTCATATTTGGTATTAACATCCATGATACCCACGACTTGTAACCTTTTTAATGAGTTTTGTTCTGTATTGGATCATATGTGTTACAGTGTGGTGATTACATGGTATTGACAAGTTGTACATTTTCACAGAGATTTGTCGCTAGCATGATCCAATATCAAAACAAAACAGGTGAACAATCCCAACGACGTACAATGTTCCACACATTAAGCTCACAAATTCAGAATTTTCAGCTGCATGGAGCAAAATTTCTCCAACGGGAAGGCATTTGCCCTTTCGTAGTGAAATCTCCCAAAGCAAACATGTCCTCAGTGTTTATCAGTCGTCTCTATGAATGTTTTTTTTTGACAAGTTTGTTCGTCCATCACCACTTTTATCCATTTATGAGGAGTCATGAAGATGATACAATGAAGAGGACGAGTTCATACACCATTCACACACCACCGTAAAACTATCAGGTGTATAGTTTGAAATATCAATGGAAATCAAATTCAAAAAGTTGACAACAACACTCTTGAAAGCCACCGGTGTACAACCATTTCATGAGCTCTCCACATCATCCTTCGAAGACCATCGACACCACTACGACCGGTCGTGAGATTCAGAACGAAGATCTAGACGACAAAGTCGTATTATCACAGCCACCTCATGTCAGTACCACACCCTCTTCATCATCAAGAATTTGTAGTCGATACACTCAGTTGAGAAAACAATTACGGTCATGTTCAAACTTTAAAGAGAATTACTTTGTGATGGAAATGAAAGTGACCTCTTCCATTGCATCTCAAAAAGGAGCGTCTAGAAGAAACAAGTGTTCATCCTCTACCACAAAAAAGAGAAACAAGGATCAACAAGAAGAGCAACAACAAGAAGGTCATGAACTGTCAGATCATAATGATCTCGAGAAACAACATTCACAACCCATGATGAAAAAGAAGAAGCAAGAGGATAATATGAGTTTGGACACACATGCTCCAGCTCAGGAAATACAACAACAACCATGTGCATCATTATTGGCATCCACTGTCACCACTATGGAAATGAATCATTCACAAATCAACTCTTCATTCACCCACTATTCACTGGTACAAGAAGGTTTGAGTCAACAAATGTATGATCCATCCATGATGTTAAGGTATTGGCAACTTCAAATGTTAAATGACATTATTGAAGCAATCAAAACACTCCACAAGAATGATCACGTCAGCAATCATCATGATGAACCAAATGTTTTGTACAACCAGAAGGTGGTTGTATGAATTCTCTATTGAATGATGATGTGACACATAACAACGTGAATGATCAATGGATGCAAACACACTTCCACACGAATGACACGAGTCATACAAATCCATCTTTCCTTGGACAAGATCAAATGATTCATGATCAAGAAGTGAATTCTAAGGCCACATCGTTATTGATGTTTGAAGATATCTTGGAAATGCCTTCCTCATCATACAGTGGCCACTCCTGTCATGATCAAGATGAGAATCTTAATGAAGATTCTGATTTTCGACATGATTTTCTTCAAGGAATGAAGCGAATGTAAGACGAGATTATTATTGGCCATGACGACAACCATTGTCACATGTTGTAGTGGCTCATCATTGAACCACATTTTAGTGTACACTATCCTGAAATAGTCCAAAACATGATTACATGATTTTCAATGGTTTATACCTTTTGTCCTTAAACGTGTTGGGATAAAAATTATTTCGCAGTTCCCATCGACACGATGACGAATCTCTTCACTCTTTGACTACCATGTTTTTGGAATATCTGGGACACACTCCTTTTAAAGCAATCTTTCGCTACAAATAAGGTAAAAATAATTCTCTCTCCAGTTATTGATGTCTCCATCAACCACAAGTTGATGTAAAATTTTACAAATCGTGTGCCGCTTGAGCTACTGCGAGATTCGAAGAGATTACACAGAAGGTTGAAAATCCAAGAGTTGTTGTTGACTTCCATCATCTCTCATCATTTTGATGTCGTGCATTGTTCTCGAATCGCCATCAAAAAGCATGTTCACAACACGCTCCTTTCAAAGACACACCAAAAAAAACACACGAACAACAATAACCGTCCGAACAAGATTCCGTTCATCTTCTTAACACATCCGATGAAATGAACGCAACATTTACCAATTCTGGCATGACAACGAGTCAGCAGTGTACAACGAATAGTACAACTAGTTCGACTTGCATGCAAGACTTTTTATCCTCTCATTGTAATCATTCATCATCATCAATGAATCATGATGAACCTCAGGTGTTACTCTCGAATCATGTCGATAAGAAAATCTCGAGTCGGTACACTCAACTTAGAAAACAACTTCGTGCATGCAATAATTTTAAAGAGAATTATTTTGTATTGGAAGTGAACAAACCACATCAGTCAAATGCCAAAATGTCGTCCGAAACAAAAAGTAAGAAATCGAGTCAAAAGAGAAAGCAACAAGACAAGGTAGAAGATATGCAAGTGGCGCAAGCTCCCAAGAAAGTCAAACAGAATGAGAGTACTTGCTCTTCAGAAACTGAATCATTACATGCGTCCGTGACAAGTGGCACAAATTTGCATGTCAACATCTCTCAACCAGAAATTTCTGAAAATGCATGTGTCCATACAAATTCGAATCCTCAGGATGACATGCAAATTCAATTGTTACATACTCTCATTTCATCTTTACAACATGTACAACAACATCCCTCCAATGACATTTCCAATAATGGTAATATTGCAACAAGAACCACAACAGCAAATCCAATCATGGAAAAGTTATTGTCAACGTGGTTTACAGAGTTGTTATATTTTGGCACCTTACACCTTACACTTAGTGTCAGTGCTGTTTTCATTTGACACTTGAGTGCCAAATGAATGAAGTGTGATTTGTATTTGACACTTGAGTGTAAGGTGCTATTTGTATTTGACACTTGAGTGTAAGGTGCGAAATGGATGTTGATTGAAATGGAGGTACTAGTTTGTGAACCTAACCATTCTACTTCGTGTTCATATAAAAAGGTCAATAACGAATCTATCAAACAAAAAAAAAGGCATGATTTAATCTCATGCATCTACTTTCCTTACGTATGTTAGCTTGGACCTTCGTATGAAAGGAGTTAGGAGGCACAAAAGATGATATGTTCCTTTCATTCACGATGATAGACTCAGCCGTTAAGAAGTATGACTACGAAACAAAAAGTGATTCCAGTTCCCTTAATTGTACCCTTCTGATTGCTTCAGCTTGACTTTTGCTGTTACCGTCATTCCCAAATCACTCAAATTCGATTACATCAGCCAACAACAGTGTTGAGCACCATTCTCTTGTTCTTCTCACCGTTTTTGTAACAATTGAACAAAAGTACATGTCACTATGAAGAAAAGCTGGCAAGTTTCACTCCCCTGTTGAACCAAATGAAAATGTTTTCCTGTACTGCAAGTGTTTTTCCTCAACATAAATCGTCTCTCAAGTTCATTCAGCAAGCTCTGACATCCTGTTCGACAACTTCATCTCAATCTCTTTCAACGCCGTGTTGTATGGCGCAACATCAACTCAGAAAACAGGTGCTGAACGGTGGAACATTATTTGAACCACTGCCTCACAACGCTTCACCTTAGAAAATGAGCGTGAGTCTATTCTTCCCTCCATAAACTAAATTTCGTAGATGATCATTTGGTATTGTCGTTGTCAGACGAATTGTCCAAAAATTGCGTTCGTGATACTCGATGATGATTGTGTAGTGAAGAGAATTTTGAGGCCCGTTGCTCACAACCGTGAAGACGGAGGTTTGTAATTTCAAAATAATATTTAAATAAATTAAAAAATATCCATTGCAAACGGCACTAAAGTGTAAGGTGTAAGGTGCTAAAAGGTATGTCCTCTGGTTTACATTAAGTGCTTTGAATCAATCCATGCGGACGTTGTCGACGAATCCAAACACTTCCTTGGATGATTTCATTGAATTGCAAAGTAATAATGAGAACAAGGATCAAATCTCATCATCTGTTGCCTTTTCGTCGTTTCCAGTTGTGGAAAATACCCAATCAGAGACGACGAATTTATTTCCCAACAATAATTTGGATGAGCTTTTTGATTTTTTCTAAAATCTTGAGCTTGCATAAAAAAAAGTTTTAAAACGTATTTTTTTGATGGATACTAAAAATAAAAAGCGCTGCGATTTGAAAAAAGTTGAATAAGGCACATTGTAGAGGTGTTTTGTTTCTGGATTCATAATTGATAATTCCATTCTTTTTCAACCCCAACTCTCCAAATGTCACAATCATTTACGGCAAATCAGACATGTCTGAAGTTTATTGATTATGGCCCAAAATCATTCTCTTGTATTTTGTAGTTTTTGGGGCCATGTTGCCATTCAATGTTTCAAAATGCATCTTCTTCATACTCTTGCAGTATGGAAACGTCGCTTGGAATACATGAATCGCTCAATAAAAACTATGTGAATGATGAATTTTGTCAAGGGAACTGGAATCTACTAAATATTCTGCAGATCCGCTCGGTGACATGATGTTCAACTCTGGAGCATAACGACGATGAAGTTCTCTAGCAACTTTGGCAATAATGAATGGTGCATCTGGGTTCATTTCGACTGGTCTGTGATGATTTTCATCGAGTGTAAATAAATGAATTTTCTTAACAAAGCCTTCATATTTGGGATGCAACAATTTGGCACAAAGTTCTAACATGGGTGTCACCAACGTTTGTTCTTGTACGGGCATCTGTTTGAATTGAGTAAAGTTCTTTTTGATATCAGTGGTACTCCCAATGAAAACAATCTTGCTACTTTCTGAATTGGAAATTGTCACAGCATATAATGAGACGCATCTAAACGAATCCAACACTCGTCGATAGAGATCATAAAAGAGTACTGAATATTGCTTGAGAACCAAGTCGTAAGGAGTAGTATCCACAGAGAGACTGTGATTCGGTGATTCATTTCCAGCATTTTGAATACATCCCTCCACAGATGTCATTCCATCTCGTTGCCACTTTTCAAAAATCTCAAAAGTAGTCTCTACATATTCTTTGGCTCTCGAAAATAATTCTTCGGATGGCTCCAAACCTCCAATCATGGTATTAAAGTCATTGTATTTGAGATGTGCATGAGGATGATGATGTGATTCAATGGAGAGCTTTTCCAATGGCCTCGTCCTTGGCTTTCCACTGACTTGATCCAGCAAGCTTAATAGTTGCATTTTGTAGTCCTCAGCAGAGAGTAATACCACATGTAAATCATCCAAAACATCTACCAAACGTGTCCGATCTCCAATGGATGGCAATTTCGTTTCATATTGCTCTTTCAATTCATCCAACTTGGTCAGTAATTGAGCATACTGTTTGGGTTCAGAAGAACCGGTATTGGGCGCCTCATCAGAATCTCCAATGAATACATGATGTTCTTTGGCCCATTCATTTTCCTCTTGATTGTCCATATATTGCTGGATCTTTGCCTTTACCTTGGAATATAAAGCATTCTGTTCTTCCACCAATGCCTCTTCATAATAATAAACACATTCAAACACCAGCTTGGAAAATTCTTCACCAAACACATCCTTCATTGTGGCTGCAATCACCGATCTCGAACTTTCCAAAGATAAAAACCGATTTATAAAATCTGGGTTCACCATCTCATGAAGATGGGCAGACAATAAATGTCTCGGAATGTATTGAATGCTGTTTGTTGAAGACGATGCAAGAGTTGTTGAGGCTTGTGGTTGGCTCATTTTTTTTTGGTTTTTTTTCAATTTCCATAAATTCAATAGTGACTTTTAAGGAAGTATGAAAGTGGTCAACCAAAAATGTTTCACTGGCACTGCTTCATACCAATGCACAATCATGAAAGACCAGTAAAAGTCGATCAATGGCATTAAGCCAATATTCTGTTTGATTCACTCGTTGTGCTGAATCTAGAAATATTTCAAAAGAGAGAATGAATTGTTTCAATCCAAGTCGTTTCAATGTGTTGGCTTGTTCCATAAAATTCAGAATCGTGTCGACATTCACCAAAGATTCACTGTTGTCCTTGTATTTCTCAAACCATTCTTGTAAAATTGAAAAGTAATGTTGCAAGAGAAATTCTTGCTTTTTTCTTTCATCGCTTAATAATAAATAGATGTCAAGTTCACTGGAACTGTAAATAAAGTAGAATAAATCTCTGAAAAGAGGGCCAATATGGACCCATTGAAAATCAATGAAGGCAAGTGTCGACTGTTGTGGAGAGTGTTGTTGGTGTTGCAAAAATAAAACGTTGTTGAGCCAAAAGTCTCCATGACATAATACACTCAAAAGAGGTGAGTTTTTGCTGTCCAGGTCGTAGACGTTCCATAAACTGTCTAACTTTTCAATCAACTCTTGGTAAAATTCAAGTGGTTTTCCCAATGATCGAAATACCTTACTTTGATTCACATACGAAATAAATTCCTGATCTTTGAATTTGGTGCTCAATAAATTAAGAGCATATTCAGTAAATATTTTCGAAAATTCCCCTTCAATACTCTCTTCATATAACTTATTATTTAACAATTGTTGATTGCCGTGTTGGTCCATCAATTGTTGAGCTTGATCAATTTTATATCTCAACTCTGGATGAAAAGAAATGGCATGAAATTTTGAAAGACTTTTCAACGTTCTGATAAATTCTTGTGAGGACAATCCACGTATTGTCAATTCATCACAATGAGCCACTGTTTGAACATTCTCACAAAGTAAATTTTCCATGACAATAAATCCTCCTCCTCTAGGAAATGCTTTACCATTCTCTTCTTCAATATAATATTGATACATTTTCGGAAACAAAATTTCATCTTGATTCAATAACTGTAATCGATGAATCATGGGTAATAGTTCCGAATAAAAGAAACATTCTCTTTTGTGGATCTGAACAGAATTCAACATGATGGTTTGAATTAGATTATTACTCTCTTGATCATCATTCTGAACAGTGATATCACTCTTCGGAGCGGAAGGAACCATTTTCAAAATACATGATGAATCATGTTGAGTCTTGTGTTGCAAATATAGTATTTTCCCTAAATATCCACTCGAGTTTTCCTTGTTTAAAATGGTGTAGTCCGAGAGAAGAAAATTATTCGTGGATAATGATTGTGAATGAGTGCAATTTGCAAGTTGGTTCAGTAATTGATCTTTTTGAAACATTTTTTTCAACTTGGAAAATGACTTTGAAATTGTTGTTCATTCAACAATTTATTATTATTGCATCAATTTCGAAAATGATAAGTGTTGAACTAACGAAGAATAAATCAAAATCAACCTCTATCAAATTAAATTATTTATTTAATTATTTTAACCAAAAAAATGTTAAAAAGTTTGTTGCGGAGCTATTTGGCCTTCTCCAACAAGTACTACGTTCCGATCATGTATCGATATGCGTTGAAGAGAGCTCTCAAGTTGTATCGAGGAGATGTCCATGAACAAATTGTAAATAATAATTTAACAAAGGAGGCTCCAAATAATTCAAAAAGTTTTGATCAGTTGGATTGGAATAAAAACTCACAAGTAGTGAACGAATTAATGAACACGATCAAGCAAGAACAAGATGTAATTATGAACTCGGAAATTACTCGACAATTTTTACAAAATGAAAAGGAAGAACGAAATATGATAGACAAGAGTTGGCTTCCATTGGTCGCTCAATATATTGCCTCGAATCGAGTGTTAGCACGAGAATTATTTAATGGTGATGAAACAAAGGCCATGTTGTTCATATATGACCGAGCGTTATTGCCTCCCGTAGAGAAAATGATGAGAATGGTGTTAGGAGGTCAAGGACGAAAGGGCATTGCAAGCGGATGGATTGTCAGAACACCAAGAGCTGGAGAAGATGACAACCAAGTAGATGTTCTGGAATATATGTGGAAAATGATGAGCATGGCAAATGATTTGATTCATGCTTGGACATTGACACATGAAATTTATCATGAAACAAAGCTCGCGGCAAACATGTCTTTAGAGCAACAACAACAACAGGACAAGACACTTTCAGGACAAGATGACGATAGCTCTAAAAAAATTAGGATCTCTACCATTCGAGTGCATCATTGCATGTTAAATCGATTTTTTAGAGCTCATAACGCTTTGAATTTAATGCCTGTCATTTGTTCCTTTGACACTATTTGGGCAAGAAATGCGTATGAACACACTGGTCACAAACTTCGAAGAAATCAAACATTAAGCCTTGGTGGAAATTATTGTGCATTTGATTTTTCAAAAGATTTTGATAAGGAGCATGATGTAGTGTCAATAGAAATTGAAAAATTACGTAAACAGTAATTCATGAATGGTGGATGGAAAATTTTCCTCATGTGAATGAAATATAGTCTGATTGGTGACAAAATTATGTACAATTATTCTTCATCTTCTTCGTCACTTAAATGATGGTCGAATTTTGACTTTCTCTTGGTGGATGGATTGGTTTTTGTTTTGTCATTGGATGAGCTACTACTATTCGCGGATGACGACGGAGAGGAACCAGAACTAGCACCAACCACATTTGGTCCATTATTTCCATTCTTAAACGCCATTTCAAGTCCAGCCTTGACAGCACACGCCACTTGCTCCTCTTTTTCACGAATTATTTCGCGTTGCAAGGTAATTTGTTCCCTAGCTCTCTCTCGTTTTTCTTCTCGCTCCTTGGCACGTTTTTCTTTAATCTGTTGCTTACGTTTTTCCACCAATTCATTCCATTGCTTCAAATTGATTTGGTTGGTGACATGTCTAAATCTTCTTCCACTCAAATCTCTCATGGCACTAAAGTTGGTGGTCTTCTTCTTTGATTTGGATTGTCTGAGCAAACTTCCGAATCCTCCCTTACCACCAACAAGTCCAAATATACCATCCGAATAATTGCTTCTCAATTCTATAGGATGAGAATAAGGAAGTGTAGAGTTAAAATAGTGAGCAATTAGAACATTCAAACGGAGTGGTTTGTATGCTTGATGTGCCAAATAAAAGGAGGATGAAAAAAGCAAAGCCTCCAAAGTTGAATCATCTTGCTGTTGTGAATGGGTGCAATTTTCGGTAATCATAACAGGATGATAGTCCGATGACGGATTGATGAGACTTTCATCATCATTCGTTAATTTCAAAATAAATTCATCAATCACATCTTGCCATGTATATTTCAAAAATTCCTCTCTCGATAATTGCACTTCGTATGAATTCAATTTAATATTGTACACATGATCATCATGGTGATCATCAAAAACTCCATCGCTCCCTTTGTTGTGGTCGGAAGCGTGCTTACTCTCCGATGCAGAAAAATCGAATCTCATTTTTTTTGGTTTGTTGTTGGAAGAACCTGAGCATTCAATTTCGAAAGTATTATTAATGTCAAATAACATGAACATTAGCAAACACCCTCAAGTACTGTGATTTTATAATTTAATAACAAATGGTAAAATAGTCACCGTTTTGAAACAAAAGCAGCACTTGATATAAATCGTTCAGGATTTGTTCTTTTCAACCGCTCATACGATTCCATACATACATGTGCATGTTCCAATAAATGTGAATATCTAAACTTGAGTAAGGATGCTTTTTCACAAATCAACAATAAATTCATATAGTCCTGACTCAATTGCTGATACAAATTTTCCACATATTCAAGCATTAAATTAATCGAAGATTCAATCACTAGTCCATGAAGGGCATCACAATGGATTTTCGTGGCAATTTCTACTGGAAATACTGCATTAATATTTGCAAATTTGAATTGATTGTCTTTGGTCATGTTCGTTATTTCATTGACCACGCTCATCAATTGAAGGGAGAGCGTGGAATCGACAAATTTGCGATGTCTGAATAGAATTAATGCTTTCAATCCCAAACTTTGTAAAATGATATGGAAACAATGTTCTTCACCCACCACATGTTTTAAATATTTGATCAAAATATCCAATTTTTGAACCAGAAGATCGGTCGAATCGTGAGTATCCAATTGAATAATGGGTCTATTTTCGATGGGTGAAGATTGAGGTACTGACTGCAAAGGGGGAGTTATACTTTCAGCAATCGTTTGAGTTCCTTGCAAATAACTAGTTGCATTGCCACTCTTTGTGGAAATTGATGAAGTAGAGATTGTCTTGGGAATGCCATTTTGAGAATTCTCAATTCCATCGCCACGCATTATGTGACGTCTAGCAATATTCCTCACCACTCCATTAAGTATATTCACATGTTGCAAAATTTGAAATTCCAAGTAGCTACTCTCATCCACAAGATCCATAAATGGATAATTAATTTTGTTTTGTGGAGAATTCAATACGTTTCGAATATGAGAATCCAAATTCTCAGGAATGAAAAACGCTCGAGTCATGGCAAGACCTTGTTGAATATACTCACGAGTGGCTTGTTGCATGTGGGGAGCTGACACTGTGACAGGTGTCTGATTATTTCCAATAGTACTACTAGCAGTTGTGATACCATGAGCATGCACAGAACATGCTTGTTCCTTCCCATCATCCTCAATCATGATTGCATTCAAAAAAGTTTCACACATGTAATGAAAATACTTGGCACGAAGTAAACATTGTCCCATACATGTTTCATTGCCTGAAGGATTCAAGGATGTGGGTGTTGTTGTTGTTGTTGCAGATGAAGGAAAGGAAGAAAGACTTGTCAAAGACGACGATACCGATGACTGTGGCGGATGGATCATCATGATGGTTGGTTGCATCTCCAATTCTTCCTTCTTACACAATGAAATTTCTGAACCACTCGCACTTCCATGTTCGGGTTTAAGGGTTTTTGAACAGTCAATAATTCCTAACATGTAATACGACATTAAACTATAGGCACACAATACATCTCCAATTTGATCAAAACATCTCGACAAGTATTCACGAGCTTTTTCATACATTGCTTTGGAATGGTTTTTTCGACCCACCCTGGAAAAAACCAAAGCATGAATTAAAAAGAGAATGGCGAGATGAGAATTACCTAATGGTTGGCTCAAATCAATATTTCTGATATCAGAATCTGTAATATTACTTTTTTGTCCAGATATTGACACAGAAATCCAATATTTGAGAAATGCAGAATCCTTACAGGGCGGAATTAAGGAAAGTGCCATTTTGCGATAAATACTTTCTGAAATGTTACTAAATAATTTTCTCTCCAATTCGACGAGCTCAAGATTATTGAGATAGGATCTTTCGGTAAAGTATCTCATTGCTGCGGAGTTTGTAGCAGAAGCGGATGTTGTTGCCGTCATGTTTGTAGTGGCTGTCGTTGAATGTGCCGAATTGCTTTCACACAACAATGCAGGAGACGGTGAAGAAGACGAAGAGTGTGACGGTTCAGCCATTACTACTACAGTACTCGTTCCGCTTACTGCATTATTTTGGAGTGAGTCTGAAGATGAAGAAGAGGTGGTCGTTGCATGTGCTTGCTTTCCAGTAGATGCATTTGTGGTTTTAGATTTTCGTTTGTTGGATGAGCCTACTGTATTGGAAAGAGTATGATCTATAAATTGATATTGAACAGCTCCGGTGATGGGATGGATGGGTGGTTGACTAGTTTTTGGACCTCTCTTTCTTGCCTGTGAATAAACACATTGTTTTTGAGATTTGACACAATTAGAACAACCAGGAGGATATGCCACTTTGTCACACTTTTTGTGATTCAATTTACAGAAAATGCATGCATTGTTCATGAGTGTAGGAGTGAAAGTGGCAGATGTAGTAGATGTTGTATTGGATGTCGATGATGTACTGGTTGCTTCAGACATTTTCAAAGATGTGTTGGATGATGTTGGTAGTGATGGACTCCTCTCATCAGTCATGCATGTTGTCGGAGATGATGTTTTTTCTAATGCATGTATTCCGTACATTGATGTTGTGATTGCTGAGAGAGGTGTGGCAACTTGTGGAGTGGGTTGTTGTTGCATGCTTGATAATGAAGCTGGTTGTTGTTGTGCCACATGCATGGTGGTGTTAGGCATATCTACTGCTTCCGCGTGTGGATGATGTGCTGAGGATTCACATGCACGCGTAGTTGAAGTATTGTTGATACTATTTCCTGCATGAGAGGTTTCGCATGATAGAATGTTTACTATCGAAGGCTCTCCAAAGAAGAGTCTTTCTTGAGGATGAAGACCTGAATTGTTGTTTTCAATGGTATTCGGATTAATCATGTTGTACAATGCGGTAGAAGAAAATGAAGCAACTTGTAATGATGAATTGGTTTCTTTTGGAGCTGCTTGTTGTTGTTCTGACATGGCTGGTACTTGATACGAATAGGTTGATTGGGAAGAAGAAGAAGGTTGTTGTTGTTGTTGAAGAAGAAGAAGCCTAGTTGGAATTGGAGAAGACGAGAAAAAGGCATGGGAAGGAGTGGCCACTTGAAATGGTCGTACCCCTGTTTCAGACTTTGTTTCGGGAGTTGGGTGGGTTGGTGGCGAAGAGGTGAGGGACACTTGATGGGGATGCCGAGCGAGTTGAGGTTGTTGAACGAACAAGTTGTTTTGATTTCTTCTTTCGGAATGTGCTACTTGCTGTTTCATAATTGGGTTGGTCGTTAATAATTGTAAGAGAGACTCGTGGTGTTTCAATGCATGATCATCATGAATTTCTTGTTGCTCATGCGATGATGCATGTGAGTCGAGTGGTCTGTAAACACCAGAATTAGAACCAGCACTAGTCATATTTGGCATGTTCATCATGATGTTATTCATGTGGATGGAATAATTATTCGTGTTCAAATTACATGTAGTAGTACGAGAAACACCTTCTTTGGATTCGCCAACAAGTTGTTGAGGTTGTTGTGTTGGAGCATGTCCGGAGAGCCTCATTGTCCTCATCATCATGGCTTGCGAAGAAAGAGAAGGCGGCTTTTGAGATTTGCTGTTCAGTTGCATCATTACCCAATCGCTGTATTGCTCCATGGTGTTATTCGCTGAGGTTGTACGAGTGGAAAAAGCACCATGAGAGTTGGAATTGTTGTTGTTGTTGTTACGGTTTGTCTTACTAGTGGTTGAAGAAGAAACAGCGGATGGAGGAACAGGTTGTTGTTGTTGTGAGTGTTGTGATGATTGCTGAATCGATTCTTCAGACATGATGCAGTGAAGCCCATCAACAACAATCCACACAACAACAACTCACGTCTACTATGACTAATGGGAAATCTAACGGTTTTATAGGACCTTGGGAGAATCTCTCTTTCTAGAAAGAGCGTGTTCTTGTTGTTGTTGTTTTTTGAGTAATAGTTGTTTTTGTGGATTGTGCACGGCTGTTTGTTGGTTGTTGTTTCAACGAAACGTGCACCAGATAACACCAAGCAAGTTCGATTAGTAAGGTTGCCAAGTTAAAGCACGCTAAATTTTTTTTGGTCTGCTTGAAATTTCAATTTCTGGCAGTTATGGATGTGAAATGCTAAAACCCATACTTTGATTTCGGATATGTCGTATGGATAGCCCTGCGATGAAACCGCCGACCATGCACCCACCTAATTTATTCACAAGGGTTTATTAAGATATTTTACATAAATACATGTACAGAATGATATTGAATATTACTCAGTAGCGTCATGTGGATGGGATTGGAGTGTACGAATTGCCAATTGTACAATACACGTATTATCTGCATGTTTGGCAAGTCCTGTCATCCACATTCAAGAGAGTGAAGAGAGAATCTTCAGAGAAGGATTCAATCCTTGGAGATTCTTCACTTCTCTTTGGTTGATAATTTCTTGGACAGTTTCTTGAGTGTTTTCTTGTAGGATTTGGATTGAGGTGAAAGACATTCATTGGCTTTCTTCTCATTCGATGCTTTCATGATGCATTCCGAGGAAACAAGATTCAATACAGAATTTGGTGCTACGCAATATTGCAAACATTGTTGATGGAAATTCGAGGGTGGGCTTGGTTGATAATTGCCACGATCGATGTCCTCTCTGCCACTGGTTGTTGTCATCGTCATGGATGATCCCAAAAGTTTGGTTTCATTATTATTCGGAGCTTTGGGAAAGGAGAGAATCTCATCTCGGAGGTTATGTGCTTTGGTTTTGCGGCTTTCCTGAAATAACAACTCATCAATGTGAGAACACAAGGCTTCACAGTCTCTGGGTTTTGCTGATTCGAGTGATGGAATATTATTACTGGCTGAGGAATCTTTCTTGCCCATTTTTTGTTGTTGTTGTTGGTTGACTTATAATTGAATGAATTTTATGAATTTATTTATCTTCATAAAAGATTGGAATGACTTTTTTGAAGAAATCCTTTAAATGTGATGGACGAGCTCAGCAAACTGGTGTGGTGCCAACATTTGTTTCGTGTACTTTCATCTAGAAGGTACTTTATTAAGCCATAATTTATGCAATCTTTGAATGTTGCTCGTTACAATAAAAGGGAAATTTCATTTCATAATTGTGATAAGCAATATTCATAATTATTAAAAAAATGAGAAAAGCATCTGTTGAGTCAGAACAACCACAACAAACACAAACACTCGATCGTATGATTGAAGACATTATGAACAAGGATCAAGTAACTCTTCCGATTGGGTATTGCAAGGATGATTTGGAAATTATTTGTGAAGCCATTAAATCGGTATCTTCTCTTCGGAAGCTTACATTTATTGGAGAGATTTCTAATGAACGGACTCGAAATGATAGTTTTTTGAATGTGGATGAATTTACCATGTTGTGGACAAGTATTTTGGAAGGTGAAAGTCCATTGGAATCGGTTGGATTTTTATCGATGCATTTGAATGATGAACATTTGAATGCCATGAAAAATAGTTTGAAAGAATTATCAAGCTCGAGTGTGGCAGTGACTTCCATGACATCCATTGTATTGATTGGAAATGAATTTAGTTCAGAATTGATGAAAGAGGTATCGGAAGAATTTAAAAAATTGATGAAAAATATCAAGGAAATTGTTTTTGATGTTCCATCATCGGTTGTATCCAAAGATGAAAACACCTCTGAGATTGAAAAGAAATTGGCTGAATTAACTGTATGAAGAAATTATGAATTATTGTGATGTGTGACCAATTGAATGATCACATGATACACTCGCTCAACCAATACCGTAATTATTGATAATCATGCATTTTCATGCCAGAGAACGACTGGAATTTATAACAAAAGGAATTCGTTCAAATTTAATACATTGTGTGGTACCACAACTCTCTTGGAATTTACTCATTTCCACCATTACTTGACTCAATATAAGGCAAACAATATCTAGGATCTTCAAACGGACAAATCAAACAAGTCGTATGCGTTTGTTTGCTCTTGTCAAATTTTCTCACTTTTCCAGGTTCATTCTTGAGAGAATTTAACATACTTGCCCATGACTCATCATTATAGATCATTTCATCCAAATAATCCAAAGTCGTCAATGGATCCCTACCCTGTAATATTCTCTTTCTATTGTCTTCTGTAATTTTGGATGAACTTGGAAAGAGTTGTAAATCTTTACAAATCTTGTCCTTATCAAAATTATTTCGTAACCATAGAGCTCGATCAAAACTTTTCAACAAGTGATATTCTGATGTTTCTGTAAAGGGTATGGGATCGTTACGAGATACCAAAATCATGTCTCTCGTAAATTCATCCAGTGAGGAATGATTTGGAAAACAAATCGTGACAGATCCACCCGAGAATTCTTCCTTCTTTTTCTTTCGAGGTGATTCTTCAGCAGCACTATTACTCGCAACAGCAGAGGGTGGATAGAATGCGAGTGGAGATTTTGGAGTTCCAATAGAGAGAGATCGAGATTTTCTTCGTTTTTGAGCAAATAAATTTCCATATAATACTAAATTGAGTGTCTTGTCTAAACTTTGTAATGTGGAAATGACTTCACTGGTGGATTCTTCAGCAAGATCTTCATTGTTGTTCACAACATTTTCCCCTTGTTGTGGCTCTCCGTCACCCGTTGTATTAGATGAACTATTGTTATTCATATTTTGCTGAATGGTCGTATACAGTAATCTCTGTTGTTGGATATAGTCTCGAAGAAGAGTGACATATTTTCTTCGAATGGTTTCATTCAACTCCAAACGACACCATTCCATATTATCTACATTATCAGGATTATCTTTCACTAAATTATTGGCAGACCATTCCAAATAAGATCCAATACATCCCTTCTTTCCTAATAAAGTTTCATCTTTTAACAATTCATACATGTCCACAATGGGAGCTTTTTCGTGATTTAAGGTGATATCTGAAGAGAGAGAATCGAGAATGTCAAAAACAAATTGATGACAACTTCCTTGTTGAGTTTCCTTGTCAGTGGTCATGTGCTGTTGAGTTTGCGTGGTAATGTTATAGTGATATCCAATTCCTCTTGAATATTGCACATTTCGATTCCAAAAACTAAGCCTTTTCCCTAAAATTCGAGTCACTTTTGTTAAATCATTGAAATTGTCGATGGATCCTACTTCAATACATGCAATGGCTCTCATGGATTTCAATTTGGTTTTTGGTGAACATAATTCACATTCGAGCCAATCAAATCTCATCGATGCCAATACAAGTGACATGTGTAGAAAACCAAATTGTGGGAGAAGTCCAGTAATTTTCCCCAATCTCGAAAGCATTTTGATAAAGAATTTCGAGTTCACAATGGAATTATTTGGTACATTGGTAATTTGATTGTTGTTCGTTGTGAAAAGAATGTACAATTTCAATGGATGTTTGAATTTGATGGATTGTTGTTCAATAATGACTCGTTCTCGATCGGACATGAAATTGGAATCGGAATCGACTCGATCGGCCTTGAAAAGATTTGCAATGGAAGTATCCAAAATAAATTCATTCGAATTAGTTCTCTGATGATGATGAGCAGCAGAAGGATAAGGTGAACCTGTTCCTGCTTCTTTTTGATTATTCTCATGATTCTTGTTTAAATTATTTCTAGAAAATGATGAAATGCCAATGGTAGTGCTCCCTGTAGAGCTATCATTCTCAACAACTGGAGGTTGAGAAGGTGGTGTCACCAATGGTTGAGACGAATTATTTTGTTGAAGAGTCGACGACGAAGAAGAATGGTTGTTAGTACTGTTGCTGGCACTGGTTGAAGAGGACCATGTCGAAAGAAGGAATTGTTCTCTCTTCATGATAAAGAAATTTTCAACTTGTTGTTGCACGAGTTCAGCTTGTGAATTGGTTTCACTTTTCAACTTTTGAAGTAAAAGCATTAATTCTCGTTTTTCCTTTCTCTTACATTCCACATAATATTCATATTCACCAGTAAAAGTTAAGACTTGATCAATTTCGTGATGAATCATTTTGGTAGCTTGATGTGGAATTCCAAGCATGATGGCAATTTTGAATGAGTCACGATCTTGTTGTGTAATTTCTTCTGTAACATCCTCTTCTTTTTTGCCAGAGAGAGCTAATTGACTTTTACACAATTTTTCGAAAATGGATTGTAACCCTCGGACGTATAATGCTTTTTCGTGACTTCTGTCGTCGAAGGTTTTGAATTTTTCACCATGACTTGACACTTGTTGTGTTGACATGGACAACAGTGAAGGTTGTGACACAACAGCATCCAAAGAGTCCAACTCTCCACTCGAAAAATCTCTCTCCAAACTATCCATATTCAATTGCTTCTCAATCATGTGTTCAGTTGTACTCATGGAATATAAAAATTGAAATTTGAATGCAAAGACTGACATGTTTTGCGGCTCAATGCCTCGTGGAGTTTGAGCATTTTGTTTGGTTTGATGTAAAGTTGCATTTTGTTGTTGAGAATTCTTTTGAAGCGTTGCTTCCTTGCGTTCCACATGAGGTGTCACTTTGGATTGTTCTAATTGCTGTTGCTGCTCAATTACACTTTCCACATCCAAATTCATTAAGGCACGTGCAATCGATGCATTCGATAATGTAGAGGCCTCCTTGGTGTCCAACCTCACAGAAAAAACTCTCTTTCGAAGTTCCTTCCTCGATTCAGAAATGGTCCATTCTACAGGAGATCGAGGAGATTGAGGACTATGTGATAAATTTGACAGTGACAAGGTCAACTCGTCTCGACTCTTTGTTTTCGGAACCAAAAATCGAGAAGGTTCAAATATAAATGCACCAATACTTTTTCGTCTCGGATCATTGGATGACAAGGTTAATGACGGCACAGTTCGAGTGGGCATGGGAGACATGGACCCTTTGGTAGATTGTGAAAAGGATATTTTCACAGAAGAGATGGAGGAAGCACTTGAATCGGTTGGAGAAGAAGGTTCTTTTTCTTCTTCATCTTGTGGAAACGATGATGGTTCTGTTAATGTGTGAGTATTATTATGAGTAATGATTGGTTTGAGGTTATTCTTTGGATGACTCGTCGTTAGATATGAATGTGAATGCTTATTAAGGTGAGGATGGATCATGAGAGTGAGTTCACTATTCACAGATTTTTCTTCTTCTTCATGTTGAGGTTGTTTTGAAGGTGATTTTTGAGAGAGTGATTTCAAACCCAGAATGAGAGATTCGTTTTTGAGGTTGTTTTTGGGAGAAGATGTTGAGGGAAGTGGTGGCGATGATGATGAAAAGGAAGATGCATTCGGAGGTGAAGTAGTAGCAGTAGCAGTTGTGGTATGAGTTGGTTCTCCTTCTTCTTCGTCTTCTGGATGCCGAGAATTGGAACCATTTGATATATTCAACCGACTAGTTTTTCCAATACTAGTTGTTGTTGTTTTTGTATCATCCAGTGCAAGGGAAGAAGGCGATTGAGGGGATGATGATGATTTCGGAGGACTTGTAGCAGCAGCAACACCACCACTCGGAGAAAGTGATTTTCGTTTGAAGAGAGCTCCAACCGAAAAGGTTCGTTTTTTGTGGACTCGATTCGTCGTAGGACTTGTTGATGATGATACTGGAGGTGTGGTTCCTTCCATTACATTGGAATTGGTCATTTGGTTATTGTTATTGTTGTTGATACTGGAGGGAGAATGGTGGTCCACTCTCAACGACAGAATGGAACTAAGAGTTGTGTTGGAAGAATTAATACTTTCAGTCGGAATATGAGTAGTGGAAGAGCATGACGATGATGATCCTAAAACACTTGAATTCATGGAATGATTGCTGTTGTTGCCACTGATATTTCCTCGTCCTCCTTTCTGTGTGGATGCTTGTTGTTGTGCTTGTTCATGATGATGATTAGGCTCATCAAATTCTTCATCGTCATGACTCAATGTTCGGCTCTTCCGAGTTGAATGATACGAAAAGGATTTACTCAATTGTGGTGGAGATTGATCATTCCCATGTTGTTGTTGTTGTTGCTGTACTTTACCATCTATTGTGTTCGGGATGGCCATCATCTGATTCTTTGATAACCGTTTTCCAATATTTTGCAAGAGCGTTAAGCCTTTAAAACTAGAATTATTACGGGAATTGGTAGCACTGTTTAATGCTGAGACATGTGTTGTTGTATCCATGTGGTTATTATGGCCACCATTCGGATGATATTGATGATTGAGCGAAGGAGAAGGATAGGAATGATGAGAGAGGTTGGATTGTGTTTTACGGATGGGACTACCATGGTAGTGATGGAAATCATGTTTTGTTTGTTTGTTTCCCATTGTGTTTCAATTGTGCGAAGATGATGATGAATGGGTATAGTAAATTTAGTGAATTTGATAGATCTTTGGATGATGATGATTTCAAAAGAACAGCATTTGGTGAATACAATCCCGAAAATTTGGAATGATAAATGTTGTTTTCTGAGTCGATATTTGAAATTTCTGTTGTGATTAGTGACAGTTGGTGAGAAAGGGGTGTTCACCGAATGTCAAGTGCCACAACTCGGCCAGCAACGATTTGAAAATATTTCTTTTTGGATGTTGTTGGAACTTGTTGAAAAGTGATAAGAAAGCATCGACGACAATAGCAAGTGATAAATTACATTAAAATTTCACATTGAAAGTAATAAACAACAGTACGAGGTGCATTCTTGCACCCTTCATTGTTCATAGAATAAATTACTTAATTATTGGAAATAAATAGTGAAATAGGGAAGTACCGTAGTGGTAACATGTTGGAAATTCAATCAAGGTTTTGACTTGGAGAACTGCAACCATACAAATTACAATGTTATAGCTTCCGTGTCCTTTCTACTGAACCAAACATCTCTCTTTCCGACAAGTGAAGTCACATATGCTGCAACTTGTTCATACGTGGGATTAATAAACGTTTTGGAAGGAGCAGTTTTCACAAAATAACCCCAAACTAATCGAGGTTCCTCCAAAACGGTAATGACATTAAATCCATGCTCAATCAATAATTTTACAGCGAGAAGACTGCTTCTGCTAACTTCGACAAGAACATTGTCCACATATTTGAGTACCTTTCCAGCTCCTTGGAAAACTTTCATCTCATTTCCTTCGACATCGACTTTGAGGAGTGTAATTCTGTTATTGTTTGGATCTTTGATGTCTGTCATGAGCTCGTCATTGAGTGTGACAGTCTCAATCTTGACTGTTTTATCGTTTTCATCAGGATTATATACAAATGCAGAGCCCAAGTTATCGGATGAGCCAAGAGCAAATCCAACAAATTTTCCAGATTCGGAATCTACTGCTCGATGTCTAATGGTCATTAAGTGTTCAAAACCATTAATCACGCTGGATGCTTGAATTTTCTTAATCATATCAGGTTGTACTTCGTAGGTTTTCACTTGACATCCCCAAGCAGCTGACAGCAAGCTGAAAAAACCTAAATTGCCTCCAACGTCAACCACTCTGCATGTTTTCTTGTTGGATTCTTTTGCCAGAGCATTCTTTTTGAAAAATTCTTTTAAAATCTTTTCAAATGTATCTTCAATAGCACTTTCCCACCATCCTCGTTCATAGAGTTGACGACTAATCCAAACGTCCTAATAATGGAAATAATGGAGAGTAAAATATTAATGTCACATCGTTGTTGAAAAAGGTACAATAAAATTGAATGAATAGTGTCATCAAGTGATTCCGAAATATGTGAAAAAGTTCATAATGATCACTCAAATTGAGATACGCTATCAATAAACACAATACCTTTTGAGGTGACAATGCAACAATCCAAAACGATGGATAAGTCCTAGTTTTGATCAAATACCTCTTATCTGCAACCATTGCAGCATCCTTTTCATGAATCAGAGGTCCACTTGCTTCCAATCGATAATATGGAGCATTCCACACATAAACAAACCAATAACACATCATTAAAAACACAATCAATGTCATTCCTACTCCCATACAACATCGATTGATTCTCGTACTAGTTTTTCCTTTTGCACTCTTGTCCTCTTGATTCAAAAATTCATCCATTGATAATTTATCCTTTGAGGATAACGACGATGCTGATGATGAAGAACAACCACACAATCTCGCAATTCGTTTCATCCGCACTAAAAAACCTCTTTTCATACCCGTTCCAGCAGAAGAAGCCTTTCTTGTTGTGGAGGATGTTCCCGAAGCATTGTATCCCGAAGTGGTTGAGAAAGGCATGGGAATGGAAACAGATGGAGAGGAGGAGGATGATCCGTTCAATCCATTGCCCTCCAGATCATGATGGGTGGTCTGAAAGGAATGTCTCTGTTGAGTGAACGTATTGAGTTGTTGGGGTTGTTGATGCATTTTTTTGTAAAAGTTGTCGTCATTGAACGATTACAAAGGGAAAAGTTCAAAGATTAACCACAACTGTAAATGGGAGAGAAAAACAAGGTTATTTGTGTTTCTTGTTAACACACCAACTGTTGTTGTTGTTTGGAGTTCCCTTTCCATAGCAAAAAAATGAGTCGATTGAGTGTGAGGAGGGATCATTCATCTTCTTCTTCTCAACATCATCGGAACAACGAGGAAGAAGAATTGGAGGATCAAGAAGAACCTCATCATGATTCATTTGTAAATTCTCAATTGCAACACAATCATCATAGCTTGATGATGAATGAAAATAATTTTGATGATGATGATGATTTAGAGAGTGTTGCTCTTTCTCGAAATGATGAAGAATTGGAATATGAATTACCTTCTCCGACACAAGTACTTCATACTCCAAATCAAAGAAATGCAAATGAAACGGATGCAATTTCCGATATTTCTGGAATATCTCCATTTCAAAGTCCCTATGTAACGCAATCCTCCCGAAAATCAAGATCAGAATTCATGTATAATAATGTATATAGAACACAAAGAACTCCTAAAATTTCTAATAGACAAATTGAAAATAGACTTCGAAGAGATTTTCCGGAAGCAGCAAGAGAACGGGATCGAAGACAAAAAGAGCGTCTCGAAGCAAGACAATTTACGCCAGCCTGTTGTGACGCAATATTAGGTCTTGGATTTTTAGATTCAAGTTTCATGATGCTTGGAGATTCTGCCACAAGTAAATTGAGACCAGTCGACTGTAGTAAACGAGAACATGACGGATCTCAATTAGACTTTCAGTCTCCAGAAAAGAAATGTAAATCAAATGATGATCCTTTTGAATTTTATTCTCCTCCACCACTTCCTCCAAAAGAGCCTGAAACTCCTCAAGAGAAACTGACTAACCAAATTATTGCGAGATTACGAAAAGTATCGAATCGACGAGATGTGTCAGAAATTATTTCAAAAGATAATATTGAGTTAATTGCTCTTACAAAAGCAACCAATCCTAACTGTGAATTGTTTAAAACAGTGAAAGGTCAATGTAGGGACAAGTACATTCAAGAAATTGTGTCTGTAATCAAGGAATTTACATTGAGCGGTACTCAAAACACAGATTCCAATAGCCAGCAAGAAAATACGGCACCATCAAATGTTCAACCATCTACTGTTGTAAAGATGGAAGGACATAACAATCACTCATCTTCTTTGAGTGTGAACTCTACAGTAATCAAAGCAGAATCCAGTAATGAAGACGAAAAACAAATTATTGAGACACCAAGAAAATCCCAATCACGACAGCCTATTAAATTGGAAAATATGGACACTCCAAAAGTATGCAAAAATGTCAAACTGCAAAAAGACACAATATTAACACCACAAACACAACAAATTGAAAAGCAAACAAAACTGCAATGTGAAGGATCTACGTTACACAAATCTCCCCTTCCAACGAACATAACAAACACTAGAGTTTTAGCACCACCTATAGTGGATCATGTAATTGTGATTGACGACGATGATGAAGAAGAAGATGATGACGATTGCAAATTTTTGTGCAAAAAATGATGGGATGATTTTTGAATTACGATTCCAACTGGAATCAAATCATGGACTTTACAAAATCAATGCTTTTCCTCCAAGTTAAACGGCGAAAGATCTTTGTGACATTTTTCAAACATTCGCTCAACAGCTTCTACACCATTGTCACAATTCCGTATTGTACTCATTGTGGCCCAATATTTGATACATTCATCTCGATTTCCATCAAATTTAGCCAAATCTACGGGTAAATCACATTGACCTCCAAGAGCATATGCTCTAATTTCCTATGGATGTAAAAGGTAGTTCATCAATGAATCGATGAATTCATTCCTAAAAAAACATTATGAACACATACTGTACACGCAATAAAATTACATCCAACATGTCTTGTTTTCCTCAACTTGAATTCACAAATTAGTATTCAAAAGATATATTTGAATATATCTTTTAAATCATGCATCAACATACTCTGCAGTGATCGAACGAATGGACAAGCTCATGAATTAATGTCCTTCTCAATTCTGGAATTCCAGCAAGTCTATTACAACATAATTTAATTCGTTTCTGTGGTTCACTCATTTCACCTCGAATTGAAAATTCATTAAAATCTTCATTCGTACACTTTTTCAACAAAATTCCCTATCCATTGATTGTTGTGGAGAAAATAACATTTTGATTGACGAAACAATGAGGAGCATTTTGATAGAATTTTTCATTTTGATTGAAATTTTTCAAATTGCAAACATTTCAAAGCGAATTATGAATTATTCAATTATATTTCTATTTTTTCAAATTTTTGCAAATCCTACCTCCGAAAGAACTCTTGAATCACAATGTTGTTGAACCGCTTGCAATAATTTTCGGGTCCTCAAATCATGCTCTAACACATATTCCGTATCTCGACGACATTTTTCAATAGTATTGTACACAAGCTTGGCTTGTTCCAGATCGGAATCTTTCAATCTCCTCTGTGTTCGATCGAGTGGAATTAATATTTCATCATCAATGTCATCATTGTTACTTTTTGTCATTTTTTTAATTATTTTTATTTATTGGAATTTAAAATATATTTAAATATTTAAATATACATATACATATTTAAATATCAAACTAATCCTTAATGCTCTTGTGGTAAGGAGGAGCATCATGACAGTGCAACGCCTGGACAACATCCTTGGATCGGTTGTCGAACTCGAGATACGTTTCAAGAAGTAGTATTTTCTTCTTTGTTGCATGTGCAAGAATTGACAATCGTATGTTCGATTGTGTGTCTTTAATAATTATGGACATGTCTTTGCTGTTTGTTTATTTGGGGCCAAAACAAGTCATCCTGCTGTACTATGCTCTTGGAACCCATTCCATGCGGATGAAATAAAGTTTGACAAATGTTCTGGCTGCGGATTTGTTGAGGCCCTCCTCGATAATGCAGGACTATCTTGTTCGAATCTTTTGGACAAGTAATTGATCTTGTTGACCAACTAGTTCAGTTTGAAATCTTAAATAATTATTATTGAGTAGGTGGGATTTAAATTCATTAATTGTTTATAATCAAAACTTTCCGCCCCTCGCTACGATTAGTATAAATTATGTTTTTACAGAATATCTATACTGCTACCGAATGAATTGTAATCCAGGTCTAAAGAATTCAGATTTTTCAACGATTCACTTGCAGCAATATATTTAACACCTTCATTGCCAATTTGATTGCCATACAGCTTCAAAGAAGTTAAATTCTTTAACCATTCACTGGTAGCAATATATTTAACTCCTTCATTGCCGATTTGATTGTTACTCAGATCCAAACAAGTCAAATTCTTCAACTTGTCACTTGAAGAAATAAATTTGACGCCTTCATTGCCAATTCTGTTTATAAACAGATCCAAACAAGTCAAATTCTTCAACGATTCACTTGTAGCAATATATTTAACTCCTTCATTACCAATTCCATTGCGATACAGATCCAAACAAGTCAAATTTTTCAACCATTCACTCGCAGCAATATATTTAACACCTTCATTGCCAATTTGATTGCTACCCAGATTCAAACAAGTCAAATTCTTCAACGATTCGCTTACAGAAATATATTTGACGCCTTCACTACCAATTTCATTGCGATACAGGTTCAAAGAAATCAAATTCTTCAATGTTTCACTTGTAGCAATATTTTTAACTCCTCCATTACCCATTTGATTATAACTCAAATCCAAACAAGTCAAATTTTTCAAACATTCACCTAAAAGTATGATTGATTTACGAACTTGTTTAAACTGATTTCCTTTGAATGATAAGGATAGCGGAATTTGAAATGATATCTGTCTCCATTGTTTCGAAATTTTCATACAAATTTGAATTATAAACAATGATTCAAGGAAATGAAGAATTTCAAAAACAATGTCATCAATGAATGGTCTATTGTTCTCGTTTGAATTTTTAAGAGAGTAATTATAGGTTTCAGCATTATCATTGACCATGGTTGATGATGAATTTTTTTTAATTTTTTTACTGTGTCAAAGGAACTCACTTGTTGAAAATAGGTTCTGTTGGCGAATTTTGGCTTATCACCTTCCTTTTGCGGCCAATAAATTACAACCCCGTCAACAAACAACCAATGACAATTATTGAATAAATCCAACTCTTCGCATTCATGACTCTTACAAAATTCCATTAATGTAATTGAAACGAGGAAGAAACCAAGACTGTGATGAGGAGCCTTATTGAAAAAAAAATGCCCAAACTTTCAAGGGGAACCTTACCCAAGGACGCTGTGGAGCATTTGAAAAATTGGCTCTATGATCATTTCCAACATCCTTATCCCACCGAGGATGAAAAAAATCAGTTGGCACAAGAAACAAAACTCACGACCACTCAGGTGAATAACTGGTTTATTAATGCGAGAAGAAGGTTATGGAAACCTATTATTGAGAAACAAACTCAGAGACAGGCTGCTGAGGCAGCGAATTCATCCTCCGATGGGAAGAAAGAGGATGAACCAACTGTAAATAATGAACCCAACGAGGTTGCTGTCAAGAGAAAGGACCGAATAGACTCAAACTCTATGGAGAGCATCTTCAAAAAACAAAAAGTGTCAGATGTCGACAAGGTAGACGATAATCAGCAACAGAATACGACAATTTCCAGAAGAGATTTTCTACAGCTACACGATGAAAATCTTCGTTTAAGAAATGATGTACTCGTTCTTCACCAACAATTGTATCATCAAATAATGACCTCCGACCAAGCAAGATCATTAAGGAAAGAAGGAATACTCAACTTTGGTGAGAAGAACGACAACAGGAACGGTCCACGATTCACATCTCCAAACATTGAACCCTCGTATGAATTCTTCCTTATTGACAATCTATCTTCAACTGACGCAGGCCATACTGATATACTTCCGACAGGAAAACTCTTCGTGGACCATGTATTATTCCCAAATCTGTCGAGCTTGAAGGAACATAGTTTTCCATTGGAGGCATGCAAACCTATCTCCCAATCGGCAGCAGTTCCCTTGCTCAACAAGGTGCTAGATGCAAGCAAAACCAACGCAAGTGTTGATAAAGTTAATGGTGAGAACGTTCCATCAACCTTCTTGAAAGAACGAAAGGTCATGCTGTTGGAATCACCTCCTCCGACCTCTCGATCTAGAAAAAAGAAGCGTTGAGCTTTTTGATTTAAATCAATTCCAATCAGGATAAAGGAATGAACCAATGAACCTCGTTTACCTCATCAGGCTTTTATTTCTCTCTTCCTAATTTTCTTAATTTAATTTCTTTCATCATATTGAGGAAAACTTCGTAATCAGACAAGGCCAGTAAAAACTCGACAATTTCCTGATCACCGGCATCGGACAGTTTCTTACATTCAATATAAAATTGTTGAGGAGTTACTCCATTTTCCTTCAACATTTCCTCTACCTTTGCCTCAAAGAGTTTTAGGAATTTATTGTACACGTTTGTATATTCAAGTTTTTGTTCCTCTTCATCGATTTCAAAAATATCACAATGCTTGTTTGCAAACTCCTCCACCTGAATCAGTTGTTGATTTTATCATTGTCGTTGTATTCAAGTAAGCATTAACGATCCATGAAAAACTCGACTCTCTCTCATTGTATACGTACAGCTTCGCCAAACTTCTCGTCCAGTAAATATTCCATCACTCGCACCACAATGTCCGCCATTTTTTTTGAGATTGCGATCTTGAAAACCTCAATTCCCATCAAGAGTTGAATTGAAATTTACAGGTTTTATTAAATTTGCGTCCACAGAAAATTGGCTTTTACATGTAATCGACCTAGCATGGGGAGATAAATGATTCAGGGAATATATTAAACAAGCAAAGAGAAAAGCACTCAATGTAAGCTATACAGATATGCATGCAAAATTGCCAAATATGAACCTGGTTTAAAAACTACTAAAAGTTCCTTATTAAAAAATGCCATCACAACAACAGCATTACATTCCGCCTCCCAGAATTCATCTTCCAAATTTTGCAAAACAATTTCGTCCCAATAATCATGCACTACTAGTTTTGCAACCAAATAATCAACACAATCATGATCAGACAGAAACACATTCGTGCCATCATGAAAACGTTCACACCTCAGAAGTAGTAGCGTTTCAACCAACACTATTGTTAAATTATTCCTCAACAAGACCTTCCGAACTTTTATCTCAACTGCAACAACCTGTGTCAATGACATCAAATCCAAATACCCAAAACCTTTTCTTGTACCTGGAATCACATTTGTTTATCTTTAAAACGGACGCTGTGGAAAAATATTCAATTTCAAATATTAGTTCTTTTCTTGTAACACATTGTCCATATGAATTAGAATCGGTCACGATCGGGAATTGTGTGTGGAAGATTAAAATAGGGCCAATGATTTGTTTTGCCAAGTCAAAATCTCATAGTTCAATTCTCACTTCTTGCAAACATCAATCCATTCTCTCTTTGATAATCAAGCAAGCCATAGAAATGGAAGATTTAACAGCACAACTTGAAAAGACAAAACAAAAATTGAGAGCAAAATAACAGTCTCAAAGTCTACCAACACCATAATATGAAAAGTGAAGCGTGTTGATATTTTCTCAAGTGAAACCACTCCATCCTCATATCTGCTTGTTATGTGAATGAATTTGAGGTAATATAGTCCAAGGTATCTCGCACTGTTGTATCAACTACCGGAGCTCAATAATTCGTTCTCGTCCAGCAACACCGAGTCCTCATGATAGATATTTTGAAAAGGATTTCTTGTAGTCACACTGATGACTCTTTGTCCTGATGTTGAAGTGGCTTTTTCTGCAATATTGTTTTCATTACTCAAATATTCTTTTGTAATGGGAATATATAAATGATAAGCATGAAGCATTAATCGATTCAAAAGGGTGTGTTGTTGGTTTGAAATGTCTGTAGTGGTTGTGCTTTCTGTCATGACGAGATCATTGTTTTCGTGTTCATTACTTTTCTGGCCATGCATTGTTACATGGTCATTCTGTTGCTGCACATTCAAATGTGATTTAGTACTACTGCCATACATTTCATCACCAATGATAGCATGTCCTAGAAGAGAGGTGTGTAGTCGAAGTTGATGCTTTCTACCTGTGACAGGTCGAAGCAAGACCTTAGTGACAGGCTCACCATTATAAAGGTGCCCATAACTAATAATTTTCAAATGAGTTAAAGATTCTCTAAAATTGTGTTGTTGTCGTTCCTGTTTGGTTGCATGAGCTTTCTTTCGAACTGACTCCTCTGGTGGAAGAGTGAGATATTGTTTCATCACATAACCTCTCCCAGTAGGGTCATATTCTCTGTCGTCTTCTTGTGCAGCTAATGCTTCAGATTTTTCGACTGAAATCACTCTCGTTGAATTGTCTCCATTATTGATACTGTCATCTCGTCCAATAAAAGATGTAATTTCAATCCATTCACCATTCATTTTCACATTATTTTTCAAGGATTCATTCTTTTGAATATCATTCATTTTAAAATGTCCATGAATAAGGGCTAAATAGAATTTTCGAGATGATTTTTGTTCAAAGCTATTGCTCAAAGAAGCACAAGACTCTCTTGTCATGGAAATACACAAGACGCCAGAGGTAGCCATATCTAATCGATGTGGGAATCGTATTTTTCTTTCGTTGGATTTTGTCAGTTTCATTTCAAATTTTCTCTTTTTAACATTCTGATGATTTTCTGCTGCTATAGCAGATGTCACTTCCACATCTTGTGCTGTCCGATACAACATTTGAGCAAATTGAATTTGTGCTAATTTTTCAACTGTATCTCCTGAATAATGTTGACTTGCATAAATTCTCAAATTACTTGGCTTATCAATGACGACTACATCTTGATCTTGATACAGAACTACAAAATCATCGTGTCGAGCTATAGAAGACTCTCCTGGCACGACATTGCACGAATTTAAATTCGTTTCTAAATTTTGAATGGTTCCTTTCTCATAATTTTCATCTCCGATCCCAGTAGCATCATTCAAACATTCTACCTTCCTTTTTTTCAACTGAGTATTCAACGGATTATGATCATCATGATGATTCGCAGCTTCGGAAGGTTCAAAGAGAGTTGAATTTTCTTCAATTTTGTCTTTTACCATTTTTTTGTTATTGAAATGATGATTTCATCATTTATCATTCAAGAGATGAGACCGCACTCAGGTTTCTTTGTAGATTCACAGCCTTGATTCATCCAAAGTTGCAGTTCTCTAGGTTGTTATTTACTGGGTTGACAACGACTTGTTATTAAGGTTGTGGAATAAATGCGCATAGGTTTTTTCCGAAGGAGAATTAAAAAACAATTCATCATCGCAAAAAAAAAGTGTGTGTGCGATTTTCAGAGAGAAGCCTTTGCGTTTGTGTTTTTCATTCAACATCAACGCGGTTATCTTTTTTGGTCATCATCATCAGCAACAACAACATCAGCTCATTTCAATTACTGGTGGCTCTTGTGTAATTATAGAGTCAAACAAACAACAGGAACGGGTTCGGATTGATTTTCTGAGAGACTGGATATTGTATTCATTCATCAATAATCAACCCGAGTTTCTAACACACACATAACTATCGAATACTTAATTTATTGTTGAGATTTTGTAATTATCATCTCAAAATCGGACTGCTCGTTTCTGAATTCTTCCATCATCATCATAGAGTACATTCAAATACAAGATGCCCGCAACACACTCCAAAGTAGTACTCCCAACAACGAGTGATTATTGGCCGGAACAAGTCATTCTTGACATGATTCATGCCTTTGAAGGAATGACCCTCAAGAAAGTTTTCTCTAGCAAATATACATACATTGCAATTGCTATTGCTATTGCAGTCAGATTTGGAGCAAACTATTTGATGAGGAAACGAAGAAGAAATCAACAAAATTCAAACCAACGACAGGTGGAGAGAAAGAAGAGTTCATCAGGTGAAGCCGGACTTTCAACCATTCGAAAGTTTTGGGAACTTGTAAAGATTGGACTTTTCAATCCAAATCAAGCTGGTGAAGCAAGTGCTTTGAGATATAACACAGATCCTGCATATGGTAGAGAAATTTGGATCATGATTGCTCTTGCAGGACTCGTCATTTTCCAATCCTTTATTGTGAATAGAAATAATAGCATTAGCGGTGACTTGATGGCATCCATGGTTGCTAGAGATGCATCTTCATGCATTTACAAAATGTTCCAAATTTCAGGTATTTTAGTATTGCAATCATTGGTCAACCCATCCATTTCGTCTCTCATTGAAACTTTGGCATTGAGAATGAGAAAGAATTTGACCATGGATATTCATGACCGTTATTACACAGATATGGTCTATTACAAGATTTTGAACTTGGATAAGAGAGTTGGTGCTCCTGACCAACGAATTACTCAAGATGTCGAAGTGTTCTGCAAGCAATTCTCTGAACTCTTCATGGACTTGTTGAATCCAATTGTGGAAGTACTCTTGTATACTTATGAATTATCTCGTTTGATTGGTTCTGGAGGCCCAATCAGTATCATCTCCTATGTCGTGATTGCATTTGGTGTATTAGGTATGGTCACACCCAACTTTACCAAAATGTCAGCTGAAGTTCAAAACAAGGAAGGTAAATTCAGATCGATCCACAACAGATGTAAGAACAATGCCGAATTGATTGCATTCTATGCTGGTGAAGAGACAGAACGATTGAAGATTGAGAAACAATTCGAGGAATTGACCTCTTACAGTGACTATGTCATTAACAAGAACTTTTTGTTTGGTGTTGTCAATGACTACTTTACCAAATATTCGCCACACACGGTCACTTCACTCATTGCTGGTGTTCCAGTTTTCTTTGGTAGATTACGACCATTGCCAAAAGATAAGCTTATGGGTCAATTGAGATATTTGATTGCTGTCGTTGCATTTGAATTCTTTGCTTTGGGAAAGATTATCGAACTTTTCAGAAAGTTGTTGAAACTTTCAGGTATGACTCAACGTGTCCATTTGCTCTATCAAGTCATGGATGAACTCAAGCATGGTAACTCTGAAAATATTAACTTCAAGTTACGATCTTCCAAACAAGGTGGAACTGGTGGAGAAATTCTCGAAAGTGACGAAATCAAATTCGATAATGTCATTATCAAGACACCTGACAATATTACTCTTGCTCGTAATTTATCATTCAATGTTGGTAAGAATCAACACATTGTCATTACAGGACCAAACGGTGCAGGAAAATCGTCGCTTTTCAGAATTTTGGGTGCTTTGTGGCCACTCCACAGTGGAACTGTTTTCAAACCACAAGCACAAGGTTCTAATGCTCAAGGTCTACACAAGGAAATCTTTTACCTACCTCAAAAGCCATACAACGTGATTGGATCTCTTCGTAGTCAAATTATTTATCCTGATACACAATTGAAGGATGGTTGGACTGACGAGAAATTGAAGACTCTTTTGGATGATTTTGGAATTGGTTATTTGGCAGGACGTCACGCTGATGGATTCGATGGAAAGCAAGATTGGGATACTCTCTCGAGAGGAGAACAACAAAAGCTTGCCATGGTTCGTCTCTTCTACCACAAACCAAAATATGCTATTTTGGACGAATGTACATCTTGTATTTCAGCTGATAACGAACGAGAACTTTATGGAAGATGTAGTAAGAATGGAATTACTTGTATTACTATTTCACACAGACCTGCTCTTGAAAAGTATCACACCCAGAGACTTGTTTTTAACGGTATGGGAGGTTGGAAATGGGAAGCTATCAAATCTTGGACTGAAGAGTCCTCTGAATATGAGTTGAAGGGTCAAGACAGCTCAATCAGAGATGACAAGGAAGAGGAAGAAGGAGAAGTTGAAGCCACCAACACTGAAACTAAATAAGAGGACAACAAAACCGTTTTAAGAATAATTTATAAACTAGTTTTATTTATTGTAAAGCTGGAACCTTACATACAACCATGAATGTTGGCATATCAGCTTGCTGATTGTGGAGAATTCAGTTTCAAAAGAGTAGACTGATAACATCGAATCAGCAGGTTTTAAATGCCTTCCAAGTCATCTAAAGGAACATCATCTTCAAAAACGTCACGACTTCGCTTCTTGGCCATTCCTGCGGCATCAGTCACTTCTTGATCTGAGAGATTTTCATCCATCAATATTCCAGCAGGTGAGGTCAGTTGCAAAATGTCTTCCTCATCTTCTTCCTTTGTATCGATTTGGCTTTCAGCACCAGTTGCTGCTGCCTCACTTGTATTTTCAGGTACTGTTGTTGTTGTGTTTGGAGATCCACTACCAGTAGATGCCTTCTGCTTCTCTGGCTGTACCTCAGACAATTTTGTTTTCGTAGCTCCTTTTGTTTTTGTTGGTTTGTTTGTTCTCGTATTGAGCTTGGTTTCAACAATTTTGAGTTTAGAGCTCACCATATCCACGCTACTCTCCACACTTTGTTTTAAATGTTTCAAATCTTCCACAATGATATTTCTGCCAAACATTTCTTCACACGCTCGCATCATCACTTGTTCTTCAGAGAGTGATCCTTCCAAATCGTTATTGGAAAGCACCAATCCAAAACATGAAATATAAGAACGTAACACATCAGTCAACACATTAAGAGCGCCTAATTTTGCTCCTTCAAAACCTTCATGGCAAAGTATCATTGAAGTAATGCAAGTGAGAGCGTCATATACATTTCCAGAGGTTGCATTCTGACTTAGTAACATTTCATTCTTTCCAGTCACGATAGAACGATTAGTAGTATCCGTAGCAGTAGCACTACTTTCGGTACTCTTTGAGCTACTGCTACTACTTTTCACATTTTGACGCTTATGGGAAGATGCCAACAAACTCTTTCGCTTTTCTCTCAATTGAATAATCTTATCTACATTTTGTTTTAGCAAGCAATCATTGGAAATCGAATAATTGAATCCAATAAATGGTCCTTCATCTTGAGGAGATGGTGGTGATTTGGTAGCAGTGATTGTCTTACTGGATCTAGAGGCTCTACCACCAGGTGATTTAGGTGTAGAAGGTTCTGCGCCACCTTTTTTAAAGAGAAGAGTGGTTGGTGTTTGACACTCGCCTGAGACTGATTCATAGGAACATTTTAACATGGTCTGTACGGTGTGTTGAAGTTTTGTTAATTGTGCACTCTGATTATAAAATTGAGCGATCATGGATCGATCTCGTAATCCCAGTTTAAAACCTAGATTGCTGATTTGGGTCATTTGGTTTTTGACTCGATCCTCCGATGGAGTTTTGGCAATCATGTGAAATGCAATTTCTCTCAACGACGAGCTCGATAACTTGGTTCCATAGTCAGGAAGTGCCACCGTGTAAAAATACTCTGGAAAATTGCACCTAGTTTCACTCGAAATATTTTCCAAATAAAAAGCTCCCAAAGCATCTCGTTGAAGTTTTGGAATTCTATTTTGCTCTCGTAATTTCTATCGACGGATTCAAAATGATTGATTCAAAATGATTCAAAAAGATTTTCATGATCAAACATTAGAGAAGCAGTAAGGAAAAAATTTTCATTACGTACCACTGAGGGAGTTCTCAAGTCTCGTGTCAGAATGTTCCATCTTTGGTCACGATCGAAAATATCAATATTGTTACAAATTTGAGATTCTTGTTTCAGCTTGTTTTTCAACTCCTTGTATGTTGTAAGATCCTTTGCAGGCAGCACTAGTGTATTCTCAATTTTTGAGGAAAGTTCACTATCAATGAAATTCCATCCATCATCCTCAATCTCATACGTTGTAGGTATATTTTCATCAACAGGTTCGCTGTCAACGACTGTATCTGGTATGGAATCAAAGAGGGAATCAAATGTTTTTTCCAAATTGTCCGCAGCCGTGACGTAAATGTTACCAGGCTCTGTGTTGTAGGTCCTGCAATTGCTGAACATGAGCTTGAAATCATCACGAAAGTCATTCTTGGATCTGTATGACAAGGATTCCAATTTTTTGGAAATCTTTGAAAGGTCCATAGGTTTTTCAATGATGTCAAAGTAATCTTTTGCTTGGGCCTTTGTGACTGGTTTTCTGAAAGGCCAAGCATCTTCCATATCATGAATTGTTGAAAATGCATTCCACATGGCATCATAAAGAGCAATTAGAGAGGAGTTTCCTGTCAAAACCCAGGAATGCTCATGCTTTGGTTTTTTCTTTGTCTGCTTGGTAGTTGTGATGATTTTCTTTTTCTGCTTTTTTTGAGTGGGTGTTGAAACATCTTCTTCTCCCGACTCTTCAGAAAGTGGCATCATCATTGCGTCAGCATCCTTCAGTGATGATAAAAATTCTACGCTTTCGTCATCGTATTGCACTTTGATTGGTGATTGCAAAGTAAAGAGATTGGAAATAAATGCTTGTTCGATGTAGTGATATTTCAACATGTCAGATGGATGAACACGGTCTTTGTTTGTGTCGCTTTTTGATTCCTCTAATAAGGTAAAATCATTTTCCAAACTATGAAATTCACTAAATTGTGAATATTGTGCAAGTGAAATATCGTTATTAAATAGCACATGATTTGTAACAAATGAATCATATAAAATAGATCGAAGTCTCATTGACAATTCTGATACAATTGAGGAAGAAATATTGTTATCATCGACGTTTCCATGATTCCAAAATTTTTCAAATATTTCCTTCTTACTCGTAACGAGTTGAAATAATTTAAATAAATCCTGATTCTTTGATTGTTGGAAAATATTGGTTAATTTCATTTGAGGAGGCTTATCTAATTGTTTAACAAGACAAAACCAGTGATCGGATTCATCCCGATGATGACGTAAAGCACCATTGGGTAAAAGTGATTGATCACTCAACCCATGTTGATGATTCTTGTTTTGGCCATCATTTTCACTGCTGTTGTTATTGCTATTTGTCATCGTAGTCCCTGATGATTGCCGAACCAAGGAGGATGATGAATCCAGGTTTGTCGGCATTTTTAATTATGATGATAATAAAATAATGATAATTGTTTTTCAAAAATGATTAGAAATATTGATTGTTAGTGATAGTATTAAACGTTTATTGATTCTTTGTTGATCATCTCTTGAATCTGATTATTTTCTTGTTAAAATTTCATTCCTGGCAGTTTTGCCAACAACAATATCGTTCAGGTTCAATGATAAAGGCGCCAAAGACTTCACAAAAAAATTATGCTTTGCAACAGTAAGTTTTCTCGCTCGTGGGCTCACAGAATGATTCATCTTACCTTTTGATCATGATGATTATTAACCATTTGTTGAAATGATCATGGCTTAACATTTAGTCAGTGAAACTGTTCCTCTTCATCCCGTAGTCTCTAAAAAGACCGGGCATTTGTTTGAAAAGAGTTTGATTTTAAAGTATATTGAAGAACATGGAAAATGTCCAATCACTGGGCAAGAATTATCACCAAATGATTTGATTGAAGTTGTTTGTATGTTTCCGATTGATGATTGTAGACATTGTTGATTTAATTGTTATTATTAACACTTGATGACCATTTCTTACTTTTCTATGGATATTCATATTTTTGAAATGAATGGCTCTGAATTTAATTATTATTGAATAATCCTTTCAAACAACTTCTCACATTGGATTTCACATTCTGATACTTTCCAAAATCGTCATCATTTGGAAATATTTCAAAACTATTAACACAGCCAAGAAATCTAGTGAAAATACAAAGCCAAACTTACCTGCTGTAGCTAGTATTCCAAGCATGCTTCAAATGTTCCAAAATGAGTGGGATGCATTAATGTTGGAAACATTCACACTGAAACAACAATTGGACAAGTCAAGAAAAGAGCTTTCACATTCACTTTATCAACATGACGCTGCTTGTAGAGTAATTGCTAGAGTAATGAAGGAGCGTGATGATGCTAAAAACACACTAAGAAAACATCAAAATACTGATATGGAGGACGAGGAATCTCTTGTCGGAAAAGCTCTCACACAAGACACCATTGGTAGACTTTCTTCCACGGCAGAGATTTTGTCATCGAACAGAAAACAAAGAACCATCTCTCCAAATTTGAGATCTCCAGAGGAAATGAGCAAAGCCAATACACAGACACTTTCTGCTGAATACAAACTTCATCAAGGAAAAGGCATTCAATCTCTTGACGTCTTGAACACACTTGTATTAAGTGGAGGACGAGATGGATCAATTGCTGTTTTTGACAAGCAATATAATACCTTAATTGGAGAATTGAAGAGTACTTCTGGACCAGTAAGCTGTGCCATTTTCCATAACACTCCAGAATTTGCACTCTCAAGCCATGACCGAGATGTGAAAATATGGTCCCTTAAAGACTCTTCATGTCTTCACACTCTAGAAAAATTGCATTTAGAACGTATTACGGGATTAGCTCTGCATCCTTCTGGACATTATTTCCTTACGTCTTCACTTGACCAGACATGGTCTTTCTGTGAAATTGAAACTGCAACTTGCCTCGCTAAGAGCGAAAATGACAATTCTGGATACACATGTGTTCAATTCCATCCTGATGGACTCTTGTTTGGAACTGGCCTTCAAAATAATTCGATCAAGATTTGGGATTTAAAGAGCCAACAATTGGCCACACAACTTGATGGTCATTCTGGAGAAATTACCTCACTCTCCTTCTCTGAAAATGGCTATTATCTTGCTTCATCCTCAAAAGATAAGACTGTTCGTATTTGGGATTTGAGAAAACTCACTACGTTACATACTTTAGAGTTTGATTCACCAGTGACCAGTGCTTGCTTTGATTTCTCAGGTGTCTATTTAGGTGTTACCTGTAGTGATGGAACAATTGGTGTCTATCAATCGAAGGTTTGGACAGAACTCTTAAAGACCTCTGTGAGCACAAGCAATTTCTCACCTTCATGTATTCGTTTCGGTCCTAACGCCAACTTTATTGCAGTCTCTGGATTGGGTGACAGCACTTTGCGATTCATTGAATAAATTTAGGGTCACAGATCTGACATTCATGAAACTTGTTCGGCTTGGGAAAGAAATACGAAGGCAACAAATTATCTATCCGGGTACTACCTCCCTCTGGCACAACTACAACTTTCCATTTGCATAGAATGGCGCCAAAGTTTTCAAACGAGAGCAATCATCCTCAAAAAATGTCATCGGTAACCACACGAGAACGGCTCCCACCTACAAGAGGCGGCTCTCGTCGGTTACCACTCGAAGAATTCAAATCGAGTCAACAAAGCAAGACGGAAAATAGAGCTCAAACACCTGAAATACCCAATGATGATTTGGTCCAAATGAGGCATACGAGCTCGGCCTCTCTCATTGCTGCTTATAATCGGGCGAGTGGAGGACAAGCAGTGGATGTCATTAAACCACTTTCCAATAACCCGTTATTGAAATTGTCCAAGGAGGAGAAGCCAAAGCGAGATTACATCAAATATCCATTCATGCTCTATGAAGATTCTGATCATTATTATTATTCGGATAATAGTCAAAACTTTTGGCAAGAGACTCGTTCAAATCTGGAGGAGAGTAAGCATGAAAAAACTAAAGATATCTCATCGGGAGTTACGAATTTTGAAGAAGGTGATGAGGAATTGAGGGAAGAATTGTATGATGTACATACTCAAACAAAAGCAAAAACGTTGTGGGCCCTTAGTAGTGGTCTCTCAACACTTGAGAAGACTTCAAATCTATTTGGAAGAGATGAAAAAGTTGTAAATTTAGATGTCAAATCAATCATATCACGGCCATCGTCTTCAAGGTCAAGTCGGTCAGCAAGAAGTAATCCACTCGTTCCAGGTCCATTCAGAGATTTAATTGATGCTGTAGACACGTCTGGAACAAAATTTCAAGAAATTGATGAAACAAAGGATCCCACAAAGAGAACCTACATGACGGATGCTCGAGGTAGATCAGTTTCATCCATCTACCATCCCAATACAAAGAGGCCAAGTCGTATCAGCAACCTAGTTGAGAATATTTCCATCACCAACGAATCCCTCTATACCTACATTTCAACAGAAAATGTCACAATCCTTGATTTAGAGAGGTGTGTTGACATCGACAACAAGGTGTTGAAAAGCATTGGCGAATTTTGTCCTCGTTTGAAGTCTTTAAACTTACAACATTGTTCTCAATTAAGGGATAGCACCATTCGAGTTATTGTCAATGGATGTGCAGACTTGCAAAATATTAACATTGGAATGTGTCACCTTATTACCGATGACAGCATTGTAGAAATATTTACACATTGTAGAAAATTGACAGTCTTGTCGCTTCACTCATGTGAGTTGGTGACTGGAGAAATTTCATTTCCTCTCACGAAAAACACGCCCAATCTCCAAGTTGTAGATATTAGTTATTGTACAAAATTCTCAGATATTGCTCTGCAATTTCTTTCAGAGTACTGCCCAAACTTACACCATTTAGACATTAGTGGATGTCCATTAATACAGGATGAGGGACTAATATCTATATGTAAGCATTGTCCACAATTGAGAACGTTGAGAGCAACTATATTGTCTCAGCCTACCATTACCAATGAGACGTTATCTTTCATTACCAATTATGCAAGAGGAATTGAGGTGCTCGAGTTGAGTGGAGTTTTCCAAATACGAGATCAAACTGTTCAAGATATATGTAAATTTGCACAACGATTAGAATTTCTTTCGTTGAGCGGCTGTCCACAAATCACAGACGCTAGTATTCACACAATTTCAGAGACGTGTCACAATTTGAAATGTCTTGAAGTTGCTGGCTGTAGAAAAATTGGTGTTCAAGCTCTCTTAGAACTCATTCACAAAATAACGAAATTAAGAAGGCTGGTGGTGACACGATGCAACATTTCTGCAGAGGAGCTTGACATTCTTCAAAAATTCACAAACGGCAGAGTGGCTGTGTTAAAACAAGAACCAAAACCAAAAGAAACAATTCGAGAATACTTTACCATCGAGAAGGAACAAGCTAAAAAGAAGAAGAAGGTGGTAAAGAAGAAGGACAAGAAAGCAAAGTAGGGGCGTAGGAAGATTATTGGACTCCGTCGTAATCATTTTTCAAAGAAATCACCATTGGAAACTTCTTCGAAATTCTCGGCCTCTAATATTTGTTCTCCGATTGTGCAACGAAACAGCGTAACAATTGATCAGCTTTTTCATAAATAAATATTGCTATTACAAAGATCTATGCAACTTTTGAAAATTGAGAGTGTCAACTTGAAGGGAGTGTTGTGTGCATTTGTCACCTCTGTATTTTGTAAAAATCATCAAAAATCGATTGTGAAAATTGAAAGAGATTTTTTGAAGAACGAAAAAATAATCATCACACAATGTCTTCGTATGGCACCCATGCCGAAGGCATCACAAATGGAATAGAGGGTGTTGCGTCCACACAACCACCAATTTCCATCTTTCAAAAGATTGCCCGTAACAAGAACGTGAATATAGTGGGAGCAATTATTTTGTCAATAATTCTAGTATTGAGTTTTGCTTGTTGTGTTGTTGTTGGTGTTCTTCACTCACATCTATTATTCCAATGTGGGTTTGCAGAGTTTATATTTATGTTGTTATTGGAAGGAGCTACCTTCTTCTTTTGCGTTTATCACCTCTATAATATTTACAAGTTCTTTAAAACTAGGGCCCGACAATCAGGCAAGAAGGGTTTTGCTGCCCTGGCTGCTGCTCTATGTTCATCCGAGTTGAATCAATATAATGCCTACTCTGGTGGCATCGACTCTAGACAAGGAGCAAATGAAGAGGAAGAATTTGAGGATGATGATGACGAAGATGATGATGAAGAAGAAGAGGAAGAAGAAAGCAAATTCTCCAAATTTGTGGTAGCCTTTTTGAAAATATCTGCCAATATCATTGCCGTGTTGTGCTTTATTGTATTGATTGTTTTTACTGTCGTGATTGTTCCTTTGCAACAAAACACCTATCCTCTCTACAATGGTTCTCTCCGATTACCTAATTTCAAACCTCGTGGCTCTACAGCACCGACTATTTTGCGAGAACAGACCGGAGTGGTGCATATCAAGGCTTCGCATGACTATGATCTCTATTTTGCACAGGGTGTTGCAGTGGCTCAGGATCGTATGTGGCAATTGGAATTCAATCGTCGATTGGCGAGAGGTATTTTGGCAGAAGTTGCCGGAGTGGATGCTGTTCCTGTCGACAAGTGGTTCCGTACCATGGCGTTCTATGAGAATGCAAAGAATGTTTTACCCAATATTGATGCCGAGTCTCTCTCATTCATTCAAGCCTATTGTGATGGTATCAATGCTTATTTCAATTCAAATCCTCCTCTTCAACCTGAATTTGTCTTGTTGGGAACCAAACCAGTGGCATGGGAACCTTTGGATGTTCTTGCCTACATGAAGTTTGTTGCCTATGGACTCTCTGATAATATGGACAAGGAAGTATGGAGATTCAAAATGATGCAACGTGGTATTACTAAGGAGAGAATTAATGAGCTCGTTCCATATTACCCATCCGATATGCCAACAATTTTGAATGATGAGGAAATGAATTTGGAGAATATGACTATGGCTGAAAGAGAGCAAATTGAAAAGGATCAACAAGATGATTCTGCTGCTTTTATTCCACCAAAAATTCACAACTTGACCATGTCTGTCATGGAAGAAATGTTCCAAAAATTGGAGAAATCAGGTGAATGGGGCCGACAAGCTGTTCAATCCTCTCTCAGATCCATGATTTCACCAGATCTCATGTATCACAAGGCATCCAACAATTGGGTTTTAGGTAGCTCTATTACCTATAACAATGGTTCCATTTTGGCCAACGATCCTCACTTGTCTCTCTCTGCACCAAGTGTTTGGTATTTGATTCATTTGGAAGGTCCAACTCATACGGCGATTGGATCTACCTTCATTGGTACTCCTGGTGTCGTTGTTGGAAAGAATGACTTTATTTCATGGGGTGTGACTACTGCTCTTGCCGACACACAAGATGTTTATGTCATGAAAGATTCTACTGATGGAAAGGGCTACATTTACAATGGTGAAGTCAAACAATATACTGTCAGAAATGAAACGATCAAGGTCAAGAATGCTCCTGATCAATATGTTGCTGTGAAAGAGACTGTCTATGGACCAGTCATTAACGAGCATTTTGAAGTCGATGGTAATTATACCTTGTCTTTGAAATCATTGAACACCTATGCCAATGACACCACTGCAGTTACTTTCCTCAAGTTGAATAGACAAGCCAAGGACTGGAGCTCATTCCTCGATGCCGTCTCATACTTTATTGTTTCTGCACAAAACTTTGTCTATGCTGACAAGCAAGGTAATATTGGATACTACTTGTCTGGCTTGGTTCCAATCAGAAAACAAGGTCACAATGGTCGATATCCAGTTTTGGGAGATGGTACCTACGATTGGTTGGGCTTTATTCCTGATAACAAGAAGCCTATTGTTTTCAATCCAAAGAAGGGTTATGTTGCCTCAGCCAACAATCGAGTGGCACCCATTGGTTATGCTTACAGCATTACTCAAGATTGGCTTGGATTGTATCGATCGGGTCGAATTGTATCCATGATTGAAACTGCCAAGTCTAAGGCACAAAAGATTGACTTTGATTTTGTCAAGCAAATGCAACACGATGTACACTCACCGCTCTTTGATCAATTCAAATTTGTTTTTGACGACATTCCAAAGTATAAAAACTTGTCAGATGACCATGAAAAGTGGAGACAACGAATTGTGAAATGGAATGGTGACGAGGTGTTGTATTCTCAAGAGGCTTCCATTTTTGAAATGTGGGTCAAGATTATGGGTAATCTTACAAAGGTTGAGACTGTGAATAGATGGTCCTTTGGTCCATATCTTTACAATGCTTTAACCAAGGGAGACAGTGCTTGTATGGCCTATCACAACACAACGTGTATGTTGTTTGCTATTGCAAGCTATGAGCAGGCCATTAATGAATTGGAGGGAACTTATGGATCTGTTCCAACCTGGGGAAGTGATATCCACGAAGCTCAATTCCCTAACCTTGTTCTGGATAACACTATCTTGAAATGTCTTGCCGGAGGTAGCAAAATGATTGTTGGAGGATCATCAACAGTGAACGTTGGAGAAACCAAGTATCCAGCTCTCAATACCGTCTTTGGAGTTTCATATCGACAAGTTATTGATTGGCGAGGTAATCAAGCAAGCTTTATCATTCCAATGGGCCAATCAGGCAACTTTTTATCACCACTCTACACCAACTTGTTGGATATGTGGGCGGATCCAAATGGTAAATATTTGGACATGAAATCTGTTGACTACCCTGTCGCACACACCCTCACTCTTGATTCTCAATAATTTTGTAAATCACCTTTTAATTATTATTTAAAACCTGACTTTGATAAACTTCATAATACTTTTGTCAATTATTTTCAACTTGAACATTGTTTATGGCCACTAGTCGCTGACGAGTAACGCCTCAATTCATTAGTAAAGGTTACTCTCTTTTTTACCAGTGAACCATTATGCACAGCAATTTCAAAGAAGAGCAGGAATGCCAAAAGAACTTGCACGGTTTTTCATTGGACAACGACATTATGGCGGCGCAATTGGTACTAGAAACCTGTCAGATATTCGTCAATCCCACGTCAGCTGATTTGAGTGAACCCCAAAGGAATCAAAAATAAAATGAGTGAGTCTCTTCCTGATTGGTTTGCAAGGGTTTGAAGAACCGAAGCAACTTGGGTTCTTACTGCAACAACAGACAAACTGAAACGAAATATAGAGGCCATAGGACGTTACACCATTATTCGCTTCAGCTTAAGCTTGTAAAACAACAGCGTGCCAACGAACAGCTCACGGAAGACAGATCCTTGCTAGCACCCTAAACCAGAACTATTACCAATTCTACTGCATGACATTCAACGAATAAATTTTTTTATGCTTTCTTTTTCATTTTTGACTTGACGAATATCTGACAGGTTTTTAGTGCGCTTCAACGTCGGATGCGCCGCCATAATCTTCAAAAACGAAAAGCATCCCAATAATAACCCATGAGCCGCCATGGAACACATCATCACCCACAAAAAAATATTCCCACACAAAATGTCTGACGCTCCAGTAAGTATTCTCTTTTAATTGTGATCAGTTCCCCAACAAAGCCTGTCATCTATTGATATCGCCCGTTCCATCATCCTTGTTGAATTACAATACACAAATCATCATCGTATAGAAAACCGAAACACAACAAGACGTTCAAGGACACGAAGAAAAGACCACTCACGGACACAGAGTGATTTTGGCTGCTCAATCATTGTTCTTCAGAAAGTTGATTTTGGAAGATCTCGAGAAGAAACACTAAATCGTCTACGAAAATTTCCCAATAAAATCAAAAACCTTGTATAAACACCATGATGTTTTGTTATCGGATCACTTAATAGTAACTAATTTTTTGAGCGTAGATGGATCTAATTCGTTCAAACGAATGCAACTGTCTTTCTTGAACTCCCGAACGATCTTGAATCCAACAAATTGATATTGTTCTTTCTTCTTCCATTCCAAACGAGAGTCTTCCTTTTCAGCCATCGCACCGTAGAATCAAAAAAATATCTTCTTCAAAACAACAACAATTTCCACCTCCATCACATTCAACAACAACACACAATGAATGGTTATGGTGATCTTTCGGCATTTGGTATCATTTTGATAATATTCGGTGTGTTAGGAGGAGTTTTCAGTATTGTTTCAGCAATTGTTTATCTTTGCTATTTTATGAGCAGTGATGATAGAGGAAAGGCTTGGTGTCCAAAACTTGTGGTGATATTTGCGTTTGCTCTTGCTGTGTGTTCCGTGTTTTTACTTCCGTTGGATGTAGCAAACACGAAACTGGACGGAGGACTGGGCTTTGCCTTCCAAGTCACATGGCAAGTCTTTTACGGATTTGTTGCATTGTTCGTGGTCTTGGTGATTCCATTCTTCATCTTTTATTATGAATCCGAAGACCCAGAAAAGAGGTAGGTATATCATTTTGTGAATGAGAGAACACAGAATTTGTGAACCAATTTCAATCTACTGCTACTACTGTACTGATTATTATTATTTTGAAACATCAACATTCTCATGCCGATGCAAACTGCCATAATGAAAATTTCTCATGGATGTTTTGAAATAATATTATTATTACTGATATAATTGCCTGATTCATTATGTACTTATTATTACATTTTCATGAACTACCCACAATTCAAATATTATGGAAATTACGATTTTATCATGAACAATACTCCAACAGCTTCTTGCATCAAATCAAGTGGGGAACATGTGCTACGATTGTTTCCTTTTTATTCGTAACCATCCTTACTGCAGTTACATACTTCTTCTTTGGTTGGGCCGATATTCCATTCATGCAATACACTCAAGCAGTTTCCTCACCTACATTAAGAGATGCCTTACTCCAAGCAACACCAGCATATGTAAGTTCTTGTTGTTGAAATTGGTTTTTGAGGATTGAATTCATATGAAATGGGTATATGTTCATGACGATTGCGCTGCCTGATCACAAATTAATGACCTACATGAACAGGCTGATGAAAGAATATTATCAATCTTTGTCTCCATTGTGATTTATGTTATTGCTGTCATTCTCTTCTTGGGTTACTTTGTTTTCATTATTTGCAGTGGATGTGGTATGACTGCATTACCTGTTACACTCATTAAGGCTTTCATCTTTAAACCAAAGAGAATTCGAAGTAGCGAGTTTATTGAGGCTAAAGCAAAACTCATGAGACAATCCAAGAAAATGATTGAGATTGGAACCAAGTTGCAAGAGGCACAAGACGAAGGAAAAATTGCTCTCAAGGATCGACGTGTCTTGAATGATTTCAAAATGGCAGCCTACAAACTTGAAGAAGAATGGAAGATTATCCACACGAGCTTCTTCTCTGCTGGAGGTTCTGTCATTTTACCAATTCTCTATCTCATTCTCGGAATTGTGTGTTGTTTGATCTCTCTTGCATGGATCATTCACTTGATTGTTTATTGGGCAATTATTGATCCACCAAATGGTATGCTCAATGTAGTTTTCAATTGGTTGGACGATTTGACAGTTGGATTCCCAATTCTTGGAGGACTTCTTTTCTGGGTATTCACTGTTTATCTTGTATTTACCGTTTTGGCTGGAAATGCAAGCATTACGAGCAGAATTCCATTGTTTGCCATTCACCCAATGAAGAAGGGTGACACCATGATGAATTCTCTAATGTTCAACACGGGATTGATTTTACTTTCATCTGTAGTTATTAACCAATTTTCTCAGAGAGCATTCAATTCATATTCTAGGTCTACAGCTATGGATATTATTTTCAGTGGAGCTATCACAAACTTGAGATATATTCAATGGTTCTACTTTGCCATGATTTATGCTTATTTGGCATGCTGTGGAATTGGCTTCTTCCTTGCACTTATTTGTTGTAGAGAAAAGACAAAGAACGAAAAGGATTTGGAGGATGTGCTTGCAAGGTTAGACATTGGATACTCATCGAGTGAACCTGTTGAAGGAAATCAACAATGATTCCATTTGGCACAAATACGTTTGAATAACAGTTAATTGCTAATTTGTAAAATTTATAAATCAACTTTCTCAAAAACTTGATGTTGTGTGCTGTTTTTACAAATGTTGTTGTTTTTTTCCATGACTATGAATTCATGATTCAGTCAATTGGAAATATTGTCTAATTTGCATTAGAAACTGTTCCATAAGAGTACTGTGTTGGTTGGGGCTCTGTAGATTGACCTTCTTCATTTGTTTCATTTTGGCCAGTTGTTGTTGGAGTACTGGTGTCAAGAAAGATTGGATTATTGGTCATGATTGTTCTGCCTCGTCGAATTCTGCAAATACAATTTGTTAAATTTGTAATTACAAATTTGATTGTTGGTTAGTTGATTGTTTGGAATGACACCAACGACGAAAACTACTACGTACTGCAAAATATAAATAAAAATTCTGAGAGCATTGACAGTGCAATGAAAACCAATGAGAACTTCCTCAGCAAATGCAACATTGCTCCAAAAGTAATTTTCCTGATTTTCAATAAAACAATAAAGTAATAACGAAAAGATGACTATGGCAGCCAGGGAAACAAAAATATTGCACCACACAATGATTCTCTTGTACTGTGTATGGGAATCAATTCATTGTTTGTGTGTATGTAACAAAATGGCATGTAAACTCGCACAATAAAAAAACATACCCAATGTCTTCGATAAAGGAATATACTCAAAAAGCATTCATATACAATAGCGAATGTACAAAACCCTTCCAGAGCTAAAAACCAAATTTCCTCAATTCTTTTTTCCCAATAAATCATGTATTCGAACATTCATGATTTTAAAAAATTGTCACCACAATAATATTAGCATTCAATTTCATGGAACAATTTCTTAAACGCACTTACTTTCCTCTCTTATAAATAGCCCATGCAAACAAAAATGCTGCCAATCCACTCATAATTAATAAATACAAAGAATAAATAATTGAATATCTCCATTTTACAATTAAATCTCGTAATGAAAAGTTTTCAAACAATTTTCGTGTGATGAATTTCTTTCGTTCTTGATGAAAATTGTCAATTTCTTGTGTTTGATATCGCGGTGAGGACACCACCACACCATTTTCAACATCATGGTGGTGCTGGCTTAACATTGCTTCTTCTTCTTCATCTTCTTCATCATCCTCATCGGTTATTATTTGAGGAGTATAATAGGTAGCTACCCCGAGTGGATGAGTCTCTGTATGCTCATCGGAAAGATGTTTTTGATGATGTTGTTTGGTCTGGTGGTTTTGTAAATGAGGAACATAATGAGGGTCTACTTTCTGAAATTTCCAAAATCATCGGGTATACATGATCATTAAATGTGTAAGAATATGAATATAAACATTCATAGATGAAATCATCAAAGAAGAAATACGAGTCTCAATCATGATGATTAATAACAATTGAATGAACACATACATTCACCTTTTCTAATAACTTGTTGTTGGATGGTTCCGAATGAGTACCATTCGTTGTTGAAGAAGAAGGGGATGAAGAAAGCTCGGAAAGTAAATTTTCATCATGAATGGCCACAAACGCTTGCTTGGGTTGAACAACTTGAATTGTGGAAGAAGAAGATGAAGCTTGCGGCATTTTTCTCTCGTTTTCATCCATCAACAGCAAAGAGCGACCCATGAGAAATTTGGTTCATTATAATATGTTTGGAAGTTGCAAAGATGGATTGTAATGTGAAAGGCTCATGACATGAATTAAGGTACACCCTCTTTGGTCTCCCAATGGTTATTGATGTAAAATAATAATTTAAATTGGTCACTTTATTTGGTTTGAATGATACCACTGGCAATTAACTTTTGAATTTTGCCGTAAATGTCAGGATTTCTCAAGTGCCTTTGTGCAGCCATTGGGTCAGTTTGGAAATCTCTCAACACTTGTTGCATGACTGGATCTTGAAGAATACCAGCAATTTCTGGATCCTTCATGGCATTTTGAATTCGTTGTTCATCTCTCTCACCAGCACTATTTTGAATGGCATTCATGACAGCACTCATACCATTCTTCACCTCCTCATTTTCTGGGTCAATCTTGCTTGCTTGATCATAGGTTGTGAGGGCCTTATGATATTCCTTACAGGCCATGTGACATTGTGCTTTTCTAATGTAGGCCTTTACAAAATTTGGATCCATCTCAATTGCCTTCTCAGCATCTTTCAATGCATAGGCAAACTCTGCTAATTTGATATAGCATGCAGCTCTGTTACTGTAGAGTGTTGGATCTTTAGGATTTCGCTTGATGGCTTCATTGTATTCCTTCATGGCTTCTGGAAATTTCTTTTCCTTGAAATAGTTATTACCCTTATTCTTGTGCTCAGCAGCAATCTCTGGGCTAATGTAGGCCTCTTCTTCTAATTTTTTAATAAGCTTTTCAGTTTCTTGCTTCTTCTTGACAACTTCTGGGTTTCTATGCTCTGTAATTGACTCTGTATAGTAGTGAAGAGCTTGTGTATAGTTTTGTTGTCTAAAATATGCATTACCAATTCGAGCATAGCCTTTGGCAAGCTCTTTAAAATCGGCATGATTGGTCTTTCCAACTTCAATAGCCTCTTCACATTGCTTGATACATTTCGAAAAATCTCCTTGTTCCATATACACAGCAGCCTTATTCAAATAGAGAACCATATTGGTTGGATCCAATTGAATGGCTTTCTCATAATGTTCCAGAGCCTTGTCAAATTCCTTCTTTTTGTAATATTCATTTCCGAGATTCTTCTCAATCATGGCTGGTTGTTGATTTAATTCCTCCAAACGCTTCTTTTCTTCTTCTTGTTTTTTACGTTCCTCTTCCTTTCGTCTTTGTCGTTCTTCTTCTTCTCTCTTTCCTCTCTCAGCTCTCATACGTTCCTCCATTTCGGGATTCACTTGCATCAAGAAAATCATGGTTTGCATAATTCTTTGATCGGCAATATATTTCTGTAAGCTTTGTGGATTACTTTGGAGGTCTTTGAGAGCATCCACATAATCCTTCTCGAGTAAATATTTGGCGAGTTCTGGATGATTTTCAATTTTACCAAATAAATTTGGATCGTTGAATACTTTCAAGAGAGGTAATGCTGCATCTGCTCCCATAGGACCTTCTTGATCTGTTGACATGTTATCTTGATCCGATGATGAAAAGCCAGAGTTGATCAAGGCAGTCTCCACTTCCTTCATTAAATTCTTAATTTGCTCATTGTTGGGTTCAAGTTTGAGTCCATTCGTTAATTCTTGAAATGCTTCCTCGAGTCTTCCGAGACCATAGAGTGCTTGTCCCTTTCTCAAGAAGCCTTTGGAGAATGATGGTTGTACCTCGACACATTTGGTAGCATCTTGCAAAGCTTCTGGGAATTTACTCAACTTTAAAAAGACTGCAGCACGATTTGAAAGCAAAACATGATGATTAGGATCGATCTCAAGACCTTTCGTGTAGAGTTTCACAGCTTCTTCATCTTTGCCTTCCTTCAATGCTTGATTTCCTTGATTTTTGAAATCCTCAGCAGAACTCATGGTGAATTTTTTTCTCTTGTTGAATTCCTGGAAGGCCGATCGGAATGTGTTTTCAGTTTTTCGGAATCATCTTCCGAATTGAAGAGTAAATCAAATGAAAAGGTTGGTAATGAAAAAGACAACATATGGAACGTCATGTAATTCATTGCACGTTTCCTATCTCATGAACACTCTCTCCTTTGATAAGGTATAGGACTTTTTAAGTGTTAGAGATAAAAAATTGAAACAAACACAGCCATTAACCACTTTGATTATTAAAAGCGTTGCTTCTTTCTCTGAAAAGCCATCAAGAGTGTTGCTGTGTTCATACGGTCATTGATAGCTTGGATATTGTTATTGTGGATGGCAGAGAGCAGCTGCAGGGTATAGATTTTTCATGCTTCGGAGCCTTAGTAATATTGTCATCAACTTATTATTATAACGTTCAATATCTATTTTATAACACAAATGGAATCTCCAATCTCTCTTACTTCTTCAATTGATCATGAAGAGAATAATAATGATAATGGTTTTAATATCAGAAAAGATGCCAAACCCTTCCTTCCATTGTTGAATACAAGTGTTTCGTTGCAAATCCCCGAAATCCATTCAGCGTCAATCACGCTCACATCTCCGAGTACACCAAAAGAAATTTCTAGAACAGGAGGAGAAAGGAACGTCCGAGAAAGACCTTCTCCAAGGAGAGCTTTTTCATTTGTTTGGAAAAATCATTCTCTCAACAATTCAACAGCCTCAAACGAATCGTCACCCTCTTCGCTAAGTCATACTCCTCAAAAACCAAATGATAGTCAGCTGTTTGATGATAGAGAAATTAAAAAAGTTATTACCATGTCACTTCAACTCACGGAAGAAGTAAAACGACTAAAAACAAGCTTGTCAGGCAGAGAATTGCAGAATCAAATATTGGAGAAGGAGAACCAATTTTTACATGATGAACTAGCAGCCTTTAAAGAAAAAGTTTCTGCCTTAGAATCTAAAAGTAACAAACTCAAATATCAAAGAGATCGGTATCACGGTCAGCTCAGCTCTCTTTCAGAAAAATATGAGGCTATAAAAATCAGAGCTTCTTCGCTGCAAGCCTCCATTATTGGAGATAAGGAGTATGTTTCTGATGAGGAAGAAAATTCGTCGGGTAATACATCAGCTGAGAGCTCAATCACCGAAGAAGACTCGGGTATCAAGCCTCCATACTCGAATAACAATGCTAAGCCTAAAGAAAAAGGATGGATCACAACAGCAGAGCTCAAAAATAATTATCATAGCGTGTGTGACAAAGTTGATGAGCTGAGTGTCAAGTTGGAAAGAAGTGAAAAATCTCTAAAAGAAAGTCTGCAACAAAACAAATTGTTGGAAATTCAGTTGGAAAATGCACGAGCAAATGAAAAAGCACTGCTTCACAAGTTTGAGCAAATGGAGCAGCTATACTTTGAATCTTGTGAAAAATTGGAGGCTGTTAAATCATCGAAAAAGGACTCGATATCTTTTCGCCTTGATGATACGAATCATACTACAGAAAATGAAACAATTCACAATTCGTCTTCAGAGGATGTCATATCTACGCATGAAGATGAGAATGAAAATACCGATTGGCCCTCTGTGGATGCCCTCTCAGACCATATCGGTCTTATGTCTACTGAAATATTTGAAGGAGAAGAGCAAAGTGTTTTTCTTGAAAAGGAAAACCAAAGATTAAGGGCACAAATTGAAGAGCTACAACGAATTCTAGATCATACACGGGACGATCTTCAATTATTGAGGATACAATCTACGCTGTCATCACCGAGAACCCCTAGGCTGTCAACACCAAGAGAATTTGAAAGACCCTCCTCAGATCGATCAAACCAAAGTGAGAGTGTGGATTCAAAAATTATGGACGAATGGACCAAGTTATTAGCTGATAAATTTGACCATAATCTTCAAATACTCAAGGAGCAGGTAGTGAAATATGAAAAGAGAGCACATGCTATGAATTCTTCGCACGATCGCTCATATGAGTCCTCCAGTTCATTGCTTGAAGATTATTTTAGGTTGACACTACTTTCTGTAAAAATTCTGTTATCTAAGGAACCTCGATATCAAAATACAGTATGGTACAAAATATGGTGTGATATTGATAGTGAAGAGATTTACTCTTACATGCTTTCCAATGAAATTCCCATTGAAGAATGGTGGCTTTTTCTGTTCACAACTGTACAAACACGATTGGAACATGCCAAGTTGGAATATGAGGAAGAAGAAGAGAGGGATAGTGAAAAGTAACATCACAGAAATATCAATGGTTAGCCCAAGGGCCAGACTCTCATTTGTCAGCATGTAAGCAAATCATTTCAGTTATCATCTAAAATTCCCTAAAAGTAATCTAGATTTCTTGAATTTTCGTAAGACGGTTCTCAAACAGTTGCTACCTGTGAAATTGCTGTTAGAAAACCATGTTAGAGAACGAACGTCTCTTGATCAATTATCCAATAATATTATTTAACGTTACAAGTAATTCCACGAGTAGCTACTCATAGATAGCCTCTATAATTACGTTAGCAATTGCCATGTCACCTTCATGAGAGAGGGAAAGATGAGTAACATAATCACTAGCATTTCTTTCATCCAGAATTTCTTTCAATATTTTTGAAATTTCTTCACCTTCCAGCTTGAGAAGAGGAGGGAATAATCGAGTCCTGTAGTTATTTGGAATTTTGGAAGCAATATCTGTTTGGGTTGGTTTTTGTTGTTTGTGAACATACATTTGCTTGCTACCAATTCCACTCACCCCTAATGCTTTTATGGTAGCCTCCTTTGCAGCCCATCTCGATGCATAGTATTGTGCAATTTTCATTTGCATGACTTTGTATTGCTGTTGAGATGATAAATTTTGATTGAATTCTTGAGTGGTATGATCTGATACAAAATTATGTAATTCATCGTCATGCAACGAATTGGTATCGTTTGTATGAATGTTATCATTAATTTGATGATGAAATGCACTCTCAAAACTGAAAGGACATTGCTCGATTTCCATCGGATGATAAATTCTTTTCACAAACGTTTCTCCATGTTTCATCAACAATTTATGCATTCTTGATATAGATGTTAAATCTATACCCATACCAATTATCCTACTTTTAGCTTGTCTCATCCTGGTACTCGAGAGGGTTGTTCTTTCAATTCTTCTTCGGTGTGATTGTTGGCTTTCGCTTGTAAGAAAGTGAAGGAAATTTGTTGAATGATATTTTTAAAGCCTTGTTTTAAAAAAAATATTTGGAGGTTTTTTCGGAGATATTCATCCCTTTTCTCTTCATCACCAGAGCGTGTGTGATAGATATTTGAAGTTCGTTTTTTGGTGAGAGACTTTTGTGTGTGATTCGTATCGGATGAGTTTTGAATAGGATTGTGGATGATTACCATGATGATGAATAATAGTAACAATACCTCTGGAAATATAATACCAACAACAACAACGAGTACGGCCATGAATAACAACAATAACAACAGTCTTTCAGAAATGATGAGTTTAAATTCAAGCTCGGATAAACTCGGTATCATGCTCAACAAGGACATCAGTAACAACATTAACAATAATAATACTTACCACTCTACCATGATGGAAACAGACTCAACCATTCCTCCACATTTCAATCATAACAATTCAAACAACAATCAACATATCAGTAGTATTCCATCTCCCAATATTGAAGGTACATTCATTAATCCCAACAACAGCTCAAATCTGACTCAACAATTCCAACAACCTCCACAAGAAATGGAGGCTTTTCCTCTCAATTCTCTAGGCAAAACACCCTCTCCAAATTTTCATTCCTCAGCTCCTTCTCTCCTTAATAACAACAAGCCCGTATTGGGAGGTATGACTCAATCACAAGCGACGACAGTTATTAATACTCATGCCAACAAGAACCCGAGTATCATGGGCCATACCCAATTACCATCTATGGTGGGCAACACATTCATGGCTCAGCAACAACAACACCACTCATTGTCAGAGCATACCTATCAGCATGCTTCACAACAGCATTTACAAAATTCCAACGACGGTCTTCCCTCTCTTCAACAATTCGGACTTCTTTTCAGCCATTCCTTAAATGCACATCCATCCAACATTCATGGCAGTAGCAGCGTCACTTCAGAACACATGTCTCCTCTCCATAAACAACATCTAGTGCCAACAACAAACAATATTATTGCATCATCCATTCACAATGAAAACAATGGCAACTCACAACTAAAATTCGCAAGTCCTCCAACCCCAACTCCTAATTCTCTTCATACGAGCCCAATATTGAACCTATTGGTGCAATCACAACAAACGACAGAAAGTCAACAACCATCAAATAGTACAAAGCACCAACAAAGAAATGCTTTTGCATCTTCTCCTCCATCTGTAGCTACTCTCAAGAATGTATCCAACATTTCAATGCCATCACACCAACATTTCCCTCATAGTAGTGCCACCTCGAATACTATTAGAAGTGTCAACCAACAGCAATTTACAACCAACAGCCCTTCTCCCATGAACTCAACTCCTACCTCTCTAAATTCTCCAGAAAAGCTAACCAATTCCTTCACACTACCTAGCAATCCCATGATTTATGAAGGCCTCATGAAACTTGTAGCTCATCGTATTATGGAATGCATTTTGGCATTCGATGAGAAAACTTCCAAAAATACAGAAGCTAAGAACAGACTACAAGATGAGTGGAACAAACTAGTGAACGACTATTTCATTGTTGGAAAACGTTTAGAAGGATTGCCCCAAATGCTGCATTGCTTATACGGGATGTTGACTGAAGAATCTGAGGTTGATATTGTAAGAGAGAGATTGTATGAGGAGAACAACGTGCCTAGATATTTCTCTATTGATTTTAAGGCTAATCTTAGATTATTACGGCTCAAAATTTGTATCTTCTTTTTGCTGTACAGATTGAGCAGCGGCAGCTGTTTCCAAGATACAAGCTCTTTTGAGGAATTCTTGGACATTAACTCATTAAGCGTGAACGAGAAGATATTTAGCTCCATGTCATGGGAGCAATTCATCTTAGAGATGGATGCCATAGAGAGCAAATTAAGATTTAGAGTAGATCTCGTATCCCACCACGAAAGTGATGAGAGCGATGATGAAGACACTGGATATGTCCTGAGCGTAAAACAAAACACGATGAATAATGTCAAGCTCAAATCAGTAGCAGAGGAAAAATTGTCTGCTTCCTTTGACCAACTTTTGCTGGAAATGGGCGTTGTGAATTCTTTGAATAAGCCTACTCAACCTAAATCCTACAGACTTCAACTTTCCGTTCAAATGTCCAACTATTTAACAATTACCAAGTATAGCAATACCATTATTGATGTATCTGTTGATGGCGTACCTTCAAGCCGAACCATTCACGATCTCTCACCATTACGTATTGTGTCAGCCGAAAGAAAGAATCGAGTTGTAGTGTTACATTTTAGTAGAGATTTTTTTGTCACTCCAACAAGAGACAAGTCTGATATCGACTTTGTGATTGAATTTGGAAAAGGTAATGACAGAAAAAGAGCATCTGCCAAGAGCATTTATATAGATCGTTTACTGGTCGATTTTTCCTCCCACACCATGTATCAACATGTTTCAGTGTATAGAGGCCAAGAAATTTTGTGTGAGGAATTGGAGATTACAATGCTTAATAATTGTGTGGGAACTGTAAATTCAGGAGGGCTCAAACTTAGTATAATCGCTCCAACATCATTGTCAGAAGAGCCAAATAGCGTATCCTCAAATACAAGCAGTGTCTTCTCCCCTGGATCCACCACTCCTCCATTTTCAGAAGAGTCTCCACGCAGTTGCAAGAGAGCCTACTCTGCTGATGATGAAAAAGCAGGTTCTTCAACTTGTGTCAGTCCCAGCGGCTCCAAAAGAGCAAAAAGTGGTCACAATCAAAACAACATGAATATGGCAAGTATTTCACAATACGTTAAAAGCTTTCGAGATAGGTGTGGATTCTCTTTGTTGCACATTGCAGCCATGTACGGATTTAATAATGCCATTGAATTTTTGCATGAAGCCCTCTCCATGTCCATCGATATTACTGACAATTATCAATATTCTCCATATCATTGGTCATGCTTTGCATGTAAGCCTTCCACAGCAAAGCTACTGATTAGCAAAGGAGCAAGCACAACACGAAGAAACATTCACATGGCCACAGGAATTGAAATTGCTGCTGCCAAAAATCACAAACAGTTTGTTGAGGAGCTTGAATTTGAACTGGAACAGCATGCCTGTTCGGCTCTTTTTGACTTGTACGCCCATGTTTCAGAATCAGACAACAACAACATGGCTATTCAACCACAACAGCAACGACCAAAAGTACCAAATCCACCACTTGAATGGTCTACACCTCCCACTAACGACAATATTCCTCAAAATTTAAAGATCCCTTCACATAATAATAAGGTGAAACCAATGAGTGTCAATACTAACCTCAGCAACAAGAATACTGAATCTAGATCAAAGAAAAAACCAGGTGAAAATAAGATCAGCCCAACAACTGCTGCAACAACACAATTAGTGAGTCCACCCCCAACTTCTGGCAGGAAGCAAACCAGCTCATCAAAATTGACTCCAAGCTCATCATACAACACAGATTCACCCATTACAGTTACTCTGCCTTCATCTTCAGCAAATTCTAATCCTCTCTCACAGCGTATGGAGCTCTTTATCAAACCTAGCAGGAAAAAAAGAACCTACATTTCATGCTTTCCTAAAGAGTTATGCTCGAGTCCTTACAAGTATGACATTCTCTTAAGGATACCTCTTAATTACACTAACCAATTTAATGAGAGCAATTTTACATTCCATCTCATGATTCAAGGAGCTGATAAGAACTGGACTCCAGTTACTGAACAAGCAGTCGACATTGTCAAGTATTTGAGAACCATGTTTCCACTTAATTTCCGAGAAATTGAATGGAGGCTCATGTACAAGGTATGCTCATTCCACTACGGTAGAAAACCTTTCAAGCTGAGGGTTATTTACAATACAAATATGAATCCTGCAACTGCAAACCCTATCCACCATGAATATTTGACTCAAAATTCGGATGGTAAGGTTTGCTTACCAGACAACACGGTTGTTTTTGAGTCTGAAGAGTTTTACATTGTCGCACGAAAGAAAAAGGACTCTTTTCATGAATCTTCAGCGAATGGAGATCTCGACACCTTCTCTGCTGATCAGTCACCTCTTACAGAGCTTCAAGGTCAATTCTCTCCAGCTTCTTCCTCTCCATCTCCATTACCACTTTTACATCAGCTTGATAGCAACAGTCTCTCATTGAGTATGTTGCAGACAGGTAGTAACAACCACCACCCGTGGATACAAGAGACAGCAAGCCTTTCTTCACAAAATCATCAGATGGGTAATAGTACTATTAATACTAGCATGCCCACCTTTCAATATGTCCCAAATCAGACAGTATTGACTCCTCCTTCATTTCCACAACTTTCCATGGCAAGGTCTGATGAGATTTCCAAGTAACATACCTCTGCTGTTAAGAAAGTACATCCTGAGTACAAGGGGCATCTTTTGCGCCAAAAAATTACAAACGGACATTAATAAAAAATGTCTAGCCGAAAACAAACACGATTCACAAACGATGATGATACAGAAGAAGATCCCGAGAAACATGTTGGATTCCATGATGCCGATTTTGATAAATTAAGTGACAGGTTGTCATTCATGACCGGATCAACTGGCAAGTCATCCTTCAACATGAACAAGTTTTTCATTAACCCAGTAGAACAACGAGAATTGAGTATGGGACGAGCAAAACTGAAACGATACGACGAGCGCATTGCTACCGAGATTGACAAGATACAAGAATTGAAACACCAAATTACACAAGTCACTCGGGTGATAGCTGACCACCATGCTCAAATATCTTATTTACAAGTGGATGAAGAGGCTCTGAAATTAGAGTTTATCAAAGCAAAATTGGAGTATGAACTCGAGTGCAGAAAGAGACAAATGCACGAAAAGGAAATTAAACATCTCCGCAAAATTCGAGAAGCTAAAGAAAATGAATTCCTACGAAAAGGATGGAGACTCCAGAAAGAACAAGCAGTTTTGCGTAAACACGAATCGAAAACCACAGACATTGTACAGCAAGTCAACCGAATTCAAAACGAAGTGGAAGATTTGGAAGAAGATGTACATCATTACAAGAGTTTGGATCGAAAATTGAAATCCACCATTCAAAATCAACTGTGAGAGAGGCGATTACTTGAGGTGTTGTTGATTTGATGATGAGAACAACAAAAAAAATTTTGCCTTCACCTTATTCTCCCTTAGTTGTTGTGCTTTTGTTCTTCTCTCTTGGTATATTCGAGCCATTCTACGGATAGAGTAGTACAATTCTTCCATCATGTTTCCGGTGCTATCAGAAAAGAAGGTCCATCTATCGCTTTCGGGGACTGGCGATGATGAGCTTGGTAGTTCATCATTCCAACCTAAATTTTCTTCATCTCCCATCCGTACATTCTCTTTGCCGACAGGCAATGCCGGACGACTCAAAGACCGACTAAAGGAAAAATCAAGTAAAGGATACAAGAGTATTGTTCATCGATTACATCAGCATCTAGAAACGGAGAAGATGAATCAACAGGAAGCAAAAACAGAAATGTACCAAAGACAAGCATCCAAAATGAAGAAGTGGAATCGTCTGATCAGCTCCATTGACTCTTGGACTCTGCACTCGATAGAATACCACATGAAAGAGAAGGACAAGTTGAGGAATTCTCTTCCGTGCTTTACTCAATCTTCAGTTCACTATGATGAAAAGAAAAAGGAAGAGCTCATTAAACTGGCAACGTTAGAGTAAGTAGTTTCTGATTTTCGGAGATGGACCAACAAGAGATTATCGTTCTGCTGTTCAGAGCAAAAGAGAGATGTACAATAAGAAAGCGAGTTCAGGAAAAACGTGCTTCGTTGGATGCCTTTGAGCGGCTTCTACAATATCAATACAAAAGAAGAAAGGCGTTTGAAAATGGGCAATTAACGTTGTTTAAGGACGAGTACTATGAAGAAGAAATGAAGAATTTCATGAAAGAAGAGATTGTTTCTTCTGTGATCGAGAAGGCTGTGAATACCAGCCACACATCTATGATCAATGATATATCACATAGCAATTCGGAACCTATTGAGCTCGATCTTGGCTCACCCCGAACAGTGCTAACCTCTGTCAACAGTGAGTATTTTTTGTTTAATCATGGTTTAGTATTGGAATTTGTAACAATTGTAAAGTTGTAAAGAGAATGCCAGATGAGAAAGTATTCTTCTTGACGAAAGATGAAATTAACAAGCTTGAAGCAATTAAAGAGCAAAAGAGATTGGAAAATGAAAGACTGTTAGAGTTGGAGCGACAAAGGAAGGAAGAAGAGAAGCAACAACTACAGCTTTTGATGGAACCACCAACACACAATGATAGTGTTGTTGAAGAAAGTAAAAATGATCTAGATAATATCGTTTCAGAAGAAAGCAATCATAGAGCTTCACAAACAGCCTCCGACGCTACACAAGCAATTCATCAAATTGTTAACGGCATTATTCAAAATATAATTACACGTTGTGAAATTCAAAAGGTGGTTTCTCACATTGTTGCTGGTGTGATAAAATCCCATTCACAAGAGAATAAGAACATTATTTCGATCCAGAAAGAGAGAGAACCATCAATAATTATTAACAATATAGTTAAGGAAATAATTACAAGAGTGGTGGACAAAAACCAATTCCGTGATAAAGTGGGTTTCACCATTTAATAAGATGCTAACGCCAAATAATAAAGCAACGTTTCATTTATTTCAGAAGGGCAGATTCAAGAACGAGTCAAAAATAACTAAAAACCACATGTGACATGTTTCAAATCACTACGAACAAGTTTTAGTAGAAAAATAAGTTATCCTCAGCATTCCAAAAGTCTTGAAGTCGCTGTCTTGTTTGATCAAAATCGATCACTCTTCTCATGGTCTTCACCTCCTGACCTACAATAATATAGGCTACTGGAATTTCTAAATTGTCGCAAGCAATGACGAGTTCTTCATTATTGCACTTGTTAACAAAATCTTCTGTGAGACCAACCAATTCACAGAAAACTTCTCGACACTTGCCAAAATATTGTTTAGCGCCATTCTTGAAGGTTCTCTTTTCTTCCAACTTCCATCGATCCTTAATGTTGAGGAATTTAATCTTCTTTACTTTGGCATTCTCAATCATTCCGTACAGTTTTGCCAAATCTTCGTCAAACTTTTGCTTAATTGCCTTAATTCGTTCCTCTCTCAACAATTGATCATCCTCTGAAAGCATTGTCTTTACGGCAGTGTTTAAAATGCCCTCAAGCTGGCGATTTGGATAGGAGCCTTTCGACATTTTCTTTCTGCATAGAGGACAAGATTGATTCTTGGCAAGCCAATCATAGAGACACTTCTTACAAAAGTTGTGACCACATTGCAACATGGTTGGTTCCACAAACCAATTATAACAAATGCAACATGTGAGCTCAGTTTGACAAGTGTCATTCATTAGCTTTAACTTTTGCGTATCAGATTCTGTACCTTGTGTTTGCAGAACAGTTGGCTCAGATCCATTACTTGCATGAGATTCTTTCACTCGTTTGGCTGATGTAGAAGCCGAGTCAAGTTGAGCCGTCTCCAAAGTTCTCTTCAACTGATCCGCTGAGTTCGAATTACTATTGTTGCCACCACCAGTGCTACTAGTACCACCGCTACTGCTACTACTATTCACAAATACATGATCGACAGATCCATTCTCAACAGAACCCACAGAATTAAAATTGTTCAAATTGGCACTGCTCAAAGTCTTCATGATGGCAACAGGATCCAACAATTCAAACCTGTAGATAAAAGCTTGTTTCAATTGATCCACTAACACAGTCTTCCATTCTTGCTCGGTTGCAAAATTGTGTCGTGACTTGTCTCCCAATGTAATAAAACCATTCGTAGTTGCTGTGGTTCCACCAGTGATAATAATTAAATCGCCATGTCTGAATAAATATATATATTTCAATAAAAAGGTGATGATTCAATAATACGACAATCTCATCATCATTACTACTTACTTGAGAAATGCTTTTGAGATTTTTCTACCATTCACAAGCGTTCCATTCAAACTCTTCAAATCCTCAATTTCAAACGTTACATCGGCGTGTCGATAAATCTTGGCATGATGCCTCGATACAAACTTGGCTTGTTGCTTTGAGAATATTCTCACATTGTTATCGGGTAATCGTCCAATGGTAATGACGTCCTCAGTGAGAGAAAATTCCTTCGGAATGTCTGTATAATTGGTATTTGCAAGGACAAGTTTTCCCCAAGGCTTCTTGTCTGTTGTATTGGCTGCAACATGGGTTGATGATGATTGAGAGCTGGAAGTCGTATTGGCTGCAACGGTAGTACCAGTACTGCTACTGTTACTACTGCTACTGGTCGTAGTTGTTGCTCCCGATGATGATGGTGTTGTGGTTGCTACGGAAGGTGAGGTCGTTGGTTGTTGTTGTTGAAGGATCTTGCTGTTTGTAGGTGGAAATGGAGGAAACGTTGTTGTTGTTGCAGTTTTGTTGGGACCAATCATCATGTTACTTGGAGGTGGAGGAGGCTTAGAATCTACCACCACCACTTGTTGCTGCACGGGTTGCTTTAATGATGGTGTTTTGGGAGGTGTTGTTGGTGAAGATGATTTGCCAACAGGAGTTGGATGAGTACTAGCAGATGCTCCTACCATCGTCGTTGTTGTTGTGGAGGAAGACGATGATGATGAAGGTGGTGGAATTGATGATTTATCATTTCTTTGTGTTGTTGGAGGAGAGGATGTAACAGTTACGGGTGGAGAAGATTTTACAAGACGACTTGCTTCCTCAGTGTCGTTGAGTTCATCAAAGTTTGGTTCTTCTTCGGCAGACATTAGGATCTGAAGAATTCTGTTTTTTGATGGAGAAGCCTTGTTTTGTAATAAAAGAGCGAAAATGAGAGCAAAGAATTCGTCTTGTTTTTTTAGATATTTTTTTGCAACGAAATTTTTATTACCCCTTCAAAGCATCGACTGTCTTGCAAAAATATTTGAGAAAGCAAATTATTTTTGGCCACTTGGAATTCGCTTTCAGCAAAATATTTTATTGGGTTCAAAAATGTCTCGAACAAATTTATTGGTGATTGAACAACCAATCAGTCAACTTTTCAAGACTTTCCTTATATTTCTTCTTCTTGTCGGAAGACTTTAATTCCTTGTCATCCAAAGATCTATAAAGCTCCTCGCTCACCACAACAACTTCAAAGTTGACAGCCTTTGTATCGAGATCGTGAATTTCATGAAGTGTGACCTTGATAGTACCATCTTCAGAGTGGTAGTGTTTCTTAAACTTGACAATGGTTCCTTTGAATCGGTAAGGGCTTGGTGGGTTCTTCAAAAATTCAGGATTAGTAAATTCATTCTTTTCATTGTTCCACAAGTTTGCACATTCGTTTAAGAACGAGTCCATCTCAGTTCTATTCTTATCTTGTTGCTCAACATCGTTAGGAACATAACTTGCAATGGTAATCTTGAAATCATTCAAATTTGATCGTTCCTTTGTAATAGGTGTAACATAATTCAAAGTATAGTAATTCCTAGTATGTTCATTCTTCTTGATTTGTTCCAACTTTCCTGTTGCCTTGTTAACTTCAAAAGTAATGGTTTCGTTCTTTTCTGAAGGTTGAGAGCTGTCCTCCTCTTTTGGCTTGTCGCCTGGTTTACCAAAGTAAATAGCCACAATTGTTGCGTCTTCATCTGGTATGTATTTGAGATTTGACTTGAGCTTTTCGTAGAATGTCTTGTCAACAATTCTATTAAAATGATATCTAATATCTTTTCCGTGCTTCATTTCCAACATTTCTGGAATCTTGATAGTGTCCTTAGCTGATTTGTATGCCAATAATTGACCGTACAAAGCCTTCACACTCAATACTTCAGATTCGTTCTTTCTCAACTCAATGTCAACAAGTTTGGTAGCAATTTTTTCCAACATGTCATCCTTTGTTTTCTTGTTCATTAAAGTCATTTCCTTGTGATGAGTATTGTGCTCTCCACCAGCATGAGCTTCATCATGATGAGCATCACTCACGACGTGAGAGGTTGCATGAGCATCGTGATGATCCTCACTTTCGCCCTCCTTCTTCAAAATCATTCTACTAAATGTAGAATTTGGTTGGCTTGAATAAACAGCCAAAGATGTGAATGGTCTCAAAGCAATGTCATACTCGCTCAAATCAATTTCTTCTTGATTCTCAGCATCTAAACGTTCAGAAAGTTCTGGAATCACCAAAGTACTGAAGGTTTCAGAAAAGTGTGTCATGGAAAAGTGTCCAATTCTGTTTTGAACCAATTCCTCTGCTTTAAGAACGCTTTCCTCCGAACTACCTCCGAGAACAACGGTCATATTCTTGACGCTGTACCAAGTAATGCCTGATTGTTTCTTGACTTCATTGGCAAACGAGCCCTTTTCTCCGACAAGGAAACGTGGATCGACTTTAGCTGGGATTGTAATTGTTCGTTCGTGAGAGTAGTGAGGAGGGTGAATTGTTTTATCGGTTGATGAAGAAGCGTTTGCTGGAGTGGATCCAAATTGTTGATTCAGCTTCCTTTCATAGTTTGGATTTGAGCCTGGAGTCTTCTTCTTTGGAAGATTCACACTGGCAGCACTACCAGTTGTGCTGGAAGGAGTAGTCTTCTTTCTTGATGATGAAGAGCTCATGGAGCTGAAGGCAGCATTACTACTAATTGGAGCAGTTGTGGTTGCTGCTCCCTTTTGTTTTCTACCACCTCTTTGCTTCTTGGTGCTTACACTCCAATCAGAAGAATCCTCTTCTTGATGTTGTTCTTGTTGATTTGAATCATCTTCAATGATTACAGCCTTTTCCAAATGTGCCATCCTGTTGTTGTTCGCTTGATTACGTGTAAATGAATGATAATAATTTATAAATGCGTATACGGAGTGAGGTTGTTGCTAAAACCAATACTTGTTGATGATAGTGTTGTGTTGTTGATTAATATCTCTTTTCTGATGATGATGATGATAATAATTCAGCAACCAGACACAAAGTGAAGATGAACGTTGAGAAAGGGCAACAGAAAAATTTTTTGAAACGATTTTTGAGATGCTTTCTCTTCCCATTCTTGATTGAAGGGTCTTGCATCAAACGACGTCTACCGGTTTGACATGTGGGAAGGAAAGGTGTAGATACTTTCATTGGAATGATTCAACATTACCAAATCTTCTTTCCTTGTTCGATCCTCGCTCTCCTTTCTCTCATAGAAAATGAAACTCCCCATTGAATGGTTCAACAAAAAAATAGAGCCTCAACGAAAACACTCGCGCGAACACTGTTCCTTGAAAAACCATAATAGGATCGGATGAGTTTCCAAAGTTTTCCGAGCTTTATCTACACACGACCATGGCAAGCTTTTGAAAAACCATTGACTGTACTTCTACAGGATCTTTTCTGTAGGATTACTTAAACTCGACTTTTGAGTCAATCTGACCTTTGAGGTTAACCAAGATGACGACTCTGTAGTCACTTGTTCTGAGCATGATATCGAACTGGAGACATGTTGATTCAGGTTTCCTCGTTCATAGATGATTGCTGCATTCCTTTCCTTGCCATGGATTGCGAATGGGGAACAGGTGAACATGCAGATTGGTTCCTTTTTTATCAATTAAGAGAATTATAAATCTAAAGTACTGTTGAAGCAAGCGCGTTTACGTGAAGGAATTGTGATGGTTATCATGCTCTTCTACGCTGAGATTTCTTCTCATAGTGTTCTTCGGTGGATTGAATAGATTTGTGATGAGATCTTTCATTTTGTTTATTACAAATAAATTGTTTTTTACAAACTTTAACAGAGTTCTTGTTACATTTGAAAACACAACAACGATTCAATGACTCTTCTTGGCAGCTCGGTCCGATCTAATCTTGAATTTAGCTTCATCTTTTGCAATTTCACTTGCATGTTCCTTTCCAGTCACAGCTGCATCACAATCCTTCTAACTCTGACCAGTCCATCCTCTCTTGGCACATTGATCAGTAGCCGGCATTGAGGAATATCAATTGTGGTCTTTCTCTTCACTCTTCGACTCTTATGAGTACGGAACAAACCACTGGCTTTGTCACAATCCTCTCCATTCACAATCAATCCTTTTGAAAATTCAACTTCTTCAGGAGCATCGATTTGAAGATCCAAATCAAACTTGAATCGTGCAAGATAAAGACTTCTGCAAGTGGTCTTACCGGTGGTCTTGGAGGACTTACTACAGGAATGGTTCGCTTACATCTACAGGTAGGACAACCTTTGCATCCAAACGATATCCACCTGGACAGACCTTACTACATCTGAATGGACGACAACAAGTATTTGGTGTTGGTTTAGGTCCAACTTGTCAATCCTTGAATCCTGCCTAACGTGTCTCTTACATCTTCGTTGTGGACATCTGTTGGTATCTGGAATGCAAGTACATGTGGCACAACCATTCCTGCAATGACTTGTACGTTTTCTCAACGGACATTCAGTTTGTGGCTTGCATGAACAAGTTTGACATCCATTTTCATCTTTGACATAACTATTCTATCTTGCATTTACACTTGTTTCTTGCTGATTCCTATTTGGCCATAACACATGACTACTACATTTACCAATTGATCTCAAGTCACCTTTTTTCACTGCTTCTTAGACCGCAACACAAGCATCGAGAGTTTTTAATTCTTAAAAAAAATGTGTCGAGTTGTTTTGTCTTATCTTTAATTATCATTATTTAAATTCAACTTTTGGGCAAATTGAAAAACATTCAAATTTGGTGAAAATGATAAGCAACAAATTCATCATCAACAATAATGCTGAAAAAGATAATTGCTCTCCGACAAATTTAAACGAGAACAATGATATTATTTTTGAATTCTTCATTTCCTTGAATCATTGTCAATAATTTGAATGAAAATTTTGAAACAATGGAAACAAGTGTCATATCAAATTCCTTTGATTATCTTTCAAACGAAATCACGTCCAATAAGTTCGTAAATCAATCACGCTTTTTGCATATTGTGAACCGTTTGAAGAATTTGACTTCTTTGGATCTGTTTGACAATAGAATTGGCAATGATGATGTTAAATATATTGATACGAGTGAATTTTTGAAGAATTTCATTTCTTTGACAATGATAATTTGTTAATGAGAAAACATTTGGCAACATTATCATCATGATGGGCAGGCCGAACAACTCCTCCATTCAATTCTCTTTCTTCTGCATGATCCTTTTTTGTTTCATGATGAGGATTCATGTTATGGAAGAAGTATGAGTAGGATGGTGTTTGTTTTCAAACCAATAATTTGAACTTTACTAATGACTTTGGTTCATAATTTCTCATCATAATGTCCATTTGGTGAAAGAAAGTGGTTATGGAAGAGAGTGTGGATTTGAAGGAATGACTTGATTTAACAATTCCAATTTCATTTATTTCAGGTTATGAATAAGTGATATGCATGAACATGTGGTTAAATTAGACATGAATAAGCACCACTTGAATGAGAGTCCTGACCATTCAGCAGCCGCAAAGAACATTCAAATATCCTGGCTGTTACTTCTTGGTGACTTTTAAAAATTTGTAGAAATTCAGTATCCTCTTGAATCAGGTTGAAAATGGATTGTAAGGAATATTTTGACACAACCTACCAACCCTGGCTGTTTCTCTCGTCGCCTTTGCCAGTGGTTGGTTTGAATAATAATGAGTGCGAGGAGTTGGAACAATTGGTTTGTATAGTGAGGACCATTTTGGCTGAACAAATGCTCGCTGCGGCTACGGGTTTGCTAAGGCTCTTACTTGAATTCAATTTTCGACAAAACAGTTTATTTGAACAAATCAGCTACCACAGACATATTATTGCTGTTGAGATAATTTTTCCATACTGAATTATTATTCGAAATTTCATAGATACAATGTCCCTTCTTAGTCAGGACTGCATGATCAGAGAATACTGTTTCAACTGCATCATCATTATCGTATTGTGGAATTCTGTCACCAAGAGAGCTGTTGAAAGTTTCATTGGGATGAAATAATATTCTCAACATGTTTCCTGTTTTCACAATATCAGTAATAGCTGTGTTTAAGGAATTTCTTTCTTTCCTTGCAAGGTCATTAGTTGGTGGAGAGATTGTTGTTGCCACTTTCTCATAATACAAATTGGAGAGATCAGTTGTATCATAGTTGTTCTTGAATTTTACATTGTCTCCTGTTGTCCTAGTCACAGCTGCAACAATTGGAATACAAAAAGGAATTGTATCATCTTTAACGTTGGAAGAACGTATTAACATTCCCAATACATCAGGTCCTGCATGGTGGCATGGGCGTACTAAAAACTGTGACAAAAGGTCATTGTTTCCTGTTAATGGATACCGTTCTGTTTGAAATCCTTTCATATTGCAATGCATTGTGTTAATAAGAAGAGATGAAATTTTGAAATCAGTGCCCAATGAATCTTTGGAAATTTCTGAATCTTCAATATAATACTTTGCAGGTGAATAATATTTTTGCAAATAAGTCCCTGGGAATTGTTGTTTAAAGAATTCAAAATGGTTCAAAATAAAATATACAGCAGCCACTTCAGAGAGAGGTGAAATATCATCAATTTCGCTCAATTGTTTGTGCGAATATAAAAACCAATCACTTTTAGCCTCAGATCCCTCTTGTTGAAGAGTCTTCAGCAATCTCATTCTTTCTATTGGACTGATAATCTTATATATTTTGTTAGTGTTATCATAGGTATAACTCAAACCATGTGTTAACAAAAACTTTGCAACATTTTGTTCCTCAAAAGATAACACACATGGTCGTGATGAAATAATATCGTTAGTTTTTGTTAAATTTACCTCTCCAAGCAAGGCTAATCTGTAGAATAAACTCTTGTATAAGGATTTCTGAATTTTTGTTTGTCCATAATTCTCTTTACGAAAAACGAGAGTGCAAAGATTTGTATATATCAAGTCTGTAAAAGATCTAAATTGAAGAGCTGACTGTTTGCACAACACTAAAAATAATTGTTGAAGAAATTCTTCACATAGTCTTATCGGACCTTGTAAAAATGTTGCAACAATATTCCAAATTTCTGAATTATCGTTTCCTTTTCTACTGGTATCTATAAACATGTCTAAAAAATTTGTTACTTGTTTGGCATGCAATATTGGAAGCGGTTTTTTAAAGTGGTAGGAAAATTTTTCAAAACGTGGTTTTGAACAATCGTGCGAAATAGGTTGTTCAATTTTGTCCTCTATAGCATTTGCAGAGGTTGTTGTTAATATTACTGGGCCAAAATATCTCATGTTGGAAGTGAGAAGAGTTAGCAGGTTGCCGTTGTTTACGTCGTTTCTTAGAGGAATTTGGTTGTCAAAGTCGTCAAAATTGTGAGCTTCGTCAATTAAAAACATAACTTGTTCTAACTGAGGAGAAAAAGTATACTGTTCATATTTTTGTTTAAAAACTTCTTCTACCATTTTAAAACCCTCATTCAAGATATATTTGTACAAGTACAGATTAATATTTTCAATGTTTTCCATAGTGCTCAATTTGTCCATATTACTAATAATAATATCAGCCACAAATAAGTATGACCTGATGAAACGGCGTATTACTGTATCTAATAAACATCTCAAGTCCATACTATTTTGTGAGTCGTTAAGTATTGTGTTCAAATAGCTCTTCAATATAACTTTGTGAAGAACTGAAATTTTCAATACAATGTGTCCCCGAGAAATTAAGTGATAAGCAAAATGAGTTTTTCCAGTTCCTGTAGCCTCAATTAATACCAACAATGGATTAAGAACATAACGTGAAGTAATAAATTCATAATGTTCGTCATACTTGTTTGAAGGGAATGTGGGACCTAAATCGCACGATATGGCCTTTGAAGAAGTTATTTCCATGTTATTTGGTCCCTCATTCTCGAACAAATAGATTGGGGAATCAGCTTTGTCGAGTTGAAATTGTTTCATCTTCTCATTGAACTGCAATACTGATTCTTTTTCATTTGTTGAATAAGCTTTGACATGGTTAGCAAAATCGTCCAAAACTGATCGGATAAAACGTTTCGGAGCCTTAGTGAATTTCTTTAGCTCAATTTGAATCTTATTGTTTTGTAGGAGAAATTCTTTGACCCATTCGACAACTATTGTGTCCAAATTCAAGTCAAGATTTCCAATGACCACAGATTCACCTTCGGAAGAGACTACTTTTTGTGCAATGGTGTAGAGAGATTTATCATCTAATGAAGAAACTTGATCAAGACTCAAATCAGCACCTCCTTTTGCAATTGGTTCGCCCAATTTTTGCTTGATGTGCTTAATCACTGGCTCCAATTGCCATAGTGAATATTGTCTGGTCATTAATTGATCGAGCACCCAATGTACAACAGTTTGGCAAGTGTTGGAGAGTCGAAAAGTCATTTTAAAACCACTGTCTTTTAAAATGTTCTTGAATTGATCAAGAGCAAAGTATTCATCCTTCTTCTGAATATCCTCAACAACGTTATGGAGAGCTGAGCCATCAAAATCATTCTCATACAAAGAATTCACATCATCAACTGACAAATCAGCTCCACCCAAAGATTCAGGAGAGGTCAGTACTGATGCTACTTGTTGGGCACTCCATTTCTTATAATCAGTCAAATTGAGAGTGATTTGTTGGGAGGATTTTGGTGCTGATGATGCTTCTTTCAACCAATTTGTGGTGATGTACGAACGTATTTGGCCAAATGCCGATGTTGTTGTTGTAGGATCATACAACAATTTCTTGTTCGTAATAATTGTATTTGATTTAATTGACAGAGAAGAATTGGAATTTCTTTTCGGGTAAAACAGCATCTGTTGAACAATGTTGTTCGTTATTATTCTTTTCATTTTTTTTTGATGATTAATTATAAATTTAAAACATCATTATTTGATGTATAAGTATTTTTTAAAATTGTCCCAACAGCTAATTAAGGTTTCTTAAACAAACAAAAACGTTGTGAATTCTGTCGTTTAGAATGCAGCAAAGACAACAGTGAACCTTTGTTGAAAAGAAATCAAAGACGAACTCGACTTCCAAGTTCATCTTGTGAAAACCACACAAAAAAAAAATGACTCTCAAATGGGAAATCAAAGGCGATTTAAAGATCTTCAGAACGCGATTACTGGCCTTGGGATGGCTATTCGTCTTCTTGTTTCCTCCAGTGGTGCCATGTATCATCATGATATGGGAGAGACGAAAAGTAGAGGAGGAGGGAACACAAACGGGTATCGGATGTTGTAATAATTATTATTTTTTGTGTAGTATGGTTGATGTGTGTGCCATTATTCTGACCATACTCGGATGGGTTCCAGGATGTATATTTACAGCTGTTTTGTTGGCTTCTATTTAAATTATTGCTAGGTTTTATTAAAGGTCTTTCCGATGATGATGCCAATCAAGAAAACGTGTCATGAGATTTATAATGTTATTATTTGGAGAACAACAAAATTAATTGTTCGTCATTTCTCAACAAGAGCTCTTTAAAACCGCAAGAATGAAGATCATCATTGAACTGATTCCAGATTTGGAAATTCAAATAAAAAATTAAAAATGCAGAAAACCCTTTCCGAGCAAGACGTTATGAAGGATCATGATGATCAGCTTGATGAGAACGTGATCACGATCAGTACAACCACAGCAACACCCTTTCCCTCGCCTAGCTTCAACAATACTACAGGAGATGGAACCTTAGCAGAATCGCAGCAGCAGCAAACAACCGATGACTCTTCCGAAGACGATTCTGATGATTTCTATGAAGACATGTACAATTATGAATCTCTAGCTGATGTACTAGATGAAGAAGAAGAATTAGTCAAAGTTTGGAAAAGAATTCAAAACGTTTTCAAACATCGTAAAGATGCACTCATGGACCGTGTTCAAAATTTATCCTCCAATATTAAGAAACAAGTGGATGATCGGAAACTCGAGTTGAAGAAGAGAAAGGAAAAATTAGAACGAGAGTTAAGAAGGTGAGAACTTGCATGAAGTTTTTATATATATCATAACATTTATTGTTCTTTCAACATGTATATGATCATTATGAACATATCCACTACGGAAAAGACCTGAAACGATCAAATTTAAGGACAAGTTAGCCTTTACGTTGGGAGTAATCATTTTGACCTCATCGACCTTTTTACTTGCCAAATACCCTCAATTTCTTCCCAATTATTACATGATCTTGTGTGTGATATTCATGGTTGTGAGATTCTTTTCATATCATGGAAGAGGTTATCATTACTTTATGCTCGATTTTTGTTACTTGGCAAATTTAATTCTAATTTTCTATTTGACCTTGTATCCGACGAGTCCACACTTGTTCATGATGAATTTTGTGAATTGTACTGGTCCATTGTTATTTGCAGTCATCATGTGGAGAAATAGTTTGGTGTTTCATTCCATTGAAAAAGTCACATCAGTCTTTATTCATATTTATCCAAATTTAGTGATTTTTGTGTTGAGATGGATGGTGAAACATGAAGATGGAATTGTCAAGTTTCCTATTACAAGGCAAGAATATCACATTTGCAATGATGAAAAATGTACGATATCGTTTCGTGACGTGTTTTATACACATATCGTACTCTTTTGTTTTTGGCAAATTGGATACACGATCAAAACCAATGGTATGTTCATTATATATAATTGTTTCCATGGAACTTTTATTCATGGTGAAAAACAGTAATTGACAAGTCGTATTTACAGAGAAGAGAACACTTACAAACCACGTATCGTTATCTCACATCAAAATCGTACATTCAGATATTAAGTGACAAGATTTATGGACCTAAATATCGTCCTTATGGATTTATTACTCTTCAATTTATTTATCATATGCTTACACTCATTCCCGTGAAATTTGCATTTGACAATTTCTACCTTCATGCTCTCATGCTTTCAGGCGTGTTTTTATGTTCAATTTACAATGGAGCCTCTTTTTACTTTGAGAGATTTGTACAACATTATGTGGAGGATTTAAACAAGATCGCAGACAAACTCGAAAAAGAGGAGCGAGAGGCAGAAGCTTTGGAACGACTGACTCAGCAGTCAAATGCTGAACAACATGTGAAATGTGGCAGCATTGAGACCCCACAAGAATCAAGAAATATGGTTTCCAACATTGTACAGTAAAGTTCTTCAAATTTGAAGTCTTGTCTTTACCCGTTATTGGTGGCAATGGTGGTTATTTCCTTATGAAGTTTATTCGAAAGAGGTGCCACGTTGTAACATTGCTTAATGATTGTGTGAACAGGTTGATTCACGTGTGCACTAAAAGAGTCAGTTAGCCAGCATGCACATCTATTCGTTAAAAAAAGAAAACACCACTGAGCTTGTTTTGTGTTAATTCTGGAAAGTGTTCGACATCACTGTCATCACTGGAAACTTCCACAATTTCATTTTCCTGTGGTTCTTTGCTAAGGGAACGATGTTTGTGTTCGGTCCGAACGCTCTTTTTCACCAATTTACGTGCTGTTCGTCTTCGCTGTACAGCTTTTTTCTTTTCCACTGGTCCAGATTTGTCAACAAGTACCATTTTCAACAAGTCAACATACTGATACTCATTGATGCGGTAGTATCGAGTTGGAGAATGCTTTTTTGACAATGTTTCTTCCTTAAAAAACTTTTTAAACCGTCTTTCGAGTTCACAACTCGTATCAACATCAAATTGTTGTTTTTCATATGTTGAGTTGTCTTTACGCCATTCCCATACATATTTGCTCTTCCAGACACAAGTAGCTGCTTTTGAATAAGCATCTGCAAAGAAATTAATGGTGCTTGGGTGGAAACTACCAACATATTGTCGACCTGGCTCTATGGTGATCCATTTGATTTTTTGAGGCAGAGCATATTCCTTACAATGTGTGATGTTCAAAATTCCATCAATATCATTCAACGTTTGAACAAAGAAGGGTTGTTTGTGTAGTTCATGTATCACGTATTGTAAACGAGCTTCTCGTTTTGACCAATCACGTGAAATACTAATTGCTCGTTCACGTCTCGTTCTTACAAAGGACACTTGAGCATAGTCATGATTTTCATTCGGTTTGAGAATATCCCTTGCTTTGGAAACTTGTGCTCTTGTCATGGCCCTCTGCAATATGGAATGAACAAAGGGACATCGATACGTCAATCTCATAATCAAGATCTTGGCAAGTCCTGTGAATTTGGCTATTCCAGCTTTCGAATTTCTAGCACAGAACACTCGTAACTTGTCTGGTCGAACAAATATTGGGTCTCTTACTTTTTTGAAAGAAAAACCAGGAACACCAATCCTAAAACCTCTCATTGCATATTTCACAAGTCTCACTTCATACCTATTTTTGGAGTAATGTAAATATTAAAATAATATTACAAATTGAACAGAATGATGTTTGAATTGCATGGTTAAGAATCCTTGAATTCAAGTAATCAGTACATACGTTGTGGATTGTCGGTCTGGATCGACCCAATTACATCTCATTCTTATAGCTTCCTTTGCTCGTGGTAAACAATACAATTGATTTCCATCAAAACCAAAGCAACAACTTGGTACATCGAAGCCCATTAATATTTCAGCTGGATTCTTGTAGATACGTAAAATGATCTGAACGGGTCGAATGGGATTGTTAAATCTAAAAGTGATAGCATGTTCAGTTCTGAATGTGACAATGTCGTCAATGGTAAATTTACCCAAAGAGGGTACCTTGTAAAATTGATGGGGAATTTTCTTTAAATTCTTCTTAAACAAGTTAAAAATTTCAATAATCTTGTTCTCTGCTTGTTCTTCAGAGAGTCCATAGAAAAAAAGGTCAATATCACTGTTTTTCCATGTATTGGAAGATGTGTAATATCGAGCCAAACGACAGTCAAACATTTCTGGTTTCACTAACTCGACATTTGAATCATAGTCTGATTCGTTTTCACTTTCTCCCTCTGAATCAGTAACATATTCATCATCACTATTCAACACTTTTTCATCTTTGCTATGCTCATGCTCGATAACAACATCACCATCGTCATTGTCCCAATTGTAAAGCAAGTTTTCGTTGGGTTCATCTAGATCTGTATTGGAATGTGTGGGATTCTTGAAATGATCACGCAACTTGATTTGCTCAACTTGGAGTGCTGCTGCCAATACACTTCCGCCTGCAACAAAACAATTATTCCAATCCATATCTTTGAACAAGCCATAGGTGAAGGCATTAAATTGTCGAAAGAAATCTTGTCGTGATTCACACAATTTAGGTACTGAAGGAATTGAGTTTTTCTTGCTTGAAAAAGCACTTGCTTCGTTTGGATCCTCAAAGTCAAAGAGTAAACCAATTCCTTTGGGAGGATCATATCTGGAAAAATCTCGAAGTTGATGATCAGTTCCAAAAACGCTAACTAGATGTAAATATGGATCATCAAGCATGCTGTTGTCTCTATCTACAACATATAAATTTCGTAGTAAATCCTCTTCTTGCTTCATCTTAATAAGCTTTTCTCCAAGTAGCTCAATAGGATATCGAAATGGGTCAAAATATTCAGTCAATTCTCTTAATCTGAGTTCCTTTGCCTCCTTATATATTTGTTTCTGTTTAGGAAGCTCTTTGGGAATGCATGAGGTGTTTCCAGATTCTAAATAATTAAATATGACTCCATACACGTCAGGATCACGGTCGAGAAAGATGGAGGAAGTCTTGTCCATTTTGCGAAGCATGTCAATGAAAATACTTTCTGAATGTTTCACAAGTTTTTCAATGTTGATTGAAAACTTGACACCTCTTACATTGAAAGTAATAAAGGTAGGTTGTAAGTTGCTCTCTTTTTCTAAAACTATTTGCTTTTCTTGCTCTAAGAGCGATTCATGTTCATTGAAATACTTTTCAACTCGAGACTTTTCTTGAACGGTCAATTGGTTGAATTTTGAAATCCATTCATCGTCTGCTAAATGCTGATTTTCACTAACCATCGTGTCGTTGAAAACTGTAGGCATGGTTACCTCTTGAACATCGTCGTCATCGTCCTCTTGCATTCCTTCTGGCTGTTCTCCAAATTCTGTGAGCAGTTGGCAAATTCTTTCGCTCAATTTTGTTGTTCCAAAGAAATCAGATTCTTCCAGTAAATTTTTCAAATGTTGGATCGATTCAGCACCATGTTCTTCCCACAAACCAATATGTGTTGTTGAGCCTTTGGAAGTGTTGAATGGTTTTAAAAAATCAATGTTAAATATTACAATGAAATCACTTATTGTGTGCACATACCTGTACGCAAGTGTTCCAAGATGTGAGGAAAGTAATCAGGATTTCGATCTTTGAAAAGAATTGCACCATTTTCATCCTTGTCAATTTTAAAATCTGAATTCAACATGACTTTGATCATATTTTCTCTCTTTGTGAGCGTTTGAAGGGTGGTCACAAAATTCTTTCCACCCACGTGAATGTGAACTAAATTTTTCTGCGAAGACAGAATATCATCTAATATTGGATCAATGGTTTGATCTTGTGGCTCATGATCCTGTTGTTGCTTCTCATGTGAGACTTCCTGTGGTCGAGTTTCATCATCATTACTACCACTACTGCTGCTGTACATGAACTTTTCCAAAATTTCAAGCTCCTTCTTTCTTGCTTCATAACGCTCCTTTTCTGTTTTTAATTTCATTAACTTTTCAATTCGGAATCGTTCGAGTTGTTCTCTCATGAGAAGATGAGCTGGTTCTTCGGAATGCCCTTCTTCTTGATGATCATTGCTGCTCGGGTGAGAGTTCTCTTCACGCTTGCGTTTCACTTGAAGAGTTGGTGAAGGAAGCATTTTTTTTTGTGCTTTTTCCTCTCTTTGTTCGTTGTTGCTGCAAGAAAGTTTGTAAGAGCATGCAGTTGCATGTACATTCGAGAACACCAGACAATCTCATTTAATAATTGTTCGAATTTTCAAATGAAACCAAAGAGCCCTTGTGCTTGTTTTTTAACCTGAAGAATTCTGAAGAAGGATCCATGAGAGCATTAAACCACTCACCATCGACTTGAAGCGGTTCGAAAATATGCATGGTCCACGCTTTCAATTTGTATTCTTGACAATTATCAAACGATGCCTGATGTTTCAATAACAGAACACAAACAATGACCAATGCGTTCAACCCAAATTCTTTCAAAAGAGCCAGTATTTGAAAAATACATCTCAAATCTAAAAAGTTGAAAAATAATTGTCTCAACCATCGAGTGATAATATTGGAAATGCTTAATCCACACATGACAAATGAGTTGTACTGAATAGGAAATTCTTCACATAATATGGTTTCAATATGTGAAGTAATTTCTAGAATAAAATTTTGATGATTGCTAATCAAGTCAAGAAATGGATTATTGGCAAGGAATATTTTGACTTTTTCTACGTCGTTTCCGAAAAGAAGAGTGGCCAGAATTTTTGACCAGCTTTGAGATGCATCAAAATGTCTTTCCTCTCCATATACAGATTTAAAATAGGAAGCTAGATATTTCAATCCAAATGATCCAATATTTTGATTGAGGCATTCATGTAGGTCTTTGGACGGAACTGTAACCGAAACTAAGCATGTATTTGTAATGAAAGATCTGTACTCGAGAATTGAATGGCTTTGCAACACTTCTGTTAAAGTTGGATCGCCTTCAAAGTCTGTCCCATCAAATGTTACCGATGCTTTACATGTAGAGAAGGGGAATAGCTGTTGTTCTCTTCGTTCTGATTTACCTCCAACCGTGGTACAAAATTGAACAATCGAGTTCCGTATGTATGAAGGTTCATCAATGATGGAGGTGTCCTCTGAGAAGGAAATTTTCAACAGTTCCTTCCATAAATTGCTGCTGTAAAGAGATGCTGCTGCATTTAAGTTGTTAATAAGGCTAGAAAATAATTGTAATCCAAACTGTGGTATTGCACATGATAATAATTTTAGGCTTAAAAGCGTGCATAGAACAAATACTTACCACACAGTCACATTCATAGTCTTGTTTTACAAATGACCAAATCTCATCAACAATACTTGAGATCTCATAGGAGAAAGGAGAAAGCAGTAATATTTGAGTAATGTCATATCTGAATTGATCTAAATCTTTTCTCTCAGTTTCAGGTGTCCAGTCAAACTGATCATAAATTAATTTTTCTTTTTCAATGAGGTCTGTTAGGTAATTGATGGCAATATCTGTATATGATGTTCGAACGCATCCAACTTGAGAGAGCGTGTAGCAGTGATAAGGAAGGCATAGCTGAGAGCTGTCAATATGGTGTGTGTATTATATTGTCGTAATAATTAATGATATATTGTAAGACCATCAATCCATTCACTTACCTTGAGAAGAGATGATCCAAACATTCGTCTAAAATTTCATATTTTGAAAGAAGGACTAATCCTCTCGTCTTGTGTGTCATGTGCAATAATATGTGCATGACCTTGTCATATAAATTTTTCTTTTGTTCAATGACTAAATCCAACATGTGGGTAGACTCGATCTTGTCATATAAATTCTCGTTCTTAGTGATAGACTTAAATATATCTAATCCATGAAGCTTGATAGTGTGTGGCAAAGATTCTGACGAAAAAATCTCAGTGAGAAAAGTAAACAACCTATCCATAATACATTCATTAGAGCTCACTTGCTGAGCATGGTTAACGAGTGCACTATTGCAAATTTCACATATAGCAGTAATAAACTGCTCTGTGAACATGTTAATCTCAAACGAGGACACAAAGGATGACATCAAAAATGCAATATAATCCACGTCGAAATAAACAGAATTCATATTAATTAAGGCCTGCTTGGTTATTGACAAGAGTCTCCGATAATGCATTGAGTCAATAACAGCCTCCTCTTGTTCCCTAATTGCTGTCAAAAAGGATTCACATAATTTTTGGATCATAAACTTGTAGTCAATAATGGATTTGCAATCCTTGTTCTGAAGAAGGCGAGAGCATATGGCCGAGCTATGAGTTAACACAAAATAGGTCATTGTTTTCTGATCCTTGGAGGTTGATGAAAGACCTTCGTAAACTCGGCTCAAAAATTCTAATTTTGGTATTAATTTGATAACCTTTTTCCGAATTTTGAACTCCTTCATCCAGCTGCCAAACCATTCATTCTCTGTGTCAAGATAGCTTAAAAAATAGTAAGCTGCACGATTGGAGAGAAGTACAAATGTTTTCTCTAGCAATGTTTTGGAGGTGTCGCCAAAGAAGCAAAGCCAATTCTTTGGAACTTCATAGTTAAATTGGATTAACACTTTAAAAGAATCCAAAAGTCCATGATTACTTTCTATAGCTTCCAATTGAAGTGTAGATAATTCCTGATATTGGCTTGTTCTTTCTATGAGATGATTCAGTAAATTAATATGAATTTCTGCAGTAGCTTCTGGTGGTGAGACTTTGAAGAAATTTTTGTACATGGCTACGCATAAATTTCGTACTTCGTCATTCTCATCCGATAATCCTAGGGTGACATTTTCTAGCACAAGATTCCAATGTTCATTCGACACAATATCAGCTGCAAACATTTTGTGAAGTTCTTTGGCTGCCTCCACTCGTGTGTTAATTTCCAAGAGTTTGTTTCCAATGGTTAGAGCAAGCTCCTTTCGTCGATCGCTGCTTTCAAACATGTGTGATTTTTGGTTGACAAAATTTTCCCAGTAAAACTCAGACTCGGCAGAAGGAGAGGTAGTATCTCGAGTGGAAGTGTGACTAGATTTTGGTTCTTTTGTCCATCCATTTTCCTTAAATTCAATAATGGCTCTGTCAACTTCAGCTAATACTTGTAGCAATAAATGCTCGAATTTGGGTGAGCTTGTTAATTGTTCTCCAAAATTTACGCTGCCTGTCATGATGTCAAAGAGTAGAGAATCTTCTCCTTGTTGATTAATTTTTTGTATGACATCCTTTGTAAAAACATTCTCTATTTGAGATAGTATTGCACTGACAATGTCGTATTTCTGTGAATCGGAAAAGGATCATTCAATGGAATCAAACCAATTATTATTAGATAATTATTGTATGATCAGAATTCGTAATAATATTCATTTAGTTCACTTCATATTAGTAACTGTAATGCTTCCAACACCCACTTACATGAAACTGAGCATCAAGTCTCTCCATCGACAATAAATCCCTCTCAACACTATCCGATTCCAATTTCCGATCAAAATCATCAAATGAAAACACCTTATACCTCTGTTGTAGTTTCTCTAGGACTTGTTTGATCGATCGGGCATTGATGGTCTTTCGTTTTTTCATTGTTTTTTTGTGGGCTCGATGTTTTTCGTGTTCCACACCCCGCCAAAATTTTACAACACTGAATCCAGATGCTTTTGATGATCACCACTCTCAGACTTCGATTATTCAATAATAGGATGATGTGCTTGTAGAGTGGAACGCATCATTAGGACCGTCTTTTGTATGGACTTGGTATTGAGAATTTCATGCACGGACGATCCCTCACACCTGTAATAGTGTCGATCCAGCACTCCATCCATGTATTCATCAAATTCGTTGTGTTGTTGTTGCTGAACCATGAGACGTTCCAATAATTGAATAAATGGAAGAGACAACATGAATCGATTCCGATCTCCATCCTTGAATGTTGATGAAACATCCTCTAACCATTCATCATCATCCCCATATTCATCTTGATCCTTCTCCATGATTACATCCCCAAGAGTTTTTTCATCATTATCATCTTGTAAATCCATTGATGGATCATTTCTATTCTTCTTGTTCCTTCTTCTCAGATGTGAGAATTCTAATGAAGAACTCGCACTGCTACACCACTCCTTCGGAATGATACTTGCGGATACAAGAGTTGATACGATGGCAAACATAATTCCCATAATTCTTTTCTACCTTCATTCAAGAGTTGAGAATTGAGTCTTTCGAGTTGATACATCACTCCATTGTGTTGCATGTGCTTTCGTATACTACTCCATTTGGAAATATTTGAAATTCCTAATTCCATCATTAAGCAAGTCGATGAGGGGTCATTGTTCATTGTTGAAAGATGGCCATGATCACCAGGACTACTAGTACCATCATTCTTCCTTCCCTGTTGATTCTGGCTCGTTCCAACTCCAAGTAATACATTCTCCAAAATAACAATGATATTCGACAACAGAGTTTGGAAGGTCATTGCCGGTGAAGTAACATCTTGTTGCGAACCATGCTTCCACCACCGATCATTGCCACCATAAAAACCATGACTACTCGTTCCATAGATCGATCCACCACTGCCACTGCCGCTACTATAGGAAGATATTAAACTCTGTGGATCCACTCCCATGAACCAACTCATGCTCTGCAACAAGAAGGACATGTCAATAAAAGAAGTTGCAGAAGAAGGAAAGAGTGTCCTTACATCTGATGCCTCTTCTTCTTCATGAACATTTCCATTCACATCAAATAAGAGATGATAATGTCGGGCTCTCATTTCCATATCTTTGAGTGTGGGAAATGCAAGTTGTGTGTGCCTTCCTGTTGTGTTTCCATTCATATATATATCACTCAATGACTCTTCTCTCAGTAGTGAATTCAATAATGGCTGTAAACCTTGAATATTCATCTCATTCAAAAACATGGTATTTGCCTTAATACCTGCCTGTAAATTATTTCCCATAAATAATTGTCGATGCAGAGAACCTTTCAGGAGAGTGTGATGGAAAGTCTTTTCATGAATGGTCATCTCGAGAAAGGTCGATAATAACATTCGATCGTCGGGGCATGCCAATCGAATGGGCTGGTGATCAATGAGAATTCCACCTCGATCATGTTGACGTGAAAATTGTTCATTCATACGAATCATGTATTGAGCCCATTTGGGATGAGTTCCAGTGGCCATCGTTATGGCCGATGGATTGTGAATTAGGGAATTATTGGTGCGAGGATCGTATTGTCGATTGAGTCCAAAACACAATTTCAAAGTCATACACACAAAACACATGACGAACATGCATGGAGACATGTGGCTTTCAGTGAGTGGATTTTTCCAAAATGGTAAGGTCGTTACTGAAGGTTCACAGTCGTGATAAATGGAAGGTTGAGAAATTTTTGTAAACGCCTGAATGAGTCGACACGTGTAAGTGATCAGAATATCATATTCTTGTTGTGGAATTTGAGGAATGAATAATGGAAAGAATGGTCGAAGCATGATTTCACAATTAAGATCTGGAATGGGAATGTATCGTGAGAAGGGTGTTGCAGGAGATCCTTCTTGTTTGAACATGTCTTTGTGCTCTTCTGTTTGTTCGTTTTGAGATGGAGCAGATTGCGTCTGTTTTCGTTGAGAGAGTTTTTTCACACGTTTCCATAATTCTCTCGAGTCTGGCATGACTCCTTCTCGAAACTATTTTCATTCATGAAATAATTCATGAAATAATGACATCAATGAAGCATCAAAAAAAAAACATTGTTAGAGTGAGTCAGTGATTTAAAACACCACAATGCTAGAATAACTACTACTCACATTCGAAGCCATATTATCTTCAGTGTACATGTTAAATGAAAAGGTATTACTACTAAATTTTCTAAATCGAGGATCATTTGAAAAGAGTTCCGTACACACTTTTCGATATGGAATGGTTCCAGTCATGGCCCAATGTCTCAAAATTGGAAGCATGACTGGATGTCCAATGGTTGCACATGCCAAGTAAATAAACACCAAAGTATCATAGGGTTGAAGTTTCGGTAGTAAAAATCCAACAAATTTCAATTCTTTTTGTAAATATAATCTTCGAAGCGCTCTTGCATTGACTTTAACAAATCTGTGGAGAGTGTTTCTAACGTTGACATGTAATTGTTTCTTATTGACCTTGCTACGAAGGAGTGGCTTTTTGCTACATTGTGAAATTAACGTCAATCCATGAAGTCCAAAATATGTTAAATAATATTATTATTGTAAAATTAATTATTTTCAATTGTCAAATGTTTTTCAAAAGAATTTCAAAAATACTTCAACACATACAATTTAACTTCATCCACAAAATCCAACCAAAGATCAGCAATGGCCTTCCTCAAAATTGGTGGAAAATTCATTCGTTCCACTAAAAAGTCCACCTGACATTGCAACACTCTCTGAAAACAAAATATAAAAGCATATCCACTATTTTGCTCGCATTGTTCATCCAACGATTGTGTTCCTCCAAATTCAGTAAAGGTGAAAATATCTCGACTGACATGACCAGCATTTTGTTGGCCCGTTTGAAATGTAAATGTATTATTATCTTCTCCCTCTTGGTCTCCAATTTCAAGATAGTATGTGGTTTTGTTGTGTTTACTTCCGAAGCCGCAATAACTGCACACTTTTGATGAACCCATCGGAGCACCACATTCTACGCATTGTCGGAATTGTGATGACATGATATGTTGTTCGATACTACTTTGAGAACGTTCAGAAATTTTTGTGCAAGAATTTTAAATTGCCAAATTTTTTTTGAATTTTTATTTTATGAACGAAATTGGGATTAATGCAATTGCTCAACAACGCCTTAATAGAAGGAAGGAAAACTGAGTCTGGTGATGGCAGTCTTGGCAACCTCTTCGCCAGGATATGAATAATCAAAGGTATCACGATGCAATCGGAAACTTTTGCCTGGTTCTGAAGCGTGAGTGGTATCATTCATGTGACGCCATGAATCAAAGTCAATCTTTTCAGTGTTGGAAATCCAAAATTCAATAGGATTACCATATGTGACGAATCCTCTAAACATTTGCTCAATCTTGTTGGAAATTTCTGGTGGATAAGCTTCAAACCAAATTTGTTCCAAAGTACCATAAACATTTTTCAAAGTGACCAACTTGTATCTGTCTTCTGTTTGCTCCGTTTCGTTATTATTATTTTTTCTATTGTAGTAATTGTAATAAGGGTTCTTCTTTCGTTCTTCTGCCGTCTTTTCCGACTCTTGAATAACATGAGGAGGAGGTTGTTGGCTCATAGCTCTATACCAAGCAGTTCTTGAGGTTGATTCTTTCAAGAGAGGCAACTTGTTGAATGGAATGGAAGTGTAGGCATCTCTATAAAAGTTGAGAGAGGTAGGATGGAAACTACCAATAGATTGTGTACCAGGATCAACTGTGATCCATTCAATGTTCTTACTCACTCTTGATTCTTGTTTTTCATTGCAAATAATCATTTCAATATCGTTCAAAGAATAAATGAAGAATGGTTTCCAGTCTGGTTTTCTTTCTTGAACTGGTGGTTGTAATTTGAGTGCAGTTAATCTTGAATCAAGGGTGATGGCTTCTCTCTCTCTGAATCCTTTTCTTTCATCAAGACGCTTTCGATAACTTCGACGCCAATGTGATAATCCTTGGCCTCTTCCAGACTGGTTGGTGTTATTATTATCATCGCCCTCAGTCTTCTCTTCTTTCATATTGATCATAGCAACCATGTTGTGTACCTTTGAAAGTTGATCAAACAAATATGATGGAGGATATCGATCACTCTTAATGATGGATAAATCCATATAGTCTGATTTCACATTAACCTCTCCAACTAAAATAAGAGCTTTACGTTCTTCCTTTTCTTGTGCCTTGTTGGAATTGGGAGCATCATAGGGGCCCAACACGTGCTTTGGATTTTTAGATTGACATGCCAAGTCCATTGCAAGAATACGTGCCAATCCATGCATCAAGTATTCCATGGAAGTGAAAGGGAATCTTCTTGGATATTGTAATAATTGATTTTGGACTTTGTTAGAATCAAATCCAGGTACGGAGACAGAAAATCCTCTCTTTGCATACTTGTACAGTCTGTACTCATAAGTAGTGGATTGTCGATCAACATCGACCAAGTTCGTATTGAAGGCAAGAGCTCTTCTTGCTCTTGGAGCACTCCATACAGTCTTACCATCATAACCAATGCATGCACAGTCGATATCAAATCCAAGTAAGACTTCAGCAGGAGATTTGTAAATTCTCAAAACAACTTGAATTGGTCTAATTCTGTAACCATAAAATGTGACAGCGTATTTGGTTCTCACAACCAAAATGTCATCATTCACAACAGTATTTGTTGTTTTCAAGATTCCATCTTCGAATAACTTCTTTTGTTCTTGGTTTTGATTCCTGTTTCTGTAGTAGTGATATCCAGAGGATGACAACTTTTCAGTATTGGTGTCAGGCAATAATAAACGAGCCATGTTCTTCTTTACAGTTTGGTAAATATGACGTATTTTCTCTTCAGCTTCTTTTTCAGTCATGGCATACAAAAATAAATCAATGTCACTCTTTTTGAAACTGGTTGGAATGTTGGGCTCTGGAATCACTCTGGCGTTGGAAGTATCTGCAACAGTAGACTTTATATCTACTTGCTTTTGCTTGTTTGATCTTCTTGTATCATAACCCTCATAGGTGTTGCCATATCTGAACTTTGAAAATACTGAGCTATTTCCAATACTATCCAAATTGTGGAATGCAGAAACTGGATATTTGATAATAGAATCATTGTGTTGAGTGGTTGTATCCTTTTTAGTGAATCTTCTCCAAAAGCCGAAATCACTTGCTTCATTTTCGTCATCGTCATCATCAATGGTGGAGATGGATCTTGAAGTGTTGTTCTTTGCACGTTCCTCACTTGACATGGGGAAAATTGTAGAGACAGGAGTTTGAGCGGAAGGGTCACCACCATCCTTTAAGAGACATCCCAAAACTTTAAAGTGAAATGATGTTAAAAATCATTACATTTGTAGAATAAGACAATCTTCAAAAAAAATTCACACATACCTCCACCACCTGCAGCAAAAACTCCCTTCCAATCTAGACCTTCCAAAACTCCCTGAGTGAATCTATGCCAATTCAATTTGAATGCTTGAACATTATTCACAAGACGAGGAGGAGAAACATGTCTTGAATATTTCGTCTTGTCACTGAGATCCAACAGTTTTGGACACTTGCCAAAATCAACTCTAAACCTCTCTTTCAAATTGATTTCATCTAATTTGCTGAACAATGGAGTTAACATGAGATATGGATCGTCCAAGAGTGGAGAATCTCTTCTCTTTGCAAACAGTTCTCTCAACTTGTCCTCTTGCTCTTTGAGTTTAATATTGTCCTTTCCCAATAACTCTACTGGATAACGCAATGGATCCAAGTATTCTTGAATCAAGGTATTCATTCCATAGAATTCAGCTTCCTTCTTGAGTTGGAGTTTCTTCTCATTTGATAAATACTTGGGGAAGTGATAGAACTTTCCTCCAGAAATAATATATCCATGAATAAAATTGAAGAGTTTAGGACTTCTATCAATAAAGATACATCCATCTTGATTCAATTTGAAATTACCAGATAACATGTACTTGGTAATTAAAAAGTTTTCATACTTTCTCAATGCAGTGAATGGAATGGTAAAAACTTGGCCAGCGACATCGACACGAACACTCAAGTCACTCTCAACATCATTACCAACCAAAAAGTTCTTGTAACTTTCAACCAATTTTTGAGAAAGTGTCGAAACATTGAGCTTGGATTGGTTGACCTTTTCATTGGTTTCCTTAATGTATTGCTTGACTTTTTCAACAGGAATAGAAGAGGTCACTCCAAAATCTTGCTGATCATCATCCATATTCATTCCAACTTCATCATAATTAGTCAATGAAGAGTCGTACTTGTGATACTTGTCGAGCAAGAACAAAATGTATTCTGACAATTTCTCGGTAAGGAAAAATCTACTCTCTTCCAAAATATTTTCAAGCTCTGTAATGTTCAACTTTTCAATACCCAATGATTTTACTCTTCCTCCTTGTCTCAAATGTTCCAAAATGTATTCAAAATACTCTGGATTTCTATCCTCGAAAGAGATGGCTGATTTGTTTTCCTCTCTCTCAATACCAAAACCGCTATCAAACATGACCTTGAATAAATTGTCTTGAGCACAAACATATTCGAGAGAAGCACCTGATGCTGAGGAGCTATCTTTGGCGGCATTTCCATCTTGTTCTTTATCATCTTGCATCTCTTCCTCTTCTCCATCACCTCCTTCCTCTTCTTCATCACCTCCTTCTTCCTCTTCGTCGCCTTCTCCGGGAGGACCTCGTTTCTTTGGTTTTGGTCCCGAAGCAACTTGTCCGCTAATGACAATCTTTTTAGATTGAACATTGGAACCTCTCTGACCCAACAAGGTCTTTAATGTGGTTTGAAAGAAACGAGACCCTACTTTCAACACAACCAATTCATCGGTTTGCATTTGTTCGAGAGCAACAAGATTCAGCTTGGATGCCGATGAGTCCACAAATGAAAAATCATTGGCCGTGGAAGATGAGAGCGGAGTGCTGCTGGAGGATGATGAACCATTTTGGAATTGGTCCACTAAACGCTTGATCATGGTTTCGGTCTGTTGTTGCAAAGTCAATTGATGAAAGGACTCTGCTACTTGATCGATCAATTCGCTGGTTTGCTTCTCTTCGGATGGAATTTCATAGGATAACATGGAGGAATCATTTTCTTGTGCACATGATGATGAATATTCCTCATCTTGTTTTCTCTTCTTGCTTTCGTTGGATGCCATCGGGTGATGAGTGGTTGGTTTTTAATTTTTTCGAAATTTCACAAAATGTTCATCGCAAGATCCGCTTGTTGAAGTGATGAAATGTTGCGATTTTCTTCAAAATGAAGGAAAATGTAAGAAGATATTTTGTAACAATCTAACCAACCAGCTCATCACATTTGGTGCCATTAATTGAGATCGTTTGAATACAGCTCTCTGAGGGTGTGTTTTGAGTTCTACCTACTCCGCAAGGAATTGCAGAAAGTGTCAAATGACAAATTTGGCATAATACCATTCTTTGCTAAACTTCAAATAATTGTTGGGTTTGTTATTGTAAACCAAAACTCTAACAACCATTGTTTGCTCCATACCCTCAATACTGTTCCATTTCGCTTTACTTATTGTACGAGCCGAAAGTGGAGCTCATAGAGGCTGTGGTATTTCACAACTCTGAAAGGGAGCAAAACGACAAGGCTTCTTTTTTGTCATTTTGAGCAAATTTCAAGCTTGTTTTTTAAAGTTTCTACAACTAGACGACAACGTTGTGGCCCGATCAAAAGACAAAAACAGACTTGGAACAAGACGAGATCATCGTTGGTCCAAACAAAAATAAACGTTTCAATTAAAAATGAATCTTTTGCATACACCTCCGTTACAGAGGCGGAATAAAGTCGTGATTGACGAAGATGATGAGCAACATTTACCATCATCAGCATCGGAAGAAGAATATGAAGAAAGTGAAGAAGAAGAAATGACAGATTTCCAACATGTTCATGCTCCAACAAAACCAAAACGACCAACCAATAGCCGAAGTAAAGGCACTACTCATTCCGATGAATCAGATAGTGATAGAGATGATGATGATGACGATTCTAGTTCTTCATCATCATCGAGTGATGATGGTATGTTTAAATTTAAACCGAAACTAATTTTGAAATAATTTTTAATCTCATTGTGTGATGTATTCAAACGTTTGCCTTTAATTATTGAAAATGTAGACGATTCCGATTGGAGTGTAGAAGAACGAGATGGAGAAGATGTTGTGATTAGAAAGTACAAGCACATGTATGTTCAATGATTGTAATTTAGAATTCTGGAAATTAATACTTTTCATTTTCGCTTTAATTCCCATTTTCTACCTTGTCACAATAGAGGTGAAGATCAAAATCCAACAACACCAGTTACATTTCAAGAAAAGAAACAAGATTTTCCCATCAAAATTAAAGATGATAAATGCTCCATCGGAGTATCAGTAAGTGTTTTATTCGATGCAAGATCAGTCAAATATCACGTATAATTATATGACAATGGAACTGTTATATTTTGCAAATTATCACTTCATTTGAACAAAATCAAAATAGGGTTATTGCATGATTCATGCAACTCATTGTTTAGAAAGTGGAGCATATTACTACGAAGTGAAAATTGAAAACAATATGGAAAATAATTCTGTGCCTGACTATGCAAGAAAACCTCATTATCGAGTAGGATGGTGTTTGAAAGGAGCGTTTGACAAAGGTCCATGTGGATTTGATAAATTATCGTATGGGTATGGTAGCAAAGATGGGAAGGTATATTATAAATCGAAAGGAATTCCATACGGAGAACCTTTTGGGGAAGCTGGAGATGTCATTGGTTGCTACATTGAAATTCCCAAAGTTGAAACTCCACCTATTAAGTATATTGAGTCTGCATTTTTTGGTGATGACGGCCAACAGTACAAACAATTCACTGCAACTTTGGATGAAAAGCCAGTTATTGGAAGCAAAATAGTTTTCTTTAAAAATGGAAAATACCAAGGAATAGCATTTTCGGATATTATGTTTGGAGCATATTTTCCAGCAATTTCACTCTACATGAATGCCTGTGTCACAGTTAGATTTGAGGCACATCAATTTCAGTACAATCCTCATGACTGTAATCCTGAAGTTGTGAACAAAAATTGGAAAGCTATTGGAGAGTTACGAAAACGTACCAAGATTCCACAAAAACCACCAAGCACACCCTCCAAAGAGGTGACTGGCACAGGTGGCGAGTTTAAGGCTCCAAAACCACGTCATAGAGAAGCTATAAAGAGCACCACAGGAAGCATGGTAGAGGCAGCAAGAAAATTACACTCCTCCCCAAGCAATCCAAGACATTCAAAAATTGCATCTGCCTCTACACAATCAACTCCGCTCCACAATGAAGTATCTAAAAAACACAAAAAGAACAAGAAAGAGTCAAGTTCGGTTCATCCCAAACAACCAAAACAAGCAGTCACTACGAATCACCAAGGTGAAGCAAAAAAATCATCTTCCTCTAAACACAACAAGAGAGCAGAAACAAAAGATGTGACTAATACTACTGCCATGCCACCAACCACCCTCAGTGCGAGTCATACCCAAATGAACAATCGTCCTGAAGCTGTTTCTTCCATGCAGAGCAGTACACCAACGAGGGCAAATATTGATCCAATAAGTTCCAAAAACGATATTGCTTTAAATAGTGCTAGGGTTGACAATAGTGCGGCGATAACCATTCCACAAAATACTGAAAAGAAAAAAACAAAGAAGAGTCATCAAAGCTCAAGTGAACCTTCAAAGATGGAAAAATCACACACAACAGAACATAATCCACAAGACAAATCTGCAATATTGAAGGAGCCAGAAAACGTTCCTTCAACCACCTTAGAAGAGAGGTCAATGACACAACAAGATGACTCTGTCATGACAGACAATGGAATCAACAACTCTATGAATCAGGTACCAACAACGGTCACTCTACAAGAAGAGTTTGCTCAACTAGGAATTGCCATCTCAAATATGAAGGAGCCTCCTATTGTGGACTCAAAACCAGTTGAGCACCACAAGAAGGGAACTCCAAAACCTGAAGCAGAGACATCACCACGAAATTCTTCATTTTTGCCTCAAACTCCTCCAGCATCAGCAGCAAACACATCATTATCTGTGACAGCAGCGTCTTCCATGACTCCTAACGAACAACACCATGTCATTCCCTCAAGCACTCCCGCCTCGTCCTCATCGGCTTCCACTCCATCAACAATGCCAGCAGCTACCATAACAACATCGTCACATCCACCAGTGGTTCCTCTTGTTTCTGCTGCTACCTCCTCCACTTACATTACAAACATGTCAGACAAACCTTTGGCTCAATCCACAGCAACACCAACTAAGGAACGAAAATCCAAAACAGCCAAAGCTGAAAGCTCTCTCATGATGATGGCCAGAAAAACACAGGTGGATCATAACCCCAAGAAGGGAATTGGCTTATTGAAAAACAAAAAGGATGAAACTGTTCAAAACAAAACACCTCTTAAAAGGAAGAATTCGCTTTCGAAAGAGGAAGAGCACGTTGCTGTTCATCATCACACCACTAAGCTCGTAGATCCACCTAAACCCACCCCAAAGAAAAAACCTGAAGACTCATCGAAACCATCGCTATCTGTGACAGCAGCGTCGTCCTCAGGTGATGTCAACACCAAGACCCTCGAGGATGGCTCCAATATTACATTAGAAGCTCCTGAACAACATTTAACAGTTAGTGGTACTGTTGATGATTTTTCTCCATCGAATAAGAAGAGAAAAACAAGCAAAGAAATTCCTTATGAACCTCCTTTCGAAAACCAACCGGTTCGTGCTTCAGAGATGGCTTCAATACAACGAACTAACACTGATACTAGCAGTAGTTTTGCTTCCAAGACATCACACCAACAAGCTCAGCAACAATCACACCACATGACACCTCAGTTGCAACAATTGGAACCACAATTAAGCGAGAGAATTTTGGATATGGATCAAGCTACTACGCCTAACGTAAGGCAACAAGCACCTCACTCACAACAACAACAGCAGACAATTCGGCAAGAATCGCAGCATGTTGAACAATTTATGCCCAATATGCTACTTAAACAAAATCAAACTACGACAACATTCGACACGAATCTGCAATCGCAAGAATCCATTAGATCTAGGAGTAACAGCTTCCAAAGTCTGTTGCTAAATGTGCATCCTCAACAATCATATTCTCAACAAGTCAATCAACCCACAAGCATGTCAAACTATCAAATTACTGGTACATTATCTCAACAGCAAAAGTTTGCTTCAATGCAAGAAACGAGCATGCTAAATGCATTCCATAATTTGTCTGAGCAACAACCAGTCACAAATACCAACGTTTCATCATCCAGAACAGAACAATATACTGCTCCAGTGTCATTCCGTGAGCTATTGCTAAGCCCTCCAACTGCTACTCCTTCTTACTCACAACCACTTCAGTCATCTTTGTCAACAAATATTCATGCAAATCAAATCGAATCATCAACGATGCAGAGTAATTTAATGAATAATCCAGCTCAATTCAACCAGTTATTGACAGCTCAGTCGCATCATCAACAAACTCAACATTCACAACAACGCAGTTCGCAGTTTCTGTCAGGACATGATCAGACAGAGCAATTTTCTGAGCGTTCTCTGGGCAACGCAGATACATTTGTGGATTCCTTTAGCAAGTACATGGCTCCTCGGAAGCTTAGTGATCCTCCACAGCCAGCAACTCCTCTCTCTGCCCAGTCACAACAAATGAAGCAAACATTTAATCCAACCCAATTCATTCAACAACGAAATGTTTCCAATGCTTCTATGCAGCACAATCCCAGCAGTGTTGTGACGTCTGGTAACTATCAAATGGTGTCACAACAGCAACAAATTCATCAGCCAACATCCAACACTTACTCTCAGCAACAATTTATCCAAACACCACAGAGCAACCTCCCACAACAACGCAACACCAATGTTGCAAGTAATATGCATCAACCATATCCTCAACAACAACAACAGCTACATCAAACACAAATGCGTGCACAACAGTACAATAATTTTGGAGCCTCAATCATGGCAGAAAGACAATTACCTTCAATGTCTGACTCTTTTACAAACGCATCTGCTAACAGAAGCTCTTTACTTGCTTCCATGTCTCAACAACAGCCATCGTCTCAACAATTTATGAAACAACAAGCGTCACAGCTGTCACAACATCAACAGCAATTCCATCAACAGATCAACATGAGCAGTCCAACAACACTGCAACACGTTCAAAATTATCCATCTCAACATCAACAGCACTATTCATCCGGTATGTCTCACCAACAAATGTCATCCAACAATTCTTCCTCTTTCTTAAAGAATCAAGCCACCAATTCACAGCAGCAACTCTTTTCACAACAGCAACCACCCTCACAACCACAACACTCCCAATATTTATCCAATGCCAATAATTACCGAGGCGCCTTCCAATAAAACCATGGTTTGTTGCTCGTCCTCTCCCCTCGCCGCCCTCACGACCAATTTCACACAAGGTCAACTCCTTGATTGGCCTGACACAGGAGTTGTTGTCACGTTCTAAACAACATCAAAAAAAAATGAAAGTCCTCAATAATAACCATGTCCGAGTCGTACTGCTCGTGTGGATCGTGATGATGATGATGACGATACTCATGTCAATGACTCTCACTGCCACCCGAACTCCACAAGAATGGAAAACTCGATCCATCTATCAGATCATCACCGATCGTTTCAGTCCCACCAATTCCAATCCTAATCAATCATGTCTTTTATATACCTATTGTGGAGGCACTTTTACTGGAATTATCAATCATTTACAATATATTAAAAATTTAGGATTTAATGCCATATGGATCAGTCCAATCGTGATGAATTTACCAAATGGTTATCATGGATATTGGATGAAGGATTTATTTAAATTAAATCCACATTTTGGAACAGAGAGTGATTTGTTGAAATTGGTCAAGACAGCTCAATCGATGGATATTTGGGTGATGGTCGATGTTGTGTTTAATCATGCGGTAAGTTCAAGAAGATGATCTCAACATGATTCATTTTTATGAACAAACAATGTTGATGGTGTGACATTTTTGGAAATTTTTTTTAAACTTTTTAGGGACCTGTTGGTTTTGATTTTGCAGAAATTTCACCCTTCAATCAATCTTCACATTATCATGCATTTTGTGAAATTTCAGATTGGACCAATCAAACACAAGTTGAAATTTGTCGACTTGCTGATTTACCTGATTTGGATCAAAGTAATCCATTTGTTTTTAACACTTTAAATTCATGGATTTCTAATTATATTATCGATTATTTTGGTTTTGATGGTATTAGAATAGACACTGTCGCAGAAGTTCCCAAATCCTTTTGGTCCAACTTGAAACAAAATATTCTCATTCCTAAAAATGGAAATATTTTTGCCATTGGTGAAGTTTTTAATGGAGATTTAAACTATGTCGCTCCATATGCCAATATTTTAGGAAGTACTCTTCATTATCCTCTCTATTTCACACTACGAAATATTTTCGCTCAATCTGGATCCATGTACCAAATTAGGAATATCATGCAACAAGCAAGATCATTGGTGAAAGACACCTCCGTGTTGGGAATATTCATTGATAATCATGACAATCCAAGATTTTTAAATTTCAACTCGGATTACAAATTGTATCAAAATGCATTGACCTATGTCTTAATGTCAGAAGGAATTCCAATTTTCTATTATGGATCCGAACAAGGATTTTCTGGTGGTGCAGATCCTCAAAATAGAGAACCTTTATGGACCACAAATTTCAATGAGAATTCCTATCTGTATCTATTCGTTCAGAAAATTACCAATTTTAGAAATTCACACATTCAAGAATTGATTCAAAATCCATTACAAGTCGAAAGATATGCTGCCAATAATTTTTATGCATTCACGAGAGGTCAGATTTTTGTGGCAACGACCAATGTGGGTTCCAATTACAATCAATTGCAATTTACCATTACGTATCATCCGTATCAGAATGGACAGGTGTTATGTGATGTGTTTTGGCCACAAGATTGTATTACGGTTGTGAATGGACAATTCACAATTACCTTATTGAATGGAGAATCAAAGATTTTTTATCCACAACATTAAGGGCATGTCAAACATTTTTCAAAAAAAAAACATTGACATTCAAAGATCTTAGGACTAAAGCATTTTTAAAAAAAAACATTTCACCTGATGTGATCCTAATATTAGGGATCGACAATGATTCCAAAAATATATAATTAAATAGATGAAATATGGATGGCCATGACAAAATCATTCAAATATTTTTAATCATGATTCAGTAAATTAGGAGCCAAACTAATATCTTCAAATCGACAATATGGTCTCGATGCACAATTTCCATAACATACAGGTCCTCTCTTTTCTCGAATGCAAACATCCAGACATTTCTGACATGCTTGTGAAGTTTGAAGTGAATTGGATTCTTCACCATTGCGGAGTTTTAACAATTGACTCAATTGTGAAAATTTCAATCGTTGACCATCCGCAAGTGATTCTTCTTCTTCTTCTTCTTGTTGAATCGTAATTCTTCGAGGAGAAGAAGAAGATTTTTGTAATTTTTGATGGTTCACCACCTGTTCATGTGGTTGATCGTGATTGTTCTTTTTCAAAATGTTTAAATAACGAGTCAACACATCCCAAACATCAATGCGATGTTTTCGATCTCGAATATTGGGTCGACGTCGAGTGGTTGGATGCTGTGGTTGTTGTTGTTGTTGAACTTTTGGTTGGATCCTTGGTAACTGTTGCAGTGATGGAGTGGAAGAGGAGATTTCTGCGTGTGAAAAAGTGAAAAGGATGGAAATGAGTATTAGTACTACGAGAAGGAAGAGAGTAAGACTCCGAGAAGAGTGGAATGGAGATGGCCTTGAGGGGATCATGAATTTTGTTGTTGTTGTGGCCATTTTTTTTTGGAATGGTTATCGTAATGAATCCACCTGTCAAGTGTCATAATGAAAAATTCTTGATATCATGTATTTTATTGATTGCATGTTTTTTCTCAATTCATGGCCTTAATGTTTTTCATTATCAAGAAAAAGATTTCTTTCTTACATTGATGAACGTAATAAATTGTCCACTCGTTCAACAAAAAAAACAATAAAAAAAAATGAAAAAACAAAATCCTTTTGCTCCGAAGAAAGTCTCCAACACGGCACAAGGAAAAAAAGTCATTGGAAGTTTTGTTAATGAGGATCAAGGATCATCATCGGGCACCAAAGCATCATCTAAAAAATCATCAGAAGATCAAAAAAAGAGAAAAATTGAAACAACAACAACTTCATCATCCGATGATTCATTCACATCCTATCCTTTGGGAAAGAAGAAGAAGGATTCCGATCAACAACAACAACCGAATGTTGGAAGAGTAACAGAATCCATGATGAGAGCCTCCATGGTAAAACCCGAAGCTGTTTCTGATTCTTCATCATCCAATTATATTAAGCCACTTCCAGCGAACTTTTTTGATACAGCACCATCGGAATATGATAAAAAGAAAATTCAAGAGGGTTATAAAGATTTGACAAAGAGTGGAAAGAGTTCTGGAATTGGAGCTGAATCCATCATTAAAGACAAAGGATTTGCTAAAATTGTGAACTCTGCAGTGATCAAGAAGAAGATTGATAAAACGGGATTGAATGCAGAAAAACCAGTCGTCTCCACTCGTCAAACAAAAGCAGAGAGAAATTTGGAGACACTTGAACAAGAGTTGGATGAGCGAGAAGACGCCGAAGAAATGAAACGCCAATTAGAAGAGTTTTTGAAAATTGAAGAAATTCGCAAACAAACAGAAGCTCTAGTGTCAACTAAATCTAATAAGGACTCGGACGGTAATAATATTACGGACAAGAATGAACCAAAAGCAACGGAACAACTTGACGAAAGTGATGATGAGCTTGAAATGAATTGGAAATCCAAGTCGCTCAAGAAAAAATAGAAATTCTTAGGTAGGACATTGGTAATAGCAAAATGTTGAGCCTCCACATCGGCCGTCTTGTGTGGGGTCTCCATAAACAAATTCCTCACGTTCATTGATTCCAACAGAACTTATTTTAATTATGCATAGGAGCGATAGGATTGATTGGATAAATATTGAGATGGCTGTATGAAGGCTCTCGTCCATTTTTTTCAAACTCTTTCCGTATTAATTGCTCAACCTCTGCTAGGGTAGTCACTCCAATATGAGAAGCCCAAAACTCCTTTACAAGAATTGAATATTCCAGTATGATATGACACTCCTTAAATTTTTGCACAAATAAGGTTACTAATGGTAAGGTAACATATTCAATAAAAGAATATTGACATTTAGCAACGTTGCTCTTTTCTCGGTCCATAAACGGGCTACCATCCATTTGACGTTCCTTTTCTTTGTCACCTTGTAAGAAAAATTCTTGTTGCAATCTATTAATCCAAGGCAGATGTAAAAATAGAGGTTTGGATGTGTTAGAAGTGTCGGCAACCTTTAGACACATCTTTAAAAAGAAAATTTTCTCTTGCTCCAAATCTGAGGTTTGCTTTCCTACGTCCATCATTGCTTGCATTTGATTCATGAAGCCCTGTTGAAAAGATAAGTCTGTAGCGCTTACCAGACCAATCACTATTTCTCTGACATATCTCCTTTGCTTTGGCGTAAGCCCTTTTAAAATATTATATTTTTCATTCTTTAGCAGGTCATAAAAAGATGCTACGTGGTGGCTCTCAAGAACCGATTTGTCGTTATACGTAATTGCAAGGTCAGAGCATGACTGAATTTGGAATTGGTTTGTTGTTCCTGGATGTTGAAAATCATGTACAGCAGCAGCCAAAATCACTGCCAATAATTCTTCTAAGGACAGCAAGGGTATGATTCCTGTAGTTTCCAGAATGAACATGAAAGTATGTAAAACATCTGCAGCGTGAATGTGATTGTGAAAAGGATTTGTACCATAGTTGAGTTCGACATGTCGTAAAAAAGTGTGTAAAATTTCTTTGTCAATGTTAAAATGTTCTATCAAGTTGTACTTCCTCAAAAAGTAATGAACCACAACGTAAAGAGGATTACCTTTAGAGGCATCATTCAAAACAAAAATATCAAAATCATATCGTTCAATATTGTTCATGCACTCTTGGACATCAGGATTACTTTCAAGTAACGATAATGCACCTTCGATGGGTTGTCTTTTGAAAATATTTCCTACTCGTATTAAATTTGCAATGGTTTTCCATCCAGCTTTTTCTCTTGTTCTTGGTTTGACAAAAGTGGAAATGAATGCATTGACTTCGGTGTCATGGCTTACTTGAGCAGGTTTTGGCTCCTCCTCTGAAACATCTAACGTTTTTGCAATTGTTTGAATTACCAGAAAGAGCTTTGGTTTGTCTATACATGTGATTGACTCATTTTGTAGTATCTGTTGCAAGAATTTTATGACTTCTTGAACTTGTAAGGTGGGAGGTTCTTCAGGTTGCTGCAGTGACAAGGAGGTGGTCATAGGGTCTTGTGGGTTGGACATCAACATAGAATCTTGTGGGTGTATCACAGACATGAGATTAACTCTATCTGATGTGGTATTTTGTGTTGTGGGAGTAAGAGGTTCGATTGAAGATGTAGGAGGTGTAGAGGTGTTGTGTGTTTTTGTCGGGTTCTGCTTGTCTTCGTCATCCTTCTCTATTCGAACAACACCATCTTCTGAGGGCTCACTGTTTCCACTCTCTTCTAATGGTCCTACAGTTCCATAGTCTGTGTTTACAGCAAAACTAGGGACAATGTTGGTACGATGAAAAGTAGCTCGGACATGCTTTGAAAATCCCTGATAATAAGCATAAAACGAAGTTACCAATTTACAAAAAGAACTGTTCACCATTTGACTCGATAAATCCGTCAAATCAGGAACATGTTCAAATAACCTGAAAATGACAGTCTTATCAATGTCTTCAGGAGGATATCTTAGAGTAAGGGTCATTCTTAAGGACGAGGAGGCTTCCAAGTCAGAAGCAATAGAATAGCTTTGAGAGCTAAAAGCAGAAGTTAACATATCTAGCATTCTTCTGTGTCGAGATTGGGCCGACAGTGATGCGGCGGAATCGTCATTGCTGTAAAACCGTTGTAAAAACCTTTGGTAAGAAGTTTCATATACGTAAAATTTGGATTTCAAGTCTGATGTAAATATTACTAATTCATCCATATTGTTGATCATTAAACTAACCAGTAATGGTTTTCCATCTAATAAAATGTCGCCATGAAAGCTCAATAAATCGTCTCCCTTAAGCAATGAGGAGGCACTGAGAGACTGTGTACTATTGTCTCGAAGCATGGACCCTATAAAGGAGTCATCTTCATCATGATCTCCGGCATGCCGAGTCGAGAAGGATCGTCCTAGCATTGTAACTAGGGACGCTCTTGTTATATTGCTCGCAGAGAGAGATCTATACTCAGACTGCCGTCGAGCGCTTACAGATCCATCTAGAAAATCAGCATCCATGGACTTGCTTATTTCAACGGTGCCGTTTGGTTTGATGGAACCTCTCCTGCTACTGCTGACCGAGCGTGAAACGCTATTGAGACGACCTTGCGAGTGGCGTTGTTGTTGTTGTTGTTGATGTCGCTGTGGTGTTGCAATACTACTTCGGATTGTTCCATTTCCAGCACTCTGAGGAGTGCTTGATACTCCCTCAATAACGAGCTCAATCTTTGAGTCATTATCCATGATCAAGAGAGAGTGATTGTCCTCATTGTGATGGCGGTGGTGATTGGGATGATGAGGTTTAAAATGATTGGATGAGGTTCTAGAAGCACCACTCCCCATTGTGTCTTGCTGATGAAGAATTATTGAATACAGAATTAGGCTTCAACTAGCAGTTCCAATTAAAAATATATAAAATCAGAAACAATCCTTAGAAACGGGCAACTTGTTCAGCAAATGTTACTACAATTCAGAAATTATTCTCTTCAACCAACAACAATATTGTGGGAGAGCTTGATGATGAGAGGATGAGGCTACAGCTCCACTCGATTGTTGTTTGGAAGTTTTCAAACGAACACTAACGTTGGCGGCAACAATTTTTTTCAGGGCTTCTTGAGGGCATGCAACTTGCCTTAATCGGACTACTTGAAAAAACTCCCAACAACAATACCCATCACCGAGTTTGGCCAATGGTAAACAAATCACAGATTTGCCACAAGGAGGAGCACTATAAGAGCTCGTACAATGGCCTCATACCAAATACAAAAATTGATGGACATTATATATTTTGTGAAAAACATGTCTCTTGAATAATAATACTCATTCTTTGGGCAACACAAATGAATGTAACTCATTGTCTGATCGAACTCTTTCCAAATGATGATCCACAATGGTTGAAAAATCGGAAAAGAAAAAGTGTCCTCTGAATTTGGTTTCAGGGCCTTCAAGGAGCAAGTGAAACCATACGGCATCATCGGCCCACATCTTTTCAAACGGTATGGTATCATAGTCAAACCATTCGGGTTTCATTTCTTCACTTTCCGATATTTCTCCAGTATAATCACTTGATGAATACACATGTACTTCCAAGACGCTTGTTTCATATTGCGGATCAAATTCAAATAGAATTAAACCTCTCTTTATCAAATGTGTCGCATGAATTCCACATTCTTCCAATAATTCTCGCTGAGCTGCATGCATGATGGAGTTATCTTGTTCTTCGACTTTCCCTCCGAAGCCATTATATTTGAGATGTCCGAATCCTCGTTTCTTCAATCCCAACAATAATCGTTTTTTATCATGTTGTTGAATGAATACGAGAGTGAGAGGCTTTATTTTCTTGTGAGAGAGTTTTTCCTTGTTGAAGTACTTGTCAGGCGTGTCATTAATGACTGTGGTTTGCGGAGCCATTTTTTTGATTGCAATTCCGTCATCTTTACAAAACACTCTTATTTGGCCGAGTGATTGGATGAAGCAAGAAAATGGACCAAGTAAGGCCACATATTTAGAAAGAACTATTCACATGATTGACACTGGCCATAAGGAAAGGACTCACATTACAAAAAACCACCAGAAATTCCAGCAAAAAATGCCGTCCAAACAACATGAAGGGCCGCCTCATCATTCTTTGTCGCAACAAGGGCCCTATGTGTCATCCTCTTCTTCATCTCATCAGGAGCGGAATCATATCAACAATTCTCAGAATCCACGGACAACATCATCCAATCTTCAAATCAACACCACCAACACGAAACGAAAATCGCCGAGCTCTTCAAACAATAGTAGCAACACATCTTCTCCAACTGCGAGTTTGTTTTCTTCTTCTGGTATCAGTTCAGGAAGGCCAGTTTCACCTCACAACATCACTTCGCCAACAACAACCATGAATCAACCTCTCGGCCTCATTCCTGGAATTTCTCCTATCCATCATCTTCATCATATCTATTCCAGTAAAGATAATACCAATTCCGATACAGAGGATCCATCTTATCGTGCAACAACACGATCAGTTTCACCCAGCATACCAATACCTACATCAATATCCAACAACAACATTTCACCAAATAACTCGCTCCAAAATCATCATCAACTTTTGAATGCCGTAACTTCCGATCACTCGAGCAACATTTCCAATGTCAGTAATAACACCACCAGTAGTAGTAGTAGCACTAATAATAATAACAATAATACTGGTAAATCCCATTATGCCAATCGCAGCACTGCACGACCACCTTCTCCTCTTTTCATGAACGCCATACACTCTGGAGGCAATAATCCGTATTACCAACAACAACAACAACAGCCTAGCACCTATTCCGACCCAATATCTCAGTCCAATAACGGTCTGTTGAACCCACAACAGCCTTTTCAGCAACTTACCTCGTTTCCTTCGTCATCACAATTTCCAAAAAACAATATCAATAATCCTTTACGTGGCACTGCCACCACTCCAGTCCCGAAAAGGTCACATGGTAGAGTCAAAGGTTCTCCATTGAATAATCACCTTGGCCATCAGAGGAGTTCTTCGTTTGATATCCATGCCATCATGGAGCACTATCATCCTCCAACAACTTCCATGATAGGTAACAGCATAATACAGCACAGACTATTCAACCATAGGACAGCAATAGTATTAACCATCAACCGATTCAATCCAACCTTCCATTTGTTACAGCACCCATAGTTGTCACTCCACAACAACAGCATGATAGTATTGTTTGTAGTGATAACCATGACGTAAAAAACAACAACAATACACTCTCCAGCAAAAACAATGACGCCCCAAAATGACACACTCTGAATACATTACTGGTAGTAATAAGTCACCAACAACGAATCGACTCTCACCTTCAGAGCTGAGTTATGATTCGGAAGATTCATCGACGTCACCATCAACTCTCACTACCTCTACAGGTACTTCATCATCGAAGAAAAAACCAAATCTTCGAATTGATATTGGAAGTAACAAAACAGTGCCTCTTGCTCATGTACCCAACAACAATTCTCCTTTTACAAAACAACAATCAACCATGAATCCCTCTAACGTTGTAAATCAATTAGAGACCCTAATTGGATCGAAAAATGTCAAGCATACAACAGCTTCCGAAAATACTCCGACAATTGACAAGTTTCATAATAAGGGTCGACAACAACAAGTTTCGATTAAGGGATTTATGAGGCCTAATTTATATGAAGAAGATGTTTATGATTTTCTTTCAGAATATCCTGTAAGAAGTAGATCTGTTTCTCCTCCACCAACAACATCTCTATTCTCACATCACCATAAAAAGAAAACACCAATGAGTACTGAGAAGAAATCTCCCAGTGTTCTTGTACAAGCGGTAGGAACTAAAACTCCAACATCAGTCAAATCAAAAGATGAGGAAGATACTGATGACAATTGTGTGACGCCTCCTCAAAGAAAAAGCTTTTCGAGGGATGACGGAATTTCTGATGACGAAGAGGTTGATAGCGACTATGTGACACCACCATCTGATATTCGTACCGTATCCATTACAGAGCCACAAACAGATAATTTCAGGTTGATACGTCAACCTTTTTTACCATTTAACGATTTATCGTCTCCTCTATCCATGATGCGAAAATGTCAAACTCCTGTGGCTGTAAAAACCAAAGCTGAAACTCTATCTTCTTCTTTTGGTCATATTAAATTTTATGAAAGGCGAAGAAAAAGGTACTTGATGATGATCACAGACAAAGATTCATCAGTAATGGAGGATGAGCTCAATCTGTTGCGTGAAGATTTTATTGAGGCAAAAACAAACATCATGAGACGAAACAGAAAGATTGATCAAATGACTTTCTCTGATATGGTATACACAGAACAATTTGATAAGAATCCCACTTCTGAAGATGATAGTTTTGAAAGTTGTACTCAGGACCAAACCATTTTTTTAGGAAAGAAGTCATACGAAAAGATTGCACGCTTTTTAACATCAAAAATGATGATATCACTCGACCAATTGCACACAGATTTGAAAGCTTTCATTATTGAGCTAGAAGAGGCTGCAGCGCTTCAGTTTCCTTCTTTGAGCGAAGATTCTTTTGTTTTGGAAATGAAAGAGATTGCTCATAGGATTATTGAAGCCGGACTTTCAGAACTTATCAAACAAGTATACATGAAAGATCTCAACGATTTGCTTGTTAGCCTTCGTGATTTACATGCTGAGGCAGATGAACAAGATTTACCACGAATCAATTTTTCTCTTAAGGAGTTGAAGAAGCTATTGTTCATTTACAGTAGAGTGAACAGAATCATTGCAGTATATAATAGGATTCCTGAGCATCTCAAGGTATTGAACCTTCCTCAAGCACGAAAAAGAAGTGGTAGCGAAGCAAAAGGTATTCCCAGAGTGAACACTCCTCCTGTTACTGAGCTTGCCCATCTCAAAAAGCTAAGCTTGAATCTTGATTCTACCTTAGCCAAAAAATCTGGATCATCGATTGATCTTCTTCATAATCCCTCCACAGCCGACAAACAAAATCTACAAATTACTAACTTATTGAAAAAGTGGCAAGAAGAAAGTACTGTCATTACTCCAAGATCTGAACAATCAACCATGTCCTCTCCAACCCACACAACTTCTTCATCAGTCACTTCCACTCCCAAATCCCCTCAAGATACTCTCTTTTGCAGATATGTGAAAAATTTATTGATGTTGACACTTTTGAAGAGCATACCCAATCATGTGCTAGATCTCATGAATTAAACATGAAGCGTATTGGGTGTGAGCAGAAATTTAAACAGCTCATGCATCAGATCAAAAAGAGACGAAGAGAGGAACCTTTCGGAGAAATTTATTCTCTTGTTAAGGCTTGTTACAAAGCTAAAACTAAACATGAACTCTATGATTGTGCTGATAATCTCAAACGCCTAGAGGTAAAACTGAAGAAAAAAGATCAAGAGCGCAACAAGGACATGTCCACTGAGACACAAATTGTCTCGGTTTGTATTGATTTGGCAGAAGAAAAAAACAAAACCTTGCACGAATATGTGGAAAATTTCAAAAAAGTGTCCATCATGGATTTTACACTGATCAAGCCCATATCTAAAGGAGCATACGGTAGAGTTTATTTGGCAAGAAAGATTTCCACACCTGATATTTATGCCATCAAAGTGATTGAAAAGCAATATATTTACAATCACAAAAATTTGTCATCAAAAACTCTGAAAAATAAGGACAAACTTCTCACAGAACGAAACGTATTGCACCAATTGATGAAAAGTAATCACGATTCAAAATGCATTGTTAACTTTTACTATTCATTTGCCGGAAAAAAGTATTTCTATATTGTGATGGAATATTGTCCAGGTGGTAGTTTGGATTGTCTGCTTGAGCAACACATTAACACCTATGACAGTGCATTCGATGTTGAAAAGGTTCGAAAAATTGTGGCAGAGATTATCCTAGCTCTGTTAGAGTTGCATTCCAACAATATTGTGCACCGAGATTTGAAACCTGATAACATGCTCGTTGACAGGAACGGAAGATTGAAACTCACAGATTTTGGTTTGAGCGAAATTGGTATTATGGACAGAGAAGAAAAGGCAACGAGTAAGCCACGCATTTCCACTCCACATCCATCCTCACCACCCCAACTTCAACTTCAGAATCTTGCTTCAAGTCCAAACAACAGCACCGAAAGTGAAACGTCTGATGGATTAGTGACTGTTCCTGGAACACCTGATTATATTGCTCCTGAATTACTTTTGGGAGCAGAGCATGATTATGCAGTTGATTATTGGTCTCTAGGATGCATTACCTATGAATTATTGTTTGGCGTGCCTCCATTTAATTCTGACACTGTGGAAGAAATTTTCGACAATATTCTCTCAGGGGAATACGAGTGGCCAGAAGATTTACCTCCAGAAATACAAACTTCTGGTGTTGAGGACTTTATTAGACGCTTGCTTGATCCAAATCCAAAAACAAGATTGGGAGGAAAAGACATCAAAGATCACGAGTTTTTAAAGCCAATCGATTGGGATAATTTACTGAATGAGGAACTATTTACTCCAACTACTGAGCTGGAAGATACATCTAAATTCTCGCCAAGAAAGCATCAATATCCTGTCACACCAACTACTCACGGATTTCTGAGTCCATTTGAAGCAGGAGGAACAAGTTTTAATAGCGATGCTAGCTCTGTAGACTCACCAAGTCCAGTCAAAATAGTTCCATCTTCTCAGGTTTTGATGAGCCCAATGGCAAATTCATCACATACTCTTTCTACCTCAATAGATTTTTCATTCAGCTCCTCCACTGCCGCACTCAAAGAACTCAACATGCAACAGTACAATGAGTATGTGAAAAAGTCAAACAATAATTCTCAAACCTCTCAGAAAAGTACAAAAAGTACAGGAAGCGTGGTGAGATCTCTCAATTTTTCGAACATGTAATAAAGTTAATGATAGGGGATATTTTCTTCAAGCCTTTACTCTGTAATGTATGGATTTATCGAACACGCAACTCAAAACGAAGAGACTCCAAACAATTTCCTGAACTGCTCATACAGAGGTAAGCTCAACAAGAAGTGAGGGCCTTTCGCATTTTGAGTTCAAATTGAACCTGAAATTCTTTTCGAAGAATACTTACCAAGACGCAAATAGGAGGCTGAAAAACCTCTGAACAAAACTGAAAAACCTTCATTCTTGATAATTTTGACTGGTAATTGTCATTGTTAAGCATGATGTACTTTCTTCAAAAACTTACCTGTACAATCTACAACTCCATTGTATCCTCCGTTGAGGCCTGTGCTTGTTAATTGGTCGCCAATTTTTAATTTAGCATCATTCATATATTTTGTTTTTATGACATCCACGGGGGAAATTGCAATTGCTGTCACTAGACCACTAACAAACGCACTAGTGACATGTGTCACGTGATCATCCTTGAATTTGTATCCAAAAATTGTTCCCATTTTGTTGAGTAATAAATATTTTGAATGATCGTATGAGCTCAATTGTGCTGATGTCAATATTGAAGCTCTTTAAGTGCCATTCATTAAGAAAAATTGAAATGCTTCAAGTAAACTCTTACCTAATCATGGTCACAATAGTACCCTTATACAATGCTGAAAATCCTTCATTTTGTGAAATTTTCCATAAAGCATCCCATGTATTCTTGTAAACAGGTCTATGATCACTCGAAACTCCACTAATTCCAGAAGATTGAAAACGAATTTTCACAACATCCAACGGATTCATCAAGGCACTCCCCAATGCTCCAGAAATCAATCCTGACACAGCTTTCCAAAACAATGGCAATTCCTTCATATTTGTGGAATCTTGACTTTCATTTTTCGTCCATTCCCTTAAATGCATCAAAGATGCTTTCACAGGATCATAAATTCCAATCCTCACACTTGAATATAATAAACTTCTCATACATGAAACTCCCAATCCAATAGTCCATAATTTATAAATTCCTCCTTCTTGTTTGATGATATCTGAAGCAACTCGGAACATGGATGAAGAGCCTCCTTCTCCTCCTTTCACAACCAAAGTCTGCATTCTTGTTTTAATTAATTCCAATGGATTTACAACTGCTGTGGCTAAGCTTGCTCCCAAACCAGCAGCCAGAAAGACTCGAGCCATATATTGGAAAGATCCGAGTGGAAGCGTACGCGAGGTGGAAGCTCCTTGAGGAGAAGAGGATGATGAAGGTTTTTCGGAAACTTGAGTATGCATGTTTTTGCCGTCCACTACTGCTGTTAATGTTGAATCGGAAGAGTCGTGTTGATGGAAATTGAGAGAAATGTACTCATGAAAGTTAAAGTAATTTTTTTCGAGCTTGAAAGGCAAAAACTGCGAAAACGGGACGAAATCTTTTAATGTCTTAAAATGGTCATCATTTGAGATGGAAGATCATGTATTGGTCATCAACAAAACCCAAAGAACCTGATTTCATTGTAAACGAGAAAAGATGATGGTGCCTCTTTTGACTGATTAAGGGAATTTCTAATCAAAAAGCACACACGTTCAGAACTTTTGCTTTGAGAATTATTGGCCACAGTCGTTAAATATGCTTTTGTACAAGTTTCCTTCATTCCACTCGCACTCTTCAACCAAAGCCTTAAAAATAGCTGGAAATCCAAATACTTTCCAAAAAATCATCACAACAACGCATACGGAGTGGAGTTTCGGAAACGTCGTTGTAGTCATAGGCTGAGAATTATCGTGTATCATATTTCAAACCATTTGAAATTGTACCATACTTGCATATTCTGTAGCAGTGGTGGTTGTAATATAGAAGAAGAAATCAGCCACATTGTATTTTTCAAAGAAGAAGAAATTAATTTATAATTTCCCAAGACAAGACGTGCAATCATCATCTTCATACGTTTCTGGCCTTTTTCAAACTCTCAGAAAAATTATAATATTTCGTAAACACGTGTTAGTGGACAGAATTGCAGCAAAATAGATATCAAGTTGCAACCAATTTCTAACGAACACGATCAAAAATCTCTCACTTGTTGCTGCGTGAATTTTCATCATCACTAACAAGCCTTTCTTCTGTTGTGTCAACACACCCCTAAATTCAACAACAACAACAGCCTCCTGTTCCTTTTTCATTTCTCATCATCATGTTTGCCGGAATTAACGTAAAAGAAGATTATCTTGGTGATTCTGAAGAAAATCGGACAGCCTCTTCCCAATCTCCTCTAACGGCCAATCTCAGAGAACATTATCTTAGCGATGAATCCTCTCCATCTTCATCACCATCCGAGCCACTGGAAGAAGTTGCAGGCATCAGTAATATTACCGATGTAAACGAAAACACTACTCCCTCCTCTGTAGATATTAATACGAGCTCTTTTGTGCTCATCACTGCCAATACTCAATCTCCGCAACTTGCTCCAACCACTACTCTTGTAACATTATCAACTGCTGCTATTGATTCACAACATCAAGAGCATTCCAAATCGGGATCATCATCTCAGGAAATGGTCCATTCTCTTCATAATTTGCAGAACGAAGATTCTGTCATGGTTCAATCCTTCTTGAATGAAAGCACAAAGAGTCAATCAACAAGTTTGCATCCTCACTCATCAGTGTTTGAGGAGTCAGCTGAGATTGACACTGAAAGCGAAAGCAGCTTGCATGAAGACCAAGCACTGCCTGCTGCTGTTGATGCGAGGGAACCCATCACTCTCATTCCACAACATGAAAAATTAATTGATGTTTCCAACAATGAGTCTTATACGACCACTGCAACTATTGAGACAAGTTCTTCGGTGATTACCTCAACAACACTCTCGTGTGTTGGAGAATCAGTACAACCCTCACAACAAACCACAACCATACCATCTATTCACAGCATGGCCAACACTGCCTCTTCTTCGATTCTCAACGTAGATATGTCAAGTCCAACCTGGATGGATGTTCTCATTATTCCCACAAGTTCTCACTTTTCCTTATTCCTTAACACTGGGCTCATTGCATGTGTAACTGTCATTGTAATGTCTATCAATGAGATGCTATTCCATGAGTAAGTGACGTGGTTTTTCAACGCTACAACAACAAAAACAACATAAAGAGTGATTTCATGCTATTCCATGAGTAAGTGACGAGTCGACGCAACACAACCCCTCTCCCGTTACATTGCCCGCCAAAAAGAATTACAATTTTCTCTCTTAGAAAAAATGCAAGATACAGAGCTGTTGCAAATGCGTCAAGCGAGACTTGATGCCATCCGAGACAACAAGACCTTCAAACAAACGTGGAACGAGGAAAATGAAAAGATACATAAACGGAACATGGAGTTGAAAAAGCAACGAGAGAGTATCGACATGAAAATTAAAACAACTCAAACCCTCATGAAAAAGAGACAAGAAGAGGTATGTACGATCGGAAAGATGAAGAGATAAATATTTCATCTGATGATTCGGAATTTTTAATGCTTTGTGCGTTTGATCGGAATGTGTAGTTGAAGAAAAAGACAATGAGAAATATTGCTCTTGGTGGGATTGAAGAATTTGAGAAAACTCTCGAACGTCTTGACCAGCAACCAAAACCTGTCACTGCAGAAGTTAAACCAACAACAAAGGAAGACACACTTCATACTCCAGAGCTTCACCAAACAATTGGCAATGATGCCACTGCATATTTAAAAAAGATCAAATCAAAGAAACAAGATGAGAATGCAAGCCGAAAAGAGAAGGAGCAACGCAGACGAAAAGTTTTAATGGAGCAACAGCAAGTGTTCAAGGATCTGGAGGATGCCAGAAGAAGAGAAGTACTTCTTGAAAAGCTCATGAAAAAATCAGCTGAGGAGAGAAATCTTGCCAAAGAGTTGAACCAAATTAAACAACTGAAACAAGTGATGAAAGAAAATAGAGAAGTGAGAGAAAAACAATATGCTGAGAGGCGAAGAAAAGATTTTGAAGAAAAACAGCAACGGGAGAAAGAATTAATGGAAAAAGAAAGAGAAGAGAGAAAACAAAAGAAAAAGGAACTCATTGAGAAACACAAGGTTCTTCTTGAGGAGCGGTCTCAAAAAAAGAAAGAAAAACATACTAGTATCTGCAAAGAGGTCACTGATCATTTGGTTGACCTGGCCATGCAAGAAATAGGTTACATAGAAACGACAGAGGGAGAACCTCCTTCTTCTGCAGATGTGAGTCAATGGAAAAAAATGTTTGTTAAGGGAGCCCCATTGAATGAAGAGGAACAATCAATAATTTCAGAAGTAGACGTTCCTGAGAAGCAAACTTCAAAAATACCCTCGACGTTCAATCAAGACGTGATCGATTTTGCAGAATTCAAAGATTATTTCAACTACAAGGGAGTGTGGGAAGAAGAGGTAATTGCATTGCTTCCACAACAAACTAACAATGAGTCATCTTCTTCAATAGAAATACTATCACCTTTCGTGAGTGGAGCAATTCAAGAAATTCATCACAGGGTCTATCCTCTTCCTGCTCCAAAAACCTCTCCAAATATCAAATCAAAGTACCCTTATAATGTTGTAGTGTGTGGGAAACCAATGAGCGGAAAAACGACGGTATGTCAAAAACTCTCAGCTCTACTTTCTCTGTACGTTATAAACCCAGAGAAAATGTTGAAGGCTTTAATAGAACCACTTCCAAACCAGCCTCAAAGCGCTCCACAAGAATATCAAGAAATTGCAACAAAAGCCAAAGGATGTTTGAAAGAAGGAAAAGAGGTAGATTTTTCAGTGATCGTAGATTTGATTGTACTGGAAATTGAAAAGATTGAAAAGCTCGAAAATTCCCAGTATCAAGGATGGATCATTGAAGGATTTCCAACTAATTTAGAAGCCGCCCAGTTGCTTGAAAAGAAGATTTCTGGGTTTGCCTCAACAATTGAAGAATATATTCAAAACGAGAAAATTGAAGAGTTTCAACATAGTGAAGATGGAATGGGAAGAAACTTTAATTCATTATTGGTGAAAGAATTTAAAGAGCCAAGTAACCAATACGAAATTATGAGATCAATAGTTCCTTTCAAATCGTTTACCTCCGTACTATTTATTGATGTCGAGGATGACCAAGTTTTTGAGAGGCTTGTCAATCAAAAGGTGGATCCAGTATCTGGTAAAGTTTATCACATGACATACTCTCCACCAGACAATATTGAAATTTTGAGTCGTCTGGTACCTATTGATGAGCATTCCAACTTGGATAGAGCCCAAATTAATTCTCAGTTATTAACTTATAACAAGACCAAAAGACAATTATTGTCATTCTACAAGATCTTTGACAACGTGTTCGAAGTTTCAGAGGAAAACTTAGACAATCTCATCAACACTTGTGTCGAGATACTGGAAGAAACGAAGCGAAAATCCGAAGACACCTCTCGAGTACATGGTGAAAATTGGGAGAAGGCAGAAATGTCAAAAGTAGAAATCACAGAACTTCAGAAGAAAGAGCTTGAAATTGATTTTTGTAAATTATTCCTTAAAGAATGGAAGGAGCTTGAGCAACATTATGTGGATGGAGTGAAAATTGTGTTTAGAAACTTGAGAGACTTTAGAAAAACATTTTTCAAGCAATTCTCTGATCTCAAAGAACAGTTCATGAATTTTTTACTCAGACCTGACGACAAGCAAAATTATATTTCTGCGTTTCAAACCGACTTCAATCGTTTTAGTTATGAGATGAGAAGCAACCAACAGCTGAAACAAGAACTTCATAGACGAACTGATGAGCTTAAAGAAAACTTGTGGAATTTGTGTGACGAAAAGAAAATGGAGGCAGAAAAAGAGCTAAGCGAGCACATGAAGGAATCTTGGTTACAGACACACAAGAGAGTTGTCATAAGACAGCACATGCAACTCATTCAGCTCGAGCTCAATCGATATATTGAACAAGCAAAATTTGTGTTCGACTACTTGGTTGAACAATACCTCGGTACTGATTTGAATCAGGCACCAATTGATCCCAAAAAACCAGTGGCAGCTGGCTTACTGTCTGTGAATGTCGAAGAGCTGTTTGTAGACGTGATTTCTGGTGCGACAGGTATGAAGAGTCCCACGGCAAAGAAAACCTCAAAACCTCCTTCTAATGCCTCCAGCGCTCGACCAAAGAGTGCCTTTTCCGCAGATTCAGTCGATGCAAATATTGAAGAATGTTTTGAACGAGCAAAGAATGCAGCAGAAACCATTGATTTCCTTGGAATGCTTCAAACCTATATTGACAAGAATAGTAAAAAGAAGAAGGAAGCAAGCAAAACCAAGGAAATGTATCCTGACGTACCTCAAGAATTGAAAGAAGTCCTCCAAAAAGAAAAAGAGCTTTTCATGCAACGAATTACTATCATTAAGTCAAGATGCACCAATGCCGTGAGAGAACAAATCGACAACAAATCTCAGCACATATTTGATACAATGAAAGATTGGATTGGACAGCGATATCGAACAGACATGGCAAATATTGCCTTACTCACGAGGACCATTCAAGATTACATTGAAAAGGAGACTCCAATCATTCATCAATTAAGAATAGAGGGCAATAAGTGTATTTTGGATGATAGTGTGCAAACTACGTCACCACTACCATTGGTTTCATTGTCACAATCTCGAAAGATGCAACAACTCGATCATTTTGTACCAACCTCTCTCTCGAAAGCATTTACACCACACCAAGTTTACTCATTGTTTGAGAGGTTACAAGCTCCAAGTCCGAGTGGATTTTCTGAGATTGAAGAAATGACGACTACCTTGTTGATTCTAATTGATTCTACTTTTGGCTCAATGGAATTACCTCCTCAATGGCTTGGTTACGACAATGAAAAGGTTAAATCGATTGCATTCCGATTTGATCCATTCAAGAAGGGATATATTAATTGGAGAGTATTCCTACTGTCTGCATTGTTCTCCTTTTTCCATAACATTCCAACCATTGAGGATATTAGGCAATTATTAACTATTGTTCATCCCTTGGTCTCAGAAAATGAATTGGATTTAAAGTCAGAACAATTTACAGAAATCATAGTCAGATGGATTGCACAAACAAGTCTTTCAACCAACGAAGACGAAGTTGCCAAAGTGTTATTTAACATTTTCAAACCAGATCCAATGTCAACCACTGTAAATATTAGAACTGTATTGTTATATTTATGTATGGACAACCAAAGCGCCTTGGGTACTCTAACGAAAGGTTTTGAAGTGCTTTCATATTTCAACGGAACGGAAGGTTTAAACGATAATGCTGTATTTGAACTTTTTAACTTTAATTTAGATGTTGAGGAAGAAATTGAAGACTCCTTCTCACTCTCTCAAATTAGAGCAGTTTTTTCAGAAATTAAGAGCTCCAACAGAAGCATTTCACTGGAGCAGTTCTGTTGCAGCTCTATAGGTAGAATGATTGTGAATCATGCCCACCATCTCAAATTGAGCTCTGTGTTCTATTAGCAGAGTGGATTAAACCGTATTTAGTGATACCGCTGTGTGTTTTTTGAGATTCAATTCAATTGCAAGACTGATGTCTTAGTTTACTTTTTCGTTTTTTTGTTTGCTGAAGCTTTAAGCACAACAACATCTGTGGTGACACTAAAACTCTTGCTTGCCAACTTGGACAACTTCTTCCCTCCAGAGTCATATCTGCACAATACTTCCACTTGGTCTTCTGTGAGGAATTTTGGTCCCTTTCCAATCACTTTCTTCACAAGAATAGATCCCTTACTATCAGATCCACTATTGGAGGAATCTGATCGAGATGAACTTTCAGTTCGATGACTATCTGTCGTGCAGGTGCTGCTTCCAACATTTGAATTGTCATTTGTAATGATAGCATAAAGAGCTCTAAATGCAGGCACATTCACCTCCCTGACCAACAACAGCAGTTGATGCGTATCTTCATACTCTTTCATGGCTTCGAAAACTTCTTCACGTTCTTTTTTGTTCACCTCTCCAGCCAAACACAAATGCAACAGAGCATTCTTGATGAGTAATTTGTTGGTCTTGTTTTGCTGTTTCATATTTTTAAGAAGAGCATTTTCTTGAAGCTTTGGTTCAACTACTGGAGTTTTGTCTCGTTTTTGTTTGTTCTCTTCTATACGTTCCATCTTTTGTTTTCGAAGTTCTTGGAACTTTTTGTTTCGAATTTCATTCTTTTTTCTAAAATCTTGGCTGTTTTCGAATTCATCGATTGGAATTTCAATAACTTCCTTTTTCACTACTGTTGGTTGTTCTCTTGGAGTTAATTCCTTAACTTTGACAGTTACTCGTTCGACGCTTTTAAAACTGCAACTTTCAGGCTTTGGTTCCTCTGATGCAACATGTTTTTTCGGTATTACTAGACATGGCTCTGGCTTCTTCTTGGTAGTGGCTAATTACAAAAGTTAAGTATGATGATAATGCAAAGTACATACATATGAAGTCTTTAAGCGCCTGTGATTTTGCTTTTTCAATTTCTTGCTCAATTCTATTTTGTAAAACCTTCTTACTCTCTTCGATTATTCTTTCTTGTTGTAATAATTGCATCCGCAGTAGATGATTTTGCTTCTTAATTTTATCCATGTCGTTATCAGAAATGGATTCTTCTAGATTAATCAAAGGTTTTGGAATTTCCAAAATTTTAGAAACTCTCAATGGCTCATCTGTTTTGATGCTTGAAATGTTGGGTTTGAAAGGATGTCCGTTCGTACTTTGTGACACCTTTCCAGCGTTGTATTGTTTAAATAATGATATACTTTTCATCAAAAGCTTTTCGTCGACAATTGGTGTGAGATTGGAAGGTTCTGAAGTCGAATTGGACATATGCGGTGACTTGACTGAACTTCTATCAAGTGTTGGTGATGTGACAACTGGATCCTCTTGTTGAACTTTGTTATCATTGCACTCAGCCTCTAGATCTGTGTAGCCATCATCGATCTCCGATTTTTCAATCTTGATAGAACAGGTCAAGGTATTTTCTGGTACTGAGCTCGCGCTCACCTCAAGAGCCACAGAATTTTCTGTGGGTATCAGCTGCATCGTCTCAACAGTTGCACCATGAATCTGGTTTCTTTCGTTCTTGACACAATAAGAAGTATCAACAATAAATTTTGGAGAAGGAATCACTGCCTCATCAATTTCAGAGTCTTCAATCGTTGTGTCTTCAACCTCTGCCAGTTCATCAAGAGCTGTCTCTTCTTCATTATTTTGCTCTTCGTCTCCTGCAATATTCGTAATAACTGTTGAAATGGTATTTGCCAAAATATCAATAACACGTCCTTCTTCCTCCATTTCATCTTCATCATTATATTCGTCATCATCCTGTTCTTCAACTTCTTCCTCCTCTTCGGCTAAGTCATCGACATCTTCTTCTTGCAAATTTTCATCATCATTCTCGTCAAGTTCTTCTTCGGAACCATCTTCGTGAAGCTCGTATCGTTGTGGATATGATGGTAAATTTGTCTTTGTGATCGCTGCTAACGATACAAGAGAGTCCTGTAAGAGAGGAAGATCATTTTTTGTTGTTGCATAAATGTTGGTAGCTTTGGTGGATGAAGAAGAGAAGCCTGATGATTTTTTCTGCTGTTGAAACAAGGCTGCATATCCACCACTTGCTGGAGCAGTGCCAGATCTATTTTCTGGAATCTTAATGACGGTAGTGACCGAGGCCAACAAGTCCTCAGGAGATTCTTCAAGATCTTCTTCTCCTCCCGAAGAAAGATCTTTATATCCACCTTCTTCTTCTTCTTCCTCAGAATATTCTTCTATTACATTTTGAGTTTGATGATTTTGATGAATTAAACTATACGTTCGGACCGACATTCTACTATTTTAAAATTGTATATACAAAGGAGAGGACGACCTCACAATAAATTAAAAAGAGCTGGTGATGAAGAAGTATGACCTCAAAGGCTCAAATATCTTCAATTTTTTAAAATGTAAAAAAAGCGCGCGTTTATAATTCCCGCCTGTTAAACCAAAAATTTCGTTTCACAACTTTTGAAATCCAAAAAAATTCGCTTCAAACAACAGCAAAGAGAAATTAACACATTAATATGACTGACCCGTACATCAATTTATCAGCGGAAACAAATCAAAGGATGGATACTACTGAAGATACAATGATAACATCATCGGAAAGCAAAAATATTTCGGAACAGTTACCAATCTCAAATGTTGATGAAGAAGATTTAGCAGATGATGAAGAAGACGATGAAGAATTAATTGAAGAGGATGATGATATGGAAGATGATTTTTTAGACGATGATTCCGAGGATGGAGATGTGGAAGTAGTCATACAGCAAGATGAAGCCCCATTGGAATCTAACATTATGGATGATCGGATCGTTTTGCCAACAACCGAAACTTTTGAAAAAGATGATATTCTGAGTACACATCATGAAGAAGAAGAAACAATAACTACGATAACCAATGACCTGATTGATGAAAATCAAAATGATGATGAGATTGCAACAACACTCGAAACAACAGAAACAGCAACAACTACAGGACAAGAAATACCAACCACTTCCTCCTCCTCTTCTGCAAACCAATCATGCTTCTCTGCATTAGTTTCTGCTTTTTTGAAAGGAAAACAAAATATTGTTGCTGAAAAAGAAGAATCGCTCGCTAAAAATATTTATTCAACAGCCCTTAATTTTCACTCCAAGGGAGACTTCAATACTGCTATTGATTACTACAATAGGCTTCTTAATAGAGAATTTATTGCAAATGCCGTTTCTGAGAAAGTAGACGAGTACGCCTATTTTGATATCAAGTCCAATGTCTTTTTGTACTTGAAATTCTTGGCGTTAAAAAACCTTGGAAGTGCTTTCATGTCAATTCAAAAGTTTTTGGAGGCATCGATTTGTTTAGCGAAGGCATTGGCCATTGATGCGTCAGATGTTTCTTTATGGTATGATTACGCCGTGTCGTCCATTACGATTAATGACCTAAGTACTGCAAGATTAGCTCTTGAGCAAACATTGATCATCAATCCAAATCATCACCTAGCGACCATGCAATTACTTGAATTACTGTACATAATTGGAGATGTAGAAGAGTGTAACATATTATCAAAGCAAATTTTAAAGTACGATCCACACAATAAGGCAGCCCAATTTATACATTCTGAGTGCAATCCTAACCCATTTAATTTAATATTTTTCTCAACATCTCCTCTTAACGACTTGACACGAAAGTGGACTATGTTTGCATGTCCAGGTGTTGAGCAAGAATCACCAAAACTCTATAGAATTACCTTAAAAGAATTGGATTGGACAAACATTTTAACGAGAGTTTGTTCGCTTTATTCTAACTTACTGAAGCAAGGACAATTGGACAGCATTGTCAAACTGGTATACGAAAGGCCATCACAAATAAGCACAGACAATGCAGAAACAACACCATTGAGTGCTGATGGAGAATCAAGCCAGAACGGGAAAAGAAAAAGAACCTTTGTAGAAAAGTTGCAAACGTAAGTAGATTTTAATATTTTACACAAGAATGAATATTTACAACTGTCATATAGGCCTTCCAAATTTTCAAAACAAATGTCAGGAGTAGCAAAAGGTATGTTTTCATCACAGTTATTTGTTGTTGTTATCATGCTTGTTGTAATAATCAGATATCTTTAATATAGTAACATTCAGCGAACATGCAAAAAATGATATTACATACAGGAATGAAAAAGCAGAAAATTGTGTCGTTACATGCGATGAGTTACCTAATATCAACTTGCATCAAATGCTTGAACCTGTGGTTGTGAAGCCAGTGCTCGAATTAATGCGAATTTTGACAGAGAAATTAACACGTGACTGTTGGACATACAAATGGCCAGAGGTGGTTGTTAAGGGCGTTTGTTTCAGTGCCTTCTCTTTGATGAAGCACAAAATTGAGCTGAGCTTTGAGTGTAAGCTTTGTGTAGCTGAAATTTTATGTGGCAGCTATGAAAAAGACACAAGTACTGAAATCAATCTCTCGAAGGCTCGCAGAATTTTCAGCAATATGGAAGCGCAACTATTATCGTCTCGTAATTCTCTGAATATTACACCTACAAATGTTATAAGGCTACTATGGGTACGAGGTGTCATTGATCAACACATGGGTAACTCTCCATCTGCTAAGAAATGGCTGGATCAATGTTTAACGAAATTCCAAGAATTTTCGTCTCAAGAAATTTTGCTTCCAAATTGGTAAGTAATTCACTTTGAGATTACAACAATATACGTACCATTCTAGCAATAAGAATAACAAGATTAATCAGGATTCTATTCATCGTAAATTGAATGAAATGAGTTTTAACAAAAAAGTGGACTTAATGAGCAAACTGGTCACCCAGCATCAGTATTTCCAAGCATTAAGCAATATATCAAGAGAGTTTCTCATCTCCTTACCAAGTGGAGCTCGTTCTACAGTCAAAGAGCTCCTATATAAGTCTCTGAAGCATATAGACTCACTCGAAAGCATTTCATATGACACTCTATTGCATATACTTCACTTTTTACTGGCAGATGTTACGAAACAAACCATTGAGAATGTTAATTTAAAACCTTTCAAGGCGCTTTTACCAAAAGTAGTGAAAAAGGTGTCATCCACGGAAGATTTAAATCATGATGTTGCGGAAATAGTAGCCATGAAAGTGTTGATAATATTGGAGGTTGAATTTTTTGTCACCAGGAAAGACGAATCTGATGTGCTAAGTTTGACCTATTTAGTGGAATTATTTTATTATCTTGCCACATTCCAAAGCAATACTAAAAGAAAAGAGTATTTACAGCTTATCCGTAAGAAACTTTTCCCAGATATGAAAAAGAGAATCAGTAAGTATATAATTGTAAAATGGATACTGACCTTCCTTCAGAACCCTTCTTGGTTTTTATGCTCAAAGAGTTTTACAACTTGTTGAAACAGGTTCCTGAAAAATCTAATGAGAAAACCGCTCTGTTACATGAAGTGTCAGTTTCCATTTATTACCTATACGGAAAATTTATACCACTTACTGAGCATGAGTCACTCCCCAAAACTGCACCATTCCAAGGTGCACAAGAAAGCATTGAAAAAGACAAGGACACTTGCTTATTATTGTTCAATACTATTGATGAGTTTCTTGAGTCAAGATTAGAAAAGACCACCAAAGTTCGAAAACAAATTCCAGAAGTACTTGCTATGATATGCAATGCGTTTAATACATTGCCTGAAGAAGCTCAAAGTGCTAAACTGGAAATAACAAGAGTGATCGACGATGAGACAGTTGATTTGGACAATCCTATAACAATTCCAACAGTTCTTTTTAATGACAACGTGAAAGGTTAGTAGTATTTGGCAACGATGAATTTTTGCTCACCTTGATTTCAGTCCTGTACGAGAAGTGTTTTTATTTCTTGTCTGTGTACAAGAACAAAAGCATTACCACAGAAAATATCTTTGATGTTGCAGACGAGTACTCAGAATGTGTATATCTATTAAGGAAATCTGTTTGTTGCAAGCCTATGGACTTTTCGTACTGGGACGCTCTTTCAGAGAAGTATTGGAAAATATTGCAATTCATGTTTGCGGTTGCAGATTCTCCAGCGATTAGAGAAAGCTTCCAGTTTAAAGAAGCTTCTGTGAGAGCAAATATTGGATTACCTGAAGAAGTCTCTTCATTCAAGTCAGATCTTGAGTCCATAATTTTCAAATGTCTTCACTGTTTGCAAGTGTGTCTTCAATTAGCCTCTAAGAACGACGAAGTATATTCTATTAACCTAAAATTAGGACAGCTTTTGTTTGATATGTTGGATTGCACAAAGATTCTGGATGGACAATTGTCCTTGCTGGAAAATCGAAAGAAATCTTATTTTGCAAATCATTGTTTCCAATATTTAGAATCAGCAGCAAAAATAGACAAGAGAGATTCTCAAATCTTGTTTCTCATGGCCAGAATACGTGAGAAATTTCACGCTCCCTCTTCAGAATATTTACCATTATATTTATCAGCTCTCAAAGCAACGCCTCCCAGGAATCCAAGAATGGAGAATATTTACTTCTACTATGTGCTATCACTATTGAACATCTTGCAAGACGACCAAAATAATAACATTGAGGTAAGTGTATATTCTTCTTCTTCGAATGTGTACGACGTGATATGTTTTAAATTTGTAGGAGAAATACTTATACCAAATTGACGTGGACACCTCGGCCATTATTACTGCACCAGATGTGAAATGTCCAATCATCAATAATCTTCCTATCAACAATCCTTCTACGAATCTCAAAATATGGACCTCTCTGCTGTCAGGAGTACAAGATGTTCTGAAATTATTCCCTTCATCTTTCAGATATGCCTACCTTGTTGCAAAAATTTTGAAATCCAAACAAGGACCATGGGCCTCAAAGAAAGCAGCTGAAGAAGTTCTCGCATCCGTCATTAGTAAGAAAGAAAACAAGCAAATGCCACCCACTATTGAGTTTCATTCAAAGTATGAGTAAGTTTCTCTTAAGAATTGTTCATGAAATGGTTTCTCATACTCACATGTGTATTCAATATTTCAATTACAAAAAAACAATAGATTTGGACCCACTATTGAAAAAAGACATCAAAGAGAATGGAAAGCATCCACTCTATCATTGTTCTTGGAAATTTTAGCATCCAACAGAAATATTGAATATTTACTTTTTATCATTTATTGGCTCAAGCATAATCTTCTTGAAAGAGACAAACACTTGTTCAGTCTGTACCCTGAAGTTCTCTATTATGCCAGCAAGACATTAACCTCCATTCATACCGAAAAGCCATCCCAAGACCTAATTCCATATGCTGTTCCTATCTATTGTTACATTTCTGATTTGGCCAATAAGGATCAACAACTTGCAAATGCACATGGAGCGATCAAGACATTGCTAGAAAAGCATCCAAAAACCAAAGATCTCATGACAAGTAAGCAAGCTGAAAAGAAACTACGAGAGTTCTATGAGAAGGAATATCTTGTGGATATAGTGAAATTTAAGAAGGTAGAAAAGAAAGATGACAAGGAATCCAAATCAGAAAAGAAGAAGGAAAAGAAAACAAAGGATAAAACTGAAAGTAAAACCAAGAAGGATATGAAAAAAGAAGATAAAAAGAAAGAAGGTAAAACGAAGAAGAAAGACAAGACTGAGAGTAAAGACAAGACACCCGAAAAGAAAAAGAAAAAATCCAAGAATGAAAAGAAGAGTGAGGTAGCATCAAGCAGCTCGTCGACCACTAGTACTACAACTACTACCACTATTGAACAGATACAATTTCACATGGAGACTCCAACCAAGAAGAAGAAGAAGAACCAAGATGAAAAATCTTCCAGTGTCATGACAGCAACAAACAACACATTAATATCGACACCACCCTCCAAATCACAAAGCAACAACAGCAACCATACGACTCCTCCAGGAAAAGGCCTTATCTTTCATCATTTTCAGCCACAAGCATCATCTACACAAAAGTCATCTCTTTCTTCAAAGAAACCATCTCCATCATCATCTTCAGGTTTGAAATCGCTTGTAGAAACCTCCTTCTCATTACCTTTGGGACTATTTCCTCCTCAACCATCTAGTACTAGATTGGGAAGTGATATTGCATCGTCATCATCAGTAATAAGTGGAGAATCTCTTCCAATTGCACCAATAACGAGTGCATCATCTGCAAGTAACAACAAGAGTCATTTGAGCCAAATTCTGTCACCACCCAGGAAAGAACCAAGCAAAAGTTCCGCAACGAGCCCAGAAAAATCCTCTTTTGTTAGTGAAGATGTGATTATTGTGAGTGATAGTGATTCTGAATGAAGCTGAGGTTCGAGTTCTAACATTCATGTGAATGCAACACTATTTGACAGTTCAGGATAGTCGTGACATCCACGTTTCGCAACCAACAACTAAAAAAAAATGTCATCCAATAGTCCAACGATCGAGAGAAGACTGATTGCTCTGAGGAATCACTGTTCGCCAAACAAAGATATCATTCACACGATAACGCATTCAGAAGACACACAATCGGGACATGATATTGCTTTTAATTTGAATACAAAAAACATCATCCCAATGATCAATTTGAATCACACAGCAGGAACCACTTTTTCAAACTCATCATCGGGATCATCATCGGAATGCAGTTCTTGTTGTTCCTCATCACAGAATACAAGTTCTTGCTCTACATCAACCTCATCACCAAAAGGATCATCCTCACCCTATCAACCAAGACCAATTGAACCCTCCGATTATGATAAGGGTTATTTGGCTCTTCTCTCTCAACTCACAACTGTTGGTGATATCTCACGAGAAAGCTTTCAAAAACGTCTTTCTCAACTCGATCCAAACACGTATCGAATTGTGGTCATTGAAGATCCCAATAGTCATCGCATTGTTGCAGCAGCTACTGTTTTTGTAGAGAAGAAATTTGTGCATGAATGTGGAAGTGTTGGCCACATTGAAGATGTCGTGGTAGACTCCAATGTGAGAGGTCAGCATTTGGGAGTTAAAGTCATTGAGGCTTGTAAACAATTTGCACAGCAACAGGGATGTTATAAAACCATTCTGGATTGTTCTGAAAAGAATGTCAAGTTTTATGAAAAGTGTGGATTTGTGAGAAAGGAAATTCAAATGAGATTTGATCATGAACATGAAAGGTCGAAATAAACAAGCTTAATTGCAAAGACAAAAATTTAAAGCACAAGTAAAACAACATTTAAAAGATTTCTCTCAATTTTGTACAACAAAGATAAATTAAGTGGAAAAATGTCAAAATATTTGGTGGAAATATGTGACCTTGATGAAAATAACAAACGAGGAGAATAAAGGAGGGTGTGGAATAGCAGCTGCTGATTTAAAAGTTTGGCCTTATCTTACGAATTGCTCTTAGAGGACCAAGTTCATCATATTCCTTCTTGGTCAACCAGAACTTGTCACCATTGTCCTTCATGATATCAGCAAGCACAGCTCCTCCCAAGAAGACCATGTGCTTACGACGAGGTGGATCTTCAATCTTCAACTTGAATTTACCTAATCCTTCCTCATTTCCTTTGAGAACATGCTTCAAATACAAGTCAGTAATTTCCTTCTCCAAACGAGATGGAAGACCAGGATACATGGTAGTACCACCTGAAAGCACAATGTGAGAGTAGAAATCAGTACGCAAGTCAATATCAGCCTTGTTAATAGTGTCAAACACTTGCATGTGCATACCACCCTCTTCCTTATCACACAAACCAGGATTGAACAGACATTCTGGAGCTTGGAATCTTTCAGCACCAATCTTAATGACACGTCCATCAGGTAAAGTATACTTCTTCATGAGCACAGTGGTCTCCAAGGCGAGCTTATTTTCCAAAGCCAAGTCATAACCCACATAACAATACTTTTCCTTCATTTGACGAACCGTTTCAAAGTCAGCTGTACGATTGAAACTATAACCACGCATCAACAATAACTTGATCAAATATTCAGTGATATCACGTCCAGCCAAATTCAAACGTTTCACCAAATGTTCCAAGCTGAAACCATCATAGACAGGAACAGTGTGAGTAACACCATCACCAGAATCTACCACAACACCTGTAACGAGACCTTGAGCATACAAAGTCAATACGGCTTGAATAGAAATGTATAATCCTTGGAAGCCATAATGTTCAAACATGGTCTCTACCACCTTCTTGGTCTTATCCTTTGGATTCATTGGAGGTTCAGTCAAGAGAATTTGGCAATCTCTTGGATTGATCTTCAAACGATCCCAAGTGTAATCCCACAAGTGAATCATATCTTCAAAGTTGGTAACGATACCATTCGTGAGAGGATAGGAGACTTCAAGAGCAGCTCTCAATTTGGCACATTCATCTCCAACCATAATGTCCTTCAATTCAACATCTCCAATAGATTCTTCAGCACGGAGGAGAGGACGTCCAACCATGGCTGGGAATGTAGCCTTTGGAAAGTTATCACCGGCAAAACCACACTTGACGAAACCAGTACCGTTATCGCATACGACTGTTTGTACCATCTTGTTATTATTATTATTAGGAGGATGATGATCAAAAAAGAGGGAAGAATTTGATGATGATGATGATCAATATAAAAATTTAAAGGCTTAGAGCGCAGCAGAATGATGATGTGAAAAAAATATTCTTGCAGAGAGAGAAGTGCGATGGGAAAGCCTTTGAATTTTTTTTGATGATTTTTACAAGAGAAGGGAAATCAGCCATCATAAATGCTGCAGTGTTGATGTCTGAAGGACGTTCGATCCACTGAATTCATTGGATTCGAGGACAAGCGAGTGTGAAGTCAGTCATCAAGAAGAAGGGAACCCAGTGAATTCAACAACATCATCGTTGGACTGTTCTCTTAGAGTCGACAAGATCCAAAGTTTATTCATTCAACGGACAATTCGATCCAAGTTGGTCATTGGATTCGAATTATCGGAAAAGCAAGAAACCAGCAAGTGCTCAATTTCTGTAATTTGTTCTTCCTTAGTGTCAACATTGTGTTCATATTTTACAGGGGTAGCTTTTCGGGTCCAATAGTAGGTTTCATCTGTTTTGTACGTATAGATATCAATTTCAATGTCAAATCGCTCCTTAGTAAGTGCATGAAACGCTTGTATGGATGGTTGTGAAAAGTTGTTGTCAGCAATCAAGAGCTTTTTGAGAACGTCGTTCTTGCTGAGAAGAGTTTTCGCTAGAAACGTTAAAACGTCATCTCCAATGTTGTTGTTAGTTAAATCTAGGTGTATGAGTGTTTTGTTTTTGATCAAACTTCTTGCAATTTGTTTTCCTCCATCACTATCTATTCTGTTCGCTGACAAGTCCAGATGTTGGAGTGCACAGTTGGGATTTTCTAAAAATCGTGCAATAATGTCAGTGCTTAATGTGATACAGTTTGCACCGAGGTAAAGATGTGTCAAGGTACGGCACATCATTATTCCCTGAAAGAAAACTGTAACTCCACTGTCACTCAACGACTGAAAGCTCAAATCAAGTGAACGAAGTCTGTCATTCACTTTAAATATCTCTGATAAATGAATGACTGTTTCCTCTTTTTTAGAATTCATGATCGTCTTGGCAATTCGAAGTTCTCTTAGGCTAGGATGTGCCTTTACAACTATTGCAAGTAATGTGATGGAGGAGGTTTTTAAATCACATGCATTTAAATTAAGAAATTTCAGTGTTGAGTTTTCCTTTAGCATTTCTGCCATTTTCAATCCACCCTTGTCCTCGATCGAGTTGTAACTAAAGTCAAATGATTTGAGAGAATGATTCTCTTTGAGAGCTTCGGCAACGTCAGACGCTCCTCTCTCGGTAATAGCGTTCGATTTCACCGAAAGATGTTGAATTGAGGTATTGATTTTTAGCATTCTTGCAATTGCATTTGCACCGCTATCACCAATATTATTGAAGGAAAGATCACAACTCACAATGAAAGATGTGTTTAGAATTTCCAGTGTGTCACAAATGGCAAAGATGTCCAAGTTTTGCAGCCGATTTTCAAACATTGAAACACAATTTCCGTTCAGCATTAAATGTCTCATTCGTTTCCTGAAATTTGATTTTAAAATTACAGTTGAAATGGAGAATAATGCTTACCCCTTTTCCTTCAGTTTCGAATATTCTTTAATCAATCGAGAGCATGGTTTTTGAATGGAGTAATCGGAACACTTTTGTAGGTATAGCTCAAGAAAGTCCTCGCTATGAGGAGCAATTTCCTGTGCTGTATTGTTGTTGGTATCAGACCATGAATTTGAGAGGTTCGTGCTTGGCTCTTCAATGGCTGAAACATTCAGTGATGAATCAAGTTCAATCATTTTTTTTTAAACTTGTACGGTCGGGCGGCGCCAAAATTGCAGTAAAATCATTCAAAACAGCCCAATTTTCAACCACCCCATGCATTAATTTGATAATTCGAAATGAGTTTATTAAAGTCAATTAATATCCTTTTCAAAAACAATTGTTGGAAAGATCAATAGGTCAGTAAATGTTTGTACAAATGATGGAGGTGATCGGCATGCAACTAGAATTTCTTTGTGCATCCATTTACTTTCTTCTGTTATTTCCACCAAGAATATAGAGAAGACGAATGAAAATATTGACCACATCAGTATACAATCCAAGAGATGAGTTAATATAGTCAGGTTGACGAATTAAGTGAGCTGGTGTTCCTCTTGCTTGCTCGCTCTCCACATACATCTTGTAATTGTTTCCCTTTTGAATCACCTTTTGAGCATCATAGAGAACAAACAATCCAAACAACAACAAACCACCATAGAGCCAAATATATTCAGTCACTTGCAATGTTCTAGTCATGGTGGCAGGCAACACCAATGGAGCAAATGAAGACAAGAACACAACTGTCAAACCAGCCAATAAAGCACCTCCCATGTTCAAAAACTTCTCTTGATGAGCATTCATAGCAACATAGGAAAGAGCACCAAAGATACCAGCAGTGTACAATGCAGCTCTCAAAATAATTTCTGGTCTATAGACGAAACCAATGGTGCAGAGAGACATACCAACCAGTGTGTTAAAAGCAACGAGGAGGGTATGCTTCAAAGCTCTGTTGGTATTAATATCAACAGCTCGCGTGGCCATTGCAGTACCAATGAAACCACCAGTAAAAAGAAGAACGCTGGCCCATGGGTTCATGGTTGCCAATTTAAATGCCAATCCAGACTTGAAAGCAGCAACAGCAGCCACGGTAGTCAAAGCAACGTTCAAAGCCACATATCCAAAGGTTCCACGTAAATATCTTTGAACAATAGGATCCAATCCACTTCCTCTCGTCATGTCTGGCTGAACCAAACGTTGTTGTGCCAATTGTAATTCATTGGTGGTATCAAATCTTCCAAAGGTTTCATTAGGTTGATTCATTGTCTTGGTCAAATAATAGCCCGCACCCAACAACAAGCCACCCGAAATAATACTCTTCATGGCTGGCGAGAGTGTAGATGTTCCGGATCCAGCCGATGATGATGAGAATGATCTCACTGAATTATTAAGTTTAAATTGATGATGACCAGAACGGAAAGCACTTCCTGCTGATGAGGAAGCAAATCGTCGAGAAAAGTTACGAAACATTTTTTTTGATGCGGAATTTTTGTGAGTGATCAAACGTGCGCCGCTTTGTTTCTTAGAAGTTGGTTTTTTTTAGACGTGCTTATTCAATCAATTCAATATGAAACGATGAAATTGAATCGGAATAACTAGTTGTTTTCTTCTCTGCTCTTGTTTTGTGATCATCTGTTGATTAGAGTGTTGAAAAGGCTTTGATTCCAATAATACCAGAAATTGTAAACGCGAACAAGAACCATCAAATAAAAAAATGGACTTATCAAGCGCTTCGGAATTGAATGAAAACTTTGAGAGAGCTTCGAAGAAGCAAAAAACCACCATAAATATTCTTACCTCGGAAATTGATAATTTGATTGAACAAGTGGAGAATTGTAAAAGACAAATTGAAAATGAAGGTAGGTTAGTGTTAATGGGTTGGACAATCTTTGATCATTCTATTTCCATATTCTTATGATGATAAACGATTATGAATTCAATGATTCGCTTGATGCTGTAATTACAAAATTATAACTTTTTTTACAATGGATGAACGCATTATGTTAATCATCATGCAATTTAATTCTTCACATATTCATGTAGGAAAAAGCATTACCGAGTTGGGAAAAGACGTTATGAATCAAATTAAAAATACTCACACAAAATTTCAACAAGCTCACAAGGAATTGCATTCCCAATTTTCAAAATTTGGAAAAACCATTGATCGCTGCTTTCCCAATAACGAAGAAAAGCTATTGAACGAGAAAGTAAAAATTTCAGAACACCTTGTAAATCAAATCATTGGTGAGCATTTATTTAGAGAAGGACTTGTTGATGTTGGAACAATATTTGAAAAAGAAGCTGCACTTCAATTGCCAGAGGAATGTAAAAAACAATTTATAGAACTGCATACCATCTGTGAGTCACTAAAGAAACGAGATGTTGAACCGGCCCTGAATTGGTGTAACGAACACATTACACGAGCGAAACAACACGACGCTACCGATGAGAAGGAGTTGGAAGATCTGAGAATGCTTGCTTTTCAATTGCACAAACTCAATTTTGTTCAACTTTTGATTCAGAACGATTCTAAAAAAGCAATTCAATACGCGAGAGACAATTTGCAAGCTTTTGCTGATAAGAATATTTCTGAAATTAGATTTCTCATGGGAAGCATTTTGTATAGTGGCCGAGAGAGATTGATCAAATCTGAACGATATAGTTGTTTGTTGGATGTTTCTCAATGGGATAATGTACTTAAAATGTTCAAGAAATTGGGATGTCGAAGAATTAACAAACCCATGGAGTCACCTCTCTATGTAGCGATCAACGCTGGATATCAAGCAATACCAACACTTCTCAAGCTTGCCACAGTGACCCAGAATATTGATATTGGCTCCAGTTCTGATCAGTTGGCAGTTGAGATTGATTTGGATGATGAGTTTCAATATCATTCCATTTTCTCGTGCCCAATTTCAAAAGAGCCTGCAACCAAAGACAATCCTCCCATGCTACTCCCATGTAGTCATGTCCTTTTGGAGTCTTCATTGAAAAAGCTTGCCAGAAATACCAAATTCAAATGCCCTTATTGTCCAACAACCGGTAGCCTTTCAGATTGTAAACCAATTCATTTGTAACATAGACTTTCGTGTGTACAATTGCACCATCACCACCACGAGTGTAAATAGCCAGACTAACTCTGTAAATATTTGCGAGAAAAAGCTAACTTGAAAAGGCATGCAAGTAGTTCATTAAATGTCATAGTGTTTTGAAACAAAACACAAATGTTTTTATTTAAGAACACAACGTTGTGTTCAAAAGAGTTTATTGACTAAATACAATTCTTGGCGATCAACAACAACGCAACAGATTCAACGTCAATTAATTGAATATGTGACATTCCTTACTTCTTCTTTTTCTTCTTCTTGTCATCTGAGCTACTTCCAACATTTTCAACAGTGGCAGCGGCACCTGCAATTCTAAAGTTAAAATCTCCCTGATAGAAAAGTAAGCATGACGCTCATTAGTACAAAAATCAACCTACCTTGGTAGTGCTGTTCAAATCATTAATTAATTTGTCATAATCACCAGGAGATATTTCAATTGTGACAGTGCAACCTTCATCACCGTGGTCTTGACCAATTACTTTGGCATGCTTGTGGCATACTCCAATAACTTGGCCAGCAAGTGAATGCTTGACAACAACTTCAGCTTCGATTTGAGACTTTTTAAGAGGAATTTTCTCCACCAATTTTGAGTGAATAGCAGCAACTTGCTTGTCAGCAGGCATGAATGGATCAATATTCTTTAAAATTAGTAAGATGAAGATATACGTGAAATTAGATCATTGTGTTAAAGACCCAACAGTATTGACACAGAACACTCAACATACATATTTGATCGAATCTAAAGCACTCTCGATTCTGGTTACGGGGTGACAGACATTAGTCTTTGGATCAATATAATTTTGATGAATAAAGTGACTATAAGAAGAGTGATTTCCGATTGTGATTCATATCAATGATTTCATTCCAACAATATATTGTCGTAATAATGAATATAGTCAAAACGAGTTCATTTGTCATCATTATCATCACGACAATGATTATCATCAATAATACAAATAAAAATCATCCAACCTCTATGAATATCATCATCAAACAATTTAAAAAACAAAACCTACATGATTTGTCTTCTCTTTTGTTCCACCTTCTCTTTACGCTCCTGAGTCGACATGTGGTATTCTCCATCCGTTAAAATCTTCAAAATAACTTCCCGAGTATTGGTTGTACCAAACACAGACTTTAACGACTCTTCTTTGACCTTATCTCCTTTTGCATAATTTGCAAAAATCTCATCCGAGTACAAGACATCATCCACTTTATGTTTTCCTTCTCGGTAGGCAATCACGGTGTTAGGCTTAACAAGTACTTCAAAGTTACTTTCGCCCTTCTTGTACTTGACAAGACTGAAATCTTTGGACATTTTTAAAATGTATTTTTTTTAAAACGAATTTTATTTGATGAACCTATTTTTGGAAAAATTGAAGTGATCAACTTGGAAATGCTATTGGGAATGATAATGTTTTGATGTGTATTGTTTTGTTCCTCAATATGTTTTCTGACGTTTAAGGTGTGAAAATATTGAAAATGTTCTCCTCAAGACTGATAAAAAATTCTATGTTCTAAAAAAGGTTAAGGTAATAACGACACCTGCCAAGATGCCAAAACAGCCATACATTATTCTTGCTATAGATATCTTTGTATCGATGGATTGTTGTATCTATTATTATGAATATTCAGTAATTTTTTCCATTGTAGAAATGTTAATTACAAATTGCATGACGTTCAATTTAAATTAAATTCAAATTATTTTCAGAGTCCACATGAATTCTTTTTCCTTACCTGTTGAGAAACAACAAATGACAATACATATCTACTCACAAGATCTCTCACTAATTCTGGATCTATACTTCTTTTTCCAATTCAATCATGGCCATATATTGCACCACTTTACCTTTCGTATTTTCATCCGATACTGGTTGTACCTTCTCAAGTAATTGAGCATGATACACATAATTTGAAACAGTTAAATTTCCATGAGTAAAATCAAAATCAAGAAGTGGACGAATTAATGCACGAGAATCAAATTCCTGGTTTTTAGCGTCTGCTTCTGTCTTTGCTCGTGCATAACCGTAGCCTAATCGTTGTAATAAAACATTTTGAATTTCTTGATAAATATCTACAGAAGAAGAGCTTGTTGATGAAGAAATTGTAATTTTCGGAAGAGAGCAATGCCCAGATGCATCTTTGATAAGCATGTAATCACCTCTATCGTCTTGCGGTAATATGACTACAATTTTGTAGTGTTGCTGAGGAGATCCTTGTGAGGTTGATGATGAAGAAGAAGAGATGGCTCCGATAGAAGACAATACTCGGAAATTCTTCTCGGAATGAGAAAATAAAGGTTTACTCCGAAAATCATGAGAGAAGGAACGAATGGTGTTGGGTTGTAATATTATTGAGAGGCATGATGGCGTGTTGTTTATTTTAAATGGTGAACTCAGAGCTCTGCTGATGAGTGTGCGTGAATGGAGTGTTCTTGAAAACATTTTTTTTGGCGTGTTCACTATTTTGAAATAACCCTCAACACATTTCGGCTTGTAAGAACTGGATAATGTTGACATCTATTAAGGAGTTGGTATTCATCTATTTTATTGCAACGTTTTAGCGGTAAATAAAAAATTATTGTAAACCAAGCAATTTAAATTATTGAGCTATTCTTGTTTAGGTGTTGTCGGTTGATTGGGAGCCACTGTACAAACTAATACATCTTCTAGAACTGTCTTGTTGTTATATTCTCGTTGAAATTTCTCAGCAAGTTCCATTGAAATAAACTCAACCATCATGGTCATGGTTTTTGGACCTTTTCCACTGACAGAACCCAAATTCAATACTCTAACACGAACGACGTCTTTTAACTCTTTAAACGTTTTTTCTTTGTGTTTAGTTCCCATTTGATTACTATAGGTAACGCCCTCTACAATGACTCCATACAGTTCAGAAATACCATTCCAGGAGCCTTTGAATTCTTGTTTCTTCTTTTCCTTTTTTACGGTAGGTGGAAGCGTGACCAAATGTGGCTGAGGTTGGGGTTTTTGCTGTTCCTGTAATTGAGCAAGTCTTCGACGTTCTTTTTTCCTCTCTGCCTCTTCTTTTCGTTTCTCCTTCTTGTATTGTGCAATGATTTCATCTTTTTTCACATTAATTTGAGTCTCGACAATATTCATGGGTATGAGAACTCTACAGACGGGACAATAGAAAATATTTGAGTCTTCCAATACACTTTCTTTAAGACTCTGGTCAAAAATTACTGGAGATGACGAGGATGATTCGAGCTCTGTCTCAGAGGTTGGTGTTACTTCATCTGTGACACCTCTATCGTCTCGATCAAGCAACTTTAAATATTCATCATATCTATCTCTACATTTGAAATGAAACCATGTATTCAAACAATCCGTATGAAATATATGAAAGCATGGTAATTTAGTGACAGCTCCACTCTCAGAAAATCCATCCAAACAAATGGAGCATCGAGAAACTTCGAGTTGTCGTTCATTCTCATGTGTTAAATATTCCCTAGCTTCTTCATACAAGTTGTAAATTGGAGGTGACATGGAGAAATCTTCACACTCAGAAATTAACTGATACGCTTTCTTGTACAAGTATGATAACATGTAATTACATTGAACTTCCGACAAGCCACGTCTCCAAGGAATGGATATAAAACTAGAAGCGTCTTCACTAGATGTTTTTCTTCCTATTGAAACTTCTTTTTTTAAATACAACGGATATTCATCAACATTTGAAATTGAAAAACATAATTGCAACGAAACGAATTGCGAGGAATCATCCATTCCAGTACTGGGTGTGATTGTAATAATAATCCGAAGTGGTTCATGTTGTTCATTGCTGTGATTTTCAATATTATCCATGAAGAAATTTTCAATTTTCAATACTTGTTCTTGCCCGTCATCGGGAAACAAGGCTTTCAACATCTCCACCTCCATGCATAATAAATCTCTTCCGATGAGCGAGTATTGTGATTCATTCATTTTTTTTGTAACGAGTTCGTGCTTCCCTTTGAAGTCAATCAACGGCAAAAGATTTGAAATAAGCACAATGACATGAAATTCATCAGAACATGCCATGTGGTATGATCAATCTACCTCAAACATGGTTTTATTTGACATCTTTTCTCTCTCATGTTCATGATCTCTCACAACGATTGTTCATTCAAATCTTTCATTCCACACAAATGATCTTTCAAATACTGTTGAACCGCCCTCAATAATGGATCAATCGTATTCTTTTGAATGGAAATCTCCTTCGTCTCTTCAAATGCATGCCATTTGAAATCTCCATGTTCCGTAGGTTTCACTTTCAAGGCTCGACTGGCAACATCTTCCTTAACAAAGGCCAAATACATTCGGAGCGTTTTACCAACTTGACACTTCTTTCGATGAGAAAAGTAAGAATAGCACTCGACAAATTCAAAATCGGGATGAATCTTAATGATATTTAGATCTAGACCTGTTTCCTCTGAGAATTCTCGTTTTGCCGTTTGAAGATAGGTTTCTCCTGGTTCCATTCTACCTTTGGGAAGATCCAGCCGATGAGAATGTTTCATGAGCAAAAACTCATATTGAATTGAACTCGTATTTGTAGCATCATCATCACGAAGAAGTTGATTTGAAGGACATCTTCGGAATAGTAATAAACCACATGATGTTTCTTCGTGTTGCACGGGTTGTCCGTAATCTTTGGTTGTAGAAGAAGAGGATTGTGAGATCATTTAAACTCATAAATGTGTATGTGGTTCAATTCAATTCGTTGTCTATTTTTTTTTCAACTATCTCTTTGTAGCTCATTCAATTTCAAACAAGAACCAGGTTCTTGATTGGTCCATCGGAAAAATTAAAATTGGATTTGTCATTTAATAATTTTACATTAAAAAAAATGGTTCAACGACCACAACCTCTATTGATGTCTTGTTCGAATAACGAGTACAATGTCAACGATGACGAGATGAGTTTAACTGTGGTTTGTTCCAATGATGTCGTATCGGAAGTGAGGAAACAAACAACAAATGCCCTAATGAAAAGAAAAGAGCATCCTCCGAGTAGAAAATATATGTACAGTAGCAATAAGGCTTCAACTAAAAATGTAATGAATAACAAGACTCCTTCTTTCTACAAGGAAATTGGAAATTCAATATTTGTGGATGCAGAATGGAATGAATTTTTAAATGCAAATCCGAAGGTGTTGCAAATTATTTTTCGATTCTTGACGATAGAAGATGTTGTGAGGAGTGAATTTTATGTGTGCAAATATTGGCAAGATTTGATTTTAAATCTATATGGTGACCGATTTAAAAATCAATATAAAATGGAAAATGAACTGTTGATAACGAGTCGATTTCGTTTTGAAGCCCACACCACCAATGTGTTTGACCAAATTGAAGAAGAGGATCAAAAGATTATGATGGACGAAATTCCTCTGAAACAACAAGCCGAAAAGAAAGTGCGCTTTTCCAAGGAAGAGGAAGGAAAAGAAATCATTCCTTGTGATATTGCCTATGATAGAAATGTCACAAAAAGATTTCTCATCAATTCAAAAGACGTTGTTGAGAGGTATGCCCTCTTCGTGAGATATACATGTCTTTCAAGAGCCAGAGAAGCATTATATCGATATATTAACTACTTGTTAGATGCGTATACGCAAATTACCACTGAAGAGGCAAAGAGATTTCGAAAATTTATTGGTTGGAATGAAATGAATGAGCAAGAAAGGATTAATATTCATCAATCTCTTTTAAAACAGGCCTTGCAATGGTGTAACGTTACACTTAATTTTCCTACCAAAAAGGTGACAGAGTTATTTGATTTGAGTCGTGACATTGTATTGCTATCTGGAGATTTTGCTGGTTTTGACATGGAAATTGGTGTAGAAAAGCAAGGGAAAACACGTGTCGTTTTCGACGAGGTGGCGCAGTTGAGTGATGACGCTATGGACAGCCTTTTGTCGAATTATTCTTCTGTATCATTTGTGGATGATGACAAGTTCAACAAGAAACATGTCTAGTGAGATTGTTTTTGAAAAGAGAAAAGGGAGGCCAAGTCGAAGAAATAGGGTTCACATTTCCAATATAGCCTGAGAGTTGGTGGCGTATACAACATTTTCAGTCAATTCTCTAAATGATGGAAGGGCAACATAGCTCGAGGGAGAAAAACAAGCTGTCATTGGAAGTGGAGCATCCATGTTGATACTATTACAAATCATGTTATGGATATTGATAACACTCCACGAAGGAATCATTTCGGGTCGCATTGGCATTGTTCTAGTATTTGCATGAATATTCTTCTCGTGAAAAGTTGTTGTTGAAACATGTGAATGAATGGTTTCATTTGGAAAGTGCCCTGCCTGTTGTTGATGTTCTCTCCTGTCCATTCGCATGACACTCATGAACGGTTCTCTTGACCGTGACGTTTTGTTTTGGAACTTGATGCTATTATCCGTTATTGGTGAAGGTGCTACGATTGAATTCGATCGCGTGACGACTGGCGATCCATGCTGGTAATTGATATTAGGGGTCGTAATGAAATGTTGTTCTTGATTCACTACAGGTTGGTTCATGGCACTGTGAATTATGGGCGTTGCTGTGGAAATATTTGTAGGAGTCGTACTACTCTCATTGCTACTACTGCTCGACTGAGTGTTGAACTTGGTATTAAATACATGCACTGTGGCAAATGAATTCCCACTGGTTTTTAAGGGTTTTCTACCTCTTCTTCGACCTGTATCACAATCCACACACAAATCTTCTGTACCATTCAACACACAACGAAAGCATGGACGTTGTTGATCACACTTCTTGTGTGCTTTTCTGCACTCTGAACATGCACGAGGTGTTCTGTTATGCTGCATCCTCTTGGGAAGTTTTGTCAGAGTTATGGTGGTCGGTGTTGGAGCCAAGCCTATCATTTCAGGAGAATCATGTTTCTTGATGGGTGAAACTTCCTCCACACGAGTACGATAAGGGATGTGTTGAGAGTTGAATGTTGGTGGTTGTGGTTGTTGTTGTTGTTCTTGAGGGAGAGTATCAGTCAACGAAAAGTCCATCATCATTGAGGCTGCATAGGTGGGAGTAAATTCTTGATCGGAATACTGACCGTTGGTGTGATACCTCCTCTGGTCAGAGTTGAACGTTGTTCGTATCGAGCTTGAGTTGGTATGAAGCGTTTGCATGGAATTCCTACTGTTGTTTAACTCGAACTCTGCGATGTTGGAAGGTTCCAAAGACAGTTGTTTCAATTCCAGCTCTGAGCATGCATGGAGAGGAAATGAACAACCTCTCTCTTTCAAGTTATTTCTGTAGGTAAGATTCATTGAGGAAGGAACGATGCTATAATGCCGCCGCTCTCCAATTGGAAGAATATTGAGGTCGGACCACCATTAAGCATTGACCTTCAAGAAGTGAGGGTCGTCTTTGTCTTGTTTTTTTGAAGTGGATTCCTGTTGTTGCGCCTCGCGAAAGTATACCCACCAGCAGATTCCCTTTGTCGCGCCCTCGTGTTTTCCTTAAAGAACATTGCATATTCCGTCAGGAGCTTGTTTTTGGCAATTGAGAAAAGCTTAATTGGACCAAAGAGCTCTTTCAAGCTTTGAGAATGTAGCTCAACCTCTGATGGTCCTTGCGGGTATATACTGTAAAATCTCGCCCGTAAGCAACAATCGAGGGTAAATGATTGTTTTGGCAAAAAAAAAGTGCTTATGTTCACCCTGCCAATTTTCTCAACATCATACCACCATTTCATAACGGCTATTTTTAATTAGCGAAAGTTTTGAGTGGTTTGGATCATCACAGGAGGAGAGTTTCCCGGATTTTCATTCGTAAACACATTCTCTAACAAGTTGATGAAGAAGTTGATTGTTGAAATTGTATTTAATAAAGCTTTATTTAAATACTCTGATCATCAGAGGCAAATCAATGCCTAACACCTGCTAGTGCGCTGTTGGCGGTTGAGAGGTTAATTGAGAGATGTTGGCTATTTTTTTTGGGGTTGCTTACGGGCAAACGTTTCTTACAGTCGAGATTTTACAGTATCCTATCACCGGTGGCCACAACGGTTTCAATTCAACACCACATAAAAGGCACTCCCAATTTTTAAGCTCGAATTTCTACCTGTTTCCAATAAATTAGAGTTCAACATCAACATGATGGCTCGAATGTTTATTCAGTGCACAGAACATCCTTTATTCAACAATTCGATGCCTTAGTATGAATCTCAAAAGGATGCGTCTGCTTAATGAGTACGAGACAATGTCGATGAAATCCTCGAATCACAGAGTTGAAGCACTTGATTTTAAAACGATCATTTTCAGTTGTTGTTTTGCTCAATAAAGTTGCTGAGTCCTTTTCATGTGGTGTTCCTTTGGCGCTCAGCTTGTTCACGAAATTTCTCGAACATGCAATTTTGAGAGGCTTGGATTTTACCATGTGTGCATGCACAAGGGTTGCCGATCGGCGAGGATGCCTTTTACAGTGTTTATGTTTCGTAAAGCAAGAACGATTGCTGAGAGCTCCAAACTTGAATGTAATTCGGCAAGTTTTAGTGGTGGAAGCTTGTTTGGAGGTGCCGGTTTGTACATGAGACGAGGAGGTGGATCTAGATGTTTGCTTTGATGTTGGTTTATGCTCGGACTGTTTCGTTTGTTGTTGTTGATCCTTGTTTTTCTCAAGGCTTGCAAAAGTCAGTTGTGATGGAAAGGGAAGACAATGAAAATCGGAAATCTCATTATTCATGATTGCGATCACGGATGATGAGAAGGAATTTGATGGGTGGGTGTTCATGATATACAGATTGTATATTTACAAGATGGTTTTGGGTGTTTTCTTTTGGGATGATGGCAGGAAAATTTTGCTTCGTTAGGGTGGTTTGGGATTTTTGAGCTTTTTTTTTTTGGCTTAAACTTGGCAAACAAATTGCTCCAGAAATTGTTCGAACCTCTGCAAGATCATGCCAGAACACCATGTAACTTCTCGAGCGTAGCGAAAACTCTGATGGGCCGAACTTGCGCTGGTCATTTGATAATACGTACATTAGAGAATTTATAAAATCTAGTTTTCAGCGGAAAACAAAGTAAAACGAAAGCGGTTTCGTCTGTTTTCCACGAATGCTGCGTTTATAAAATTCAGGAGGAAAACTGGAAAAATCACTCAAAAAAATGTCATCAACCGACACAGCATATCAGACCCAAAACACGCAATAATGTGGCGTTCAAAACTATGATACCAATAAAATCACATGACAATATATATATTAATGAATTTGGTAAAAATATTGGGAAATTATTTATTGATCGAAAATACTGCATTAAATCATGTTCCTATGTTGTTGCTGGATATCCAAAACCATCGGTGGTTGTAAGACAATTGACAAGGACACTGCTTTTAAGCATGGTGATGAAGAAGTTGTTGTATTTGCATTGAGATCGGATTTGATATCATGAAAAGAGCATTCGCGGGCTCTTTGTAACAACGAGACACAATAAAATAAACTTTTCAGCAGTTTTCCGCCTGAATTTTATAAGCAACATCTTTTTTTACTGCATATTCAGCAGAAAACAGTTTTCCGCGGAAAACAAAAGAAAACTCTGAATTTTATAAATTCTCTATTGACAATAAGTTTAATAACGTTTGGATGGAGAAAAATAAAAATAATAGTCGTCTCAAATAAAAATTGTTGGGGAGCAGTGGGAATCGAACCCACGGCCTCCTGCACCCAAAGCAGGAATCATACCACTAGACCATGCTCCCAGTTGGAGTTGTTAATTCTATACCTTATTTAACTGATTATTATCAACATACTTTCCTTGTAGTGCTAAGATCAATGCTGTTATGGTAATTGTTAATACCATAATGTAACCTGCGACCCTTTCCGTTCAATCCCTTGCACCTCTAAAAAATCTTTCACAAGTTCGTGTTGTGCACTTTTTAGCAAGCAAAAAATATCAATAGCTGCACCATCTCAACTATTCCATCAAAATTTCAGCACACAGCCATGAAACGCTTTTTTGCTTCCAACAGCGAAACCACTGCAGCTGCACTCACTAACGATGCCGATGATGATGATGAATCCACTCTCTCCGCAAGCCAAGATGCTTACTCTGATGATGGTGGAGCAACCGCAGTGATGAAACATCCTCTCTCCTCCTCAACCACAACTACCAACAACATACCGCATCAAAATCACTCACAAAACAACATACCACATTCAGAGTCAGTTTCTTCATTACCTCCTCCACATCATTCCAATAACAATTCATCCCATCAACGACAATCATCAGACCTACAAGGAATCGATGAATTGCGGCCTTCAAGAAGTGAAAATAACATTTCATCATCAAACCATTTCACTTCCGTTCAAGATTCCTCTGGCATGAACACAAGCATTCTCAGTTCATCCATCATTAACAATTATTATGGATCACATTTAAACTTGACCTCCAATAGCAATCTTGTTTCCAACAATAATAACAATAATCAACAAGATATGAAAATGTCCAAAGTACAACTCAATCCAACACTTCTTCCAGGTGAAGAAATTATAGACAAGGACACTCTTGTCTATGAATGGAACGGCCATACAGCTCCATCCCGAATTGCTTGGCATCAAGGTGTTTTATTCCTCACCAATTATAGAATTATTTTCAAGCCTTCCACCACATCCACCTATGATGATATTCCACAACAGTTTGAAGGAAGCGATGTCCCATTATGTACCATTCATAAATTAGAAAAGGTTGGAGGAAAGACAAATTCAACAAAAGATTTCAGCTACTTGATTGAAATTTGGACCAAATCATTCCAACATATTCGTTTTGCTTTTGTGCCATCAAGAGGAACCAGAGGACGTGTCTTTAAGTATATCCGAGCTGATTTATCACCTTTTGAATTCTTTGCTTTCAAGTACAAGTTAAATGTGAATCCGAATTCGACCAATAGTGCCATGGCTAATAGTACCACCAATCCTGCCAACAACAATGGAAGCAATCCTTCACAGATTGCATCATCGTCATCAAATGACACTTTATCAAGCATTCCATCTTCCCTCTCCACTAACAACACCAACACTTTTATCAACGGTTGGCAAGTTTATGATCTCGTGAAAGAGTTTACTCGGCAAGGCGTATTTGTCAGCACCATTGCGACCAACGCTAGTTTGGCACACAGACAAATCAAAACTCCTCCATCCAATGTCAAACAACCACATTGGAGAATTTGTTCATTGAACCAAGGTTACAAGATTTGTGATACATATCCCTCTCAATTCTTGGTGCCTTGCAATCTTTCTGATGAAGAAGTCAAAGCTGCTGCAGAGTTTAGATCAAGAGGAAGAATTCCAGTATTGAGCTGGTATGATCCAGAGAGCCAATTATCCTTGACAAGAAGCGCCCAACCCATGATTGGTTTGAATATTACAGGCAAGATTACTAAAAAACATATTGGTGATTACAGAACGATTGAGTCCATCATGCAAGCTAGCGACAAGACGCAGCAACGTTTAATGATTGTGGATTTACGTCCAAGAGCAAATGCAGAGGCCAATCGTGTCATTAAGGGAGCAGGATATGAGAAAAATTACAAGAATTGCGAACTGCGTTTCATGAACATTGAGAATATTCACGTTGTGAGAAACTCATTCGCTCGACTTGCTGACATTTGCCACGACTTTGGAGGAGTAGAGCTGAACTGGTATAGCAAGGTGGAGAGCACTTTGTGGCTTGAACATCTTCGATCTATTTTAATGGCAGCTCATTTTTGTGTTGATGTGTTCTTTAGAGAACGTACTTCCATTCTCACTCATTGCAGCGATGGATGGGATCGTACTAGTCAAGTGGTTTGTCTCTTCCAAATTATGGTAGATCCATACTGTAGAACCATTGAAGGATTTGCAGTTTTGATTGAAAAAGAATGGTGCTCATTTGGCCATCAATTCCAAAAGAGAGTTGGACATGGCAGTCGACAAACTTTCTTCACAGACGAACGTGGCCCAATTTTCGTTCAATTTGTTGATTGTGTTTATCAAATGATGCGTCAACACCCAACTGCATTCGAATTCAACGAGCTTTTCCTAATTTTCTTGTTGGATAACTTGTATTCTTGTAGATTTGGTACATTTTTGTTTGATAATGAGAAAGAAAGAGCCAGAAATAAGGTGTTCGAAAAAACTCACTCGATTTGGACCTACTTACTTAATCGTAACATTGTTGCAGAGTATGAAGGTTGTGGAACCAATTATTTGAATCCTTTCTACGATCCTGAAAACACAACCTATACCATTTATCCAGATTTGAGACATAGCTCTATTCAATTGTGGTCAACATACTGGCTACGATATGCAAAGGATCCAGCAGGTTATGAATACTTTGGTTACACCCCACTCCATACTCTTCAAATCAGAGCTAATGAAATTATTGCAGATATGAACAGAATGCAAGAAATTAAGCTTCTTTCAGAGAGTAAGAATGAAGCCACTGTTCAAACATTCCAACGCGAATTTAAAAATATGTGGGAGGAAATTCAAAAACTTAAAAAGAAGAATGAAGAATTGGAAGAAAAATACAAACATGATACAGAGGCCCTCATTGACATTTGCGATAAACAAAAGGAGGAACTTTCCCTATATTCTAGAACATCGAGTACTGATCAAATTCTAGAGTCTATCAAGAAGAAGGAAAAGACTCCAGTTAAAGAAAAAGAAGAATCCACACCCATTTCGAATTCTAACCTAGAAACTAACAAAAGCAATGAAGTAGAGCAATTGAAAGAAAAGGTTAGTCAACTTCAACTGGAGCTTCTTAACTCCACTAAGCCAGGCACAAGCGTTGCTAATGGTGGAAATAACTCTCAATCAGAGATTGAGAAGCTCAAATCATACATTACTCATTTGGAGGAAACTATTTCTGTGCTGAAAAGTCCCAAACCAAGTAGCCCATTACCAAGTGCCGGTACTACACACTCTCCTGCATCCAGTCCTAACAATCCACAACAATTTGGAACGGTAAACAAGTTATGGAGATCGACTCAGCAATAACTCAATTAATTTATTGAAATAAAACGATGTATTTTATTAAGCTGAATGTGTTCATGTATGATTGATCCCATGTCGTCATCGTAAATAGCTCGAGACCATCCTTAGATATCCAATGATAGCCTCTTCCTTTTTTTCAATAGGAATTGAATGGCTTGGCTGTGACAACAAATACTTCAATCGATGTCTCATTCGCTTAATCATGACAGAGGTTCTATGATCCATTTTGTATTCTCCATTATTGGCAACAAACTCTAGCCTGTTTTTCATGATGTTCATTCTTTGACGTTGAAAGTCTGCAAGAGAGCTATTTCGGTTGGCAACATTTCTCAAGTACGTCTTGACGAGTTCTGAAAGCGCATTAGAAAGGAAACGCCCTGGAGTGTGTTTGTAAAAGTCATTGTCGTACGTTTTTTGAATCAAAAGAGGAGGTAAAGTGGTTGGCTCAAATTGGCGTTCTTCCTCCACTATTGGCTCTGTTTTTTGAGGTTGTGACATGAAGTCAAGAATTTTAGCAAATTTAAAGGTCTGCTTGCTATGGCCAGTGCTGAATCCTCGACTTTTGTAAATGTAATCCAAAAAAGTTTTCCTTTCTTTCGATTTCTTGTCCTGAGGCAACGATTCAAAAGTAGGATATTTCTGCTTGTCTGTTACAGTTTTTACCTCATTCATGAAAATAATTTTTCCAGCAATATACTGCTTTTCTAGTTTAGTGAAAATACATCTTCCTGTACGCTTACTGGCAAGATAGACTCCTCTTCCAACAATTGGAGTCAAATTTTTGTATTGTTTTTCCTTCGATTCAGCAAAAGCGTCCACAATTTTGTCCATAATACTTTGTCTTGTGGTTTCAAACAATTGAATTGCTCTTTTTTGTATCATATCTTCTTCAGTTTCACTACTGTTCTGTAATTGGTCCATATCATCAGCTGTGGATTGCTCACTTGTTTGAGAAACTCCCAAAAAGCATTTCCTCACAAAAAATTCTTTTGCCAACGTCATGTCTCTTGCTGTAAAGTCATTAATCATGGCTACTTGTCGTATTCTTTCAATGTTCATACATAGGTGATAGAAAAAAGAATATAAATATTTTGGATGAGGATATAAATTTTCATTCTCATCATCATTACGCATCCCAAACAACAGATCTTTGAAATGAGAGAGTAAATTCTTGCAATCGTATGGAATGAGAATTGTTTTAGAACTCTGTTCATCAGATACCTCATTATCATCACTGTTCCAAAAACAATTCAGTTGAGTATGATTTCCTTTTTTACTAATTTCTTCTCCAATGTCAAAATAATGTATTTCTTTCATCGACGGTTCAAAATTCCCTCTTAATGGTTGCCCATTGACTGAATCATGATAGTTTTCCTGTTTTTTACTCCATAATTGTTCGTAGAAGAATGACAAACATTTTTCAAAGAGTTGTTCTAAATTTCGGAACGGTTTGATGATATTCTGTTCATAGTCTTTCATAAATAAATCAAAGGCTTGATGAATAGTTGGAAATTCTTGAGAGATCTGCGAAAATTGAGAGAATGAATGGGCATCATCATGATCTAGATGAGAAATTGTATCTCGCTTCTTCTTCGTTGATGATGCAGATTTATCATCTATGTTAGCTGTCGGAAGCAATGATAAATAATCCTCGATCGTTTGCTTTAATTTTAATCGACAATGATGCATTGCCAAATCCAATGCGTTGAGTGGTGATGTTTCCATGGTGTTTGTGAAAGTCTCAATGTTACATGTTTGTATTTTTTTGTTAAATTCACTTTGGAAACGTCAATTACCAAGGCACAAACATTAAACAATGCAAAATTTGGAGCATACTCATCATTGTAGGGTTGTGGTCCTTTCCAATCAGTTTTTCCATAGAAAACAACGTCCTTATGTTTCATTTTGAGCCCCATACCTTCGTGTTCCTTCAAAATTTCACTCACTTTTTGGAAGTGGTGTAATTTATCAGCCAAATATGAGTGAAAAAAGTAAGTTCGTCCCTTTTCTTCTAACCTGATCGCCTCCTCGTTTACAGATTGTAAATCCAACAAAGGATAAGAGCTTGAGTCTTCTTCATAGTCGTAATTGTAAAAATATTGAATTTTTCTTATGGACAACGCTTGAGCTCCAAAGGCTTTTTCACATAATTCATAAAACTGGCGATCCTGACCTATGAGAAAAGCATTGGAGTCGTATTGATACAGGAGTGGTATAACTTGATACTTTGAATCGACATGTGCTTCTATTTGAGAGGCAACCCATCGTTCTAGATCCTGCTTGTTTTCGAATCTGTTTTCGTTAATTTTCATAATTTCTTCTAATGAATCTTGTTCGAATACGTTGGGGGTGTATTGTTGCTGCTTTCTTTGGACCTCATTGAAAACTGAAAGAAATTGCAACCAATTTTCCAACATTTCTCGCTTTTCTTCCAAGTGTTGTTGAAGCAGAATGGCACTGGAAGAAAACTCTTTGGAGTGTTGACCTAAAGCGTTGTGTATGTATTCTGAAGATAAGGAAATATGTGGGTCGAATGGAGAGAGGAGCCCCCAAAACTTAATCTCTGAATCAATTTTGTCCTTTAACGAAGAATTCATAGACACATTGGGAAGTATCTCGTTTCTTAACATTGGGAGGATAAATGTTTTGAAAATTTGTGCATTTCTTTCTGGAAATTCATATTGAGACATACCAAAGGTAGAGAAAGGTGTTCGATTTAAAATGCAATTTGGATGTCTGTAAAGCATTTGGCGTTCAACTTTAAATTCTTCCTCTCCAACTCTCAGAACAATATCGTGGGACAGTTCATTTGTTCCAATAGTGGATGGAGCCTTAAAAGCTCCATAATTTTCATTCTTCTTGAACAGAACCACAGATTTTAAAACGAACTTGGTTCCTGAAGTTACCTCAGCAGATTCATGTTCTAATTGATGAACAAAGAAAACGGCTTGCCCACGAGAGGGAGAAATAGCAACTTTCTCCTCCCTGAGAGAGGACGAAAGAGGACTATCTTTTTTTGCTTGAGGTCCGTAAAATAAAGTTTTACCACCTTTCAGACTGTCATGCTGTTCATTTCCGTTCAAATAAATCAACACAGTGACAAAGCTGTTCAAGTCGTCCACACTTCTTCCAGAATCGACATGTTTTCTAAAAAACACTCCCGTTTCGTACCTGTAACATTTCCAATGAGAATCGATTGAAACAGGAATGTACTTGGTATTTTCCTCAAACATCGCCTTCAAAGCAGTTTCTCCAGCCTTAAACACCTTCTCGGATAGGTGCTCATCTTCAAACTCAAACTGGTAACTGTTACGAACGGAGGTATCGTCTACATTGCTTTCAGAGGACGCTTGACCAACTTTGCTTTGCTCCCATAAAGCATTGTTTGCTTTGCGAATGTATTCATCGGCTTCTGAAGCGGAAAGAACATTGTCCACAGTAACAAGTCCTTCCGTATGAACGAAAGGAATGTTTTTTGATCCATTCTGGGTACCTTTATCGTCCAACGTAAAAACACGAGAGCAAACGGCTTATGATGAGAAATTTCGCTCCGGGTGTGAATACAAGGATTTCCTTGAGCATACAAGCGAGCTAGAACCTAAATTAAACTGCAACCTCTTGGAGCAGGTTAAGAACATTTGGTTTTTTATGAAAACGCGAAGGGATCTCTTGTTCATTTTTTTTGAATCAGCTTAATACGCTGTAACCTTGTTGTTTACAATAAAAGTCAATCCTAAAGAATCTGGCTAAGCGGACTGGATTTATCTCCAATTTAAATTGTTGAAATAACATCATCACAATCTCAACACAAATCAACTTCGGAAAAGAAAATTCTGTAAGTAAACACCAAGAGAAAAAAATTAGAAAAATAGTTAATATTTACTGATCTTTTGTTTGTCGTGTTTGATCAAGCACGCTTTCAACACTAGGTCGTCATGACTTTTTATTGACCAATTTCGAGGTTGATTTTAATCCAATATCCTAAGTTATTACCCCGAAGATTGGATTTTGTAAATGGATAGAAAGATTTTGCCCAGCATACTGTCAATTTATTCAACAAAGTAACAAAAGCCTATCCAATCCATACCAACAATCCCCACCTACTTAAATTACCTCAGTCAAGGTAGCTTAATTTCGGAATTATTATATAATACAGAGAATTTTCTTTTTTTTATGAGTCATTACCTTTGGATTCATTCATTTCTGATAGTTTCCTTAGTAACTCCTCTCGTGTAGTTTTATGAAGCTTCTTCTCCATTTCTGTTCTTGAAAAATAGCCTCCGCTTTTATATTCTCGATATGAGAGTGTTGCAGTGTAGTGATCATCCCGAATGATAAATAATCGTTGATGCAATCTTTGAGAAATTTCTCGATGCTCGGGTTCTCTGCTTTCAACCAGTATTTTCGGACAATCGACAAACGTTGCAAACGCCTCACGAAGCGATTCCAGAGTAGAGTCCTCGTTCGTTAATAGCTCTCGTACGGGAGAAGGTAGGTTGTAGGTTTCTTCTAAACACTCAAACATGGCGTTGAAGATGTACAGGTCTTCGTTATTCATATGAGTGCCTACTCTATTTCGAAAAGATATTAATGAATGCAGTAATTGACCACAGGTAGTTGTACTGTCCCAACCTTTCGAGATCTTGTTCATCTTCTTGTTAAGGCTTTTCATGGGTTCTACGAGCCCTTTCATCACAGAATAATTTTGAAAATCGCATTCTTCCAGATCCGTTCTCTGAGAATGATGATCCTCAGTCGTCTTCAGCAGAACACGAAGCTCATACAATACCTGATGGATCTTTTTCATCTTACTTCTCTTTTCTTTTTTAGTGAACATGTATCCAATGAAAGATTCGACTGCCTTTGAGTTAAAGTACACAGCTTGATGTAACTGTGTCCGTTCTTGACAAGTCATTTGCATGAAATATCGCTTGAATAGATCTTTCATGGATTTCATTACTTCAGGAAGCTTGGCGTCATTGTAGTTGTCGTTAATGATTCTTTTTAGCGTAAAAGTAATAGATATTTTCCCAAATGAACTATTTTCAAGAAGGAATACTTCCTGCTTGCGGTTGACCACAGCGATTCCAGAAGCAACTATCTTTGGTGTTGTCACAAGCTTTGCTTGGTCCTCATCAGTTTCAAAATCTGATGGTTTAAGTTTGTTGGACTTGGCGAAAGGAAGTTTTTTCTTGATTCTAACGACAGTGCCTGCAGTGAGATGAGGCATTTGTTCTTCGGTCATTGCCAATACAACGCCAACAGAGTTTGGACATAACGGAATAAAAGAAATTTTATGTTCAACGATGTAATTATCAACCACCATATAGAGATCAGTTGTGTTGGTTGTTGATTGCTCAGCTTTACAACTTGTTGTGATGTGTGAGTGACTGGAAGTGGCAGACATTTTGAAGGAAGAACGACGATGAGGTTTGGTGTTGTTTTTTTTGCTGTGATTTTGTGTTCACGATCGAACATGGTTTTTGACAGAGACAGATTGTTGAGTTTTTGGAATTCCAAACATATAAATAGTATCATTGCCTTTGAAACAGGGTCTTCCACCATTCGCTTACCAACATCTTCATGTCCCATATTTTCAAAAACTCAAACCATGCTTTCTTCCATTTACATAATCTTTCACAAAACTAAGAATGGTCTTCAATGATCATAATCTTTCACTTCTATTTGTGTTCAAAACCAGTATTGAAAAAAATATTTTACAACAACCACGAATATTATTCAATTTACCATCTCAACCAACCGATCATAACATGGAATCCATCATTCCCTTTCCTCCTGATTTTAAATTTGGAACTGCTACAGCTGCTTATCAAATTGAAGGAGCTTTCAATCAAGACGGAAGAGGTTTATCTGTATGGGATCAGTTTGCTCATACATTCGGAAAAACCCACAACGGAGATCATGGTGATACAGCCTGTGATCATTATCATCGTATGGAACAAGATACGGACTTACTGTTTGATGAATTGGGAATTAAAAACTATCGCATGTCCATCTCATGGACTCGATTATTGCCAAACGGCCTATTGAGTGGAGGAATTAATGAAAAGGGAGTTGAGTATTACAATCGAGAAATTAATTACTTGATATCAAAAGGAGTGAATGTTGTCATTACATTGTTTCATTGGGATTATCCGCAATATTTACAAGATCAATTCCAGGGATGGCTCAGTAAGGAAGAAGCAATTTCTGCGTTTCGTGATTATGCAGAGTTGTGTTTCAAATTATTTGGCGATCGAGTAAAGTGTTGGATTACATTGAATGAGCCTGCTGTGGTCGCATGGTATGGTTATGGTATGGGCACGGCTGCTCCTGGGCGATCAAGTAGTAACGGAGGAAATTCCTCAACAGAGCCCTATTTAGTGGCCCATCATCAATTGTTGGCTCATGCTCATGCTGTTCATATTTACAGAACGAAATATCAACAAGAACAGAAGGGGAAAATGGGAATAACTGTCAATTCAAGTTATTATCAACCATTGGATGAGAATAATCCGTTAGATGTACAAGCTGCAGAGACTCAACAAGTGTTTAAATTGGGATGGTTTTTAGATCCTGTCGTATTTGGAGATTATCCACAAATCATGAAAGATCGAGTGAAAGAACGTTTACCTGAATTTTCCAGTGAAGAAAAACACTTGCTAAAGCAAAGTTTTGATTTTATTGGACTCAATCATTACACAACACGTTATGTGACCACATTCAGTCGTCATGAGAATGAAACATCCACCAGCAATGAAACCAAGTCACAAGACTCCACACAGGAGAAAACCTGGCACACTGATGCAGGTGGTAAAATTGTGATGGAAAAGAATGGCCAACTCATTGGCGAACAAGCAGAGAGTGCTTGGATCAATGTTGTTCCATGGGGCATTCGAAAAATTCTTAATTGGATTTCACAACGATATCATGATCCAGAAATTTACATTACAGAAAATGGAGTTTCTGTTCCCAATGAACATTCACTTCCACTTTCACAGGCACTGCATGACACATTTCGTGTGAATTATTTGCAACAATATTTGAAACAAGTGTCATTGGCTGTGATGGAAGATCATGTGAATGTCAAGGCATATTTCGTATGGAGTTTTATGGACAATTTTGAATGGGCCGATGGCTATTCTAAACGTTTTGGTTTGATCCATGTCGACTACAATGGAGAACATGGTGAAAAGTTGAAACGTTATGTGAAAGATTCTGCCAAATGGTATTCAAAGCAAATCCAAAATTTCAATTAAGAAGAAGTACTGCGTCATTAATTGCCATCAACTGTGAACGATATAAAATTCATTTCGAAAATTGTTAAGGCATGGAAATCATACGAGATGATTCATATTAATAACACCATAAAAAATGCAACCAAATCAAGGAATGAGTTTCAACAACAGTTTGAATCAAGCAGTGATCATATCTCCCATCAGCAGCAGCATGAATGATGATGCACGAGAAAGTATCATGCTTTCTCCGTCTCCGATTGCAAATAGAATGATCCGAGAAGAGCAACATCAACAACCACATGATGAAATTGACGTCCATGATGAATTGGATATTATTCAAAGAGATCTTTCCCTAATTTCTTCTATTGAACCACCTCATAATTTTGGCCAAAATCAAAGAGAAACATTGATGGACAACTTCTTTTCGGAAGAAGAGAAGAAGGCCATATTTAAAAAAGATAAAGCAATTGATTTGTATGCATCACAAGCTCTCGGAAGTGATCGACTCTTGGATATTTGTCAATTGGAATTGATGCAACCAAATCAATTGTCGTGGAAACAAAGTGTCATCAGCTCCATTCTGCAAGATGATGAGTGGAAATACAAGAAACGATAAACCAAAATTCAATTCACACACTTTAGTTTGCATTGATTGATTGAACACCGAGTGTATACTTTGCGTTGAGAAAGTGTGTGAAAAAACTAGAAGCTAGGCCATTTCAAAATAAATTACTTTAATGATACAACATGTTACATGATTGTGTTTAGCAGCATTGTTCGGCTATGTACATCACGACATTGAAAAAGAGTCATGATTGGTTGTGTGAAAACTTGTTTCGAAAACTTGTCAAAATTATCTCTTTCTGTTGACGAGGGCATTAGCCAACTCGTTTTGCAATGCGCTTTGAACCTTACGTTCAGAGCTGCTTTGAGTATTACGGAGAGTACGAGTAATTTCACGAGCCTTATCAAAGTAAACTCCTTGCAATTGATTACGCAAGTAATTCTCCATCTTTTGAATCATGTTACCCATGTTGACAATATGAGTATTGTAGGCATTGTCAAATGTAGTGACTTGATCTTCTTGCTTTTGAACACTTCCGGAAAGATCCAACTGTCCATCTTGAGTGCTCATGCTCAAAATAATGGTTGTTGTGAGCTTGTAAGAAGCTGTTTTAGAGTCTTGTGGTTGAACTTCAACAACGTGAATTGAATCCCAAACACCCTTCTCAACTCCTCTCAAACCAGAACCATCCTTCTTGAAGAGAACAGCAGCAGCAAAACCACCATCCATAATTTCCCACATGTAAACGCTTGCAATACCACCATCATAGTATTGATCACAGTATAATTGGAAGATTTCATTGGCTCTCTTTTCCATTTCTCTCAATTCATCAGGTGGCAAGATACCATCTTCCAAAGGAGGATCATACATGTTCGAGTGTGGGCTTCTGTAACTATCACCATCTCTGTTATAATCACAAATCAAATAATCCTTGCCAGTTTCTGGGCACTTTTTGATCTTCAAAGGACAATCCACGGTCTGTAAAAGATCATCGGTGAGATGTGGAGCCAATTCTGTAACAAAACTCAAGTTGGTCTCTAATTGAGAAGGAGGAAGTCTTCTGAAAAGATCAAGAGCACAATTAAGCTGTTTATCTTCGGATGCCATGATGAAAATGATGATGACGATGATAAATATTTTTGATGATGGCGATGATGATTGAATTAAATTGTGGTGTGCTGATGATGATGGCAACAGAGAGGACAAGCAGCAAAAAAATCACCAAAATATTTTTTTTAAAAAATTTTGAAATCGATTGGACTTGTCCATCACTCGTCAAAAACTTGGATCTATCTTTTCACACACGACCACCAACCAGGGTATGTAATTGTCAATTGTTGTTGGGATGTGTATTATTTCAATTAAATTATTTTGAAATCATCATGAAACAACCAATAAACGATGATTTCTTGTTTAAAGTGGAAACCCTGTTTCCCGCCACACAACGGCTCTAAAAATTTCTTTCAAAAAAAATATTTAAACGAACATTGCGAATTGCATCACCATGACGGAAGAAGGTGCCGGATTTTTTCAAGACTCGTACAATCCAAAGGAAACGAGCAAGATGAGCGGTGAGAAGCCTTCCTCTTGTACTCCACTCACGATCAGACAACTTCTCGGAAATAAAAAGACAAATGAACGATTTCATGTGGACGGAAAGGAATTGGATATTGTTGAAATTTTGGGACAAGTAGTGGCCATTTCCAAGAAGAGTACTTACACTTCCTTCACAGTGGATGATTGTACAGCCTCCATGGAGATTAAAATTTTCGATTCGAGCTTAAAAAACAATGAATTTTTGGCAAAAGAAAGAGAAAATATTCGGTATGTGTTTGCGAGCAATGTTGTTCTCACATTTGTCGGAACTTGTAATTTGGGAAACGATTTAAATCTTCAATTTTTGATGATTCATGGTCGATCACATGATTACGCATTTTCTTAACCCTACATGATTTAGAGAGGGAGATTTTGTAAAATTCTTTGGACACATTAGCGAATGGAAGGAACGATTTAGTTTGAACGCAATCATGGCTCGAGTTGTCACCGATGCAAACGAAATTTATTTCCACATGCTTGAATGCATTCAAGTACATCTTTTCAACACTCAAGGACCTCCTCCAAGTGTTACTGGATCGTCGCGTGGTGATGACATGAACACTTCCATGATGGGCAACGATGCTTATAACTTTGGAGCAAATCCCTCATCTTCTGGGCAAAATGATGTTGCTGTGGCAAGGCTGGAACAGGCCATGGATGAAATTCTTACTGCAGCGTCACAAGTGATAACTCCTCAAAAGAAGAGAACTGGAGTATTGAAATCTGAAATTTTAGATCTTCTCTATGGGCAATATCCTGAAGATCAGTTAGAAGCAGCATTTGACAACCTAGTTCAATCCGGAAAGTTATTTAACACCCTAGATGACGAACATTTTACAATCAACTAAAGAAAATTGCAACAACTTGTGGAAATGCTTGTCGCTCTCCATACTCTACATACAATTAAAGTATGTTGCATGTATGTTTATTTCTTGAAGAACGTGACGAAATGTATTTGTCTTGATCCTTGAGTTTGGATTTCATGCCCTCAATGAAATTACTTTCAATAATTTCCCGCACGATCATTTCAAATGCTTCATAGATATTCACTTGCTCAAAGGTCGATGTTTCAATGTATTTAAGGAATTTCCTATTGCAGAATTGAATGGCCTCTTCTTTTGACACTTTTCTTTGAGTTGGATCAACGTCGGCCTTTTCATGAATCATTTCAACAAATTTTGGAATCAATTCCAGCATTCAGAATGAAATTTTAACATTTCACACAACTACTTACCTTATTACCTACAAGAATGATTGGAATGTTGTGTGGAATATCTTCATTATCTTCTGCATCCTTCACACGCAAAATCTTTTCAAAATGTCTGGTCGTGGCATTGTGAAAAGACTCTCGATCATCCACAGCAAATATGAGAAGAAATCCAAGACATTTGCTGTAATAGATGTCTTCGACAGCACTCATCATTTCCTGTCCACTGTTGTTAATGATTTGAACTGACACTGATTCATCCTCTATTTGAAGGATTTGATAGAAACGTCTCTCATCTGTTGGGTCATACGCTGAAGGTCTGGATGCTGTTGTTATTGCAATTCATTGTTCATGATAGTATTGGTACGTGAAATGATTCCAATGGAGTTGTTTCGAAATGATTCGAATCTATAGAAGAAGAGAATTACTCATTTACTCACCTCTGACCTTCCTTGATTTTGTAAATTCGACACACAGTGAAGCTTTTCCAACACCAGAATCTCCCAACATTCCAATTTTATAGTTCTTTTGCTGTTCATTGATGGTTACTGTTGATTCATCTTCGTGATGTGTTTGAAGACTATTGTTACTGTTGGAATGTTTGTGGCGATGACGATGTGCTTTCTCTTTTGAAGAAGTGGTCTGTTTCTTCTTGTTCTTGTGCTGCTCATGCTTGAGTTTTTTCTTCTTATCAACGGCTTTGTCTTTGGAGGGTGAGGGTGACTTGTGTTTCTCGGTCATTTCTTTTGTTTTAGAGAAATGGTATTTGCAATTAATTTCTGATGGATGAGTGAGATCTCACATGCATGCACGAAACGTCTATGTCACATGTTATACCTTAATGCAAGCCAACATTTATATTAGTTAAAAATGAACATTGTGTACACTTAACAGATTTGGTAATGATGGATGTGATGTTTTTATTTACAAAGAAAGTCGTATTTACAAGGTCTTGCACGTGTTTGACGTTGCCAATTATTTATATAGAAAGTCTTATTTGTGTTTTTCAGAGTTCAGAGATCAATTCAAAAACGTGTTCTCTTTCTTCAGTTTTGCCTTTTCCAAAACAAATTTTCCAACTTTATATTGCTCTGAGCTTTCATATGCTTTCTTGTATTTCCATCCAACGTTAGCTTTGCAATTTACACAGTAAATATCACACACGACATGAAGTCCAGTCATTAGCTGCCGTTCCTCAGATGGACCTGTTGTCACATTGATACTGTGATTTTATCAGTGCAATTCGATGGTGTTGAAAAGTGGTTGCAATTGATTCACATCTCACATCCTATTTTACATGTAATTACTTACGCCTTGTTGAAGAGGTATGCTTTTCCAAAACGTCCATGGAAATGTTTAGATATAATTTCATCATTCATTGAAAGATGTGAGTTGCAGTTAGAGCATACATAGATGGAGGATCCATTCAAATACTTCAAATACAATCTTCCCATTTCTTATATGAGTTCCTTGTTCTTTTCAAATTAATTTCCTAATTACAATATTGTACAATTAAATGATGTAATAATAATTATTTCTAAATCAATCACACCCAAAGTAATTCCGATATTGTTTTCTCTCAATTTTACTCCTCTATTGCAATGAATGAATCATCCGTTAAATATTATTATACGTTCAAATATTTGCAACCGACAATTTTCAAACAAACGTACCTACGATGAAAGCAAGATGAAATTAGTGGTGCTATAATTTGTGGATTTCTCTTGTGCTTGTTTTAATTATTGTTATTGGTGTTGTGTTTTTGAAAGATGATCACTGGTGCGCACAAAACAACAACTCTCAGTGTCGTCTTCGTCGGATCAATAGATGTTTTTGCTCAGAAATATCAAAAAGTTTTTTTAAAATAGATTCAAATGGATATACTCAAAAGATGCCTTAATCTTAAAAAGTTTACAAGTAAAGGTGTTGTATTTTCAAGTCATGATCATCATTGTAAAGTGTTCATTTGTCCTAAAAATTGTTTGAACTCCAAAGGTGTTAGCTTTACAAATTCCTTTTGAAAAAAAATGCAGCAAAATACTTTGGTTCATTCACAGGATTTGACAAATCAACTTGACGCACTCGGAGATGTTGGAAGCAATGGAATACTTTTTGAAAACAATGAAAAAGAAGGGATACAACAGCACAAGATCCATACGGAAGTACCACGCAAAGTATCATTATTTCAAGAATATATTCATCATGCCAATTTGAGAGGATGGTATTTTGTAAAAATTGAAGGAATGAGACCTGGAAGGTCTGTTTTGTCAACGTATGAGTTGTTTTCATTGGAGAGCTTGCCACCTCTAGATTTTAATAATGACTACCGGTTGTTTTTGAGCAAGTACGAGTTGAATGGAAATCATGATGAAAGTATAGAAGCTGCTATAGAGTCAACAGAGGAATTACCAACACTAACATTCAAAGATTTACAACTTGATCCTAGCAGCGTGGACTTGGACGTCGATTTTGAAAAAATACCTTATTCAGTTCTTCAATTATTCCAAAAAGAAAATTCTAAAATGCTGTCCAAGTCTCTAATTTCTCCAACAGGATGTTATTTTCAGCTGTCAAAAGCGATTGGGCCATTGAATTTATATTCAGACTCTGAGGTATTTTTGGTGCCATTTTTTAAGGATGAATATGGGGTGCTGACTTGGTATGCACTGTTTGACAGGTCGCTTCCTGACGACCAAGTTGGTAGCTTCTCAAAGCCTGTCGTAGTTTCAGGTATTCCAAGTTGTAGCGATATTTTGAACATTAATTTAAGAGACTTTGATATTGTTTCACTTCATGTTGAAGAATTTGTTTGGAGAACGTTTATTGAGGGATTCATTTGGAAAGAGCTCCATAAATCGCATGATAAATCAGTGAAGGAGTTACACAATTGTCACTTACGATTGTATGGCATTCAGTGCACGATTTTTCAACACAGATCTAAAATTGTTAAAGAAAGTGAGCAAAGACAAAGAGAACAACAACTAACTAATTTAGATGATACTGATATTGATATTGTTACCAAGCGATAATTTTCAATTTATTAACAATAATCATAGGAAGATTCGAAGACCTCTGCATAGATATAGAGCTAATTCGGTCATGCATTGCATTCCATTTAGTTTATGTGTTTCAAACATTACAAATATGAAATTACTCTAATGAGAACTGATGAGCGAGCTCTTTTGCTTTTTCTAATTGCCCATTTGTTTCAAGATTTTTCCTATGCAAATCTTCACCTTCTTTCATGAGCTGCTCCAACTGATCTCTTCTAGCCTCACTGGATTCCTGCACTGCTGAAATCAACTTATTCACCTTCTCTGATAGCCCTGAAATAAATTCTTCATGAATTAAGGGCAACTGATAAGCCTGCTTACAAGTACAAAGATTGACTTACTGTTCATTAATGCCTCAAGTCTGTCGTTCAACTGATTCAAGCTACGTTTGGCTTCTTTCAAGTTTGAATTGGTAAAGGCTTCAACAGACGACTCTACTGAGGTGGCCTCCTCACCTCCAGAGGCAAGAATCATACCGTCGGAGTTTGAAGTATTTTGACTAATAGGAGGCTGTTCTTCATCTTCCAACACGTCCTCTACAACGCTTGATTCCAAACCACTAGTATTGACGTCATTATTTGTCGAGAATTTTACCTTCTTGACAGACTATTCTCAACTGCTTGTAAATCAATATTCCAACAAGCCTTACTTACAGTTTCTTCCTCTTCAAAATCATTTTCTTCTCGGTTGGGTGCTCTTTTAAGAGGGGAGTTGACCATTTTTTTTTGAGGTTGACTCTTGAATATTTAATCTCTTCAAGCCTTTCTATCAAGCCTCAATGTTACCCAAAACAAATGCTCCATGCGGAATATTTTAATAAAGACCAATGTGCACCAGTTTCAAGAATACTATTTATCACGAGTCATTGACAGCATATACATTAAAAATGTTGAAGTTTTTCCTTCTTCAAATTCATCCATTCCTGATACCAAGATCTATTTCCATACACTTGTCGATTCTCCTCCACACACAATTTGGTATTATGTCCATCCTCCATTTTAGTCAATTGATCCATTGAAATCATGGATCCATTTTTACACGAGGTCATTTCCTTCAAAATATCGGCAAATCCCTTTTGATGTTCCTTCACTCGTTTCTTCCAAATTAATTTCATAACTGTATCCGAAGAGATTGGTAAATTTAAATCACTATAAATAATGTGAACAATTCGAGTTAATTTTTCACTCACTCTATAAAACATGTAATACACGAGACCATGAGCCTGTACACCAATATCTTGAGGAATGTTATCTTGTTGTTCAAATTCTGCTGAGTGGGCTAAAAACATGTACATGTCAATGAGAGGATCGTAAATGGCAGTATATGAATAAGACATTTGTCGTGTTTTTAACATGAATAAGAGATCCAATGCATTGGAGGCAAATTGTAGTGCATAGGGTGGATTTTCAACTGAATAGGGAGGTTGTTTTGCTGGAGGAATGTGTCGAGAGAGAATATGTTGTTTGGTATTTGCCATCTTGTCAAATTTTTTGGCAAATTCAGTATTACAATAACAATTCCACACAACATCCAATGAGAAGGGAATATGGAGTACCATCTTGGCCAGTTTCATCCCTTTCATATTTTCAGAACCAAAGACGTAGGGAGTTTTGGAAATGTACGCATGGCATAGATAAGGCGAAGTTGTGTTATAAATTAATTCCCAATCAGGAGTGTCATCTGCCACATTGAATCCAAAATAAATGTAATCATCGGTAATGATTCGATCTTTGAGATCATTGGGTTTCCATCTCATATCTCCTTTGAATCCTTTGGAAATGTCGACAGCAATGGATCGAGTGTAGCTTTCACCTTTTTCTTTGAGAAACTTCATCAACTGGTCACTTCTTACAAATCTAGGAAATTGATCCAACTTTAAATCCAAGTTCACGTTGAAGAGAGCTTGTCCAAATAATTTTTCTGGATCGAGTTGTGTGAAAACTAAATTACACATGGTATGAAAATAACTTTCTTTTCTTGGAGCATTCATGAAATGAATCGAAGAAGGAGAAGTGACTGGACTTGAGGTTCGATTGGAATTGCCATTCCCATTCGATGCCGAGGTCGAAGAAGAACCATCAGAATTCGATGACGAAGTGTCACTATATCCTCCCAAACTTGAAAAATGTTCGACATGTTCGAACACTTCATTCCAATAGTGAAGGATACTTCTTTGAGTAGCTCCCAAATTCAATTCCTTGTCACACCCAATGTGAATGTAATTTTCAACAATAGTTTTGGCACTATCAAATAATAATTTCACATTCTTTCGCGCCAATTTTACATTCGAACCATTTCTTAAGGAAGCTTGAGAAAAAATTTGAAAGGATAATGGAGACGATGCTGACTGAGGAGAAGAAGCTGACACTCCCGAGAAGGAGTTTTGGCTACTTGACGTGGTCAGTTGTTGTTGCTGTGGTGACGGAACTTCTGTACTTTCCATAAAAGTCAAAGACGAATGTTGTTGTTGTTGTTGTTGGATTAACAACTGGTCCAGTGTAATCTTTTCATTCGTTGGAGATGAAGCGTTCACGTCGGTATTATTTTGATTATTATTTTCCATACCACTCGTGGGACGTAATGTCGAATGGTTATTCAACACCACCAGTGGCGTGATGGCATTCGAGGTCTTTCTCACTCCTTCAATGATGACACACGACATGGTCGAAACAGAGGATGATGAAGAAGCTTGTTTTCCATAATGATGAGGAGAGGTTGTGGTGGTTGGTGAAGAGTTGTTTTCAGTCGACACCGAATTCAAGGATGTCAAAAATAAATTTTGATGATTATTGGTGTTCATCAAATTATTATTACCACCAGAAGATAGATTATTCATCCATCCTCCCATTTCCTTGATACTCTTGTCGTAGTCTGATTTGTATTGTTCGACGAGATTGAGAAATTCAATGGATTCTTCGTGGCGACATAATTTGAGAAAATCACAAAATGTTTTTCGAAAATCTTTGCATTTCATGGCTTCTGAATAGATGATCATGTAGGTGGAAGGATCAAAGGATGATGCTTTGGTGGATTTTGAGGATGATGTTTTACGACCCGAGGAAGGCTTGGAAGAATTTTGATCAACGGAATCAAAATTTTGACAAGTGGCATTTGATCGTCCATTCATGTTGTTTTGATCAAAATCTTCGGGAGTGGATGGAGAAATCATATCATCCATGGTTGTATCTGAAGATCCTTGTGGTGGTTTTTGAGAAGAGTGTTGTGATATCATGAGACGATGGATTTTTCTTGAATGGAAAGTTTAAGCTTGAACAGGAGCAAAGTGGGAAGGATTGTGGTGTGTCTCGAGAGGAAGGGTGTGCTTGTGCTTTTTGTTTTTTTGTTAAGATTGATCTGTTCATGAGTTGTTTTTGATATTTGACATCTGACACGAAACACTGTTTTCAGTTTTAAAATACCAAGATGTCAAAAAAACGAAATTGGAAGATGTATGCAGCAAGATCTCTTTTCGTACTAATTGCTCTAGTCATGTGGTTGGTCCTCTTCCTCACACAGCAAACACACTTCAAAATTCAATTTCCAATTCAAAAGACTAAACAGCTATTCATTCTGAAGTCAAGACGAACAACTTCATGGACACAGATGTTTCTATCTTATCAATCATCTCATTTGAACCTATTCCTTCGAAATGAGACGGTTGTTAGTCACTTGTCAAAGATTTTGGTTATTAATGAATCATTTTGAATCATAAAAAAAAATTAATAAAATAACCTTAAATTTTTTTACAAGAAATAAAATCGTAGTCCACAGCGAGGAGCGTTCAAAGTTTGAAAAATTAATTTGGAATTTTCGAAAATCCGTCATCCGGTCTCCTAATCGGAAGCACTTTCTCGGAGTTGTTTTAAATATTTTTTGAAAAAAAATCTTTTAAAAATCATCAAGCGTTTTCTGTCTTATCTTCATCGTTTGACTCTAGAATATTGTAGTTATAGAAATTGACTCGGAGTAGTAATTATTGGATTTTACAACATTTAAAAACGTAACTGAATAGCTCAACAAGAAAATGCCAATTTCATCAAAGGATGATGATCACCATCATCATCACGGAGAAGACTCCAACCATGCTTATCCATTTGATCAGGATTACCGAGATGAAAATCATCATCATCACCACTATCAAACTCATAACAATGTAAAAATTGATGAGAACGATGATTATTCCGGAACAGTAAATCCAATCCATGAAACTGTTATTCCATCTGTTGAAAGTACTGATCCTGTTAAGGCTGAAGCAGTTATTGCCGATTTTTCTCCTCCTTCTCCTCAACAACGATCCTTATTAAGAAAAATATTTATTTTCATTGATTACCCAATTTCTACTTGGTTCATCATGATACAAGAGTTATGCGAGAGATTTGCTTTTTACGGATTTAAGACCATCTTGTCTTTATATTTATTGAATTTTATGGGTTATAGTGAAGACGTATCAACGACTATTATTCATACTTTCATCTTTTTTGCTTATTGTAAGTATAAATACGCACACATTAGAAATTTTAATTGAAAAACCTTATCCATGAAATAGTCACGCCGTTACTCGGAGGCTTTGTTGCTGATGCATTGATTGGAAAATATTGGACCATTCTAATTTTTAGTTGTAAGTAATAGTTCATTGAATGTAAATTTGAAATCCAGAAACGAATTTCAATGACAATAGTGATTTATTGTGCTGGCCAGATTATTGTGTGTGTGACCGCCATTGAGGGAGTCACTGGAATTCCTCCTCAAGGGTGGGGAATTGGTTTGGGCTTGTTTTTGGTTGGATTAGGAACAGGTAAGTTCGTACAGTTCTTTTGCAATTTTTGGTGATTGACCAACCAGTGAAATATTAAAAGGTGCTATCAAGTCAAACGTTTCAACATTTGGTGGTGACCAATTTAGAGAAGATCAAGAAGAATTAATTTCCTCCTTCTTTGCCATCTTTTATTTTTCTATTAATCTTGGAAGTACAGTAAGCTCATTTGTGACACCAATTATTCGAACAGAATTTAATTATGCTGTTGCTTTTGGAGTACCAGCAGTGTTATTGATTATTGCAACTATAGTTTTCTCTATTGGAAAATGTTGGTACAGGACCACAAAACCAACTGGACTTGTGAAAAATCCAATTTTAAAATTTCTCCATGTTTTGTTTGTAGCACTGTTTCGTAGAGGTGGAGGAAATGATGAAAGCTCTCCAATCCGAAGAGATGAATCTGTTGCATCATCATTAGGTTCAAGTCCAAGTAATAATCAATTAGAATTTACTTCTGAAAATGCTACTACTTCAACAACAACTCAACAAGAAGATGAAGATGAAAGGCATTGGATTGATCGAGCACGTTCGAGATTTTCACATAAGGAAGTTTATGATGCCAAGTGTGTTTGGAGAGTTTGCATTACACTACTTCCAATTACTGTTTTTTGGAGCTTGTTTGATCAACACTCTTCAAGATTTGTGTACCAGGCAGAAATGATGAATAGAAAAATTGGAAGTTTTGAATTGGGAAGCGACCAAATTACCACACTCAATCCGATTTTGGTGATTGGTTTAGTGATTGTGTTCGATCGATTTGTGTATAAGGGTATTAATTTCTTCGTAAGTAGTAGTAGTAGTAGCTCTTAACTCGATCATTGATTTGCGTGAATCATCCACACTTTTATTAGTATACATTAACACCTCTAAGAAAAATAGGTTTAGGAATGATCATTGCATCCTTCTCATTTATTTGTGCAGGTATTTTAGAGGTATTCGTTCAAATGTATCCACACAAGGTTCATGTCGCATGGCAAATTCCTCAATATGTATTCTTGAGCATTGGTGAAATTTTTGTTTCTGTCACAGGACTTGCTTTTGCTTATCAAGAATCACCAAAAGAAATGAAATCTCTCATGCAGGCTTACTACTTGCTGACTGTATCCGTTGGAAATGTTATTGTGGTGATTGTTGCCAGTATTCCTATAGAAAAAACTCCAATGAAACAAGTTTACGAGTTCTTGTTCTTTGCCTTACTTATGCTTGGAGGATTAGTTTTTCATTTGGTGATGGCCAACATGTACAAATATAGAGCAAAGATAGGTGTTGGAACAAAGCTTGAGAATGAAACAAAGGAAAAAGCCATCTCCACTGCGACGGTAAAATATCAAGCAGACCAGACAGAGGCATAACAGTATTTTGTAATATACATCTTCCCACTAAATTATTACCGATTTTATTGTCAATATTATTTCTTTGTATCTGCTATACTTGAGATATCAGATTAGGTTGCTTAATAACATGCTGGTGATCCCAATTTTCTTGGGTCAGTAGCCGGTAAAATGATTCTATTTCCCTCTTCATCTTTTGTGACATGAACAACTTGACAGCATCCAATAGTATGACCATCAGGTAAAATTTGAACTTTTTCAAATACATGTCCTTTTTCTTGCAAACTGCTCACCACTTGCTTATTGAATCCTTCTTCAATTTTTACAACAGAAGAGCCTGGTTGAGCATGAACACGTGGAAGTTCAACTGCCAATGCTGGATTTACACCAAACTTGTCAATGGAAAAGAATACTTCCATAATTGCACTGATGATAGTAGGGCCTCCACTAGCTCCAATGACATATTTCACGGTCATATCCTTCTTGTCAAGGAAAATTGTTGGAGACATGGAGCTGAGGGGTCTTTTACCAGGAGCAATGGCATTAGCGACGGATGGTGGAAGACCGAATTGGTTGGGTTTGTTTGGATCTACAGTAAAGTCATTCATCTGATTGTTGAACACCACACCTGTTGATAAGCTGGCCACCTTACTTCCAAAATTGTGGTTCACTGTTGTGGTCATTCCCACTGCATTACCTTCATCGTCAACAATTGAAAAATGAGAAGTTCCCTTATCTCTTATTGGTGCATACGTGTCTGGGAAATAGTGTACCCAAGGAAACGTCCTGGCTGGAGAGACAGCTTCAGTGGAAATTTCTTCAGCGTATTTGTCGCTCAACAGTTGGTCCATGATATACTTGGTCACATTTTCTTTAGGTAAAAAGTTGACGTCTCCCAATGTAGAACGATGGCCAAAACCAAATTTCAAAGCCTCAAGCATGTAGTGGCATCTGAGGGCAATAGGTGCATTTTGGAAAGTGTTTGCAAGATCTAAATTCTTCAAAATGCTCAAAATAAATCGAATGACAGGGCCAGAAGATGGTGGAGGTGGCAGAATGACCTTGTAATCCTCAAATTCTAACATCATATCGTTCAAGGAAATGATGGAATTTCTGTCAGAGAATGGTCTCAGCGGTTTGTAATTTTTCAAGTCGTCCAATGTTATAATTCCTCCCTCTTGTTGAATTTCCTCCACAATTTTCTCGGCCAGTGGTCCTTCATAAAGTACGTTAGGTCCGTTATTGGCAATAAGTTCCAACGTGTTAGCATACTCTGGTCTTTTGATTGTTTCTCCTTCTTTGAATACACGTCGAACTCCGTTTGCATCTACAGTGGTAAATTGTTTTAGTGTTGGATATTTGAGAATGTCATCTTGGGAAAGTCTCAAGGCCAGTAGTGGCTCCACAGTCCATCCATTTCTTGCAATGTCAATCACATCTGTGAATAGATCTTTCCAAGGAAGTTTGCCATAAGCTGAGTGTGCCATATAAAGTCCTTTAACTTCACCGTAAATTGCAATTGCCTTTCCTCCAGTGACACTTTCTTCATTATTATTGACATACATATCTTGAGAAGCAGCGCTTGCAGCTGTTTCTCTAGCATCAATGAAATCAATAGTTTTCGTTTGATTAATGAAAATATTAATAAATCCACCTCCGCCAATTCCACTTGCAAACGGTCTCGTCACACCCAAGCACAAAGCAACAACAACCGTTGCATCCACTGCATTGCCTCCTTTTTCTTTAATTATCTTTAATCCCATGTTTGAGCAAATAGAACTGTCGCTAGCGACAGCAGCATGTTTTCCAATGAGCTGTACTGGAGGTCTATTTTGTGTACCTCTCATCCCTAAATAATACAGGCCTATTCCGATTCCGAAAATACAAATAAATGCTATTATAAAAATCGGACAAGAAATGTTACAGATATGAAATATTAGTTTTTGTGTTTTTGTTCCCTTCACTTTGTAAATGGGTTGTTTTTCCAGAGTTGACAAATCACTGGAGCTTGACACGTTGCTATGATATCCTGGTACTCCTACAGGATTAGAGAATCCCTTTTCCAAGTCTTCCCTCTCCTCCATAGTCCTTGGAGAAACCATCCTTCTTGTGAGCTTGGATTTCCCATTTTGACGGCTTGGATCCGATTCTTGATATGTAGAAGGTGATATGACTTTGTCTTCCTCTTCTAAACTCTTAGGACCTATCAGTGGTGTTCCTTCTGCCATTTGTAAAACCAATAATTGTTACAGAATGTTGTATTTGTTCGTAAAAGATGATTCTACGATTGCAATAATAATTTAAAAACGTGTTGTTGTTGTTGTTGTTTGGGGATCATAAAATTTAAAGAACTCTCCAAAACTGTTACTGATCCTATGCTTCAAAAATTAGTGATTGTATTTTGGGTGATGAGTTAGTGCTCTATTCCAATAATATTGGTTTTCTTCTTCCGATGGTCAAGGTGAATATCCATGAAGAGAAAGAGAGACTTGGGTAGAAGATGATATTTTTTAAAACGCATGGATGAGGCGGAAAAATCTCACGACCAAATCCAGCAACAATTTCACTGGGTTACGAAACGCAGTGCACAACGGAATTGGCACTCGACGGTAAAACCTCACCTCGTATGAAGAGAATCATTAGAAGCAAAGTCATGGATGGTTGTATCAAAAATAACAACAACTAACTTGTTGATGAGGAAGCAAGATGTTTTATGATCATTTCGTTTATCGGTGCTTGAAAGCATTCATTAAGGTGTTCCATTCCTCAGAATCCAAATGAGTGGGATCCTTCACAGAGTGATTGAGAATAAAGCTCATATTGGATTTGAGTCCATTTCTTGCATGGTCATCCTCATCTGTTGGTGAAACATTAGTATGAGATTTCATTTTGTGTGGTTTGGAAATTTTGTGAGAGGAAGACTCTAAAGTTGCACTACTGCAACCAGATTTGAGCTCCCTGTATTGAGTGGGTAAAGTGGTGTAATGAGAGTGTTGGATACTTTCTGGATAGGTGGATGAAATTGAGGGCAATATAATTGGTGAATGTTCTTCATGTTCTTCTCTAGGAATATAATGTGCTGGTGGTGGATTGAGCGCTGAGGAATATGAATGTTGTTGAGGGCAAGAGTTTAAGGAAGAATCTATATTGGATGGAGAAGCTCTCATTTTGGTTGAGGAAGCGAACGTTGCTGCAAACATGTTATTCAGAGGGTTTTCAAAGAACATGCCAGAGGGTGGAGTGTTAACAAATTTAGGAAGGGAATATTTGGGGTTTTCCATGATTTGTGGTGCTTGGTTGGTCATGGTTCCTTGATTCGAGAAGGAAGACATGCGTGTAGATTCTGTAACTTGATCGTTTGAGTAGAAGGAATGGCTTGTTGATGAAGGAATGTTACGATGCGAATGATATTGAGGTTGATGATAAGATGGGTGTTGCTCACAAGGTGGATATGACCCTCTAGAAAACCTTACATTGTAGTTCATGCCTTCACCTCCATCATAACTATTATTGGTAAATGAAGTTGCATCATGTTTGTTCATTTCATGCGAAAGCATGGCAGAAGGAGATGTCAAAGTCGAATTGTTGACAAGACCACCACCCTGCATGCTCATTAATGAAGGATCTTGTTGCGATTGAATACGGTCAGAATACGAATAATAATTATTACTTGTGGAATGGTGAGATTCGTTTCGATGTAATTGCATGTTGGGCATAGGTTGTTGTTGTGCTGCCTGGTACGAGGAAGGAGGTGGTGTTTGCGAGGGCGATGTAGTTTTACTATTACTTCCTTTTTTACCTGATGATGAAACTGTTGTTGAAGTAGTAGCCGAGGATGATGTATTTACATTGTTCAAAGCTTGTGATGCTGCTGTTGTGGGCCATTTATCCATTTTCAACGAATCTCTCATCTCGTAGAACCTTCGTTTCAACGTTGATAAGCTCACCCCGAGGAAGCTTGCAGCTTGCCGTTGTGTCAAATGAAAAACTTTTCGAATTTGTTCTTCATCAATGCGAACAAAATTACTTCGGTGGTCATCATTGGCTCTCAGCATTGGATCCTCCAACATGTGGAATTTGATATTAGTCGTTGTTGTTGAAGATGATGATGATTTGGGTATTGTTGTTGTTGGTACATGTGCGTGGTGATTGGAAGTTGTATTGGTAGCAGCAGCATGTATGGACGTTACTTCGGATGCAAGCTTTTGAGGAGAATTTGAGCTAGTTTCGTTATTATTATTATTATTGTTATCAATAGGAGGAGGAGTTGTTGTTCTTGTTGATGTAATATTATTGTTCATCGTCTTGGAGCGAGAAAGTCTCTTTTTTGCAACGTTGTGGCTCGAATCTTGTTGTTGCGTAGTTTTGGTAGTTTGTTTCGGTACAATTTCTGCTTGATCTGGTGGACGGGGCTAAATGAGTCAAGGAGGTATCACCATGCAAAATTGGTGCGCTCAGAACAACCTTGTAGAATGAGGAGGAACAGGGGGTTGACGAGCTTGAATCTGTTGTTGTAGCAGTAGTAGTGGTAGTATTAGGTTGATGCGAACCTCCATATTGATGAAACTTTACATGGAAAGAGTGATTACCACTCTTGGAAATACTGGAAGAGGATGAAGTAGGGTTGTGTTCTGCTGATGCATGTGCAGAATGATCTAGTTGTTGCTGTTGATAACGAGGAGGTTGATCAACAGATGGTGCATAACACATGATCGATCTTCGAGCACCATTGGTTGTACCGTTTGAATTCGGCATTCTACCATTCCATGAGTTGGTCTGTGTCATTGATGAGTCGCTGTTGCTTAAAGAGTTCCCAAAGCGATGTATGTGCTGTTCTTGCGCGCTTAAATACCTCGTCCCGCTTGGATGAGGAACTTCTAGATGATCCGAATAATGATGATAATACTTATGTAGGTCGTTTCCTTCTTCTTCTTCTCTCTGTTGTCGTGTAGCATGTAAATCTGAACAGAGAGCAACTCGAATGGGGAGCGATCGTTACAGTAGTTGTGGTCGTGTGTGGGATGTTTTGTTTGAGGGTGGTTGTTGTTATTGTTGCTGCCATACAAGTCGCTCGATTCTACCTTATCCATGATCGTCGATACAGCGGGTGAATTTTCTACGAGAGCTTGTTCTTTCGTAACATTTACTGGAAAAGGTACGGTGTGATGACGGCTACTTTTGGAAGCGAACCTCCCGTGATCGGTTATTGGAACAACACCCACATGCTGTCCAAGATGTGCATCTGATGGCTCATTGTATACAGGTGCGTTCATCATCTTCCTCTCTTCCATAATGTTGTAATGACCACCACCACCATGTGTAGTTTCCAAGGAAGAGGTCTTACGATCAGCATGTCGATGCTGCAACATTGTCTGCATTTGAATTTCAGATGTATGATCGTACATTATGGAACGAGCTCGTTCCTCATGAGAAAACGGTGAAACAGTAATAAGGTCATCCTTAGCAAGGTCATTGGAGACATAAATGGGTGATGAAACGTGCGGATGTTCTTTCGTAACATTAGTACTTGATGGTCTTCACGTTCGCACGCTGTTGTTGCATTTGGGACATGGATCGAGTTCATACATGCATGAGGGGATATCTGTTCATCATGTATTACATGGTTGTTGAGTGGTGGAAGAAGGTGTAAATCATTGTTTCCAATACAACCATGATTGGTATTGTTGAAAGAAACCTTGTATTGCAATTCGTGCGAAGTATGAGAATTACCTGGAAAGGTACATGTTGCCAAGTGTCGATTCGAAACTGGTTTTCGAGTCAAGTCATCTGTTGAATTTAAAGACATGATGATGATACTATTCATGTTTGAGCTTTCAACTATACATGTACCACATGTAACATAGAGTTGGGAAAAGAGAATAGCCGAGGGAAGTGTCCTGTACAAGCTCGTGCTGTTCGTGTGTTCTGAAAAGAAAAAACTTCTTCTTCGAACGAGTGGGAATATTTGTCAATAAAGTGGTGTCTATCTACACGAACGATGATTCAGGTCTCCTTGTTGTTGCACGCTCGAGTAACTCCAAGGTTGGGGTTGAAGGCAACAAGTTGTGAATGGAAGGAGTGAGCTTGTTGTCGTTTAGCAACTTTTTTAAAGTATATGGACGAAGAGAAAGATTAGCCGCCGAGAGTGTTTCACAACATGTCAAATACAACCCACCCTACACCCGCCTCTTCGCATGTTTCTGAACACCGAAAGTGTTCAGAGTGACCTATCATGGCAACCATTTGCATTAGGAGGGTGGGATACGAAACAAAATCGTGTACAGCTTGTTGCACGCAGTCTCGAACACCAAAGGTCTCCAAAAGACCACGCAAAGCCTCCCGTTTTGTTAATCCGATTTGGTCATGATGAAATTCATGGCATCGCACGTTGAAGGTCTCTAAATCAATTACTCCATCACCAATTTAAATAATAATTAAAATAAATTAAATTTATTGATTGTTGCAAGGATTTTTTAACGTTTTAAATTTATCAGCAAAAACTGCAAATCCTTTTCCCGCATTATTTATAAACGAATAAACACAATCTAAACTTTCACGCAGTGCTTGAATTTGCTGTTTCATCTCTGCATTTTCTTTTCGCAACCTCTCAAGCTCATATGCAATCACATCGTTGTTCAAGTTCGGTATCGGAGGAGGAGACGATGGTTGTTGTTCAAACATCTCTTCAATTTCCGCAAAATCATCAGTAATATCTACAGTGCTTGATGATGATTGGGATCTAATGTTGTTAATTGAAAGACAATGAAGACATCAACATACTTACACTGCAAAACTTTGGACATCATCGCAAGATATTTCGCTAATTTTTCGTTTGGGAGGTTGATTGTTGCATTTGGGTTGAATGTGATCTTTGATTTGTCCTACAATCGCGGAAAGGAATTGGGGACCGTTTAGACCGGTAGTTTCTTGTGCTGCTTTGGCTACGTGTGTCCATTTTGAATTGGAAGATGGTTTCAAGGATGCATCATTTTTGAACTGCGTCTTCTCTTGTTTTTTCTTTCATTCTCTTCTCGCTGAGCTGTTGCTGCTTCCTTTTTGCGTTTTTTTTTGACTGAACAGTCCTCTTTAGTACAACTTCCATCGCAGGGCGGGTTTGTACACTTTGCTCGGTTGTGGCCTTTCTGATGGCATCCGCTGCAATAGCAAGAATAGGAATTGTTAGTTGTGTTAGGTGTAGAGGGAGTAAAATTATAAACAAACGTAGATTGTTGAGAATTTGAAAAAGGTGGTACTTGAGAATTGTTCATTGGTGTATTACTGGTGTTGCTTTGCGTAAATGTTGTTGATTGTTTTTGAGGTGTGTTTGTTGGATATATAATTTGATTGTCAATGGCTGGATAAACATTCAAACCACCAAAGTCAGTAACAAATGCTACTTGTGATTGAGTGGCCATTTTTTTTTAGATTTTATTAAATTTTGATTTTTAGTTTAACGGTTGTTTATGGCGCCACTTTGTGAAAAATTCACATGACAACACACGAAAGTAGAAGCAAACCAAGGAAGCGAGTTGTGGTTGGTTACTACCACAGCAAGAAGGTAATGGTGGCAGGCCTGAAAATATTCTCTTTCAGACAGGTTGCAAAAGCTTGGGGATGCTCACCAAGCACTGTGTTTTATTGGAAAAACAGAATTGAAGAAAACGTGCAAGCTAATGTTGGTGGTGTTCGTCAATTCAAGTATGATTTAAAGGACGTGGTAAAGGCAGTACTTATTGTGAACAAAGTGTCAATGGTAAAACCATTGTCTACACTGGATGAATATGTAAATGAATTACAAAAACATGGTTACGATTACAGCACCACATGGGTGAGTCGAGTGTTGAAGCAACTAGGTAATTCTTTCAAGAATGCTTGTTATAAGAGCAGATTGAAATATACACCAGAAAACATCACAAAGTACATCCATTACGTTTGTGGTATGGCAGAGCTTCTTGAAAAAGTGCCGGTGTATCGTCTGAAATTCCTTGATGAAAGTAGTTTCGTGAGCAGAAATTTGTATCGGAAAAGAGGAGTTGCTCCTATTGGTTGTAGATTGATAGTTGTGAACAACACAAAGCCATTAGATTATTCGTGTAGTCGTTGCTTGTTTTGTTGTAGTTTTCTTGCCATGTCTCGTTTTGTGATGGTCTCTTCTCTCTTGTTTTGTAATTCTCTGCTTCACATCTCACGTTTTGTCAGTAAAATGGCCCGCGCTTCTTGTTTTGTGATGGTCTCTTCTCTGCACATGCTTGTTTTGTGAGTTTCACAGGTCACACGTTCTGTTTTTGTGCTCGTAATGTTGGCGCTGTCAACATTTATATTTCTTACATGCTCGTCATTACTTTTTCTGTGCACGTCAAACGAAAAATTTCCTTTGCTAGAGGCTTGTGTGGTCTTTTGGAGACCTTTGGTGTTCGAGACTGCGTGCAACAAGCTGTAATTGGAAAATGACAAGGCCAAAATGAAACAGACATTTTGTAAAGATGATGCGAACTGGCTTTCGTTATCTCCCAACATTTGTAGAGTGTTGATTGTAATGATCCAAGATGCTCTGATGTGAACTGAACCAAGCCATTCGTAATCATGAATTGTCGCTCTCTCGTTCAGATTGAGTTGAAATTTGAAAGCTCAAACAGGCACCGCTGAGTTTGTACTCACGCATCGTGAAACCATAGTAGAAAAACTGAACACTCAAAAGGAAAGATATCCGTGGTATAATAGCAATGTAAAAGTTTCTAAAAGAGCCAAAAGCGAAAAGTGAATCACATTGCCAAAGCAACAACACTATTCACACACACATGACTGCTGCTTACTTCTCTCAAACTGACGTGCCAGCCAGTGTTGAAGAGCTTCTGTTATCATTAGTCAGTCTTATTTCATGGATGGATGGTGCAATATCGTCTTGAACCATGCAAGAACGAGATTCTCAAGCCATTCACCATGAATGTTTTCGTTGCTTTTTAGAGTAAGAGAGAATATTGTTATCCAATAAAACTAGCTTGGCAGTTGCATGTCTTGTTTTGTGAAAAAATCTTTGCATCTTGGAACTACATTGTTACGCATCACACGATTTACAGGAAATGCAGTGTTACAGTGGAATGTTCATGCTGGCTTAATTGGTGTTGATCTGATACAATCACACGTACCCTCATTTTCCAACCAATGTCGAAAGCTCCTCGCTTAAACTTGATGATCTTTTGAAACAACTGAAGAGAGTGCAACAATTCATTTCTGTCGGTGAGGTAGGAATGCAAGCTTTGGGTTTTTTGCACGGTTAGGCCTGCTCTTTCAATCCTGTACCAACTGAATTGTGTTGAAATAAATTCGTGTTTCACAACCTGTTCAAACAAAGACATGAAATAAAAGCAATTGGGTAGCTAAAGATTTTTTGAAAACATTATCGAATGATTGCTGATTCAATGTTTCTGTGTCGAGATGAAAGGCTCGACTTTCTTTTGTAATCAGCCTTTCGCATTGCTCAATGCAGTACACATCAACGATCATGTGAATAAATTTGAAAAGTTACAAGATAGCCATTAGAGGAGGACACTACCGTGCTAGCTGTTTTGCAACAACTTTGTGAGCCCTCCACCAGCACTGCAAGCATGCCTTTTCCCAAAAGGTTCGATTCAACCTAGCAGCTGCAACTGAATCTGTCTTTGAATTCAAAACCAGCCGTGGACACAAAAACAGCCGGTAGCACACAAACGAGCATCTCTCAAAATGGATCTCGAGTAGTCTGATTGGTGGGCCAATCATATCCCATACGAAGTGGTTGTTTCGGTGTTTGGAATTTCTGCACCAAACAAATCGCACACTTGAAATTGAACGCCGAGAGCCTAACGGCAAGATCATTTGCTCGTTATGGAACCGCGTTGTAGCTCAGATCGGGAATGAATAGTACCAGAACTACAAGTTGTTGTTAGAAAAACAAACCCAATATGCATTGTCAAAAAATCATCAACATCCTCCTGCTGCAACAAACCTCCAAAAAATAAGAGAGTTTTTTCTCCTCACGACCAGCAGCCAACACACATCAAGAGAGGAAGAAAAGAATTTTTGTTGTTGTTTTGAAGAGTACTCTTTTTAAATCCTCTCTCATTCAGCTCGTTTCCGCACAAATAATTGTAGCCAGGAAGACGACAACTCTCACCGGGATTATTATTCGGTTAGAATCAACAACAATATATTTTTAAAACTTCCTTCATCATCATCGATTTTGAAACGGTGCGATTGGTGTGCCATCATCAAAGAACACCGTTATTACCGTGATTAGTTGTCATCATAATTACTGTTGTGCTGACAGCACTACCATCACGCTGAGGAGAGGTTGCCAACAACCGCGCATTGATCTTGAAGAGGTATTTTGTTTGTAGAGAGCGATTGGGTTCTTTCTGGAAACGATTCAATTGATTGGCTATCCTGTTTTGAGTCGAATTTCATTTGAATCCACGACCCATTCCTATCCTAGAGTATCATTTGTATCACCTAAGAGTGCACAGCACTGATTCTATGACATTGAGTAGTGCCATTAATCATCATCAGTTATTATTCACACTACTAATACCATCTCTTAGTCATCTTCTTCATTATCTTCGTAACACTTTCATCACATCATCAAAAACAACAATTATTTATCAACACCGCCACCAAACCAACAATCAAAATGAATCCAAACAATCTTACAAATTTACAGATACATCAACTCCTCCAACAGCAACAAAACAATATGACAAATATGAATAACTCGTTCTTGCTCTCCGGAAACAATGGAGGAATGATGGTTCCTAATAACGTATCCATGGGAGGATTCACACCTGGACAAGTCGGGATGACGAATTTTGCCAACAATCAGAACATGATGTCACCAGCACTGCCCAACGTAGGAAATATGAATAATGCAGGAAATATGGTTCTCAATCGAGCCAGCACGCCTACTTCAACGTCAACAACTACCACTACAACAAGTGTCATGCAAAATCCAACACAACCCACAAACGTCAACATGGGAATTCAAGGAAATGGAATACTACCTTTACTGCTCATGCAGAACCCTGGTCTAGTACAATTGTTGAACCTTCTAAACCAAAACGGCATTCAGCCAACCCCACAATTATTACAAACAATTCTGACGCAACCTAATTTAAACCTTGGGATGCTTCAAGCAAGTTTAAACCCATCCATGATGGCAGCAAATAATGGAGGAATGTTGGCCAATGCGCCTATGAACAATGTGAACACTATTCAACAACCTCAGCCTAATGTTCAACCTGCTATCAACAATGTAACCATGCAAGGAATGAATAACCTTACTGCTAAAACAATGCTGCCCAATACAGTACCACCTCATGTAACCATCCAAAACCAACCCGGATCAACCATTCACAGATCTACTCCAACGTCATCCATCACTGGTGCCTCCACTCCTCCACCAAATCTTTTGCTTCATAATGGAACTCCTGTTATTTCGAACATTCCTTCTTCCACACCCAATATTAACAACCAAAATATTTCCTCGACCGTTACTTCTAATATACCGTCATCAAACACGATGTTAACAAACAATGTAAATAACTTAATACGATCTACTTCCATTAAGACTGAGCAACCCGTAACTAAGATTGAAGGGCTACCAAACACTCAAACAGGGAATTCATTTGTACTTTTGAATAACATGATTCAAAATAATCCTACAACAATTGGAAAAAACACCACGAATATTGGCGATGCTGCCTCGATGATGATTAATTCATCGTCACAAATCAAAGATAAGAGAAAGCTTGCACTCGAACCAGATTATAGAACTCCGTTTCGTTCACTGGAAGACTGTACCACTAGACTGGAACCTTTTAAAGAAGTCTTTCATTACTCTATAAAGAAAGATCCTAGTTGGGAAGATAAAATCAAGTCTGTGGCTGAAAGGTTTTCGAAATCTGCCAACATTGCTGACAAGCATGTTCATGAAATCTCTAAACGAGAAATCGAGAGAGCTTATGGTCCAGAAGAGGACATTTTCTTTTTGAGGAAGATTAAAGAACTTGAAGAAAAACTTTGGGAAAGTGAAAAAGAAGAAATTATAAGGAAAAGAGAAGAAGAAAAAAAGAAATCATCCACATCAACAAATGGAGTTGCAAATACTGTGGTCATGTCATCGGGCGATGCTGAAGACGCCAACTTGGATAATTTATTCCCTGAGTTAAATACTGCAAATGCAAATAATATGGTACAACTAAATCAATCCCAACCAATGAATGGCGTTGCTTACAATACCAACAATCAAATGAGCGATGATTTGGACTTTGACAAGATTTTCTCTGATGAAGATAATTCTGGAACGACACTTATTGATTCCATGTATACAGGACAGAACTCGGCTCAGAGCCCATACAACAATGGTCAATCTTTTTCCATGACGAACCAAGGAGGTTTTGACGATAATGAATTTTTCAACTGACATTAATAATTAAATCGCCTCAATTCCCTTCCATTACCTCACATGCAAGTTCTGTAACTCCACCAAATCATGACTTGGCTTATCAACAAGGTGTCAATAATTAATTATTTTGTTACTTAGTCTAATTAATTGACAACCTCGAAACACAAACACCAAGATTCAACAAAAAAATGAAACGACAACTAGCACAAAAGGCTGCTGCCAGCACTTTAAAGAAAAAGCTCAAACAAGGATCATCTGCATCGTCATCATCTTCGGAACAACAATCATCTGTTGTTAGTGGAGCAGAAAAGAAGATGGTGGAAATTTCTTGGTTTGATGTGCCATTGATCAATGAAGTAGAACTCGCCGAAGATGAATCGGAAACAATGCCATTCATGCTTCCAAAGGTGGTCATTCAAACAGAGAAACTACCATTAAATTCAATTCCAAAAGATGGACTTGAAATTCTTAAAAAACCAAAATCAAAACATTCCAAAGGTATGCTCTTTTTCTCTAATGAACGTTATTGACCTTTCAAATTATTTAATATTTTTCAATCTTTTCGTAATCTAATATTTAAAACAATTCAATCTTATCGCAATAATCGAAAATATCAGAACAAGGAAAGCAAATGGTAGATTGGATATTTGCTCCCATCAATGCAGAGCAGCTTTATGAAGAATATTTTGAAAAGAGAGTCTTGGTCATTAAGAGAAATCATTTGTATGCTGATTATTATCGCTCGCTCTACAGCTTGGATGAAATTAAGCAAGTCCTTGCGAATAACAAGTTGAAATATTCGTATGATTTGGACTTGGCCCTCTATCGAAATGGCCGACGTTTCACCTTAAATCCCAATAAGGATGAGATTGCTGATCCTGATCTTGTTTGGGATTTATATGAGAATATGAAGTGTTCTGTAAGAATGTTAAGACCACAAGAGCAATCGGACGTATTGTTAAGTTTACTATGCCATTTTGAAGAATATTTTGGTCAAGGAGCAGGTCTAAATGCGTATTTAACTCCAGCTGGTAGTCAAGGATTTGCTCCACACTATGATGACGTAAGTATGAGTGAAAAATGTATGAATTTAACTATCTTGTCATTTTACCAAATCCCAAAAGATTGAAGCAATATTAATTCAGTTGGAGGGAGTCAAGCACTGGAAGATTTATAGACCTCTCAATAATGAACAGTTTTTATCAAGATTTAGCTCTAAAAATTTTACTCAAGAAGAAGTGAAAGATTTTGAATGTTTTGAAGTTGTGTTAAAACCTGGTGATTTGTTATATATTCCAAAAGGCATTATCCATCAAGCTGTAACTTCTGAAACAGAACACTCTCTTCATGTGACCATTTCTACTTCTCATTTGATGAGTTGGTGTGATTACTTTGAAAAAGCGCTTCCCATGGCCCTTAGTGTCGCCACCGCGAACCATGTGGAATTCAGAAAGGCGTTACCCAAAGATTTCAAAGAGTACATGGGAACAAATATTGCAGAATCTGATGATCCTAGAAGAGACGGGTTTATCGAGACTTGTAGTAATTTAACAAATATCATTTCTCAATATTTACCAATTGATCAAGCTGCAGACGAGATGGTAAAGAAGTTCATGCATGACCGACACGTTGTCGATGGCTTGACAATACTAAACACCAAGAAGAATGCAATGTTGGATGAAAACACTGACATACTCTCTCTTTCTATCAAACTCAAGACAGCCAATTGCGCTCACATTGTTATCGATGATTTATCTAAAACTGAACAAGGAAAAGAAACTGAAAGCAAGGAGGAGGAGCAAGAGTCAGAACAAGACGCCAATGATGATGACGACGATGTATTTTCCATCATTTATGCCACTCAAAATACTCGTATTTATCATGAAGTAGAGCTACAACATTTAGATTTGGATGGTATCTTTTTAGAAGCAATGCAACTCATCTTTTCGAGCTATCCTTCAAGCGTTCCCGTGTCCGAATTACCAAACCTTACGGATGACGAAAAAGTTACATTAGTCCAACAATTGCTTAATGAGGGCATTGTTGAAACAGAAATGACATCACCATAATAAGCGTTATTTTCCCACTAACAACGTTTGAGGTTTCCAAAAACGTCGATCGTGAAAGTGGTAAAATTTCACCGAAAAAAATTGCTTTAAATTCTATCATCACGAGAACATCTCGTACTGCATTGTATGATCTGCTTCATAGTAAAGGAGAGTATTGCTGAAGAACCGGACTTCTCAAAAGCCAATATTTATTCTGTACATTTCATTCCGTAGTTTGTTTCCAAATTGCTTGATTAAGGTTGTTTCAGATTATCGTAGTTTGGTCGATTCACACACTTGTTTCCTCCCTTGATCCATGAACTGGATTTCATCTACAGTTCGACATTTTTACCTATCCTTTCTTGTTGTTGCATCCGCTGTGCTAACACTGGTTTTGCAATCATTATTTTTACCTCCCTTGTCACATAGCTCCTTTGGACCCAAACCACAATGTCAATTCTCGTTCAGCAGTGTTGGTGATGTGGAAGAGCTCACACCGTTAGAAGAAGACAGAACACCAGCTTATTTTCCTCATACAGAAAACCTCAATGAGTTTAAATTTCCACGAGAACAATAAGACGCAATTTATGTACATACACATGTTTCAATAATATACTACCAGAACCCTATTATGATTATTCTTGCTTTTTCGTCTTCTTCAACAGAGCTGAGACTTCTTTCTCTTTCATGGTGTCAATTCTTGGCACTCCCATCATGGCACTACTACAACTCACTCCCAAATCATCAATTTCTACAGCCTTAGTGGCTTTCTTCTTCTTAATGACAAAGTTTCTAATCTTTCGTTCTTCTTGTTCATTTCTCCATTCAATGACCTTTTCAAGTTTTGTGGAGGTACTGTGTGACTTGAATTCATCAATATATTTCACAGGAACGAGGCCAACTTCATTCCACTCTTCATAGAGATTGATCAAATTTCTAAATAAACTTTCTTCTTCATCATTTTCATAGGACTTGTTGGAATCTCCAAAAACTGTGGAAAGAGACTTTCTGCTTTTGGCTGAAATTTCTCGTTCCTTATCCAAATTAGTGGAGGAGGTGGACTTTTTCCGTTCATTGCTTGATTCGAACAGTGACAATAAATCCATTTTCGAAAGCAAGTCATCACCTCGAGAATTATTTCCCATGATGTGAGCAGTGCTATTTCTAACATTGGTGGGTTGATTTTGATTTCCTCCATTCGAGTAATATTCCAACAATTCATTCAATAAATCTCTAATTTGTACAAAATGATGTTTCACTCGTCTCAATTGTTTCACAGCAGGTGGATCTCCAGCATTGATACCTTCTCTATTCTTTTGAATATTCATCAAGTTTTTCAACGTTTCAAAATCACGTGGAATGTAACTTTCAAGAATTTTCTGTCTTCGATCGGGATCACTATTCAATCCAGCTTTCTTTGCCAATACAAAATCATTATTTGGTTTTTCAAAAATGATGAGAACATCTCCACGATGGAACGACATGACACCTTTAGAATCTACTTGTCCAACTCCAACATGGTTAAAAAAGCGATGAGGTCTGTAAGTGTTAATTGCTTGTGCGAGATAGAATCTTTCAGTAATATCACGTTCTTTCACTTGATTGAGATGAGCACTATCAGGAATGTCCTTTTCTGAAACATTTGGAATGGCCTCAGGGTTGATTTCATAAGGATCCATTTCAATATTTTCGAATTGAGTTGAAAGTGTTTTTTCTTCTTTCAAATGTTTCTTACTTTTGAAAAATCTAAAAATTCCCTTTTTCTTTTCTTCAGAGCTGGCACTACTCGTCGTCGTTGGAGAGGGTGTGGTTGGTGAAGGTGTTGTTTGATGATCCATTCGAGTCGTTGATGAAGCGCGTTTCTTTTTCTTGTCTGTTTCAATACTGGATACTTTTTGTGACAAGTATGCTAAATTGGTGTAAAATGGATATGGAATTAAACCACTGTTGTGAACAATGGAATATTCGAGAGAGGTTGCATTCTTGGCATATTCATGAATATTGTCGGTAATTTGACAAATGTACTTGACTTTGGTGTCAAAATCTGGAAAGTCAAAAACATAAACATCGTCATGAGCAATGATTTGAAATGCATTTTGAAGTCCAATAATTTCAAAACCTTCACTCATGGCCAATGAATCAGTACTGGTACTGTCATTGTTTGCAAATGATGATGATGATCATTGTATTCATTTTTCACATTTCACAACATCATTATAGGATCAAAGGTCATAAATATACATTTCACAACATTAAATATTCACACACATTAAATATTCACACCACACACTCGTTTCACTTACCTTGCTCTCCGTTCTCGATCGTTGGATGGAACTGAAAGCGATGATGATGCATGACTTGAAGTGATAATTCCACCGACTGATCCAACCGATGTAGTAGACATGGATGGTAAGCTTGCAGATGCAGGACTCGATGGAGTTGAAAGTGTATTTCTAATTTTTGCTAAATTTGGATCTACACCCCAAGAACCCAAACCTAAAGAAAGTTCTGGAATGTACTTGTCAGCAATGTCACGAATCCATGGATAAGGAGGAGAATCGAGATGAATTCTACATAGATATTTTTCAACAGGAGGTTCCTTTGACTCTTCTTCTTTCTTTTTCTTTTCATCTTTTGGATCCATTCTGTGTGACATGAGATGAAATATATATTATTCAATTTTCAAAAATCATTGGTAAAATGTGTAAAACTAGTTGGAAAATAAACTTACAGAGGTTGTGGAGGAGGTGGTAAACTCACAAGGATTAAATCGTTGAACAAATAAAAATTCACTTTCTGCATCTTTAAGTGTTTGGAATAGGAAAAGAATTTTACATTCTTTAAAACTTCCATTTGATATCTTCGTGTTTGCTTTTCTGACATTTCCTTTTCTTCCATTCCATCTTTAATCATATCTTCTTCAAAAAGAGAAAAGAGTGACACAAGTCTTTCTTCAGATTCAAATGCTCTAATCTTTTCATTGACATAATCAGCAATGTCAGAAACTGCTTTAAGAGCTTCAGTTAAAGAAGTAAAATCTTTGTGATATTGCGATGTTTTGGATAAAAGTTCTGAAAGTAACATTTTGTAACGAGGAATTCTTTGTACTATTGGATGTTCAATGTGTGGTGTGAAATTTTAATCATCATCAACGTTGTGATCATAACGGATACAAACCTGGAAGGATGAGAAATGAATTCAAAGCTCGATTATTCACTCCATGAAGTCCACTCTTTTGTTGTGCCAATAAGAATTTATCCAACTCTGGATGTTCCTTTCTATTGGTTTCAACATTAACCATTGGTTGTATGTATTGGTTGTACGATTTGAAAATGATGATGATTCACATTTCAACAATTGTTGACCATTCTTGTCTGCCTGTGATCAGAATGATGACAATTACTTACTTGACATTTCGAAGTATGGTGGCAATGTTATTGTATTGATTACAATAAGTCGTGTAGCTCTTTAGAAAAGGAGCATACTTGAGAAATATTTCTCCGATTGTCTTTTCTGGTTTCTTTCCCATTTCCTTTTCTTCTTCCATTAATTTCTTCAAATCTGCTAAAAGTCTTCCATTGGTATTACCTAATTTGTTTGTATGATTGGTGTTAAATGTCATCATCATGGCAGATCACAACAAGTGTTAATATATATATATAAATATATAACATAAGTGTTAACATATATATATAAATATAACAATTAAAAAATAACATTGTCGTGACGACGTCATGAACAACAATTTTATAGAATCATCCAAGTCGTTTTCAATTCCAAACGATTTCAATCAAATTCACGTATGATAATACTTACGAATAGGACCTAAATCATTAAACACTTTAATATGCATGGATTTTGTAAATCCTAATTCTTCTCCTTTTTCTAATAAAGGTTTTTCATAGACTTGAAGCAACGTGTCCAAGTTGTTGACATATTCTTCTTCTGTTTCAATAACTTCTTCGAGAATTTTTTGTCTCTTTCTTCCTTGTGCACTCATGATGTTGAAATTGTTGAAATGGTTGTGTTACAAGATTCGGAAGATCACGACGTTGGTTGTGATATAAAAGGAAATTTGATGAAGAAGAAGAGACTTTGTGGCACAACTGGTGTGGTTGTTGTCAGGGATGTGGTTGTTGCAACGATAGAAGTTGTACCTCGTATCGGCAATGAACGCAATTTTTTTGATGTTTGACGGCGACAACGTTCCTTCAGATGTCAATGAGTTCTTGTCAACAAGAGCAGTCTTGGAAAGAGTTATCGCAATTTGGCATTTCCATTCTCTTTCAAAAAGATCTTGGACAACTCAGGTATTAAACAAGATCAAATTTTTGTCTTTTAACAACTTCGAACAAACTTGTCATTGAAAACAATAATTATTAAAATGCACACACCCAATGGATTGAAGAATACATTGCATGGTATCCTCATGAATATATGTTTAAAATTGCACAATACTACAATCTACAGATGTTTTGACAGCAACCACTTTAGGTCTACCTGAAAAATTCAATGGATTGCCATCATAGAGTACAAAATTGGCTGGAGTATTCTTGATAATTCTTCCCAATCCAGTATTACCTAAATGGAACATGTCAGCAACATTGCTTGTCATTGCAGCAAGAGCTTGATCAAAATCAATAGGACTTTCCTTTCCTCCTTCTTTTGAAATAAGGCCAGAAATGAATCTAAGGTTTCGAACATCGTGAGCACTGTTACCCATTCCGACTGCTAATTTCACACCAGCAGAAAATAACTCTGAAGCTCCAAACAAGTGCTTGGATCGTTTTGTTTCCCAATTGATTTTGTCTCCTAAATCTTCAGACACTGGTGTTAAAATTACAGAAATATTATGGTCTCGCAAACGATCAGCAATTAGATATGCTTCTGCTCCTCCAATGATGATTAACTCAAATCCAAACTCTTTCTTGAGTTCAATCAATTGTCCAATGTCATCGGCTTGATTCACAATGGCAGCAACAGGAATTTCTCTGTGTAATACTTTCTGGATGACCTCTGAGTTTGAAGTGTTAAATGTTTCTCTCAAGTATGAAATTTGGGATGAAACAGATTCTGAAATACCACCCTCTTTAGAATAAACACCAACCGTCAAGAATAAAGCAGTGGAAGGTGAAATTAAAGACTCGCTCACCAATAATCCTTCCAATGTAAATGTGCTACAAACTCCATTAATGAGTTGTTTTCCTTGTCTATGGGTGACAGAGGTAGTGACTATTTTGTATCATTTGGAATTCACATTTGAAACAACAACTTTTGATTGAAACTGTTGCAATTATTACATACCACCTGATTTCCATGCAGCTCTAATATTTCTTGATCTCATTCTCACGCCATATGAACTCTGTACGGCATACAAAGACTCTGAATTCATTCCATAATTTGTTCCGTCTTGCATATTTGGTTCAGATTCAATATCATACAGACCCAACGAAGTAGATGCCTCAATCAGGCCAGGTACAACAATACCATCCTCAATGGTGTATGTCACATGTCCGGTGGTAGTAGGAATTGGACAGTCTTCATTCGATCCTACACAAGAAATAATTCCGTTACCATCCACGACCAGATTACCATTTTCAAACACTTGATTGTTATTCATTGTGTAAATCTTGGCTCCCTTAATACTATATCCTGATTTGTGTTGCAATCCAAATGATTCAGGATCATAGGAACAAAACGATTGCTCTGATTTTGTTTGTCCATCAACAAGAATGGACAATTGTTCATCTGACTTGGGAACATGATCATCTAAACTGTGAATTGGAAGATTAAAGTCTTCATACTTATTACCGTCAATGAAAACAGTGTTTGGCCGTGCTCCTAATAAGAGAGGGAATCGGTCCCATACGACAATATCCGCATCATAACCCTCTTCAACTCTTCCAACACGATTTCCAACAGCCATTGCTTCTGCAGGAACGGAAGTGACAGAATTCAAGGCACTTTGCTCATCCAATCCGTAGAAATGAGATTTGGCAGCATTGAGTAGTAAATATTTAGCTGAAATGACTGGGTGATCAGATTTCAATGCGACTCTGACATTTCTATTTCTTAAAATGGTTGGAGCATGAACACTGGCTTCCATTGCTTCAACTTTGAATCCAAATAAATCTGCAAATGTAGCTACAGCGATTTGATTTCTTTCTAAAATGTCAGCAATCTAATTTGACAGTGTTATAAGGAATTTCTTGTCGTGAGAACCATGGTACAACATACCTTGTAAGCTTCAAGAGCATGATGGAATGCATTGATTTTAAATGAAAACTCCTTAGACAAGCGAATCATCATTTCAAGATCTTGTACCTCATAGCAATGCACATTCAATGTCATGTTACTTCCTCGCAGTAAGCTCACAATGGAATCCAGTGTGAGATCATGTGGCCGAGAAGGGGTAGCCTTACGAACACTCTCATTACAATCCCAGTTGTCTTGTTCAAGTTGCAACTTTCTTGCTTCTGTGAAAAGGGAACGCATCTTTTTAGAATTAGTCATGATAAATTGTAGTTCATATTGAAAGCCATCGTATACATACCAAATAGGCCGATCCCATACGTGAGTAAGGAATGACGTGTCGATTTTCACCATAAACTCTGTGAAATTACCAAGTTGACCATCAGTATGAACCTTTGGTGAATATCACCACGATCATGTTTGCTTACCTTTTTGGATTTTCACCACATGCCATCTTTAAAGATCTTTTCAATCAAATAGTATCACGTGACGTGATATTTTCAACAACAAGAACATACCTTCCAGCACCTTCAAAGAGCAAAGATGAAACACTTTGATATTCCGGAGTTGCTCTAAGTTTGATGTATGCTCCCTCTCCTCCTACTACGTTTGCACTTCCTGGTAACACAAGAGCAGTAGTCACTCCACCATGTTTTCTTGACTCAATAATCGAAAGATCTTTTGGATTTAAAGCATCAACAGCTCGAACCATTGGAGTGACAGGAGTGTTTCCCATTTCATTACCATCAGCATGACCTCGAGAGTCTCCAGGATTTGAATAAACGCCTAAATGTGAGTGCATGTCCACAATACCAGCTGTGACAAATCGCCCACCAACATCAACAACACTTGCTTCACTTGGATTGTATAAATTATTCAAATCTGAAGATCCATATTGGCCAATCTTTTTGATTTTTCCATCTTCAAATAGCAAATCCACATGTGAAATTTTAACTCTTCCTTTTGCATCAATATTCGAAGTTGAAATAACTTTGGCGTTTTTCACAACCACATATTTGATCGTTTGCAAAGGTCTACTATCCGTATAATTACGATCTTCATTATATTCGATTTTAAAAGGAGGAATTGGCAAACAATTAGGTCCTCTTGGATCTACAATAATTTTTCCAGTATCGCTTCGATTGATAAATAGAAAAGATCCAACCAAACACAACACCACAATACCAATAAATACGACAATTAATACGAGAGCCAAAATGGCATTCTTTTTGTTGAGTTTAAATATTTGCTTCATTCTCCAGGTGAGTCGATTCCAAAAGGATATGGATTGGGGAGCTGATGAGTCATCATAGCCTTGTTCCGAATCGGCAAACGCTTGTGACTCATAGGGCCGAGAGTTGGACATTTTTTTGTAATGAAAGTGTTTGTTCGAGAATTTTTAAGATAATGTTATCCAATCTCCGAAACTCCTGCAAGAACACATTATTTGAGTCCTGAATGAATGTAGTGAGAATTTACCTCTATTATTGATTAATGAACAAAGGAAGAGTGGTAAAGATTCCAAAACAGGCGAACTTTACAAAAAAAAATGAAAAAGTTGGCAGTTTTGGTTTCTTTCGTGGAGAGTCGTGGGGACGGATTTCAACGAGCTTGTTGTTCCGATCCGAACCAAGTAGAGGAAGAGAGCTCAATAAAACGATCAGAATCTGTTCTTTTTAAAGTGCAATGGAAGAAAATGATGAATGTAACAATAGATGAGAGTGTTAGAAATGTTCGGAAGGAAATTGTTGGCAGTACCATGAAAACATCCAATCAAAATAAGAATGATGATGCCTTTATTTTGGGAATGAGAGATGTAGATGGAGAGTTTGTTTGGTTTGAAGATGAAGAAATGATTCTTGATGCTGATTTATTGTCGAATTTATGTAAACGTTCTTTGATTATTTCTCAAAAGATGCCACAAAAAACAAGGCCAACACTCTTTGCTTTTCCAAAATATAGCACAGAGAATGTATCAAAGTTGTTGAGTGTGAGTCATTTGGATCAATATTCTCTGGAAGAACAATTGGTAAGAACTGAGCTTGCAGCTTGCTATCGATTGTTCGATTTGTTTGGATGGACCGATACAATTTATGGCCATTTAACAGCAAGAGTCGTCAACGGAGATAAGGAACATTTTCTCATTAATCCTTTTGGGCTTCACTACAGTGAAATTACTGCATCCAGTCTTGTTAAGGTAGACATTAATGGAGAAATTGTGGACCCTGGATCCACTGGAGATTTGTTTGGAATTAATAGAGCTGGTTATGTGATACACTCGGCTGTACACGAAGCTAGAGATGACATCTCTTGCGTTATGCACATGCATTATGCTCCATGTGCTGGACTTTCTTGTATCGAGAATGGATTTTTAAAGACTCTTTCTCAAACGAGCTCAATTATTGGAGACGTAGCCTATCATAAATCAGAGGGCATTGCAGTAAATGCTGAGGAAAGAAAACGACTTCAGCAAGACTTGGGATCCAAGAAAAAGATCCTAGTGTTGGAAAATCATGGAGTGGTCACGTGTGGAGAAAGCGTTGGTGAAGCTTTTTTATCCATGTTTATATTGGCTGAGGCTTGTAAAATTCAAAGCGAGGCTGTGTGTATGAACAATGGAATGCCAAATGGAAAGATGATCCAAGTCGATGAATCTATTGCTGACAAATCGTTCGATATTGCACATGGATTTACAAAAGAAGGATTTGGAAGAAAGGAGTTGTGTACTTATATGAGATATTTGGATTACCTATTTGAATCGGGAAAGACATCATGTATTCCTCATTATCGTACATAGCTTTACTGAATTTACAAATCAAAATAAAAGGGTTGGTACATGTGAAAATTGGAAGCATTAACAAACAAAATATGATCACCCTTCTGAGTTATTTCTTCTTGATCACATGCTAACGTATCAGATGACTGAACAAAAGCCAACCTTTCCACTTCCTTCCTTGCAATAAATTCATATCCATTAATTTGGTGAATGTGACCAACTGTCCAATATCATGTGATCAGCAAAAGTGATATACCAACGTACACAAGCACTTACACAAATGCATTTTCAATTTAGGCAGAGTGGGCAATTTACAAAGTAATTTTTCACATCCTCTGTTAGAACCAAACTCATTCAAATCCAGAATAAATTTTGGAGGTGTGTGGGTGATGAGAATTTCCACATCACTAGGAATATTGTTCCACATGTCTTCGATATCCTTCTCGTTTTTGAAATAATACATGTTATCGTAGCTTTTCAAACTCTGAACTCGCTCTGGTTGATTCAGATATTTTCCAAATTTTTCACACAACCATGAAAACATGTTAGGACACCATGGAGATGCATACGCTTTTAATCCTCCAATTTCAAAACAATCATCTTGCAGAAATGTACAGTTGGTAAGAAACTTATTTTGAATTTCTTTGATCAAATAGATAGTCCACAAAATTCATTGCAAATAATATCGTAAACACAAACCATGTTTCGAATATTTAGAAATGTGTGTTTCATGATTCCTAACAAGTTCAAATAGAGTGTTGATTCAACCAAATGATTCTTGTTAAATGACCTTACCCACAAATCACTACAATATTAGAAAAATTGTGTTTAATCTCTCCAAGCCAATCATTAAATTCTTTCATCTGTTCCTCTGTTCCATCGGTCATATCTCCACAATGAATCAAGATCATTTCCTTATTTTCTTCCTTGTCTGGAAATTTTAAATGTCGATGGAAGCCATGGGTGTCTGAAATCACAACAATTCGGATACCTAATTTCAAATCGTGAATAATTTGTGATTGTTCTGACTCATGCTTTCGATGTATTTTAACGGGTTCTTTGGTTTGCAAATTTCGCAACCATTCTGGCTCAATATCTGATGAGTTGGCTTGCTGCATTTTTTTGTAATTGTTGGAACGAGATTCGAGTGCGATCAACCGCTTAAATTTTGATATTTGTTAATCGTTGAAAATTTGAAGTTATGCTCGAGTTCAAGCAACGTGTCACTCTTTTGTAAAGATTTCCATAACGCAATTTTAATTTCGACCATATTTTGTTAGAAAATGATTATTGCATCATTAAAAACTTTTCAAACATTTCCTTATTCATGGATGGTCTTCCCTTCCACAACTCCTTAATAACCCTGTATGATGGTTGTGGATTGTCAACAAAATCGAAATGGGCATACATTAATCTTTCTGCGTCTCTCAAATCCACAAATCCATACCAATCGATGAACCATGGTTGTTTTTGCATTTTCTTGTTTTGATAGATACACACAACGTTTCCTGCATACTTGTGACCTCCTAAATGATTCACTCTTCTCAAAACAATGTCTACTTGTTGTCTAATACAAAAATCACGGAATGCTTCGTACAATCTTGGACCACAGTATCCACATCGTTGATCTCTTTGATGATGACAGCAAATTAAAATAGTACTTTGGTTGATATTTCTTTCAATCTTTGAGGTGTCAACGTCGGAAGATCCCTGACCAGTCAAAACAAAGTTGATAAGCTTGTCCAATTCAACTTCATCTTTGACATTTGTAAATTTCACTTGCTCGGGAAACATTACAAAAGTATTTCCCTCCACCTTTTCTCCATCGTATGCTTCTGCAATACTAATTTTCACTTTTTTCTTTTTTAAAAGAGCAGCTGCTTTAGAGAGCATTGGGAATTGTGTTTCTTCTGGATTTGAGTCCCATTCTGTGGCACGAACTCTGGTTAGAAACAATAAAAGAGAATTATGGGCTGTGATCTTTCCGACAAGCTTTTCAGCTGGATCCTTGAATTCATCACGTTTAAATCCGTATGCACACTCACAATCAATTTGTTTGTTCACTGGTAAATTCTCAGTATAATGAATATCGTAGAGATCGTAGACACATTTTACAAGTTGTTTTAAAGCATTAAGCTTTTGAGTTCTCTCATCGGAAGCATTTAATGTTAATCCTGCTTCGATTTCCTTGCTAGCTTTTGCTAACATGTCTTCAATTTCTTCCTTTGTCAATGTTTTCGATGATGATTCATCTTTACTTGACGATGATGATTTTTTGAGTAAATATCCCAAAAGTAAGGTAGTGCCTGCTAGGAAACCAGCAGTAACATATCCCGAATCCATTTGTTGGTGTTGTTGTGTTTAGAATTTAATTTTGAAATAATCCGATGATGATTGAATGTTAATCCAAAGTTTTTTGCTGATGCAATTGTGCCAAGACGATTCTCAGACTTTGAATTTTTTCGGATGAAATTTTTCTCAAACGAATGAGGAAACTGAGTCGAGAAGATTCCATGAATTGCACAGGGACAATCAAAAGTGCAATAGAATAAATACCAACTAGACTGGTATTCGCACCATCTTGCCTTATTAGCTGTTCTTGTCTTTTTCACTATCAATTCCAAGATTTCGTTCTCGTCGAACATCAAAGAACAGGGTCGCTCTCTCGTAAGAGCATTTTCATCGTTCTCGCGTTCCTTGCATCCAAAATAAATGTCCTTCAAAACAAAAACAAATTCTCCACGAGCTCTTGCAAGATTTCCCAAAAACCATCACCACACTCGCGAAATTTCGTGGTTCAGTGCACTTTGACTGGATAGTTTTCATCGTTGAAAAGTGTTGTTGTGAATATTGTGTTGTGATATCATTTTGATTTGTCTTCGCCAATAATATTCAAAAAAGAATTGGGTCACTCCTTTTTCAACTCCGAAAAAAGGAACAACAAGGTAATGCCACCATCGCTGGCTCTGTAACCACACCACCATTTCCACAACATTTCCAACTGGTCATTCCCAACCACAACTCTTGTACACACCGAAATTCATTGTACTCTTTATCTTCTTCTTGTTCAAAGAAGTTATGTCAAATTTAGATATAATTAGCAGCTGCATTCATTGATCATCACCACAACAATATCATCATAAAGAGATGGGATTATGTTGTTCAGATATGAGATCCGAGGATCATCATCTCGATGATGTATCCCACGCAAAATCATTTTCTCCTCGAAACGGAAACAGTATCAATACATTGGAGAATGAAGATGAAGATCATCATCAAATCCACCACCATGATTCATCCTCTTCCTTTCATCCATTACCCGAGTCCATCAGTCTTCATACCAAAACATCAGCAGCATCATCATCTCGTGGTACCAACATTTCATCATCACAACATGGAAAGCATAAAAAGGCTTCTCTCATCACCACGAGCCTCCGCACCCATGTTCATAGTTGTTCAGAAGGAGAAGCCGAAGATGAAGATGGCATGATGGAAGGACAACACTCCCCTTCATCCTCTTCAACCCGAAACAAAAAGAAGAAGAAAAAGAAGAGCCGATCTAAGAAGAACAATGATAGCGTGAGTAGTAGCAGTAGTTTGGTGCAACAACTCAAGAAATCAACCTCTGAAAAGACTGCTCTCTCAGGTCATCATCATGTTTTAGATATTACTTCATCATTTGCACAGAATTCTCCTCGATCCAATTACTATTACTATGAAGATGTCATGCCAACCAATCACGACGATGAAGATGGAAATGAATCATCGGCTGATGAAACCACAAGCCATCATCATCCAACAACAACAGCAATACATCATCATCCTCACTATCATCTTTCAGCGAACATACCTCACTCTAACAGCACGGCTTCCTATTCTTCCGTGGTTAAATACTCTAGCATTATTCGGAATAAGATTGAGTCTGCTTCAGCTTCACTTTCCAGCGGTTATCCTCAATCGGCATCCCATCATTCTAATCATCACCCTCCTCATCCATATCCAACACCTTCTCCTTCACTATTGACACTAAGTTTACAACAACAACAAATTCAACAACATATGGAAGCCAAAAGAAAGCAAGGAAAATCTCGTAGAACTCTCTCTGAATATCAAACAGAGAATGCAGAAAGTAAACCGATCACTACCACATTAAGCTTTACTGAAAAGAAAGCAGGTCCTGTCACATCCAAGCCAAAACAATCTGCATTGGATTATAAAAAGCAGCAACAATTACCTTTGGTGCAATTAGAAGAAGACAGCGAAGAGGTAGAAGAGGGAGAAGACATTGAAATTTCAGACGACGAGTCTTCCTCAATGGATTCTGAAGAAAAATTGGACAAAATTCAACAACAACAAACTGGATCCATTCGAAAGCATCCCCGTAAGCATCCTCCTCAAAAATCAAGTGTTGAGGGTAGCTCAGCAACGAATTCGTGGTTTACAATTCCAAATAATTTACCAAAAGTGAATCGTGTGAAAACAAAAGGTTCAAGCAAAAACCAAGTCGATTCCAATACCACGCTCCTCTTCAAGGTCATACTTTTGGGTGACTCATCGGTTGGAAAGAGTGCATGTCTATCGAGAATTGAAGGAAATGCATTCTCAAATTTAACACGAAAAACTGTTGGATTGGAATTTACGACCAGACTCATCGACAACACGGCACTACATCAAAATGCTGCAGCTTCTCCCAATTCACATATTAGCATGACATCGAGTCCTCCTGGCGGAATAGTATATCCAACCAAGCACAAAATTCAATTACAATTTTGGGATATGGGATTTGATAGTTATTCAGAGGAAGCTCTTTTTAATGCCTATTTGAAGGACGTTCAAGCTATCATTTGTGTTTATTCCATTAATTCAGTTTCAAGTTTTGAGAGATTGAAACAGTTGTGGAACACTCAAGTGTTGCCTCAGTTATTGAAGAATTGTTATTTGCCTCATGTCAAAATTGTATTGTTAGGAAATAAGACTGATTTGGATGGTGAACGTAGTGTTGATTATAGTCAAGGATTAGAGTTTGCACGTGCAATGAACAAGAGTATCTTGAACGCCATTTACTCTTCCTCTCCAACCAATAACAATGCCCAACAATCCTTGGACAAGATAGCAGCTAACTCTTCAGAGTTTATGACAGAGTTAAAGACAACCAAAAACGAACCGTTTGGTAATACCTCAGTGAGTTTGGACGACAACAGCCTCACAGCAAATTCAAGCTCTTCGGTTGACGATTGTGATCGTGTCGATGCTGTAAAATTCTTTGAGTGCAGTGCTAAAACTGGCCAAAACATTGAAACAGCAACTCAAACACTGGCTCACGATCTAGACACTTACTTTTCAAATTATTTATAAACTTGAGAGATGTAAATATGCATTACAATATATTACGGCTAAATATGCATTTAGATCTATTCCATTAAGGATCCTGTTTCTTTTGTGACAGCGTCCTTTTTGGTGTGCTTTGTGGCGTTCTTAAGCTTGGCACCACTACCTTTAATCAAGTCTCTATCATCAATCTCTACATTGATCGTCTTGAGTTGCTTGACCTTCTTTCTCGTTTTTCTTCCTCCAGTGACTCTATCGTGGAATCTTGTTCGCACTTTTGTGAGTGTAGACATGAACAGGTCATTGTTAGCTCCATTCTTGATGTTCATGAAAAGGTAAATATTGTAGAGCACTTGTCCCAATATTCTATCCACATTCTTGAGAGAGTTGAAACACAAAGAAAGATTTGGAAAATCACAATCTGTTGTGACCTGTCTCTTTTGTCCATTTCTTAAGAACTCAACAGCAAAGGAGCTTAGAGAAATGCTAGCATTTTGAGATATTCTTTCTACAATTTCGAGGTATGGCAATAAAGAGGTGTCCAAAATCACATTTTGGTTTTTACAACTCACCAGTTGACTGATATGAGTGAAGGTATCATCAATACCACTCAATGCAGCGAAACTGCTTGTTCCATAGTATTGAAGCTTGCCGTCATGCAATGCTTTACAGAGTTCTGAAGTTTGATACAATTTTTCAATATATTCAGATTCTTCTGGGAATTTCATTTCGGAAAGTGGTAAATAATTATCCAAAACATCTTTGGCATAGTTCTTACAATAGGCAATTACAAATGTACTGTACGTTTTCAATAAAATTCGATTGTAGTCTTTAAATTGTGACAGAATATTTGCTGGAAGATTGGTTTTTGTTGAATTCTTTGAAGAAATTTCTTCAAAGTTTGTGGTACCAAAGTAGTTTTCCAACTTGAATGGTGAAATATCCCAGTGTGAAAGCTTTCGGGGTTCAAAGAGAATATTCAAAAGAATGAGCAATTTTTCACCTAACATTTCAACCTTTTCTTCTGGTCTGAGTGTTGTTTGCTCAAGCTTTTCATTCCAAGTCTCTAAATATTGCCCAATTGCTCCTGTTTGCAAGAGATGAATGAAAAGGAAGTTAGCAGGTTCGTTGTGGAAAAGACTAATGTTAAGTTGTGCAAAATCACCCAACGAGGCATCTTGTGATAAATAGAGATTTCTTCTTAAAAAGTCTAGCATAAATCTAATGCAGAATTTGTTTTGTTTTTCAGAGTTGGCTAAAATTTGGCCTAAATAGAAAATCTTCTTGTTCACTAAACGAGAAAGATCATCTGTGACAATTTGCAACTTTTCCTTCTCGTTTTGTGACTTATTGAGGAGAGATAACATCTTGAGCAAGAATGTCGACCGAAGACCCATAGCACCCTTAATTTTTGGAGTTACACCAGAAAGTAATCTATTGGCAGTGACATGAGGAATACCATAAAGAACAACTCTACCCTTAACGTCATAACCTCTTCGTCCAGATCTTCCTGCGCACTGTTGGAACATTGTAGTTGTTAAATAAATAGAATGTCCAACCATTACAACCGTCTTACATGGCATGTGAATACCAAGAGCAAGAGTTGAAGTCGAGATAACTATCGGTAAGCATCTAAGTCTGAAAAGTCTTTCAACTTCAGTGAGATATTCGCTTGGGCAGCTGTGGTGATGCACTGCCACACCAACTTCAAGAGCTTCTCGAAGTTCAATTGGAATTAATGATCCAAATTGTTCCAAGCTCTGTAAACTGTAACGAATTTCCTTCTCAGACCTCACTTTCTCTAAACCAGATGAGTAGAGATGGAAATAATTTCCAAGTTGCGAATTGGCACGTGCAGTTCTCAAGTGGGCTGCAACTTTTCTCACAAGGAAGTCACACATTGGTCTGTCAAAGCTGAAGAATATTGAGGGAAGTAATTTGTCTTCTGCTAAGCGTGTAATAAGTGGAATGATATTATCCTTTAGCCATCCGTCAGTACCAAACTTGTGCTTCGATATGATCTTACTTGAGGTCGTAGAGACTACATCAGACTCGGAGATGTTATCAGAATCTTTGGCATCCTTGGATTGCAGTTGGGACTCGTATTCAACATCCATGTTATCAAAGCTTGCCTTAACATCCTTTAACAAAGTTCTAGTAATTTCAAGTAAAAATTCATGATTTTCAACTTCACTAGACATGTTAATAAGCCCTTCCTTCATAGATTTACCATAGGCCGCAAATTGTTGACGTCTAATAAGACCAAAGTTGTTAAAGAAGGTATCAGGATTGTAATGAGTCAAAAATTCAGTGACAGAAGAGGGTACAGGGCGTGATTGTTCTGTCCATGATTGCTTAATCGAAAGAGCAATCTTGTACAACGTAAGACATTGAAGCGGAGAAAAGTTTTGCATGTGAGAAAAGAGCACAGTGTCAATCGAGTTTGGATTCAAGGTTGCCATAGGATGGATTTCTGTTAACTTGTCAGTTGCAGTGTCATAGTTATAGAATTCAAGAGGGCGTGGTCTTTCGTCATGAACCACTAGTTCTACGCTCTTTTGTTGTTCGTTCAAGAATGAAACATGAGAAACGATATCCTTGTTATAGTTTTCATTTAACCAGCCTGCAAACTCTTTTGGATTTCCAATGGATGCACTGAGGGCAATAAATGGACATTCCAATAAGCTCAATACATGTTCCCAGACTTGGCCAGAAGATGATGACTCATTGATACAGTGAATTTCGTCTAAAATAATGTATCTCATTCTTCTCTTCCATTCAAGATTTTCAGCGCTGGTCATAAGATTTTCGAGCGATTGAGGGACTGTAATTAATACTTGACAAGTAGTGACATTGATCTTTTCTTCTGATGTGTACATTCCTAGCATACTGGAGACTCCATATTGAGAGGTGTTACTGTATACTTTTTGGAATCTGCTGTACACTTCAGCATACGCTTGATTTACGAGTGCTTTTGTAGGACAACAGTAGACAATTATTGCGTCATCTGATTCTCTTAAAACTTTCTCAATGGCAAAGAAAGCAATGAATGTCTTTCCTGAGCTTGTTGGAGCACTAACTAAAATAGATTTGTTTTGAAGAATAGAGAGAATCATTTGCTCTTGCCAAGGATCTGGAGTGAATCCAAGACTCTTTGCAGATGGCAAGACATAATTTTGTGCAATGCTTGAAACTGAACTGGTGTCGTCTGCAGCTTGAACGGGTTCTTCTTCGGCTTGTTTCTTGTGTGTGGATGATTTTTCCTTCTTGGGATGACCTTTAACAGCTTTGTGTGATTTTGAATCGATTACCACTGTCTCGGGTATTTCTGGAGGAGGAATTTCAATGTTGCTGGCACTTTCAATAATGGCACTATTAAACATCAACTGAAACTCTGCAGACTCTGGTTTGTCATTGACAGAGTCAGATTTAACTTTAACGGTTTCAGATGGTAGGGAGTCAGAATCTGACTGTTGCAATAAATTATCCTTGATAAGAGAGCCGTATGTAATGTCTCCAGAGTTAAACTTCTCTGCAAGTCGGGAACCAAAGTTAACAAATCCAAGATCGCAGAGCATGTTGATTAAACTCTGAGTGATGTTCTTCAAGTCAATCTTGGTGATTGGTTTAACTTTCTCAGTTTTTTCTTTCTTGTCACCCTTTGCTGGTTTCTTATTTTTGACTGGCTTGGACGCTTTTTCTGATTTTTCTTGACTTGGTGAAGTTAAAACGGATATGTCTGAGATGTAGGTATCACTGACGAATTGGGAAACAATTTCATAAATTCTGTTTGCAATTTCAAAAGGTTCCCAGTACAAGTAAAGAGGTAAATCAGCTCCCCCTGAGAGGTTACTTATTTGTGCAATTTGTGAAGAACTACCACCATCCGTTGCAGTGGTGTCATCCTTCTTCAAGGCACTCTTTTTCTTTTCGTCTTTTTCTTTTTTGTCCGTTGGGATTGAGTCTTCATCGCCGAAGCTTAAGAATTTAACACCCTTTTTTGGCTGATTTTGTCTTCTCAACGAGTTTTGTAAATCTTGTCTATCGAGTAATAATTTTCGTGCCATGTATTGAGCTCTGAGTAAAGTAAGCTGAATCCAAACAGTTTCACATGTCATTCTTTGTTCTTGCAATAAATTTGCTGCATTGTAGCTGTCAGAACTTCCAGATGCTACTTTCTTTGAGCTATCGGTTGCTGTGGATTGAATGTTTTGAATTACTCTGATATCTTTAAAAACCCCTTCAAGGAGAAGCTTGATTAGATTTTCATATGGCTCAAGCTTAGGACCAAGTTCCTTCAGTTCATCCGACTTGTTCATAAACTCTGAAAACTTTTGAATGTACTCTGAATACCTGGATGCTACCTCATTGATTTCCTTTTCTCTTTTCTTGATGTTAGATTCAATCATCATAAGTCTAACCTTTGTGGATGGAGTTGCTGACGACACAGAAGTACTGGCAGAAGCAGCAGCTTCCTTCTTTTGACTGGTTTTAGTAGCAGGCTTGGATGGTTTTGATTCTATTTGTGGACTTGTGTTTTCAACTCCAGCAGATTTTGCAGTTTCAATAACTTTCTTGTCAGAGAGAGATCGAATAGACTCTGAATAGTGGTGCAATCTTTTCTGGGCATCTTGAACTTTTTGTTTTTCCCATTCTGTTCGTGGTCCAGAGAAGTCATTTGGAATTTGATCGAGATCTTTCTTCACTGAGTAATTAATTTCCTGCTCTCGTAGTGGATAGGACTTTTCAAATCTCAACTCTCTAGCCTCGTCCTCAGTGAGATTCTCTTGAATTTCCTCTTTTTGTTCAACAACTTCTTGTGGCTCTTCTTTCAGCCAGTCTTCTTTCTCCCAATCCTCGATATCTTCATCGGTTTGTTCTTGTTCGATGGCTTTTGGCGCTTCTACCTGCGCAATGGATTGTTCTTTTGATTGGTGAGGTAAAATAAAATCGACGTCGTCAAAGAGTTTGTTGAGCGATTCGTTGTCAATAGGCAATAACTGCCGAAGTAGGCATTCAGGGTGAGCAGGTTTTCCTTCAGTGACAGGATTTTCAGCTACTAATGGCTTCACAGCTGTTTCCCACCAGTGCTTATCTGTTGAGAACGATGCCTTTTGTGGGTTTAAACAGGTACAAATGGTCTTGAACATTTGTTGCAGCTCAGTTGGCAATAGTGCAGCTAAAATTTCATCGTCATTGCGATCATTGGTCAACTTTTGAAGAATTCCCATTGAATATAGTAATGTGGTCACCTTTGTGAACAATCTAAAGTCAATCAAGTCATAAAGATTGATATACGTTGGAATTTGCTTCAATACTATGAAAATTGATCGCATCACGTGCTGATTAAAGGACATTAAAGGAGATGAAACATTTTCCAATAAATATTGAGCTCTATCTTTGAGAGGAATAACGTATTGTGTTAGCACAGATAATGTTAATATTTTGGCAAGAGATAAAGAATTTGGCACTGACAAAGTCTGACGCTCAAGTGTATCTTTCAATGCTAGCACGATCAATTCAATTCGTGAGCATGCGTTTGTAATCCATTTGCTGAAATATTCATCTTGAATTCCCTTGGTTTCCTTTTCGACCAACCTTGAAATTTCATTTCTTGCTTCAGAAATATTCTTTGCATCATCGAAAATTGCACATTCAGAGAATAATGTTGAGATTTCATTAAACCTTTCTTCGTTAAAACATTTGGTTAAAAAAATTTCGGCATCCTTTGGTTTGAATGAATGAGTCATAGCATCACGAATGGCAGAACAAAATCCGATTACTGTGTTGCCATAAAAGCACAAATCATAAGCCACAGTGACGTGTTTGATAAGAACACTGTCTGTGCAAAAGAGGTCATCCATTGAAAAGCCAAAAGGTTGTAGAGCAAGAGTAGAGATGATAAAGGAGGGTTTTCTTTTCGTTAGTAAATTTTCCCATGAACTTGAATTGTACCATGTGTCATTCAATCGAGTAACTATGAATAATTCGCTTGTGACATATCTTTCACAAACTTTAGACAAGTGATGAATAATTACTTCCTTTGCAAGCAAAAAGCTGCAAGCCAAATAACCAAAAGGAATGTTCTTTTCTTTGTGAATCTCATGGGCAAGATTCAAAAGAAATGATGCTTTGACACACTTATCATTGCTTGTGTCGTCGAAGAAAACAACGTCAATTCTCATATCTCTATCCAATAAATTCTTGATAAAGGATTCAACAAGATATGTCAAGTGAAGAAATTGCCCACCATAATTTGTCCAATCTAACTTAAAAATTGAGCTGTTGAGTTCGGTTTTACCTAACGAGTCTCTCAAGAAATGTGTTAACAGTTGGTCTCCATTTACTACAACTAAATCTAAACCACCCTTTGCATCGATTAAGTCATATTGGTTGAAAGACACGATTTGTTTAATCTGCTCTATAGTTTCAATGCTGATTTTTTGATGTTTCCGAGAAGGAAGCATTGATTGTTGTATCAATTCTTCATCTTCTTCCACCTCTTCTTCCTCGGCAATCGACTCCAAAATTTGCTCGGTGGTTTCTTCTTCCTCCTCCTCCTCTTCTCTATAGGATGTATCGTATTCGTCCGTCATGTTGTTGTATTAATTAGGAATTCTTTAAATTCGTACTTGTGATGATGATAATAATTTAGAGCAACGATGATGAAGGCTTAACAATAGGTGTTATTTTTTTTGTTTTCAAAAATTTCTAAAAATATGTCGTCCCTTTGTTTGTTGAAGGAATGTAATGTCGAAATGTTGGAATGGAAGAAAGAATGCTTTATTTCATGAATGGTTCAGGGATTGGGAATGAAGAACATGCTAAAAAGCATGGTTTTAAGCATTTGCAATCTCTGTTCCAAATCTAAAACACACAGAATTAATTCTTGATTAGGATTGAATGGTTGTACAGGATTGTTATAATGGTTAGGGTTCAATGAGAGACAGGGTGTTAGCATGGGGTAAGGATGAAACAGGCAACACGAACTTTGCGTCATGGCTGGCATCTCACCATCTGTAGAAAACGAAGGGCTGGCAACTGGGGATTGCAACTCTTCATTACACTTGAAAAAGGAGATATCTGGAGACTCATCGAATGAAGGACCCTCTGCTATCAAATTGGATACCAATTCTGTTTGTGGTTGGCTATTGCTGGCTGAAGAAGGGTTTGGTTCCTCGTTCTGCTTGAGGTCACCATTCAGCTGCTCTTTGAAAAACATTGCTTGCAATGTTCTTGTTGGGTTGTCTACATCTAAACATTCGGTATAGTCCTTATCGTTCAAAGAGGCCCACGTCGGACGAACAAGATATTTACGATTGCTTACAAAACACTTGTTATCATTCTCAATCATAAATCTCACCTCTGTGCGTGTTCCCAACACTTGAAAAACTTGTTTTTCTGATCGCCACCTGTCCTTGTTCATCTTTGTTTGGGTCAAACAATCAATGAATTTGGATTCTACTTGTCCTGAATCAGCTGAACGGAAAAACGCAAATAATCTACATGGAGAGGTCCTGTTGAAAATACCTTCGGGTGGAGTCACTTTGAATTGTTTTCTTCCTGCGAACATTGGACCAACGGTACCCAAACGAATGGTATCACCATCGATTTTCTTGTCAAACATGTTGTTGTCATTGATGTTGAATAATTGTGTAATTATTCTCTCAGTGGTGCTTGTGGTGAGAGACATATCGATCACAGAAAAAGAATGGTTATGGATTGTACGGGACCGTTTTGATGATTCTTTGGGCATGATGGGTAGAGGAGTGATTGATTGCTGTTGCCAGTTGTCGAGGTTTTTTTTTCTTTAGTTCGAGTGTTTGCTCACAAAGACACAAAAATTGCAAGCACCCAAAGCAAATATTTTTGCAGGTAACTGCTACGCGATTGGATGGAGTTTTTGTAAACAATTGACGCCTATCAAACTGTCTCTGTTAGTCACGCTCTAATTTTAAGAGAAGAGTTAGAGCTGGTGTCAAGAGGTTTAAGATTTTGATGAGATGTCATTGACTTTGCCTTAAACCTTGCTTACGAAATTCCAGTTCAAATAAGAAATTTATTTTCGTAACGGTTAAAAATTTAATATTAAAAAAATATGCCTGCAACTCGATCAAGCACCAAGAAGAGTATGTATTCAAACTTGTGAATAGCGATGACAATCATCGTTGTATGATAATCGGAATCATTATATGTTGGGTCATCATCACTGTTAATTTATTCGGAGTAGATGCTGGATCTTCAAACAAGGATGACAACTCCCAACAAACATCGAGTACATCTCAACACCAGCACACATCCGATGAAGAACGTGGAAAGAAGTGGGATGCATTATTGAAAATGAAAAAATCAATTCAAAAACAAAAGAAGAAGAAGCAGTTAGCCACTTCCGATTTGTTATTAACGAATGCACTGATGAAAAATCAACAACCTTCCTCATCACCTTCATCATCCTCCGATAATACACAATCATCATCTCAACAATCATCAACAACATTTATCTCATTGGATTATGCCAGTTCAAAGGTAGAGGGAAATATTCAAGCAATTTTAACCAATCACTTGACGAATCTTAAGAAAGAGTATAGACAATGGAAACAAACTCAAAAATCAATATCAAACATGAAATTACCTACAAATCCCTCCGATCTAAACCCATTAATGTATATCTCGTGTTCTACAGAGCAAGGTTCAAGTGACGAGATTGATATGCATCTGGGAAAAAGATTTGAATCACATGAACAAGACATGACCGACTCGGAGTTTGCAACACCTTCTTTGCTTACAAAAAAGAAGCATGCACTTTTTACATCTAGCTCTGAGGGAGTATTACATGCGTCTAAGGAAGAATTAACTCCAGAGAGCTTTCGAAAATTAATAGAAACTGAAAAATCTAGATTATACCTGCTTTTGCAAGAGGAAGGCTCTGGAAAAACCAAGTTTATTTTAGATTCTCTTTTGTCGTCAAGCTCGTATTTATTAACCTTCGATTTTTCTGTGAACATGAAAGAGTTTGAACAACGCCACCAATCATCATGCGGAACTTTTTATGTTGGAAAAAAGTTCAGCTCAACCAATACAAAAGGCTCAAAACATGTTTCAGGAGGATTTAACCCACAACCTAAAGCTCAAAACCTTGTTCAAGAGACGTTTTACGAAAATTTGGTACAAAAATTCACATCTGGGAGTAATGCAACCCCTCAGTTCATGCAACCTACAGAACATGCTAAAAATTTTTACATTGTACGAAGAAGCTTTCTATTACTTATTTATGTGCACATGCTTGATCTACTAGCATATCTTCAAATGAAAAAAGATGCAAAGAAGTTATTAGAAGACATGCCAGCCACCCCTACAACTCCAACAGAACAAGTTGCTAGGCCAACCAGACGAACAACTCGTCAAAAAGCAGATGAATCAATTTCTAGAGAAGAGCTACAAGACCAAGGAGAGGCATCACCGTTGGATTATTATTTATTTAGGAGATATGAAAATTCGTCTCTCACAAAATTGTATAACAATGTTCTTTCAGGCATGAACACAAAATTCACCTCACAACAATTTTGCCAATTCCTTACTGATTATTTATTGGGCAATTCGCCAAAAAGCGAAAAGGCTAGGATTAACCTCGTTTTTGACCAAATTCAAGACTTAATTGATCCTTCTAGGTTTTTGTACATTTACAAATCTAGATTTGACCACGATGGGTGTCAAACACTGGCACCAAATCAATTGAATTCAAACCTCAATCAACAATCGCATAATTTTGCTTCTCACATTTTTGGAAATGCATACGGGAGTGGCAGCGCAATGGTGAGTGGAGGAAATGGAAGCTCTAGCTATCAATCTATTTTAGAACCAGTCATGGATGCTATTCAATATTTTTCCAAGCATTCAGATGCTGTTTCGAGAATAGTCATTGGAAGACCTTTTGTTGAGTCATCTGGCTCTATTATGGAACCACCTACTCCATCGTCACGCCCTAGAAGAGCAGCTAAAACTCCTAAACAATATGTGAAGGAGCGATTATCATTAATGCAACATTTACCATTGAGAGAATGTGAAATTAAGATTATTCCTGACGTTTACAAATTTTATGAAAATATTGAAAATATTAAGAGTTTAATACGGTATTACTTTCCAAATATTAACTTTACAAAAGAGATGTCAGACGATTGGGAGAAACTACTTAATGCTTCAGAAGATTTCACTGCACCACAATCTATTACCTTCAATAGTCACTTTTTGTTTGACAAATTTATTGGACATTTATTGCATCTACAATTTATTCAACTCAATTCCAAAAAAGCTGCGCTTAGAGATTCGCAGACAGACGAGCAAGAATGGTTCGAAGAGAATGCAAAAAAGATCCTACACTCAAACTATCCGTCACTATTTCCACAACAGCAATTGACGGACTTGAGCTTTGAGAAGAAGAGAAAACGAACAGTCATTGAAGAAGAGATCAATTTTGATGCATTGCCATCAGAAGATGAATTTTCAGCAGAAGAAGTTAAGCAACAAATAGAATCAACTCCTTCCACACCTCCTCCTGTCATTTCACCGAAAAAGAAAAGGACGCCAAGTAAGAAGGAAAAATCACCAAAGAAGGAAAAAAAGGAATCTAAAAAGAAGAAATCAGAGGCCAAAGCAAGTGAATCAAAGTCTCCAAAAAAGAAAAAGACCAGCGAATCCACCTCACAAACAGTTGTACTTTCTATTGAACACAACAATACCGTTGTCCAAGAAATTAAGATGGATGCTCCTTCTACACCTCCATCATCTTCAAGCAAAAGTGAAGAAAAATCACCTGCCAAGTCCAAAACTCGGAAAAGTCCAGGACGCAAGCCCAAAACTCCACGAAAGAAAAAAGCTGACACCGATGTACAAAGCACTGACGAGAAATAGTTCAATAAAAGTGATAAATGTTGAATGTAAATGTAAATCATGTGAGGTAGTGAGAAATCTTTTGAATTCTTGTACTTAGTAATCAAGTTACTTATACATCCACATAAACGTCAAATTTCTTAGCGAATTGTTTCAGAGCGACCTTCTCTTGCTCGTCCAAACCACAGTCCTTCAAGACCAAGTATTTGACACTTGTTGCTGCGATAAACTGCTCCAATGCCTTACTATGGGGTTTCAGGTTGAATCCACTAAAGTCTGCTCTCAATGCATGTTTGTTTTCACATAATCGTACAAGCATTTCACAAATTTCCTTATCCACACTGAAGAAGTTGAAATATTGCAAACATCCTGAAAAATCAAATTGTGTAAATTTGCATTTGGGTAGCAAGTTCATAAATTCGTCACGTTGTTCTTCACTAATGAAATAACTACCTGACATGTTCAAATAGTATTTGAGAGAGAATTTCTGTTGCTCATTGAGCATGGATAATTTCATATCTTCAATCATATGTTCAAGCCAAATATCATCTTCAGTTCCTGTACTGCTACTCCTTGCAGAACCACTACTATCACGTGGAGAAATGGTAAAAGTACTCAAATTAGGAATACTCAACCTTGCTTGTGAAGAGCCATGCACTGGAGAAGAGTTGTTAGAACCAAATAATGATGGTGGTGTCATTTCTCTCGACAACAATGCTGATTTTGGAGAAACACTTTCGGTGCCTGACCTCAATGATGGAACAGAAAGGTTTGTAAATGCAAAACTATTTCTCTTTGGTCTTCGATCGACTTTTGTCAATGTCACAGAGGTCGATCTACTTCTTGATTGAAGAGGGCTACTTTGTTCACGTTCTTGTTTAGCAACAAAGAGTGTGGTTAACACTTCTTGCTTTGTTCGTGGCGTCATGGCACATTTCACAGAGAGTTCAAATACTTGAGCAATATTGGAAACAATGAGAGATCGTTCTTTGAACACGGAATTCATGTCATGGTGTCGTTGTGCCTCCAAAACTTTGAAAATCATGTTTGGTTCAAAGGAACTTTTAAGCTCCAATTTTTTACAATAGTCCAAATAAACTGAAATATTATCTGAATCATTTCTTCGATTTCGCAATAACGAAGGATCACATTTGATATGATCGCATGGTTGAACTTCCTTAAATATTGTGTCAATCATTTTGCAAAGCATGACTCCATCTGAAATGTTTTCATAAAGTGATTGTTCAGGTTTGTAATCGTTGGGCAATAATTGTGTAAGCCAGTTCGATAATGCTTTTTCTGCAAAAATTGTTTCTTCGTTTCTACGTTCGATATCGGATTTATCTTTTCCAATTCCAATGCCGGCTCTCAAAAGATTGAAAATGGATTTTCCTCTCACTCGATCAATGAAATTGTCATCGATTGTGAAACCTTCTTGTTTCATCATGAGAACGAGCTTTAACGTTGGATCCGATTCAATGATAAAGCTTTTCTCTTGTACTAAATATTGTCTCAATCTTTCACATTCTTCCATAGAGTCATTGAGGTCGATGGTCAAACTCTGAATTTGAGTATTGAGAGAATTGGTCTTGGTTTGAATGTCTTGATATTCTTGTGTCAATTTAGAAATTTCAACATCCTTGCCAGAAAGGCATTCATTCAATCGTTGAATTTCTTTCTCTTTAGACTGGATGGTAAATGATCTGTCATCGAGTTCCTGCAGTTTTTGTTTAACTTCTCGTTCATTATCTGAATTTTTAGTAATGAATTCAATTAATTGTTTGTTTAACCTATCAATTTCTTGTGTATAGGTTTGAAGTTTCTGTCTATACTCATCATTCTCTTTTTTGAGTTGATCATTTTCAAGAATTGCTTCTTTAGCTCCACTATCGAGTGCTCCTAATTTGTTTTCTAACAATTTTGTTTGATGCTCGAGTAAATCTTTTTCTTCTTTTTCCCTTTGGAATTGATTTCTCGTCTCTGCTTTTTCTTCTTGAAGAATTCTGATCTTTTCACGTTCCTGATCGAGTTGTGTGTGAAGTCTCAATGTCTCTTCCTCTTTTTGTTCCAGTTTCTTTTTAAGAATGTTGAGCTCTGTTTGTCGTTCATTCATAACAATATCCTTTTCTGAAGAGGTTCTTTTGAGAGACATTAATTCAGAGTAAATGCTTTGACGCTCATTTTCCTTTTGGTCAATATCATTCTCCTTCTCTTTAATTGAATTGTTAATTCTATTGATGGTCTTGTTTTGTTGTTCAATAATATTGAGATATCCTTCATTATTATTTTTCAAAGTCTTGTTTTCAAGTTTTAGCTGATCGATTTGCTTTTCCATTCGATCTTTTAAGGATTTAAAATCAGCAAGCTCCATATTGCAATTTTCTAATTTTCTTGTTAAAGAAAGAACTTCAGCAGTCTTGAGCTTGTGCTCTTCTTCGACATCAATCAACATCTTTTCCTTTCTTTTAACTTCTTCAGTCCAGCGCTGAGTGATCGTTTCCACCTCTTTTCTCATATCTTCATCTAACTTGAGCAGTTGTTTTTCTTTTGTTGACAGATTTGTTTCTAAGCGATTAAAGATTCAACAATTTGTTGTTTCAAAGTAAATATTTGTCTCTCAAAATTTCGATTCTCTAAATTTTTTAATTCCAAATCGAATTTAATCGTTTCAATTTCTTTGGTTTTAGATAGCATGTTAGTTTTTTCTGTTTCGAGCTCTTTTGTTAATTCTTCACATTGAAATATCAAGTTATCCCTCACTTGATTTAAGAAATCAATTTCTTCACAAGCTTTCTCATTCCACATTCTCAAGTGTTCAACTTCTCTTTCGGACTCATCCAATAATGCTCCAACGCTGTTGAAAAGTCGATCGAATTGTCTCTCACACAAAGCATCCACTGCTGCGTGTTCCTCTAAGGACGAAACAGTCTGTGATGTCACGACTCCATTTCCTGCTGTCAATGAGCTCATCATTAGTTGTTGACTATCGACATCAGGTGTCGTAGGATGTGAAATTGGTTGGAAAGAGTTATTATTCAGCAGTTGTTGTTGTTGTTGTGGTTGAAACTGCTGCAGTTGTTGTGAATGGTTCATGTATTGGTGTGGTGGGTGTACATACATCACTGGTTGTTGTGATGTATTATTCATGTTCATCATTCCCATGTGCACTCCATTGCTTTCGTTGACATTTCGCCACAACGAAGGAGTCGAAGCAGAATGCATCAACACTGGATGACGATGTGACATTGGACTTGTCATTGAAAATCGTTGTGAAGAAGGTGTTGAAGTTGTTGTCATCATATTGTTCATGTATCGATGTCTTCGAGAAGTACTCATCGGAGAAGGAGTGGAATACATGACACCATAATGATTTGGAGGAGGAAATCCATAATTGTTGTTTGTGTTGTTATTATTGGAATTGGAAGAATGATGACTCCGACTGCTATTGGGAGAAGTGTTTGGCACAATATTATGTGATGGTTGTTGTTGCTGAAATTGTGGATAATTGTTGTTGGCAATATGAAAAGCATTAGGAGATTGAAAATTAGAGGAAGAATTCTAATCCAAGTGGTCAATGATTGAAATAATGAACCAATCAATTTGTGAAATGACTTACCATATAATAAAATTGTTGTTGTTGTGGTGTGGTAATCATCTGATTCATCACGAAATTATTATTATTCAAATTAGAAAGAGCAAGTTTTGGAATTTGAAAGTGTGCTGCTGGTTGAGGTATACCCATCATGGTCATTGGATGAGTAGAAACAGATGGATGAGGAGGTGTTGTAGTAGTAGTCGAGTTGAGAAGTATTTCTCTTCCATCGGAGGATGTTTCATCATCCAATACGAGAGCAGTCTTGTCATCCTCTTGTCGATTCTCAAAACAAGTTGTTGTTTTGAGAGGAGTTGTTGTTGTTGTAGAGGATATGACTTGGTTTGTCGGAAGAGAGTGGTGGTAGGGTGTAGTTGCGTCAGATGAAGAAATGGTAACTGGTTGTTGTTGCATTTGTTTTGGCAAGAGGTGTTTTGCTGTCTCTTTAAAGGATTGACTTTTGACAATTCAATATCGTGGCATCTTCATGGTTTTCAGAACACTCTTGAGAGAAAAATTCAAAAGTTTGGGGTCATCTCGATCTTAAAAGATAGTCTCTTTCCAATAATAATTGTTTTCACACGATTATTAATTTCCCTTTGAACTGGAAAGAGAAAGGCTTATTGCTGCAATCATCAAAAAAATGTTTATCGGCAAAGACTCCCGAGAGCAACGAATCCAACAAGTAATCCATCATTTGTATCCGAGCCATCATGATAACGTCCTTGATCCTCATCAATGTGGAGAGAAGGATATTATTTCAACTCATTTCGTATGCGGAGGTCGTCCTCATGATATGAAAACAACAAGTGAAGCCATCTTGTTGCACCGATTCCCGAAAGGGGTGATTCAAGACGACAATTTTAAATTCGTCCAAGACATGCCACTGGAGCATGATGTATCATCAAATAATCATGATTTTAGTGAAATTATTCTAGTTCAATTAATGTACGTCAGCGTTGATCCGTATATGAGAGCAAGAATGCAACCAAAAACACCAAAAGGTTATTTTCCAGCATTTAAATTGAACGAGCCCATGAATAGTGGTTGTGTAGTGAAAGTTTTGGAATCCAGAAAGGGAAACAAGTTCAAGAAAGGGGATTACATATTTGGATACTTTAAATGGCAAAAAGTCCAGGTTGTAAAAATCAAAAGCACTGAATTGAAAGATTATGTCAAGCTAGATCCATCACTTGGTGTGCCACTTTCTTATTATCTTGGTGTGTTGGGAATGCCTGGAGTCACAAGTTATTGGGGTCTTTTGGATATTTGTCAACCAAAAAAGGGAGAAGTTGTGGTTGTGAGTGCTGCTTCTGGTGCTGTCGGTAGTGTGGTAAGTATGGATTGAACTTGACCATTTTCAACACAAACGTTTAAGGTTGGTCAAATTGCCAAGCTAAAGGGGTGTTTTGTGATTGGAATTTCTGGTGGATCCGAAGAGAGTGCAAAAGAGCTTAAATCCATTGGTTTTGATGAGATTATTAATTACAAACAATATCCTCATACCATCTCATTGAAACAAGCCATCGAAAAAGTATCGCCCAATGGAGGCGTTGATTGTTTCTTTGACAACGTTGGAGGTTATGTTTTAGATGCTGTTTCATTGTGTATGAACAAGTATGGAAGAATTTCTTTATGTGGAGCAATCAGGTGAGTGTTTGTTTGCACAGTATGTATGGATCATGTTCGATTTTTCTATTCAGTCAATACAATGAGGACGGAATGGAAACAGGTCCAAGAATGAATTCACTCTATGTGGTGAGAGAATTGACAGTGAAAGGATTTTTGGTGACGTCTTATTACGATAGATACGATGAGAGTATGAGAGATCTAGCAAAATGGGTGAAGGAAGGTAAAATCAAAGCCCTCGAAACCACGGTCAAAGGCTTTGAAAATATTCCAAAAGCATTGATGAAAATTTTCTCAGGGGATAAAATAGGAAAAATTGTTGTGGATTGTAGCTAGTGAAGGATGAATTCAGTACAATATTATGACATAAGATGTGACAATAACCGGTAGCACACTGATTTATTCTTTTTTATTAATATCACAGCAGTATCAAATTTAATGGGTGCTATTAAATTTGATTTTTTAAGAATATTTACAATTAAGGTAAGTATGGAGAATCAAAGATTAGTCACACAAAGTCTGGCTCTTCATCAGCTTTAGTTGGTTTTCATCAAACTTAAAAATGTCGGCGTTTGTCAATCGTTCAAGTACACTACAAGAACGACAAGATTTGTTTACAGCTCGCCGTCTATTATTTTTATCAATTACATCCCCGACATATATTAATAATTTATTGAATATGAAGATAATATTCCAATCTACATTTTCGAGTTTAATTGTCACGTTGTTGATCATGAGCATGATTCGGACCGACATCAGTGTAGCACAAGTTAGAGAAGCAAGATACCAATTTTTCAGACCAAGGCAACATCAACACCCTCCATCCCCATGCCTCAATTCTCCTCTCAATCCAGTAGCAGTCGGAGCGTCAAAAGATTTATCTGGAGTGAGTCATAAATGTGGACCAAGTAATGGAGTGGTGTTTATCCTGAATGATTGGTTGTCATCACGTGTGAATATCGAAGTTGCATCAATTATTTTACAAGAAAAGTTAGGAATTTGTGTAGATTCCGTTGCCCTTACTGTATTAGAAGGTTTGCAACTCATGAATCAACAGGGAAATGAGACACCATTGGTGTTATTAGAATTTTGGAAAATTAATCGCTATGACGAATTTAGGTACGTATAGCATACCCTTTCTACAGAATCTAAAACGACAAAAATTTTGGATTAAACTTTGATGTTCAGAACCTACGTACAAAATGGAAAGTACACCTCAGAAATTGGTGAGCTTGGCCCTCAAGGAAGAATCGGATGGTACATTCCAGAGTTCATGCTTTCTACACGTGGGGGAAATTCAGAACTTGATCAATTTGTTAGATCATATCGATATTTCCGAACAACACCAGAATATCGACTTGTGACGGGGTCGACAGGCTGGGCAATGGTTGACAAACAAATTGTGAGAAATTTAAAATTGAATTTAAAAGTTGAACAACCACCAGAGAATGGAACTGAATTGTATCTTATGAATCAATTAGACAATGCTCAACGTGACAAAACACCAGTGGTTGTGGCACTATGGACTCCTCATCAAATATTTAGTTCTCCCCATCCACCACAACGTGTCTATCTTCCTTCTTATTCAGAAGATTGCAGAAAGCAGTCGAACATTGAAAGAGGTTTAGTGGACTGTGATTACCCCCCTACCACACTATCAAAGATACAAACAGATGCAGTGTTAAAACTACCTCAACAGGTTCAAATCTTTTTAAAGAAATTCAAGTATCAAAGCGCGGATCAAATTCAAATGATGGGTGATATTTATTACAAACAAATGGATCCAAGAGATGCTGCATGTAAATGGTTAAAGAATAATACTGCATTGTGGATGTCATGGCTCAAAGTACCTGAACCTCCGGTTTCTAACCTTCGATTATCGATTGGGATAGCGGTGGCAGCAGCATTACTTGGAATTCTAGTGATTGCCATTGCTACACTCTTTATTGGATGTGTGATAAGGAAAAATTCGATGAGAAAGACTGAGAATCGGTACGCTCCTAAAAATCCTCCAATTTGCATTGTTTTCACACACATTCAAAATGCATCACTCTTATGGACTCTTGACTCCGATACCATGAAGAAAGCGATGAATATTCAAAATAAGGTCATGAGACACAATGTACGAAGGTTTCGTGGATATGAAGTGAAAACTCATTTAGATTGTTTCATGATGGCATTTTCAGACCCTATAGACGCGGTTGCCTGTTGCATGCAAATACAAAAAGATTTATTGGAATGTCAATGGACAAACGACATGATGGCATTTCCAGACATGCAACCAGTAGTATGGAATGGACATGTAGTTTATAACGGTCCAAGAGTGCGAATGGGAATTCACTATGGAAGTGACATTCAAGCTCAATTTGATCCTACCACTCGACGTTACGATTATTTTGGAACCACTGTCAATAAGGCAAGTCGAGTGGCGAGAGCATGTGAAAGTGGAGGAAGAGTTTACATTAGCGAGGAAACTTTTCAATTCATCTTGCATGTCATTTCCGAATTTAAACCCATGTCAAGGAAAGAGTCATTTTCAAACTTAGAAGTTCTCAACAGTCATTCCTATCATTTTAAGCATGCTGTTTCTAGAGGTCAGATCGTTTTTGAAAGCGTGGGAGAATATAAATTGAAAGGTCTAGAAGGAAAACACACCATCTATTGGGTCAAAGACCTTCACAATGCTCGATCGGAATATATTGAACAATTTGAAATGATATCAGCTCAACGCCCTTCTTCATTACAGCTTACAAATTCTCCACCTTTTCGAATTGATTTATCAGAAAAGGCAAAATACGATTTTAAAGTTGCAATTGAAAATGCCCTTAATAATCCATCGAAACTTTCTGAAGATGAAAAATCCATTCTCATTCAGAGATTTGTATTGTGGAGTGTCAATGATTCTAATGATATCACTAGTACATCAAATTATAGAGACAAGTGGATGGAGCATCCTGATACTTCACTCATGAAATTCATTGTAGACCTTCTGTCTCACGACGAAATTAAGGGATCTCTCAATGTAGTCACTCCCACCAACACCGCACAAACATCGGTTCTGAATACGTCAACAGGAAGTCCTAATACTGAGAAACACCGAAAAGAAAGTTGTTCATCATCATCGACCGATCATCCAACGAGTCAAGACGAAGAAGAAGCGATTACCATTCAAAATGAAGAGATTGGTGGAGAAAGCGAGCAAGCAAGTAGTAGCCGTCAAGGAGGAGAGGAAAATTCAAAATCCACGAGTGTGACGGTCGAGTCTGAAAATGTGAATCAATAGCACGAGTATGTAATTTTGGTAATAATATGTTCTCAATATGATCGCAATCGCAAATGCATTTTTGAGCAGCAATTCACGCACCACAATAGAGTCCACAACAAGGATCAAAATGGATGGAAAAAATGATCCGAAGGTTGATCAGTCATTTCAGTCATCGAAATCAATCGAACCAATTCGACCTAACTGCTTCTCTGCTAGCCCAAGACAATGACGACAAACAATTATTGAACGACGACTTGATCTTGTACATTTTACAATATTTATCATCGTCTTGTATCGTGAATGTGTGCATGAGAATTTCAAAACAATGGTTCCGAGTCTCTCTGAAATATCCTCTCGAGTTTAATTTCTTTGAAATGAGACTCAAAGACAAACAAAAGCACGAAAACTTTCAAAGATTTTCAAAATGTCGGATTGATATGAATATCACAACACTAGTCTTGAAATCCAATCATTTAGGGAAAAACGGAGCAAAATTACTTTCTCAAAGCTCACGTATGAAATCAGTGACTTACCTGAGCCTCAGTTGTAATAATCTTCAAATTGAAGGAGCTAAACTAATTGCTGAGAGTGAAAATTTGAAGAATTTAACTCGATTACGAATATCAGGAAATCGATTGCAATCAACAGGAGCAGCTCTAATATTCACAAGCAAGAATTTGAATAATTTGAAACGTCTCGAAATTGGCTACAATAGAATTGGACCCAAAGGACTTGGTATTCCTTCGATTACATTAGATCAGTTAACAACGCTTGACATTGGTGGAAATGCCATCAGTAATGAAAATTTGAAATTTTTAGCATCATGTGAAGCATTGGGTCATTTAACTGATTTAGATTTGAGTGAAAACGATATTGATTCTGAAGGGTTGTCACCATTTGTCCACAGCACGTACATGCAAAACATTACTTCGTTGAATCTTCTCGGAAATTCGATAGGAACTGAACGAGGAGTGGAAATTCTCGCACACAGTGAATTTATGAAAAATTTAACACGTCTCGACTTGGGAGTAAATTCCATAGAAATTGAAGGACTCAAAGCATTGACATCAAGTCCTTTCATTTCAAACCTCAAAGAATTGCATTTGAATTGCAATCGTTTCAATAGTGTGAAACCAATTACTTCATGTTCATATCTCACTCATTTAACTTGCTTGGATTTGAGTTATAATCATATTGGAGATGAAGGAGCTCGAGAAATTGCGAACAGTGAATATTTGAAAAATTTGCAATTTCTTTATATATCCGTCAACAAAATTAGGGATGAAGGAGCACTTGCCATCGCGAAGAGTGAAAATTTCAATCATTTAACAGAGTTGCATCTCGTGGGCAATTGTATCCATGAGTCTGGAAAAGAAGCAATATTGAAAAGGTTCTCATACTTAAATCCTAACCATAACATCTTTATCAATGGTCAAAATCCGTGAATAATGTTCGCTGCCTTAAGACACCGGAAAAGACATTGACCCAGATAAGAGCAATCTTTTCCAAACTTCCATTTGGTAATTTTCTCAAGTTAGTCTACAACTTGGAGGCGGCAGCTAGCAATAGGCTCAACCAAACAACGTGTCATCATTGGCGTTGCAAAAAGATCCTCCAACCAATCCGGTGTTTTGCAAACTTTACAACGGAATTTTTCCAACCAATCCGGTGTTTTGAATTTTTTTTTGGTATCTCTCGCTCCTCTACAAAACCTCGTGCCATCACACCACTACAACGGAACTCTCAAAAAAAAACAATTCAACAACTCATCAACAACAATACTCCACTAAACCATGACTGCTCCATCCTTTGACGAAGTGTTAGATAAACTCAAATCCTTCTTGGAGATTCCTGAAGATCAACAACCCAAGGAATGTCCCTTCAACGCTGAAGAGAAGAAAGTCTTTATTCAAAATCATAGTTCCATGGTCCAACAATGTCCAGCCTTCCATGATCATGGTTGTCCTTTCTCTAAAATTCATTCCGTGAGAGCTTTTAAAGAGAAGTTGAGTCATATCCCACAATTGGAACAACGATGTCCTGCCATGGCTGGTCAGACTCATACTCATGATGTCGTTGCACAGATTATGAAGGATTAACTTTCAAGATGATATCATCATCATTGATCTCCCTAATTTATTTTGTGTATGGTTTGACAATGATGAGCCATTCACGTACATGTATGAACCAGAGAATCCTGTGTATGGCTCTTTTTGTAAAGAAGACCCTAATCTCTAATGTGAATAAAAACTGAAGATGTCGAGTTATGATTATTAATTTCATCTCATCATTGATGTCAGTGATCACGTCTTTACAAAATTAAAATGACACACTGTGGTTGACTCAGCCAAACTTTGTTAGTGTGCTGTTTGGCACTTGTGTTTGGCACTCATGTCGCAAAGACTTGATGCAGAAAATCCAAACAGAAAAAATCAAGTCGTGTCATCGGAAGATCGGAAGGATTCATCCACGACACTTGTGTTAAAGTAATTCAAAATAATTTTTGAAAAATAATTTAACAATGTCCAAGAAGAGGAGTGTGATTCAATTCGATGCATTTCAAGAACAATACTTTCCGCAAGTGGATGCTCTCTTTAAAATTGGATTTGGATTTGAAGAAGATTTACCTGCAAAATTAAATCATTCTTCCATGGGAGGAATGACAACTTCTTGTGTGGCCATCTACAGACATGATTTTCAACAACAAAATGAAGACCATAGTGCTGCTGATAACCATGCTGATGATAAAAATGATGATGAATACTTTGAATTGGAATCGTTTGATCCTCAACTTGCAGATATGGATGGTCAGGTGGTTGGATTTCATCTATTATATGCTCCAAATTGTTGGCAGCCACAAGATTTTCCATTGGAATTCAATGTAAGCGAATATAGTTATGGATTGGATCAATTAGGATTTTGTGAAGCAGTGGCCGTTCATCCGAGAATGCAACAGCGAGGAATTGGAAAGAAAATGTACGTTTGGTCAGAAAAAAAAGTTCGCCAACTGAATCCAAATTGTAAAGGTTTTATTACGCATGTGTGGACCGAAAGTTCTGGAGCTTTGCCTTTGTCTAAGGCAAATAGTAGTAGCTCCTCGAAAGCGGGTGGTGTCCATAGAATCATTAAAATTCACAAGAATGCATGGAGACAGTACTATTTGGATTGCGGACTTGTTTGCAATTTTTGTAATGCAATTTGTTGTTGCACTTCGGCCGAGTGTGAGACTTTATTTAATGCACCCAATGAGAAGTAAATTGACAATAATAATTAATAGTTCAAAATAATAGTTCAGAATTTGAGGATGGGGTGCAGTTGCACTCGACACAGTTTCCATATTTCAGACCATTGTTACGGCAAAGATGTTGAAAGAGTCAGTGGTCGTTGTTAAATACTTGTGGATGTGCTCCATGCGGCATTAATTGATTGTTGCATTTTCAACTTGAGGATGCACCACATTTACCGCAGACAGTTTCGAAGTACTACCTGCATTGGAAGTCTCCTGATGTTCAATTAATTCAAGCATTTCTTCATTAGTGAGAACTGCAGATTCATGATGTTTAGCGTTAAGCATATATGTTTGCGTTAAACCTTTTCCTTTCACTGCAACCGATAAGCACACGTAGAAAAATATTTTCGCAACACTTACCTTCCAGTTTGCGCTCCTCAAACGAGAAACCTAAATCATATACTCTCTCATAAGAGCTTCTTGAAATTTGTATTCGACCAGGTTTAGATGTTGACTCCATTCTTGATGCAACATTAATGGTGTCCTATATGGAGTTGTTGTTATCACAAATACATGTCAAAGTGATCAATCATTATACTTACTCCCCACATGTCGTAGGCAAACTTTTTACGTCCAATCACACCAGCAACGATGGCACCTGTGTTAATACCAACTCTAATATTCACTTGCTCGTCCAAATTATTTCTCCTAAATGTAGCGTTATAGCTTCGGATAACAGAAAATGTTTCCATGGCAAACTGTCATGATCACAATGTGTTAACTTCTTTACTTCATACAATCCATAACTTACCCGAAGCATACGTTCAGGACTGTCAGATTGACCTCCATCGCTATGAAGTCCTCCCGCACAAAAGTAAGCATCTCCAATGGTCTTCACTTTTTCGAGGTGATACTTGTCAGTCAAGTCATCAAATCCAATAACTATTGTATTCAGCATCATGACCAGCTCTGTTGGTGTCAGTTTTGAAGAAATGCTGGTAAAGCTTACCATATCACTAAAGAAACAGGTGACATCTGGGAATTTTTCTGCTATTAAGGAAGCACCTGTTTTTGAAAATATAAAATACTCTTAGGAAATAAAAGCTATAATATTAAAGTGCATACCTGATTTCAGCTGACTCGCAACAGCGGCTGGTAAAATGTTCAATAATAAATTTTCTGAATTCTTTTTTTCTTCGGCAAGTAAGGCATTATGTTTTTTTTCTGACGTAATGTCCTTGATAAATGCTGTAATGACATGCTTCTTTTGGAATACAGTCACGAATACGCTCATCTTTCCTGGGAAGGTTGATTGATTTTTTCTTACACAATCGATTTCCGCCGTTTCTCCTTTCGGATCTCTTTCTGTGACCACGCTTTTCATTGATTCAATCATTTTCTTAATTTCCTCTTGCTTTTCTTTTGCAAATAAGGATATTAGAGAATTGCCAACAACATCTTGTTGCTGATATCCAAACATTCTTTGGGCAGCTGCGTTGAAAACATCAATGCCAAGTGAATTATTACACAATATCACGCCATCAACTGCTCCGTTGATAATGGACAGGAGTTTTGCATCTTCTCGTTCTGAACTGGATGTAGAATTCTGAAAGAGTTTGGAAAACGAAAAGCCCTCACCAACTGAATGATATAGGACAAAATTCTTCAACTTATCATTGGATTCTACAGTTTCAATGCTTACATAATTGAACATAGTCCTCAGAGCAAATGTTGTTTTGGAGTGGCTAGAAAGAGCTTGAAACATTAATATTCCTAAAAGTATTAAAGTTAAAAATCCAATGATTGCAAACGCAATTAATTGATCAATAAGAGGATTGGAAGATTCTTGTGCAAATACATTAGAGAAGCTCACTAATTTCTTGGAAATAAGAGTCAACAGAGTTCCAACGTTGAACACCAAAATAGCATCGTCGTGTATAGCCTTTTTTTCCATGGTAACATCTTCCATTACTTGCCTTCCTTTAGTTATCAGGTCTGTCATCATGTAATCAATTCCAATCTCACATGATGTATCGTTATTAAGGGATGCCCTTGTTTGCTCAAGCGTACAATTAAGGTCTCCCCTAATCATCTTATCCGTGGAAGGAAACATTCCAAGAACTAGAGTTTCGTATGGCTTGATAGAGCTTCCAAACATGCACAAGTTCCAAAAGTATCTTACATTGTAAATTACCTTATCAAAATTTGACTTTATCTTCGATAGCTCAGTTTGAGACAGAAGTGGTAATTTATCAATAGATGTCCCAACATGGATGTATGTCTCCACTATTGAAAACACAGCATCTTGTAAATGTGTCATCGCATCAAATCCATCTTGCATAGTGACGTAACTCTCGAAAGAGTAGGTGGAATTTCTCAAAGCGGTTTGTAAAAACATGCCACAGCAAATCATGACAATGGCAGTCAATAATGCTGAAACAAGTATAAAAAAATTTTGAGGTTTGAAAAGGGCATTCTTTGAGATATGAATTGAAACTTCGTCGCCAACCTTCTTACTAAGAGTTTGAAATGTTTTCCCAATCTCATTCTTGGAAACATTGGAGTGTAAAAGCTTCACCTGCTTATATAATATTGTTAGATCATGTCTCTCGTAAACTAAATAAAGTAGACTGAACACAAAAAATAGTGACAGTGATACTGCCGTGTAAATAGTGAACATGCTATTAACTTGTTGAGCGTTCGCCATTGCATGATCTATAAACGCACGGCAAAAGTTAGCGTAGGCACGTGTAAATGTTTGTTGATTTCTGTACATGACCATGAATGCGTAACTTGAAAATGTTTCTAACATCATTCCTTCCTCGCTCGTCAATATTTTGTCGGTAAGTTCAATTAATAGGTTATTAATATCTGTGATAGTTGCATTTTCAATTGAGCTAATATTATAAAATTTTTCATTAATGCTACCAATTTTTGGAAGTATCACATTGTAATAGGTCTCATGGTAATACGAATAAATAATATACTCAAATTCTGCGTTATATGCTTGTTGTTGTAGTGTCACCAAAACTTGTTGAGCTTCTTGAATCATTTTCTTATTGAGCATGGAGTTCGTAAACAGCTCAGTTACTGGCGATTTCACTACATCCTGGGACATTGTGGTATTCAAGCCAGTTTTGGAAAATATTTGATACCCTCGTAGTCCAACAAGAATATTGGTTGGTACGTAAATAGGACTACAAACATCAATCACATGAACAACATTTCTTGTAACCTGCATTGAGAAATTATATGATAAAGCCACTCCTGCAACCAGCAATGACAAAGCCAATAGCATGTATAAGACATAGATTGCAAGTTGAACAAATCTACTTTGAGGAACGCTTAGAGAACTTCTAAAAACCATTTCTCTCTTGGCTTCATTTGTAGCACTTTCTATTCCGTTAAAGTTGTCTAATGACTCGCGTTCACTTGTGTGCCCACCGTCCTCATTGATATCTTTTGAGCTACTAAATAAAGAAGTAAAAGATTTGATCTTTTTTTCTTCCGCTGAATGCGGATTCATATCTTCTGAAGTATCTGGATGAACTCTGTTTTTGTTTTTCTTGCTGTTCTTGTACATGGATCTTCGGTGCAAGGATTCATCTTCCTCCAAGCTAGAAGCTTCAATATAATACTCATTTGCTAGTTCCTTATTGAATTTGAAAGCTTCAACATATTGGGCATATTGACGTAGCACTGTCTTATCGTTGTAATTCATGGCCAACAGGTGACTGAAAATTTTGTCACATTCTCCAGTCAATGAGGCGCAGCGAATAATAATTTTTTCAACCTTGATCATATCAATTACTTCACTGGTCATCTCCTTAAGATCATGTCAAGCCAAGATTTTTGAAACTTTGTTCGAAAGAAAGACACAAACCTTCCAAAAATGACGATGCAGAGCAGTTAGTTCAAGCATTGATTTTTGAATCTTGGCAAGCACAGTTTTCAATTCAATCGTGTTTCCAGATGTTTTAGTCTCATCAGATATGAAAACCTCAATTTCTTTTAGCTTTTGCCCAATTATATATCTATTATAAATGTTGGGTCTACGTTTCATTGCTCTCTTAAGCAATGCTTGAGCAAAAACATGGGCATTGGGATCACCATGCAACACATAAGCAATCAAAAGCGATGAGAGAATAATCAAGTTAAAATCTGTAAATGTCTTTGAAGATGATGCCGATCTAACAAACGCAATGCACTGCGCTAAATCATGGTCCTCATCATCCAACTTGGCTCCCACTCTAGACATGGTAAACTTGATAAATAAGGTTAACTTTTTAAAATTGTGATCTTCTTGCACTTGGGAATATAGAGCGGAGGCTTCTTTTTCAACAGTGCCAGAACTACCCTCATGTAAAATCATATACTTCTTTCGAACAAAGTTTATAACAAATCTTGTGTATAGTTCCATTGATAGAGCACCAATTAAGGAAAACAAAACAACCATTCCAATAGTCATCATTGACATTCCAATTCCCAAATCTTTCTCATTGGTTGGGTTTACGAAAAACGATATGAGACCTCCAATGCTGGTACCTAAACGAGCGAACACAACACCGCTCACAATAGTATTTTCAAATCTCCTCATCATTGGCACACTTTTGAAAACAAATACTATGGTACAAATAGAAACAACTGTATGAATAATAGAGCGAGCATAGGCAAATTCAGGAGGTATCAAATAATGAAAGAGAATAGAAATAATGTTTCCAACGATAATTAGTGGCTGGAATAGCAAACTATCAAAAATCATGGGAGTAGAGTTGCGTGGATGCGAGTTAGGGACCACAAAGGTAGCAAGGGTCGCTAAAAGTACGTAAGCACAAGTAAAAATAATCACCAGTATGTACAAGGCCATGTTTTGAGTTCCAAAGCATTCATAATCGGGATAACGGTTTAGCAAGTTCATCGAAGATTGCGATTGTATGAGGGTACTATTTGAGCTATTGCTCAATCCAAGTATTACTTCTCGTGTCCGAACCGGTAGGGATCCATAGCTGCAATCAATAAACGATGTCATTACAAAGGTACTAGGGCCAGTCAATAGAATAGCAAGAAAGGATTTGACGAATATCACTTGTTGATAAATTTTGATATATCGGGATGAAGTACGTGCACCTCTCCAACTCAATACATAGATTGTGATGAGCAATAACATTAGAAAAATAACAAAGCACGTGAGCACTAAAGATCCCATAAAAGGCATGATATCCATTGAAAAAGTTACAGGGTAATTTAGCACATTCAGTAGCCAGCTTCCCCATTGCCCATAATGAAAATCAGTAGCACTCAATACTGGCATCCAAATCCAAATCCAAAAATTCCAGCTATAAGACAACAAAAAGATCAGAAACGGCTTCATTCCTTTCTGTCTATGATTATTCTGCATCATGTAGAGAAAATTCAACAGTTCATTCTTAACTTTGATTTGAATTGAGGCTAGAGCATCGGAGCTCGTTTCAAGTGTCTCGCTTGTGAGCAACGAGTCTGAGTGTGTTACTGAGGCCGCCATATTTTTGCAAGCCTTTTTTTGTGTGTTGCTCTTATGAGGAAACGCACATTGCCTTATTGTGGATTTACCGCTTTAGCACATTATGAGACGCCTTCACAGTTGTTGCGTGTGACCCAACAAACGAAAATTTGAAATGATGAGCCATGCATGCAATATTTTTCTAGTAGTAGTTGCAAACTTTTGCTGCGTCGGCTGTATTCACAATGAGTTCACACGACAGCTTTAAAAACCATGAGCAGAATAATGAGAGTGAGATGGGTGCCAAAAAGTAACTCCATAACAAAATCTCTATTTCATAAAGAAAGTGTATAAGACAACAACGATACACAACATGAAAAGAACATGATCATTTCAATCAAATGTAAACTTACCACATGTTTCATGCTGTCCATAATTCGAATTCACGGCACTGAGAGCAGTGATAGCAATGGCAGGAGGAGTTGAGAATTGAATCAAAATCACCAAAAAGAAGAGAGGATCAGTAATATTCGAAAAGCCTGATGGGAAGAGAGCTCTCGAAGCAAACATTAAGGCAACACCAATCAGTGGAAAAATAACCATTTTGATCGTGATGGCAAATAGCAAAGCGGTCGGATTCAGTTTCTTAATTTTCAAAATGTTCCATACATGAATGATAGCTGCCAAAAAAACGTGTTTCACTTTCGCAACACCATTTAAAAGTGCCATTCGAATAGGGGTGTAACGAGTCGACAATGATTCATGTGTGGGCTCTATTATTTGGGAGGAATGACTTGTGTCATCGTCGTGTTTCTTTGAATCTTCCAATAATTGTAATGGATCATGATTGTGTGGTGTTGCCTGAATTGCAATATTCGATCCAAGAATAATGAGAGAAACTGGTGCCACGGCCTGTCCAAAAACTTCACACAAGTGTTTGATGGTGGACACAAATGGAGGAGGGTTCACAATGAGGAAATTTTTCAAGTCCGTACTCACCACAGAGATCATTAAGGCAAGAAATATGGCAGCCAATGGAGGATTCAAAATAATGTTATGAAGCATGAAAAGTCCAAAATTCTTTGCCATTTGCTTCATCTTACTCGTTCGTGAGATGCGTGGAGATGGTTGCACTTGTTGTGAGATGACCTGTGTTGGAAGTGTACTTTCAATAGGTGATGACTCTGTGCTGAGATGATTTTCCTGAATGGGTGTCATTTCCAATTCTTCTAAAGTGTTGGGAAGTAAATTGGACTCGGATGAGGTTAGAATATGTCGTTCTTCGTACTTTTTAAAGGAAAGTTCGTCTTCTTGCAAATTACTTGAAGAAGGCTCGTAGGGGAGAATGGTTTCATTTCCTTCGTGCAATTTGGTAATATTTGTTACAATGTGTTGATTTTCTAAACTTTCTAAACTTCTTGCTGTGTGTGGAGGAGCCTCCAACGACTCTTGAGAAGATCCAGGATCTGTTTGTAATCGTACGATCACTTCTTGTTGCTGCTCTGATCCTTTTCTGTAAATGTATGTTCCTAGTGTGTAAAAAGCAATCTCCACAGGTACAATGAAAATAGAAATGGCTGTAATAGAGCTTTTATATGCCTCAGCGTATGGTATTTTGTAAAATGCAGGTGTATTATCGACAAGAGTATCATTGGCGTTCATTGGATATAACCAAGAGGTTTGATAACCATTTGTTACAACACTAGCTTCATTCTCTGCTTTTTCAATAGGATTCGTAGTAGACAGATAGCACAGAGCTGATAAATAAATTAAGGGTAGAGACACCGAGTTATGACAAAACAAGCTCACAAAATAAATGTCCTGTTCAGTCTTACTCATCTTGTCCATATTCTCCAAAAATTGAGAACGCTTTCCAAACACATTCAATAACTTGGTGGCCATCCATCGAAAAGGTCCCTATGCAATATTTTGAGATAAACCACTCGAATTCGCACCACACAACAACACACTTACCACAATGCATTTAAATGTGAAATTATTAAACACTAATTTACCAACAATGACAGCCAACACTTGATTAATGGCTCCAAATATTAAAATCATATAAAGTTTTTGCAGTAAATCCAATGAAAATGATGTCGCCATATCTTTGAAGAATAATGTAGGAATAAATAAATTGAACCAAATCTTTGATAGAAACCTGAATCGGACCAAATCATCACACCAAGATTTCGTGTGTCAACAACACACTTACCTGATGTGTTCTGCTGTAATGATTTTCATTTTGGTTAGAAGAAAACCAATCGAACACTCGACAATGACTTCAAAAGTGGACGAGAAGCTGGTAATAAACAATGAGGCCTGAAATGCAGCGGATGACGTTGTGGTCATGTTTTTCAATATTGTGTTAAAAAACAAATTCCGAATGATAAATAGTCGTCGAGTAATTATTTTGTCTGTTAGATCTACTACTATGAAATAGAGGATGTTATTCAGGTACTAGTTGTTGAAAATTGCACACGCGTACATCCACACCCGAATTCCTTGTTGCAAACGATTGGTTTGGCTCACTCCAATCAAATTGGACAATTTTTAGGAAAGTTGCACAAAAAACAATTTTGAACTCCACACACCGAATTGGCCATGTTACTTCGAAAATCATCATTGTCATCATTACTTTCCTGTCATCATCGTTGCATAAAAACAACGAGCAGTACCACACCATTGAAGTCATCTCTCATTCATCATGATTCTGTAAAATTAAAATTATTATTCATTGAAAACTATTCCAACGGAGTTGCTCAAGCACATGCTCATTTTCATCATCATTCCTTTATTGCTCTGAATTCATCCAATAATTCATCCAAAATTTTGCTCAAAAACACAACAGTCGGAACCACTCCCACGAAACCTCTCAAATTTAAAGCATCATCATCGGATCCAAATAATTCATCTTCTAAAGGCGACTCGAAAAGCAAGCCAAAAAGTAATTTCTTTTTCAATTTAACACTCGGATGCTCATTGGCAATATTTGCATTGATGCAATACGTTAACTATCATGAAGATCTTGATCCAGATGCAAATAATGATGATTGGAAGCTGTTATTTTCTTCTTTGGAAGGAGAACAAGATCCATCAAACCATACCAAGGTCAAATATTCGGTGTTCACTAAACGGCATCACTTCAAGATGAACGAGTTTATTGCCATGTCTTCCAATTCATATATTACACAAGTGCAAGACGAGGAAGGTGGTGAGAATTTAATCGTGCTCTACAATCCCATCAAGCTCACGGAACAAACCAAACAACATCTTAATAGCTTGTTCTCTCCAAATCTTAGAAATACTTTTGTAATTGTTCTTCCAAATACTGAACATACGTCCTTCTTTGGAGATTATTATCACGATTATTGCTACAAGGAGGCTTCGAAAAAGCACAATGCTCGAGTTTTATTTCTTTGTCAAAAAGATGCTAAGGACATGTTTATTGAGCTAGCAAGGAAGAATATTGTTGTAAGAAAAGAAACCCCAGTGACAGCAGAAATTAATATTGAGTCTGATTTGTTTATGGAGTTTGGAAGATTTTCTGCCGTCTCAAAGAAGGAGACAGCAAGAGATCAGAGAAAGGAGATTGTGGACCTGGTCACCAAACATTTTGAAATTATCAGAGTGAAAGGTATTGACCCAAGAGTTGAGGAAAGTTTACTTTATCACAAAGCATCGAAAACTCTAATGGCTTGTGACCTGATTATGAACTTAGAAGGCCACACAGCTCAAGATCCTATTATCAAACTGAAACGTCCACAATATGAGCCTTATGTCTTGAAATACTCTCGACATTTTAAGTTTGGAAAGGAGATGGATGCTCCCTATCTCGACAAGAACATGTTACATGATATTCCAAAAATCAGAGAGTCTCTCAATCAAGCGGTTCGCTTGCCATGGAATGGTGTAGGAATGGCTCATGGAAATACCATTGTGATTGAGAACACACCTGAAGGAAGAAAGAGAGAGGAGGAATTAAAACAAAAGTGGCTATCTTCTTGGGAATCTAAATTCACAGCTTAGTAAAAGAAGGATGCTCTCTATTTTGGTAGGTACAGAGATTGGATTTTGGCATACAAAAAAATGAGCAATAATGTCATCACGCTACAAGTTGGACAATGTGGAAATCAGGTTGGACACTCATTTTTTAAAGCCTTATCCTCGCAAATAATTCAAAAGAAAACATCGTCTACAATGATCGGAACACAATCAATACTTCATGAGGAAACTGTTTTACCATTCGGGGATGGAGCTTTGGATTGCTTTTTCAGACCAAATACATCAAATACTGGAGATTCAATGATAGCGAGAGCAGTACTTGTAGACATGGAGCCAAAAGTTATACAACAAACACTAAATTTAACGAATCGGAGAGCAGAGGGAAATTTATTTGAATACAGTGCCGCAAGCACGTTTCACAAACAATCGGGAAGCGCAAATAATTGGGCCTATGGATTTAATTTTCATGGGCCAAATTCTGCTGATGCAATCATGGATATTGTGCGGAAAGAAGCTGAACATTGTGATGGATTGTCTGGATTTATGCTTCTTCAGAGTATGGCTGGAGGCACAGGATCAGGGCTTGGATGTTATCTTTCGGAGCAACTTCGTGACGAATTTCCTCATTCTTTCATTTGCAATCAAGTGGTTTGGCCTCACGAAGCTGGAGAAGTTATTGTTCAAAACTATAACACACTTCTCACACTACAAAAATTATATGAAATTTCAGATGCTATTTACATTTTCAAAAACGATCAACTGGATCTTACCTGCAAACGATTAATGGGAATTCCAAGCCCCTCGTTTAATGACATGAATAAGGTAATTGCAGATCATCTCACATGTCTCACATTACCAAGTTATCATTCAAACAACCCAGAACAAGAATGTCAGTTACTATTTGACCCAATTCAACACTTGTGTGCTCATCCAGCATACAAAATTTTGAATTCTAGAATTATTCCTCACATATCTTCAAAAAGCAAGGATTACAGCGTTTTTAGATGGGAAGGTTTATTAAAACATTTACATCAAATGCTGATTGCTGACGCACCGATTGAAGAATGCATTAACTGGAAGCTCAACACCACAGATAAGAGATGGTTTGGCTTTCTTAATAGATCCATTTCAAATTTAATGATTTTAAGAGGAAAAGAAATTAGTGGAATACCTGCCGACAGTATCAGTCCATTCTTTAACAAGAACATTTACTCTAGTTTTTTGTCTCCTAAAGAGGCAATGAAATTTTATCTTAACGAAAACCCTGTTGGATTCAATGGTTTTGAGAAGACTGCCTATTTGTTGAGTAATTGTCAATCCATTGTCTCTCCTCTTGAAAAAGTAATTTCAAAAGCGTTCCAAATGTTCAACGCAGGAGCTTATTTGCATTACTACAGCAAATACAAAGTTGGAAAAGAAGAAATGGAGGAAATGTTTATTAGGACAGAACAAGTATTATTCGACTACAAAAATGTGTAATTAGAGATACAGAGTGCCGTAAAGAAAATTTTGGAAGGGGATTGGAGTATGTGGTGGAAAGTTGGATCATCATTCACTAATGGTAATACAAGTGATCGATGGCTTTTAGTGAAATGTCAGAAAATGCCCTGTGACCACTCTTTTTAGTTTGCTTGAGCATTCTGGCCTTGGTTTCCTCTTCTTCTCTACTGCTGTTCCAACTTATCAGAACAAACGATACATCACTCCCAGAACCCAGATCTGCAACTTTGTATTGATCATGAAGCAAGTATTTGGCAAGAAGGCCATTTCCCTTATCAGATGTTTTTGTGGATGGAGTAATGAGGCCACTCAGAGTTATGGAGTCTGTGTTTTCATCATAATCATCCTCTATTGAGTTGGAGAAGCTGCTATCTGTGTAGATGTATTTATCCTCAGAAACCAAGAATACATGATAATATCCAGAATATAATTTACAAGGGAGTGAACATTTGGAAATGTTAAAATTGAGCGATCCGTCTGTTTGAGTCCACTTTTTAAGAATGTGTGGCGAGGCAGCCTCCGCATAGTACAAGTCACTACACATATGCCCACCGATACATCGTACAATGTTTGAAATCCTTTTTGGAGTTGTTAGTTTTTCTCGTTCAATAATGATAATTTCAGAATTCGCTGTAGGATGATGAGAATATATATTAAGACGATTATCCAACTTGTACTTACATGTGTGGATAGCAATTCCAGAATCTGTATGAAAAACATCAACAATTTGGCAATTTTCGTTAAATTCCTTACTAATTTCCATCAAATAGGTGTCTTCTGTGGCTGTTGCTCCAATCACTTCACCACATGCATAGAGTTGACAATTATTCATCACAATGGACGTTGAGAAGGTACCACAATCTAAATGAGTGACTTTGTTAATGTTAAATGGATCAACATTAAAGTTACCATTCTCAATATTCTGTATCATCGATTCTGTTAATTGTAATGGATTGAACTTTTCATTATTGAGGTATTGAAACGTATGTGTTTGTGGCTTTCCAAATAGTTGGCCAAAGTAAGAGTGACCACTTCCGAATACCAAGTTGTTATTGAGGACAATCATGGAATGGAACCAACCACATCCAATTTTGTCGATGGAATGAATCTTTTCAAATTTCTTATTGAGCTTTTCGAGTAGAAAGGTTCGTGTTTTTTCATTTACCTAGAAATCATATGTATGATCACACCTATAAATTTAACCTAATCCTTTAAATACACATACCTTCATTGTTCCTAACTTATTTTCAAGCAATGCCAATTCCATCTTCTTGGCATGTTGCAATTCTTTCTTTAATAAATCTTCAATGGGCCGAAACAAGAACTTGGGAGTTTCATGCTCTAATCCGATTTGATTGTATGTGTTCATACCACAGACGAGCACTCTGTTATTGGTGGCTGTATTTTATGTGTGATCAACAACAACAACATTTGCTTCAAACATTTTTCAGAAACTGAGTAGTCTACTTACTTGAAAACATCAAACTCGACCTCCCAACAGCAACCTTGTCAATCAACGACAATGTTTTTCGGCTCTCTTCTTCGCTCATTTCCAACAGCTGCGTCACTTCAGTAAATTCAGTTGCTCTTTTCACATCAGCAGACAATCCCTGTGTGATCCGCATCACAGAATCAAAAGTTTGAAACTTTAAATATTGACAATTCTTGAACCTACCAATTGTCCATCCGTATTGAATCCTTTCGTAAACAATCGTGTATTATGTGGTCGCAAAGTCATTTCCGAATCAACACCAATCGGTTTGTTATTCAACAACAACAATAGAAAGTTAATGGTTTTTTGATGTGTGCACACACAATTCGGAAAGCTTTTTGAAATGGTTATATGAACACCACTGCAATTCGTTTTTTTAATTATTGAGTGTGTGGAGTGAGTGATTGATAATGTTTGAATGAGAGGATGTTGAGTGCATATGCAGCACAACTCCTTAGCTTACCTAAAAAGACAAGTCCCAATGCCCTTGACATCAACGCTTGTCATTTTCAACACAACCACCACCGTGATGCATCATGTTCCAATGATCACCAATGATATCGCAATATTCTCGTTGTTATATTCAATATTCAAATTGCAATAACAAATTCTTAAATCCTGATGAAAATTTATTGATGACAAGCTGATTTTTCAAGATCATGATTGAAAGAAGATCCTTGATGAGAACTATCACCTAATATGGTTTGTTTTTCTGCCAATTTTCTATAAATTCCATCTTCCATTGCAATGAGCTCAGCATGTGTTCCCTTTTCCTTAATTTCACCTTTCACTAACACATAAATCACATCACAATTTTGAATGGTCGACAATCGATGAGCAATTGAAATGGATGTTCTTCCTTTCATTAATGTTTCCAAAGCAGCTTGAACCAAAGCTTCAGATTCAGTATCTAATGCGGACGTGGCTTCATCTAACAATAAAATCTTTGGATTTTGTAAGAGAGCTCTGGCAATGGCAACTCGTTGTTTTTGTCCTCCTGAAAGTGAAATTCCTTTTTCACCAAGTAGGGTATTGTATCCATTGGGAAGATCCATGATGAAATTGTGACAGTTGGCAGCTTTTGCAGCTTGTTCAATTTGTTCATTTGATACATTTTCATTTCCAACAGCATAGGCAATGTTTTCTCGAATAGTTGTTGCAAATAAGATGGGTTCTTGTGTCACAATTCCAACTTGACAAACCACAGTCATCAAATGTCAACAACCCCAAATAAAAGTACTTACCATTTTTGTGCAACCATTTGGGATCGATATCCTTAATATCTACACCATCAATGAAAACACTTCCTTCCTCTGGATCATAAAATCTTTCTAATAAACCAACAATGGTTGATTTTCCAGAACCAGAAGGTCCAACAAGAGCAATCGACTGACCCGTTCGAATGTCCAATGAAAAGTCTTTGAGGACAGTGACATTGGGACGAGAAGGATAAGAGAATTTCACATTCTTGAATTCTATTTTTCCGACCTCTTGTCCTAAACTCTTTCCTCCTTTAAAAGGAATGGCTGGTTGTCTTTTAATGACTAATAACAAGGTTCTTTGAGAGTTCATGGCTTTGGAAATGTCTGGCAACATGATAAATGCTTGGGCCATTGAGAAGATTCTTTTTCAAGAGTTATTGTTTTCAATATTACCATATTATTCATTTAAATTGTTATATTTTGCACTTACGCAAAGATTAATAAACCAAATACTTTGACCAAATCACCAATAACAATCACTCCATCGACAACCAAATTTCCACTTTTAAATGATCACACAACAACAATGATATTCTTGTCTTGCATAATAATACTTACGCATACCTATTAATGTATATATGAAATCATGATATTCCATGAAATTGTTCTATAGTGTAACAACAACTTACCAAAACGCAAGAGAGGTTGTACCCCACAAGATCAAATTTTCAGAACCCATACTCACTCCCTGTGTAAATGCCTTCAATAAGCCATACAAATGAAGCTTTTTAAGAATGAATGCAAATTGTACTTGTTCTCTCTCTTCACATCCCATACTTTTCACAGTTTTAAATGCAGAGACAACTTCTGTTGCTTTGGAGGCACTCTTGGCAATGATCTCTCCCGATCTCTTACTAATCATTTCAGTGAACTTTCCCATAATTCCACCAATGGCAATCATTAATGGAGCAGTGGAAATGGTCACACCTGTCATTTGAGGACTACTCACAAATGCAAGAACCAAACCAACAATAATGGTCGTCAAGTGTTGCATGACAGAGGACAATTTGTTGGTCCAAGCATCTTGAATCCTTGAAATGTCTTCACTCATGGCAACGGTCAATGCTCCAGTTTGTTTGATATCAAAGAAGGCAACTTCTTGACGAGTCAATGCGTTGAAATATTCCCTTCGTAATGAAATACCAATTCGTTCACTGGCCCAACTCAAGAAAAATTGAGCCATAAAACTCGAAACCATTCCTCCAATAGCAACACCTGTGAATTTCAATGAAATGATGGAGATGGCATTTCTCATTTCATCTTGAGTAGGCATGACTCCATTCACAGGTTGGAAGATATTAATCAAGTCACCAAATATGAATTGAAAGACCAACATGATGACACCAGTTCCCATCGAACCTAACATTCCTAACAAGATTAAAATCCAACTCCATCCAAATGATTTAAAGATGGTCCAATGGTCATGATAACGAATTTTGGGTTCTCTCGAGTCTTTGATTTGTTCTTCTTGTGTGGAAGGATCCTTCTGTTGAGACGAGGAGGGTGCAGCGGGATCAAGATTCTTCTCGACCATACGATTGTTGTTGTTGCTGTTTGAATTTTCTTCTTCTTTGGGATGGATTTCGGGCATTTTGTTTGTGATTGAAAATGGTGAAATTCGAGTGTGTGAGAGAATTTATGGGATCCATACTGTGTTCGAAATGTGCGCCTCGCCGAGGAGAAGAAAAAATTGTAATCCCGCACAACATCGATTTTTGAATGGCTTCTTTCCCAATTCATTTACTTCATTAACTTCACCAACAAATCAAAATGTGTGCTATCTGTGAATGTCCCATTCCTGAGTGTCTATAAAACTCGAGATGAAATTGTTGGGCTTGTCTCATAAATGCACGATTTGAGGCTGCTTTTTTTAACACTGTTGTAAGGTATTGAGATGGTCTTCAATTTTTTTGAACACTCCTCCATAAAAGTAGAACTTGGCAATTTTGTATCTGGACTGTAAGAGATGATACGCCTTCAATTCTGTCTTTAACATTTCCAAATCATTGGTGATATTTCTTTTCACTTCTGCCTTAATGACCTTTTGGAAATGATATTCTGCAGCAAATGAAATATGGAGAAGCATATCAAACGGAAGCATGTTGAATTTGGGGTTACGAATGGCATTGACAATGGATTGTGCACTCGATTCGATCGTGTATTCAATCATTGGAGTTCTATTGGAGCATTTTGATAATAAGGCAATTCGACATCCATTCTCTGCAAATTCATAATACAAATCCACAAGAGAAGAATTACCAAAGACAACTTGTTCATACCTTTTTGCTTCATTAAAAAGGGTTTGAACAAGAGCATTGACTTCCATGCAATTTGTGGAATCGATCAAGTGTGGATTTTTGAGATAATACTCCCAATCATGATTGGATTCAGAGAGTTGGTCAGTTTTGAAATATGTAAATACTGCTGGTATTGCAATTAGAAATCGTTCAAAGGTCATTTCGTGAAGATTCTTTTTGTCTTGAGTGTTGAATATAGTATGTTCCAAGTAATAAATTGCGGTCATGAAAATAGCTTTGTGTTTTTCATCTTGGGATGGATCGTTTTTCAGTCCCTCTTTGAAAAAGAGTAAAATGTGAAAATAAAACTTGGATGTGTCCAATCGCTCAAACCACAATTCATACAAGCACAAGTTGAGATAGGAACAAGCCACTCTCAAACTTGAGTAACTGTCAAACACTTGAGAAAGATGTTCCTTCGCTTGTTTGGCAGATTGTTCAGATTTCTCAACTTGTCCCATTTGACATTCACATGTTGCCTTGATCGAATAATAGAGAGCAGCCAATTCTTTCATTTCATTGTTAGAGAATGTTCGAGTGTCTGAATTCGGCGATGATGACTGTTTGTTAGAGCTCAACAAAAATTGTTCCAATTCTTGTCTTGAAACCATTTGATAACAAGGTTCCACAAAATATAAATCCAAAATTGCAACATCTTCCTCTTTCAGACAAGTATTATTCTGTGTTGCTTTGGGCTTTCTTTTACAATTGGTTGTGGTCGTATAATTACAGGGTGTTCCTCTTAATTGACATGCATGACATGTTGGTTTTTTTCGATCACATTTTCGATGTTGAGAACGACAAGAATCACAAGAAATTGGTGAAAAATCATTTTCAACGTTTGATGATGATGATGTGGTTTCTCCCTCCTTTTTCTCTACAGCCTGTGAATTGGACATCCATTCAACATTCATGGTTAATTCATTGTCATTGTTACAATCGTCAAAGTTTACAATTTGATTTGATTCAAAAAACAAATCATCAGGAAAGTGAAAGTCAAGGAGCATGAATGGATTCATTTTTGTTGTTGTGTTTTATGAGGAATCCTTTGCAAGAGATGAAAAATCTCATCTGCTGCCTGTAAAATGTGCTTCTCCTCGGGTTGAGGATATTTTTGCGCACCGCCAAAATTGAAAATTTTAAAACCGAGGGACGAGAGTTGTTGTTCATATGCAGAAAGTTATTCATCATTGTTACAAAAACATTGATACTTTTGGCGATGAGCAGTTGGTATTTCATCTGGCATTTCGGCCTTAATATCCGCATTGATACTCTGAAACAAGTGAATTAAATTTCAGTGTGTCATCCCAATACCATCCTGAACAAATTCACGTGTACATCATCAAATTTCCATGAGCTACGAAACTTCCTTTTTTATCCAATTCATAAACAGTATGGCATTTGGATCACACGATTGTCATCTGTTACCTTTTTTCATCCAAAACGAACCCAACAAGTGTTCAAGGTAATGACATTCTCTCTCGTTAGTGTCACATTGACCAACATCCATCATTCTTCCATTTCTAACATCAATGAGCATTGAAATACACAACAAACAAAATAGCACACATTGAGTTAGGACTGACTCGAATCCAATTGGCCATCCATCACAAACACCTTTCGACGCGAGTACTCATTGTGTCATCATCTCTGTAAATTTTACAACCAAAATTTACACCGTCTCTACAATCACCATATTTAGTCCATTTGGTGTTTAGAATTGATTGAAATATACTCATCACACTCTTTTCAAAACAAAATCCTAATTGCTCTCTAATTCTCTCTCATTCTGATTTTAAATACGAATTGCGACAATTTTTCGAAAACCATCATCATGAACGTTGACACCATCCTTGTGACTCCATTATTGTGATTTTCCAAAAAGTGCGAAAAAAAATCGAGTAAAATCGAAAACGACTTGCTCAAATTCGGTCAACCCTCATTTTTTGGACGTTTCTTCCCGAAAACGATTTTGCTTGATGTTGACGAGATTCGATGTTGATGCTATTCGTGCAAAGTCGAAAAAATCGATTATGATCGACCTGAATCGATTTCCTCAACACGATTCATTTCTCAACGTCGATGATTTTCGTCCAAAATCGAAAAAATCAATTATGATCGACCTGAATCGATTTTCTTGATCGTCAGAGTTGAAAAAATCGATCATGAAGAACCTTTAATCAAATAAACTCTGATAATTTGCTTCTATTTGATTTTTCTCCTCTTCCTCTTTTTGCCTAATCTTCTCTTTCTTTACCTCAATCAATTTTGCAACTTCATTCACCAATTTGGTCAAAGGTTTTACATACTGTTCCTCTTGTTTTGCAATATCTTCTTCTTGTTTTTTAAATCTCTCAAGTAACTCCTCCTTTTCTTTCTGAATTTTCAATAATTGATCTGCAATAACTTTTGAATTATTTTCTTCCATGTCTTTCATAGTTTTTAAAAACTTTGTCGAATTTTGCATATCCTTATCATTAGTATCACAGTCTTGTTTAGCGTTAATAAAAATTTGCTTCTTTAACTGATCCAATTTGAAAATCTGGAATTCTAAAACAGGTGATTTGAACGTAGTAACTTGTGGTGTTGACTCAGGTTTTGGATCAAGATCAAACATATCATGCAAATCCATGCCACATATATCAAGCTCAGGAGCCATTGAAGGTGTTTCCTTGGTCTTTGACTCGTCCAATTCTTTCTTAATGACCAATGATTTTTCTTGAATAGAAGCAAGAGCTTTTTTGAATACAGGAGAGACGCTTTTGTCTGTATCACCTTTTCTTGTACGCTTTTTCGCATTGTCTCTCAATTTATCTTGCGCTTCTTTATACATAACTTCCTGCAAATCGTTGCCATTATCATCAATCCAATCCAAATCATCTTTCTCATCATCCCGATCTGAATGTTCTGATTCGCTGTCACTACTGTCACCTTGAATTTGTGAAGCCAATGATTGTTTTTTGTTGGAGTGAGCAGAAATCTCTTTTTCAATCTCGTTAACAATCCATTTCTTGTTTTCTTGAATGAAAGTATCAAAAAAATCTTTCACACGTTTGTCATCTTTTGGGGCGTTGCATGTTGCTGGTAAACCATCTTTGTATTTTCTTGAACCTTTAGCAGTAGGAAATGTGAAATTTGTATTTTTTTTTGTTTCTAATTGGAGCTTCTTGAAAACTTTGCTTGCTGCTTTTGAATTTGTCATTCCATGAGAATAGAGCTCATTTGAACAAATAGGTAATGTGGTTGCGAGTATTTCGCAAAAACGATCAAACGTGTTCCACTTTGTTTTGTCTTTGCCCATTTTTTTTCAGTGAGAAAACCGTTGTTATTGTTTTTTGACGTTGACACAATCGCACAAAAAACAAGACGCCGTTGAGTTTTTTTTATTCCGAAACAAATCAACGTCGTTCAATTCAACATTTTCGATATGAGAACATTAAACAATTCAACATAATCGAGCAGAATTGATTTTCTCAACAATTTCTTATCAATTTTTGCTCGAAAAAATCGATTTCCACATGGTAAAAGCAACTCAACATCGATTCTCAAACGATGAAAGACGAGTTTTCAAACAAAAGACATGTGTCCAAATATCTCAAAAACTAAGACCATATATCCAAGGTCAAAAATTAGCCCCAGAACAAATTGAGTTCATTAAATTGGTGTGTGGAAAGTATGGAGATAAACCAAAGGTCTTGCAACAAATTTTACCTTTCGCACCTTCGACGATTTACAAATATTGCAATGAAATACAAAAAGAAAAAGCTCTCGGAAGGCCTCCACATTCAGGTAAATCAACCCACCTCTCTGTGTTAAGATTTATTGATATCATATTCAGTGAATATAATACTGTTAATTATGCAGAAGTACGTCAAATAGTTAAAGATTATCTTGATGTTTCAATTTCCGTATCTCAGCTCTCCAAAATAACGACAAAATATTTGTTCAGGACATATAAGAAATGTGAAAAAGTATCAGTATATCGAAAAAGCCCAAGAGTACAATCTCAAAGAACTGTGTACAGGCGAACTATTCGAACCTACAAAACAAGAATCATGTTTTTTATTGACGAATCGCATTTCTGTTATGACCATTTGATTAGAACAAGGGCTCACATCAAAATTGGCAACACTTGTCAAAACAGTGCGCACAGAGTGAGTGGAAAACGTTTTTCATTATTGGCATGCATTAACGAGAGAGGAGGTTTGGTTTACTGGGAACTTGTCGATACAACTAACAAAGCAATTGATGCTGATCGATTTAATATATTTCTGACAACATTGAGCAAATTGATCCCAAAAGATTGTATTTTAGTTCTTGACAACGCATCCATTCATAAGGAAAAAGAAGTTCATAGTATAATGAATGGCCAAGGTATTAGTGTGTTTTGGCAAAGCCCATACTCTCCTGACTTCAATCCCATTGAATTGCTTTTCGGATGGATGAAAACACAGTTGAAAAACTATGAACATTCGGTTGACTCTCTCGAAGAGATAATGGAGCAGGTGTTTGATCAAGTTACACCCAAGTTAATCAAATCGTTTGTTCATCATTGCAAGGAAATCTGGCATGATGAGACAAAAACTTAATAAATTTCGAGTTTGATTGAAATCGATTTTGAAGGATTTCGATGTTAAACAACATCAAGTCAAAACGACAACGCATCAATGTCGCTCATTTCGATCTCGAAAAAAATCGCGAAAAAATCGTCGATTTTTTATTCGCACTTTTTCGAAAATCACAATATCATCAACGACAATGACAACAACCACTTCTATGAACACTCTTGTCGTGAGTGCCTCCATTCAACAACAACAACAACTCATCGATGTCCTCTCGACAGCCACAACCATTGGTACTCATGTCAATGTTCAACAAGAGTCATCATCAGAACCCAACTTTACAACAACAAATCTCATGACACAAAACAGCCAAATTTTTACAAATGAGGCTCATTCTCTCTCTTCGAACCATCAAGAACGTGACAGGAGCAGTATTGAAAGAGAATCCTCTTTTGACCCACTTGCAGAACTCAAAGAATCACCAAAAGAAAACAACATCTCAACCAACAACACAACAACGTCATTGAATTGTTGTTCCGTTTGTCAAACCTTTGCAGAAGAGATATCATCATCGATTCGTAGTAGTAATAACACACCGCATGGTTTGTTCAACGTTGCAAAACCGAAACAACCAAGTATATCATTATCATCAACGAACGATCATTCTCCTCACGTCTCTAATAATACCATAAATCCTCACGACGAGAATATGGGACTCATGATGAGTAGTTATTACAATCATGTCATCATGGAATCAGCTGATCAAGAATATTTAGCTCAACAGCAAACATTCCGTTCGCACCATCATCATCATTATGACGCAGCAGACGATGAAATTCCTATTGATGCTGTTGATGTTACTTCATGCCATGGTCCAGTGCCACTTGTCAACGCATCATCACACCACACGTTAGGTGACTTGCCATTTGAAATGCTCTTCCACATTCTCACATTCCTTCCTCATCAAGATGATCTTACTCATGAATATGAAAAGTATTGGAGTTCTCGAGAGAGATGTATGAGAAAGCTTCATGCTGAATCGAAAAAGTTTTCTTCTTCTTCGGGTGTCCAATGGAGACAACGATTCGTTCGGAACTTGATTGAATCCAGTCAATCATTGTCCCAACAACAGCAACAGCAACAACAACCACAGAAGGATCATTCCACCACCACAACATCATCGCCAATCAATGTCATGGTCGACGCAAGCATTGGTGGATGTTCGGCAGCAATCACGAATTACCCTTCCGATGGCCATGGATCCAGGTGTGGATGTTGCTTCGATTCAACAACAATCTGTCTTTGACAACAAGTATGGAATCTTCTCATTGTGCTTTGTGAATAGTCACTTGTATTATTCCTTGTTCAAGAATGTACACTTTTGGCAATTAATTTGTGAATTCTATTTCAATTTACCAAAAACAGAGAATTCAGAGCCACCGGTTGATAGAAAGACATTGATTAGTATTTATGGAAAGGAGCCATTTGAGAGAGAAGATTCTCCAACTACCATGTCAAAAATTGTCAAACTAGGTGATTGGCTTCAAACCATGTTAAATATTTCCAACTCTTCAGAATTGAACATTCCAGATGCTCTTGGAACTGAATGGCAAGTGGTTTCAACGGGAGCTGTTCAAACGTCTGGAGCTAATGCTTCTCTTTTCATTAGCACCAACAATACTTGTTATCATCAAGAGCTTGCATTGTGGCAATACAGTTATCACTATTTGCATTGCATTCCTGCAAGATTTGATCAAGATTCTCGATACATGTTACCAATATTCCAAATGGTGACAAAACCATCCTCTGTTGAAGATCCAAGTGAGCTTGAAATGTCTGCTATCAGTGAATTGACTAGAAAGAGTTGCATGTATAATACTTGCATTCAGAGAAGTATTGAAACTGATAACAAAAAGTCACCTAATGACTATCGATGGAGAAATGCAACCAGTTCAAGAACATTTTCACCTAATAATTTGTATTATTTTGAATTTTATGTTGAAAAGATTGGTGGTATTAATTTGGGTGTTGGTTTAGTTCCAAATATTCACTTTACTGCTCCTGAAGGATCCAATCCGGTACCAAAAGATTTCAATCCAACTCATTTTGATAATTATATTTGGCCATCTGGAAGTTGTCACCACTGTTTTGAAATTAATAACCAACGATACTACTCTGGAGATGTGGTTGGTATGCTTGTTGATTATAGTTACTCTGAAAAGAATGTTTTGAAAATTCACTTTTGTCACAACTGGCACAAGAAGGATAAGAGAAGAGCTTTATTCAACAAATTGAAAAAGATTAGAGAGATTGAAACAAAACTTTCTGAGAACCATCACAGTTCATTCTCAGTCGAAAGTGTGGACGATGAATTGTGTGCCTTCATTCTCGATGATGAACTTAAGGAATTACAATCTAAGGCTCAAAGTAATATTACTACCAGCGCTGCTGACGATGAAGAAGACATCAATTATCCATTTAAGGAAAATCAAATGAGACTCATTTACTTTACAGATGACATGCAAACTCAATTTCCTGAATGTGTCATTGGTGAAGGTAGAAATGAATTGATTTCCTTTATGAAAGTTAATAGCAAGGACCAACACAATTCTTCTCCTTCCAAACGTAAAGATGTGAAAATTGATGTTCAATCTCAGAGACCAACACCAAGCAAGAAAGAACTCATTCTCCCTGATTTTAAATTATGTGTCACAACCTATGACAAGGACGATTCTGTTTCCTTGATTCGACCATCTCAACCCTATCCTCCATTGTATTATCACCTCCAAAGAAAAGGCAGATATGACAGACAAGATTTTATGAAATCATTGCATGAAGAACAATTTTCAGAATTTGAAAAGAAGGAACTTCGAAAACTCTTACTCGATGAGATTAATGATTATCATTCTCAATGTAAGACGACAACATCAACTGCCACAAGCACTAGTACTTCTACGAGCGCTTCGAACGATAGGAGTAACAAGTGTCTCATCATGTAAAAATTGTATTTTAAATGTATGATATTTCCCGTCCATTGATGGAAGGGAAAAACAACAACTACTAATTCCTCTCTCTCCCTCCTTGAACCAACTGAACCTATTAACTGTGATCATTGAATCATAAAATTGAATAATAATACACTAAATGAGAATATTAAAATAACGTTTGACATACCCAAAATTCTTGATGATGCGAAGCGATAAGAATTCTCACCCATCGATTCTCGAATTTCTCAAAAAATGTCTCAACGTGATGACGAAGAAGGCTACAACGAACGTGTGGTTGGAACAACGCCAAGTTCATCCGCTTCCTCCACCGTGAATCACGACCTGCAACAACAATTACCTCCCGAAGAAGAAAATAATGAAAATAATAATGATATTATATTTGAAAAGGATTCCAAAATTCGTAAAATAGAAGAGAATAGAGAAGCACAAACTCTGCCCAACAATCATGTTTCCGAGATTGCAGAAAGAGGTAAAAGCAAAGTATTGGCCATGATGAAACGTATGGGATGGGAAGGAGAAGGTTTAGGAAAGAGTAATCAAGGCTCCGCCTCTGCTTTGGATCCACAAGTAAACCTCGGAAGAGGAGGACTTGGTTTGAAATCTTCCATGAATCACTTTTCTGAAACAGCATATGGTAATGATCATGCAGATAGTAATTATCAATTACCTTCGAATTTTGTCATACAAAGACATGCTAGCGATGATAGAGAATATTCACATAAGGAAAATGTCATATGGCTGTCATGTAAGCAAGAGAATAGACATCAATATGTTGGAACAGGTGGTTTGAAACAATCTTATGAATCATCAACAAACATTGATGAGAACACTGATGATTTTGATCCAATTTATCACATTGTTAAACCAGTTTCTAAAACATTAGATCCATCATGCATCGAACCAAGTACTGTAAATGAAGGTCAAAACACATTCACAGATCCAGAAATTATGAAATCAATATTTAAAACGAAGGCAGAATTTGACGGCCTACCAGAACGGTTTTTCATTGATGCTCGATTCAGGTCAAACCCTTATGAAAAAATTGGAAAATCCATATTTCAAAACAGAGCTGCTGTCAAGCTAGCAAATATTGACATGATCACAAACCTTACCAGTGTCGATGCTTTGCCTCGTCTTCCAGAAGAGAACAATATTTTATATTTTGCAGATATTTGTGCTGGTCCGGGTGGATTTACTGAATACTTATATTACAGATACAAAACTACAAACGCTAAAGGATGGGGTTTCACATTAAAGAATGAAAAAGATGATTGGAAATTAGAGAAATTTAACAGAGAGTCTCCACATGACAATTTTGAATTGAACTATGGTGCTGACGGAACAGGTGACATTACAATCAATGAAAATATGCTTGCATTACGTGATGCCATCAATAGAGGAACTAATAACAGAGGAGTTGCGTTGGTGACTGGAGATGGTGGTTTTTGTGTGGACGGTGTCGAAAATTCTCAAGAATATCTCACACAACAGCTCGTATTATGTCAATATCTGACAGCGTTAATGGTATTGCGGAAAGGTGGAAGTTTTGTTTGTAAATTGTTTGACTTGAATACTTGGTTCTCTGCCTCTCTCATGTATATTTTATACCAACACTTTGAACAAATTTCTATTATCAAACCATTCTCCTCAAGACCAGCAAACTCTGAACGTTATGTTGTGTGCAAAGGGCTTTTACAACGTAGTCCACCAATAATAGACTTTTTGTTGCAAGTCAACACAAAAATTGCCTCAAAAAAGGCAATCAAATCGTTGGTGCCATGTTCCATCATGGAAAATGATAAGGACTTTGCAGATTATTTGACAACATCCAACAACACTTTTGCTAATGATCAAGAGTACAACTTGAAACGGCTAAAGATGGCTGTTGAAGACAGATATATTGAAATTAAGGAATTACAATTTAAACTCAAGGAGTTGTGTTTAAAAGAATGGAATTTACCCAATCCTCAATATGATAAACGACAAGGAAACAATAGTCATTACAACAACAATAGGAGGCGATATGACGATCGAGGAGATCACAAGAGAAAGTATGAAAATTACAGAAATGACAGCCATTACAACAATTATAACAGAAACCGACACTACAATGACAATAACAGGTCAAATAATGGGCGTGACAGCTCTTCAGACAGTTACTATGGCAATCGTAACAGGAATTACAATAATTATGGAAAACGACGATAATGAAATTAAATTCTCAAAATAATAAATTATTTTTCAAAATAATTATTGATATAAATAAATTAGTACTGTACTAACTGTCATTTCACGATGAAATCATACAATGTTCATTTTGAAATTCTGTCTGATTTCATGGTGAAATAACAGTATTAACAAAAAAAATGTCCAATTCTGTATTCATGATCGATGTTCACACTCACATGTATGATGAAAAGTTCCTATTACCTACCATCAGCTTCGATGATTCAAATAATAGAGACAAAGATTACTCGGAATTGGATCGAGTCATTGAAAACGCAACAAATCAAAATATTCAACGAATAATTGTGGTTAGTGAAGAGGGTAAGTGTTATTGACTCCTCTTCTTAGCGATCAACATCCTTCCTTCAGAGAACACGGCACATCAAGTGCTAGAGCTCTGTAAAAGATATCCGAACGTGATTAGAGGAGGAATAGGCTTACATCCGTGTTGTGTTTCCAGTGAAGAGCAAATTTATAGAATTCGTGATTTAATATTAAAACATCTGGATGAACTTTGTTGCATTGGAGAGGGTGGGTAGAATCATATCTTGTAATGATATTATCTGAAAACTCAATTTTTTAATTATTTCCAACAAAAATCCATTATTCAATAATTGAAAGTTGGACTTGATTTCACTCCTGGAGTATTGAACGGTATATTAGAAAGAAATCCTCATTTACAAAGTATTGAACAAGTCAAACAATTACAACGCAAAGCGCTTGAGGTTTTCATTGAATTGAGTAAGGAGACTGGTCTTGCCTTAAATGTACATTCTCGTAGTGCTGGAAGGCCAACCATACAATTACTACATGAAAAAGGAGCCAGCAAAGTGCTCATGCATTGCTTTGACGGTAGTGCTAAAGTTATAAAAGAAGGGCTGACTTTTGGATATTATTTTAGTGTTCCAGCAAATGTCATTCGATCCAAACAAATACAACAGTTAGTAGAGATTGTTCCAATCGATAGAATTTTATTAGAAACGTAAGTGGTGTCCTCTGAGAATTCTCATTTAACTCTACGTATAGAGATTCGCCGGCTCTCGTTCCCAATCTTCCTGAACAGAAAGATTTTGCAACCAAGGAAGAGTTCGATCAAGCAATTAAGAAGGCAAGAAATGATCCGTCGAATATTCCGCTATCTGCGCAAATGATTGCACAAATCAAAAAATTAACTTTGCCTGAAGTCATTTTTCAAACATTCGAAAGCACAAAACGACTTTTCCCTAGAGCGGTTAAGTGACTCGAAAAAGATTAAATAAAATCGGTTCTCATAAAACTTTTAAAAATCCTTCTTGAATGCCATTTAAAATTTCCTCTTCTGAGTCTGAATCCTCCTCATGTGTTGATTTTGTTCCATTGTGTTATTATTGATGTTGTGGAGTGTTGTGATGCGTTGTGTGATGGAAGGATTCACTCATGTCAGGGATAGGCGACTGACTTGACTTTTAATCTTAATTTTTCGACATGCTTATTGATGGGATTTTTTTTTAACATCGTGTACATTTTAGCAGATCAAAATCTTGATGGTTTTTTTTCCTCTTCAGATTCTGAATCCTCCTCTGCAGGTGTGAATAATTCACCATGCTCACAATCAGTTACATCACTTGAGATAGGAGTATCCTTTCTCTTGAAATATTTCAGGGTTGACCTGGTTCTCAATACTTCGAAAGAAGATGAATAGCGAAAATATGATTTCTGGTTATTTGCTTTCTTGCCTTCTTGTTCAATTTCAGTGATGTCCATGCTACGAAAGTTAATTTGTAACTTTGAATTGGGGATGGTGTAAAGATGGAATTCATATTTCTTTTCTTCTTTGCTACTCTTTTTGGTTGTTTTTTTCTCCTTCTTTGTCTCCCTGCTTAATTTTGAATAATTGCGCTGCTGCTTTTCGTCTACGTTCTTTTTATAAATCCTATAGTGCTTTTCAATTTCCTTAGATATTTCTGAATTAAATTTAATGTGAGAGGCGTAGTAGCGATGTCTTCCTTTTAAGTACGACCATTGGTATTTGAACTTGCGTTTAGTTTCAACTTCAATGTTACTATAAGCGTCTGCAAAAAAGTTTCTATTCATAATTTTGTTGTTCATAAAATGATTTCAAAACGATTAATGGCGCTCATAAAACATACCTTTGATGAGGGTAGAAAGAACCAACATGTTGTCTTCCTGGCTCAAGTGTTATCCATTCTATAAATGGTGACAAGTGGCTTTGTGGGTTTTTAGGAGCAATTATTTCTTGCACATCATTCAATGAGCATTCAAAGAATGGTTTCTTGTTTAACTTATCCTTCAAATATTTGATTTTAGCCTGCAATCTGCTGAAAACCACTGTTACTGGGGTGTGATCATAAACTCTCTGAGGAAGATCAACTTGAAAATAGTCATGGTCTTTGGATGGTCGATAAACACTACTAAGAGAATTCTCGGTTTCTTTTAGTGTTTGTTTACCAGCAACACTTAGCATACTTCCATCACCACCTCGATGCTGTTTGAAATTGATATAAACATGCTTCATTAACAGAATACGTGCGAGACCAGAAACGTGGTTAATGTTTGAAAATCTTGAACGGCTGCGATAGCGGCGAGAATATCTTCTAGGGTAATAGAGAGATGGATTTGTAAGTTCACGACATACTCTCTTTGCATCATATCCTGGTACACCAATTCTGAACCCTCGCAAGCTGTATAAGTATTTCAATTGAAACATGCTTCATTGTAATGGAGATCAATGATAGACAATACATACCTATACTTCACAAGACGAACTTCATAACTGCGATGTGAAAAAGTAAATAACAATTTGGTAATTCAGCATTCATAAACTTACGTAGTCGATTGCCTGTCAGGATCAACAATGTTACACCTTGTGTTGATAGCTGAAAATAATTAATCCATAATAAAACATGCATCATTATTGTGTAAATGGAGATAAACATAGGTCATCATTGAACTCACTACATACCTTGGATAGCTCTTGGCAAGCAATAAACTTGTGTGCCATCGAATCCACAACAACAGCATGGAATGTCAAAACCACACAACACCTCTGAAGGACTTTTGTAAATTCTTAATATAATTTGAACGGGGCGAATCAAACCACTAAATTTGAACGTAATGGCATGTTCTGTTCTCATGAGCATGATGTCTGTGTATTTGTTGGATGTAGACTTATTCTCCTCTTCATCATCGCTATCTTCATCCAAAACCCATTTTGGTAAGCGTGCCAAATTCTTTTTGAATGCATTGTACAAATAAACAATCTTCTCCTCTGCTTGCTGTTCTGTGAGTCCATACAGGAAAAGATCAATGTCACTGTCCTTCCATAAATCAGAGGTACGATAATATTCGATAAGCTTCTGTTGTCTTGAAAGTTTTGGATTTTCTGGTTTCGAGCGTTTTCCTGTCTTCTTCATTTTTCTAACTTTTTCCTCATTACTTGAGCATGTTCTGTGGTTAAAATTGTTTTCGTCGTCTGAAGCAGTAAAATATTCGTCATCTGACAATGAGCCAGGAGACTCGTCACCAAGAGGAGAAATCTGTTCTCCATCATCGAAATCCCAGTATGACTTTGAATGAGCGTCTTGTGGGGCAACGTCATCATCATCATCACTTTCATGATTGTCATTTTCATCAGAGATGTCAGCTTGCAGTAAGCATGCCAATACTCCACCACCTGCACAGAAAACATTGTTCCAATTCATATCTCTGAACAATCCAAAACTGAATGCATTAAATTGTTCAATAAACACTTCTCTAGAGTCACATATTGTTGGTTGTGGTGGACACTTCAACTGTGAGAAATCATTGACCAATTCAGAAGCTTCGACCGGATCTTCAAAGTTGAATATCAACGGAATTGATGGCGGAGGATTTAAGCCTTTTTTGAAAATATCACTTCTGGTGCTATTTGTTTTGTTTCCATTCTTCAAGTCGAACACTCCAACTAAATGTAAATATGGATCATTCAATACAACATTTTCTCGAGCTGTAGCAAACAAATTTCTAATAAAATCTTCTTCTTGTTTGATTCTAATATTCGTTTCTCCAATGTCCTCAATAGGAAATCTCAATGGGTTTAAATGCTCAAGCAATGCTTTTAAATTAAATTCTTTTGCTTCCTTATAGATCAATTTTCTTTTGGAGTAATCCTTTGGAATGTTCATAGCGGAGCCTGTTTGCAAAAATTCGAAAATATGTCCAAATATTTCAGAATCTCGGTCAATAAATATTTCATCCTTCATACTTGGTTTAAGTTCTTTAAGAACGTCGTAGAAAATAGATCCTGTATGAATCAACAGTTTGTCAACACTTAACGAAAACTTTACACCACGAACGTTGAACGTGACACTTGATTTGAGCTTCAATTTGGATTCTCGTTCTTTCAATGCCTCCTTCTCTTTCATTAAACGGTTCTCATGTTCCTGAACATAAGACTCTATCACTTGCTTTTCATTTAGAGTCAAGCTCGCAAATTTGTTCATCCATTGTTCATCCTTTTCTTCTTGGGTATCCGAAAGTGTTTTTGCGACCGTGTTGCTGTAATGTTGTGCTTCCTGGTGCTGCATTTCAAACTGTTTTTCTTGCTCCTTATGGAGTTTAATCTCGGCTTGTCTTTCATGAATCTCATGAAGCTCATCTTCATATTGCTTGATGAGAGTATGAACTCGTGCGCTTAACTTTTGAGTGCCAAAATAGTCAGATTCTTCAAGCAAATTCTTTAAATGTTGAACAGAATCTTCAGAAACATTCTCCCACAAGCCGACATATGTAGTAGAACCTTCACAAACATTCGAGTTGGTTATCATTCGCCAAAGAATGATTCACACCATTGAAAATATAAAACAACATTCAAACACAATCATTTCACTTACCAGTTCGTATATGCTCCAATATAATTGGAAAATAGTCCGGATTTCTGTCTTCCAACAAAACACAGCCATTCTCATCTTTATCAATTTTGAAATCAGAATTCAACATGGTCTTCAACATGGTTTCTCTCTTATTGATCGTTTGAAGTGAGGTAATGAACATTTTGCCACCAACTTTGAACTTGAGGAGGGGTGAAGAGTTTTCTTGTGAGTCGTTTTCAAGAGATGCCTCCTTGCTGGATGAATTATCTATCAATATTTCCTTTACGACTGGCTGACGATGATTTAAATTTTTGGAAGATACAATTGTGGAATCTTCACCTTCATCCATGATATCCAAATGATTGAACTTTTCCAATATTTCTAGTTCTTTCATTTTCAATTCATTTCTTTCTTTCTCTTGCTGCAATCGGAGAAGAGAGTCTATTCTAAATTTCTCAACTTGATCTCGATCTCGTAAATATGGAGCCAGTTCAACGTCAGCAGATGTAGCTACATCCGATGGATGATTGTTTGAAGGGTCATTATCGTGCCCACGCTTTCGCTTTTGGCTGCTGGGTATTTCTTGTGTAATCATTTTTTCTGGTGTTGTACATCCAGAAAAAAGAAGAGTTTTGGATTATTACAATGTTCTTTTTGTTCGGGTTGAGTTCTTACTTTTGGAAGAACAAACAAAAATGGCTTCAACAACAAGATCCCTTTTGCCAGCCAATAACAATACCATCATACCAATTAGGAAAGACTTTAGCTTCATCGGTGCTGTTCGGGAAACCTTCCCTGCTCATTATTCGTTGTTTAATGCCGAAATTTATTTTTCAAACATGTTGTTGAGTGATTTAATGTCAAATTCATCATCCAGTAACCATCCTTCGAATTCAATTCTTCTTTCCACACAATCTTCACTCACGTATCGAGTAGTTGCCTATGTAGCCAATCTATTTACTGTCACCTTGAAAGATAGAGTGAGCCCATTCATCACAAAACAAATGGCTAACTTGGTTTGGCTAATCCGATACAAGATTTTGTTTGATAATTTAAAATTGAACACGATTCATCATCACGTAGACACGAGTCTCAACATCACTACTATTAGTAATATTGGAGAAAATAATCAAAATAATATGAAATAGATAATCTTTGAAAGGTTTATAGAATAGAAAGATTGAAGATAGACATTCCCGAAAATTAATAATCGTCATGGTAACTTCTAACTGAAGAGCTAGTTCCTTCAATGTATTGATGGAAAATTTCATTGTTGTCATTATTTCCTCTGTTGATTGCCATGCTTTCAGTCCGTACTTCCTCATCATCAAAAAAGTTAACAACACCAGTAGTACTGTATTTCTTCACTTCTGTATCAATGATCTTTTCATATTCTCTTTTTTTGCAACAGGCATGTTTCTCAGACTCCGAATTTTCTCCTTGATGATAATAACCTTCTAACATTTGTGTGCAAATTGTGTTAAAGAGAATGTACCCGATGAAATTTCCCAATATTATAGCCATAAAAAGACCAAAATTATAGGTCATTGCGACTAACATTAATAAGTAACCGATGGACATTTCCAAAAAGAACCCAATTGGTTTGGCAATATATGAAACACAAATATAGAGTATCTTTCTCTTCTTTGGAGCTTGAATATGAAGCAAGAAGAAAATAAATTGATTCAGTAATGCAATTAAAAAAATTCCAATAACAGATAGAGCAAATTTCCAGTCTGTATCAACATTCCAATTTTCAAACAAGACATATTTCACAAAAGTCTGAAATGATTCCGATGAAAAATACATGTTCATATGATGCGTCATGTTGTTGTTATCACCCATATTCATCACAATAATTTGTGAAGGCATCATCACGTTAGAAAATAAACTTGGAGCACCCGAGTGAGCTTGTGGCATCATATCGGATGCGGACAGTGTGTGTTGACACATTTTTTATCTTGGTATTTCTAATCAAAAAAATCTTTTGATGAAAGGGACAACTATAAAATAATCCATGACCACTAGTAAATGGTTTTTGGTATATATATATATAAAATCTTGTTAAACGGCGAATCGTGATGATGAGATTATCAAACGCTGGGATGAAGAGTGCGAGCAGTCAGAGGAATTCAAAAAAAATGGTTCGAACACGATCAAGCCTTTCGAAAGTCGCCACTCAAGAGCAATCGAAGACTGCCTCTTCATCACGAAGGCACATTACCACAAATAATAATCATCACGATAACAATGGAGAAAACCAAACATCCGCTTCTCAAAGCAGAGGTAAGACTAATTCAACCAGTGATGAACACGATTATGTTTTCAAACCTTCGGCCTCTTCGCTTGTAAATACGAACGTACGAAACTCTGAGTGTTCAAAAGACGGCTCTGTCAATTCCGAAAACCAAAAGCATGATGAATTGGAAACAACGAAACCTCTAAAAAGAGTGTCATTCTCATCCAGTGTAGCAGATGAAGAAGAAAAGGAATCTCCAAATTCTGCTCTGAGGAAAAGGAAGCAAAGAGATATTGCAAAATTAATTATTTCTCCTGCAGAACCTATTGGACATATTATTGTTTATTCAAATGTTAAACAGAGCGTGAGACCAGATAGCATGACGTTATGGATAGATCCAATGGGATCCAGGGATACTTTGACGGCCCTTAAATTTGGATCAAATCCAGTAACAACTAATATACAAATCAAAAGAGCTGTCAACAGGAAATGGCCGATTTTTCCTGAACACTGCACTCTAACGCATGATGGTAATAGTACAGTTTTACTGCTGGAAAAAGAGGCTATGGTTGTCGTGAATGGCCAGTATTATAAGAATTCTCGGACAGCAGAAAAGAATGTCATTTGTGTTGATAAAGTGATAATTGACTATGGTGACATTATTGATTTAGATGGAAGGTTGTTCATTTATGTCAAGCACAATCTTCCATCTTATTTCGCAAGCTACCAACAAATGTTTATGAACTATGTGGAAAACAAAAACATGAAACGAAAACGAGAAGATGAAGGAGACGATGAAAACGAATCGGCTGTAAAAAAGGAAAAATTATTGCTTTATAGCCAAGAAGATGAAACCACTACTGAAGATACAGACGAAGAACAAGATCTAGACGAAGAGGAACAGATAGATTCTGAAGAACTTCAAAACGTGATTTCTGAGATGGGTGACGAAGAAATTGAGGATTATGGCCATCTAAACGATTTAGATTTGGAAACTGACGATATGACACTTCAGACTGAAGATAATAATATCCCTTGCTTTGTATCATCTCCCCAGAAGGATAACGATGACAAAATATTAGACGAAGCTAATCCGATTCAAAGCCAAGAGGACGGAGATTTAGAACATATTATTGGTGCAGACTTGTACCAAGAAATAATCGAAAAGCTGAATGTTGAAGTTTTTAAGCAAATGGAAGAAAAAGAAAAAGAGTTCATGAAGAAAATAGAGCACTTAGAGAAGGCTTTGAAAGAAGAAAAGGAAAGAGCTTCACAACACTCACATCAATTAGAAAAGCAAATAGAAACACTGAAAAACAATCTTAAAGACAGGGAGGAAGAAATAGAGGAGCACAAACGAGCCCTTGAAAAGAGCAAACTACAAATAGAGAAGAATGATGCCAAAGAAAAGACAATGAAAAACTCAAATTCAAAACCACAGACTTGGAAAAAAAGTTGCAAGAAAAAATCAATGCTCAAGAAACTCTTTTAAATGAGAACAAATTGTTGAGACAGCAAATCGCCACCATGAAGAAAAATTTACAGCAGCAAGAGGCTTCTACCGTTTCTCTTAAGAACACATTTGACAACAAAGAAAAGGAGTTGGAAAAACTAAGACAAGATTTTAGCTCATATATTAACTTCGTTCAAACAAAGATTGGAGAAATTCAAGCGCTACCTAGAGAAATAATCCGCACCGTTAACCAACATGATCCAATAGAAGATGACACAATAATATTTTCAGCAGATGAAATTGAGTCGTCGCAAAATGTGCCAAATCATACCATGATTAACAAACAACCTAAAAGAGAGATCAAGAGACCTCTTCAATTTGGAAAGAGCCAGTCAAAGTTGCTGCTTCCACTCAACTCCACTAAGAAAAATTTAGTAGAGCCAAGCAAATCAAAGAATGATGAATACAAGGATTACGAAAATCTTTCTGACGAGGATTTTGAGATTTGAGCCTGAGACATGTTGAAATGTAATCAAAACATGCACTTCTGGCCTATCTCTATGGTCTGGCCGTTCATTAAGGAAAGAGCGCTCTACCAATTAAGGCGTGAACAGAACACTGTAATTGCAATCCCACCCCTCAAAAATGAGTGAACCTCTCCATCAACAACAAGACTCATCGGCAGTACTGTATCATGCCTCCATCAGCAAGGAGTCTTTGCAATCCAAACTAGATGATAGGTCCTCATCTACGAGTTCCGATTCAAAAAAAACAAAAAGCTCTTCCAAATCAACTGGTTTTACAAGTAGACTGAGTGAACAGTACTCAACCACCTTGATTTCATTGCTTTTTAAAAAGCCAATTCCTCAATGGCTGTTATGGTTGTTTCATGTCTACATTATTTATGGGAGCTTGAGCGTGCCTTTCGAGAGGGGTAAGTGGTTATTCCTTTCTACGAATGTTTTTGTGTAAATGATCGCATGCAATACCTTTTTAAAAAGAATTTAATTTCCACGATATAGGAGATGTAATCGTTTCATCCCAAGCAATCCCAAGAACATTGGCAGCAGATTGGTATTCGTACGAAGCCTTCTTGATCCTGTGTGCCATTCTTTTTTTCTTTCAAATCATCACCTGCATTGCATTGTATTTGTCTTTAAGCACGCTTCAAAGGGGAAATAATTTTGCCAAAATTACAACAAACCTCGTGAGAATTTCCGCGTGCATGTTTGCCATTTTCAATTTGATATTCACCTATTGGATGACCACATTTTTAGCATGTGACGATAAATCCAACATGCTTAGAAGATTTCCCTTAACTCAATGTTGGTAAGTTTGAGCACTTTTATTATCATTCCAGTTAATGACGTTGGTATTTCTCCATCATGTCTCACATCAGGAGCCAAACAAACATTGTTTATATGGTCATTGCCATTATATTCATCATGGTACAAATTCCGCTATCAGTCATTGGATTATTCATCTTGTTCTCATCTGCTGGCACATTTCCCAAACATCCAACCATCATTTCCATGGACTCGTTTTTTTTCATTGCCTTACTTTCAGTAGTGAACCAGGTCTACCTATTCATCTCACAATTCATACCTCCTGATGGTGTTTTAGCAAGACCAATATTGAATGTTGTTCTCTCCCTTGTGCCCCTATCATTTTTACTTTATGAACGTCCATTCACTTTTACAAGAATGAACTCTCTGTATTCTGGGATTTTGTTTGCGAAATGGGGTGGATCAGTAGCGGCAATTGTAGCAATAACAGTGAACAAATCTAACTCCCTAGATTTAGGGTTGTCTTTCTTGTTAGGAATTGGATTAGGTTCTGTATTGTTGTTGTTTGGAATTGGATTTGGTGTTGCAGAATTGATACATTTCTTCATGAAAACAAGAGCTCGCCATGCTCGTGCACAGTTTGATGAAAGTCATGGCTCAGGAAAACATATCTTCAATGACAACTTGTTGAGATTGTGTTTTAAATCCAATTTATTTTCAGATGAAATTGATGAAGAGATGCTGAAATACGCCAATAGCAGAAAATCGATCATGTCCACCAATGCTCTCATAGCAAGTGCAGTATATACTCATCGCTTCCATGACAATCCTCAACTAACCTTGGCAACGTTAAAATATGCATTGAGGCATTCTAACTTTATTCAAAAATTAGTCATCAGAGCCATGATACAGGACATTGAGCTCTATTATGGACTTCAAACGACTTCAGAAGTGCGTAGCTTGTTAGAGAAGACTTCTTTACTACAGGAGAAATTGCTTCAAATTCGAAAGCTGTTTTGGCAGTATTTTGTGGCAAATGAGGATGACTATGACAAAATAAGCGACCTCGTATATTCCATGTATTCGATTGAAAAATCAATTGTCATGATATTTTCCCATCTTTTAGCCAACTATCCAGAGAATCAAAATATCTTGAAACGACGAAACGTGTTTATGCAAGAGTTTTTGTTTGAGATTTCTTCACCTCTTACGGAACAGACCACTGGACGATCAAGCACGGACTTGTATGACGAAGAAAAACAGAAAACTAGAAAAGCAATACAAGATTTAAAGTTGCAAAAAAGACGTTCCACATCCTTGTTATTCACTGAAAATGTATACCGAGAAGCCATCAACTCTAAAGTGGACACAAAAAAGACAAGTTGTTACTTTTTAACTGCTGAGCTTGTTTCCATTCTATTAATTTTGGTGGTGCTGTTACTTGGCGTTTTTACAACTTTAGAAGGAAATCACGTGCAGTTTTTGAAACAGAGTTGCGATTTAATACCTGTCCCTTTTCGTTGCTAAAAGAAATTTACTTGTTGCAATATCCATCAGTTAATAACGACACAATTCTTCGCTTTAAACAAGGGATGAAAACAATTGAAGAATTTACTGAGAAAGGCAAAATTTCTGATTTCCGAATTCTTGCCACGGACAAATTTTTAATGCAATACTTTTCTGAAAATAATTTTCCAATGAAGGTATGTTAAATTTTGTGGAACATTGACCCGTTAACACACAATAATCGTCAAATAGATTCCAACACTAGGTGCACCTAATATGGCAACAGATTTTACTTACCAAAACATGTCTATCACATCGTTGATGTCGAACTTAGCCATAGTGTCTCAAAATTTATTTGAGTTAAACAATGACGCCCTTAAGAACATAAGGTCGACATATGAATATAATTTCTTGATGCTCAATAGTGAAGATATAACTACTGCGCTTCAAGATTTTTGTAATTCTATAACAAAAATATTATTGTATGAAGATAACAATAATAATACTATTGTAATTACAATATCAGTAATCATTGGTAGTTATTCAACTTTGATCATAATTTATCTCATTACTACCAATTTGATTATCAACACCAAAAAGAAAATTATTGGAATCTTTGCGAAAATACCTAAGGATGTTGTGGGTAATCAGTTTCACATTCTTGAAAAGCAAACAAACCAAAAATCCACTTCTCATACAAGAAGTATTTTCAATTTTTCAAGGAAAATGGTGATAATAGTTTGTGTTGTCGCGAGCTTGACAATTCTTTCTATGGCTGTTTCATTTTACGAAGCCTTTAAGGCCGCATATGAAAATAATGTGGCAGTAGAAAAGACACAATATGTGACTCAAGTGTTGTCCTCAACAAGCCATCAACAAGCTAATATTCTAGCTTGGACATTTGACAACTTTTCCCAAACAACTCAAAATATGGCCTTGAGAAAGCAAATTCTGTTAGAGCAACAAAATTTAGAAAAGTCATGGACTCTCTTGAGATTTGGAAGTAAGTCTTTTCCCACGAATATAAAAAGCATTTCCACCGCAATTACACCAGCGCTTGAGGGAATATGCACCAACACATCAGCCAATTGTGAACCAGGTTTAGATACTCTCATGGAGAGCTATGCTCTTTCTGTAAACGCTTTGTTTTATAGTAATAGCACTACCTTGCTACAACCTCTCACATCTCAATTAATTGAACTATCTGGCTACATTTTCAAATCAATGAATCATATTAGCGATGTAATATTACAATCAACAATTGGACTTAGAGTTCCCATCTCCGTTGCTGTATCTTGTACAGGAATTGCATTAATAATTGTACTTAGTATTTTTCATTTTTCACAACTTGAACAACAAGCAGAAGAGAATTATCATCTAAGAAGGCTGTTGAATAGTTTGCCAACTGATACTATTTCTCAAATTGAAGAAATCAAGAAATTTGTTCTTTATAACAGCTTAGCAGAGCGTAAAAAAGATTCTCACAAAGCTTCAAAAGTACAAGTAATCTTGGATGGAAGTAACGATGGAGCTATTGTACTGAAACCAAAATCTACTATGATTGATATTATTAATTCAACAGCATTGAAAATGCTAGGATATAATTCTGGAGAGTTGTTGGATTTGATGGCAATATTTGGGGAAGGAGAGAGTAGAAGCAAACTCTCCATGATTTTAGAAGTCTTTTTTTCATCCAAACAAAGTTTGTCGGAATACATAGAGATGGAAGCTCTCAGGAAGAATGGCTCAACTCTTGCTGTTGGAGTGTCAATTAGCGTATACACATATGAAAATAAGAATTTAATAACCGTTTTATTAAGAGATATTACGTCAGAAAAGAAGCATAAATTGCTGTTAGAAGAGGAACGACAAAAAAGTGATGCTTTATTGCTCAACATATTGCCTGAACGTATTGCATCAAGATTGAAGGCAGGAGAGTCATGCATTTCCGAAAAGTAAGTGACTTTCATTCTAAACATGTACAACTGAAAATATGAAACCATCAGATTTGATGATATTAGGTACGTTACAACATGTCTGTACATTGTAGACCTACAAATGGTATAGTTGTTTGTTCTCTGACATGGTTGGCTTCACAAAAATGTCAAGCGGTTTATCCGCTCACGAGTTGGTTCAATTACTCAACGCTATCATCAATGGTTTTGACCATTTAATTCCAATGTTTGGTCTAGAAAAAATCAAGTAAGTATTTGTAGCTGTGATAAATTTTACCATCATTTTACTTAATGTTTAAAATGCAGAACAATTGGTAGGTTTTACAAGTTAACACGATGTTTTTTCTAAACGGTTTTAGGGATGCTTATTTCTGTATTGGTAAGTGTTGGTGAAATTGGTGCTTTTGACTCTGTAAAATGCATTATACAGGCGGTATTTCTGGGCAATCCAACCACCCTGAACAAATAATACTCTTTGCCCTACACATGCTAGATGTCATTGCAAAATATAACAAACAAAATAACAAGAGCCTAAACGTTAGAATTGGCCTTCACGTTGGACCAATAATTGCAGGTAAGTTGATTTACTGAAGAGAAAGCACTTCATTAATGAATGGAAAACAGGATGGTAAGTTTACTCATGACAGCTGTCACAGCCGTGCTTAAGCTCAAAATTCAGCATTGGAAATTTAAAATTTGCATATGATCTTTGGGGAGAAACTCTTAACATTGCTCAAGCAATGGAGAGTAAGGGATTTCCAGGAAGGATCCAAGTATCTCGTAAAATGTATGAGAGAGTGTATGATATTTTTGAGTTTGATGAAATTAAGGGCGTTGAGATTAAACCTTCCGTCGTAATGACCACTTATTTACTCAAAGAAAAACATCATGATATTGCAAGCTTCCATGTTGGGTCGGATCAGTCCTTTGAAAAGATGTTTTCTAAAGTTAATCTCCATGAACCCACTTCTTATAACTTTAAAAAGCTAATTATGGATTCCACGTTCACATCCCTTTACAAGGAATATCTCTCTGGGTCGGCATTTCTTGACATGTTAGTTTTTTACCAACACGCCATGGAATATACAAACAATGCTAGCACTCCTGTTCGATTTGGCATTTCGAAACAGCTGGTGAAAGAATATCTTGCTGAAACAGCTCCCAAGCGTTTAAAGGTATGTATTTATTCATGTTCACGTACCATGTTTAAGTCTGATGGACTTTAGTTCAAGTTTATGCGGAACGCTTTTGGACCATTCCAACTCAAATTCCAAGAATGCACGGAAGACAATTGCCCTACAGATCTGTTTGAAAATTTCACGTAAGTTTTGTGAAAAGATTGAACTAATTTCTAACCAATGATTCAGAATTCTGTGTATGAAGCATTTGAAGGAAGAATTTGCTAACTTTTTAAAATCAAACAACTTTGCAAAGTTTTTGGATCAAAAACGAAAAAACCCAGAATCGCTCAAAGCTTGTCTAAGGGGAGAAAATGACTCAAGTACAACAGACGAGGAAGATGAAAAAGAATTCCTTCTATTCTGCCAAAAATGTGGCACAGAGATTATCAATAAGGAGAATCACCGATTCAATGATTGGGAGTTTAATCACAGAAGTGAAATTTTATATGATATGAATCAATGGAGAAAGATATTTGAAATTAGTGGAGGAGCAACCTATTTCTCCCCTCCGGAAACTCATAACCATCTCAGTAACAGCCGAAGACATGTTCAAGTGAAATATGTTTATGAAATGAATTGTAGTCACGAAGAGCTGTTTTATGCTTGGATTGATGAGGATTCGTTTTCGACAAGATTTGAGAAAATTATATCTTCTGTCAAAATTGATTTTGTCAAGGTTGCAAAATATGCTCATGCTGTATTTCATGAGATTTACAAGATGAAATATTTGCATCAGACAAAGAGAGAGCTCGTGCATGCGTATTGTTGTAGGTACGATCCTACGAAGGACGTTTATATGTGTGTGACAAGGTATGTAATGATATACACTTCGTTGATATTGGTGGTGTTCAAACTTTATCACTCTTTCACGTACATACAGGTCCATAAATAATGCAAAAGTTCCAGAAACAGACAAATATGTTAGAGCAGAAATTAAGACAGCATTCTTGGTTGAGAAGGTGACAGACTCAAAATGTAGATATTATTATTCTGTCATATTTGATCCAATGGGATGGCTAAAGCCTGAATACTATCACGAATCCATCTACAAGGAAACCCCACAAAACAATTTCCACATGAAATTATTGAAATTGGTCGATAAGAGATCGAAAGAAGGAAGAAGCATTCCCAAAGGACCTCTATTTGATTCACTCACTTATTATATCAACCAGACTCAGCAAGAGAAGAAAAAGAAGACTTTAAACATTACCAAGGAGGAGAACGTTGAGGATCCACAACAAGTCTCTGTTTAACACCTGAGCTTGCACATCTGTAAACATGATTTTAATTATTGTAATTATTTGAATACTTGAGAAATGACACCCAATCCTTTTGTTGTTCCTTCTCTAAAAATTAGTCGTTCACCAACTCTCAAATATTCTGGTCTGAACATGAAACGGAATTTAACTTTAGCTTTTTCTCCTGTTCTAAGAGATTCCACATCCATTTTGATGATCTTAGCAGTTTGTCTGACACAGTTACAGTGAACCACAGGTTGATAATTTTCCTTAATGGTTGTACTATGATACAATACGAGAATATCAGCTTCAAATTCCCATGAAGCTTTTGGATCTTCTTCATCAACGAGCACCATTCCTTTTCTAATTCCAGAACGTCTTTCTTTCTTGAGAGCAAAGCTTGCATGCTGTCCTGCATGCACACGTTTGACATTAACCCTCTTACAATGAATACTCTTTACAACGACGCTTCTGAAAAGTCCGTTAGAATCTGGTCCTAGCATCAATTTATCATTGACAGAAATACTTCCACTTTGAACAATTCCGCTTACAACGGTTCCTACACCACTAACAAAGAATGTTTGATCAATGATATATTGAGCTGGCTTATCAATGAGAGATTCCCAATCCTTTCTGATGGGTAATAAATTCAAAAATTTGTGCAATAAATTAAGGTTTTCTCCAGTCACAGAGCTCAAAAAGAAAATTGGGGAAATTCTGTCACTGGCAAGATTTTTAGCACATGTCACAACATCATCCTCATTCTTGACATGGTATGGTAATTTTCTAACTCCAGGTAATTTGAGAATCTTGTGAATGGTTTCAACAGTTTGTTTTAAGACATTTTCAGGGCAAATATCAACCTTTGTTACGCAAAAGAACATTGGTATCTTCAATGCCAAGCACAGGCCGATGTGTTCTTTGGTCATTTTAGTTACTATAAATCAATTTTGTCAAGGTTAGTGTGACAAATAAATGAGCGTATTCTACATACCTCCCATATTGGCTCCCACACAAACAACGGCATAATCAGGAGCACCAGCAGTCATTCCAAAGACTGTAGTTTTCAAATACTTTTCATGTCCAGCCAAATCTACAAAGGTACAGACTTTAGAGGATTTTTCAATAATGTCCTTCCAAGTTGGATGGTCAAGATTGCTGTGATTTACAATGTCTCCCTTGGCATCAAATCCCATAATTTGGTGGCTAATACTTGAGGTTCTACCTGTCGTCAATTCATGCTTGTGGATAAAAACATTGGAACGAGCCAATCCTCTTCCATTGTCGAGTTGTCCTCTTGTCAATACACCAATCAAGGTAGATTTACCAGAGTCAACATTTCCACAAACAACAATATTAACATTCAAATATTCCTCTTCTCCAAATCTTCTGACTAACACTTCTGCAACCCATCTTTTCTCATTAGCTTGAACTTCTCCCGAAGAGCCATTCTTTTCATTGCTAGGCTTCTTGCTCCTCTTTTGATCTTTTTCGCTTGTGACTTGCTTTTCACAAATAATTGAAACATTGGCTTGCAATTCCGCAGCCATCTTTTCAATGTTAGATAATGTTTCTCGGTATTCTTCTTCCGATAATCCTAAAGGATAACCATCATCATTAATTCCTATTTCATAAATTGCTTCTCCTTGTCCTTCGCTTAGCCTATATTTCATTTGAGTAACAAGGTGTTTGAATCTGTCTTCGGAAAGACCAACTAACTTCCATTTATATTCAATATTTCCATCATCATGTTCTTTTTCTAACATATCATGAGATGAAAGTAGAGATTTTTCTTCTATCAATTCCGTATCCTTCTCAACACCAATCACTTGTTTATGCTCCTTGCTAGGTTGAGTTGTTATTGGCGGTGTTTGACCTGTTGATGCTGATGCAGAAGAGGAAGCATCTATCGGTGGCTTTTTTTCATTTGTCATGCTGCTTGCACGAGATGTTCGTAGATGTTGTGCAGTCGGAATCACACAGATTAAAAGTGATGACTTGGTTCAAATCACTACAATAAAAATAGACTCAAATTGAAAGACGATTTGATGATTGAGGTATTTTTTTCTGTTCTTTTCCAAGTTGCAGTCGCGCACTGATGAATCATTCGGTGAAAGGAGCATCAGAAAAAGCTACTTCATCATGAAACAGTGGATTTTCAAACATGCACCCACTCAGCATTGGTTAATCTGATGGTTGATGCCAATTTCCGGAATTTTAAAACACGTTTGGAGTTCTTGATAGTTTCTTTGGATGTATACTGAAAGAATTGGAATACTCACGGAATGATGATGATTTCAACCTCTCAATGATGGAACCTTGCTCTTGATTTCGGAATTGTAATAATAATATTAGAGAGCGTTTTTGGTAATTATTGCTTCATCCTTGAATTGTATTGTCTGTTTTTGGTTCTTTGCTCGATTGGAAATTTATTGGCCAATTAATTCCTCGTCATCAACCAAGAAGAAAAAACATCCCAAACACCCACACACTCATTGGTCATCATTTTCACTGATTTGCAAAGATGGTAAACCATGCAATTGGAAAAACAAGACACGGTACTCCTCAACGACATTATTGGTCTCGGTATTTGCATTCAAAAAAGAGACTTTTAGATCAAAGCAAAGGATTGGGAGTGAAATCCACTCTCAAACCCATGGATCTTGAAAAGCAATTCACTACTCTCACTCATCTTCTCTATGATACCAAAGTGAAGGAAAAGGATTTGGAAGAACATACCTATTCCTTATTTCATGAGGATATTACTTTCACAGATCCATGGCAAACCATTACAGGTAAACAACCATTCATTACCCAATTGAAAGGATTTCATGCAGCCATCTTTTTCGATTTTAAGATTGAGCAAATAGCAGTTCAAATGAGTGAGAATGAACAAGGGGGTAGAGTTCTCATTGACGGATGGATGAATTTGAATCAATTTAGATGGATCACTGGTACTTATCCATTAAGAACCATTCTTGTGTATGATTTTGTCATGACTGGAGATGGTTCCAAATTCCTGATCACTGACCTTGAAGAAATGTGGAGTTTGGCTGACATGATTGAGCAAGCACCCTTCATTGGATGGTTTTATCACTTCTTTAGATATGGGGCTGGAATGTTCTTTACAGTGTTCTTTATGATGTGTAGTTTATTGGTTGGTTGGTATCACACTCTTTGTGGAGGTGAAGGTGGAATTGAGAACAAGTTGAGTAGTGCATGCTCTACCTGTAGTGGATTAGTACAAAAGATTCAAAAGGTCACTGCTTCTTATTGTCCTTCGTCCTCTGCATCATCGACTGGAGACAGTAGTAGCAAGGAAACAACAAGTGGGACTATTCAGAGTAGCACCAAGAAATGAATCTAATGCATGTTGGGTTATGTTACAACACTCACAATTGACAATACAAATCCCTCGTGTTTATTCATGTTTATACAACCATCTATCTAGTTTTTCAAAGAGATGACATGATGAAATAGGAAGTAGATTGGTTATTCGATTGAATTTGTTGTCAAATGCTCGAAACAAAAAATCATGGCCCTTTAAATACATCTTCTTTCTTAAAAGGTCAAATCATAACTAGTTCATAGCTACATCAAATTGAAATTCATTCATGACCTCGTAAATGAACGCCTTGTATTCACTAGAGATAAACGCCAGAATATTACAACAAAATTTCCAGACCGCCAAGTGCTGCTCATGAGGATCCATTTAAATTTGCAATTCTCAATTATATCTTTGACAAGCCCAATATCAACATCTTGCTTTGAACGAGTTTGTACGCAAACTACAATTTACCGTCAAACCAAATCAAACATGTATATATTTACACGTTTAGAATTGGATTTAATCATTCACCACCATATCAAGTATTCTCGGAATTGTTCAAATGATTTAACGAGACGTTTCTTTCCACATCTATCAAGAGAATTTTCCATCCAGTGAATGAAACATTGAGGACATTGGAGGCATAGGACTACAACACTCGGCAAAATCCTCACTAAAGAAAACACACGCAAAGCATTCATACATTGTACCCTGAAATTATTATTCAACTCTACAAATATTGTATTACAAACACTAGGACATCCTTCGACTGATATTATTGCTCAATTCTTCAACACTCCATACATCAAGAATGATCGAATCAGCAAATCAAGTATCCTCTTCTAAGGATTTTCAAGTGGTAGATCATGAAATTGCTTCAGCACCTTCTCAAGTCACAGGTGTTGAATCGAATACAGATCTCACTGCTACTACAACGAATACACTTTCAGCCTTCTCTGTTGTGACAAAATTACAAGATCGATTCTCTTCATTGGTGATATCCGTTCAAGATCGAAAGAGTCATACCTCATTCAAATATTTCCTGTACATGTTAATGTTTAATTTATATGTTATGTGGTGTTCGATATTTATTCCAACGTTGGGAAATTTTACAAATTTTGGTGAATATGGATCTCAAGTATTTACTGTAGCGACCTATCCAGTGACACTCTCACTTCAATTACTATCGTATGATGCTTCCATAGCGTTGATGAGTTTGGTTGCCGTCATTGTCTTGTTGCATTTGTTAATGACGTTTATAGCCCATCGAAGTGTAGCACAATCAAGTCGACACACCAAGATTGTGTTAAGTGTGTCACATTTTATGAATCACGTGATGGTCTTGGGAAGTTTAATCTTTGCATTTGTGTTGACAGCTTTTGTGGATTGTCAATTTCAACAAGTAACGTTATTGACCGATGACGATTCGCAAGCTGATTTATCAAAAGTTGTTCGATACCCAACAGTTGAGTGTTACTCTTCTCCTAATATCATTTCCTATGCAATTTCTTGTAGCGTATTTGTGTTACTACTCGTGAGTGTCACCTTGTCCAATTTGATTATTCGAAATGGAAATCCTCTCAATCGATCATTATTTATCTCAGAAACAAGTTTCCATGTAGTGCTTCTTGCCTTATTCAACTGCATTGAAATATTTGCTACTTTTTTAATTCCAAACTTATATCTATATGGCAGAGCCATCTTACATTTGGGGTTTTCAGTGATTTGGTTTTTATATGTATTCTTTAGTGTTCCTTATTTTGGTAAAAGAGAAAATGCCTTGTACAGTGGAACAGGACTGGCCAAAGTTGGAGCTTCCATAGGCTGTCTCGTTGCATGTTTTGTGAACAAATCCAATGAGATGGGTCTTGCCATGATGGGTTTAACTTTGGGTCTCATGTTGTGCTTCTTTCTCATTGGTTACATTTCAATGGAAGTTGTGATATTGGCCATATGCAAACAAATATCAAGTATTATTTCGAACAATCCAAGTCCTCAGCAAGCTTTTCAATGCATGGATGGTAAGAAGAGATCTCTCAACATCTTTCTAAGACTCTGTGTTCATATTTCTCCCTTTTCGAAACGAGAATCTAATTACGAGAAAACAGAATATCAAGAAATGGCACTCTCCATGGCTCGAGTCATTACTTCGAATAAGAACAACGATGCAGAGAACGCGAGTCTTTTATTGACCAGTTCTCTTCTCATTGCATATACTTTTGAAGATTCTAATAGTTACTCGTATGCCTTGTACTTGTTGAGAAGATGTTTAAAAAGTTCGAGAAATTTCTTGATCAAATTTTCTGTCAATGAGAGAACCAAAGAAGTTGAAACTGCTCAAAACAAGGATTCCAAGAGTGCTCAGTGCTTGACAGAGATTAAACAAACTCTCGAAGCTTTAACTAAAGGAGAAGAAGAATTGAAAAATCTTCATCGACAATTTTGGAAAGAATTATTGAATGAACATCCCAATTTGGACAAGTTAGACAAGATCAATCGAAGAACAAGTCAACTCTCCATTTCCATCGAAGAAACCTATGTCAATCTCATGTCCGTTCACAGTAAGGAAAAGCAAGTATTAAGAAAATATGCAAACTTTGTTGAAACCTTTCGATTCGATAAGGAACTCTCACAACATCTCTATCAGGAAGCTGCCAACATTGAAGAAGAAGAAAGTTCCAAGAAAGCCATGCACGGTGTCGATCATCATGGTGGAGTTGCAAATTCATTAGGAAAATTCTCCAATTTTGACAAGACAAAACGATACTCTGCTGCCATGAGTCCTGTGAAATTTCATAACAATGCGCTCAATATGACTGGAGACTTGTCCATGACTGGAGATTTGCATGCACTCGACGATACCACCTTTAATGGTATTGAATCGAAAGAATTTTCGAAAAAGGAATTATTGATTCGAAATTCTCTGAAAACCATTGATCAGAAAAAGGCACTTTTTGTCGTCTTTTTAATATTCTGTACCTTTACCTTTATCATGTTAACGCATGTGCTGCTCTTGCTTTATATATTAACATTTCCGTGGGATCCTCCGTTTCGTTTGTGTTTACAGTGTGTCAAGGATCCATGACACCATTGGCATTATTGAGAGAAATTTCCATGATTCAAAATGCCAATCAATTCATGAATGAAGGATATTCCATTTCGAGTACAGATGCTCCCATTCTAAATTTCATTCGTCTCGAACACAAGAATACTGTGAATTTTTACACCAATCAAATTGATGACATTTTGACAGAAGCTCAATCGAATACTTTTACGAAAAACCTCTATGCCATTGCGTCAGCTCCAACCACTCCCGTTCTCATTCCTTCCATGTTACAAAACAACTCTGCAAATTTCGACAAGAATGGAAATACCACTTACATTTATAGCTATGTGAAAAATTCATCCTTAATTGAAACCTTAAATTACTTGAAAAGTGCTGGAAGAGATTTCGAAGCATGGAAAGACATGGATTACAATCAAACCATTCAAAACTATCAATTCATGTTTGTTTGGAGAAATCATCAAGTCATTCGAGATTTAATGATGAGTTTCTGTAACAGTGCACTCGAGAGTAGTAATGCATCATTGAGTACCTTCTTTCAAGTGTTTGCCATCATTTTTGGAAGTATGGCATTTTGCTTGAGTGTGAGTTTTTTCATTTACTTGCTGTTGATGCGTGGCTTGTTGGATGGAACGGATCAAGTGGCAAAACTGTTCATGCATTCCCTTTCAAAAAATGTCATTGGAAAGATTTATCATGATTTGGCCAACAAGACCGATGATGATGGAAAAGTTCATTTACCATCGTCTGCACTGACAAAACCAAAGAATTTATTCTTTATTTTGGGAATGATTGGAATTGTGTTTTGTGTATTGGCCTGTGGTTTGATGGTCATGGAAACAAATTCAAACTTGTCACTCTCGAATATTACCATGTTGAATGTCGTGCACGGGACGGGATTGTTACGTTTCATTAATCGAGCAAATTTGAGAATTAATTCATACTTTAAATTCTTGAGTTTGAACAAGAATACGTTGAATGATCCATCGATGGCTTCTTCCGATGAAATTCAATCGTATAATGAAGAACTCAAGTTGAGAATTTCACAAATATTTAGTGAATGGAATTATTTAATATATGGAGGAGGTGAGACAGATCCAAGTGTGGGTCGTTATCAAGCCATTGATGATCTTGTTCAGGGTGTGAAAAATTGCTCACAACTCTTTCAAACCAATTCTCATAACATGACGGATTATGATGCTTTCAAATTGAAGTATTGTACAGGTTTGGAAGATTTGATTGCCTTCTATGCTCGTTCGACTTTGGAATTGAATGATAACTTTATGAGTCCTCAATTTTTGGCTAAAAAAGGTGATGCGTTCCACTCGGTTTTGAATTTGTACTATGCCACCAATTTATTGTGTCAAAAGACGTATGATTTTATGACTCTCTTTGTGAAATATTCATCCAATACTTCGAAAATCATTACCATTTTGTTTGTAGCATTGGGAACAGTCTTTCTAGGTGGTCTTTTTTACTACATGTTCAAATTGATTGAGAAGAACAAATTGGACTTCTTCCACATGAAAATGATGCTCAACTATTTACCTCTCGAATTTATTGATAATAATGAGGCTATCAAGCAATTTGTCCTGTATAACCAAATTGCACAACAACACACTAATACCATCATGAAAGTTTCAAGCAAAATCATGAAAAAGAACAATCAAGTACATGCTACCAATGCAGTCTCTGGAGACAATGGAAAAGTGTTTAGTGTTCTCAACTCATCGGTCGATGGTGCCATCATGTGTGGTGAAGATGGTTCCATTGAATTTATCAATAATGCAGCTCTTAAAATGTTTGGATGTGGAAATAGAGCAGATGTTGTTGGAATGCCCATGTACATTTTATTTGACAGCAATCAAAAGGCAATTATTGAAACGAGTATTGAACAACTCAAGCAAATGGCATACAAAAATCAAAGCTCTGAAACATGTGGGGAGATTTTAGAAGTGGATTGCTTGAGAAGAAATTCAACAAAATTCCATGCCAAGCTAAATGTATTTGTAGTGGTGTTTGAGAAGGGATCACCAGTCATTACTTGCTTCATTAAGGACATTACTTCTGAGAAGAAACAAAATGCGTTATTGGCTGAAGAAAAAGCGAAATCTGAACACTTGTTGAGAAATATCCTTCCCGAGTCAGTAGCAGTGAAACTCAAATCAGGAGAAACGTTCATAGCCGAAAAGTTCAATGACGTGACATGCTTTTTCAGTGATATGGTTGGATTTACAAAAATGTCTTCGAATATGAACGCAAATCAGCTCGTAGGAATGCTTAATCATATTGTGAATGGATTTGACAAACTCACAGAACAATATCAACTTGAAAAGATCAAAACCATTGGTGATGCATACTTTTGTGTGGGAGGTTTACCTCCACATGACACTTCTGACCATCCAGAGAGAGTGGTGAGATTTGCCATTGATACCTTCCTTGTGTTGAGAGAATACAATATGGAAAATGTGGATCCTACACTCAAGTCGAAATTAGAATTGGAATTAATACTGGTTCAGTCATTGCAGGGGTTATTGGAACAAAGAAGGTAAGTATTCGGTCATTTTTCATGCATTTCACCAACATCATGATTGTTAATTGTGAATAGTTTGCCTATGATTTGTGGGGTGATAGTATTAACGTAGCTAGTAGAATGGTAAGTATTCTCTGGTGATGTTACTTTACATGACACATAATTGTTAAACAGGAGTCGACAGGTATACCCGGACGAATTCAAATCAGTCGTTCTACTTATGAAAGAGTTCATGATCTTGGATGGACATTTGAAGAACGAAAAGTTGAAGGTATGTGTTAGCTCATGCAAATATTCTAATATTTCTGTTTGATATTTTCACTTACAGTCAAAGGAAAAGGTCTTTGTCAAACCTACTTGCTAAACGCAGATCATCACCAACGTGCAGTTATCAAGGCAACAGAAAATCTTTAACTGCTGGTCCTCTCTGATAGGTTAAACAGTTTTCAATCGTTGTGCTTGTTTTCCTTGATGTATCATGATCTTCCTCAATCTTTTTCTAAATTTTACGAGCAAGTAAGAAACAAACACTCCTAAAGTGAGACCAACTCCGTTCAAAACGCTGGAAGCAAATAATAATTGAGGCGAGTACGTGGAAATTACTTTTTCTGCAGTGGAGTCTAGAAGAGTGGTCGACGTTGTGATCACGAGGACAAATTGATAAGTATGCTGAATGATAGTTATCATCCAAATGATGCTCATCAACACATGTCCTATGATGAGCCTCCTCAAACTATGAAATTGAAATTGTAATACTGCATAGATCGTGTAACTGAATAAAACAAAATACAAAATCAATACCAAAATATTAAGCACGGGATGACAATCAAACAAGGTTGAAACAATCTCTCCTTCCAGAAGCCAATTCCATATGGTATAACCTTTTAAAATTCCCAATATGGAGAGAATATTCGCCAAATGCAACAGTGAAACAACCACAAAAAACATCATCATGAGAAAGAGGAGTACTTTCAGAGAACGAGAATAATCCATCAGACGAACTTCATATATCGGAGAAGGAATCTTTGAGTACGGTACTGAAGAAGACTCTTCCGGTTGCCTCTGAGGCTTTGGATTCCTCAATGGCTCAGAAACGTTCTTAAGGGTGGGCGCCTTGTGTTTCATTTTTCTTTATTGTACAATCTGTGTGTGAATCTCAAATGCTCACGCGTCTAGTTGTTGTGTGTGTTACTCTGAAGCAGCATATCCAAAGATCATGTGCAATGTTAAAACAATGCCAATTAAAAGCATGAAATGTGTACTCCAAATCTTGAAAGTCTGATTTGCATTACCTCCCCAACCTTTACAATGACGATCAACGTATAAAAGTTATTATATTCGCATATTCATAATTCACAATCCCAATGCATTAAAATACTTACAAAATATAAAGAAGCATGTTTTTCCATTGGTAGTACCATCCGATTTTTCATTTCCAGCCTCATTGGGATCAATATATTGTCCTGTTCCATCATCAGTACTTGGTGCAATTTCCTGAGCTTCACACAAGAGAGTATAACCTAATTTAGGGCAAGCAATAGATCCTTTGAATCCATTGAAACTAGTAATCTTGAGATAGGATTGATCTGCAGGACAGTCAACATATTGAGAGGTTGTGTGAAGTCGAATTCTAAGAATCTTTCTAGTCTTGTCACAACTGTATACGAGACATCTCGAAGAAGAACTCTCGTCTTCCATTGTTCCAGAAAATCCATTCAATTCCAAATTTCCTTCAAAACAAGCACTGTTTGAATTGAACACCTCTGATGAACGTCTTGGCATTGTTTTATCATTACAAGCAATGTAACGACGAATGAGTGGACAAAAATCAAACCATGAAACTCTTCCTCCCATTGCTGGATTTGAAAAGTATCGATATTGAGCAGGCAAATTGCTTGTAAAAGTCACAATGTCACAAACTCCCTTATCACGTAAATGATAGGCGCAAGTCACTTTCTTTGAAGTTGTATCTGTACAGTAATAACCCTTACGAGTAGTATCCCAATTGTTGCATCGGTCAGTAGCAAAAGAGCAACCCATATTCTTACCAAAAGTTGGTTCAATGGCATTGGTTAAATTAGGTTGATACCATCCTGTCACTTGTAACAGTGTAAGAGTAGCAACGGATGTAAAACAAGATCTTCCAAATTGTTGACATCCATCCAAAGAAGGTGCCATCAATTCATTCATAAATACTCGACTGTCAAAATGTGAACCAGCAGATCCAGAATTTCCATATTCTTCAATAGGAACATCGACTGGTGAAGAACAACCTGTAATTTTTTGGAACATGGCTCTCAAGGTGGGATGGATGAAAAAAGTACGAGAAACCTGTACTCCATTTTCATTAGATTGTCTTGTAGCAACAACATTACTTTCTCCTAAATTGTTTCCATTAGAATCTACATAATTACTATACATGGAAGCACTGAATCCTAAAATATGAGTGACTTCATGTTCCAAAGTACTCAACAAGACATGTTCATTAGAAGCGCTATTGTAAATATCTAAAATAGCTGGATTAATATTCAATTGTCCTGCGATAGGTCTCTTATAAGTAGACTCTATAATACAAGCCATTGCCCAAGCAGCAGTTGAACTCGATGTTGGTCTCATGGTCACAAAAATATACAAATCAGTGAAGTGTCGAAATTTGGAGTTTTTACAGAGGAAGGCCACGCCACACCACCTTCAGCTCCGCACGGAGCTTGAGTAGCAGGCACTGTAAAAACGGTTAATCTTCTGGTTGTAAGTTGAGCTTCAATTTTAGCTTTCACAATATTGACAAGACTCAACACACGAGATTGTTTGGCAGCAGTAACAACATCTCCACTTTGACAAGTTCCCCAACAATTCGAAGCTGAATTATCGTTACAGATCACATTCGTTGAAGTGGGATTTCCTCTCTTGTATTGTTGACCTTGTGAATAACATGTTCGTGATTCAACATCGTTGGCAATGGCACTTGTATCCAAACGAATACGAATGGGGCTGAAAACATCATGGACTTTTTGGATCTCTCGTTTTTCTGTGAGAATGGTTCGATGCTCGAGTGGGAGATTCACTGCACGAGAAACGTCTAAATTCATGAAAAGATCTGATTTGGACTTATCACCACCATGTAATTGTAATTCATCGTTAAAGATTTTATCGTGCATACATTTGTGATGTGGCGAGTTGTGATTGGATTCGGGGTGAGAATGAAGATGGTTATATTCTTGGTGGGCAAACATGTGGAAGGTGGAATGTGCAGAGACAGTTGTTGCACCCACGATAACGAGTATCAGTAAAATACGGGTGAGGAGCTCTGTCATTTTTTTTGTCTGGATTTGATGGCTGACAGGTGTCGCTCATAACAAACTCAAAGTTCGCCATAGAGTTTATTTGGAACGTATTCCTTCTCTTGTTTCTACGGTTGGTCTGGCGATATCATAAGGTTCAGTTGAGCAAGAACAGCTCCTTAAATTCGTCCCGTTCTTCATCTTCCTTTGTTTCCTCACTCTTTGCTTTTTTGGCGGTAGTATTAGGAGGCGCAGATCGGAAAACCAGTGGTTTTCCATTTCTTTTCTTTGCAATATTTGATTGCAAAATTGATTTGTTTTTCTTTTCCTTTTGACTTTTTTGCTTGTTGCCTTCCTCTCTTTGCTGTTTTCTTCGTTCTTTTTCTCGCTGCTTTTCATATTTCGAAATAAAGTCGCTGTCATAATCATCCAAATAAGTGAGCAAGCTTTCAAGTTTTGTTTCAATCTTGGAGAGCATAAATAGAGGGTCAAGATTTTCAACTAAATCAGCATTCTCATCGTTTTCCAGCTCTATCGCAGAGTCCAAATAAATTTCTCTAATTTTATCTGACAACGTTTTAAGTTTCTCTTCTCCGTCCTGGTCGTTGTTTGCAGAGTGTCGTTCTGAAATGGTTTTTAACCGCTCCTGCTCCATCTCTATTTGCTCATTAAGGCCATCAATTTGGAGTTGAAGGTTTTCTGCCTCTGCACTCCTAATTGTTTATGAATATGTTGCGTGTTGTAACTACGATGAACAACTTACATTTTCTTCTTTGTTTCCTTATATACCTTTTGAACTTCCTCCAACTGCTCTTGAATGTCTTCAGTGCTTTGTATTAGTATTAAGTTGCTTTCTTCTAACTCTGAATAAATATTTAACAATTGTTCTGGTTTTTTAAAATACATTTCAATGGCCTCGTCGTCATCTTCCTCATCGTCGTCCTCTCCTCCATCAATGGAAGCTATTTGAGTCATTTTAGTTTCAGGTTTTTCTTCATCATTAATCGTATTTTTCGAGGACGTCTTGGAATTTCCTTGGTTCTTGTTTTTCTTTCCATATTTCTTTTGATTCATTTTCGTTAGTTCCTCCTTAGGTGTAAGAGAATCTAAAAATTCTTTATATCTTCTGCAGTTCTCTAATTGTTCGTCTAGCTTCGCTATTTCAGTGTTGATGGCAGCAGCTCTTGCGTTCAGTTTCTTAATTTCATTTTGTTTGGCTTGCTTTGCTTTTGTTTCCTCTTCTGCTTTTTTAATGGCCTCCACTGCTCGAATGTCGTTCAAAGCCAAAAAATCATCAAATGCCTGTGTCTGCTGCTTTAATTCTTGCTCCATTTGAAACAACTTTTGTTCTCTTTTTTGAGCTTTTTTTTCAAGCTTCTTAACTTCGAATTTCTTCGTGTCAATGCTCATCTGCAACAAAAACATTTGCTTTTTCTTCTCAATAAAATCTCCAACATTTTCCTTCTTTTTAAACGATGCATCAAGTGACGTGTCGCCTGAAGGAGCGCTTTTTGATTTTTTGTCGTTGATGTTGGGAAGCAGAGCTCGGTCTCTTCGGCTGCTGAATTTATGCTTTCGGGGAGATCGGTGAACCAAACTGGAGTTTGCACCTTTTGTTGTTTCTTTTTCTCTTCTTTCAAATATTTGTTCATCAGTTGGAATTTTGAATGGATTTTCAAACTCATCATCATCGGAGGATGTTTGATCATTGTCATAACTGGTTTGCAGAAGCTTGACTTGCTTTGAAGTCATTTTTTGAAGTGGTCTGTAGTTTGTTAGAAGGGCGGGAAAAAGCAAAGGGAAAGTCATTCAACTGTGGTCATCTCTTTTCTTCCTAAAATAAAGTCAATCATAAGTTGGAAGTTAACAGCAAAGTGTACAGTTGCAACCTCAACCAAGTATTTGCATTTAAAGCTTAATAGAATAGGTTGAGAGGGTTGCACGAATTCTCAATTTTATTTAAGCAAGCAAACCATGTTGTTCAAGATATTCTTCGATTTGCAACAATCTATTGTACTTGGATACACGTTCTCCTCTAGCAGTAGCACCAGTCTTAATGTGTGTAGCTCCAATTCCAACAACCAAGTCAGAAATTAAAGTCGTTGCGGTCTCACCAGATCTATGAGACACAATAACCTTTTGTCCAACATTGAAAATCATTCGAGCAGCGTTCATTGCTTCGGTGATGGAACCAATTTGATTGACCTTCAACAACAAAGCATTAGCCCACTTTTCTTCAATTCCTTGCTTGATTAATCTGGTGTTAGTAGTGTACAAGTCATCACCGACCAACATGATCTTTGATCCCAATCTTTCAGTCAAAAGTTTCCAACCTTCATAATCCTTCTCCTCCAAACCATCTTCAATGGAGATAATAGCAGGGTGTCTATTGACCAGTTGTACATAATATTCAACCATTTCCTCAGAGGTCAAGAACTCTTTTTGTTGAGTAATTTCATACTTCTTGGTTTCAGAATTGTAAAACTCGCTTGAGGCAGCATCCAAAGCCAAAAACACATCTTCACCAACCTTATAACCTGCCTTACCAATTGCTTCTTCAATATAGTTCAATGCTTCATCAGCAGTTTCCAAGTTGGGTGCAAAACCTCCTTCATCACCAACATTCTTTGCGCTTGGTCCAGCTCTCTCAGCAAGAATCTTACCCAAATGTTGATAAACTTCAGCAACACATCTCACTTTTTCACGGAATGGTTGATTCTCCTTTGGTAAAATCATAAATTCTTGAATTTGAAGACGACCACCTGCGTGTTTACCTCCATTCAAAATGTTGACCATTGGAGTTGGCAAACGGAACTTTAAGTTTTCAACCTTATCAGCACCATGGAATGCTCTTGCCAAGTACAAGAACAATTCTTCATTTCTGACAGCAGCACCAGCAGTGGCAAGTGCAAAACTTGCAGCAGTAATGGCATTACCTCCCAAATTACTCTTCAATTCATCACCATCAGCATCAATCAAAGCTTGATCGAGTTCTGGCAAGTTGTCCAATGACTTTCCTTCCACTGCCTTGCTCAACACGTCATTCACATTCTTCACAGCTTTCAAAACACCCTTTCCGAGGTATCTGGATTTATCACCATCACGAAGTTCGTGAGCCTCATTGCTTCCTGTACTTGCTCCAGAGGGTGCAGAAGCAGTGGCTACTGGTCTTTTTTGTCCATTAGCATAAACATCAACTTCAACAGTTGGATTTCCTCTTGAATCCAAAATTTCTCTGCCGACAATCTTGTCGACACGATTGACTGCACCCTTCTTTCCACGGTTCAAAAAGAAGTGACCAAGGAATCCAACTGGATCACTTGCGTTGGCATTGTAGCATTCATTGAGAGCGTCTTCAACCAACTTTTGAAGATTGTGATTTTGAAGATATTCACTGACCTGAATTTCAACGAGCCAGCAACCAACAAGACGTGAAAATAAGAAAAACCAAAGACGGGATTCATTGGGTAGTATTTTCGATAATGAGGTAACAAACATTGTTGTTGTACCATGTACCAATAATAGCCATCCATTTAAATTGATCAATCCATAGGTAATAATTGTATTCATCGGATTCGATATTAAATTGTGAAGGTTACAATAGCAGCATGGATGAACAAAATTAAAGTGATTTTAAATCCAATTACATCATCATACAATGATCAGCGTCGAACCACTTTGGCTTAACAAGTGTACATACAGGTTGTTTATCGGTCATTTCGAAGAAATTTTTTGTGAGTAAAATGCTCAGGATTGAATCAGGACCAAATTAAGCTTGGACTTAAAACGAAAAAAGTGAAAATGCTTGAATTGACAAGCTTTCCATGATTCACACGGTACTGTGGTATTACATTGTCGACAGGCAGAACCTGGGTGCCTACACTTTCTTCAATGGCTTGACGTCTTCGACACGAGCTTGTTCGTATCTAAATGAAGAAGCAATGAAGGGGAGTACATGGAACAGATCGTCAGTAGAAATTGATGGTCCAAAATTATTTTCTTGGGTTAATAGCTGCAAAATGTTAGGCATTGTTTGGTGATCTAAAGCATTACCATTTGATTCCTTAAAAGCAATAGCTTTGAGAAAGTTATTGCAATGTACAGCCAGAGATTCATTTTGGCACCTCAAAGCTTCAGTAAACGATTGAACATTAATTTCTAAATTAATAAAGGGTATGTTTGCATATGAGCATTGATTTCTGAGGAAATCTATTTGAATAGGATTAATTTCCAAATAATGTGCATCCGGAAAAATTACTAATTTAACTTGATGAGATTGCGAGCTAGAAATCAATTCTGAAATTTTGGTAACTTCATAAATTATATTTTGACAAGGATATTGTTGAATTCTGTAACGAGATGTTTAAATTAAAAATTTCCATGAACGGAACATACAATTTCAGAACCTTGGTTTGTTGCTCCGAAGATAATATTTTGAATTGTGGTTGGAACGGATTCGCAAGAGTCTTTTTCACTTTCTTTACCACTTTCTTTTGTTGGGGTTTTTTCGCTTGTGCAGCTGAGTTGTTGTTGGCTTTGTTCATTTTTGTTTACAATTTGGAAGCTGTGAGTTCTCCTCCTTCTTTAACGACTCTCAAGCGGTGTTGTGGTAAATAATTAAATGAAAATTTATTTTCAACAATCGGGTGTGGTATAGTGGTAGCATTCCAGACTGTCACTCTGGCGACCCGGGTTCAATTCCCGGCACTCGAGTAATGTTTTTTGTTCAGCTCACCAAATTTCTTTTGTTTGATGGAGATTTCGGTTGCTCTCCCGCTTACTTAAATAAATAAACGTTAACGTTTTTTAAAGGGGTGTTGCCGCCACTTTTAATATTGCAAAGTCACCAACAAGAAAAAAGAACAAATTCTCTCTTTATCGAACAATATTGAAGAAGAAATGGTATGTTACGATGATACATTTCCGTACATGAAATGAATAACTCACTACTGTGGTCCGACGAAAACACCTTTGCAATTTTACGAATATGATAAACCATATATAGCCAACAAACAGCAGCACGGAAAGCATCAATAACTCTAGTAATCATCATTCATCTCCTTCTTCAATCAAATCTACTCCACGAATCCATCATCAAATTTCAGCAACATCGGTATCACCTGGAAACTACAGAAAGCCCAAAAAGCTCCACATTCTCAACAAGATGGAACGAGAACGAAGAGAACAAATTGAGAGATTGAAACAAAGCCAACAACCAATTCCAGTAGCAACAACAACTCAATCAGCTACTCTTTCAAGCAAGTCTCTTTCTGAATCCATGACTAGGCTCTCTCTTGATTCATCAGCAGCAGCAAGTTTGCTTTCTTTTGCGCATGGCAACAACAGCATCAACTCTCAAGACCCTGATTCGTCCAGTCCTCAACAAGCAAAGAGCGAAGATAAAACTACTTGTCATGAGCACCCTTTCAAAAATTCCTCTTCTTCTCAACAACCATTACGACCAATTCCCATCCATCCTTCCACGTTCAATAACAATACTCTTAATGTAAAGAATAATAACAACACGTCCACCCATTCATCCTCTATCGTTTCATTGAGTAGCTATGATTCATCGATTGTAAAGACTAATTCCTCACTCATGATCACTCCATCCATTCCAAAAACTCCTCAATCTCAAAAAACAAAACAATTTTTCAAGCGAAAGATTATTTCACCAATGCAAAACCCTTCTCTTGTCAATCAAGAAGATGACGCAGAAGATTTAACAGATATTTCTAAGAGATTGGCATTTGATCAAAAGAATGTCGTTACTAAGACGCGTCCCTCCATTCCACAACCTCCATCATTGAATTCTCTTACTTCTGAACCTCCCCTCTCAACACCTGAAAAAAGATTAACCAAAAGAATGACTCTCCACAAGAAAACTAGTGTTACCAAAGCTCCAGATGTACCTTGCTCTCTCAAATTTGTTTTTTAAGACTTACATTTTTCAGCATATTTTCCAAATTCATCAACAGCTGCAGTCGATGAATGCATATATTTCCATTTTCCATGTTTGGTAACAAGATAAAAGCTTCAGGCAATTTGCACCTCAAGACGATAATATGACATCTTAAAAGAAACAAGAACCTCACATGTTGACGAACGCAAGTAAAAAAGCTTTTTTCTTACCATCCGCATTGAGCACAGAATTTTTGTCTCTACTCAAGAATACAAGGAAGGAGGTTGTATTGTTTCTTGATTATGATGGAACGCTTACACCCATTGTCGATCGACCCGAAATGGCCGTTCTCTCCAATGAAGCAAGAGAAGCAATTAATAATTTATCACATTATTTCAGAATTGCAGTTGTTTCGGGAAGAACAAGAACCGATGTTCAGGATCGGGTTGGTCTGCCTCATCTCTTTTATGCTGGTTCTCATGGATTTGATATTTCAGGGCCAGTGAAACACATTCGACATGACCGTGCTGGATTGGTTGTGCAAACACTTCTCACTCAAGATTGTTCGTCACAATGGACCACTCAGAAACGTGATGATGGAACCGATGTGGTCACTTTTCAAGTGGCTAAAGAATGCATACCAGTGTTGAGAAGAATCTATGAAACACTCAAAGAAAGTCTTTCAGATATTGAGGGATGTATTTTGGAAAATAATATATTTTCTCTGTCTGTTCACTACAGATTAATTAAAGACGAAAGGGACGTGCAGCGAGTGAGTGAAATTGTTGAAGGGATATGCAAAGATGAATCTCAAGTGGTTCACACTCATGGTAAAATGGTTCATGAAATTAGAATCAACACGGATTGGAATAAGGGTAAAGCTGTTCAATTTCTACTCAACTTTTGGAATGTTGGATCGAGTGATAAGGTACTTTCAGTATATATCGGTGATGACAAGACCGATGAAGATGCATTCAAAGTCTTGAAAGACCATGATTTAGGAGTGGGAGTACTAGTCTCGCCGACCAACGTGGAACGATTTGAAGCTGTCCTCACTCAAGACGATAGTGCAAGTGTACCAAGCGTGCCAGGAGACGGCACCATCGCAGCAGCTCCCAATGCAAATCCTCAATTCCTTACTTATGCCAAGTATCATTTAAAGGATCCAAAAATGGTGGTTGAATTTCTTCAAACATTGTTAAAGGAATGGAAAGAATAGCAATTTAATAAGGATTTATCATCATGCTTCGTCAAGTGTAAATAGCAATGAGTCATCATTAATTTGAATAAATTAGTTGAAAATTATAATGATGGTTGTTTACTTTTTAAGTTCAGAAACTTCATCATCTCGCAGTACCATGTTCGGTATTCTGTCCTTGATTGGATATCTTCGACCACATGAAGGATTAGTACAAACTAGCTCGCCATTCTTTACTTGCAATTCCAATAAAAGTTTGTGTAGTGATTTCATGGCAGCTTCGTTTTCTCCAACATTTTCTGGTAATGTATCTGGTAAGCCTTCGATAGAAAGCTGAAAAGTTTTTATCACACAATTGTTTCATTCCGCAAAGTTATGGGTTTCGGAGCCCATGTTATATGTTAACGTTTATCACAATATCAATTCATATCAAACGTACATTACTGGCAGCGCTTTTCAGAGCGTCATAATCAATTCTTTGAAGTACATTCAAAATAAATTCCTTGTTCTCATCTTGTTGTTCATTCTCCACTTCCGTTGCTTCAATTTTGAGAGGGAATGACTCACATTTCAAACAGCACATCATGTTATGAACAAGTAGCCTCATTTTTTATGTGCCCAGAAAGAATTAGACATGAAAACGTTTGGTTGTGAGAGTTTTATTTGTAATATTAAACACAGCTTCTCACGTGTTGTAGTTCGTGTATGCTGATGATGACGCTGATGATGTAAATTCAAATGTGGACACCATTCTTTTTTCATCATCATCACACATAAAAAATGAGAAATAAATTCGTTTCAAGGATAGGCACTTTTAAGGACAGCGTGTTCTTCGACAAGGGCTGGAGAGGATTCGAGAAATCAGAGCCTGGTGCTTTTTATTCTTTTGCTATTTTCTGTGTTGGTGCGTTTTATTGTGATTTTATTTGTGCATGATCATCATTTTCATTCCATGGAAAAATTATTTGGATATTTAATTTATCGTTTAATTTATCATTGTCGGAATAATAATACTCATCATCATACATTTGTCTGAACGTGAAATTAATGTTGTTAGCTCCTTTCCTTCCTGTAGTTTCATATTTTGGATTCAAGTGGTTTGGTGGAATTGATATCACCAAAGCATACCCACATATTGACTCTAGAGAAAAATTTGTCTTCTTTAACGACAAGTCATCTGGAAAGGATGACGTAGGAGCAGTGTTTGAATATCACTATGATGATGGAACCAAACAAGTTGTTTTCAACAAGTAAATGAAAGAATTTTATTTATTAGTCTTGAAATAAATAAAAGGCAGAGAATGAATGGCTGTTCATTCTCTATAAATTAGTCAGGTTAGGGTAAAATATGATTATTTGTTCAGTCTAATAAGTTAAATAAGTAAGGTAGAGAATTATTGATTTACAGAATCTGTAGTGAAGAAGTAAGTGGGTACAGTATCAATTTGCTCTTTAAACACTGGAAGACGAGATGCTTGTTGAATAGGCACCATATCAATGTTTTGGCTGAGGGCTCTTCCAATGACAGCCTTGTCAATAGAGTGAATGAAGCAACAACGTATACCATACATGCATGTTCCTTCATAATGGTAGTTGTTGCACAACTCGCTCTTGTACTGAGGTTACCGCTGGTGTCATTATTATCTTAGCAAATAGAAACTTACCTTGTGATGCCTTGTAACAACTCTCAACTCCTGTCTGCCATGTGCAAATTGACATTTGTCCCCATATCTACAGAATCCAGTTTCTTCCCAAGATCTGCACAATTCAGTCTTGTAACGATCTTTTCCATTGTAGGAAGCCTGATTGTCGTTCGTTTGTTGTTGATTGGTTGATTGTTGAACCACAATGTCGTTGAAGTCAGTACTGTTGGCAAAAGCTTCCAATGACCGTTTGGATGTGGATGTTGAGGATGAGAAGTGTTTATGCTGAGTTGTTGGAGTAACATTTGATTGCTTTCTCTGTGGAGGAGCGTTGACGGAAGCCTTAGTGGTGGGCTCACTAAGGTGAGAGGGGCTTGATCCAGCGTGATGATGTTGGGTACACGAGTTGGACTTGCACGTTGGTTTAACGGGTTGAAGGCCGTTCATTGTTGGGTTGTGCTTACCCTTAGCTAAGGCTTGGTGTTCGAGTGGTTTTTGATATGAAAAATCATCATAAGATGGAGCATGATGATTGAATGAGGACATGTTAGAACTACAAACAAAAGGATTGATAGGCGTGTTCAACAAGAAATGAAGAGAGTCGGAAGTTTGTCCAAGGTATGGATAGCCGCTGAAAGGGTGCTGTTGATCTGAGGATAATCCCGTGTGGTTGGCAATCAATGGAGTTTGATGATGGTATAATGAGTTCTTCATCGTAACATCCATGGATGAAGATGGTAAGTAACGGTGATCGAAGAGCATTTCTCGGAGCGTCAATATAAATAAGTATAATATTATACAACAGAGTTTGGAGCCAATAAGGAATTACTACTCTATGAGTCAATTGTTTTTTCCTTCTCAAAAGAGAGGTTATTGGGGTATCTGGCTGCTGATCCCTCAAAGGCTAGCTTTGGATAGATAGCGGTGCAGACAACAAGGTTGAATAGGTACAGTCTGGCAGGTCAAGAAAAGTTGTAGTTTTTTTTAATTGAATTACGGGCACCTAAAATTGTAAATGTGACGGTGGGAATTGGATTCACTGCTTCAGCTCAGAAGAATAACAATTCGCCCGACTTGGAAAAGTAATGAAGAAGCAAAATATTCAACCAAATTAATAACAAAGGAACTACAACACGCTTTCCAAAGCGAGCAATTCAGAAATTCTTTCCACATATTCTGAAGGGAAAAATATCCCTCTCTGGTGCTTGATTCAAGAAAATTGTTGCCGCCAAAATTTTGTGAATTTGATTCCAAAACAAAAAATGTCATCAAGTGAGCAACCGAAAAAGAAAGCAACATCGGAGCCTTCAAAAAAGAAGAAAAAGCTTTCAAAACTTGACGCAATTGCGGAGGCAATTGCCAAGCAATTCAACAAGGCACAAAAATCTAAAGCCTCTCATGAAAAATGTATTGCTTCATTATTGGAAATTATGAACGATGATTATGAAAAGTTTCTTGAGAAATTCTTTGAACTTGTGCATCCCGTGCTGATCGTTTCCAAGAGTGAGAAGTCGGCGGAAAATATTATTCAGTTGATTGCAAAGTTTTGTGCTGCAGCAAAGTCACAGGAACTGTCGTCTGAGTCGAACGCCGCAGAGCAAGGCTTTGATTTTACAGTTGATTTTGTTGATAATTTAATTGTCTATGCCAACGCTTCAAACAAAACTGTAAGATATAGGGTAGCACAAATAACAAGCCAAATTATCGAAAAGAGTCCAATGTTGGAGGAGATTGACGAAGATTTTGTCAATTCAATCAAAGAAAAGTTTGTACCAAGGCTAAGAGACAAACTTCCAGCTGTTCGATTAATGGCTGTCTCCGTTCTTGCTAAATTTCAAGACCCTCATTCCCAATGTGCAATAATGTCAGAATTTCTTCGCATGATGGGCTCAGATCCAAACAAGGACGTTAGAAAAGAAACAGTGAAGCGAATCTTTTTGTTAAAACAAACTCTTGGCCCAGTTGTTGAGAAAGTAAAAGACATAAAGGAGGAAGTGAGAGGTGCAGCATACGAAAAGATTTTCTCCACAGTCAAGATGAGAAACTTTACCATTCAGCAAAGAGTTAACATGATCAATTATGGATTGGAGGAAAGAGACGCCAATGTAAAAGCGCAATTTGAGCGCTTGTTCATTGAAAAATGGTTCACTGATTTTAAGTTTGATATTTCTATGCTTCTGACCAATCTAGACGTTATAGAATACGAAACTACTTGTGAAAAGCTCATTAGATTAATTTTGGACAGGTCAGACAAGATTGAAATAGTTGGAGATAAGGTTGATTTCCAATCACTGACTCCAGAACTAGCACTATTTTGGAGATGCAAATGTCAATACCTGGCATCAAAAAAAAAGGAAATCGATGATTTACTTCCTCCATCTATTACTGGTTTTGTACATTTAGTTATCGAGTATCTCAAACAGTATGATGAATTTGTTGTCAGACAGTTACTAATAATTTCGAAATATCTTGATTACAGCGATGAGGTTGGAAGATCTAATGTCCATTCATTATTGAGCGAGATGCTTTCTTCATTCCACGACCCAGAGGCTCATGTAAAAGAAATAATTGAGTCCTTGAAATGTATTCTTCCAAACCCTGAAGATTTTCAAACAACTATACTAAACAGAATAGACGAGCTTCGAAAGGCAGCACTAAGCATGTCCAAGAACAGAAACATCCAAGGTGAACACTTTGAATTGCAGAAAAAAGAGAGAATACAACAACTGAACCTCACGAAACAAGAAATTATTATCAAAATACAACAACTGACTGTTGAGAAAACTAATCTGGCCCAAAAAGAAGAGTATTTGGCAGCTAAAGAAAAATTAGATCAAATTTACGTGCTTTACAGGCAACTGAAAGAGATTGAAGCTGAGATCACCAAAAGAGATGAAGTGAGACCAGACATGGAAGAAATATGTTTGTGGTTGCGAGCATTGCAAACTACATCTGAGTTTATAATGCAGGCGTATTTACCAGTTGATATTTCTCAATTCATTTATCTCGTAGATGACCTTATTTTGATTGCCTTAGATCATGATTTTGACAATCTTAGATCTCTTGCAATCAAAACACTCGGCCAGTTTAGTTCTTTAAATATTGATATTGCGAAGCAGCATGTTGGAAGACTTGTTACTATTCTTTCACAAGAGGCAAATGATGATTGTATCAATGCAGTTCTTCAAGCGTTATTCGATATATTCCGTATTCATTCTGTACCAACACTTCTGTCACAACAAGAAAGCAAAAAGATAATCCTCAAGATGAAGGATAAATGCTCTTCAAGTAGCAGACAAGTTAGAACTACTGGTTGTGAAGGTTTTGCCAGATTACTCCTGACCAATACGATGTACGAACAAGACTCTGCAGAGATTTTATCTGATTTAATCTTGCTGCTTTTCAACGAAGCCACAGAAAAGGATCACAGATTACGCCAATGCCTTACAATCTTCTTTCCAGCATATGCTTACAAATCTGCCAATAATATGAAAACAATGGCTTCTATATTTATCAATACTTTACGACGTGTTATTCATGCAGACAAGAAATCAACCCTTTCTAAAATTAACATACAGATTTTAAGTCAATACCTATTAGACCTCACCAATCCAGAAAAGTTGTCAGACAAACAGAAATCAGAAATCAAAGTTGATACTCTTTGTTTACATGAAAATATTGGTATTGCATTGGCATACGAAATACTATTGAAACCAACTTCAAAGGAATCTCAAATTTATTGCAAATTATTTCCGTCACTTTCAATTTACAATACTAACAGGTATCAAATCAAGAAGCTCATCGCTCTATTAGAGAGAGTACGAGAAAAGATTCCAAACAAAATTACTCAACGGTCTTTGGACAAGTATTTGGAAACAGTACAGCAAAATCTTACCAAGTCAAAAGAAGGAGAAGAACAAGAAGGTGACGACGAGACAACGAACTTGGACCAAAAAATTGTTGAAGAAATTGAATTGGAGGTTAGCCAAATTGAAATGGATCTTGAGGTATTTATTGATGCTCTCGATGAAAAGCATATTGAACATTCAAGGACTCCTAACGCAGCAAAACGTCAGGAGAGAGCAAAGAATCCTAATCAATCAGAAATTAGAGTGAATTTAATTGAAATCGGTGAAGAGCGAACAAAATTATTCTCAACTCCTACACAATCCAAATCTAGTAGATATCCCACCCCTCCAACAATCAATGAGTCTCCCATCCAAGGTGCAAAAGCACCTTCTCCATTCACCCCTCTCACACCTCAAGACGAAGAAGAACTTGATATTCGAGCAACTCCTAATCGCAAATCCATATCCTCTAAGCAAGTGTCATCAGGAAGGAAATCCATCACACAAAAGGACATGTATGACAGCGAAGATACGATTGAAGAGTTAAGCGATGGAGATAGTATTTTAGAGGAAAAAGAGCCGCAACAGCCAAGGAAGAAGATTTCGTTTGCATCTCCCGAAGCATCATCTTCGTCCTCATCAAGACCATCCATGAATCAACCACCAATTCGAAAATCCTCAACCAAACAACTTGCTGACGAAATTTCAAACCTTTTGAACAATGCACCAATGAGCTCTGATGATGAAGATTAAACGCTAACGTTTGGAAGACGCGTTGAGGTTTTATTGAATTCAAAACAAGAATCTCTAAATGAGCTCACTGATTTTTCTTCCACAACTTCTCTTGGTGTATCTGTTGGTGATTTTTCAATGTTAGTGGCTGAGCCACATGTTCTAATTAGATCGATTAACCTCCACACGTTTATCCATCCCCAAATCAATAAAGAACAGAAAAAAACTGTAAGTATAAAGAACTATACTCAAAGCTCTGTATCTAAAGATCCTTTATTGTACCACATGGGCCAATGACTTTGAATGTTGTAGAATTTTGGAGGGAACATAGAGCTCTGAGCCCGCCAAGATTTTGTAGTTTGGAGTTGAACACAAGAAAAAATGCAAAAAGCATCTTCCTCATCGTCCTCAGCCGTCTCTACTACCAACAAACCATCAGGTATCACCACAGAGGTAAGGTCTCTGTATGAGGCTACATTACCAGTGTATGTTTTTCGGGATCAATGTCCCAGCACAACTACATGCAGTGACGGATATAGTGAGGCAAAACTATTCATGATTAAAATAACAATATCATGCAACTCTGCCTGCTTGCCCTCAACTGTGCTTCCATCAGCTTCATCCCTCTCACAAAAGAAGTCTCCCTTCAATACGACTATCCCTAACTTTAACAGCCTTATTTTTACGCTTACTGATGATAACGATCTTTATTTTTTATACACAGCCCAAATAGACGAATGCAGCTACAGAAATTTGAAAATGTCTCAACGCATCAAAACAGATTTCTCTCAATTTTCTTCCCATTTAGAACAAATGTTTGAAATGTGTAGCAACTCTCACTCAGAAAACAAACAAGAGTAAGTATAAGGTCTAGTGACATGCTAACCATAACCACAATTAAATAGTTGGTACATTAAACTTTCAGTGAATCAAGGAAAAGGCAAGTCAATAATGGAGATTATCAATGCTGATATGTTTAGTGAAAGCTCCAAGTTTCATTTGGAGCTAGTAGAAGGATCAAACGAACAGAAAAAAGAATATTTAGCAAATCAGCTGAAATATTGGAAACAAATTGCTCAAGAAAACGAAAAGTTATTTAATAACTGTGACACTGATTCGAAGCAAAAACTAGAACACTATGAGTCAATTATTGCAGAGTTAAAAGAAGAGAAACAAGAACTTCTTGTTAAGTTTGAAAAGGAAATTACTGGAAATACTTGCAAGCTAAAAGAAGAAATCACAAGACTGAAAGAGAAGCATCTAGAAGAAATGCAACGACAACAGAAAAGAATGGAGGATGAGAGAAGAGAAGCTGAAGATAAGCGTGTAAGCGAAACCAAAGCGCTCTCAACCAAGCTTGAAGAATATCGAAACAACAACAATGAGCTTACATCGGCAAAGTTCAGTCTGGAGGCTGATTTGCGACAACAGTTAAGCAAAACATCTCAGCTAGAAAATGAAAAAAAAGCATATTTGGAGGAAGTTACAAAACTCAGAGAACAAAATCGAGAATTAGATATTTTACGTTTTGATCATGAAAAGAAAATTAGAGAGTTGGAGACCAAACTACTATTAAATGAAGAAATCATGAAAGAAAAAGGGTTAAACCTCAAAACATTGAATGAACACCTAAAAGAGAAGGAACAACAAGAATTGAGCAAAGCAGAAATCATTGCTGAGCTAAAATCTAAGATTGATATTCAAGAGAGAGACATTAACGAGAAAAGTTCTGATCTTAAGAGATGCCATGAAATTATAAAAAGGTTTAAAGAGCGAGAAGATTTTCTGATCGAAAAAGAAAAAGAAAGAAAACTCAAAATGCAAGCAATGCAACACTCACTCAAGAAAAAGGAGCAAGAAAAGAATCAATTAATTCAAACAGTTGAGAAGAGAAATCATACAATTCAAGAGTTGGAGTCAAACCTGAGAGTCCTACAGCAAAAGTGTAATGATTCAGAATCTCAATTGACGGAAGCCTTAAAGAAAGTTGAGCAGTCTCAATTCACAATCGATGCAATGCTCAGTAGTAAGGGAAAACTTGGTACCACTAGCTTTGTGGATAGTCTTGGAACTTTTGGCTTAAACTCGAGTAGTGCTGGAACGTATACTACTGACTATTCGACTTCTGAGCGATCCCTATCTACGTTGCAACCAGAACAAGCGTCTAAGCTTGACAATTTTACGAATTACTACAAAACTGCAAGATTTGGAATTGAGGAACATGCCACGAGCACGGACACAATGTCAACACCAGAAAAAACAAACTTCACTTTTTCTCTTAGCAGTATTTCTCCAAACAATAGCAAATCGAAATCCACATCACCTACTTCATTGAAGAAGAATATTGTTTCATTTGAAACTGGAAGTAAAGAATGGGCCGAAAGTCTATAGATTTAAATGTCACTTAAAAACTGGATCAACACAACTTTCATCACATTGCTCGAGGAACATGTGTTTCACAATCTAGGTTAGACAGAGATATTGTGTAAAACAACTGCTTGGAGTCCATTTGCCAAATGCCTCAGGTGTTGCGGCTTCCAACCAACGACCCGCTTTTCATTCTAATGACAAATACCTTCTTTTGAAAGGATATTGAATAGTTTTGGGACATTGATTGGATTTTAAATTTACTGAAACAATGTGTTTGGAACCATGGAACACATTTCATTCGTTGGATGCTCTTTTGAGATGTACTGGCCGTTCGAATTTTGTGTTAAAATTGAATTACTTGGAACATTTTTTGAGGGGTATTGCGACCTTCTGTTGATTTTCATGTTTACAAATAAAAAATCGTCAATTTCACCGATAAATACTCTTTTCACAAGAAATGGATACGTTTCCATGAGTCAATATTCATAATCATATGATAAATTTCAATATCTTAATAATTTCCACCACTTACACATTATTTCCTCTGAGTATTTGCAATCCTAGTCTCTCTTGAACAACACCCTGTTCGGGATCATATTTGTTTTCTGTACAATCTCTAATGATGAGATTCGTATGTTGGTCACTGCCTTCCAGAACTCCCATAATATATCGTCCATCAACAGTGACTACAGCCACTGTATCTATTGGAATTAAATATATTTGACAAAATTGTTTAAATGATGGATTAATGTAATTAATTAAATGATAACGACATGTAATTCGGAACATCATATTTCCACAATGGCAAATGTTTGGTTGAACCCGAATCGATCATTCTGTACGTACTGTTCAGATATTTGGCTAGTTGATCCATTTTTTTGAAATAATAAAATTTAATTGTTGACATTGTAAGTGCAATCCGAGTTCTACTTTCCACTCAAAGTTTTGTACTTCTTAAGATTGTTGGAAAAGTCTTTGAGGAATGAAAGTATCTTTTGCTGGTCCTCTTCAAGAACTCCAATATCATTCAAATCCATTTTGTCTCTTGTTAACACATCCAAACAACCCAAATTGTACCAACCAAGAGAAATGAAAGTGTGAGCATATCTGGGATCTACATTCAGATACTTCAAAAATGATGCCATTTCTAACTCTTTTCTAGCGATATATTCGTCACTAATTTCAAAGACTGACTCCTTAGGAACTATTGTCGATCTATCTTTTACAACTCCGTGAATATCTCCATACTTATAGGCAACGGTGATGTGAAAATGATAAGGTTCCAATCCAAGTGTAGCTCTCAAACGTTGAGCACTCGGCCAATCAATAATGACAAAGTAGGCATCATTCTTTTGTTTTTGATCGTTTGATGATTGTGATGAAGGCAATGCAAGAACGTCGTTCATATGAGCTGATTCTTCTTGTGAGACTTTACCAAGTCCAATGGCATGATAATCATTAGTAACAACTTTAGAAATAGCATGCATTAAAATTTCAATCTTTTCCTCTTCAGAGCCTTGTTTCAATATCTGTTTTTGGTTCTCGTTAAATAAATGCTCTAATTCTCTAGATGATTCTAAATTCTTTAGGGCTGTATTAATTTCAGGTCGAGTCATTAATGTTATATGGTGTATAGGTCCGTCGCGTTTAATTCTCTTTTGCAATAATGGTTGATTGTCTGACATATCAGGATTAATGTTGTATTTTTTAACTAGTTCATCAATCGAGTGCCCAAACAATCCAATGTATCCAAAATACTATTCATTATTTCAGTCAATTTATGATGAATTTTCATGCAAAAATCAATTAAATGCTACTTACTTGGAATTCATCTCTCATCTTAAGGTTTCGCTTAGAAACACAAATATAACGGAAAGGGTTTGAACCTCTAGAAAAGTGGTCCAAATTGAACTCTTCTGCAAGGGAATGAACTCTCTTTCTTTGAGCGAGGTTTAAAGTGTTGGAAAAATCAAAGACATGAGCCTTTTCATCTTCAACAAAAGACTTTAAACATTTGTAAAAAGACTTTCCCATCTCATCTTCGGGCTCGTTTGGAATGATTGGTTTTAAACTATTACTTTGAGAATAATTAATCATTTCTTGGTTCAATGGTTTTCTAATTATGAAGAATTGTGCAGTAGTTTTAGCACCCCCTCTACGTGCTACTACTTGTTGATTTTTTTCATTTCTTTTTGATGATGAAATTACTTTCTCACGTTTTTCTTCCACTTGGGTGGAATGTGCGGAAGATGGTTTGTTGAAATCTTTTTTCTTCCTATTGTCTCCCTGTGGCTTTGAATGACGGTTGGAGGTGGTATGAGAGGCATAGAAGGTTGGAGATGTCTTTTGAGAAGAGGCAACATTGGTTGTTGATGAATGAGCCAATGTTGGTGATGACGAAATTACAGCAGCAGAGTACGAGCCGGCAATTGCTGTTGCTGCTTGCTTGTTGTTGTCGGAAGATCTCACAACAACTTGTGCTGATGGCATTTGTGTAGCCACAGTTTTCTTGCCACTACTGCTTTCTTTTCTAGCTCCTTCATTAGACTTCTCGGATGTGCCTTGTTTTTTGTTATTTCGGAATTTGTTGTTGTTGCTGTTCATTCCTCCTCTGAATGCTCTTCTGCCTCCTCCCTTTTTTGAGACTACGAGATGAAATTCTTCGTCTTGTTGTTGAGAAGATGATGTTGTGTGTGCGTTTTGCATTTTTTCTTTTTCAGAAATCTTTGAAACTTGTCATTTATTGTTGTCGCTGCTTTGGTCTACACTTGTGCTACTACTGCTTGCAGAAACACTTTGCTTTTTTCTCTTCTTACTTTTCTTGTGTTCTTGTTGATCTGTTCTTGTTGGTTGTTCTTCTTCGGCTTGATCTTCTCCATCTTCATCATCATAAACAAAGTACTTGCTTCTGTCAACACCTGCCTTCCATGTGAACGTTTTGTTTCTGGATGTTAGCTGTCTAGAAGATGTTCCTCCAGGAGGCAAGCACCTTTGAACATCTTCCACTTTGGAATTGATATCAGTAATGTTTGCTGAATATTGCTGAATTCGCTCATTAAATTTGCTGTTTTGAGACCTTAAATTAGAAATCATTTGTCGTATGGTGCTGTGTGTAAGGTTCATCATTCTTTCTGTATCATGACCGTCTTCAACCTTGTTAGAGATGTTATAAAACTGATTTTGTGTGCCAGACCTTGTGGTAGCGTTAACGGATGAGGTATTGGAGTTGATCATCGTTGGTGATACAGGTCTATTTACAAGTGTAGAAGGATCGTTGCCGTAAAATTGAGTACGAGATGCAATAGATGGGATAGAAGGAATTGAGGGAAGTGCATGATGGTTTTGAGGAAAATGCTGAGAGTTTGGAGAAGGAATGTTTGAAGGTAACTTGGGAATATAAGGCAAATCATGATAGTTGTGAGAACTCTGTTTAGAGTATGTATGTTGTTGTTGTGGGGAGGAAGAGGATATCATTCTTTGAGTAACAAGTGATGGAATTCCAAAAACTGATGTTTCAATGTTTGATCTTGGCCATACTGCGCCACTTGTGGAAGAAGGGGTTGGTTGTTGAGGTATGGGTGTATGATTTGTAAATTGAGGAGGTATTGAAGAAAAAGAAGGGGTTTCTCCTGGAATACTTGTGTGTGGCAACTCTGGTTGTCCATAAATTCTAATGAGCTTGAAAATGTAAGATGAAATAGTTGGTTCAAAAAAGTATTCGCCAACGAAATAAAGACCGTCGTATCGATAACCATGAACGGGACAATGATGGTTTCTTAGTGGTGATTCTCTATCGATAATGGACAACTCATACCTTCCACGAATTACTCTCACTGGAATTTTGTATGCCGAGTTTTGAGCTAAAGCTTCTGCGGCTGTTCCCTTTATGGAGGGTGGAGAAGATTGAGGGTCATGTTGTTGAAAATTGATTGAATACAAGACAATAGTACCTCTATCCTCATGTTCATCTTGAGAGTCATAAATAATTAGTGAAGCAGCAGGTTTTGAATAATTGGAGTTTGTGCAAACAGCTGATTGAAGGTCTGTATGAAGTTTACAATCTAACAAGTCCATTCTTGATTCAAATTTCATACCAACCACAATATCAGGAATATTTCCATAAATTTCTCCCGTCTCGTTATCAATTTTACAAATCATTGCATCTTCAAAATATTAAGGAAACCGCATTCGCAAATTGTAAACATACCTTGAACGTCATTTCGTGAAAAGTTCGAGATTTCTGCCAAATATTGTAATGAAATTGTTCTCTTTCGATCTTTGTAATGAACCCCTGTTACGCCAGGGCTTGAGAGTGTTGGAATTGTTTTTTGAGGATGAGAATTGAGGGGAGATGAATTGACGATCGATTGAAGGTTCGGTAAAAGTGGAACATTGCAGGAGGATGAGCCAGAAGGGAGAGTGGTGGAGGATAAAACTTGTGATGAAGAGTCTTTGATTTGGAAAGAAGATGTCGGAGTAAGACTGTTGCCTCCCAATGGTTGTTGTTTGGTGGATTCTTGTTTGGAATTGTCTTGATCAATAAATGAAATATTGAAGTTTGATGAGCTTTTGAGCGAAGGCACAGTAGCAATAGAGGGAGTGTTGGGAAGAGACTGCGGTGAAGAACAAATAGACTGAGTAGACTTATTAAGCGTTGAAGAAGGGTTCAATGGTGAATCAGATGAAACAGTGGTCGGAGTTGAAACACTGTTTTCTAATTTCTTAGACATGTCCGCACTCGATGATGCTGCCTTCAATCGTTGGTGTGCACTTGATGATGCGGAATATTGCTCCGAATAATTAGCAGCTCTACCTGCATCTATAAACATGTCATCATAATCTATATAACCACCATTGGAGTTGTTGTTTGGTGGAGTGGATGTATTGTTGGAGTTGCTGGTTTCTTGAGGGGTCATGTTCGAGATGATGAGATTGCCGCAATTGTGGAAAAGGATATGATGAGTACACAATGAATTAATATTAATTGTAAAAGAGTCTCGTGCACCGAGTGTGCTCTTCTTTGCTGATGACTGCGGACTCTGCCAATGCAAAAACCTGTTGACGCTGTTGGAGTTTGGCACAGAGATTCGAATTTATTTTTTTGTGCTTGTTTTCAAAGCAATCTCAATTCTCGAGATTTTAGCTGTCTTCTTCGGATTCGGAAGAAGAAGTGTTGTCACTGCTGCTACTTGAAGAATCTTGTTTGGTTTTCTTTTCTGACTTTTTACGCTTTTTCTTTTCAGTCACACTTTTTTCGTTATGTTTCCGTTTAAGAAACGACTTTCTAATGTTTGAATCAAAAGCAACAAGTTGCGCATCCTGGTCGTTTTCAATGCCATGTTCTTTAAAATGTTGATCTAGTTTGAGAGCTTTTTTGAACTGCTCGTTTTTCTGATTAGGTGAAGACACACTTGACTCCGATGCTTTAGAATTTTCGTTTGCTGCTGATTGATCTGTGTTGGAAGATTTAAATTTTTCCTCAACCTTTTTAATTCTAATTTTACGCTCTTCTGATATTTTGTTTTCGATTTCTTCGGGAGTTAATTCCCCTTTTTTTGACAATTCAGATTTTAATTTAAATAATTCAATTTCTACTTTTTTCTTTTCTTCATGCAATCTCAACTCAACATTTTCTGTTTTGATTTTTGACAAATCTTTCTTTTCCGATGATCTATGATCTTTTTTTCTTTCTTTGTGATGAGAAATAGCGCTATAATTCCGTTGAACATAACCATTTGTTCCACTTCCTCGAGGTGTTGTTAATCCAATGCCGTTGTACATGATGACGTTTTAAATGGCAGCAATTTTTTACTTAAAATTACAGAAAACAATCTCTTATTTTTTTGTTGAATGTGTATGTTTAGAATTGCTGGTACATCAATAAAGTCATCAGTAACGAGTTCATTCAGCTAATAGATGAATATGAAAGATTCAAGGTGCATCCAAGAAGAACAACGAGCTGCAAATTCTTTTCTTTTGAAATGTCTTCAACACGAGCAAGAAAAAATGAGAAACATTGGCGTGTTACGTCGTTTGCGCGCATCATCGGCCAACAACAAGACGCTTCTCTCCATTATTACATCACAAACATCATCAATTCTCTGCAAAACATCTTCATCATCGTTCATTCAAAATCGATGTTTTTCCTCTAGTCTCGGTTTGGTAAGAGAGAATGTCAAAGACAACAAGCCTAGTACTGAAAAATCACAAGATGTAAATTTTCCTTCAACAGCAAACGATAGCGATGTAGGTTTTCTTTTTATTGTCCTAAATAATAATATAATGTTATTTCATCGTGTAGTTCGTTTCTATCATTGAAGAAAAGCAAAAAGGAGCAAAATTTACTTCTGAAATGTTCGATACTCTCTTGTTGTACCTAAGAAATCTTCCAACACAAAAGAGACAAAAAGTCATACATTGGCTAGCCACCGAAAAGAAGGAAATGAAATTGGTGAGAAAGATTAAAGAAGCCTTCATTGGCATGAGCCTTCTTAAAGCCAACATGAATCTGCAATTACCAAGAGCAGTTCAAAAGGAACGAATTTGGGCCAAATACATCAACTTTGGTATGATTCCGGGCTCTCTCTCACAGCCTGCAGACAGTGCCTATAATAGATTCAAGGTTAAATATCTATATGACTTGAGCAAATTAAAAGGTCAAGCAGAGTTGGATGACATGGATGAAATGGTTGATGATGACGTTGCAATTAAACGAGATATTGATGAAGATGATGAAACAGAGGTACAATACAGTTTGGAAGAGTCTTTGGAAGAGGACGTGGAGGAAAATGCCAAGGATATTCATGAAGAATTGGCGAAGATTGACGATAATGAAATATTCAACGCTCTGAGAATTAAAAAAGATTATCTCAGATTCCATGAATTGGTTCGTGAAAAAGTTGAAGAAGACCCTGAAAGAATCTTACCAATTGACTCTTTCGAACGCACCTCTGAAGACCTATTCCAATTAGGTAACCCCAAACAAAAGAGACTTCACAGAGAAAAACAAGAGTCAGAGGATTCAATTAAAGCTTTGAGCAAAAAGCTGTTGAAACAAGAAAGAGAGGACATTACTGCACCATATTTTTTCTATCAATTTGATGAATCTCAAGTTGCCAAACAAATGGAAAATCTGCAGGCAATTACTGAAGGAAAACCATTGAAGCATGATGTCGGAGTTCAACTTCAACCAATTTATGACAATTTTGCTGGTATTGAAAAAGGCTATTTTGGAGATGTTGATATTGATGCTGACTGGGATGAATCACTTTATGAATATAATGGTGAACCACCTGTCACAGCTCCTCTTGCCGACGACACCCAAGACCCCGAAGTTTATCATGGTCAAAAAGATGCTATTACAGATGTTTCTTTCGAGGAAAAGGTTCTGAAGCTTTCAAGAAATTGTAAAATGACAACTGGTGGAAGAGTTGAGTCTTACAACTGCTTGTATTTGGTAGGAAGTTACAGTGGTTTGTGTGGAGTTGGTTTTGGAGCCGCTGCATCTCCTGCTGTTGCTCAGGCTAAGGCCAGAAAGGCAGCATACAAGAACATTAGAAGTATTGAACCTGGAGCATGCATTCCACGTTCTCACTTAATTGAAGGAAAGTTTGGCTCTTCAAAAATTAGAATTCATCCAAGTACAAAAGAACAACCAACGGCCAACCCTATTTTGAGAAAGTTATGCGCATATCTTGGCCTTAAATACTGCTCAGTAAGACTGTATGGAAGCAGAAATATTTTGAATGTCATTCCTGCATTCTTCAAATGCATCGACCAACTGAAAACACTCGAAAGTGAAGCCTCGATGCGTGGTATTATGCCAGTCTATGTGAAAAAGGAATTTAATGATTACATGGAAAGGGTAAAAGCAGGAAAAGGTTTGTATGGATGGTAATTTGCCAATAAAATCAAAAGTAAGAACAAATCCTTGATAATTTTGAAAATATTATTATTGTGTTTGTGTTTATTGAGTTTAAACAATTTATCCTCTCTTCTTTGTTGACACACCGACGGTCTTACCTCTTCTACCAGTTGTCTTGGTATGTTGACCACGGACTCTCAAGCCCCACATGTGTCTCAAACCTCTCTCGGACTTGATCTTCTTCAATCTTTCCAAGTCATCTCTCAAAGCCATATCGACAGAGTTGGCAACCAAGTGCTCAGTAGCACCAGTCTTCCAGTCTCTTCTTCTATTGAGGAACCAGCTTGGAATCTTGTACTTTTCAGGAGATTGGATAATATCTTGGATCTTGTTGATTTGGTCTTCAGACAATTCTCCAGCTCTCTTGCTTTGCTCAATTTCAGCCTTCTTCAAGACAATACCAGCGAAACGTCTACCAACACCCTTGACTGAAGTCAATGCATATAAAATAGATCTTCTACCTTCGATGTTAGTGTTGAAAAGACGCAACAATTCTTTGAAGTTCTCCTCTTGGGTTACGACGAGAGACATTATGATGATGGGTTTTGGCGTATTTTTTTTCAATCAAATTTTTTTAAAAAATAGTCAACCAACAACGAAACTTTACAATGGAGAGTAGGAAGCTGTTCAACGCTTAGCTCAAACCAATAAAGTTTCATAACACTTGCGACACGAATGGTACCGCGAGTACCTCTTACAAGTCTCTTTAAGTTCTATGGATGAATTGTGATCTTCTATTTCTGTTCTATCAAAGTTGTTTTCTAATTCAAAAAAATGTTTAAAAGTCTCTCGGAGAATCTTGGCCTTGGAGATTTAGTAGAGAGTCCGGAAACGCTTGAACCATCCTCTTTGTCATCGCTCACAGCAGCAAATGTTAATCATTTAACTACAAATTCGTCTCCCTCCTTGATTGGATCTTCATCTCCGGCACTAAATGTCGTTGTTGTGCCATTAATTAATTCAGAAAGTGAGCATCCAGATGTAGAAGATGAAGAAATTATGAAAAAAAGTAAATTCAAGTCCTACAGAGACGATATAATATCTGTTTTAAAATCATTTGATAATACCCGAGAATGGGCTGATTTAATCAAATGCTTGCAAAAGATGAAGAAAGTTTTGATCAAAAATAGTTCTCTACCAATTTTACCAGAGAAAATTACAGTCAGCAAAAGATTAGCACAATGTCTCAACCCAGCTTTACCAAGCGGAGTGCATTTAAAAACTTTGGAAACTTATGAAGAAATATTTAAATTAATTACAGTTAGTATCACGTTGATTTTTGTCAAGTCGTTTTTTCACACTATTAGGGAAAAAGATTGGCCAGAGATATTCATCTGTATAGCTCTGGGTTATTTACTCTATTTCCTAGTGCATCATCACAAATCAAGGTTGGTTTTAAATATTAATATTTTGATACTAATTTTGACAGCCTGTTATTTTGAATCTATTTGAGAAATATTATTTACCACTGGGAAAAGCTCTGGTTCCATGTTTGCCAGGATTAGTTTTGGCACTCCTTTCCTCATTAGAGGAAGAAGGTAGTGACATATTTAAGAAGGTAAGTGTGTAGAGAACAGAATTCATGACAGCAACATGACTAGACGTTGAAAGTAATGATCACTCTGAGAGTTATTAGTGATGAGAATGTATTCTTCCAATCTCTATGGAAAGGAATATTATTGACTCCTCAGTTCAGAGTTTCTTCTTTAAATCATATAATATATTGCTTAAAAAGTATGTTTCAGATTTGGAGAATACTTTCTATTTACTTTTTTCAGAAAACGAAGAGCCTTTATCTTACAAAACTCCAATATTTGGAGGTTGTTTAGAGTTAGTGATTGAAGCAATGGTGGCATCTTTGAGAGATAATAATATTATGGCACAACGCTCTTGCTTGGAAATTTTATCATCTTTCTTAACTCTTGATAAACGGAGTAATGACAATTCTGAAGGTTATATATTTGATGATAAGTCGTTCATCGTACTATGCAGTAATGCTCTCATACTTACACTGAAAGGAGAAGTTTCCGTAAACAGAAGAATTTTCTCTTGGCTATTTGGTTCCAGTGATACTGACATTGAATTTATTTCTAAACACTCGATATCTATTATTTCGTCATCGCTTAAACAATTAATAACTGAAAAATGCTACAACATTTCCATAGCCAAAGTAATCGAAATAGCGAATATTATTTTCGAAAGAATTGGAGATCACTCTTCTTTAAAAAGATTCATCATGGAGAATATTATCACAGACATGATACATCTATTGAGCGGTGATCACATTGATAACTCATCCAAGGAAAGTATTTCGTCCTTTATATCTAACGCTGAATCTATGCCTTTACTATGGGCAAGTTTGCAGCAAGCTGTACAAGAGTGTTTTGAGAATCAAGAAAATGAAATCAACAACTATAATATTGTTCTTGGTACAGTTGCTTTCATGTGCAATCAAAGGTCAGAACGACCAGTCATTTCAGAAATATCAAAATTGTTTCTAATTTTTGTTGACTCTTTAACGGTCAAAGTTAACAACAAGATTTATCAAAATATAATTTCTATAGAGAGAAATATCAATATTTGTAAATATTTATTAGAACAAATTACTGGAGAGCCTGACGACTTTGCTACCATTCTCTTTCAGAAAACAGAGACTCTCTTTAAGGCAGTGACATCAAACTATTTTACCGATCAAGTACTATCTTCTATTGAACGGTCATCCATATTTCTCTATCGAACATTGTTTAGAAACACCTGTGATTTTTTAACCAAGGCAATCGGACGGAGGCATGCTCACTTGGATCAATTTGAAGAGTTTTCCTATTCTATCAACTCTGTTGATATGATTCCTACATTCATGCAAACCTTATTCTCTTGCTGCTTCTCTCAAGATCCCTATATTAGCGTTTTCAGTATGAACACCTTGTTAGGTTTTCTTTCAAACCAAGCGTCTGGATTGAATCGATTCAAACAAAGATATATAGTGAAAGAGTCCAACTATTTGAAAGCTATTACAACTCGTTTATGGGATATGCTCACACCATCATATTCATATCTTCATTTTGAAGTGACAAGACTCATTGTAGAGCTATACAATCTTAACAGACATGTTTGCAATGCTGTTGTTTCAGATGCCATGTCAAACTCGATCGTTGACAAGAAATTAGAAGGAAATAGACGTTTTGCATTGATATGGAGACTCATGGACGATTTGGACATTAAGAATAGAATCTTTGAGGATGGATTTTACCTAATGTTAGATTCTATAAGCAGCGATCAATCTTCATTGAAATTGGTGGCACAATCTTGGCTACTTTCCTCATTTGCACATATTAATAGATTATTAGACCCATTGTTACTAACTCTCATCGATAAGGAATCACTGAAACAACTTTCTAAACATACAAGAGTGAAATCATCAGATTCATCAGTAAGTGACACTAGTACAGATTCCAACGCAGAACGAATACAAACATTAGCAACAAGGGAACGCAAGACTCTCTTTGATGAAAGTAGATGTAAATATGTTTTATCTCTTTTGAGGAACATTATGAACGTTTCACCAGAAATATTTATTGAACAAACTTTAAAATTGAAGGCTAGTGATGAAGTTTTGACCGTTTATGAAAAATTCATTCTAGGGAAACCGTATTATATGAACGAAGAATCACTTCCTTCATGCAAATTGAAATTTGATGGAAGAGATTACTTTTCAATACTAGCTGTACTTTGTGTTAAATTGATGGAATGTGGTATTGTAGTGAATTCTGACCTTTTGCCTATGAACAATAACATTGTTTCTAATGAATCATCACTGGACGAATGTATCAGAACAAGCGCTGCTGCTTTTATCAAGAATATTTTGCTAAATGGACAGGCATTTGCCAAGACCACTGGTCTCTGTATTGCTCTATGTGAGTGCATTCTCTCTCATTTACAAATAGCCATTGACAATAGTGATGTTGTGTTTCAAGTTGAACTCTTAGGAATGATTCAAATTATCATGGAACATTTAGATAGTCATACGGTCAAGTCAAGTGCTGTAACACCTTCTCAGCAATCAGGTGCAATATCTCAATCAGCCTCTGAAGAATCTTCTCCTATATACTCTTTGATTAATTCCCCAACATTCTTAAAAACTATTATTCAAGGGCTTGTTTCATCGAGCAGAACGGAAGCGGTATCAACATTTCATTCCTTCTCATTGTTGAGTTACTGGATCGATAGTATTATTTTATTTCTACCTTACTTACATTTTACATTACCAAAACTTGTTGCATTCATTGCTCCTTCATTTTGCCAAATTATTACTGATAATGCACTGCAAGGAATTGATAGCATTAGAAGCCAAGTAATTAACAGTTTGTTAACAGGATTAAGAAAAATGTTAGAGTATTGCGTTTTGAGAGAGGCTCCTAAACTAACTACTCACAATGATGAAAACACTTCTGGAATAGTCATTCCTTTTAAATTGTTTACTGACTTTGTCAAGGATGTGTTTACACAAGATGATCAAATTTCAATTATAACCTCACCTGATTTTGAAGCAAGGAAGAACATGATGGCTGCATTACCTTCTATTATTGAAGCGATGATCATTGTGTGGAAATCATTGCGTGCATTGGTTATTGGCACTCCTGAAAACAACATTTCTTCATTGAATGAAAAATTGAAACATGTTAATTTAAGTGGAGTACCAGAGTTTGGAACTTTACATTCACGATTCGATATTGAAAGAAACATTTTAAGATTTATTGATCCATTGATATTACAATTTCCAAACCAATTAGTGGTATCCATACTAATGGTTTGGTCAAAGATACACGAGAATGCTTCATCGTCCATGTACTGTATTGAAACTAGTCTAGATATTCACTTGATGGACATTTTAAATAGTTGCGATAGCGCAGTACCAGATAGCATAATTTCTAGTATTTGTGATTTTATTCTTAATTCTACAAGTATGAATCAACAAGAAGATGAGAAAAAAACCTCTAACAGAGTTCTATCTTTCCATTTTCTCATTTACTACATGAAGAAGTGTATCATGAGTGAAAATCATTTACAAATTGCTCAAAAGTTGGCCGTATTGACCAACAATATCTCTTCAGAAAAGAATATCGATCTCTTAACCCTCACAGTCCTATTGCGAGTAGTGTATCAATTTTTAACCAGATGGGGTGCAAACATTCAAAATGATAAGAAAATCAAATCATCTATGAGAGATAGCACTCAAAAATTGATTGAAATTTGTTTCACAGCCTGCACTAAGGACATACTTGACCGAAGAAACGATCTTGTGAAAGATCTAAAGAGAATATCATCCTCTAACAATCTTCAAGATCATTCTAAAGAGGGAATTCTTCGAAAAAGCATCCATGATAGGAATGATCCAACCAAAAACTTCCTCAAATTGCTTTGCAATGTTTTAAATGATATCATGACCCACTTGTATGGAGAGAAGGATCTTGGACAACCATTAATTATTTCAATTCTATATCCATTGTTTGTAATCATTAACAATAGAGAAATTACTAACCTCAAAAGAGTGAAGCAAGCTGTCAAACTAATTTCTACCTTCGGTAGCTCTATATTGAACATGAGACCACTCAAAAAAGAGATTTGGGAAGCGATACAAGATATCAACTTTTTTTACTGTCCAAGTTCAACATTCAAACATTGGCTGAAAATATTTTCAAATATGGAAACCACAGATACATCTTTGGTTCAAGATTTGTTAAATAAGTTTTCATCTACTTCAAGTCTGCTGACATCAAGTAGCACCGAAGCTTACGCAAGAGCTAGATTAATGAAAAGAATTGCATTCATGTTATTCGTTGGTAGAAACAATGACTACAACCATTTTATACCTTCAATTGTTGAGAAAATTGTAGAATCTCTTAAAGTGAATGGATCTGTTCATAGCAACAATACCTTGTTGTCAAGCGTTCTTCTATTTTATAGAGTTCTCATTATCAGAATAACTTCGGATAATTTACGAAAATGGTGGCCAATGATCATGACTGATATTATGAAAATATTTAGTGAAAGGACTGTTGACGATGAAGATTCAAGTGTCTTGATTGAAGGTTTAAAGTTTTTAGACCTTGCTACTGTGAAGGTATGTTCAAAATTTGACCATAATTTCATTAATCACTCCATTCAAAAAGCTTCCTCAAGAATTTCAATTGTACAAGTGGATATTCATTAGAGACACCACTGACTGTGGTAAGCAGCCATTATCAATATTGTTTTCTCCCTACTTGGATCCATTTGTTGATCCAACCTGTGACGTTTCTGTTACTCTAAACACAGCTCAGAAAGAAGTAAGAGTGCCTGTTTCTACCTCCTTTTTGAGAAGTGATATTGCATCCACCAGGATTTTTGCATCAATTCTTTCATCTGAAAGTAGACAACAACAGCTGTATTCTGCCACCTCGTTTAATGCTTTAGAATGTGATGACGAAACAATTAACTTTGGTATTCAAGAAGATTTGGTGGAGTTGAGCAATGAAGATAAGTCCAGACTTAAGAATGAGCCAACACCAAGCATAAATGCCGAAGAAAATTGGATTATGATCGATACTCTCAACAATTAAAAGTAACTACAGTAGTAATAACTTAGTTTATATTGAGGGACATCTATACATGTAAGGTAAATTTTGTACATTCGTCTTGTCTTTTCTCATTTTAACGAGAACTCGTTCTTGATTACCGCTGTCGTCTGTCGAGATTATTTCTCCTGCGAAATGCAAAGTAGGCTGTGCGTGGTGTTTTTCGTGATGTGTCACTATAGGAACAGTATAGGACGATGCTTTTTGCACAACTTGTCCAAGAGATGCTTTTGAGTGAATTTTCGCAATATTTTCAGCTGTGTCAGAATTCCCTGTGAGAGTTATCACTCGTGTTTTTGATCCGTCCTCTAATTTTGTGGAAGAATTCCATTCTTGTTCATGTTGGGCACTGTTTTCAAGAATGGGTCTTCGTTTTTTGATTGAACTTTCTGACCTGCTAGACGTCGATGATATAACTGAGCATACATCATCTTCTTTTTTAAAGGTAGCTTGATTTACATTCTTGTCTACTGCATCCAGTGGTAATTGATCGTTTGCGCTCTTTTCCTTGCTTGCACGAATCTCTGTGACTCTTTCTTGAATTACGGACAACGCTTCTTTAATCTCAAAATCATTAATATCTATGAAAGAGCTCATCACAAAACAAATATAAGCTTCACTCTACTTACACTCTTCGAAATCAAGATTGTTTATAAAGTCCAGAACGTCCTCGACTTCCTGTTCTTCTTTCTTCTCTATTTCTTCAGTTGTCATTGCCCATTCTGGCTTTTCCTTTTTACTCTTCTAACAACAAAAGTTATCCATAACATCATTCAAATCAAAAATAAGTAAATACCTTTTGTTTTGACTTTTCCTCCCCTACTATTTCTTTAGGACACGGATTTTTTGTATTCATTAATTCTTCTACTTTTTCCTTTGTCATGTCAAAATCGTTGATCAAAGCATGCCTTATCTTGGCTTGAGTATCAGCAAATTGCTGTTTTTTTCTTTCCGATTCTAGTTGTTTCTCTGTCCGTTCTATCTTTTCGGACTCTTTTTGTTGTTGTAATTGTTTAAGATACTTCTTGTGTCTTACCAAAGCATTATCATCATTATGAGATTTTTGCTCGAATTTTATCTTTGCAATGGCGTTATTATATAGATCATCTTTCGCGGGAGGTAATCCTAGGTATCGTTCTTCAAAAAACGTTCCCGAAGGAATAAAAGGGTCTGCATGAAGCGCCTTTGGAGGTTTTACATTCCTTTTGTCTTGATCTTGATTAATTGAAGGAGGAGGATGAGACATCATCACCTGAGGTGTATAATGTGCAGGGCTAGGTGTTGAGCTCTCTCTATGTTGAGACGAATTATCCACTGGACTGTTGTGATCATTCATTTTTAAATTTTTTAAAAGAAATTGACGGCAGTTACAGTAAATTTTGGCGGTAGTGATTTTTTGTTGTGTCCTTTCGGGGATCGAGGGTGGATCATCCTTTGCCTCATTCATTAAACAGTCACCAGTGCATTCCCGTTATTCAAGTCTTTCACTGCTCGGTTCGCCAAGATTGTATTGTCTAGATTGTCATTACACATCAGTGTCATTGAACTCAAAAACAATAAATATTGAGAAAATTCAAGTTAAAAACTAGGTGTTGTGTGTTATTAACTCTCATCCTTACGAGGTAATATCTCCATTCATGTACACTAGGTCACAACCCATTATCCCATCTACCATTCATACTGAGTTTCTAAATTTACAAGTGCTGAAGAGATCCTCGAATGACGTTGGCCATCCAATCGCATTCCACTCTACTCGTCAGCAGCGTCATCATCGGAACAAAGAAGACAGGTTAATTTTTGGCGGCGCAAGAACCAGCAGCAGTCGTCACTCAATTTCGTTACAATATTTTTTCGTCATTAAAAAATCGCAAAAACACTCAGTCTCATCACCAACTGAAAAAATTTGTATATTACAGAGACGCACAAAAAATGGGTCAGTCAATTGCTAAACTCTTCGAAAACCTCTTCAAGAACAAGGAAGCAAGAATTTTGTTGGTCGGTTTGGATGCCGCTGGTAAGACAACAATCCTCTACAAACTCAAGTTGGATGAGAACGTTACTACCATCCCAACCATTGGTTTCAACGTTGAAACTGTCCAATATAAAAAGATTAACTTCACTATGGTACGTAATTCGAATTAGAATAATATTTTGAAAATTCTAATACGTATACACGACAACAACAATGATGATACATTGTTACTTGGTGATGAAAATTTGTTGTGTATTTTATTTGATGCGATGATGATAACAACAACAATAGTGGGATGTCGGTGGTCAAGACAAGATTAGACCTCTCTGGAGACACTACTATGCCAATACAAACGCTGTAATTTTCGTTGTCGACAGTAACGATAGAGATCGTATTGGTGAAGCAAGGGATGAATTACAAAAGATGTTGAGTGATGACCAATTGCGTGAATGTGTTGTCTTGATTTTGGCTAACAAGCAAGACCTTCCAAACGCTATGAGTGCTGCTGAAATGACTGACAAGCTTTCTCTTCACAATTTGAGACAAAGAAACTGGTTCATCCAACCATGTTGTGCTATCAGTGGTCAAGGTCTCTTTGAAGGTTTGGATTGGTTATCAGGCCAACTCTAAACATCAACACATAAATCTTTTAAATTTATTATATATTTTCTTGCAGTTCTTGTTTTTGTGGAGTTGCTTGTGTTGGAACGACTGGTAGTGTTCTCCGATGACCGCGCCTTTTTTCGAAAAAATGTTCAAAATACCGTTAAGAAAATCAAACGATGTGAAATGTTTGCAATTAATGGACATTCAAGGATCACTAGAGACCCGGCCAGAGAAAGACAAAGCTCTAAATTCTGTTACGTTGGGATCACTGACCTTTTCCGAGCAGGGAGATCAATCGAAGGATCGCTGCTCCCTGGTCATTGAAAGACAAAAGTGTGTCGGAAAGAAAATTGGTTTGAAACGACCACTTTTAATTTGCCAAAAGGTCATCAACCCACAAAACAATCAAGTTGAATATATTATTGTAGGTGTAGCTAAAGACAGGCTACAATTTCGTTCTAGACCAACACCTCTTACTCCCTCTCCACAGCAACAAAAAACCAAAACCATTGATTTTGATGAAATGCCGTCCCCACACAAGAAATTGTCATCTCAAGAAAATGTGGCCCGAACTCTATTCTTCTCTCCAAAAACTAAACCACCATCAACCCAATTTACAACACCACAAAAGGAAGAGAAATAATTATTGTACATATTTCTAGAGCTCTCCAATTAAAAGGATTCCTAATGACTTTTTTATATCATTTTACTTTTGACAAGAAAAAATACAACAAAATGGATTGGGGCTCTCTTTTCAAAACATCCGAATTTAGGAGATTCATGGTCTTCCTTTCAGCAGTCACTGTTGGAGGATTGAGTCCAGTTGTGTACAAAATTTATACAGAAATCAAGAACATACCTGGAAAGAGCTTTTTCTTGTACAGAAGAAAGTGCTTGGAATCGGATCCAAATGAAACACAAGATCCATTCAATCCCGAGCATTATTTAGACGAAAGAAAAAATAGCAAATATACGATGATGATTAAGGACCTTAATTTGGAGATGTCGAGTACGTCATATTATTGACAATTTTAATCGTTTATTTTTTATTGTATTATTATTACTAATAATGACATTGCCAATTTTCACAATACAATTTAGAAATGTTACTTCCTGCATTTGTGGGATGTGTAGCTGGATTTTCATTATACAGGTTTTATTTTCTAAGGAGAATTAAGAGCTCTCAACCAGGCAAAGTATTGGTAATTTATAGAAAATTTGAAGGTCCCAAGCAAGGAGATAATGATATTATTCGAACTTTATATACCATTCCAGATAACAAGCCATTTCCAGTTGGAAAATTTATTTATCCTTGGCAACATGTTGGATATGTAACAGAAGAAAAAGTTAATTTAAAGCTTGAAGATTTTAAGGTTTTCTCAAAAGATGGAAAGGAAATTCAAATAACTTTGGACTTAATTGTTGGAGTTTCTGAAAAAGATGTAACCCTTTCATTGTACAGAGCTTCTGCTTATTTAATTGATTTAACAGCAGAACAAATTAAAGAGAGAGCCCTGGAGTCTGTTCAAGGTGGACTAATTAATAACATCAAGGACTACACTTACAGCGATATTGCAGGAAACATTGTGGATTTCAATTATTATATAACACAAATAGTGACTTGGTATCTCAAATATTTGGGCCTTATTGTTCACAAAGCTTCACTTGTTCACATTAAAACACCAGACGGAGACATTGATATTCCCATCACTCATCTGAAATAAACACTCTTAATTTCGTGGAGAAGTCAAGCCAAAATATTTTTAAATTTAAAACAAAAAAAATACATCACATCTCGCTTCATCATCACTTCAATAACGAATCTCCAAAACCACATCAACCACAATGAGCAGCAGTAAGTAACACCAAAAATTACGTTGGATAATTGGAAGATAATAATATTTACAATGTTAAGATTTTATTGAAGAGGAAGCTGAATTGGATGAGGAAGAATTGCAAGAAAAACAACTCCGACATGATGACGATGAAGACAGTGAAGAGGAAAATGAAACCGGTGAAGATCTTGACGCCTATGAAAAAGACGATTTTATTGTGGATGATGACGAAATTGATGAGGGAGAGCAAGTACCGCCTCCAATCGATCAAGAGTCTAATTTGCATAAACGAAAAACTCACCCATCAAAGAAGAAGAGAAAATTCAAGAGGTTGAAGAAGGGTGAAGAAAACCTTCTATCCAAAGAAGTCAGCGATCTTGTTGTATGTATTCATTGTTTGGATTGTATATTAACACTATTACTTTTCATTAGCAACAACAACAGCAAGAAAACGAGCCGGAAGCTGGGGACATGGAAGATGATTATGGAGAAGATGAGGACGAAGACGACAGGTTTATTGACGGAGATGATCAAGAGGATGATATTTTCGGTACTGACGAGGAAGAAGAGGACTATCTTCCTGTTGAAGAAGAAGAGGAACGTAAATATACTCTCAAAGATATATTTGGAGCCGATTTGTTGAAAGAAAAGTTTTTAACTGAAGAGGATGAAGTCATAAGAAATGAAGACGTTCCCGAAAGAATATCACTTAGACAAGGTATTAGACTTTTGGATCCTGATGAATTGTATAATGAAGCATGTTGGATTTATTCAAAAGTTTTTCAAAGTCATGCCGAATTGCATATGGAAAGATATAGAAAGTATATTGAATATGATTCTAACAGATTTGATAGTCTTAAAAATTTATTTGTTGAAACCATTGTCAAGGTTCTCAAGTTTATTCTTCAAATGAGATACGACATTCCTTATATTTCTCAATACAAGAAAGAAGAGTTTGAACATGTCTTACAAGTTGAGGGCAAATTCAACGACAAGGATTTGTGGAAAATACTTGAATGGGATGAAAAATGGTGTGTTCTTCAATCCAAAAAGAAAAAGCTAAAGAGTCTTTACGATAGCGCAAAGACACTAATAGATCCCTATTATTTATCTCAATTGGATTATTGTGATAGCATCGATTATATCAATGACCTTCAATTGCACTTCACTTCTATTCTAAGTGAAGACTCTGAGGTTCAAATCGGTGAGTACAAAAGACCAAAGAAGAAAGACACATATTCTTTGGCTAAGCGAGAAGGATTAGCTCCACTAGCGAATAGAATGGCTTTATCTTCTCAACAATATGCAGAAAACCTTTCAAACGAAGTTGCTGTTCACGAACCTGAGGATTATCAGCAAGATCCTATCAAGGCAGCGGAAGAATTCAAAACAGCAATTTTTGACTCTGAAGAGAGCGTTCTTTCTGCTACTAGACATTACTGTGCCTATCAAATTGCACATGAGCCAAGGATTCGTGACATTGTTCGCTCAAAATTCGAGAACCACGCCACAATCAAAATCAAGCTAACCAAAAGAGGAAAGGCTCTCAAATCCGTGGAGGATACAGAAGATGTAGAATCAAGCTTCCTTTCTCTATTTAGAGCACGTGATAGACATAGGGAAAACATTTTCACTCAACAAGATGATGAATATACCACTCACATTCATTACTTGAACGAAGATCCAGAAATTTATTTGAGAATTGTGAAATATGAAACTCTAGGTTTTCTCAAGATGTCACTGTATTTAGAAGATAGATACTTTGACGATTTATTCAAAGCAAGTGATCTATATTTGAGTCAAAAGCATTCACAACTAGCAACATCCTGGAATGACCATAGACTCAAGATCATTGAGGAGGCAAAAGGCATTCTAAACAGATCCATCAATTCAACTGTAAAAAATAACCTAAAAGAAAAAGCTTGTGAAAAAATTTGTGAGCTCTGTGAAGACAAGCTAACTCAAATGCTAATGGAAGGACCTTATGATCTCAAATCGGATAGCCCATTTAATTACAAAGACTTTGTTGAAGATTCTAAGCCAAGACCAACCAAGTGCAAAGTTCTAGCCTGCATACCTGGAGGTGAAGAAAAAGAAAGAACAACCTGGGTGATGCTAGACGAAAATGGTGCTATGATCGACAAGAAGATCTGGCCAATTGGTCATCCATTTCAAACTTCAAAAACCAGCGAGCACGATAAAGAAGTTTTGGATTCGATGAAGAGAGACCTGAAAGATTTAATTAATGCTCATCACCCTAAGGTTATTGCTCTTGCAACTTGTGGAGGACTTATCTTTAAGAAAATAAGAGAGGCTATTTGTGAGGACTTTGTCTCAAGGTTAGACTTTCTTAAAGAGTCTCAAATAGACGTTCAGATTGTTCCTGATGACTTGGCGAGAATATATGAAAACTCGGAACGTGGTAACAAAGAATTTCCCAACGAGAACAACGTCGTTAAAAGAGCCATCTCTGTTGGTCGTAGATTGAGAGATCCCCTAACAGAGATTGCTGGCTTCTTTAACCAACAAGAAATCTTATGCTACAGATTCCATGACTTACAGGATGTTGTACCAAAAGAACAACTTGTACGATCTTTGGAGAAATCTTTTGTTAGAGTGGTGAATCGAGTTGGAGTTGAAATTAACAGAATCATTAATCATCCACAGCTTCAATCAGTACTCAAGTTTGTGAGCGGCCTTGGACCAAGAAAAGCAGAACTGATTCTGAATAGAATTAAGCAGCAACATGATGAGCCATACATTGTAGATCGAGAATCTGCTTCTACTCAATTACTTTCAGATCAAAAGAATGTTGCATTGAATTGTTTGGGATTCTTAATCGTTCGTAAACCTCCAAATATTTCGTTTGAAGATGATCACGCTAGACAGTTTAAGATTATTGACGCTACTCGTGTTCACGTGCTCTCGTATCATCTTGCGAAAAAGATTGTAGAAGATGCCTTGGAAACAGAGAATTTGAAACTTGAAAAGATTCACAAAATATTTAAAAAACCATCTCTGCTCGACGAACTGGATTTGGACACTTATGCCGACGAGCTTGAGAAGAGAGGTTATGGAAAGACCCGTATTACATTAAAAGATATTAAGGAAGACCTCAAGCATCCATTCAAAGATCCAAGAAGAGATTTCAAGTCCATAAACAAGGACGACAGAAAAGTATTTGAACTTGTTACAAACGAAAATGATCTCACACTACCTAAAGGAAAGCAAGTGTTAGCTACCGTTGTAGGCGTACAGGATAACATTTTATTTTGCAAACTTGATAATGGTCTCTACGGGGTGGTTATTCGTCCCAACTTAGATTTTCATATTGACAAATTTCAAGACTATTTTAAGGTGGGAGAGGAGCGATACTTTAAGATCAGAGAGATTGTTTACAAAGAGTTTAAGGTTCAACTTAGTCCAGTAGCATCAGAACTTCCTTTCAACAAAAAAGAAGTAGACCAAGCTACGAATATCAAGACAGGTGCTCCATCCAAGAAGCGTTTCCACAGACAAATCAATCACGCAGCATTTAGAGATTTTGACTATGCTCAAGCTGTAGACTTCTTGGCTGAAAAGGCACCAGGTGAATTAGTTATCAGACCCAGTAGTAAGGGTTATGATCACTTGGCCATTACGTTCAAGTTCGGAAATAACCTTTACATTAATTATGATGTCGAGGAGGAGAAGAAAGGAAAAGATATTAATTCTCTCGGAAGTACTCTCAAAGTCAATGGAAAGGTCTTCTCTGATTTGGATGAAGTAATTTATTACTGTGTTGAAAATTTGATGGACTATACCAATCAATTGAAATCAAGCAGCAAATACTTTGATGGAAACAGAGATGATGTTAAAAACATTCTAAGAGAGGAAAAGAAAAAAAATCCAAAGATTATTCCTTACAGAATTGTCATGAGTACCTCAAAGCCAGCTAAATTCTATATCTATTACTTGCCTGGCAAGCACACAGTGCTAGAAAAGTCTTTCACTGTCACACCAGATGGCTACTATTACAGCAGCAGACAATTCAAAGATACTGTCAAGCTTATCAATGCTTTCAAGCATTCGTGCCAAACTTACGAAGCTAAACAAACCAATCAACCAAGCGCAGGTGGTTGGGAGTAATTAAATATTTATTTATTGTTTACTTGCTGTCATTGTATGTCATTAACTCTTAAATCTTGATAGTTTTTTCAAGATCCAAAGAAGATTCTTGAGGATCTTGATGATGAGAATGATAAGAACTGTCACCTAATACGGTTTGTTTTTCTGCCAATTTTCTATAAATTCCATCGTCCGTTGCAATGAGCTCAGCATGTGTTCCCTTTTCCTTAATTTCACCTTTCACTAACACATAAATCACATCACAATTTTGAATGGTCGACAATCGATGAGCAATTGAAACAGAAGTTCTTCCTTTCATTAATGTTTCCAAAGCTGCTTGAACCAAAGCTTCAGATTCAGAATCCAATGCAGAAGTGGCTTCATCTAACAATAAAATCTTTGGATTTTGTAAGAGAGCTCTGGCAATGGCAACTCGTTGTTTTTGTCCTCCTGAAAGTGAAATTCCTTTTTCACCAAGTAAGGTATGGTATCCGTTGGGAAGATCCATAATGAAATTGTGACAGTTGGCAGCTTTTGCAGCTTGTTCAATTTGTTCATCTGACACATTTTCATTTCCAACAGCATAGGCAATGTTTTCACGAATAGTTGTTGCAAATAAGATGGGTTCTTGTGTAACAATTCCAACTTGACAAACCACAGTTATCATAATTTAACAACTGAAGTGCTTACCATTTTTGTGCAACCATGCAGGATCGATATCCTTAATATCAACACCATCAATGAAAACACTTCCTTCCTCTGGATCATAAAATCTTTCTAACAAACCAACAATGGTTGATTTTCCAGAACCAGAAGGACCAACGAGAGCAATCGATTGACCCATTCGAATGTCCAACGAAAAGTCTTTGAGGACAGTGACATTGGGTCGAGAAGGATAAGAGAATTTCACATTCTTGAATTCTATTTTTCCGACTTCTTGTCCCAAACTCTTTCCTCCTTTAAAAGGAATGGCCGGTTGTCTTTTAATGACTAATAACAATGTTCTTTGAGAGATAATGGCTTTGGAAACGTCAGGTAACAAGATAAATGTTTGAGAAATGGAGAAGATTCTGTTTCGTGTGTTATCTTATACGAAGTTGAAGTCGCATTTCCGGAACTTACGTAAAGATTATTAAACCAAATACTTTAACCAAATCTCCAATAGCGATCACTCCGTCAACAACCAAATTTCCACTTTCAAGATCACACCACAATCACTGGCTAGTATTATAATACTTACGCATACCTATTATTCCATTCAGTGAGTCGATATTTAAAATCGTTAATAAATTCCTTAAAATGGATCCACTTGTAACAACAACTTACCAAAATGCAAGAGCAGTAGTGCCCCACATGATAATATTTTCAGAACCCATACTCACTCCCTGTGTAAATGCTTTCAGTAAGCCATATAAATGAAGCTTTTTAAGAATGAATGCAAATTGTTCTTGTTCTCTTTCTTCGCATCCCATACTTTTCACTGTTTTAAACGATGAGACCACTTCTGTTGCTTTGGAGGCACTCTTGGCAATGATCTCTCCCGATCTCTTACTAATCATTTCAGTGAATTTTCCCATAATTCCACCAATGGCAATCATTAATGGAGCAGTGGAAATGGTCACACCTGTCATTTGAGGACTACTCACAAATGCAAGAACCAAACCAACAACAATGGTGGTCACATGTTGCATGACAGAACATAACTTGTTGGTCCATGCATCTTGAATCCTTGAAATGTCTTCACTCATGGCAACGGTCAATGCTCCAGTTTGTTTGATATCAAAGAAAGCAACTTCTTGACGTGTCAATGCATTGAAATATTCCTTTCGTAATGAAATACCAATTCGTTCACTGGCCCAACTCAAAAAAAACTGAGCCATAAAACTTGAAACCATTCCTCCAATAGCAACACCTGTGAATTTCAAAGAAATGATGGAAATGGCATTTCTCATTTCATCTTGAGTAGGCATGACTCCATTCACAGGTTGGAATATATTAATCAAGTCACCAAATACGAATTCAAAGATCAACGTGATCACACCAGTTCCCATTGAACCTAACATTCCTAACAAGATTAAAATCCAACTCCATCCAAATGATTTAAATATATTCCAATGGTCAAGATAACGAATGGTGGGTTCTCTTGGATCTTTGATTTGTTCCTTTAGTGAATCCAAATGGTGGAACGAGGGTGCAGATGGATCACTACTCTTATCGACCACACGATCGTTATTGGGTGTTTCTTTAGGTTGTTGGATTTCAAGCATTTTGTTTGAACTTGAAAATGGTAAAATCCAAGCCCGAGAGAGAATTTATTGGACTCGATGTGCAATGTTGCGCCTCGCCGCGTAGATGAAACAGTTCTTGCAAGCCCGCACCGCAACGCCAAGAACAGTTACTTAAACCGGGTACCCAATTCAGATCGGACATTCACAGAAAACGCATTTCAAATTCGGATGTTTGTTGTCAGGAGCCACCCTCTTTAACATTGTAGTTCAGATCGTATCTCAACTAGAAACTGAATTTAGAACAACAAAAGAAACCATGTCTTTGCACTACTAAAATCTTGATCAGCTTCTCATAAAAGCTTGACTCGATGAGTGAGTAACACTACTTGAATGGTTGAGTGAAATAGTTGATCGAATGAGATCATTAAACACACAATATTCTTCTAATAACATCCTTTAAAAAATCCATTTATTTTCCAAGCATTTTAAAGAAATCATTTCTCGTTTCAATATTTTGTTGGAATATTCCTCGAAAACTCGTTGTCACTGTACTACTATTATACTTATTCACACCTCTCATTTCAACACACATGTGACGTGCATCAATCATGACAGCAACCCCTTTTTGTATAATTATTTTCATTAATAATCAATATATTCATGAATATTCACTTACCCAAAGCACCAACAGCACTTTCTAAAGCTTTTGCAATTTGATCTGTCAGTTCTTCTTGAATTTGTAATCTCTTTGCAAAAACATCAACAAGTTGATAGATTTTAGAAAGACCAACAACCTTGCCATTTGGAATGTAAGCAACATGACCTTTGTTAACAGATTTCAAATGTATCTCAATGACTTGTTGACTACTTGAAACTTACATTTTCCAAAAAAGGGAAGTAAATGATGTTCACATAGACTATAAATTTCAATATCCTTAATGAGAACCATTTGTGAATTTTGTGAACTGTGAGTTTTAAAGAATGTTTGTTTACAACCATTTCAATATTCTAAAACGACTTACCTAAACATGGCATGTCCAATCACTTTTTTAACATCCTCAATTTGATAACCACTACACAGACTCTCAAAACTGTGAAAAACTCTAGATGGTGTTTTTTGTAAACCTTCTCTTTCAATATCCTCACCAAGTAATGTTAACATATTCCTCACACAATTTTCAAAAATTATTTTCTTTTCTTCTTTTGACATTTGACTTGTCTCTTGTAATGTTAACACTCGGAATGGAGAATGTGTGGTATTTGATGCCTCTAAAGATGGTTCCGAATTTATACACAATGTTGTATGAATGTTGTTCCTATCGAGTGGTGTCGTAGGAGTTGTGTTTAGGCTACTACTATTACTACCATTGAGATTCACATTTTGTTTCAATTTTGAATGTGACCATGATGACACTACTTTCTTGCAAGAAGGATGGTCGCAACTGCATGCTTCATCGATTTGGAGGTGTTCGGAATTTGCGGTCGTTGGAGTGGAGGACATTTTTTTTGTTCTTCACATCCATATTCAACCAATTCTCAGCTAAATGCAATTCTCAAATTAGGAGAATTGGGAGTCGACGAGGTGTGTGCGTATGTGTGTGAGTCTGAGAGAGTGGAGGAAAAGCGTTGTTGTTGGTATCAACATGAACCTTCAACAACCCTTTATTCATTCATGCTGTGATGGAGGAGACTGAAAGAAGGAACTACACATGGTATTTCATGAATTTGTTGATTCCATTGCATGCGTCTGGTGAGGTGCATCAATGATTATTTGAGAATGAGGTTCGCTACTAGACCGAAATTTAACTTTTCAAAAATTTTCAACGAATGGTTAAAATATTGAAAGGAAATGTTGCAATTATTGATCTCGGATCAATAACCAAATTATCATCCTCTTCCGATTCGTGTATATCCTCTTCTTCCATGCCATCTCCTCAACAATTTCATGATCAATATATTAAATATAGAAAACCAGTGATATTTAAAAATTATTTAAAATATGCCACCAATGATGATTGGAAAAAAGTAAAAGAAGAATGGCAATTAGGAATTTGTGAACAATTAAATGACCAAGATGAAATATGTTTAGAAATGAAAAAGAGAGAATTTGAAATGACCGAGTATTGGAAACAAAGATTTGGACATTTAGATGTTTTTATTAGTGAATTGAGAGAAAATGGATTATCACATCCACCAAATTATGAAAAAGTAAGTGACAGAGATTGAATCACATCTTATTGATGAGTGGTGGCGTACAAAACATTAAATCTCAAATGAACAACGATCATGAAATTTAAATCTCAAATGAACAACGATCATGAACAAGAAAATGAATTTTGCAAATGCTATTGATCATTTACGAATTCAAGAGCAAACAAAACAAGCAGTGGATTCCAAGTGGTTATACGTTCAACAAGTTCCAACAAGTGATTTAATTGGAATTACTAAGGATTTTTCAATACCAAATCTTTTTGAGGCATCACCTTATTCTATTTTAGGAGCAAATACATTCTTTCTAGGAACAACGAATACAAGAACAACTCTTCATTATGATAGGTAGGACGATTTTATTCACTACTAAACAACTGTTAATGACGTAATTAGACCTCTTGTTGATAACTTGTTTTTACAAATATATGGAGAGAAAATATGGAAACTCTATGAACCACAACAAGTAAGTTCTATTCATGGAGATACAATGGTGTGAATGACAACCATTGTGGTGATGAAATACTATGGCTGCGTTTTCATTCTTTCAACGTTGAATTTAGGGTGTGAATTTTTATCCCTTTGGCTTTGATACCAAGTATTCACAGTATGTAACCAAAAATTGATATTCAACTTGAATTGATATTATCTATTCATGTTGATTTCATTCTTATTACAATAAGTGTTTCACAAATTCCAGAGATTGACAAGGTCGATACTGAAAAGTTTCCTCTTTTCGAAAAAGCTCAGTTGTTATGTGAATTCATACTTCAACCTGGAGATCTAGTTTATTTACCAAAAGGACATTGGCACCATGTACAACATGCATCCATGAGCGTTTCATTGAATTTTTGGTATTATTAAATTAATTTCAGTCTTTTTAATATTGGTGGTAGTGACGCTGCTCATGTTGATACGAAGAACTAACATTTCTCATGTCACTTAGATTTGTTTGCTGTATGAATTGTTCATTCGTTATTAGGGAGGGTTGTTGTTGTGGAGACTGCACTCGTTGGTAGGGATGATAGCGGTAGGATTGAGAATTTCCTTGCAATTGCTGTTTGTTGTTGGAAGATCCAATTGGATTGATTGGAGGTAAGGCATCAGAATGATCATTAAACTTGCTCCTTATCGGCCGAATTTGCAAATCCTGATGTTCATTTGGTTGAGTGGAATATTGTGAAATGGCGTGATAGTTTCCAATGAGACCGTTCTGAGTATTTGTGTTTAGATTGTCAGTCGAATACGAAATTATTTGTTCTGTCAATTGAGTTGAACTAGGAGTAGAACGAGAAATTCGTTGATTATTTTGACTGCTACCCAAAAAAGCTTGACTACTACTCATTGAAGAATTTTCAAGAATTGAAGGACAGGATCGAGTGGAATCATAAGGTGTCGTCATGGAGGAGGGTGGAATGGAAGCTCTCAAATGATGAGAGTGAACAGCAGCAGTAGAAGGAAAATGTGGTTGAGATGAATGTGTGGGTTGTTGTTGGAGTGAAATCATGGTTCTATTCAAGTTGGATCGTTGTGGAATACTCGTTCCAACGGATGAAGAATTTGATAGAACTGGATTTGGAGGGGATGTGAAATTCCGTAATGATGCCAAATTGGAAGCTGATGAATGAAATGCTGCATGATTGTTGTTGATATTATAATAAAAAGAATCTCGAGAATCATCGTTGGGAATATTGGGTCTTTGTACATGAGAGGAATGCAGAATATTTTCATGTTGTGCATGTTGAGCATTTCCAATGCATGGAGTACTGGGATGTGAGGAATGGGAAGGAGGTGTTGAAGGTTGAAACGGTGGTGATATACTACTTGTTCCTCTACCAGTATTATTATTATTATTCGTATTGCATGTCAATGCGTTGTGGTTATTGTTTTGGCTCACAGTTTGATTATTATTATTATTATTTTCATAACTTGGCCATCGTCCAATTCCAAATGAATAAAATCTTGAATAAGGAAATGTTGATTCCAATCATGATTCATAATTTTATGTATTCCAACTTACCTTCTCTGTTGTTTCAAAACACAACAATGGGTCATTTCAATAAGATCTTGTGAAAAACAACTCACCTTAAGAGTACCTGAATATGAAACAAGTGTGTGAATTCATCCAAATTTAATGACTACTTACTTAAACTCACTCCCAATAATTCTGCTGCTTGTGTTTGAGGCAAACTATGATTCGTTCATGCAATGGATGAAATGAATATTCGCACATGCGTAATCATGCATGCAATATATCAAACATTAATTAGCACAAAATCCACACACTATTACATACTGAAAATATTGACTCATCTCTTCCAAAGTAATTTCCTTATAATTTGATTTTTGTGTAATACTCTTGTAATTGGGATCCGAAGGATTTTCAATTTGAAATTTAATTGCTGATGATTTCTTGGTGTTAATTTTCTTTTTAGTTTTTCCACCACTAGTGGTAGTAGTTGTAGTAGTGTGAGGATTTACATGCTGAAGAGGAGGTGATAGAGATGACCATGTACTTGTTGTAGTATCATGTTGCTGCTGTGGATGATGCATGTGGTTGGTGATGCTGTTGGAGGAAGAGTTGTTGTTGTTGGATCGCATGTGTTGTCCATCTACATCACCAGCATGACTAGAAGAAGCAGCAACAACTGATCCTCCTGAATATGTTTTTGGTGGAGAATGTGGAGAGGACATGTTGTTGCACCTGATACTACTACTACTACTCGGCATGGATGATACTTGGATGACAGTGTGCGTGTTGTTGTTGTTGATGTTTGAATGCATTCTGCAACTCTCATGTTGAGACTGAGAGTTGAGTGTGGTTGATAATGTGTCCATGATCACATTACTAGGTTTGAATTCATTCATGTCCCTACTACTACTACTATGATTGCTACTATTACTACTACGAACTAGGCTATTGGAATGAGAATGAGCATGGGATTTAGAGTGGTTGTTGGATGTTTCTTTAGGCATGCATGAATCTAGATGTTACTTCTCAGAATGTGCATTGAAAGGCAACAGGTCGATGTGCGCGTGAGAGGTCAACAACATGTGAAAGGAGTGTACCACAAATCAAATAGGTTTACCCGTTCACGCGTTGTGATGAAGTGGCATGAAGATGTTGCAATCAACAGCAAAATGATGATCATATTGAGTATAATATTTCAAAAACACAAACCACACATAAAGATCCAATATTGACATTCAATCCATGCATTAGGAAAAGCAGAGATACAGAACGCAACAAGGACTTACCAAAAAAATACACACAAGCTTGGCGCGATTGTTGTTGCTGATCGATCTGAGAGCGTCCGATGAAAGAGAATTATTATTTTACGAAACAAGTATTTGAAAGTACGTGGTGGTAGTATATACTGCAGGCGAAGAGGAAGTTTCAGTACTACCCTTGATTAAGAGCCACACAAGGCACGAGAGGGATGAAGGTTGGTTTTTTTGTTGGCACCAATATTCTTTTCTCTTTTCGCGCAGTACTCTCGGTCGAGTCTTTTTTGTATGGGCGTGCCGTTGCGTACAATGCTATTTGTACGAGCATAAATTCCAAACTGATAGAATATTCTGATTGTGATGAAATTGAACCTGAGGGATCGAACCTCACTGAATTTATTAAGCATTTGGGTTGTGAACATTTAAAGTGGAAGCAGAAGTAAAGCTAAAAAAGGAACAAAGAAGTGTTGCTCATGCCGTAATGTTAGCCATTCAGATGTTGAATGAATTCAACTCACACACTAATCGAAGACTGTTGCCGATGCAATAAAAACATGTTTATCTCTCATCATCATGCTACAACACGACAGTACTGAGGCAAAAATGATCACCAAAAAAGGCTCTATTATACGAAATATGCATTCCGTTTTGTCCTCACCGGCGAACAATGGCGTATTATTCCTTTCATGCATGTGAGTATTGTGTGTAAAATTCCATGACTCATTCGTCACTATTCGACAAATGGACTCATGGTCTTCACTGAAGAGAGAGCTGGAAATTAACGTGTCAACAATGAATTCATTCACTTACTCACACCTCACACGTTCCAGATTTATCCATTTGTGTGGAATGATTATGTGCATGAAAAGGGAATAACAGGCGTGTCTTTCCAATATTTTTTAAATTGAACGTTTGCATCACTCGATTCATGAAAGAGTTCAAGTATTGATCAATGGCTCTCTTTTGTTTACAGTAAACTCTAATGAAAACTCCAGTAAACACCAACATGATAGCAATGGTATGATTGAAATGAATAGGTTTAGGAAATATAATATAACTCAATATAATACTCAACACTTTTCGAGTGCTTGTAATGGTGAGAGTAATGAGAATTCCATACTTTTTGGTTATCTTATTCACATAGACTGAACCTAAATAGCTGATAAAACAATAAATAAAAATCATGATTAAAATAGATGGATGTTCCATGCAATAAGCTATGGGTGGTATCAATTGATTGGTAAATGCACAAATGAATACTAAAAAGAATGTACCAATCATGTACGCAAAATAAATTAATTCCGTTTCACTTCGTTCCAATTCTCTTAAAATCTTTTCTTGTAAATTGGAAGAAATAGAATCAAATAATAAAGAGCATGTAATGAGTATCACTCCAATACTCTCAAATTTGATATTAGAAACACTTTGATTCGCTCCATACAAAGTGAGTAATCCAAATATTAAGAATAAACTAGCGACATAATCCAAATATTTGTATCTCTTTTTCAATAATAAAACTCCAACAAACATGGCCACCAATAATTTGGAACTTTTAAAAAGAATTTTTGTGGGATAATTCAAGTAAGCCATCGATTCATTTCCTAATCCCATTCCAATGACTTGAAAAGAGCTCAGCATGAGATAATATTTCAAAGGAGGAGGTGATTGATAAATATGATTCACAACAATGGTATTATTCTGATAGGTTGGAAGTGAATATTTCAATGATGAAGTGAAAAGAGAGAGGGACGAAGAAGAAGAAGTCATTCCTCCACTCTTATATGTTTCATCGAAATCATCATCTCCTTCCAAATTATTAATGTGAGCACTCACAGGTGATAACGGTGTTAATACTTCGGAATGAGTTGTTGGTGTTGTATTGGAATTGAATTCAGTAGCAGTACCATTCATGTGGTTGTTACTTCTACTACTTGTTGTAGTACTACTCAATTCGTGATTGAAACTATTACTACTACCACCACTGCTATGATGATGATTTGCAAGTGATAATCTCCTATTAATGGCACCAAAGAATGCATAAACCGCGAATTGACATAAAGTCAAAAAGAATCCATAATCAAATCCCTTGTATGTGGTAAATATTGATTCTTGTGTAACACCTGAAACCATGAAACAGAAAGTTAAAAAGCTAGCCGTTAATATAAATTGGATATAGGAAGGAAGATGGGTCAAATCAAAGAATAATAATTTGGTTGATTCTTTGAGACCATGATATTTCTCATCCTCCTCTTGTTGAATATTATTCAATAATGAAGACGTGGCATTATTGGTGTTGTTGCTGTTGAATAGGCTATTACTACCTGATATTGAAGGCTCCGATGATGTTTGAAAAAATGTTTTGCTTGTACTTGGAATTGTGGAAGGCATCTGATGATGATGATCAACGTTGTGGTTGTGGTTAGGCAGTAGTACAGTATTCTTGGTTGAAGAGGATGGAATGGTGATGGACAACAATTCAACGTTTTCAAGATCGTTGGAATCATCATTATTCTTCATACCGTCAACGTAATTCTTCTTGTTTGTATGAGTGGAGGCTACGAGTGATGTATTTCTACTCGTGAGTTCTCCACCACCTCCAATTCCGATGGTGCTGAAACTTGTGCTGCCACTACTCATGGATGGATGACTGTTGTCAGAGTGTGTGAGTAGGAGGAGGTGTTATGGCAATTTCTTCTTGAATTTCTTACCAAGAAGTAAGAGTGGTCGTCAATGAACATTTGGTCCAGCATGCGTGGCCCATGGGCATCAATTTCGCACCAAATTTGTTTTACAGATTTTAAACGTTGGAAAGATTGAGAATTGTGTGAGGAGCAAGAACAGTTGTTACGAAACGCGCCATTCTGATGATATCAATGACTACCGTTTATTGGCTGTGGAAGGTCTCGATTGTTGAGCGGTACCTGGTCTTGATTGATTGGCTGTTCCAGGTCTTGATGCAGAACCAGAGGAAGGAGGAGGAGCTTGTCGTTTTCGAACTTCAACATTAATTTCCTCTCTCACCGTCTCTGGGAATGTTTCCATAACAAATTTAAAGTCTTCTTTGGTAAGAACTGAAAGATCACAATAGCCCTTAGCTCTGATCGAGGCTCCTCTTTTGGTATTGTTAATAATGGCCATTTCACCAAAGAATTGTCCTTCGGATAACGTCGCAAACACAGGAATGACTCCTTCTTCATTGGGCTCTCCAATAACTTCAACAGATCCTCTGTTGATGAAAAACATTTCACGTCCAATATCACCCTTTCTGACAATGAGTGAGTTGGGTAGGGCTACTTTGGGCTTGAGTTTGAGAACAAGAGAATTGATAAATTGCTCTTCCAAATGTTGGAAAAAGGGAATCTTTTGAATAATGTCCTTATTCAAGAACAGAGATACTTCAATCTTTAAATGCTCAGGTAACTCGTCTAACATTTGATTTTCATCCAGAGTTTTACGTGTTTTCCATAAATACGTATAATATTCAATAACCTTTCCTTGTAGATCAGACGAAAGTTTTCGATAGTTCATGAAGGCCTTAATTGCATCAATAAAGTTTTCAAAAACTTCCTTTTGAGCATTTAAATCTCCCAAAATTGCTCCGACTGTACCGACAATGGCAACGTACAGACACAATCCAATGACAGTTACCACTAGCATGCACCATGTCTCAAAGTCGGTGATTGGATTGGTATTGGCATAGCCGTTCATTTGTCCAACTGCCCAAAAAATAGCTCTTAGAATTAAAGTTCCGTCACTGTCAGAAATGTCTCCCAACATAAAGTCAGGGGATGGATTGCCTTCAGTTTCTAACACCCAAAGATAAAGGCATGCCACGCACCAGTGAGCAATGACGAAAAGCAAAATATACTTGATCAACTTCATGTATGCAGGATGAATGAATGAAAATCCCTCCTCAAATGTGTTAAACATTTCGTTATATCTGTACACTCTAAGATATCGGTTCATTCTATAAAACGCCCAGAATCTTGGAGTAGCCCAATAACCAATGAACTCGAAAGGAAGGTTTGCCACAACATCCACATAAAAACCTAAACTTTTAAGATAAATTTTAGCAATTGATTTTGAATCGGTCACTGGAAGGCCAAATTCCAAGTATGTAATTCTAAACCTAGATAAAACATCAAGCCATAAAATTATGTCCACTACGAGATCAATGGCAATCCAATAATAATCCCATTTATACAACGCACATCGATAGGCCACCGTCCCCCAGTTGTACATGCACATGATCAATATAAAAACATCCCATCCTATCTTGAATTTTCCTTCGGGATTAATTTTAAATTTTGAAACAAGTTTCGTCAATTTTTGCACGGCTTTCTTTTGTTCATCTTTTTTAGGTGGCTGATTGGGAGAAGGAGCGTTTGTTGTACTTGGAGGTTTATTGGGTTGTGCTGTGGGTTGTGTAGCACTCGGAGAAGGACTGCTGTTGTTGTTTGAGGTGGTTGGTGGTTGTGGGTTTGTTGATGACATTTTTTCAAATTGTAAACTAAAATGGCGGGATTAAAATCACGAAAGCGAAGGCGAACACTTTGGAAAAGATAACAGGTTTTAAAGTATAATGATTTGACATAGGGAGAATTTAAATACCATGTTCTCACATGGCTTGGTATTTCTTTCTCGAAAATTGCTTCTTTATAAAGAAATCCTTTCTTTGATGTCTTGATTCTGTCTCACATCAATATTTTCAATAAATGGACAAGCACCAGAGAGATCGATTAGTTTGTTACATGCTTGTGAGGAAAGGAAGTTTCCAGAAATATCCAATACTTTTGGAATGCATGGGTGTTCTTTTGTTTCATTACATTCTTCTAATTTGTTAATTAAATTCATAACACCTTCATCTGTAATTACATTATTGGAAAGATTCAATCGAGATAGATGGTTAGCGTTTGAAATGATCGAAATAGCTCCACTGTCACTGATCTTGTTGAGGCTTAAATTCAATTCTGTCAGAGTGATATTAAACTTCAAACCAGAGCCAATATACAAGGCTCCATCCGTCTGAATTTCATTGTCTGATAGAAGAAGTGTCTTTAAACACTTGTTACTTTTCATCATGGCAGCAATAGATTTACAGCCCTCCACACTAATCTTGTTGTGAGAAAAATCCAAAAATGTAATTCGTGTGTTTTGATATAATCCACTGGTAATGATTTTGGTTTGTTCATCATCAATTAAGTTTTCGGATAGAATCAAACTGTGAAGTTTCACTGCCTTTTTAGGGTCGCTTAGAATTTTGCCAAGCATTTGACAATCTCTCTTTTTCATTCCGAGCATTAGAGTATCAAAGGTCATACCAACGTTTCTTGCAGTATATTCCATTCTCACTGTTTCTAGATTCGGTAATGCATCAAACAACTCTTGAAGGTCCACATGCTCCTTTAAACCTCGAATATTAATCTCAGAGATAAAGTTTTTCGACAAGTCACAAAGTTCCATCAAATGTTCTTGATTCTTTTTTCTAATAAAATCAAACATTTGTTGCACTTCTTCATCAGTTTCCTCAAGCTGTTCTTTCTTATTCAAGAGCCAATATTGCATTTTAGATTCATTACTCGTGTTAAACTTTTGTTCTTTCCTTTGAATAGCACTTTCATAAAATGTGAAAATGTCATCATCTTTTGTGATCTTTGCAAGTCTACTTGTACCTTGGCTTTGAATACCATCAAACAAATCTTTTAGCTTGGCTTTGAATTTGTCTATTGGATATTGTTCTCGTTCTTCCTCTGAAAGTGTGTTACAGTGAAGAAGATAATAATTTACATTAGGCCTCATTAAATGGGAATGCAGGCACTTATGTTTAGGAATATGGCTAACGGGTCTGTGTTCAGTGACATGAGAAGCGTTCAGTATTGAAGCTGCCTCTGGTTGTTCTACTGCATTTTCTTGATCTGTTGGACTCTGCTTTTTTCCTTTCTTTTTTTGCTGATCTTGTAAAATATTGGTCAACTCTTCCTTTAAAGCTTTTTCTTCATTTAAAGTTTGCTTAATTTGATGGAGTGTACGAAGTGTAGATAGTTCTGAATTTTGAATAGTTTTCTCTTCAGGCTTGGGTTGCAAAAAAATTGTTTTCAGCTCCTGGAGCACCGTTTTTTGAGGTTGTAGAGTTTCAAAGAATTCATCTAAATTGATTTCCAAATATAACTGTTTCCAAGTTTTTGACTTTTCGGGTTTTCTGTCCATGGATGATGGTGTTATGGACCTGGAAGCCTTTGAGATCTTCTTTCTTGCATTGACTCTACTTTTAAAACTTCCTTTAATCATGACATCATCAACATGACCAGGGTGTTCTTCAATGAAGAGATCATTTCCGTTTTTTCTGCAATATGTACCTAATTGACCCAAAGTCCAACGCATCATACAACACTTTTTCCAATAGTCGTCGTCTGATATTAAGGGCACGGAAAGTTGCAAGGGAAGGTCTACAGGAAGTTTTTTTGAGATTAATTGTTGAAGTTCTGATGGAATCTTTTCAAACGTTGGTCTTTCTACAAAAAGATTGAAACTCATTATTCTTTTCAAAAAAATACATACGTTCAAAATTGTTTGCAATTGCACTGGCACATAGCTCTACAAGAGATGGAACAAAATATGTTTGACTTAATGGTTTTTCTCTCAAAGATGTGGTTGCTGTTGATGCTCTACTACATGCTTTGGTAATTGTGACGTCTTCGTCAATGATATGTACAAAATGAAATTTTCTTCCAAATAATACATCATCCTCTTGCTCTTCTTCATCTTCCTTGGTTGCAATGTTATTTGACATTGCTGAAGTCGAGAATTCTCTAGGAGATTTAATGTTGAATACATTATTTACATTTGACGCCTCTTTTCGAGCATGGGTGAAGGCTGATGATAAGCGTTTTCTTTCTAGCCCACGATCAATTTTTGATGCCAATTTCTTTCTTTGAACTTCGATCATTTGTTTTTCTTTGACTCGAATTTCATGGAGTTGATTCGTTTTCTTTTTTCTTTTACCCGATTGGAACACTTCCGAATCAGAAAATGATTAGAAACAAAACTACGAGTATCCTGAACACCTACTCATTGAAGATGATGGTACCTTTACTGTCAATTCCCCTAGAGGCATGGACTCTACCTGTGTCGTCGACAACGAGGGTGTGGCAATATTCATTTTTTCAAATCTCGTTGTTTTTGAAATGTTTTAAAAAAAGCTGTAAAATAATATTTGGCGGGCACGGTTTTTCAAATAATTTGATGTGTGCAAATTACGAAAAACATTATTCACTTTTGGATATTCAAATAAAACTTCTCCATCATGATCACTGGTTAAATTTCATTTCGGCAGAAATTGTGCTCGCGTCATCATCCGCTCTTGTTTCTTAAAATTTTTTGGTTGGCTCTGGAAATGGACATTACTCCGAGCTTGCTGCCATTTGTCATGGAGAACTCTCAAAATAATGTCAGCAGAATTTATTACGGCTCGTGCAGTTTCTCCAACCAGACATCACCATGGTGGGGATGCATCCATAGATCTAGATGACAACAACCACCATAAACCTCACCATCATCATCATCATACTCTTTCTTCCATCTCGACCAGCAGTTCCACTTCTTCATCATCATCATCGACGACTACTTCCACCTCACCTCTCATTCCATCATCATCATCACTTCCAATTCGTAATAATAATAATACGTTAGGATCCTACACATCCAATGAACCACGAACAATCCATGGTGACCATGATCACAATGACGACCACCTCGATGATGTTGAAGAATATTCATCATCTATTCCTTCTCCTCCATTAAAGAATATCAATCGATGCACTCGATTAAATTATGACACCACCATGATACCTACCTATATTCATCAAATCGAGAAATATATTCAAACAATATTGGATCGATACATGTTTTTTGGAGTGACACCCACTCTCACCTATTCCATTGTACAACACACACAAAAGAACCATCATGCGCAGCGACAAAGTAATGAATATTTATTCATTCTCGAACAAGAGAACTCAACATTGGGTCATGTTGCTTCTGGTCACACAGTTGGAACCACAACAACACTCTCTCCATTCAAATACTTGAAAAATAAGAAAAAAAGAAAATCCAATCAATACGAAAATGTCTGTATTGAATTTACACTTTCTTTGAATGGATTTGTATTTAGTGAGAGTCATCCATTTCATTTGCAATTATTAGATCATTTTGCAGTATTATTTAATCCTAATGCGAGTTCGACTAGTTCCTCGTCACATGAAAACAATGATTTGACACACAGTGGAATGAATGATGATGCTTCATCCTCCTCATCGAGTGGTGGTGGAAATTCACATGAAAATTTACTGAACAATGTTCACTCGAATCATCATCATCATCATTCACAGCAACAACAAGTGAACACAAGTTCACACTCTTCCATTCAATTATTCAAAAGTAGTGGTGGTGATGATGACGATTTAGATGCAAGTGTATTTGGTGAATATGGAATGTATCGATTAGATGTTGGTACTGCATCTCATCATCATTATTTATCTTCATACTATTCTTCAAATCCTCTGAATTCATTGGATTATCAATGTATTTCTAAATATGTACAAAAATGTATGATATTACTGAACTTGCTCAATAATGCCCTCATTGATTTGGAAATGAGTAGTAGTACGTTACATGGTGGTGGTACAAGACATCATAGTACTACAGCTCTAAACTCTTCAACAAGTTCTGTAAACAATCATGGCACGACTAATAGTAGTATTGGACATTCACCTCCACCTCATCCAACTTCACAATCCTTACCTGATCATCATGGTACTGGCAGTAGTAGTAGTAGTAGTAATACATTTTCGCGCGCAACCACTACGAGTAGTCGAAAATTTTCTCAAGATTACAAATTTACAGTGCGAAGAGCGGGTGTTCATGTCTACAAGTGGAATTTGAGAGAGAACAACAACACTCACACTCCTATGGAACCACAACATGAAGCCTCTTCTTCCTCTGCCACGAATCGATTAAGCTCGAAATTAATTGCCATGCATCAATCTTCTCAACAACGATCATCACTGAATCCACAACAATCTCAACAACAACAGACATCTCCTCGATCTCTTATTCTCTCTTATCGTTCATGCCTTTCTCCTTCTCGAATCATTCCATTTTTGTTACGTCTGACTAAAACTCATGTGAAAAGATATTTAAAATACAAACATGTTATGAATACTAGTTTTGGATTGAGTACAATCAAACAACCTTATTATGATGATTTAAAGAATTGGATATTTGAACATTTCATATTTTTTAAATATACTCAATACTATCCATTTGTACTCTTTTGTGATATTTTAAGATCTTATATGTTAGGAAATATCACGGCGAAAAAGATTTGTAAAATTAAAACCAATGTCAAGGAATTGAAAAAACAAGAAATGAAACAAGAAAAACCGAAACGAAGTCGAATGATTACTTTTAGAAGAAAAACGCCACCATCTTCTCAACCATCTTCTCAACCATCATCCTTCTCTCAAACGATTCGATCATCCAATGCATCGGATCAGAAGAATGATGAAACATCCACGTCCACGTCGAGAGAATCTACAGATGTTCGAACACCACAAGAAGAATATTCAATCTTGTTGAAAATTATTGAAATGGCTCAGAAAAATTATTTAATCTACTCTGGATCACTTTCACAAGATCAATTGGATTGGAAAGAGAGTACATTGGTGAGAAATTGTAATCAATTAGTGCATTTATTATGTAAATTAGATGGAAGTATCTATAGTGGAAATTTGGCAGAAACGAGTGAGTATGGCCATACCAATACTTTGACTACGACTGGTACGACTACGACTGGTACTACTGGTTCTACTGGTACTACTCATATGAATATTCATCATGAATCTCCATCCAATGCAAATAGTACGACCACAGCCATGACCAGTTCTACTACTACGACTACTACACTCATTGAACCCATTGTACAATCTTCATTCAATATCTTTTTTGTATTATTTTTGAAACAAATGGATCTGAGCATGCATTCTCATGAAAATGATCCTTTCACACATCAACAAGAGGTAATGACACCAAAAATTCAAAAAAGAATTATTCATTCAAATGCTACTATGAATTCTAGTAGAAATAATACTACTCATACTTCTATTGATACTACTATTAATACTACTACTAGTACCAATACTACTACTTTGACGAATAGTACTACTTTGACGACTAAGAATAGTACTACTACTATTACAAATACTACTACTTCTAATAAGAATAGCAACACCATGAATGAATATGCTCGAATGGATGAATATCATATTCAATCTCAAACACTTGAAAGAAAACACATTGAAACACTCTTTCAATATGAACATGAAATGATTTGTCGATTCATTGATCACAAGTGCTATTCTCAACAACATTGGAGTCAACAAATCTTTAGAGGATTTACATCAAATTCCATGAAATTATTTGAGAGAAATGAACATGTATTATTTGATGCTATTCGAATTTGTAATGTACCACTCATCAAAATGCTCATTTCCAAATTTGAACAAGTGTTTGGTTCAGAGAGAATTATGTATTTCATTAATCATGAAAATGATAATTGTATCACACCACTTCACTTGTTACACATCTTGTATGGTCGAGTGATCAAAACGAATGTACATTGTCAAGAAATTATTTCCTATTTGGAAAAGAAGGGAGCAAGAAGAAATGAATCATTTGTCATGGTCATGAGACCAGTGAGTGGTGGTGGTGGTAGTGTTCATGGTGTTCATGGTAATGGTAATAGTAGTGGTAGTGGTGGTGTTAGTGATGATCATCATAGTAATCATGGACAAGAGTCAACTTTAAAGAATCATCATGATCAGCAGCATGATCATCATGCAACCTCATCGTACTATCGTGCAAGACATACCACCACCACCACAGTATTGCCCAGTCATCATCGATGGAATCGAGTACAACAACAACATCAGCAACATCAGCACCAACAACATCAAGATGGATCATTGAATCATGTTTCTTCAACCATAATGAATAATACTAGTAATCATCATCCTCATACTACCAACAGGCATACGGAAGGAGGTAAAATGTCTCATTCCTACAATACGATCATTTCGAAAAGTAACCTCATCATGACCACCACCATACCAACAACCATACCAACAACAACAACAAACAATAACCACAGGACTGCCACTGCCACTTTGACTAGTCTCGAAGTTCCAACAAGAATGAAATTTCTTCTCTCTACTCTTGAATCTCTCGATATGGATATTTGGATTCACATTCTCAGTTATCGAGCATTTTCAATGAGAACGATCAACTCGTTGTGTGCAGTTTCTACAGAAATTTTAAAGAATTTTATTCAATGTGAAAGTATATGGCAACGTGTGTGTTATCATTATTTTACGAAACATAATGTGAATTCAAGTTTATTACCACAATTAGGTAAAATTGAAAGAATGTTACAAGATGATCATTTATCATGGAGATATATTACTAAATGTTGGACTCAACCAAGTTATTTCAAAATATTTGCATTAGATCCTAAGAATCGAATGGAACATGCACAATTATTAGAAAACAATTCGTTTTTAAAGAAACCACAACGAGGAGATCATTCAACCATCAAATCCTCTCATGCATTGGAACCACAACAACAACAAGAACCACTCGGAGTTTCTGAACCAACTTCTTCTGACTTTCTAAGAGTATCCACATCATCCACAACAAGCACCACGAGTATACTCAGCGACTATAATAATCAACAATTATTGTATTATTATGAGAGAGATTCGTTTCAAGTAGAAATGCATGATTTTTACATGTTAATGGATGTTATGAATCGAGAAGCATCCATTTCAATACCTAAACAAGAAGTAATGGAACATTTTAGACAAAAATATGGAACATCTAAATTGGCCAAAACAGGTATTCTTTCAAATTATAGTATTTATTGCAAGAGATTGAATGTAGAAAATCTTTTCACTGCTTCTGCTGCTCTTTCAAAACTGACACTCTCTCAACAAAAATGGATTTTTAATTTCATTGAATGCATTCGATATTACTTTGAGAAGAAGAAGGAATTTCTAATCAAGACGGATCGTGAAGATATGTTGTGCTATGAAATTACACTGACCAACAATTTTGTAGAGGAAGAACAACAGAGAACGAATGGAGTGGTTCTCTTGGTGTTTAATACCGTGACGAATTGGATTGGCTGTTTTGAATGTTAATAAGTACTTTTGCAGTTTTTATTAAAAAATTAATCCCAACTTGCAAGTTCATTCATCAAATCATCATCATCATCGTCTGCCTCCTCTTCTTCATTGGGATCGTAAATCATTTCTTTCAGCTTTTTCGTTTTCTTTTCTTCCAAATCTTTGAGTTTTCTCTTGAGGGATCCTTCTTTTTGCTTGAGTGTTGGATCGTTACTCTCAAAGATCACTTGTTTGGTTGGATCATTGTCCATCTTTTCAATCATGCTTTCCAATAGACCCTTGAATTTGCTCATTCTCTTGTGAACCTTTTTCTTCTTGTTACTTTCTTGTTCATGTTTGGCAATTCTTCTCTTTTCACGTTGTTTCTCTCGATAGGACTTGACAATATCATTCACATTGGCTTGTTTGGTAAAATCATACAAGTCTTGTTCGTTCTTCATTCGATTCTTAATAAAATTCAATGCAGCAATATTGAATCCAATTCGTTGAGATTGTTCTCGTAATGCACTCTTCACATGTTCATGCAACGATTGCATCAAATCAAAAGTATCTTGATCGGATTGACTTTGAACCAATTGTTTGTAATGAATATGAATCAATAATAAAATGATTCGTGTACTCAATTCAACATCTACTGATTTCTTTTTCATTAACTTGTCTAATTGTTTCAAAATGAAATATGCATGAGAAAAATGAATAATTGAAAGTACCATATCCAAATCCGATCGAGCAATACGTGTTAAACATTTCCATACATAGTCTTGAATGGATAGACCAAGTAAGAGTGGATTGGTAGATTCCGATGAACCATCTTCATTCATTTCAATTTCTTCATTAATTGCAATATCTAAATTTTCCATTAATTTTTCTCCATCTCGTATCGTTTCCATACTTCGTTGTCCAGCATGAGTGACTTCCATTCCTGGTAATGATAAATCTTTAAATTGTTGAGAGTGTGGTAAATCTTTTTCTAATTGTTCTTCTTCAAATCTCTTCTCCTTCTCTTCTTCTAAAAATAGTAAATCTTCTTGAGATTGTCTATAAATGAAGAGAGCTCTTTCATGTCCTGATACAACCATTCTCAAACCATCACAACTCACATCCATACACCATAAGGGTGATTTTGAAATGTATTGACAAGTAACCACTTGAATTAATTCAAATTTATCACCATCCCAATACTTGACATTTCCATCTTTGGAAACACTAAAAAAGTAATGAGTGTCTGGAATGAATTTAATGGCACTAATTCCTTGTTCATGTGCCAATAATGATCGATGACAATCACCAAAATCTAATCCCCATATTTTGATATTCTTATCATCACTTCCTGTTACTATTAATTGTTCATCACTACTAATATCTAAACATTTGATCGGTAGTTTATGACCATATAAGGATAAAAAGAATTTCATGGTATCCAAGTAGAATATTTTGACCGTATTGTCTAATAGAGAGAGTGCCAAGTATTTTCCATTCTTGGAAATGGTCATGGCAATAATTTCTTCATTCATTTCTAATACATTTTTGATCGAAAGAGAGAGATGCTTTGAAACGAGGTTACTACTTGATACTTGTTCAAATTCCCAGAATTTTACAGTCTTATCACTACTTGCACTAATAATACCACCATCATGATCGTGTGATGGAGGAATAAATTGCAAACTATAAATACTTGCTGAATGTGCTTGAATATTTTCAATACATTCCGAGAGATTCACATCGTAAATTTGAATATTTCCTTTTTTAGTACCAATCAAACAATAGCGATGATTGGTCGAAGGTATCCATAGAGCACATAATCCATGTTCAACATCATTCAATGTTTTGATACATTTAGAATTCTCTAAATTCCAAATATGGCATTCCTTAGAGGATAAAGATAGACATAGAGTTGGATCATCAGGTGAAATGACAATGGAACGAACAGGTGTGCCATGTCCTTGTCTTTCAATACTTTGAATACATGTAATACCTCCATAATTCAGAGTATTGTGAGTGGTGCTCGTCGTCGTTGTTGATTGAAGATTGCCAGTTTGAAACTTTTCAAGTTTGGAAGGTTCAATAAGGTATTCTTCAATGGTATTACGTAGAGTAGAGACAATGAGTTTGAAATTGGATGGTTTCATAGAATCTAAACGAGTAGCCAACGTCAAGTCTTGTTATTCATGTTCATTCAATGATTCAGTCAAGCCTTGTTGTTCATTCAATGATTCAGTCAAGTCTTGTTGTTGTTGTTCATTCAATGATTCAGTGAAAAAGTCAAATCTTGGATAACACTTATCATGAGGACTAAAATCAAAAGATCTCAATTCATAATTGGATTTCACTTGTAACCACCATTTGTATTCCATATTTGGAGTCAATGGAGTACCAGTTTTCTTTCTTTCCTTTTCACTTCTCAATTTAAAAATTTCTAATATTTTGGAATCAGCTCCAATGATACCTAATAGAGTACCACTAGGATCAAATTTCATTTGTAATACTCTACTTTCATCTCTTCTCTTTAATGTTCCCATAAAGATTGGATCATTTTCATAAAAATATTGAGAGTTCTTATTTTGGAATACTTGAATGTTCCAAACTCGAATTTCACTGTCAGTACTACCAGCAAATAATCGAGTCTCATTGAAATCTACACAAATCGACCAAATTTCATTACGAGATCCTATCAATGTTTGAACACAGTGACAGGTCGTCAATTCCCATATTTTTATGAGCATATCCTTACTACTACTAATCAATGCATTTGACTTTTCTAAAAATAGTAATCCTGTAATTCTACCCTTATGTCCTCTTAATCGATATTTGGCTTGACCAGCAGTCACATCCCAACATACAATATCTGTATCATCACCTCCACTCATCAATAACGAACCATCCTTATTAAATTGTAAACAAGTCACACTACTTGAATGTCCTGTTGCATACAAGACTTGTTGTTTTGTTTGTAAATTATAAATTAAAATTTTACCATTTTGATATCCTGCTGCAATAAAAGGTTCTGAATGTACAAGACAAGTAATATTACTATATTTCATAGTTCCTTCATGAATAGATCCACCATAATAGGATTCATCTTGTGGAAGAATGGTTTGAATAAGAGATTGTTCTCGAGTATTCCAAATACCAATTTGATAAAGAAGAGGAGAAAGAATGAGGCAAGATGATGAATGATTGGTTTGATGATAACAAATCGAGGCATGAGGAGAGGCAATCATACCTGTCATACTCTCAGGTACAATACGATAGTAGGGTTTGACCATTTGTTGTTTAGAGTCTCGGGGTGTTGTTTTGCTTTGAAAGGGTAACTAGTTGAGTGGTAGTTGAGTGGTAGTGGTGCTACTGATGGTACTGGTGGTGCTACTCCGGAGGTGTTTGATGAGTCTTTGATGGTACCACTGATTCCGAGAACAATGCAAAGAATTTTTTTTAAATCAAAAAATTTCAAAAATTTATATGAACGCTTGCTTTTGTGCAATGATATTAAAATCTCTTTGAACCTCTTCGAACTGTTTCGACAACATCATCCTCACCACTACTGTCATCCGAGTCACCCTCTCCAACACCAGAATAAGCATAACGTTGTTGTTTGGAACCCTTGATGAGAGTCGTACTACTACTACTTGCACCACGACTCGTAACCTTACTACCACTTCGACTTAACCCACCAGTGCCACGACTGTAAGTGTCGCTATGACCACCACCACCACCACTACTCATACCACCACCAATACCACCACCCATACCACTACCACCAATACCACCACCACCACTACTACTACTCACATCCATTTGAGTCAATTCATTTGCTCTCTCTTCTAATAATTTAATATCCATATCACGAACATTCTTTGATTTTCTCCACAGTAATGGTTGATAAGATCTTCCATCTAAACGTTTCGATGCAATCAATCCAATAGGATACAAGACAAGTAATGATAATCCAATGAGAATGGCACATGCACCCATTCCAATAGTACCCACATTCATGACTTGACAAGTATGGTAATGAATCGATTTCATGTTACTACCAATGAAACCACACTGTGCCTGTAAAAAGACACTTTTCAGATATTGCACGAATTGTTGAATGGAACTCTTCACACGATGTAGTGATATATTGCGACCTTCATCATTCAAATACATCCATGCTTCATTCATTCGATCAAACATGGAAATGACTTGATTCATACCATTCAAAGTATTGGAGAGAGTATTCCAAGTATAGGAAAAGAGAGTATTTGGTGTTTCTAGAGTCAAATTCATCATTGTGTTCGTGTAGAGTATTAATTGAGATTGAATCAGAGTTAATCGTTGATACAAGGTCGTATTACTTGATAAATGTTGATTTTCATAGACATATATCAATTCAGAGTATTGTTCAGAGATATTGAATGGATATTGATTGGGATTGAATGTAGAAATATTCCAAGTATCATAATAAAATTCAAGTCTTTGATCATTAGGAATGGTAATATTCTTGGTGATGGAATTCAATTGTTGAATTAGATTTTGAAAAGTATTCATTTTGAATTGAGAAGAATAGGTTGAAATATCTTTCAAATCATCCAATACTTGTTTTGAAAATAGATTTGAAATGTCTTTCATTGGTTGTTCAATTCCCTTCTTTAAAATATCATTTCCAAGAGGTGATAATGCATTCTTAAAGGCATCACTCGTTACATTCATGATTGGAATCATACTACTCGAATTGGTTATGGTTTGAAACACTCCAAAGAGTTGATTCACATATTGATTGAGAGATTCCATGAGTAGTAGTGTTTGATTATTATTACCATGACCATTCTTTAACGAAACCACCACCACCTCTTGTACCACTTGAATCCATGTTTCCTCTCCTTGACACTTCAATAAACTTTTGGTAATATTGAGACCAATCGAGAAGGTTGTGTTGTGAAGTTGAGAAGGTAATCGTTGAGGATCAAAAATATCTTGACCTTCACGACAATACGGAACAAGGATCATAAAGACACAAACATTCGCTGCACCAAATAAAAACATCCAAAATACAAGAATACAGGAACAACATGAGGAACATTTGGCTGCTCTTGGATTTCTTCGATAAATCAATGACATGAATATCACAAAAGTAGAGAGAATGAATAAGAAACCAATTCCAATCACACTCAATCTCACTCCTTCAAAGATGGATGCACCTCTTTTTAGAATACCATTACCAATGACCATTTCTATGGGTGAGGTTCATTGTCATTCATTTTTTGATGCATGAACATTGGTGGTGGTGTTCATTGAAATGTGAGGTTCATTGAAATGTGAGGTTCATTGCAATAACAATATATATTCATCACGAGTTCACATGTGTCAATTGTCCCAATACAATATTGGTAAATTTGAGTGGTATGAGTGTATTATGAAATTATGATATTTATGAAATTATTTGTAATCATAACACCACTCTCATCCAACAACACTTACCTAAATTACGTTGTAACAACGTGAACATACTATCTGTACTATTAAAATTACTCAATACAGAAACATATCCATCTGCAATTGGTATGATTTGATTCATCATTTCATTTCCAATTTGATTCATAATATTTGGATATAACGTGGAATAGAATGATTCATTCATGGATTGAAAAGATTGTTGAGGAAATTTAGCAACTTGTAATTGTGAACTTGATGAATTCAATGATTGAAATGGATAATTCAATGTATCTAAAATATCCTTATTGGATGTCATAATTTCTTGTTCTAATTCATTCAATTGTTGTAATTTCAAAACAATTGAATTTAAATCACTTAATTGAGATTGTAAAAGAGAGATTGGTAATTGCATCATGGCTATATTGACATTCATGGTAGAATTCAGTAAAGGATAAATATTATCTTTGAATAATTGATTAATATTTTGAGCAAAGACTTTGACAATACCAGTACCACCTTTTTTGAATGAACAGTCATGTTTTTTGAATGAACAGTCATGTTAGGGTGTTGGAACATTGATTCACAAACAGTAGTTGTAGTAGCAGTGTTGGAACATTCAACATTGGGATACAACGTTGGGATGAGATTGATTATTAACAAAATTCAATGTATACAAGAAGTGTTTTCAATATTCAATCGTCATGGAAATTTTCAAAACTCACCTGTAATATCCTTAGCACTTGTTGTAAATTGATCAATCGTCATGGAAATGGTATTAAATGTGGTAGAAATGACATGACCACTTCCCACTCCATACGTAATGGTAAAGACCATTCCACCCAAACTAGCAACTACAATAAATGTTGCAAGAATCGTATAAATCACAACCATGACAAGTTGAGATGAATAGTTTTTATGAGCTGCCTTTGCTGATCCACACAGTCCACACACTCTTCTCATGACATAAAAAATTCCTAAAAACAATGTCAAGACCATTCCTAATACCACCAATATTGCTACAACGATGAGAATGAACTATTGAATGATTATATTGTTGTTGTGTAACACAGAACAAACACACAAAAATATACAGACACGAATAATAGACACAATGAATGGTAACATGAGGTCAATGATTGCATCCAATGATCATCATGATACTTACATAGAGATAGGAAATCCATGCACAAAAATCAACATTGTTCGGAGCACTTGATGAAATGACACTATAATCACAACGAAACCATTCATTGAGCCATGCCCCATTATTATTGGATTGAAACAAGTATGATGATAAATATTGAGAGAAGAGTGTTATCATGGAGTGAGGTGTGGATGTGGAATGAAAAAGGTGTGGTGGTGGTGGTGTGGAAGGCTCAACAGCTGTTGCTCGGTAGTACATTTTTTTAATGAAGCTAATTGTTGTTGGGTTTCTTCACCACTCTGTGCCCGTACAACTTCTCAAGTACATGATTGTTCCACGTTTTGTTACATCACAAGGAATGAATCCCTAAAAAGTAAAATGACATTTAGCAATCATTATATGTATGCCACTTAGAGTCTTCTTGGTGGTGGAATTGGTGGTGTCTGCTGTAATCTTCTGATTAGACTTGGATTGGAAAGGTTGGTTGATGAACTAGTGGTACCATTGTTGTTGTTATTGTTGTTGTTGTTGGTTGCAGTGGTGTTGGAATTCCACATATCATTGACATTTCCAAAAGTCTGTTCAAGATTGGGTGAACTCTTTGTTTTTTGGAATACAGATGAAAGATTTGGTGATGATGTAGCACTATGTATACTTTGGTGTCTTGATGATTCATTACTTGTTGGTGGTGTACTCCTTCCAGATGAAATGGCACCACCACCTTGTACCATTGGTGTGTTTCTATAGGATGACAGGGAACTATTGAGCACTTCTCTTTGAGACGTATCCAAGGTTAGAGAATGAGGTCGTTGTGGTTGCTGTTGTATCAATGCATGATGATGATTGGTCATGAGTTTGAATGAAGAAGAACTATTGTTACTACTTGCATTACTATTACTTCTACTCGATCGATTGCTATTGCTCTGAGATTGTAAATATGGTGCTTGCTGTAACATGATGGATAACGTCTTGGGTCTATTATTATCACGTGGTGTTTGTTGTTGTTGTTGTTGCTGTGGAGATGATAATGGAGGAGAGAATGAATTCATCAATAAGTGTGTTGTCGTCGGTGAACTAGTAGTAGTAGCAATCGTAGTCATTCGACGATTGAATGATTTGTTGAATGGTTCATTCTGAATCATTGTACTACCACTACCACTACCACTACCACCACTACTATGACTACTTATAGTACTATTCCTCCTACTACCATTCCAATCATCATCCAATCCATGATTCATCATGAATGCACTCTCTTCATCGAAAGAAATGGATCCAGGTTCAAATGCCATTGTTCTTCTCTTTTCTTTCATTTGTTGCTGATTGAGTCTTGGTTGTTGATTGCTCAGAGCAACAGTCGAATTTCCTGTTGTGGTATGGATTGGATGATTCATGGATGAAAATTCTGCAACATTCATAGTATTCGATGATGACGTGATGACATTTCTCAACTCGTGAATAAATTGAGTAAGAACATCTATTTGTGAGGATGTTAATAGTTCTGAAGGAGAGTGGTCATCCATAACACTTGTTTCAGTATTCGTCATGGTAGGATTGGTATTCATGGAAGCATGATTGAAAATGATGGATTCTTTTTCAGTAATAAATGATTGCACTCGTTGTACAGTTTTTTCTAATTCTTGAATTCTATAAACAACATCTGAATATTGTTTTAAATATTTTTCATATTCTTGTTTGATCGCTTCAGATTGATTGTAATACTTGTTATACTTGTCATTCATATCTTTAACTCCAATCAAATCAATTCTAGTAGATTCAATTAAATCTTTAAGATTTTTCAATTCTGCTGTCATTTCATTTGCATATTCATCTTTCAATTGTCTATTCAATGATTTTACAAGTTTCAATTCATTGGATAGGAAATCATTAATCTTTTGTAAATTGGTTACCTCAAGAGCAGCATGATGCAATTCATCGGTTTGTTCGGAAATTTCTTCATTTAATTCTAATATTTTCTCTTCTAATTGTGTCACTTGTTGTTGATGTACATCTTGTAAATGATCACTTCTTTCTTGTTGTAGAGTAGTCAACTCTTGTTGATGTTTTGAAATTTGATTGTTCATTTCTTGTTGATGTTTCAATAATTGTTCATTCAACTCTTGTTGATGTTTCAATAATTGTTCGTTCATTTCTTGTTGATGTTTTGAAACTTGATCATTCATTTCTTGTTTCAATTCTGTGAGTACAAGATTAATCGATTGTTTTTCCTCTTCCAATTGTTGTTCATGATCACTCAATTTGGCATTCAATTCTTCTAATTGTTTGCACTGTTGTTGAAGAGATTGTAATTCTAATTGTGAGCGATCATGTTGTTCTTTCAAGTTCAATTGTGCTTGTTGTTGATTTTGCAATGCTATGGAACGTTCATTTGATAATTGTATCTCTAGTTCTTGGTTTGCTACTTCTAATTGTTTCATGATATTCTTCATGTTCGTATTTTCTAGCAACACTTCATTCAATTTCATTTCATTTCTTTCCATAATTTCCGAATAATTGTTGAGTTTCAATGTGAGACTTTGATTCAATTCTTGTAATTGACGGACTCTATTCAAAGTGGATTGGATCGTGGAGTGAAGAGAGTGTATTTTTGATTGTACACAATCAGTGGAACTTGAAGAGAGAGTAGTAGATTCCAATTCGTTTGAACCAATATTGGTCTTCAGCATTTCAATCCATTCATCACAAACATCTCTTGAAATGACTTGTTCCAAATTCTCAAGCCTTTTCATGGCATCATTCTTTTCAGTTCGTAAAACATCAAGTGTTTTTTCAACATGTTGTAATTGATTGAGAGTATGATTCAATTGACTAGTAGAGTCTTGATACAATGTTTCTAATTGATGATATTTGTTTTGAATAGAATCTCTATCCATTTGTAATTCGTTAATCTTCTTTTCCATAGTCTTATTTTGAATAGAATGTTCAGTATTTAAACTCTCAATTGTTTCTTGATGTTCATGTTCTAATAATTGACATTGGGATTGTAATTCAAATACTTTCTTTTCTAGCTCTTGTATTGCTAATTGTTTCTTTTCAATTTCTGATTGAGCATGATTCAATCGATCACTGAGTTGGATGCTCTCATGTGTTACAGTTTCAAGCTCTCTGGAATGAATCTGTTCCAATGTTTCAATTCGTCTATTTTTCTCTTCCATACTTGTCAAATCATGTTCTTTCAATTGTGAGAGATCATGAATGAAAGAATTGAATAGTTTGGAAATGACCTTTTCTAGTGAATCGATTTGTTGTTTAAACCAAGTCGTGTTCGTGATGGTAGTGTTGGTATTGGTACTGGTAGTGGTATTGGAGTAATATACTTCATAATCTTCCGTATTATGGATGGATAAATGATCATGTACCATGATGGTAGTAGTAGTACTTGTGTTGCATGTAGCACTGCTGCAGACATTGAAGAGACTCGTCCATTTCGAGGCATAATCTCGTAGTTGCTGTTTCAATTGATCGCATCGCATACGAATAAGAGTTTGGAGTTCATTCCTTTCCATGTTCAACTGTTGATGAGTAGTCTTGAGAGAATCTTCTTGTTCTTGTTGTATGAATTGTATCTTAGTTTCATAATTACGAGTGAGAGATTCAAGTTGTCCTTGATACATGTCTTTCATTGAATTCATTTTGGATTCATACTGTTCTTTTAATGAGAAATCAGAATCTTCTTTCATGGTTTTCAATTGATCATCAACTTGGTTCAACTCCTTAAGGACAGGATTGGTTGTGTCATTCAACATGTCATGATGACATTTCAAAACACTTTCCATTTCATTTAAATGATGTTTCTTTAAATCTTCAATGAGATTCTGATGCTTGGCATTCAACTCTTCTATTTGCTGGGTGTGAATTTCTGCCATTTCGTGTAATTTTGTTTCATATTGTGATTTCAATATATTTAATTCAGTCTTCATTGTTTCTTCTCCCAATCTTTTAACGTAATCAATTTCTTCTAAATGAGAGGATTCAATTAAATTCAATGAGTGTAAATGTTCTTGTTTGATATCATTCATCTTTTTGTTGCTCGTTTCCACAAATAATTGAAATTGATGTTCGTTATTCTTCAAGTCTGTGATTAGATTTCGGTTATTGGTCATTAATTCTCGTATTTCATCTTCTCTTGATTTTAAATTTTGAATTACTTCTTCTAATAGAGTATTCTTTTGTTGTAATTGAGATTTGAGAGAGGAGATAAGATCCATCATTTCCTTATTGTGTTTCTCATGAATTAAGGTAGTTTTATCTGATTGAGAATTAATTTCTAATTGTTTTGAGAGGTTCAACAGTTGAATTTCCATCAACTTGATATCATTGGTTAGTTTGATAATTTTTTCATTTCTGTCCTGCAATTGAGATGAATATTGAGAATGAATGTGTTCTAAAAGATGGGGTGTATAGATACCATAGGTCTATGTTCTATTACACTTACCGTTATTGAACTCTCTTAATTTCTCAATTTCTTCCTTTAATTTAGAAATTGTTTCGTCTTTTTCATTTAATTGAGATTTCATTTCTGATGTTGTCAGATGTTCATCACTAGAAACGATTGCAGTCGAGAGGGAAGAGCGATGAAAGATTTGTAATGGATGATTCGGAGATGAACAGTAATGAGATGATGTGATAATTGAAAGGAAATCACTTATTTGTTTCTCTTGATTTTCCTATCCACGGTATTAGAATACATGATCAATAGTTTCCAAAATCATCAACATAATACCTACCTTCATTAATGTAACAATGGTCTTTAGTGAGTCACATTCGTCTTTTAATCGTTTCACCAAACCAAAATAAATAATTTCCAATTCCTTTTTCACTCTTCTGTTCAATGGCCAAATAAATTCTTTAGCTTGTTCATTTGATATTTCGTTTCATCATTTTCAAATTGTGATTGTAACAATCGACTTGATAATTCATTATTCAACAAATACAATTCTTTACATTTCAAAGACAGCAGTGAAGTGAGAGAAGTGTTGGAGTCATTTCCAACAAATCTTGATACATTCGGACTGTTATGGTTCTCTGCATTATTGAGAGTTGAGATTGGTTGATGGGAACTACTCAGTAGGGTGTTTGCTGTTTCAGAATGTTGTAATGATGATGATGAGGGAACGTCTGTAGTATCATTATTGCAATGATGATGCTGTCTGTGTGAAATTGGATCGTCTGAACGAGTAGCAGCGGTTGTGTGGATTGGTGGAACGGAGCATGCTTCCGTTGTTGTTGTTTGGTATTGTTGATCCTCTACATGGTTTATAAACTTTTCACCAAGTAATTGTTGGTTCTCGGTGGTGTCAGCAGTATTCACGGCTTGTCTGTCCAATTGCTGAACCACATTTTTAAATTCGTTGTAAATTTGATGATCGTCGAGTTCCAAAGAGTAAGGTTGATTTGAGGGGTGGGTATGCTCATCATCGTCATGATGAATATTCATTAAAAGGATATCATCAACATCATCATCGTGAAGAAGACCTTGATAAGAGCCTTTTTTGAGATGAGGAATTGGGGAGGTGTTGATGATTGAATGCATGGGATGGTTTTGTACATTTGAACGATCGAAGACATTGATGGACGATGAGGAAACGTTGCGACTGGTCGAAGATGGAGAGAGGTGTAACGAGGTTTTTAGTGTATTATGTTCCCTTAATTGTTTTCTCTTGATCGTAGTTGTTGTAGTTGTTGTTTCAGACGATGACGCTGCCAAGCCTTCAAGCAGTCGTTGATCTGACCCTTCCTGTTTCAAGGAAGGAGGTTTACTGGTGGTCCTCTGCCCGTTACTGCTATCAGTACTCATTTTTTAAAAAAGATCGCACCATGTTTATCTTTGCTTAGCCTTAAAAGTGATTAACTGCCGATCTTTGAGCGCGTAGGTTGTTTTTAAGCAGGACCACTTTGGCACGAATTTCAAATTCTTTGGTGAAGCATTTTCGAAATTTTAAAAAAATATTATTGAAACTCATGCTCTACATTATTGGACTCGGACTCGGTGATGAAAAAGACATTACCGTCAAGGGATTAGAGGCAGTCAAATCCTGTGATGTACTCTTCCTTGAATCGTACACTTCCATCCTTCCTGGAATTAAAAAAGATCGTTTAGAAGAATTCTACGGAAAGAAAATTGAAGAGGCTGATCGTTATTGCGTCGAATCGGAATGTGAGAAGGTCATCTTGGAACGCGCCAAAACCCAGTGTGTCGGTTTTCTCGTTGTTGGAGACCCATTCGGAGCAACGACTCATACCGATATGGTCATTCGAGCTCGTGAAATGAATATTCAAGTCGAAGTCATTCACAATGCTTCGATCATGAATGCAGTGGGTGTTTGTGGATTACAACTATATCAATTTGGTATTACCGTATCTTTGGTATTCTTTACAGAGAATTGGAAACCTGATTCGTTTTATGATAAAATTAAAAAGAATCGAGAATGTGGATTGCATACATTGTGTTTATTGGATATTAAAGTGAAAGAACCAACAGAAGAATGTTTACTGAAACCACATTTAAAGAAATACATGCCGCCACGTTTCATGACCATTAATCAAGCAATTGATGAATTATTAGAAATTGAACACTTGAGAAAAGAAGGAGTTTACAATGAAGATACTTATTGCGTTGGATTGGCACGAGTGGGAGCTCAGGATCAACAAGTTGTTTATGGAACTATGAAAGAATTGAGAGAATTGGATTGGGGTGAACCTTTGCATTCATTGGTCATTTGTGCTCCAGATAAGGATATTCATTTCTTGGAAAAGGAACATTTGGAATTTTATAGTGTCAAGAACTATTTGAAACGAAAACAGTAAAAGATTTAGACTCTTTGTAAATCAACCTATGGGATGGCAGCACTTGCTCTTTTGTTTTCTTCGAATTGTTGACATAGGAACATAGCATCCTAGTCAAACAGGAACGGTCCAATTTAACTGCAATCCTGAGAGCTGCTATCAACGGCCATTTAAATATTGTCGAATAGATTCAATTGAGTGGCTGTAGGACTTGGTCAAGAATTTGTTTAATTGAGCATCTCCAAAGAAGTGACACATCCTGGAAATATGACAGCAACTAACTCATCGGTATCAAGCTATTATTGTTTGAAGTAACATAACATGTTGTTTCTCAATATTATGTTTTCAAAAATTATCCGGTAAATTCGCACATTATTTCGTTTATTAATTCGACAGCAACTAACCCAATTGTTGTTAGCAATCAGTATTTGAAGTTTCAACACGAAAATAAATAATCTTTACACATTAGAACGGTGGATCCAAATAATCAAGTAATATAGAAGGGATTAAAAGAAATCAATGTGCAACTAAAACATATTCATTACCGATTAACTGTATAAGGCTAAATACACGCTAACATAATATGATATTCAAATAACGTGATAGTCAATCTTCTAACAAAAGGAAAACATGGAGATAAGCATGATTTTACATGTAGTATCAATTCATGTCCAAATGATGTTAACTGGCGTGTCGTTTGTTCTCTAAGAAAGTCCGTTATTGGTCTGTTGGTTACATGTATATGGTTATTAAAAGATAGTATGTTATCACTAGTAGCAGGAAGCAATTAGTTAACTAGAGAAATTGTTTGATTAATGGGTTACCTTTAACAGAGATGTAATTTCATTGAAGTGCGGCAGATGCAACATCTAAGTTTACTGGCCCAGATGTATAAGTTTTATCGGATAACACAGTTTTACAGCAAAATTTTGAACTGTGACGATATGAATGGTGCTCTTAACCACTATAAGATTCTGAGAATGGATCAGAATAAAAAAATTACTTCTTTCAAAAAATTTACATTGCCACTGAAGTGGAACAATTATTATCATCTACTTGGAGAAAGGGATAGAATCACTATCTCTCAAAGAATTGAAAAGTATCTACAACAGACTCAAGAAGGTTTTCCCAGCAAGATGTTGTTAATGATTTGAATTAGAAGAGGAGTTAGACTTTATGTGTGATGAGGTTAAGAAAGCAAAGTCGTCGGCGCCCAAACGCGACATCAACTAAATCATTGTTGATTTGACTCAACAAGGCCCTTTTTCACAAAGGGATGTCTGTGAGGACCAACTACCAGCGGCTCTGGCTAATGGTCAACGAAATAGGGTTCTCGAGTTGCTTAAGAGTGGGAAGAGTATTGATTTGAATCTATTTCAAATAGATTGTATGGCCGAATCTCTTGCCAACGAACGAGTGTCTACTGTTTTTGACCGTAACTCAGGAAGGAAGAAGTTGAGGAGTTTAGTTCTCTTGGAGCTATTTACAAGATTCTGTTGAAAAAACAGCTCAAGAATAAGGACGAAGATGAAGAGTTGCAACGGGCTATTGACTCAGTCGAGAACCGCGCATTTGTTCTCCTTGCGAGACAGAAGTTCCAGCAAGCGGCAGAGATAATTAGTTCCTCTACACTCAACCCTTTGTTGAGAAAAAGATGACCTGTTCTCTTGGGCTGAAGGCAGTGGGTAAGAGCGACAGGTGTTGAAACAACAATTGAAAATCCCTAATCCAGAGAAAGATGTTAGCAATATAGTATGTCTATTTTGAAAGAAGCCAGGTCACACTAAAGAAACGTGTCGCAAAAAGATGAGGGATGATGAGAAAGCCAACAAACAACAAGGCTCTCACAGTTCTCATCGAAATCCTTCAGTTTTTTCCAGGAAACTCACATGGAAGAAATTGCCTTCAGGAAGAAGGCTATTCATTCAATTTCCAACAAGTGGAGACAATGGGAAATGATGGGTGCCAAAAAACAAATTGTGGGTCTTTTGACGGATGGGGTTCCAATTTTGGTAAGCAAGCATTTCATCCCTTACTGTGGAAGAACCTCCTTTTCCAAGATCTGTTAGTGTTGTATCTGTAGCAATCGCTGGGTTTAATAAATTGATCAAAAAGGTTTCAAAGCCAGCTTCTTTTTCAGAATATATTCGCTAGGCAACAAACCCTTGGTATTATCTGCTACTTGAAGTTTCAGCTGTTTTAATTTATCTTGGAAAAGATGATACACCTGCAGCTCAATCTCCCGCCAACATGTCATCTACTGAATTTAAAAAAAAATGTCAGATGAAGAACAACATTCCTTCCTCAACAATTCTCTTCAAAGACCTCAAGAAGATCAGGATTATACCGATGGAAGTAGTATAGATCTTGCTCCGAGCAATTCTGAGAATGAATTTGACACAGATCGTGAATATCCGAAACCTGCAAGTTCCCTTCACGACGCAATGACAGAGCATTCCTCCAGTGTTGGTATTGAAACTTTGGAAAAGACTGAAATTGGTATTAATACAACAGAACCCTACAAAATTCATCCAAGACCCAAACCCTCTCAACCCAAACCATCCTATCAACTTCAATTAGAGATTTATTACGGGGGTGGAATGCCCAACAAAACAATTATCATCAATGTATATAACGAACAAAATCCAAAGCCATTCCTTGGTGGTTTTCGAAACACTCTCACTCATCTCATGTATCATCATGCTGCCACACAAACCGATTCTTCGAAACAAAAAGATCCCAATGTACAATTATTTCATCGAGAAACACAAACAAAAAAATTTACAACGAAGGGACAACAAACTCTGAGAGAACAAGGAACTCAGATGGAAAAGCCAGGTCTAAACATTGACACCTCAGAAGATCGAATTATTTATCCTTCATCCAACTATTTTGATTCGGAAATGTTAAAGCTATTACAAATTGAAATGGCCATTAAAATTCAGAGAAATGTCAGAAGATGGATTGCAAAAAGAAGAGTCGACAAGATGAGAGAACACAAATACAAGGAAATTGAAGAGAAGGAACATGCAAAGAAACAAAAAGAAATGAATGATCATCATAAAAAGTATAAAGAGATCAAACGAAGAATGCATCCAAGAAAACCCAATGATTTTCAAATCATGTATGATGAGTTGGAAGCGTGGAGATCTAAAGAGACTGAAGAGATCAATTCAACCACTCAGCCAGGATCAAGAGAAAGGAAAGAGGCTTTGAAAGAATTACTTCGAAAAGAAACGAAACTTCTTCAAACCATTGATCGATTGAAAATTGTAGCTGGACAACAAAATTTAGGTCAAAAAATTCAACAAGATTTAGAAGAAATGGCAAAACCAAAAGTCATTTCTCGAATCAATACCACACGAGTGAATTACAATCGAGCACGAACATGGAAAGAAGGTTCAATTCCTCAATCCACTTTTGATGAAAGTAATGTGAATCACACAGAAATAGAAACGCCCTATACCATTCGAGCAAGAGAATTGAGAGATTTATATTATGGCCTCAATACAGAAATGTTATCTGTGGATGAACGTTTGGATGTATTAATGCATGTCAAATGGACGGTCAAAGAATTTGAGAATGATTCACTTTCAAAGGATATTATTGAACTCATTGATAGAGAAGCAGATTTATTGAATAGAGGAAGGAAGGATAATAGTCTCGTAGGATTGCGTAAACGACTCTCTAATTTATTTTTACAATTCATTCATGAACCCAAATACAATCCTGAAGCGATTGTACTTGTTAATCGAAAGAAGAATCAATTGAAAAAGATGATTGAAGGAAGAAGTGAAGAAGTGTTGGATTCGAATGAGGGTTATGTCATTGAGGCTCGACTGGACAGGACCAATAGTGATGATCATCATGATCTACCACGAGAAGCATTTATTGTTGAAGAAACCTTGTTGGAATGAGAACAAGTCATAAACAAGTGGTTTTAGTGTGTTGTCTCACACACACCCAAACAACAAAAGAGACTGTCGTCTGGGATATTAACCCGTCATGTTTTACACACACAATAAAAAAATGAATCAACAAGAAGTCATTGAACAACATGTCTCACCCGTGATGGATGATGATTCTGAAATGAACCCTGAAAAATCAACATTCTCCGAATCGAATCAAGTCGAGTCATTCCCTCATCATCATCATGATGAAATGAACAACCATGATTGTGAAGAATCATCCAAGAGTGAGTTAACTCACCAAGTCGAGTCAGCAGCATCATCATCTGTAGTCGTCCCACACTCCTCATCTGCAACACCATCACAAACACTCGAAGAAGAAGCAACACAAGCCTTGAATGACAACCATGATGACACCATGATCCAGTCTCATGAAAATACCACAACAACACCATCCATCATGATTGATGATTCAACCCAAATTGATACAACACCACCTCCTACGAGTACTCAACAACTCCATCTCTCATCATCAAAATATCCCTTTGTTGAACTCTCTTCATTCACAACCACAAGTGTTGAAGTCATTTATGATCAACTCAATATTTATAGTACTCCTCTCTTTACCATCATTACAAGTGTCAATGTTCAAGAAGAACAATCTCATATCACTGAAATGATTCAAAATCATGAAAAAACACTCTATAAGGATCATCCATTGTTTCAAAAGACTGGATTGACTGTGAGTCGAAAGATGAAAGGTTTGTATTCAATGATGAAATGGTTATTAATGGATGATTTAATGTGTGTGTATGATGATATGTATATGATGATGTGTATATGATGATGTCAATGACAATGTCAATGATGATGTGTGAATAATCACATTGTGATACAATCTTGTTATGACATACCAAATCTCATCATGATGTCATTTCATAATAACAACTCAAGATTTTGAATGGCTCTATGATCATTTAAAAATGGATTGTGTTGGATGTTTAATTCCACCCAAAGAACTTCTCACTACAAATATTGACAAGTTGTATAGTCATCACAATAGTAGTACCAACACTTCAAGTGATAATACAACCAACCATGATACGAATGGTGATAACAAATCTCTCAAAGGAAAATATCTTTCCATTTTCTTGTCACTCTGTGCGAGACATCCTGTCTTGTGTAAGAGTCATCTCTTTTGGGATTTTATTAGTGCGAGTGAAGATGAATTTAATAATACCATGAAACAAAGTGATCCTACAAGTCAGAACCATACTTTACAAACAACAACTAGTAGTAATACTAGTGGTAATACTAGTGGTAGTAATAGTGGTAGTGGTAATACTACGAGCAACAGTGGTGGTGGTGGTCTCTTGTTTAGTCTCAAAAAGATGAAAGTTAAATACAATACTCATGATAAGGAACGTGAATATGTGAATCAATTATCCAAACAATTGAAATCCTTGTTGAACGCAAGTCTCTCTTTAAAGAAATATCAAGAAACATTTTTGAGTGAATTTGATAGTATTGGACGTGCTTTTAAAGTCTATGGAAATTTTGAAGCCAACAATAATTTTAATGAAATGATGAATCATAGTAGTACTAGTAGTAGTAGCAGCACTGTTCCAAATAATCCAAATGATTCTTCTTCTACTACCAATCCTTCTCTTAACAACACTGGTGGTACTCTTCATAATATATTTCACTCTATTGGAGATGTTACCATGAAATTAGCAAGTATTAATACTCATCAAGAATCTACGACTCAATTTGATCAAAATTTATTGTTGTACACCAAATATTTATTACCTAATTTATTGAAATTCTTGGATCTATCTAAAGAATATCATACCACATTGAGTGTCTATGAAAATGATTTGAATAAGGCTACAACTCAAGCTAATAATAACAGTAATAATCCAAAATATCAAGAACAAGTTCAAAAACTTACGACCATTTACAATGACATGAAAAGAACCGTCGATTTGATTGATCAAAGATTCCCTCTTGAATGGGAAAGATTCAGATATGAAATGAAAATTGATTTACAATTTTCCATGTTGGGATCGTTGGTGAAGAGAGCCCATGATAATGTTGAATGTGTGAAAGTATTGAAGGAGAGTATTGAAAATAGTCATGTCGATCAAGGCAATACTGCTTTTGATGAGAATAGCAACACCTCTACAAACATTTTGCGTCGAAAGAGTGTTCTACAAGAGACCTACGATCACATTCTTCATCAACACAAGAAATTGATACTACCCTCAGGCTCAACTAATAGAAGAAAAGATTGAGCGGTGTGTGTGCAAGTTGAGTTCTAATGAGTGGTGTATTTCCAGGTTGAAATTGAATCACCTTATTTTGAATTCAACGTTTTTGAGATAAATTATTACAATTATTAAATACGACTCAAATCTTTAATATCAATTGCGTTTATTGCAAATATTGTCTAAAAAAGTCACACGTTCTTTGCAAGGCCAATGTACAAGCCTCCTCATTATAAGCTTCTGGACGTTTGTCATTAGTGAAAGCATGACCAACCCCTGGGTATAAATACACTTTTCCATTCACGCCATTTTCTGTCCAACTGTTTTGCAATTTCTTGGCTGACTCAATGTCAGAAAATCCAATCGCGTCATCCAACTCGCCAAAGTGAGCAATCACTGGAATTTTAATTTTCGAAACATCCATTTGGGGAATTCCATAAAAACAAGATGCAGCATTGATGAGTGATGATTCACTTCCGTCTTGTGTACTTGCTGCAGCCAATGTCAATGCACCTCCTAAGATAATATTTGCAAGTTCAATAAAACATTTGATTTTCAATAATATGATCCCAATGACTTCACAAATTGTTCAATACATACCCATACAGAATCCAACTACTCCAACCTTCTTACATCCCATTTCATTTCTCAAATATTTGGCTGATCCCAAAATATCTTGAATAGCACCAGACCAATTCAAACCAGTCATCAAATGACCAGCTTGTTCCCGATCAATAGCAACTTTTCCTCTATATAAATCAGGAACGATTGTTGTTGCATTGAGATCATTGGCAATTTTAATTCCCTTGTTTTTAATTTGTTCATTCACTCCCCACCATTCCTGAAGAATAATAACTCCCATCGTTGTGGGTGTTCCTGATAAAGGCTTGCTTACAAAGCCTGGGCAAGAACCGAGAGGATTCTCGGAAGGGAATTCAACTTGTGTGGAAGCCATATTTTTTTCTAGGAGTGCCAAATCACAAAGTTGCATCGTTTTTATTGATACGCACGCAAAAACCAAGTTTGTGGATTCTTGAGATCACGAAGAAGTTTCATTCACGTGTATTGAGTGTTGTCATCAAGCGCATGTTGATGTTTTCAAGTTGTTGACCAAGGAGGAGTATATTTGGATCTCATTGGTGTTGTGTGTTTCACTGAGGAAGCCTTAGTTGTTCTTCAATATTTACAATGATTGTTGCGTTAAAGAATTTTTCAAATACACAATGGAATAACTTGTATAGTTATTGAAAACTTCAGAACCGAAAGTATCCATTGAAGAAACTGTAGATAATGTTGTTCCATCTCTATTTGAATCGATATCTGTCGTGGTGAATGAGTGTATGGAATTTAGAGTATTTGTTCGACTTGAAGTTGCCGACTCTATTAAAGATGGAAATAATAAAGTGGGAGTTGGAGGAGGATTGAAGAGTTCATTGTCGTCAATGTTCCACGTTGTTAACTCTATATTCTTTTTCCTTAATCGTTTATGAATGAAATTTCGTGAAGTAAAATGTGCGGAGGTTGTAGTTGACAATTTGTTGCCCATGGTCACTGTTGTCAGAGAGAGCAATTAAGAGCGGTTGTTTTTTTATATTATGCATGAATCATCTCTCAAGTCAAAGGTATTCTCCGTCCTCCCACCCATTTAAATATCGCCATTTCTGGACGAAAAAACATCGTTCTTGCTATTCTCTTTCATATTAGGAAAAAATGATTGACTGTTCCTTGCTTCATAAATAGACATAAATAGGTATTCCAATATTTAAACAGCAGTAGTAGATTCAAAACGATAAGGTTTGTATTTGGTAAGGTGCATCTTGCACCATTCAATACATTGTATGCACAATGTTTACAAATTACAATAATTAAACCATTTAACTCATAATTCATCATTGATAAGGAGGGTAAGGTTGATATTGTGGTTGTTGTTGAGGATAATAAGGATTATTCATCATACCCATACTGGTTGTAGTTCTGTGACCGTACTGCATGAACCCTTGTGGCTGAGTTTGGTGTAAAGATGGTTGATGATTGACGACACCATACGACGAGTGGTTGTTGTACACCATGGGGTTATGGATATGACCATAAGGCGACGATGATATGGTTGGAGGGTATTGTTGAGGTGTAACATGAGATGTGTTCATGATCATTGGATTCATTATTGGAATGTTGCTTGTAGGCATGTGATTGAACAAGTTGGAAGAGGGTGTGGTGGTGGTGGTTGTTGTTGTGGCAGAGCAAGCACTCATGATGGATGGAGGTGGTAGTTGTTGTTGTTGCTGATATTGATGATTCACAAGTACATCTCGACCATAACATTTCATCATTCCAACAGAAACATTTTCACTTGGGAATCGAGTTAATTTGAAACTTTGAGTGATGAGACCAAATTCACCCAAATCCAATCGATACAAATAATCATCGGAGTTGGCATCTTTCACGGTAGCAATTTCAATCCATTCATTCGTTTCCATGGATTTGTAATAAATATCAATTCCATTGAATTGTTGTTGACAACAATTAAACTGTTTATGAGGTTTCATTTCAATATATTTAAAAAGAAAGGGACGAGAGAAGTGAACAGTGATACTACGTTTTGGGGTTGCAAAATCTGCACTCGCTCCCAACATGCAACTCTCGTGGGAGAGACCTTCTACCGTGTTGGCTACATTCTTTGTGGGACCAACGATTTCAAGATGCGAAGGTTGAATGAAGGATATAAGGCTTGAATCGGACATGGTATTATTGTTGTTGTTGGGTGTGATGAGAACTGATCAAGTGTTTCTGTTGGTGGATTTTTTTGAATATTGTTGTTTGTTGAGAACCATGTTGTCCAGCACAAGAGATGGCTCAAGACAAGAGAGCCTGAGTGGCACTTGGTGGTGTTAATGAAATGAGAGGAATTCGATCAAGTAATGAAACACCGCAAAAGCTCGCTCCTGAACTTGTTTCCGATCGTATCACCTTCAATCAAATGTAAAAAAATGTCCAAATCAGTAACAGCGGCGTGTGTCACACAACAGTTGTTAGCCAAAGAACCAATCGGAAAGAATTCCGAATCAACTTTATCCTCGAAACAATCCTCAGATATCTTGGTCCAAGATAATTCGTCATCAAAACAATTCATTGAGCATTCACAAGAATCTCCATCAATAGTTGACAACAACAACGATGATGGAATTCCGACAGAGGAGGAATTTATGAAAAAACTTCAAGATGGTATTCAAGAGTATGCTGAAATTGATAAATCGAGTAGACATTCTTCAGATGACGAATTAATTAATTTTGTTAAAGATAAAGAAGAGAAATTACTCTTTCGATTAGGAAGGTTATTAGAAAAAAAGAAAAAGAAGAGGAAAAAAGAATTGAAAAGGAAAAGAATGTATGAGAGTGAAGAAAGTGAGAGCGAAGAGAAGGTGAAATAGTCTGGTGCTGCTGTGGATACTTTGAGGCATGTATTCCATCATGATGATCATCATCCAACCTTCTGTTACGGACTCACTACATGCTGAGGAAGCCCACTGGAGCTCGAAAATCTCTGGCTTGGTGAAAAGAATGTTTCAATTCTTCTTCTTGTGTGCCATTCACACTCACTGGTTTGCAACTCCTCCAAGAACAAAAAGAATGGCAACTTTATAAATTATGTTTCACAAAGAGTATTGTTGTTGTTGTACAATTAAGCAACATATTGAATGGTGCTGCTGTCCTTGGCATCACGTTCCAGATATTCTCTTGCAATCAAATCTTCAACTCTCTTCTTGATCAACTTTGGATCAGGAAGGAAGTGTGAGCTCAATTGTTTGATAGTTTCTGTCATGAGTTCTTGATATTTGAGTACCTTTCTGGCCTTCATGATACGGACAAGAGCAGCATCAATAACATATTTTCTTTCTTCTTGAGCCTTTTGATTGATTTCTTGCTTTTGTTGTTGAGTCACTTGAACCACAACGTTTGGAATCTTAATTCTTCTCAAAGGACTTTCAAAATCAGCATTGACAGAAAACTTATCAGTTGGATTAATAACCTTCTTATTTCCATCTGTGTTCAAAATGTTTGCTGCCTTTGTTGCACATAACGCAAGTAAATTTCTCTTAACTTCTGTTGGTGGCAAGTTCAAAGAGTTTTGAATTTCTTGGAATGTCATTTCAGCTTGGTTGTTGAACAATAACAAAATACAAGCTTGATAAGTGTTCGTGGAAATTTCCTTTGTACCTGATGCAAAACGTCCAGTAACAATAGCTGTACCAAGAGAGTGAATCCAATCTAACTTTCTTTGTTGTGTAATGGAATCATAGAACTTTTTGAAAGCATCTAAACAAATACCTAAATCTTGTGGAATGGTCATCTTGTCTGTTTTCATTTGTGGCCAACAACCAAGAGTCAAAACTTCAGGGTTAAATTCAAATGGTAAAGCAATGGACTTGTTTGATGTATAGGTCTTGAAGTCATTTCTCAAGTTTTCAGAAATACTCTTATCCTTGATCATACCTTCCAATTTTTGGGTGAAGGACATACCCATACGCATCTTGAGTTTTCCAATGAATGATCTTTCAGCATCCAAATTCAAACGACTGGTTACTAACAATCTCTTACTCAAATGTTCTCTATAGAAAGCCATAAACATGTCCTTATCTTTCAAATAACCAAATAATTTCACAACATTTTCCAAGAGAGCATCCAAGTTTTCTTCACCAACCTTATCAACTTCTTTCATGACAGCATCACAATAAGTTGAAATCAATTCAGCAGTGGAGGCTCTACTCTTTTCACCTGCAGTTACAACTTCAAGATTAACAAAGTGAGTAAAGGCGTCTTTCAAAGCCTCTAAAAATAGTGGATTTTGTTTGAATTCATTGGTAACCAATTTAGAATAGGTTGTATGTAACTTCAACAATTCATCAACATAGGACTTGGCATCAATATTTTCCTGTTGACATTGATTGGAATGAATTTTAACACCTTCTTCAGTGATGAAATCTCTAACTTTCTCTGCCATTGGTTGTAATGAATCAATTCTATCAAACAAGTTATACATTCTTGACAAATCTTCTTGTTTGTCTCCAGACTTTAACAAAGCAACAAGACCAGAACCATCCATGTTTAAAAGTGTCATTTGATGCTTTCTAATGAGTTCGTCTTGAACTTTAGAAATCAATTTAGCCTTTGTGTTTTGGTGAAGATATGAAACAGCTCTCCTTTCTTCTTGTTCTAATTTATCTTCAGTCTTTTTCATATAATCAGGACAAGAATCTTCAGCGATCCATTTTGAACTTTGAATATTGTAGTAGGTTTGTGTTTCAGACAACAAATTACGTTCAAAATCTTCTTCATAGGCGTTCAAACTTCCCAAACCCATTTCAATGAAGAGTGTAATACCATCTTTCATCATGGATCGGTCAATTAAATCACCTTCTCTTTCCTTGTGAATTTTATCAAGTAAAGCATGAGCCATATCTTTCTTGATACTTCCATAAACCAATTCTTGATAACATTTCAATCCAACGCTTCTCAGATCATCTCTATTGTTATGTTTTGTATAGTATCTGTCCAAATAGTTAAATAATTTAACCATATAACGAACAACCAATTGGTGATCTCGCCATCTCTTTACTGCCTCCATCAAGAGACCATCACCTTGTTTTTCTTTGAGAGCAACAACTACCAATTGCTTCAAATAATCACTGATACATGTTCTATAACGATCGTACAATAATTCAGTAGCACCTCCCTTCTTGTTGGTATCTACTTTTTGTGTACACAAGTTGAATACCGTACTATTATTATGAGGTTATTGTTGTTGTTGTATAATGGATGTTGTAGAGTGAGGAGAATGATGAGGGAGTTCCCATAGGAAAGATGATTTTGTTGTTATCAAAGGATGAAAATTTGCAAGTCGATCAAAATTAATTGTGTTATTGAAATAAACGCACGAGATCGATCAACGAGTACATTACGGAAGAGGAATAGTAGAATCATTGTACATCCATGAGTTTAGATCATGATAGTGGGAAAATCAAAAATAGAATTTGGAGTTCATCATCATCGCGATAATAATCGTCATCATATTGATCAGTGATGAATACATTTTACCTCTCAATACTTACGTATATAACTCGGCATATTCTTCGTTATTGAAAGGCTTGGACATGTTGGTATTCAAAAAATCAATGAGTTTGTTAAAGCCTTGTTGCAAATATTTCCACTTGGTCTCAAAATCAGGAGCTTCCTGTTTAGATGCACTACCGCTGGTGGTAGTACCCTTCTCCATTTTGTCGAGATCCTTCTTGGCATCGGTCTTGCCAATAATACTTGAAAAGAAAGGCATGATGAGAGTCGGCAACCAGAGAGAATGATGACGAGAGGGATTTTTTTTAAATGCTTGGTATCGTTGGAACAACAAGCGTGTGTTGTAATCAAGTTCACGACACAACGAGCGAAGACAAAATTCAATTTTAAAGAAGAACGCTCATCGATTTAAAGTAGCACACAAGAATGAATGCTTGTTGTATGATATGAATTTTATTTGTTGTTGTTCCATCATTGAGGAGGTTCAATCAACAGTACTGAAAGTAAAACCATCAAGGTGATGCACAAACCACACGACACGACATTATTAGGATGATTGTTGTTGAGCCTCACATTGCCAAATAAAAATTATCCTTAAGCACGAATTCGAGTGATATGTCTTCTTCTTATGAATGTAGCTACACTCGAGTGGTCTGATAGGAAATATTCACAACAGTGGGCGGTGAGAATGTTGAAACGAGTGAATGTTGTTTCGATGCTGCTGCTGCTGAATTCACACTAGATTTACCATGAGTCGAATTGAATCGATAGGTTGTTGAGGTTGTCAATGTTGAAATGGTACCATTGGTGTTCATCACAGTAGAAGAGGGAATGGTTGTGGGATATTCTTCTTCATATGAATTCACATGAAGTAAGGGTTGATTCAAAATAACAGGAGTTGAAAGTGACATCATATCATCAACACGATCCATGTTCACATCGTCATCATTCTCACTACCAACTCCACTCATATTGTTGATTCCAGGGTTAGATGTCAAATAGAGATCAAATTTGGATGAATAATCAGGTTGATCGGATGAATGATAATGAGTCATGTTATTGGACATGACAACAGGAGGATGTGACAACGACGAAGAGGAGGATACTGTTAATACATTGTCATCATTCAATGTGTTCAATTCGTGTTCATGATTGAAGTTACAAGTAGTAGTAGTAGATGTACGATCCATCAGCAGGCTCGTTGAATCTTCTAGAGAATGCTCTAAGGTTGAGACACGACCACCACCAGGGTGGTTATTATGTATGGTGGGGTTCATCATTTCATCACGAAGACTAGTCGATAAATCCTCATGTTCATATTCAATAAGGTAATGGGAATGATCCATAATATCATCATGATGGTCATGACCAAACTCACCCAATGATGGATCATTATTGGTGGTGGTTGTAGTAGCAGTCGTACCAGTCGTAGTACCAGTCGTAGCAGCAGACGTTGAGGCAGTCGTTGAGGTAGTCCTATCATGTTGCTGTTGTTGCTGCTCTTTGGATGACATCATGGTCGTCGTACTAGTTGTCAATTCCATCAAGATTTGTTTCTTAATTTCACAAAGAGTATCATAGGCTTCTCTCTTTAAATCTTCACTGGTGAACATGTCCTCTTCCCATGCCGTGTCGAATGGTTTCATCTCTGGACACACATTCAAATCATTCACATCATAGAATTCTCTAAAGTAGGGATGTAAAAGTGCTTCTTCAGGAGTAATTCTCTTATACATGTTGAATACAAGCATTCTCTTCATGAGATCAATGGCCATTGGACAAGTATTTGCAGGTAATCTCTTTGTGAAGGATCTTCGACGATAAAAAGGTAATTTGTTGAATACAAAATCACGTGCCGAGTCAGATCCATTGAAATCCTCAACATTGGGTGTTCCCAATTGTTTGACAATTCTCTTGATTTGATCCACAGATCCTGTACCTTTGAAAAGAACTTCACCAGCACCTGAGAGTAATTCATACATGATACAACCAACACTCCACATGTCCAAAGTCTTGTTGTAAATATGAGGAGCATTGGTGAGCAATTCAGGTGGTCGATACCATCTCGAAACGACATAATTGGAAGAGAGACGAGTGTTATTCTCAACAAGAGTCATTGGATCGATTTGACTTGGAGTGGTGTTGGTTGTTGTTGTTGTTGTTGAGCCTACACTAGTAGAAAGAGTAGCAGTAGCAGCAGCACCAGTAGGAGTAACAACAATCGTAGTAGCAGCACTGCCAGTAACAGTCGTAGTAGTCGCTGAACTTGTTCTTCTCGAATTGTAAAATCCTCGCGCCAAACCAAAATCACAAATTGAAACATCACATTGTGAGTTGAGTAACACATTCTCAGGTTTCAAATCTCGATGAAGAATGTGAGCCTTTTGCAAATAATACACTGAGAGTACAATTTGATACATGAACCATTTGATATGTTTTGGAGACAAATATTGTCCACTATCAAATATATCACGTAAATCAGCCTCCATGAGTGATGTAACCATTTCAATATCTTCTAAATAATCAACACTGGGTGGTACATGAACGTCTCTCAATGTTACAATATATGGACATGATCTCATATGATGAAGTATTTTGAGTTCTCTTAACATTCTTAATTGATGAAGTTTTCCACTGTTATTAAACGCAGCATACTTGTCATTGGAAGAATTGTGTTGTTGAGTGGTTGAGTTTGGAAAGACTCGAATATTCTTTTTAAGAGCCACCTGCACTTGTGATTCTTGTTCCAATGCAATGGCAACTACACCATAAGTTCCATTCCCAATGATATCTGTGACTTTGTAACGTGAGGCTGGAGTATCAAATTCAAAGTTTTGAACGATTTGTTTTTGAAGAGTGAGGAGTAGTGGTAGTTGTTGTTGTGATAGTTTCAATGTGGATGGAATGGGTTGTTGTTGTTGTTTCGTTGTTGTTGTTGTTGAAGAAGGTAGGACTGCATTCTTATTGCTGTTATTGTTGTTGTTGTTATTGACCATTGATGAGTTGTGGTTATTATTGTCCTGATGATGATTCACGAGTGGAAGAGTATGAGAGCTGCCATGGTGATGATGATCAGAACAAGACGTCAAGTTAGTACATGCGTTGTTGTTGTTGTTGTTGTTATGATTATGATTGTTATTAGAAGAGATTGTTGAATAATAAATCAAGTTAGAGTTATTATTGTTGTGACTTGTTAGTGTAGGTTTGATCATCGTGGTTTGAATATTGTCGTCATGATCAATCATCTGTGATTCAACAGTTAATGAATGATGGAGTAGTGGTTGTTGTTGTGAAGGTGTGACACCATTCATAGTGTTAATAGAGGCATAATAAGAGGGTGGAGGAATTCCATTATTGTTCATTATGTGTTGTTGATGGTAGTTATGATTGTTGTTGCTGTTAGGATGAGAATGGTTCAACACCACCACCACTCCATTACTGGTGTGAGATGAAACCGAAGATGAAACAAAATATTTTGATGTGGTTGCAGCGACTTGATGATGAGCGTGTGGTTGATCGGACAAGTGTGATGAATGATGAGATTGTTTCATTCGAGAAGTATACTGATTATTATTGTTATGGTTGTTGTTCTTGTTGGTTGTTGATGCTGTTGAACCCAAGGATATATGGCTTGTTGACATTTTCTTGTGTGTGACACCAGGAATTTCGTTTGTATTGAAGAAGAAGATGTGTAAAGAAGATCAATATCAGTACGCACTCGAACGTTTCGAAGACAACAATTCTTCTCTCGTATTGGATTCCTTGTTAATTCGTTCAGGTTTCTAAAATAGTAACCGTGAAAGTGGGCAAAAATGAGACCCTCACCTGAAAAGAGACTTTTCAATGCTTTTGAAAGTTTTTGATCAAAGGCAAAGCTTGTGTGAGAGAATTTGTTGTGATCTCTCACCTGTTGTTGATTTATGAGAAGGGTGTGATATTTTGTTTCAAAATTTGTTCACTATTTGCAAATTGTAAACAAAGAAAACTAATTTCAAATATTTGGTTGTAAAATGAAGTGGTTGTGTGTGCGTTCGGAAAGGTATTTACAGTATATATGCCCGAGACTTAATGACTACTCTTACAATCGAAGGCTCCACTCGTGAAGGTGCAATCTTACAGAGAAAAGAGTACTCAATTGATATTAACAACGTCTAGAATCGAGTTTATGTGATGCTATGTAATTATTTTGCAAGATGTTGTCAAGATGAGAGTACACTCACACACACACTGGAGAGGTTGTTGTTGATTTTTGTTTGTGTCGACACAAAAGAGAACACTTGACCATGTTCAATGGATGTTAAGAGTGAAGCACGTGACAAAACAATTATACATTTCAAGAAATCAGCCGTTTGAAAAAGGTGTTATATAAGTGTTTGTAGTTGTTTGAAGACAACAATCGAACTATGAAACCGTTCGAAAGGGAAGGAAATATTTGAGGTAATTTGTAATTTATGGAAATACCTAAATAAAGTAATTATATAATCCATGATCCAGGTGTGACCGTGAGACGAGAGGTTGAATGCTATTGAAAACAGAAGGATTCAATAGCATGATGTGTGTGTAAGTGGTCAAAAACATTGGGAAGTAAAAGAAATGCGTTACACAACAATGGCACACTCAGTTTCTTTGAAATTATTTCATTTGAAATCCAACATGCTATAGATTCAACACCAAGTTTCAAAAGTAAATGTTCCTTTTTGATTTGAGGAAGCTGCCACGGTCACTCTGGGTAACGACACCTGGATTTGCATCATCCTTACAGATTCGTTCCTTGTTTTGTATAATTTAAATATGAGAATGTTTCATTCTATTGGGTAAGGTAGTAACAAGGCTACATCAACTCCAACCACCACCACCACTCCAGTCATTACCGATGTCAATCAATTATACAAAATGAAAGACCACTACTACAAGAATCAACATGGCCATACGAAACGTGCCGATTACAACATTGCAAAATACATGAAGACTGCATCGGACGATAAAGACTCGGCAGCATTGTTCAAAAAAAAGAACAAGAAGAATATTCATCAAGTGGCAAAGATCATTCCTGATGTTACTCCTTCTCAACCCTATATCAAACCTGCTGAATTAACAGATCAATATCCGCTCTTGAGAATTAATCCTAGAAATATCAAAAATTCAGATCAAAAACATGAAATTGTGACCAAACAACGAAAACTAAAAAGAATTTTACAAAGTAAAAACAGAAAAGAACGTCGAAGTTTAGGAGTTCCAGTTCAACAACCAAAAACACAAGAAGACAAAAGAATTTATGATCCCTCAATCATCACTCCATACAAGACTAACTATCACCCTGAAAATGATTTGGAATATATTAAGAATTTCAATGAACAAGTTCAACAAGCAAAACAAGAAACATTGGCAGAAGAAGAGAATATGGATGAATTTGAAGAATATTTCAAGAATGGAAAAGAGCCAAAAATCTTGATTACCACTCAGTATAATGCCATGTTGAATAAGGCTAAATCAGCATCTAAATTTACAATGATATTTATTAAGGAATTATTGAGTTGTATTCCAAATAGTATTTTCATGAGAAGAAAACAATATTACGTGAAGGATGTTTTGAAATATGCCGAAAAGAATGACTACACCGATGTCATGGTCATTGGTGAACGTAATAACAAACCTTCATCTTGTCTATTAATTCATTTACCTCATGGACCAAGTGCTACTTTTAGATTATCATTTCCCAAATTAAGAAAGGATTTGAGAAATGTTACTCAAGCTAAAATTGATAGAGATTATTGCCAAAAGTACTATCCAGAATTGATATTGAACAATTTTACAACACGTTTGGGTTATAGAGTGGCAAGAATGTTTCAAGCCATGTTCCCTCAAAAACCTAATTTCACAGGAAGAAGAGTAGTAACGCTCCACAATCAACGTGATTTTATATTCTTTAGACATCATATTTATCAATTCTATGATGTTGATGAAAAGAATAAGGGAAATGATCATTCAGAATATGATCGAGATGATGTCTATTTGGCAAGAAACGTGAAACAAGAAATTGAGAAATTGAACAAGCAATTGAAAGTTGTGAACAATGAAATGGATATTCAACAAAGTGATGATGAAGATGAAGAGGATGAAATGAGTGAAGAAGAAATTGCCAATGAAGATGACATTTCTCAACGAGTAGAGAACCACGCGAAAAAGACAGTAACTGTCACGAAAGGAGTTAAAATTAATGAAATTGGACCTCGAGTGACCTTTAGATTGCAAAGTTTACAATTGGGCAAGTTTGATAACTTGTTTGGTGAATTTGAGTGGTATGGAAGAAGTGAATTGGTTACAGACAAGAAACAATTTGTCATTTAACTCAAAGAGTTTGGTTTTGTACCATTTCCTTCATAAACAACAACAATTCGAATGTTACTTGGTGTTGGAGTGCTTTTTCAAAACAATTGGATAAAGAAATCGTGTCTGGCCATTCAAAAAAATGCCTAAAGATTCATCACAGCCTCCACCAACGATTGTCAGCGAACAAATTCTTCGCAAAAAAGTTCGTCAAATTGTCAATGAACACGATGATGATAATCCAGTATCAATGAAAGCAGTACGTGAAAAATTGGAGGAAGATTTAGGAGTTTCTCTTTCGTCACAAAAAGATGCACTCAAGAAAATATTGCAAGAAGAAGTCAATCGTGCTGAGGAAGAAGAGGAAGAAAAAAAGAGAACTCACTCCGAAGTTGCATCATCAACGAGTTCCGATGAACCAGTCACCAAGAAATCGAAACAAGAATCATCAGCTCCGAAATATGTAAAAGCTGATAATGGAGATTATGTCATCATGTTTACTGGAAAAAAGAGAATCACAGTGAATACATATAGAAGACAGAAATATGTACACATTAGAGAGTATTATGAAGATAAGCCAACAAAAAAGGGTATTGCCATGAGTCAGGATGAATGGGACAAATTTAAAGAATATATTGATACCATTGACGAGATGATGCGATTAAATTGAAATCACATAATAATAGTTAAATAAAATTCTGATAATATTAAATTATTGTTTGCATGAAATTTGTAATTGGATCGGTTGAAGCCAATGATGCTTTTTCCTGTGTGGGAATACGTAGGAAAAATTGTGATCATGTAATGTGGGAGAATAATAATGGTATTTCTTGATGATGAAATGCTGTGTGCTCATTTTACGATGAGAAGAAAACAATCATTAGAAATATTACCAAAAAATTCCAAACTGCAATAAACACTCTCAAGGCTTGAACATCCGAAATAAATTGTTTTATCGTTTCCATCACTGATGATGATTGCTCTTTTGGAAGAATGTTAATGTTCAGTACAGCAACAGAATTGAGCAGGAGAGTAAATCCGATGATCAAATCGCTAAAAGACAAGAGACCCATTTTTTCGAGTTGGGCGTGATGCAACACGAGTTAAAAAATCATTTGATCGTCATCACTACCCTTTCTCTCTCCGCATCATCAACTATTGAACCATCATGTACAGACGTTTACTTGTCCTTGCAGGAGGAGGTGCTGCACTCACCGCTGGTATTAATCGTTGGAGAAATCCAATTCCCGATAATGAACAAAAATTTGTCAATGATTTGCGTGAGTTCAACACTGAAAAAATTGAATACGAAAATGCTTTAAATCCTGAAGTTTTTCAAACCTTTAAATTGAAAGAAGTGAAGCCTATCAGTCATGATACCTCCATTTTTACGTTTGCTTTGGAAGATGTTGATCAAGTAAATGAGGATGGATTGAAGATTCTCAAAAAGTTGAACATGCCAGTCGCTAGTTGTGTATTTGTCAAGGCAAATGTTGGAGATGAAGTTGTGGTAAGACCTTACACTCCAATCAATAGAAATGGAGATGTTGGATTTATGAATTTATTGATCAAGGCTGTAAGTATCGAGCAACGTAGAAGGAAACTTTTGACCCAAAATTTTATACTCGGCGATGATTCACGACCAACCAATGGTATTACATCGTACATATTTTGATACATTCTTATCGCATCGATCAAAACTTTAAACCATGATGATTTAAGTATCCCAATGGTAAATTAAGCAAAAAAATTCATGAAATGAAAATTGGAGACTCTTTAGAATTTAAAGGACCATTGCTAAAATATGATTACAAACCTAACATGAAGAAGGAAATGATATTCCTAAGTGCTGGAACAGGAATTACTCCATCCTATCAATTAATTCAAGAAATTTTATCCAATTCCAATGATTCCACTAAAATTACTCTTCTCTATGCGAACAAAACTCCAGAAGATATTTTACTAAAGAAGGAATTAGATACTCTTGCTAAGCAGCATCCAAATCAATTTAAAGTGTTCTATACTGTTGATGCTGATCCAAATAAGACTGCTGATGCTTCCATTCAAGGAAGAGGTTTTGTGAATCATGAAATGTTGAAACAATTTGGATTACCAAAACCTTCCAGTGATGTCTTGGTGAGTGTATGTGGTCCTCCACCATTCTATGATTTGTTGTGTGGCCAAAAGAAGAGTCCAAAAGAACAAGGCGAAGTTACTGGTCTCTTGAAAGACAAGTTTGGATATAATGAAACCAATGTCTTTAAATTTTAACAAAAGGATTTTTCATGTTCAGGAAATTTTAAGGAAATTTCATCTGATGATTGGTTTGTTAATAAATATGTCAATAAACATGATTGGATATAAGGATTGGAAAATCGATTTATCACCAATAAAAAATGCCACCAAAATCGAGAAGTAAAAACTCTCGATCGTTGGTCGAAGAAGGCTCATCGTCGAACATTCCGATCGGAAGACAACTCAATCCTCACATTATCAAATGTTTGGAAGATGAATTATCTCGATGTGGGCAGCCTTCTTCTTCAAATCATTATTACCGTACTCTTAGGACTGCCATAACTTCCATTGAAGAACATCCAAAAAAGATTTATAATGGAACCGAAGCAAAGGCTTTGAAGGGAATTGGAGGTAAAACTGCATTCAAAATTGATAAATATTTAAAAGATAATAATATTGACTTGGGAGTACCTTCATTAGAAGCAGAAGATATTTCTTTGACCAATCAACAATATATTCATGACAGTGATACATTGTGTGGCGTATCTTCATCGTCTGACAATAATGGATCAAATTCTCGGACAAAACAGAAAAAGAGAAAAAGAAAATACATGCCAAAATTTAAATCTGCTGCTTGGGCAATCATGATATCAATGTATAGACTTTGTAAAGAAAATAATTGTGAAACAGTAACGAAACAACAAATAGTTGAAACATGTGGACAATTAACAGATACATCGATGGATAGAAGTACGAATGGGTCTAATTATACAGGATGGAGCTCAATGAAAACTCTCATAGATCATGAATATGTGTTCTCTCATAAAAAAGGAAAATATTGCCTAACAAAATATGGAAGAAGGGTAGCAAGAAGACTTCACAAAGCAGAAAAAGACATGTTCGACAAGACATTTACATGGAATGAATCTGAAGAAGAGCTTAGCAGTAGTTCTTCGACATATTCTCAGGAAGAGCCATACATACAATTGGAAATTCATAATGATCAAATGACATCAAACAGTAAGGCAAAATATTCGAAAAAGACATCGAGAAACACCAATGATTCATCACAAAATACATTACACTCTTCATGGAGTCTGATCCTGATTTAGATATGGATTTACTTCCACCACAGAACAGCCAGAAACTTGTAAACATGACACCAAGTCCTGCAAATTCTGTGTGTACATCCATAGTGGATCATGTGCGTTCTGATCGCCTTTCAACACCAAATAATAATCTCATCCCATCCTTCTCGGCACCAATTTTCATTATTGATGATGAGAATGACGATACTGATTCAAGAAGTAATATTGATTTCCATAGCTTTGGAATCAAGGCATTTTATGTGGATGATCATCTCAAAGAAACAATGACACTCAATAATGCCAAAATGAGTATGGATAGAAAAAGTGGATCACTCTGTCGAATGGTTCGAATAGTCGTTTCATGTCCACACAATCGATTCATTTTAGAAGAGCAAATCTTTGATTCCATTCCACAATATTCCACGCGAGAAGATGATACAATAATAGCCACTGGACTTGTAAAAGAATCGAGATGTACCGAGAATGCAAATGATTTACTACATGCACTCATTGTGGATCATTCCTCTTTGGTATTATACACACCAAATCACAAGACTTTACATTCCAATCATGAATCAATCACCATTGTACAAAGTAAGAAGAATTCATCACTAACGGATCAAGAAACCTTAATAATGCTTGATACATGTCAATCCAAAAAGAGAAAGAAATCATATGATGATACACAAGATATGCACCTCCACCTCCACCGCCACCACATAGCACACGTATTGCTGCTCTGACCAGTAGTAGTAGTAGTAGTAGTAGTAGTACAAATACAACATGGCTAAACGCTTATGGAAATCAGTCGAGTCATCATCATGTTTCACCTCCAGAACCCTTATCACTGTCTGTATTGCATCATGATAACACAAGAACGGATCCATCAGAATTCCCTGTTACAAATCTCTCTTTGAACCATTCCCTCACTGAAAATACGGTACTACCTGTGATTGACTTTAATCACTATGATTCAAAGTCATCCAATAATGAATCATCTCGACTACAACAGCATAGCAATCAACAACGACATGAACCACGCTACAAGATTCATCTCATTGTGGATCAGAGAGAACGAACTGGTAGCAATGATCGTAAAATGTTCTGTGAAACACTGTGCAAGAATCATGTAGATGCTCTTATTCATCAATTAGGTGTTGGAGACATGATTTGGATTGCCAAGCCATGTTCTGAGAATAGTAACGAATTATTATCACATCATGAAGAAGAAGAACAACAACGAGTCATGTCCTTAATTTCATTGTTGAGAGAAAGGACATGAATGATTTATCTTCAAGTCTCAAGGATGGAAGGTTTGAAGAACAAAAATATCGACTCAAACAAACCCATTGCTCCAATGTTATTTATTTAATTGAGAGAGAATCCAATGGACAACCTCCATTAGAGAAAGCTATTCACACACTCATCCAAGAAGGATTTCAAGTGAAACACACCATATCATTGGAAGCATCTATTCAATTTCTGGTACAAATGAATGAAACCATTATTCAACTCATTGAAGAGAATGGAATTGAACCTTACAAATTGAGAGTACCCATCACACAAGATGAATTACCATTGATGGTTGAAAATACTCTTTCCATGAGTACTATGGAGGGTGTTGGTGGTGCTGGTGCTGGTGCTCATACTGTTACTACTACAACAACAACAACAACTACTACTGCGACGACGACTACGGCTATGACTCGAAGGTACTACTCCAACAACAACAACAACAATACGTATCCATTTATTGCAAAATCACCTTTGGATTTCATTCAGTATGATACCAAAATGTATGATGCCTCTACACGTTTGAGTCCATCGAGTAGTGGTGGTGGTGGTGGTAGGAATGAGGAGCCATTATCATGTAGTGGTGGTGCAAGTGCTGCTAGTGTTAATACCTTGATTCCCTCATTGTGTGTGAATAAGGACAACAACCCTATTCAAATCACAACAACAACATCTTTTGAATCATTGACTTGTAACCATTGTGGTACGTCAATGCATGAAAGATTCACCTCAAGTAGCAGCCATACCAACAATGTCCAATATACTTTCAATCCAACACTTGAAGAATACAATACCAAATTCAACAAAGGAAGCTTTCATGTATCAAAGAAGGATATATTTGCTCGACAACTTACAAGTAGTATTCAAAGATGTTCACCTCAAATAGCCTCTTCCATTGTTCTCAATTATTCAACACCCTCTTCACTTTATAATGCTTTTAAAAGACATGGAGAAGATGCACTTCAATATATTCCCATTTCGACAGATAATGCCACTCAAGTTCCAACAAGAAAGGTTGGCAAAGCACTTTCCAAGAATATCTATGCAACTTTTATGAAATAACAAGTAATATTTTGTGATGACCATATATGTGATTGAGGAACAGCAAGATAGAAATCATCGACACAGATACGCTCAAGAACATTTCTTTACCGCCAAATTTTTGTAGTTGAATTTCGCGGTAAAAAAATCTCAAAAAAAGAACAAGATCCACACCCTCACACAATGATGACACTCTCACCCTCTAAGAAGGATATTTCTATTAATAATAGCAACCATTCATTGTCTAGGAATCATGACTCTATCAACACTTCTCGGAGAGGTACTTTGGATGACAGTTTTAATACTACCTACGATACATCCATTTTGTCCGAAGATGATGATACTGAATTGGAAGACATTCTTGGCCGGTCACAACGAATACGAGGAAATGATGAGAATGATCTCTCAGAATACAAATATGACCTGAAAGAAATGAAGCAGTGTGTTGGAAGATTGAGTAATCATGGTCTTCTTCAACAATTCAATTCTTCTGATTATGATTCAAGAAGAACATCTTCTGGAAATAGTACAGAATCTGAACGATCAGAAATCCTATCTGTTGTGACCACATTGAGAAATATCCAACAACAAGGTGACAATGATCATATTCTTGACACTCTTATGGTCATGGAAGACGAAGAAGATTCTTCTACTGCCATAATGGCTAGTGAAGCATTCAACAATATTAAATTAACGATAAGAGACAAATCAAGCGTTAGTAACACCCCCTCACGAATCAACACACTAAAACAAGGGTCACCCTCAAAAAGTTCTTTGAAAATTCAAGAAACAGAGCTCAAAGGATATGAAGGAGATAACGAAGTACTTCGATCGATGGAATTGGATAACAAAAATTACAAATCCACTGAAACTAGTATCGACAATTTTAAATCTATGGATCTAGAATCCAAATGGGAAATTGAAAAAAAGAATAGAGACCTCGAAAGAAGAATTGCTAACTTGGAACAAGAGCTTATTTCATGGCAACAAAAAGAAAAGATTGCAAAAGATTCATATAACAATGAAAAGTCATTAACAGAACAGCTAAAGTATCAAAATGATGATCTAATATCAGAAAACAAAAAACTTGTAGCTCAAAAGAAAGACCTTAAAGATCGAATTGATTCTCTCACAGAAACCAATCAAACATTGACCCAACAATATGATATGCTGTCCTCAGAAAATAGAAAGCTCATGGATTCACTACGAACAATTGAAGACGAAGCCAACAGATCAAAAGACCAAATTAAATCATCCAACGACCAAATATCTCAGCAGGCTCTAACAATATCTTCATTAGAGAAAAGTAAGGAAGAACTTACAAGCAAAATCACAGAGCTAGAAAATACAATAGCAAAGCAAACTAAGGAAATCCAAACAAAATCAAAGCAAATCAGGCATCAAGAGAAAGATCTTTTGAATTTTGTTAAGGAATTTGACCAAACAAAACAACAGTTTTCTACATTTATTGAAAAATACGAAAAGATGATTGAGAAATTGGAAAAGTACAAAAAGTTGAAGCACAAGCTCGTGGAGAAAATATCGTTATTAACAAAGGAGGTTGATCGATTGAAAGATGAGAATAAGTCGTTAAACATGGACGAGCTACCGACTGCCACAGGGAAAAGATCGTCATCAGGTCGAGGGGAAACAAAAGAATCTTCTTCTTGCGTGGAATCCAGATACCATACTCCGAGTAGCTCTACCCAACAAACATCTAAGAGAAGCTCGTCAGTTGGGAGACAATCTACTCGCTCATCTCCAACCACAAACTTAAACAGTGCGACACCCAATGTAATAACGAACATGAGTAACATGTCCTCACCCCAAACCATGCCCTCCAGTAACAAAAAATCGCCGGCACTTTCCCATTCTTCTTCTAGCTCAGTAAAAACACCCAAGCAACCCGTGAAAGAGCCCTCTTTGAAAGATGGCAGTACTCAAGCTGTATTTGAGACAGATGAAGAAACAGACGGTGAACCGCTTTCCCACTCTCAAGGTGTACCTTTCTTTAAGAACCCCACATATCTGAGGAAAAAGTTGATAACCGAACGAAAACGAGTGGAGCTCAAAAACTTTGAAATTGCTGGTTTAAAAGAGCTACTTGCAACAGCCATCAAAACATCGCACACAAATAAAAACGAAAATCAGTAGTGTTAAAAACACTTTCAACTCTTCACTGTAGACAGCTTCTATGATTATTTATTGAGTAAACTCTTAGTTCTCTCTAACTCTCTTTCCATCATCTCCAGACGTAGTTTTAAGGACTCTTTTTCCCTTTCTTTTATCGTCAAACTGTGTTCTAATTGCTGTCGTTCTCTCTTGATTTTTTGAACCTCGCTCTCTTTTCCTTCTAGCTCTTTTCTAAACTGTGACTGAGCAACGTTTAGGTCATGCTTTCCTTTAGATATTTCTGTATTCAAGTTTTCAATCTGTCGCTGCTTGAGTGCAATTTCATTACTGAGCTGTTGCATTTCTTCCTTGTGCTTTTTCTTTAAATCCGCTTTTGATCCTTCTATGTGGATGATATTTTCATTCAGATTTTTAAATTTCAAGTTGTTTTCGTATTCATACTTTTGGAATAACTGTTGCTCTCTGTTCAACTTCAATTGTAAGGCCTGAATTGAAGATCTAGAATGCTCCATTAATGCACGATATTCATCGTTTTTTAGCTCTAAGCTTTCCTTCAACTGTTCTATCGACCTTGAGAGAGCCCCGTTCTCTGACTGCAACCTCTGTCTCTCAGAGTCGATTGTGCTAAAGGTTGCCTCCAGCTCGTTGTTTCTTTTCCTTAAATAGATTATTTCTTGCTGTATCTCCAACCTTTCTTTTTGGTGTTGATCTGATTTGATTTGAACACTATTTAGCTGGTTCTTGGTTTGATTTAACATCTCAGCTATGCTTTCTTTCTCGGACTTTATGATATATATCTGATTCTTGAACTCGTTTCTAACTTCCTCAAGCTCTATTTTATGCCTTTCAGATTGTGATTTGCGTTGGGACTCAATCTGAGACAACGTTTGGTCGCATTTAAGGAACGCTGTTTTTGTTTCCTCCAGCTCTGTTTGAGAAATAGAAAGCTGCTTTCTCAGTATTTCACTCTGCTCTGTTGCTAAGCTTAACTGATTCTTCAATTCAATAAGCTCAGAAGTGAGGCGCTGTATTTCTTTTCGTGCTCTATTCGAGCAGTAATCAGATATAAACGACTCAAATTCCGATAAATCCATTGCTAGCTGCTCCTGCTCTTGTAGCAAATGTTGTAAAATATTGGCTTCAATGTCTTCTAATGATGTCTTTAAGGACACAAGCTGCACTCGCGACTCATCTGTTAAATTCACCTGTTCCTGCAGTTGTGTTTCAGCGTCTTTCTTTTCCTCCAGTAAGGATGTAACTGCTTGCTTGTGTTGCTCTCTTTGATGTTGTAGCTCTTCCTCAAGGCGTTTTATGTTTTCATGTAGCATTAGCTCTTTGTTTTTATACCGTTCTTTTAGCTCGTTCAACGATTTTTCTTTATCGTTTCTGTATTCCTCTAATTTGGTTTGTAGTTCTTGGTTATGGATTTCAGAGGCTTCATATTTTTTTCTCCAAGCAGGTAGTTCTTCATGTTCGTATTGATGTATCAGTTCATCGCGTTTATCCTCAGCAACTTTAACACTTTCCTCTAATATCTGAATTTTCTCCTTTAGCAGTAAATTATCCTTCTTCAGCTCAACAATGTCAGACTGCAATCTCACTCGTTCTTTGATTTGCTTTTCAACTTCCATGTCGTTTTTTTCTTGTTCTTGACCTCTTGAACTTCTTAGAGAATTGATTTCTTCTAGCAGTGAAACATTTGCATTTTTCAAATTCTGTATTTGTTGGTTAAGATCTTCGACGTCGTAATCTGAATTTTTTCTGACCAGATCGAGTTGCTGCGATAGTCTTAAATTTTCAGTTTTGAAGTGCTCCACAAGTTTGTTCATCATTTTGATAGACTCCTCTTTTCTTCTTTCCAACGCTTCATATCGTTCTTTCTCTCTTGAAAGTTTGCTCTTGAGTTTGACAATGAGCTCATACGATTTTTTAAAGTCACTATCTTCTCGGCCTTTTGGTATTCCAGTTGAATCAATCTCCATAAGTGATCTTTCAAAATAGTACGTCTTTTCTGAATCATTCATGCTCGCGTTAGTTTTGTTGGAATGAGCACCCTCTGCTAATTTTCGTTCCAATTCCTCTATTTGTTTTCGGAGTTCATTATTTTCTTCCAGTCTGATGTTGATTTTCTCTCGCAATGGAATTCCATTGCTCTGCTCATAAAAATTGCCACTCAGAGATCTTGGTTCGTTATTCGTCAATGATGGCTCGATTTCCGCGGGTGTTATTGAGGTACTTTTTTCTTGTCCATCACCCTGAATGTCGTTAAACAATCTCTCTCGGCTGGGAGTAAAGGTTTTGGAAGGAGAAACGCTGAGCTTGAGGAATTCGTTAGTATCCAAATAAGAATTGGATGATGAAGGCTCATTAGCCTCAATAACGACCTCGGGAGTAAAATATCCTTCTATATGATCCGAAAAGTGATCTTGATCGTTCTCATGTTGATCGTTATCTACACGCTGGTTTACAGTATCTCCAGCCTCATTCTTCTTGATGTGATTAAGGTTAAGCAGTTTGTTATTGTACTTGCGAAGGCTTTCCAAAAGATCTCTCTTTGGTAGCTGTTGTTGGGTGTTGTTGCTCATTTTTTAAGGCTTTTGATTACGGATCGAGCGCTCGACAGATTAATCACGATGAGGAAATAATGTGAATAATTAGAGGATATGTTTATGGTTTAGTACATACAAAAATGCAAGAGTGAGGGGGGAAATTACTTCTTTCTGTTGTGAGTAATATGGGCAGAAACTAAATGATCAGCAGCAAGGGCAGCCATCAAAGAAAGCTCACCAGCCATGACTGTGCTTGCAACACACTTGGCAAGCGTTTGGGCGTTTTGTCCTGGATTTTCCATGTTTGCACCTGCCACTCCCATAATCTTGAGACAGGTCTTTTGGGCATCCAAGTGAGTACCACCACCAACAGTTCCTACTTCAATTGATGGCATGGTCACGCTTACATATAAATGTCCTTCTGCAGTCTTTTCCATTATTGTCATACAATTCGAACTTTCAACATTTTGGGCAGCATCTTGACCGGTTGCTAAAAAGATTGCAGTTACAATATTAGCTGCGTGGGCATTGAAACCACCAATAGATCCTGCCATAGCGCTTCCAATCAAGTTTTTGCTCACATTGAGACTCACAATTTCGTCCACTGTGGTCTTGAGAACATTTTTCACAACATCTGCTGGAATAGTAGCATCAACAACAACAGATTTTCCTCGTCCTTCAATCCAGTTCATTGCTGATGGTTTTTTGTCCGTGCAGTAGTTACCGCTCAAACTCAAAATATCCATATCAGAGAAGTGTTCATGTTTCAAATATTTCAATGCCTTTTGTGTGGCTTTTGAGATCATATTCATTCCCATAGCATCACCCGTCCTACATTTAAATCTCAAGAAAGCCTTTCTTCCAGCAATACCGACCTTAACTTCTAAAAGTCTGGCAAAACGAGAATCACTATTGAAAACCCTGCAAAGAGATTGGAAATTTTCTGGGTTTTCAATGTATTGTTTGAGTTCATAGCATCTCTTTGCATTGGCAAATTGAACGACTGGGCCTCTAGTCATTCCGTCTGAGAGGATGACACTGTTCACTCCTCCTTCTAATGAGCTTGAAAGAGCCTTGCATCCTCTGTGAGTACTTGCAACAAGACATCCTTCAACAGTAGCCATTGGAATATGATATGGCTTACCATCAATTATTATTGGACCAACAATACCAACAGGTAAAGGAACATAACCAACAACACTTTCACAACAAGCTCCAAACACTTGATCATAATTTAAATCATTAGCATATGGAAGTGTATCTAGCATTGTTTCATCTTGTGGGTTGATTTTAGATGCAAGGAACATTCTACGGATTTTAACAGCACGCTTCTTATCTCCAAGCTTATCTTCGAGGTTGTAGAGAGCGAGCTTGCCATTTTCTAACAAATCAATGATAGCTCCATCAGACAATTGTCTATATCTTTCTTGTTCCTTTCTCTTAGCTTCTTCATGTTCTTTCTTCTTTTGTTCCAATTCTCGTTGTTTGACTTCTTCTGGGCTTTCTTCAATTCTAACAGCACACACATTGTTGCCAATCTCAGTCACTACTTGAATTTTTTCAATGCTGCAATAGGGTTGAAAAGTCATTGAACAAATGATTGACACCACACGATGGTTCATGAGCGCAAAAAGGTACATGCACCAGATTCGGCTATAAAAGGCAATGATGATGACAATACTTACCCTTCGAACAAATCGCTTGGTTCATTCTTCGTTCTCACCATGGTAGACTCTTTTTGATTGACTGTACTCGTGGACTTTTCTCGGCGATTATTGTTGCTGCTCTTCTTGTATCCGTAAGGTCCATCGTTAACGGCGCTTGTACCGAAACTGAAAACGTTGTTATTGAAGAGAGGAATAAGCCACTTTGAACGACGGAGGCTGAATCCCCAAGAAAACAGTGGCGAAAATTCACGGACAGACATGATGATGATGACAATCCAAAACGAAGCCTAAGTTAAAAGCGGGAATGGGATGATGGTGGCAAGGAGATGAATCTTCTTATTTTTTTGAAGATGAGGTGGAAATGGTGTGCGAATTAACGGCGAGTTTTCGGTTTTTGTGGGTTCAAAGAGCCAAGCTGATCTCAAGCTTACCAAGAAATTTTGCTGGAAATTTTCGCTTGCCAACTTTTTATTCGCAATCCGAAGACCGTTGGGAATTAATAACATTTGGAAGAAAATTGAGCAAAAGTGATGAAGTGACTTCCTTTCGCAACCTATCATTGGTTGGAGGCCATCAAGAAGCCGAGAGAGTGTATACAACAAGACTTGAGAATTCACAATGCTGTTTCGCAAATGCGAATGAACCATACATAGCCGTGTTAAATGCAACAGAATTTCACTTTCGACCACAGGTCATTAAGCCGAGTTCGGTCATAACAAATTTATTCAATGCCAGCATCACTTCATAGCAAGCCAACAAAAGGAAATTCGTTGCTGGCCAGGGTTTGTTTCTTCGATCCCAATAGTTTTGTTTTGAGCGAGAAGGATAACAAAATAAGAATTGCATTCGAATCATGGTCTGCTCCTTCGTCGGATAGGAACAAGTGTTATATGCTGGTGAAAACCGTCAACAATGTTCCTCTGTTCAGCTCTTGTCAGATGATCACAGGGAAGTTCGTGTTCCATGGTGGTTGAGCAATTAATAAAGATATTCAAGTACCTTGAATTCATCCTCTAACTTGAAAGTAAAGCATTCCACATGGTTTTAAATGGATCGAACAGTAGTGAGCTCCCGCATTCAACGTCTGTTGCTTCTGTGATTGGCCATTAAATGTCAAATGCCATCCAAAAAAAATGTTCCATGCTTCTCCGACTACAGGGGACGATCTTTCCATTGCTACCAACCATACAATCACCATCACCACCAATGAAAATTCACATAATCTTTTCTTTGATACGGAAGAACTGTTAGATGCTCTGAGACAATTTCCAATTGCTCTTCTCAAAACAGTCACGGAAATTGCAGGTAAGTGTTTAGATTTCATGTCCTAGCCTAGGCAAGAATGTTTTTATCACCTGTTCCATTGTTTCAACATTTGCCTATTTGAAATGTTGTTTATACTTGTATTCCTCTTGAACAACAATAATAATTTCATCACAATTCTTTTGAATGAACCAAAACAACATGTCATATGAAACAACAAACACAATGATCATTGAACCAACATTTCATCATGATGATGATGATGATGAACAACAAATGTATGAATAACAAACAAACACACGAATAACAAACAAACACACGATCATCTCTCATGATAGATGCTAGAAAAAAGGAACAGGCTCTGGAAGAGGATCTATCCGAAGAGAATCATACATCCGTCATATCAGAAGACATTGAAACTGATAGCGATGATGATGAGGCTTCATGTCATCATCAACCCGTGTCGCTATATTCTTCGCTTGCCATCCCTCATGGAAGTGGAGGAGGAGGAGGCAGTAAATCTTCATCCTCATCATCTGCACATTCTTTCAAACTCAATATGGCTAGCCTTGCAAAGAGTGCTAGCAGTCATAATTTAGATCCAAATAATAATATTAACAACAATCATGGTGCAAGTTCAAACTCAAGTTTATATGAACCTATGAGTGCTTTGAAAAAGTTACCCAGTGCACTCCGATTTGAAACACCATACAGCAGCAGTAGTGGTGGTGGTGGTGGTCCGAAAACTCCTCGTAGTGGTGGAGCAGGAGGAACAACAACAACCTCTCGATCGACCACATCAAGCATGACATCACCACGCAATACTTCTCCTACGAATCATAATCATCATTCCAACAGTAATAATTCTATTTCAAATCATAATAGTAGTAGCGCTGCTAGTACAACGACTAGTAGTAGTAGTAGTGGTAGTAGTGGTCCGACTACTGCTGTTGATTCTGAACAACACCAGAGCGACAGTGCCGATAGCGCAATCACAGCACAAACCGATCAACAACAACAACAAGATTCGAAAAATACTACGAATAGTAGTAGTGGTCGTACAACAACAACAACCTCAACAACAGGCATATATGTCAACGACTCAAATAATGAATCCAATGCAGCCACGACAGGAAAGGATCCATCCATAACCACTACCACCACCACCACCACCACTGTTTTGGATTCCAAGTGGATACCAACAAGCAGCACACAAAACACAGATTCTACTGGTGTTGAACAAAAAGATTCATCTTCCCAACAACAACAACAACAACCTGCTGGCATGACAAAAGCCAAACAAAGTGATGATTTTGTTCCTCACCCACTTTTCACACCCTCCTCAGATTTCATTCAAATGTCAACTTCAGATATTCAACGAGAGTTTAGAGATGTTTCTGTGGCAGCTCTACCAGGAGGAGTTATTTATCAAAAAAACCTTCAAGAAAAATCAGTTCAAGAATTTCATGAACAAATTCGAGCAACACTAAGTAATGCTATTCAAGATCCAGCATTGAAATACATTAGTGCACCATTTTTAGATACCAAACCAGTATTATCGATACAGAAACAACAACAACATGTGAGAAATGATTTGGATTGGGAATTGGAAAATTCTTCTAAAGTTGGATTAAGTAGTTCTGCAACGAAACGAATGATTTTGGATTCTATTGGAAGCACAAGTTCCATGTCCAATTTCATGAGTGCATTTGCATCGAATGGATCTGATAATAATACTACTAATAGTAACAATATCATATCAATGAACAATGGATCCACCAATACGACTGCTCAAACTCAACCTTTATTACGAATTGATGAAACAAGTTCAAATTCTAATACTGGCAATAGTAATAATAATAATGGAAAACAACCCTTGACACCTCCATCGAAAAAGTTCTTCAAACCAAGAAGTCACACTTTGGGTCCAAATGCCATGAATAATTCCAGCAATAACAATGGAAGTATGACTGCTAGAGCTACCATTGATAACTCTTCATCTGCTCCTGTCAATTCCATGTCACCTCTCGTGTTGGGAAGTAGTGCACAAGTTTCATCCTCTGGTGTGACCAATCAAGATTTGTTGTACTCGTCGAGCAAAACTTCAGTGGGTGGATTTCTTCTTTCTACTGCTTCCAATCCTGAAGGTGGAGCAGGAGGTGGACGCAGAAGTGATGTTGATTTGGAAACGACAGAAGTGGTGGACTTTGAAGAAGATGAAGAAGAAGAAACCTTTGCAGACACGGATTTGAATTTTAGAGAAATTTCTGAAAAGATGTATGAAGATACAACACATCGAGTGGCCTCCGTGTACAATCCATTCTTTAGAATTGGTTCCATTGAAGAGGATGTGTGTAAACGACCTTTGATCGCTACTCATCCGTATCAACCCGATCAATCGTACAAGGTTCTCATTTCTGTGAATGGAATGACTTTGGATCATCATCCTTCGACTCTGATGGAACCACTCTATGCCAGTTTGTATTTGTATGATAAGAGGAAGGAATCTCGAGTCTCTGAAGAATTTAAATTCACTCTCAATACGGATCCAAACACATTGAAACAATTGGGAATTGAAAAAACATTCCCCAAAGATCTCATCATGAGTCATGACCCTAAAAAACTTCAAGCAGTCTTTTCATTGAAAGAGAAGAATCCAAATATTTATTTGGTGTTGTGGGTCAAGAGAATTTTCAGTGATGGCACCACCACTGATTTCTACACCACAACCACCACCCAATCCACATGGTCCAGCAGTACTAGCAGTAAGAATGAATCTGCCAAAAAGTCCATGAATGAAAAACTTCGTACCATTTATTGTTTTTTAGATCATTTGCGAAGTCCATTCATGTGCTCGGCTGAACCACTCTTTGAAGAGAAGAGAGAATCGGTCATTTCCAATGAACTCAAAGTTAACCACTATGAAAATGATTCATCCAATCACCTCACTAGTGAGATTTCAATTCGAATTGGACGTTTATCATTTGAACGTTTATATCTAGTTCCTCATGTGGACGGTAAAAAAGGAAGATTTAACATTTGTCGATTTATTGAAACTCAGAGAGAGTTGAAACAACAAAAATTTTCGAATATTCGTGTCGATGCACTCAGTTTGAAATTAATTCCAGGACATTTCTCTGTATTTGTGAAAAATGTAACTGATGAAAATTATGATCATTATCATCACATTCATTCATTGTTCAACACGGGAGTACATGAAATTAGATTAATGATGGATCATTGCACTCAACCACCACCACCACCACACTCGACTGGCCAGAGCACCACGACGGATGATAATGACAATACTTTTACATTTAGTGATGATGATACTTGTCTTTCATACAATACCTTCTCTCAGAACTCTTCGAGAGGAGTTGCAACGAATTCAGTTCCAAGAATTGATTTCAATTTTTCACATGTCTTGTACATTCTTCCAGATTGTTGTAATTTAACTTCACTTCCAAGTTCCTTCAAATCGGTTGCAGTGAAAATCTTCTTAAGAGATGGCGATGAATTGCACAATGGTGGTATTCTTGTAGGAACAAGTACCATCTTTTCGGATGCAAGTCGAAACTATCCTGGTGGAACCATTATGGACGATGAAGCAGTGACCAGTGTCACGTATCATGAACGATATCCTCAGTATCTTGATCAAATTAAGATACAATTACCTCTTCCAGTGAATTCCAATCATCATTTGGTATTTGAATTTAGACACATTTCAACAAAAAGAAGTTTAGAAATGAATGGTCCTCTAGGAAAGGCAGAAACCACAGTTTTAGGATATTCGATTTTAAAGTTAATTGATGATGATGGATTTACCAATGGTTTAAAGAAGTTACCCATTTACAAGTGTACATCATTACCCAATTACTACATGTCCAAAGGAATGCCAATGTATGCCAATGGAAAAACTATTTTCAGATTCCATGTCATTAACAAGTCTAGTTTGTATCCACCAGATAAGAATTCAGCCATGCTCATTGCCAAATCCAACTTGTTAGTCGATTCTAAGAATCATTCTCAAAATGTTCCAAAGGCATCTTTCCTCAATGAACTCAATAAGGCATTTGTGTCATCCGAATGTGAAGATTTACTCAAAATGTTCAGAAAGACAAGTTGGTCACTCGTTCTTCATCACACTCCCATTGTGTTGAATTTAATGTTTTACATCTTGTCCAATTTAAAGGCAAGTGCACTCTCTCAAACACCTTCCTCAGCAGAGAATTATTCCATGAATCAAAACTCGTTTGGAATTACTGGATTTTTCAAAAAGAGAACAGCAACATTGACATCCAAGAGCAAACCAAGTGATAACGGAACTTTGAAACAAGGAACCATCCATACGAGTGTGAGTAGTAGTAGTAGTACTACTTCGAGTTCAACCTTTACTTCCTCTCTCTCAACGGTTGCATTTGAAACTCTATTATTACTTGTGAAAGGAATTTGTTTGAATTCCAAGGCTGATTTTTATGAGAGAGATGCCTTTCTGAGTTCCTATATTTATTACTTGTTCAAAATACCTCCAACAACAAGTGCCTCAAGTCTCAACTTTTGTTTATTGCTGTGTGAGAGATGGGAAGATTTTTTCAAAGTGTGTCACTCGAGAGAGACTGAAAAGAGAGCCAAAGAAACAAGTAGTACATCAACGACAACGACGACTACGACGACTACCACAACGACAACGACCACAACGAATACGACCACAACGACAACAATCATGGATAGAACCAACACTACGACAAATTCATTGGCAACTACTAGTGATCCTAGAGAATCGACAAGTAGGAATCAGCAATCCAAGAAAAAATCAAAGAGATCAAGTGCTTCCAATGAAAATTCTGAATCTTCAACGTCTCAAAGTGGAGATGAAGAACTCACTGCTTTGGACTCGTTAAAACTTTCTTGGTTTTTATTTGATATTCTTGTGAAGGCCATGAAATTTTACATTCTCAATGGACAAAAAGAACTTGTCTTTACAGAGACTTTTTATACCAAGATGAGATCCATGCAAACCAAATTTATGGAACGACTCTTAACTTCTTCAGGAGATCCTATGAAATTGAATTTTGTACGTGCTGTGAATCGTCATTTAGCTCTTTTCATGTGCGACTTGTTGGACATTTCTCTGATGAGTCCCATGCGTGAAGATACGAGATTTCGAAAATTTGTCAAGACTGCTCTCAATGACTATGTGTTAACCACACAATTTAAATCCTCTCCTGTGGTAGTGGCACTCAAATTTGATTTTGCCGAAGTCATTGTGGATTACAACATGTTCGTTGAAGTGAACATGTGTAGTGAAGTTCCATTCTTGATGAAATTCATTATTGGAATATTCCAAAAAGCAACCAAACCTAACCTTCGTGAAATGACTGTGAAAATGATTAACAAACTCATTACCAAATTGGATTATTCCACAAAATTCCAATCTGCTCCTGTTCGAAATGAAATTTCACGTCTCTTACAACCTCTCTTCTTTGACATTGCTCATGTCGAGAAACTCCTCAAGAATATGGATTTGAATTTACAATCTCAATTTGCAGTTTCATTTTTACATTGCTTACGAAATAGAAAGAAGGAAGATTTACATGAATTTTGGAATCACAAATCACCCGATGTGTTGGTGAGCTTTGTCAAGTTGTTATCCATTGCCATCAATCATCACATTTCATACAATGTGCGAGTAACGAGAAGAATGATCAAAACCATTGTCCTCGAAGTATTAACATGTTTTATTGAACAAAAATGGGAATTAATGATTAAGGAAAATGAAAAGTATTCCATTGTGATTGAAGAAGTTTTACTTTTAATTATGAAATATATGGAACAATTTAATCAAACTCAACAAGAGATGAAGAAAAAGACAGATCCCATTCTCACGAATACCATTCTCGTTCCACTCTTTGTAACCATTGTACAAAAACTTGTACCAGTATTTAGTATTGATGTCAATGATGATCGATGGAAATGGGCATTGGGAACACTTCTCTCTGTGTGTACCTTCCCATTGTCACGAGCAGAAAATGAAACCTATGTGTTGGAAGCGGTCGAATGCTTGTTGAGTTCTCACGATGAAAAATTAGCAGAAATTGAAAAGAATCATGACAAGTTAATCATTGAAGAAGATTCTGAAAAGAATATTGTGATTGAGAATAATGAAATCAAAGCAGCAACATTGAACAAACTTGTTGAGAAAATTACACACTACACGGATATGGATCACAAATTTAGAGACATCTTCTTCTTGACCTATCGATCGTTTTGTACAGGACATGTCTTGATGGACAAACTCATTGATCGATTTTATTTAACGAGAGAAATTGAGGTCAATTGGTCTGAAAAATCTCTCAAGATTTTAATTCGAGTGTTAAATTCCATGAAAATTTGGGTGGAAAAACATTTTCATGATTTTGATAACTTGTTACTGATTCGATTGGTTCGATTCCTTGACTCGGCATGTGTTGTGAAAGAAGTGGAACAAACATGCAATCTCGTACGCAAATCTCTCAGTAGCAAACTCATTAAGGACAACAACAAGGCAGTGAAACATTCGACCAATCAGAAAGCGCCCGAACCGATTCTTCCTGAAAACTTTAGTGAACATGTTGCATTTAATTTATTGGAATGGAGTCCTATTGAATTTGCTCGTCAATTAACTCTATTGGAATATGATGATTTTCAAAAAATTGAACCCAAAGAATGGCTTTCCGGAGCATGGACCAAATCCTCCAAGTATGAAGAGGCCACACACATTGCTCGTCTCACCGATCGATGGAATCGAATGACTCAATTTGTCGCGAGTGCCATCTTGTCTCAATCCGATTTGAAACAACGTCGCAAATTCATGATCAAATTCATTCAAGTGGCACAAGCGTTGCGTGAAATGAATAATTATCATGGTCTCACTGAAATTATGTGTGGTCTCTCCAATGTCTCGGTGCATCGATTGAAAAAGACATGGATCACCATTCCACCCGAATACATGAACATTTATGAAGAATTGAGAAAATTATGTTCACAGGAACAAGCCAATAAGAATATGAGACAAGCGCTACAACTTTCAACTCCACCGTGCATTCCTCCTTTGAGCATGTATTTGAAAGATTTAACATTTATTAATGATGGTAATGCTGACAATATTCGAGATGGTTTAATTAATGTATTCAAAAGAAGACAAGTTTCTAAAATTATTTTGGAAACCATCAAAGTGAATCAAAACACTCCCTTCTTATTTGAAACCATTGATTATATGAGAAGAGTGATTAATCAAATTCAAACTGCAAGTATTGAAGATTACAAACTGTATACGAGTGGAACGTGTACCATTCCCACCATTCAATCCATGCTTTCACTTGGAAGTGTTCAATTAATGGATGATGATACTTTGTGGGATCGTTCATTAGAATTGGAACCAAGAAGTGTGAATCCACAACAGTAGAAGAAGTGAGTTCAAGAAGTGGGAGTGAGTTCAGGAAGGGTAATCATAGCTCGTTTTTTTAAAAGTAGTTGTTGTTGTAGGGTCATGTGAAATGATAGTATGCAGATGCAGTTGTTGTTGGACTTGTGCCGTACGCGTATGCAACACGATGAAAAAAAATGTCACCACACTCCTCACCACCACCGTGGACTTGTGATACGCAACATCAAGAAGAAGACCCGATTGACACGATTGAATCTTCACTGCCTTCCTCTTTCACATTATTACCATGTCATTATAAAAGCATGATCGTGTGCTTTCTTTTCATTAGTGTCACTTTCATTTCTCTCATTGCTTTACAACAATTTTATGATCACAGAATATTTTCGGTGTGAGTGAAACATCATCGATTCGTTCCAATGCACATGCATCAACAACAACAACAACGAAACGTTCATCTCCAAAAACCACACATCATTCAAACATGATTCAAGAACAGCTTGTCAAACACACTCTGAGAAAATACAGTGGAGTCTTTTGTAGACATCATTTTGGATTCTTTTATGGTGACAAATATCGAAGTTGTATGATTTATAATTTGTGTTATTGGAATGGAAAATATTTATATTTTCATGATCAGAATGTGGAATATCCATTTCTCTATGATGGACAAGGATATAATTCACAAAACATGTCATCATTAGGTAACGATGATTTATTCATGATTGGAGGATTAGAAGGTAGAATCGATACAGAAAATCCAAAGCGAGAGAAATTGTTATTAACTGTGATTCGAAATGGAACCATTTCAGAATTTACACAACATTACAATATTTCACATGTGAAATGGATGGAAAAGAAATCTGTGCTCATGAAAAGACATCGATGTACCAACGCTGGTCATTGTCTTTTGGAAACGATATTTCCTGCGTTTTCATTATTGAAAATTTTCTATAATGACATTCCGTTGAAACAACCCAAACGTTTTCGAGATAATTATTTAATTTTTGCTGAAGAAGAAGATGAAGAATGTGATTGTCAACGAGATGTATTGACCTGTGGAACAGATGATGCTGATGCAAAAGTCAAGCAAGGAATTTGTCAGAAAATTGTTCGAATGTATGGCAATTTCATTTCTGATCATTCCAATCAATTAATTAGACATTTAAGCAACAACGACAATAATATGGTCTGCTGGCCAAGTATTGTGATGGGATCTACAGCGTATGGATTGTTTAATGATTTTGGTTGGAAAAATCTTGGTGGTATGATTTCAGAATTTAGAGATTTTGTGTATCAGCGATTTGGATTGAAACCTGTGAACCCTCTTGACAAACTTGCGTCTAAAACATTGAAAATTACTCTCTATATTAAGAAAGGGTTAAGAGTCTATCTTCGAAGTATTCTCGATGTTCCTGGATTATTGAAAAAGATTCAATCTGATTTTACACAATTCACTCATAATGAAACTGGTCTTGTGTTCAACGTTCAAGTCACTGCCATCAGTTTTGATGACATGTTAACAGATGATCCCAAGCATAGTGGAGAGCAACAAATTCGTACCATGTATGACACTGATATTTATGTGTGCGGTTTTGGGTCTCCATCTTTCAAATCGATTTTTCTAGATAAGGGTGCTGTGTTGTTGGCATTTCCGAATGGATACGATGTGAACGTACTTTCCAATCGAGTGGGAGAACATGAGTTGTTTCATGCCTACATGCATTACCAGAATCTAATCTATCCGTTAGGGAAAGGAGAACTCGAGTATGAGGAAGGTGTGACCACAGGTAATTATGTGTGGAGATGGGACAAGATGAAAGAAACCTTATTGACTGCATGTCATATGAGAGTGAAATATTTACTCTCAACAGCAGCAATCATGACTTGAATGAAACACGGAATGAAGACTTATTGACAAGAGTTTTCATTTCGAAACGAATTGAGCTCGAGATGAAAAATTAGAAAACTGATCAAGTTGGGTTTTGAAGATGAACCTTTATGGTTTAGAGAACTGGATCTGCGACTACAGCTTCACTTTCACAGTCACACTCGTCGACTCCTCGTTTAATCTTAAAGTAACCACTATTAAAAAGATTGAGTAAAAAATTAGAAATAATTCCCTTTCAATACTTACTTGATACCCCAACCAGTACCCCATGAGTTTTTAACCAACCAGTAAGGTGTACCGTTCTCGACTCCCCAACCAACCAGTAAGACAGCATGATTTGTTTGTTCCCAGTGAGGATCATTAAGCTTCAAATCAGAAGCAGTTTTGTGAGTATAAACACCAGAGTGATAGTTGAAAAAGTCATCAAAAACCTCAAATGCAATTGCTACAGGGCCTCCATGATACAAATCATACATCCTATCATGTTCAATTGGTAAAATTTCAATCCATGTTAAAAATCCATTCATATGAAAATTCACATTAAATTGACAGAATTTTTCGCATGTCTCACACGTACAAAATAAATACTACGTACATATTCTTCTCATTAGTTGCACCATAAAATCCACCACAATAAGCATAATTTGTTCCAAAATCTCTCTTAATACTTGGACAGTAATTACGGCAAGTACCATCTTGTCCAAGATAAGGATCACAACTCTCAAGAGTCAAACCATAATCTTCAGCGTACTTGGATACCAAATACATGAAACCACCATCACATCCTTGAGAATAAGCAGAACAATCCACAATATCTTGTGGAGAGTAAACTGGTTGTTTGGTACCATTAGTTGCAACTCTAACTCTACTTCCAAACATGTCACTAGTAGAGAAGGCATAGCATGAACCACATTGACCTTGATCTCTCACAGGTACAACATAATCCTTTCCATTGACATTGGTCCAACTAAATTCTGTTGGAAGAGCCTTAATATCTTCTTCAGTGATCACTTTCTTTTGACCTCTATGACGTGTTTGAGTTGGGAACATGGATTGGATTTTTTGTTTTTGAATCTTCAAGGCATCCTTTCTGAATTTAGGAACATGACGTCCAGCAATTCTTCTCAATTCTGCAAAAGTTTTTCCTTCAAATTGTGGATAGGCTTTTGCCTTCCAGAGTTTTTGGCTCTTATTAATGCTATTAATTTTCTCTGCATTGTTAACAAAGATCTTTTCATGCAAGTTGGCACGAACTGGTTCAATATGTGTGCTCACAGATTCAGAAGGAGCACCTACTCGTACACCTCTGAAACAACCGAACTGTATGTACAGGCATTGTGCAGAGATGAGATGAATTATTTCATCCAAGTACTTACACGTTTAGCAGCAATCACAGCGTCGTGATACCAACCAGTGAATGTTTGACCACAATTACTGGTGACAACTTGACCCTTTTGTGTATAATTGAAGAATGCAAAATATTTTTGTTTGTTGATGACAATCTCCATTCCTTGGTCCTGTATAGGAAAATGTTTTTGATTTTTGGTCGTTACAAAGTAAAATACTCACATAAATTAAAGTCCAAAAGCCTTGGTTGCCCTGATCATCATAGGCCACGTCGGGAGCGAGCAATCTCAAGTTCAATGTTGTGTTCGCAGTGTTTGGTAAAGCAGAAGTCATGGAACAAGTGTTGTGGACGACATCGTTGGAGTATTGTGCTGGAGTCAAAGTAAACTTCCAATCACCTAATAATTGAAAAGAATAATTATGAGTGATCATCATCTAAAAAAGAGGCAAAACATACCAAATACTTGATGGAAGAGGCAATGTACGGGAATGTCTCCGGCAACCTGTTGGAGATTCAAAACAAAAGCACACACAGCCAGTGCTGCACCTAAAACCAAGAGTTTCATTTTTTTGTTTCAAGACTACATCAACTCCCAACCACAACATCAATCAATCGAGAATGTACAAGATTAAGCTCCACCTTAGTTCATGGTAGAAGATGTAATAAATCACCAACTAATTTTTTTGTTTCAAGACTCCGTAGAATGAAGCACTGCTCCGACTCACTTGCATTCTGCTGAAAGGGTTGTGAGATGGTTTAGCTCCTTGACCTCAGCAAGAACACCCCTTAGCCGAGTTGAAAATTTTATAGACCTGTGGTCAATTCCTCAATGTTGATGTTTTCATTTGAATTGAATTTCAATTCTCAAAATAATGTACCCCATTTTCCCTTTCGAAATTGAACTTGAAGGCTAAAAATAAATGTATGCAATTTGCTAAAACCAGGCACTCGAAAATATTTTTCATTCTTCAATCAAAAAATTATTATTATTTTCATTTCGGTGATTTACTTCATCAAGCTTTTTTAACAAGCACGCAAAGAACACAAGACTCTCTCGTCTTTACTTCTTTTTCACAACACCAACATCCAAAATGAACAAGAAACTTCAATACCCTTGCCTCGCAAAGCGATATTTCTCAACTCCAAATAGTAACAATGATAAACCGGCAACAGCAACCACAACAACAGCAGGCTTGAGCGACGTTCTTGTTGCTGCTGCCACTGCTGGATCCTCAGATACTGGTACTTCTGAGGAATCATCCGAAGAAACAGCAACTACTTCTACTACAACTACTGCTGCTGCTACTGCTGGATCAACCACCAATTCCGTTGTTGCTGTCCCCTCCTCTACTACTCAAACCATGATGGACGTTAATTCTGATCATCAAAGTGATTACTCTTCTGATGATGGCACTGTAAAGGCTTCTCGTGAATCAAGTCCAGCATGGAGAGTAGTTCCCGTACAACCTACCTCCTCCCATCCACTTCCTTTGGTTCATCGTGTTGATATCCAATGGAAGACTAGATTAGATCCATTTACTACCTACTTAGACACCTCTCTTTATAGCCCAATTATTTATCAATTTGAGCATGAATTGGAACTTGAAAATCATCAACATGCTATTATTGTTGTTAGACCATCCGTTGTTTATGATGACAATCAAGAAGTTCAAGTATTGAATAAGAACGGTCAAGTCGTCTTGAAAGGAGATTTAGAAATTGCAATGACTGCTCAAAAGAGAAATGCTGAAACAACTATTTTCAAGGGACACTCCAAGATTCAATTCACTGACTCATCTTACCATCACGATAGAAAGGCTTTCAGATTGGTTTGGAAGTATTACACTGTTCAAGATACTGAAAAATTAATTTATTCGACTATTTCCACACCATTCAGAGTTTTTGCAAGAAAGCCAACCAAGAAGGAAAAGAATGAAGCAACTACATCATCTTCTGCTTCACCAAACTCTTCTGTTGTTGCCACTTCTCCAACCCAACACAATAGAAAGAAGAGAAAGGAGATTGAACCTGTTCAAGTACCAACTCCAGTTCCAACTTTGGTTGAGCCTTTGGAATCATCTACCAAGAAGGTTAAGCGTGATGCTATTCAAGGAGATGATGATGACATCAGTGCTTTGAATATTCGTGCTGTTCCCACTATTGTAAATAGTGTTGCTACTGCTGTTGTTTCTCATCTCATTTCTCAAAAAGAGAATCCAAATCAAGATCTCGTTTTGGAACTCTTCAAGACCCTCAAAGATATCAACAACAGATTGGAAAGACTTGAGAAGTTGTCAAATCCTCAAAACCCCACCCCCTCTTCTAACCATGCTGACATGATGGAAACATCATCAACTGCTTCTGTTGCCAACCACCATCATGTTCATCGTTCAAATTTGCAACATGTTTAATGATGGAATTTTGAGAGGCAACAACCTAATGCCTATATATATTGTTATATATATTTGTATCCTTATTGTTTTTTAGATATATCAATAAAAAGATATTCAAAAACTCGCCAAAGCCTCTTGTTCTTTTTGCTCCCTGAACCAATTAAAGGACCTTATGTAAATTGTTGTTTCTATGTCGTTTTGTCCTAACGCAGGTGGTCAAGAAGCAGCCCCTTCAAACAAAAGTATAACTCACTTTCCGTAATTCAACCTTTATTGCTTACATGTAAAGGTACAAGAAAAGGAAACATCTCATGAAAAACACTAGTACGGTTATAAATTGCAAACAGGTCAACCACACAAAAGCAAAATATCTAAGGCCCTTCTCTGTTACAAACATAGGCATTGACTTGAACAAAAATTTTTCGAATGGAATAACGAACAAGATCGAGGTGTAAACGAACAGATATTGCATCACATAAGCCCCCATAAAAAGCTTAAGGAAAATCAAGCTCAGTAATATAACAACGAAGGATATTATGGAGTACTTCTTCATGACTGAAATCTGAGAAATCCAAAATTGCAAAATCATTATTACTAAACCAATAACCAATTGAAATATATAATAAAATCCAAAGGATTGACTCAAAGGTGCAAAATAGGCAATGCATGCGAAAGTGGAGAAAATAATGAGAAAGTTCAAAGATTGCCACTCAAACACAGTTAATCTGTTCTGAAGAGATGAGTAGGATTGTTCATGATGAGAAGAGGAAACGAAATTTGAGTGATTGACACTACCATGAGAGTCGTCGGTGTCATCATCTTCGTTGCGCTTTGTGAATATTTTGGCTAATAGAGGAATAATCTTGGTGAGTGTCAGATAATTTTTCACAAGAGCGTCTTTACCTCCAAAAAAGAAAGCGTTGAATGTATGAAAAAGAGTGCATGCAGAGTGTGTCAATAAAGACATCCAAAATAGCACCTTGAATGAATCTTCTCTGTTCAAATTCATTGCTCGCAATGCATATTGAGATGTAAAAATTAAATAGGTCAAAAATGTTGAAATAATATAATGCAGAATGGACAATGTCAAATGTAAATCTGTTTCCCATTTGACAGATTGCTTAATATCTGTACCAAAAAATGGTTTCCATATGTAGCTGGAAACTCTATCACAAAATACCAAAAATCTATAAGAACTATATACAAATAACGTGTCCATGCTACCAAGAATCATGGCTCTAGATGAAAATCTGATATCTTCTTTGAAATAATCTTCCATAATTGATAATACAATTTTGATGTCAATGACGTTAGGTTTAGTGATGAAAATGGCATTTTGGTCAATAAATTGATTCATTCGTTCCATCATGTTAAATATCAGCAATGTTACTGAATATTGAACTAGTAACACGAATAAAGATAATAATATCAAATTTCTATAAAACAAGCACATAATAAATGGTAGGATGCTAATTAAAAATCCAAAGGTGACTACAATGACTCTGTTATTTCTAGCACAACATGATTTTAATTGTGCAAATTTTGATTTTGTGTTCTGTTGTTCATTTGACGCGGTGAATTTATGAGCTCTTTCATTCTTTGGATGAGAGGATGATGAAATTTTCGTTTCATCGTTCGAGGATAACATCATTGGGTTTGTATGACGTTGATGATGATGGGATTGATCATTTTCGTTTCGGAGGTGTGGAAGGGATGAAGAAGAATTGGCTATATTTTTAGTTGTTAATAACGGAGGAGGTGATGATGATGATCCCGTTGATTCAATATCCTCGCTGGTTATGGAGCCACCTGTTGCAGGAGAAGAGTGGTGCTGTTGAACCATTTTTTAGTGTTGGAAATATATATAAAAAGGTCTTCCTGTATCTAACAGCCTTCAACATTACTACCTATAATTGTTGGTTGAAATTGTCTTCTATATTCTTCATTGTCTCTTGGTATATAAGCAATACTCTTCGGAACATAAAAATCTTTTCATTTCAAAAAATGTCGGCCATTTCTTCATCGACCTCTGCCAATGCTGCTTCTCTCACTTCTCAAATGCGAGCCATATGTATTCTTGAAAAAGACACTAATTTAGATACTTTGAATGTATGGTCGTTCCCAATCCTATCCGATGATCAAAAAACAATAATAATGAACCGATCTCCGTTGAATTCCAACAGCACTGTATTATCGAAACAATATTCTGATTTATCATTGGATAATAGTCTCTTTGTTTGTTCTAAATTTGATGACTGTTATGTCTATTCATTGAGTAGAAAGGTGAAATTGATAAATAGTAATGTGACCGATGTCAATTTAGTGATTCTTTCTACTGAGTATTGGATGAAAAAGTATGAGAAATATTTAGAAGTGATGATGAATGGTAGGTAGGACTGAATCGTGATGAAATATACTCATCATGGTGATTTTCACATTTATTCCGAATTCCAATTTTATTCCGGCACAGTATTGATTGAAAATCAACTATCTCCATTACCATTGTTGGAAGTCTATCTCAGGTTGTTCAGTAAGGGAACTTATAAGGATCAAATCACTGCTGACTTATTTTCTGATCCGAGAGCTGCTAAGGTTGGAAATCTATCCATGTTGATTAAGTCATTCGGAGAAGAGAGTGTTCGTATTTGGTCGGCACTCATGTTAAAAAAACGTATTGTGATTTACCATGATAATATTTTTGAACTATTAGAAGTAATGTCTGCGATTCCATCTCTTGTATTGCATAGACAGCAAGCAGATTTTATTAGACCATTGATTAATTTTGATAGTCCAATCGAGACTAAAGATTTAACTGTAAGTGATGTGTGAAATTTTGTGAAATTCTTCAACCTCTTTTGTAAATTAGCAATCCAATTTCTATTGTGCAGGAACACTTGATAGAAATATGAGAAATAATTCCAAGTTTTATGACTTGTTTGTAGATGCAACTACAAAGAGAACAAGCGTTAACGAGTCTCAAATAGATGAGTTTAAACTTACTAAAATTCATAAGGATTTACTTAAAGTTGTTACAGGTGAGGAAATTGCTTCAATGGAAAATACTCACGTCATTAAACAAGTGAGTCAAAAGACAAAGGAGTTGTTACAAAAGTTATTAACTGTCAAAGAGCAAAATGATAATCAATTAACTTTGGACATTATTAAGGGATTACAATTACAGCCTGATTTAGAAAAATTTTTGTATGGAGTTGCTGTGTCAGAATGCATGATTACCTCACTCTGAAATAAATAACTGGGATCCCAAACAATTTTTCGCAAATGAACAAAGTCATTACTCCAACGGTGATGGTCACAAGAACCAAACCAATCTTAATTCCAATGAGTATCACATACAATTTAAACAAGAGTTCATCTACAACTGCAGAGATTAATCTTGAAAGAATAGGAATCGAATTAAGGAATCTAATCACTGCAAGCACAACGGGAGTGTATCGTGTGACAAAAGTTTTGCATTTTGCAATGAATGCTTGGTAAGATTCTTTCTTCTCTTTGAGCTTTGTTTTCACATTCCGTATTTTTCCTTTAACATTTTCCATCTTGTCTCTCAGCGATTTGGTAGCCTTTGCTATTTTCTCTTTTACAGTTCGGATCGTATTGCCCTGTGTCTCTGTATCTTCATGGTTGGTTGAACCAAGAATCCAATGTGCGGAATTGGAGAGAAGGTTATCACCTTTCCTGGCGTTATCTACTTCCGTTTGAAATTGTTGTTTGTCTTTTGCTTGTTTGGATTCAGAAGGATTACGAGATGCATGTGCTGTATCACTTCCGAAGTGATTTCTTGTCGCTTGTGACGCAATCAAACCTGTTACAATAACAATGATGAAAAGAAGCACACGAGCAGTCAGATACATGAAAGAGATTCTACGCATTATTTTTGATAATTGACTTCCGCAAAAAGTGATTTTTCAAAAAAGTACAAGTACCGATGGATAAAGTGTTCTTGAGATCGAATTTCTTGGCTTCAATGTTTCTATGTGTCAGAATCTCATGAGAGATGATTGAAAACAAACGAGTTTCGATTCTTCAGAAACTGACTTTCTAGAACTGGTATACATGAAATTGACCTCTCTGTATCTGCTTTGTCCGTTGTTGCGTGTGAAGTTGTCGAAAATGAATTTAACAGCTCATTATAATGCACTTGCTTTTCACAACACAAAAAATCCAACACTCGAGAATGATGACCTTCTCTTATGCTTTTTCAGCTCTCCTTCTTGTCCCACTGTTTGTGCTGTTTTCCTCGTCCACACATGCTCAAATCGTTCCTTCCATACAATTCAACCAAGCAATAGACTCTGCAATGGCAGAACTGCAAAGTGAATCGTCCTTTACTTCCTTTGTTCAACAGGCTTTGCCCTATTACTCGGTGCCCTATTGTGGTACGAAACCCAATTATCCTACTTTTTCTCCAATACCTTCAAATGTCAAGTCTCTCATTTGTTGTGGACCCTATAAACCAACGGAGGACAATTGGAGTAGTGTCTATCGAAAAGTTTCCAATGGGCTTGCTGACAAGTTGAACAGCAAGTTTGGACTCCAATTGAGTGCTGTTTACAAACCCATCAACACCACTGAGTTTGGATATTTTGAAAGTTTAAGGAGAGCAGTGAATACAGGTGCATGTGATGTTGTAGTTTCCGATACAACACACACCAAAGAAAGGGCTGCTGTGGTAAATTTTGCCACATGTGCCTATGGTTCTTCTTCATCAGGCTTTTTAAGAACATCTTTAGACTCTAATGGAACCTATATTGATGAATTATCAAAATTGAATTCTCCTAATTATATTGTGGCTTTCTACGCAAGTACTGTTTATGAAATTGCTGCAAATACTTCCCTTCCACTTGCTCAGAAAATTCGAGTGACATCTCTCGATACTGATCCTTATAATCTTGTTCTTCAAAATAAGATTCATGCTTTGATTTCCGATGCTGCTGATTTGAATGCATGGAAGGCTGCCAATAGCGATAAATGTAGCAATTGTTACGTGAAAGCCTTTGGTGAGTTAGCTCCCTTTGGAATTTTTACAGCACAAACCACGAGAAGCTCGAGTATTGGTTTTATTTTGCATAGAATCGGAATGAGTCAATTGATGATGATCGCAGTGCTCAGCATGACGGTCTTAATTTCTGTATTTCATATTATTTAGTTCATCTTTTAATGAATTAATACAAGCAACAACATCTGGCTGCAAGGCTAAATAAAAAAGCATTTGTATGTACAAAAACGATTTTTTCTCAACAAAACAATGATTGCGAGGCTCTCTGTTGCATCAACCCAGCAGAAGGACTCCCCAAAATCTCCCTTCGACTAATTTTGCAACAGGTGTGGACGCAGCTTCTCACTCGTTTCATGCTCCACATACTGTATACGTTTATGTTGTAGAGCACCATAATGTTTTAGGCACTCCAAAACAAAGTTCCAACTTGTCATTCATGTCACCTCATAGAACAGGTATTGCTTCTCCACCTCTGCACCATCAACCAACAACACTTCTGACCTTGTTCCGAGAGTGAATGACGAGAACGTGGATCCTTCAAGAGATCGACATGTCATTGATAAGCAAGCTAGTGTTCTAGGTCTTCCACAGAGAGTCTCAACTGGCTACAAAGAAAACTCCCCAGGCCAAAGTAAATCTCGTCCCTCAATAATTCAAAAACAAAACAAAACTTCTTCACTAGCTCCCAACACTCCAGTAAATCCAAGACGTCGCCAGTTGACCTCAATCTAGTAGAGGATTAACAAATAATTATAATAATAATCATTAATGTTTTGGGTACTCCAACACCTCCTCCCAAATTAATGGCATTGTTCAATAAATCAATTCAAAATTTCATCATCATGATGGTTATTCTCCTAAAGTCATACTATAAATCAAGTAAAATTAATTTTACGCTGTTGCTGTTAGCACCGAGATCATTAATATCATCATCATTACAGTCATAACTGACAGGTTCGTTCATCAGGTCTTATTTTTTTTGTAAACGTGTGGGATCATAGCTTTCTCAAGAGATGAACGAAATATGCTTAAATAGTTCACAGCAACAGGAACGAAAAGATATCTGTTGATCATGTAGTTGATGAAACTGCTTGAAATAACACTCGCTAAAAGAAGATACAAAATCACAGAACAAAAATTGACCAACAAGTAGCCAAAACAGAGCTTCACTATTAAAGGAACTCTCTGGTGTGCCACATTCACTAAACGCACAAATCACACTAATTATGACATGTGAATATTATTTAAATATGATGACTTAACATTCGAGCAAACCTTTCAGTACCAAGCCTTAAGTATTTTTGCCAAACCTTCTAAACGTAGGGCTTCCTAATCAACTAGGAAGTTAGAATCATCTAGCATAACAAAGAAGTATTCAATTCCAATCATTTTCTTTGCAGGTTTGTTTTGAATCACTTTTACAAATCCGCCTGGATGAAATGTCATTTGACATCATAAAAAATATTTTTTTGGCGCTTTTATTTACGGTTTTATTTACGGTTTTAAGGAAACCTTAAAAAAATGGCAACTGGTTCCACACAAACTGTTTCAACCAAAACTCCTTTCGGAGAGCTCATTCAGAAAACCCTTCAAGAGCGCGAGAGGAATATAGTATGCTTAGCCTTAGAAGAAAAGGTGTCCTTGATGGATATCATGGACAATGAGAAAACCAAAGGAAAAAGATTGTTAATGGAAGTGGACTCAATACAAGAGTTGGAAAAAAGAAAACTTCTAAAACGCGGTTTAGATCCTTCACCTGAGGTGGTAGATATTAAGACCACGGCTATGGAAATGAGCATTGTCTCGGAACTCCCCTTTGTTAAAGATCCTTTTCTTGGGGCCCTTGAAGGACAAGCTAATGAATGCTACACGTCCTCTGTGGATATGTTAAAGAATAAGTTTGAGCAACTTGAAAAACAATGTAACGAAACAGCCAAACAACACAAGGAAGAGATGAACAGAGTGGAACAGGAATTAGAAAATGTTAAAGCACAACACAAGGAAGAGATGAACATGCTAGTGCACAAAGTGAATGAAAGATCTATGCATCAGCAAGAAATCGAGAAAATTAAGAAACGAATATCATCTCTTGAAGGATGGTTTGGCTGCTGTTTTTTGAGGGGAGAGGAAGTTAAAGTTTTCGAAGAACATGGGGATGTAATTTCAGCATTGCTAAATAACGACGATGACAAAGCTCATATGCTTGTTTCAACAAAAGAGGCAGCGATAAAACTGTCCCAAGTGTTCAATCTTGCGGTACCAGTGGACATGTGTGCGCATGCTTTTAAATCAAAGATTTTTGAATTACTTAAACAGCGATTGGAGCCACTTCGCAAGTTTTTATTCAAAGAAAAATTGTTTTGAAATAATAATAAATATATGGCTATTCTTCTACTTCAGCTTTATTTCACATCAGGTTTGACATTCCAAATGTAGGGAGAACCCTACAAGGGGAATATTCGATGCCGAGGCTAAAGCTTGCCTACCCTACACACACATGAGTGTGCGAGGGATGTGGTTCTTGTACACACCCATGGGTGTGGTCATTATTCACTCAACATTCTCAACATGGACACGTCGAGTGTTTCCATGTCGTCACTCTGTGACCGGTTCATCTCCATGGAATCGTGTCGTTGGTGTTTCTTTGGTGACTTCTTCTGTGGCTTCTTGTGTGACTCCTTCTGTGGCTCTTCCTCTTCGTACAATTGGTGTTGATTCATGAGGAAGATGTTCTTACTGCCATTCGATCACCCTCACCATTACGACGAACAGAAAAATGATGCCATAATTTATAATCGTGATAATAGTTTTGTTGAGATACTGTTTCTTCAATGCTGTGTGCTATTATTAGAGTTGATTGTCTGTGATAGTTTTGTAATTGTCCAAATTAGTGTAATTTAGAGCCACCCAAACTGCTCCCTCTGATTGTCCCTCAAAGAAGGATGTCATTCGAGGTTCTCTCTACACTGCAAGTTGTTGAAAAGAAAGCAAACGACACTGTGAAATATTATATCTTCGACACAGTTGATTTTAAAGGATATTATTTAGTAATGTTCAACGATCGATTTTTTCTCAACAAAAAAATGATTGCGAACGCCTTGGCTAATTTTGCCAATTACAAATTCTATGTCGGATTTGTGTTTTCGCTAGTGTAGGTGTTTTGGAAAGGAGGAATTGGAGTCATCAATTATTTATTTTAAATTTGGAACTGATGCTTTAAATTGTATTTTTAAATGTCGCTGAAATATTTGCTTTTATTATTCCGATTTTATAATCAGAGGAAGCGTGTTTTATTTTCTAGGATTGGCAATTTTAAAATATGCTCACATGAAAAATAGTGAGCAGGTGATGGAATATAGAACACATTATTTAAAGGATACAAGATGGTGGACATTATTTACTATGTTTATATTTGGGTATGTCTTCATCATTGAAAATAATCAACATTAATCGTTGCAATAGGTGGATTTGTGAAATGATTTCGTTTGCATTTGTCGAGTTGACATTGGTCGTTTCTGTGTTATCTTTCGGAGTATTCATTGGAGTCTTTTATACGGCTTGGTATATTGCAGAAAAGATAACAAGAAGAGATCAATTAGGAGTTGTAATTACCTCTATAGGAATTATTATTTCTATTATATTCTCTGACAAGGTGGTATGTAATTTGCATTTTAGGGAATTTATTGGATCAATTATCATTATGGAATTAGTACCAACCATTACATCCAATTACCATTTCCTTTATTTCTTCACAAATAATCGATTTTAACATTCCTATCCTCTTTGTTATTTTCCTAGTTGTCTTACCATTTATTTTCATTTTGTTGAGTATTTTCAGACCTTTCAAGAATGTTTTTTTCAGCGCTTCTATTTCATCATCGTACGTTTTTAACATCAAAGTTTATTGGATGACCTCAAATCAGTTTTGCTGCTTCTAATTTTATTCTTTTTAAATTATTTATTGAGCTTGTGAAAACATCTGCTGAAACAAATGAAAATCAATTCATGCACTGGGGAACTTATGTAATTTTGGGATTATCCATACTCTACACAATATTGCACACCCATTTCACTCAAGTAACTCTTGTATCCTATGAATTTAGTACGTACATTGTCACATTTTGTGAAATTTAACTTGCTTCTCAACCTTATTTTTGTAGCTGTCTCAAACGTGTTATATTATATAATCATGTCCTTCTTAACTGTTTGTGGTGGTGAACTAATTTTCAGAGAATGGTCTGACACCTCCGTGTTACAGCTTGTATTATTATTCTTGGGATGGTTTTTACAATTTATTGGAGTACTTTTACTACTTGGATCTCATACCAATGCTAATTCAATGTATCCACTGACTCAGCTCAATGATCCAAGAGGTGGTCACTTGGTAAGAGTCTCTGACGTGGATTTAGACTTTGACTCGGATTCAGACAATGAAAAATCACATACTTCCCATCACAATGAAGAGAGACAATTGAATTTAATGGAATCAGACAAATCAGCAAGTTCCAAATTTGATCTTAACAGACAAGAACACATCCAAGACTCGTCCATATAATTAACATGTAAATATTTATGCGTAACATCTTTGCGAAATTAAGAGTGACACACAAGGGGCGAGACACAACCAACAAACTTTCTTGCTGGCTAGATATAAAATACTGTGTGTCACTTTAATTTTGTAAAGACACGTTATTGGTTGATTATTGTTTGAATAATCCCAAAAAATGTCCCAACAACATGCAGTGGTCATTGATCTCGATTTTACACCCAATCTCATCACACCGTTTCATTCGTTGCTTGTAAATAAATTGAGAGCACCTCTCCGAGTCGGATTTTCAAACAAATTCGAGCATTGTGGATATATTCCTGCAGCTAATAGACATCGTCCTGGTTGTCCCGACGTGAAAATTTCATACCATTCAAATTGTATTATTGTTTTAGAATATTATTCCAATCGCATTCAATTTTATGATTTAAATTCAAAACGATTATTGACTTTTATTAAAGCCAAACAACCACGATGTTTATGTGTTGAAGAGAATTACGACAAACAGAAAAATGATGCCATTATTTATAATCGTGATTGTCATACCAAAGTGAGTATCCTATTGAATCTTTCTGAATGTGTTAATTTTCATAAACCATAGTTGTACAAGTATGATATAAAAGAATTGATTAAACAAGGACTAAACTCTAGTGACGACTGCAATCCTCTATGGGTTCAAGATTTATCAACTTCTTCCATGAATGGAATTGCAGTGAGCCGAACATCTCATGGCCCATGCTGCGAAAAATTTATTTATTGTTGTGCTAGTAGTAGTGGCTGTGTGATCATACTAAATGCAAATAATGGTCAACAAGTAGGACAAATATCCACCATTCCAATTCCATATGGCATTGATGTCACAGAGAAGGGAGATTTAATTATTTCAAGTTTGGGTGGACAAATTCAATTATTTACTGAACCTTTATTTCAACCACATTCTTTTCGTAATTCTAAAATCATCCTTTCAGAAGGTATTTTACATTCTCCAAGAGGAATATGTTATGATCCAGTTGCAAAGCACATCATTATATGTGATACTTTGAATTATTTAGTGGTAGTGATGGATTTAGAAGGAAAAATATTGAAATCATTTGCTGATCGTACGACATTGAGCTATCCCTATGGAGTTTGTGTCAATTCATTGAATGGAAAAGTTTACGTTTCAAATTGGTCATTAGAAGGAGTTCAAATATTCAAATAGTAGATGATGAGAATTTTACAATGATCAATATTCGACCAATGCCCCTCAACCAGTAAACACAATTTCAATGTGAGTACATCATTCTCCTCATACAACTCGTAACTTTGAAGAAGCACAACACTTCATAGATTCACTAGTTTACATGCTTAAGAAACTACGAGGTTTTAAATAGAATATGAATAGATGTACTTGCTGACATTACATGGTGAAGCTAAAATGCTTTTGAACAAGACGATGAAGAAATTTATTCAACATCCTCATCTTCTTTTGGTGACCCATTATACTCTGTAAGGTTGAGAATTTCTGTTCCTACCTTTTCAGTAAAGTATCGATCATGAGTGGCTGCAATGATAATTCCAGGAAAATTCATTAATGCTTCTTCGATTACTTCCAAACTTGGGAAATCAATGTGGTTTGTAGGTTCATCTAAGAGAAGAATGGGGCACTTTCTCATCACAATTTGACACAGTTGAACCTTTCTTCGACATCCAATACTCAATGTGCTCATTGGACTATTCAAATCTTGCCATGAGTACACACCATAGTTACACAAATTGGTTATAGCTTGTTGCTTTTGGGCATTGATCAAGGGATCTTCCATCAGCAACTCTACTGCAGTTTTATCCAAAGGTAAACCTTCTTGCTCTTGATCCAGATAACCAATCCTAGTAGAGTTGCTGATTTGCATTGTACCCTCATCTGGTGTTATCATGTCCATAATGATTTTGAATAGAGTGGTTTTACCGGAACCATTTGGACCTTGCACAATTAGTCGATCGCCACTCACTAAGGTGAAGGACAAGTCACGGAACAACAATTTCTGCTCAAAAGATTTGGCAAGGTTAGACACTTCAATATAGAGATGGGATGAAACAAAGTCATCATTAAATTCAAATGAAATTTTGTTTCTTTCTGGAACAATTTCAACCATATTCTCAGTAATGTGTTCTTGTTTCCTTGTGAATCGATTGAAAGCTTTGGAAGTTCCTTTTTGCACTCGTTGTTCTTGATTGTTGTGGCTCAATTTGTCTCGATCCCAACTTTCTCTAATTTTCTTTTCTTTCATCTTGGATTTGAGTTGAGTGGCCTTTTGTTTGAGTATTTTCAATTCCCGATCTTGATGCTCTCGTTCTTGGATCGATCGTTGGCGTTTCTTTTCCTCCTGTTTCAGATAATGATCATACCCTCCCTTAAAATGTACAAACTTTTTGGTGTGGGGAGAAATCTCGGAAATTCGATTCGACACGGCATTAATAAGACTTCGGTCATGAGTGACCATGACCACAGCTCCGCAATATTCTTTTAAAAAGCTTTGCAACCACTCAATACCCGTTCGATCCAAATGATTCGTTGGCTCATCCAATAGTAAAATATCAGTTTCAATAATACTCAATGCGCACAACATGGTTTTTGTCTTTTCTCCTCCACTCAACTGACTGAATGGTTCCTCCAATAAATTGTTGGACAAACCCATCAAATGTGCTTGTCTAAATATCTCATACCCTCCAAGAGAATTCAATTCCTTATACCACTCCGGAGAGAGCATTTCACAATTTGTTTGTGCAAGGAATTGATTGATCCGAGAATCATTCAAAAATCGAAGAATGGTAATAATTGCAGGTTCCTCACTCATGATTTCTTCAAAATGTTGTGGCAAATAACCAATTCTTCCCTCTATTATTACAGATCCCGAATAGGAATAATCAGCAGTGCCACTCAACAACCGTAAAAACGTTGTCTTTCCACTTCCATTCTCACCCACAAGTGTTACCTTATCTCCGACTGAGAGCGAGAAATCTAAATCCTCAAAGATGCACTTTTTTTCGAAATGCAACGAGAGGTTACCGATTGAAATACCAATACTTGGTGGTTTCATGTTTTGGTTAGTCTTGTTAGAAGTTTTAGTTTTTTTTGATTCTGACAATGATCAGAGTTGTTGGGTACTGTTTGGAAATTGAAGAAAATGCTGTGTGCTATTATTAGAGTTGATTATCTGTGATAATTAGTTTGTAATTGTCCAAATTAGTGTAATTTAGAGCCACCCAACAAGTATGGACCTGTGTGATGACAGAGAGTAATAGACTATCTTTGACCCCATTTGTATTGCGCTTTACTTCATTATTCAAGTAATTCAAACATTGCCAACATCCGTACAGCCATAAGATGTTCTGAGGCGTAAGTTACAGAAAGGATTAGAGTTCTCCAGCAACAAGCATTGTTCTCTTTTCTTCTTTATACCACCAAACTCTTCTATTAAAAAAAGGGACTTCAGCTTGTTAATGTCGTCTGCTCAAATAGCCCAAATTGAACATGAAGATACCAATGGTTTTTCATGTTTCAGTTACCATGACCACCTTTTATGATCCATTGAATGCAATAATAGAATGATGCTTGAAATATCTTCAGATATAAGAGCGATAAAGTTGACTCGTGAAACTTGCAGGCACCAATCAAATTAACGCCCATTTTGAACGAACGGGCCTCTAATTAATTCTAAAACGGGTGGTTCGTCCCATCCGAGACACCAATCAACAACTTGAAAAAAAAGAAAACCTTGACATTCCATGATTCCCATGACGTTGGCCAATTGCAACCATCATGATGAAGAGACATTGGCTGGAAATAACACGAGTCAACATGCAAAATTACGTACGACCCATCTCAAGTTGTTGAACACCTACCAAAATTCATCCTCTTCAGCAACTGGTAAAACACAACAAGAAAACACTTCTTCCAACAGTCCCTTGTCTCCATTACTTTCCACTGGGGTCAATGCAGAAAAAGCATTGAAAATATCGACAAAAAGAACCATGCCATCCACGTCCACATCATCCATTGTTATGTTTTCCTATGAATGGGTCATGTCCGATCCAACTGCACTTGCATTGTTTGAGAATTATTTGAGAGAACATCAAAATATCGAGTCGTTGCAATGTGTGTTGCAATTAAGGACTTTACAAAGTGACATTCAGAAATTGCTAAAAAGAATTCGAAGAGGTCAAGTGAAATTGCATGATTTTGTGGATGATTCTACCTCCTATTCGTTTCTTAACTTTCATGGTACTAAGGAACAACAACACGCAAGTCCTGATTCTAAAAAGAAACATTCCAACATCAAATTGCTTTTTCAAAGCACGACTTCTGATGAAGAATCAACTTTTACAGGGTCACGTGATTCATTCAATGGAGTTTCTCGAAAACCATGCATTGGAATGTTGAAGATTATATTGACACAAGCACAGGACCTCTCACTAACTTTTTTAAGTGTCAATTCACCCAAAGAATTGAACTTGCCACAACAAGAACGATACAAAATTTGCAAAGCCGTTACGAGTTTTTGGAGACGATTCGCCAAACGATGTGGACTCGATGAGAATGCTCTTAATGTGTTGAACTCAGGTTTTCCAATACCACACTCTCCTCCTTTACATGGAAAAGGAGTTTCACCTCGACCCCTATCTACATGCTCCACGAACAGTTCAACGAGTGAAGAAAGTATGAGCTTTGCAGGCCAAATGGAAGAGCCCATAGAGGAGTTTCCAAACCATTTACAATCTTTTGAAGAGGAATTACAAACCCTCGAGTCCTTTCTTCATGTTCAAATCAAAAGTGAAAGTTTTAGAGATTTTTCTCAGTCCGAACAATTATTTACAGTGGTTCAACAAATCAAACCCACAAAGGAGCAATTGAAAGAATTGAAGAGAAATTATCGGCAAAGCATTTCAGCAAGTCGAATTCAAGAATATATCGAAGATTTAGTCGTGAAAGAAGATGGGAAGCCATGCACTCTACGAGAGGTTAACAAATTGCTGAGCTGGACTGTTGAAGATGTTGTGCACTGGTTGCAACAATCATGTCTCAATGAATTAGAACCATTAATAAGAAGAAAGAACATAGATGGAGAAAAGCTTGTTCGACTCGAAGATGATTTGTCCCTGATCAATATTCAAGATTTGGAATTAAGAAAACGCTTTGAATATGAAGTGGATGAGCTATTGGTGAGTCATGGATTTGATCCATTGCCTGAAACGGATTATCTTGAAATTGTATCTAGAAGAAAAAGTGTTGAGTGTGAACATGTCCAAAAGAATTATATAGATCTTTCCACGGACACATTCCTCATCAAATGTGTCTTGAAGAACACGGACAAATGCAAAGAGTTACAATTTCATTACAACCAATTAGTCAACTACTTTTCAATGATTAGAGCTATCAAGGAATCGTTTCAAATAAGTGGTGAGCAACATGTTGACATTTCATTTGAGAGTGCTGAGAACAGCGTCAATCTTTCGCCGAGTAACATCTTGAACGTATTCAAAAAGGATTTACTGGCTTCAGTTAGAGATCTTGTTTCTCATCAAAGTTCTATATCGAATGACGTAAATCAGTTTCAGCCATCTCCAAGAAATCTACGTGAAAAAAAGATTGTCATAAATGTTCCTTGATAGAGTTTATAGCAAGGTACAACAACCTGTCTTCTTTTCTAAGCTCACCACTTCATGATAGTGATCATCTTCCTTTGGGTTTTTGAAGTGATCTGTTTCATAATCTTCAATTTCTCCATAAAAACTTTTTGACTTTCTGTTGTTGGATTTAACGTTGTCCGAAAGAATTACGCTTCCTCTATTTTGAGGCCTGACATGAATATCTTGTTTGAAAACAATTTGAATAGGTACATTAATGTCTACCAAATTGTCAAGAGAAAATCGTAATATGAATTCTGTTCTAATTAATGTTCCATTCGTTGTTTGAGGATATAAAAAATAATTTGGCAGGGTAGGGCTGAGTACAAATGTAATATTTCTCATGTCTTTACATCTAGCCAATACTCCAGTATAATTCTTTTTGCAGATTTCCATCATTATTCTGTCAGGTGTACCACCTATATTATTTGGAGTTTTCAAGTAGAGTACTTGGAATAATTTAACATCAATATTTGAGACGCTCATTTGTCCTTCGTTCACAATTTCTGAATAAAATCTACATGCCTCTTTCCTACAGAAAATATCTTTTTGACTTGATATTTTCCATAATAACCCACAGGATTGATTAATTCTACTTGCAAATAAATTTTTTGCTATTTTGTCTCCAACTTTTTCAAACACCTCAAATTGTTGATGAATAGTCACAAATTGTGACTCTTTTTCCCTATTAATTAGTAGCTCCACAACGCATGAAGCGAAGTATGAGATTCTGGCCTTAATCTGCTTTCCAAGATGAGTTGTCTCTTCAAAGAAAGATCCAGGTAAACCGTTAGGAAGCCGTTCCGAGAAGGAATAAACATAAGAACCTTTTGGAAGGTTGCCATCTCCTGCAATTGAAATTTCCTGCTGCAAAGCCTTGTTTTCCTCCGTTTTCCATACCAACTTTCTATTCTCTTCCACCTGATATTCCAATTTCTCTAAACCTTGTAGAAATAGCGTAATATCTTTAACACGAATTTTTGCTTTGCACGTTGGTTTAATCTCAACAAGGATATCTCCTTCAATATTATCGCTAAACCACTCACGGTTGAGCTTGATCTTGACATCGATCATCTCTTGTAATCGGTCTTCGGAATATTCACACATGTTTTGTCAATTTTAATATTACTATTATTTGAAAAATAAGAATTATGTAGAGGATGATGGTTGCAGAACGTTAGAGATTGTGTACAGAGAAGGCCTCTGATCTTCGCGTTTTTATATTTTTTGATGAAAGAAAGTGGACGGCTATTTGATTTTTGCTGAAGATTTTTAGACTCTTTGGCGGAAGCTTGAAATAGAGCCTTTTAATAACAAAAATTACGGATCCATCTTATTGATGATGAGGGTTTTCGTTTGATCACACAAGGAGGAGTGCTGCTGCATGTGTTTGCAACAAATTTATTCATAGATCCACTTGTTTGGAGTTGGAGTCCATTCGTTCAATTCACTGTCTTGGAACCATAAAGCAATTTCACGTTGGGCTGTTTCAACAGCATCACTTCCGTGAATAATGTTTCTACCAACATCAATAGCAAAATCGCCTCTGATAGTACCTGGAGCACTTTCCAATGGCTTAGTAGCACCAATCATCTTTCTGGCAGCAGCAACGACTCCCTTTCCTTCCCAAACCATAGCAGCAACTGGACCACTGGTCAAGAACTCAACCAAACCATTGAAGAATGGCTTGCCATCATGTTCAGCGTAGTGCTGTTATTGTGTGCGGAAGCAATGAATAATGGAAGGATAACAAATAATAATTACAACGAGAGAAGTCATCGTGTGAGCATGAATAATTAATGATTGTTCTCATGACAATCGTTATAACTTACCTTCTTGGCCAAATCAGCAGATGGAGTAATAAGCTTCAAAGCGACCAACTTGAATCCCTTTTGTTCAAATCTAGCAATGATGGTACCAACCAATCCACGTTGGACAGCATCAGGCTTCAAAGCAATGAAAGCTGTGGTCAATATTATTCAAACGATGAATTTCAAGACAGAACACAGCGAAATTCAATACTCACTTCTTTCGTTGGACATTTGTATTGATGAATGAGAAATATTTTTTTCGAGACGATCCTTTGTAATGACCGTCGCACGAAATTGAGTGGCTACCTTGCGTTGGAAACACCATTAATATTTCCTCCATTTCAAATCGATCACATACATAGAATTTTACAAACCAATTTTTCTTCAGAGCTTCATGGGAAGCTTGCTCTTATTGCCATTAACAAAGTCTTTGCTGTTCATTTCCGTCTTTTTCTCTATTTGTAAGATGTTGATTTTAAGCTTTCCTCCCTTGCATTGCAACCACAGAGAGTTTGTATTGTCAATAAATAAGGTTCCAATGTCGTGACTGGGCACAGCCTCATCCATAATTGGGTAGCTTATGTTTTTAAGAATTAATTTCGACTCATGACAACGATCATGGAATGGTACGTGTATCTTTTCGAGAGCTCTCCACTTGTTATATATTGCTAGAACATCTTCTTTCATGAAATCAAGTTCCCCCATGTCAAAATTAACTTTTCGTGCCCTTGTTGGCTTAATGGTATCTGTCATATCAGCTTGGTTCATTCGTTTCAACATGGAGAAATTAAAATTGCACTCTTCAATCATTTCAACTATCATTTCAGCTCCACTTTTTGAAAGTCTATCATGTAATTGAGTAAAGGTTTCTGTTGGTTCAATTGGAAATCGTTTTTGTTTTACAATATGGCCTACGTCAAATTCCTTGTCATCCAATTCAATAATTGTAATACCTGTCTCAGTATCTCCATTCAAAAGAGCATGATGTATTGGAGCTGGTCCCCGATATCTGGGCAATAAGCTGGGATGAATGTTGAATATATTAGAGTTTCTTCCATCTGGTGATTTGAATTGATTTAGTAGTCCTGATTGAAGAAAATAAGAGAAGCTGACCACAATTCCTAGATCGAATTTTGGAGTAAAATCATGGTTATTCTCTCCAAACAATAAAGGATCTTTGGGAATGTCTTGTAAATCCAATCTTTGAATTTTCTTTCGCTCTTCTGGAGTTTGATATTTCTCTATTGGATGAACAAACGGAACGTTATTCTCTTTACAAAACGTTTTTACCACACATTCAATATTTGTGATAGAATTTCTTCGGATTGCTTTACGATCAGGCGGGCATACCACATAAATATTTGCTAAATCATTTTTCACAAATTCCGAATGGACCAATTTGAGAGTATTTAATGAAAAATCGTCCGATCCAAAGAATAATATTCTTTTCTTATCATTGAGTGCATTTGAAATGCTGAATCCTCTGTGATTGTGGCTTAATGATGATTGAAAGAAGGATTGTTTCCCAAAAAAAATATTCTTTGCGAGCGATCGCTGGGATGACGAGAGACCATGTTGGAATACTTTCTTCATTTTTAATTTCGGGAGAAAGACCGAACATCATCTTGGTTTTTTGCCATCCTTATTAACTTCTAATTTTTGTTTGATTCTTCATGCTCAATTTTGTCTGTTCATCATCAACTGTTGGCAGAAAAACTAAAAATACCTTGTAACCGTCTGTCGTATTTAAAAAAGCTCAAACACAACATGCCACCTTCATCATTTGCACAACAAAAAAATGTCTTCAAACCCCATTGACAGTCTCTCTTCAATGTTAGGTGGAGACGTGATGAACAATCTTGGACCAGGCAGCGCCGGAGGAAATTCTCAAGGCTTTATTGGGTCCTTCTTGTTCTCTGCATCTTCTGTCTTGAACAATGACACATTGTTCTGGAGTGGAAATATGACTGACCAATATATCAAGAATCAAGTTCAATATTTAGTGGTGAATTATTTTCCTTCGTTTCTAGTCAACTCTGCCATTTTTCAATTCTTTATTTCCTCATTTTTCCTCTTCTTTTTAGGTAATCAAATTTTCTCTGCAGGTATTGCCTTGTTAATAGCTAGTTCTATTTGGAAAGTGATAGAGGACAAGCTTTATGGTATTTATTACTTTTTTAAAGACTTTTTCGTATGCTCTTTAGAAATTAAGGAGTTGGAAAATTATCGATTCAATACTATTTATTTGTGTCTCATTTCGTGGATGAGTGAAAATCCAAATTTTGAATCTGCTAAACATTTTACTGTTCATGCCAAATGTGATCTCACTGATTCCTACCGTAATAAGGAACAACAGGAAAATGATGTACAACTCGTACTTGCTCCTGGACCTGGAAGTCACACATTGAATTACAAGGGTTATCGAGTTACGATTCAAAGACAAGATCCAACCAATGACAATGATCCAGACAGTAACAACAAGAAGGGAGATGTTCAAAAATTAGTTCTCTCTGTAAATGCTTGGAACGGAAAGAAAATTCTTCATGATTTGGTTGAGGAAGCAGTGAAGGCCTATTTCCAAAGTGCAAAAGGAGTAACCTCCATTTACACCATGTCTGATAATTATTACAATGATTGGCAAAAGTTGTGTGATCGTCCCAATCGATCCTTCGACACTGTTTACATTGACCAAACTGTTAAAACCCATTTATTGAAGGATTTGGATCGATTCATGAACAATGAACAATTTTACAGAGAAAATGGTTTAAATTTCCAAAGAGGATATTTATTATATGGATATCCTGGAACTGGTAAAACTTCCTTAATTTTGGCCGTGGCTGCTTATTTGCAATGCTCAGTATTCACCTTGTCATTGAGTGATAAGAGTTTAGATGACACTAAACTCATGGCATTGATGACTCAAATTCCAAGAAGGGGTATTATTCTTTTAGAGGATATTGATGCTGCTTTTAATGAGAATAGAAAAGCTTCAGACGATGTTCAGAGAGTGACATTTTCAGGTTTATTGAATTCTCTCGATGGTGTGACTTCACATTCACAATTTCCAAGAATTATTTTCATGACAACCAATCATCTGAATCGATTGGATCAAGCTCTTATTCGACCAGGAAGAATTGATATGAAAATTGAATTTGGATACTCCTCAAGCGATCAAATTTATCAAATGGCCAATCGATTCTTTAAGAATGAAGAACTTGCTACCAAGATTGCTCAACTTTTACCACAACAAAAACTCACTACTGCTGAAGTTCAAACTTATTTGATGAGATTTATTTATGAACCTGAGGATTGTCTTTTACATGTTGAGGAATATCTTGAGGAAGTTGAAGATTTGAGAAAAAAGTTGGCAAAGAAGGAAGAAGAAGAAAAGGAAGAAGAAGAAAAGAACGAAAAGGAAGTAAACGATAAAGAAGACAGTAAGGAAAAGAACACAGACGAGGCTCTTGTCATTTCTACTGAGAACAAAGAAACCAATGGATAGACTCCTTGGTCTCAAACAATTGAAATTGTAATTTCATAAATTTACTAAATTATTCTTAAAAAATGTCTATTGGGTCATCGTCCATACTAATTGTTGTCACGAGTCTTGTCATTTCAACTCTTCTCATCATTTCACAACCCTCCGATGACTCTATCTTTCAAATTTATCCACGCATTGGCAATGTGACACCTTTTCATACTCATCGTGTACACATGCTTTACGTTTCAGGATTAGCCGATTATGACCATGTTCGAAAATTATTGATCGATGAAGGATGCAGCAAAGCACAAGATATTTCTAAATGTGAATCCGAGTTAGAATTTGAACCTGTGAAAATGAATTCTCCATTATTGAGAAGTCCTTCTGATCATCATGATGGAAAAGTTTATACTCCTCTCGTGATTGGAAATGTATTTTATGAGGAATCATCAGCCGACTCGTATGCCGAGCTAATTCCTGGTGTTATTTTACAAAAAAGAGGAAGTAATGAAAGTGTACAATGTACAGATGAATTATGTGTGTTTAAAGAAATGGTAAGCTTAAATAGTCTTGATTTGGAAATGCTGTTGATCAAATGTTTAAATGTCAATTCAAACTGAACCAATGTGTGTATGATTAAAAAATTAATTTGCCCTGTATCATCAAACTCTAACTCGGATTCACATTCCAATTGGATCTTTTAATAGTTTTTCAATAGAAATTTAATTGCCAAAGTGTTAAAAACCTATGTCACTGGTGCTAACACTCATCACATTGGAAGAAAATATTTATGTGTCGATAAATATTTGAGAAAAATGTTTTACAAGAGAGAAAACATCAATTCTGTAGAGCATGTAGAGTTGAGTATTCCAATTTCAAACTCTGCTTCACAACTTGACTATCAATTGAATTTGAATTTAAAATACGATATTTTAAGTTTATTAACAAGCGCTACTCATATGGTTCAATCATTTGGAATCAAAAACGTTCTAAAGCTTGGAATTCAAACAGCATTATTGGGTCTTCCAATTCAATTACCAATTATGGGTGTGAAAGGAATTTCTGAATGGAGAGAATTCGATACTCGAGATCCAATTCTTATTCAGAATCTTGTGCTCACCTCTCCCTTATTCCCAATTGTGAAATGGAAAGAGTTACAAGCGAACTCTGATAATCGTTTGGTCTTTTTAGAAAAGGGTGGCGATGTTTCAAATTATTATTTACCTTTCAAATTTCAACCTCTTGCAGCTTTGGATTTGAAGAATGCCAAATTCGTCATGACACCACCATTCAATGTTGGAACAGGCAATGATAAGGTTGAAACTACAGAGAACTGAGAGAATCTGTTGTTACAAGCAATGAGGCCATCTCCGATAAGTTCACTGAACTCTCGCCCAACATCAAAACAGCGTTATTATCGCATTAAAAAAATAATCAACACCTTGTGTCAGTTGTCAAACATGGGATCAATCGTTTCATCACTGACCTTTCAACCACCCAAACCACCAACTTATAATGCTGAAAAACCCTATCCGGTCACATTTGTCGAAGGTAAATTAATCATGATGAATTTTTATGAAATGATGATTTTCCTTTTATTTCCTTTTTTAAACTCTCTCGGTGATGAATTTAATTGATGAAATAGGAGTGAAAACCGGGAAAAAAGTAGCACTGTATTGTTTAAAAGCGAAAACAGAAAATGTAAAAGCGACGATTCTATATAGTCATGGTATGTTTCAACACTTGCAAAATTTAATATTAATATTATATAACTATTCAAATTCATATTGATGAATCATGATGGTACCAACATCAACACATTCAGGCAATGGAATGGATATGGGAATGAGCTATGACTTTCTGAGCGTTCTAAGAGACAAACTCAATGTGAATGTGGTTCATTATGAGGTTTGTGTTTTCATGCTTTCAGATTCTTTTAATTTGAACCATATCTCTCTACATATTTTGCATTCATATAAATGGATGACTACTTATTTGATGATCTATTGCATTTGATACTTTCACATTTTGATTATAATAATTTTTTACAAATACATTTTTGTGAAACAATTTACAAGTATTTCGGCTATGGCGTTTTACAAGACGTTGAAGAACCATCTGAGCAAGGTGTTTATGAGTGTGCTCTCACTGCCTATAACTATGTAGTCACTACTATGAACATTCCTCCAGAAAGTATAATTATTTATGGAACATCAATGGGAACTGCTGCTTCCATTTATTTAGCTGCACATCATCGCAGGGTTGCTGGTGTGGTTCTAGAGAGTCCTTTCGAGAGTATTGTAAGAACTGTGACAAATGTATTTGCAGGTCGATTAATTGACATGTTCCCCAATTATATGAGAATTGGAGCTATTGAGGCACCAGTGTTTGTGATTCATGGAGAGAATGATGAGGTATGTTTACATGTTGAAAATGTCGGATGATCTCTGATTGTTTCTTTCCCTTATATATGAAATGTTTCAAAATTTAACAAAATGTATGACGGCTCATTTTCCTAAAATGTGCATGATTTATTATGACAACGTTGAATTTGTCAATATGACTTTATGATGACTGTTGAATTTTTAACAGTTGGTTCCGTAGGTATTATATCTGACAATGTCAGTTGTTTTACCTTATTTATTTTTTTATGGATTGTTACCTCATTTCAATGTTACTATTGATTGTGAACAAACAGAGTTGATCATGGAATTTATATTACAAAGCATGTGAAAAATCCCTATCCAGCTCTTTGGATTAAGAATGCTGGTCACAACGAGTATGTAATAATTTAAAAACAAATTATTCATGTTTGAATTCACAAAATAATTGGTATTTATTTTATCATTTGTGGCATTAGCATGAGAGAAATTCTTGGATTACGAGAATTAACGAATCACCTCAAGAGTAAGTATATGACGGGAAGAAAATTTTCAAATCTCAAACTCTTTTTCAGAATTTATGGTGGAATGTAGTGTCATCAAAGAATAAATCATCGTGACCGATGAATCCTCGTAATAATGTACTCAAATCAAAATTATTCAAAATTGTTGCATAGCGTTAGGTAATTGCTACTATTTACATAGTTCTCGAGAAATGTATAATTTAAGAATCAAAGTAATGTCACACAATTAATATCACTTAATATCATGTTCGATTCAGACTCAATTTCTTCAAAAGATTCCCATAACAACCTGTGAAGAGCATTTTTGAACATTCGTTCCAAGTCCTTTTTCTTCTTTGCCACATTTTCATGAAACATGAATTGAACTTTTTCAAGATTGTATCTTTGAACGGTCTTGCAATGGAGAAGACTTTCATTTTCATCATAACCCATGAGAGTGGAAACCATGAGACTACACAATTGTTGTGAATATCCATTCAGAGAAATGTAATTGAAAAATTGAACAATATCATTCATGCTGGATGGATACAACTCCCTATGGTCGATCCAATGATGGAACACTTTCTTTCCTTCAGCATAATCGAAATGGATACGATGTCTCATCGATCTCATCAATTGGAATACTTTGTAAAAGTATAATTTCAATGCAAGATTGGTAAGTGGTTGCTTTGAGGAGGATAGAATGCTTCCAATTTCAATAGTGAGTGTTGCTTTAGAAGATAGCATTCCACTTTTCACATACTTGAAAATCCATTCAATAATGAGTTTGAGTTGTTTGAGCTCAATTTCTTGTACTTTGATGTAAATGGCAAAATTCTTGACCAAATAACGGAATTGAACGAAACCATTCAGGAAATATTTAAAGTAGTGAAGATCAAATTTTGGATTGAAATCGAATTGTGAACTCACATATCGTGGCATACAGGCAGCAATTTTTTCACTTTTGGACCAATGAATATAAACCTTACGTAGAGTGGGATGATTGAATAGCACAAAGAGTTGATAATGGTATTGATCTTCTTTAAAGTAATCAATCATGGGATTAGAATTACTTTGATTCCCATAATAGATTTGAGAATCTCTAAAGCATGGCCAGTAAGTGCTGAAATCAATGAACTTGATATGGTTGTTTTGTCTCAGAGAATGCCAAAAATCAAGATCGTTGGTGAGATTGAATGGCTCTAGAAATCGCAAGGTTAAGCCGTCAATTTGTGTATTCGATTGCTTAATATAGGGCTTAATGGAATCGAATGTAATCTTGTCACACCCCTTTTCTGAGCGAACATTCATGAGAATATTAGGAATTACTTTCTCAATAACATCAATATAGTGTTGGGAATTATCCTTTTGAATTTGCTCAAAACCTCGATAATTACCAAAAGTGGATATCATATATTTAACGATAAAGGAAAAATTGGTATGTGAATTCTGTGCCACGCACAACACTGGAATGTTCCCAAAAATCAATAACTCACACATTAACTGACTCAAATACTGCACAGATGCATGATATTGTCGAACGGTTGATTTCACATCCTCGCAATAGTCTTGGAAATATTCATTGGGTAAACACAAGACCACAAAACTAGGATGAAGATTCACATAATTTTGAAAGAGAGGAGAGCAATTAGAGGGAATTCTTTCATGTGATGGTAGTTGGTTCATTAATCCAGTCCTCTCAAGAAGAGAATTCTCATCGTCCTCAATTCCACCAACATTCACTAATTTGAGTTTGAATTTCATGTGATTGTAAACTACACAATTCTGCAACACATCATTTCCTAAAGTGGCCAATTGGTGTTGTTTGTTACCTTTGGAAATCTTTTGCATCATGGCTGAGGACGTTCTTGTGAGGATATTCTTCTTGTAATGAGAAAAGAACTTGGATTTCAATTCTTCGCAACCCACAAAAAGAATGGTTTCTTGGGAAGAAGAGTTAGAGGATGGTGAAGAATTTGAGGACATGGATGAATGGCTCGCAAATAACTTTAATTTTCTACTGCCGCTATTGCTCTGACCATTATGATTATTACTACTACGAGGTGAGGTTGGAGAGGTGGCTTCATTCGACTCTGAAGACGATTCAGTGAAGGAGGATGAATAAGAGGACGATCCATTCGAGGAGTTAGATCCTTTACGTGTTCGTTGCTGTTGATGTTGTTGTTGTGGTTGAGAAGGTTGATGATCGTTCACGCGTTTGGCATAATGATGAGGCTTATGCACCACCACTCCTAACGACGATGAAGAATGTTTCAAGTTGTACACTTGAGAAGAGTGGTTCTTGGAGAGAGATTCACCCATCTGAGAAGGTTATTGTTTGAATTTTGTTTGTTGTTCGGATCCATTTGAAAACACTGCTCTCTTTTTCATGCAATCGAGAAGAACTCAAGGTCAACTCTCAAACAGTCCTTTTATGGTAATAATATCATTCATTATCATATCCAATTTCAATGAGGTCGCTATATATGAACTAGAGAAGAATTAGGATACTTCCTATTGAATTGTATCATATCATGCCCTTTCACTCATGTCAGACCGATGACAATTGAAAACTTGTCATGATCGCAAATTTAGGGTACATTTAAGGGAGAATTGTTTCAAGATTTTTGAAATGTACTACAAGTAGCATGCTATGACCAAGGTAGTAGTATGAAGTTGGATACCAAATGAAAACAAAGTTCTTACAGACGAATAGCCAATACTCTCTACCCTGTTCAGGTTACTTTTTGGTTCTGGTCGTAGCATGTGTTGAGAAAATGGCATGTAAAACGTGTTGAAATTGAAATGATCACAATTCCTTGTCTTGTGTGGGTAGAAAGGTCATTCTGTTTATTCATTGATAACATCAAACCTCATGAGTTTGAAACTCGTTCTGTTCAATCAAAATTTGACTTTTTTTGAATTAAAAAATGTTGAAACAACTCTCCAAAGCCGCTCAATCATCACAGTTGCTGTTCCGAAACAAGAGTTGGGCTCTCGTAACGATGAAAGCTAACAGAGCCTGCTGTTGCAATTTCTCAACAAGTCTGATGAATTCATCTTCCAAAGATATACAAGGCAACAATGTTCCTTCTCCTGATGACGAGAGAGCTTTTTCTAAAGAATACGAGGAAATATTACGGAAAGCATTGTTTGAATATTTAAAAGGTGAATCGGAATTTGATTTGAATGAGGATGATTTGGGCAGATTTACAAAGGAATGGAGTGGAAATATGTTTAAAGATGAATATGAACGACAACTGTATGAAGAACAAGCGAAAGAGGCGGAAAGGAGAGGAGTTCCATTTGGAAAGGGTGGGTTTTAAAACTAACCATGAGCATGTGGTTTGTTTTTAACTATAGTACATCATCATTAAACATGAAACTGCTTAATTTAATAATATTATTGATTTATTATTATTATCTTTCAATATTTAAAACAATTCGACCAACAACTATTCAACGACTGAATAACGCCCAAATCTTGATTCTATTCATACCATTGCAGACAGCCAAACCAATGAGAACACCTCAACAAAAGCATCTAATACAACAATTCCGATAGTAACACCTAATGTTTCAGCACCGTCAGCATCTGAAATACCAACACTTCAACAAAACAGGAACAAGGATACCACTCATGAAACCCAAAAGCAAAATAAGGAATACTATTCGATCACGGTTTCACCAGAGCACGACAACATGCGCCTAGATAGATTTCTCTCGAAAACATTGGCGATTAACTTTGGTCTTCTTCAAAAAGTGATTCGAAAAAAACACCTGTTGAAGAACGACTCGATTGTTAAAGAGCACAATGAACGAGTTTTTTCTGGCGACAAATTGAGAATAGCAAAGGAATATGTAAGCTCTGAGAAGAAGGAAGAAATTGAGATCAACAGAACGAAAAACGTTTCACAGCCATCTAAGGTGGAAAAATTTAATAAGACAACCCGTAACGAAACTGTGCCCATGATGGAAAAAGATGAAGAGATGGATAGTATATCTTCCCTTTTACTAGGAGAACCTATCTACAAAAAACAAGGTCGAAAATTGAAATTACAGTTGACCGAAGAGCAAGTTGAAGAAATCCGAAGTTGGGTATTATTTAAAAACGATGAAATTATAGCCATTAACAAACCATATGGAATTTGTGTTCAAGGAGGAACCGATCAAAACTTCCACATTGACGCTATTTTAGACGCACTGACAATGGATGGATTTGTTACTAGACCTAAACTCGTCCATAGGCTGGACCGAGACACCACAGGAGTTCTAATTGTTGCCAGGAATAGACCTGGTGCCATAAGGATGCAAGAATGGTTTAATGATACTCAAATTCCACTTAAGAAATGTTATTGGGCAATTACGACAGGAGCTCCAACACCAACAGCAGGAAGGTAAGTCTAAGACCATGATTTTAACTTGTTTTCTATTCTCTCAAATTGCATTGTTCATTAGAATCAAAATGGCCCTTGACATTCAAAAGGATGAAACAGGATTTGAAAAAGTAATGCCTGTCGATGCTAAGGAGGTTGGAGCAGGCAGAATGTCCATAACTGAATACAAAACGATAGATCACATGACTGACAAAATGGCTTGGCTAGCTCTGTATCCTGTTACGGGTAGAAAACATCAACTCAGAGTACATTGTGCAACAGGAATTGGTTGTCCAATTCTTGGAGACTTTAAATATGGCCAAGGTGTGCCAGAATCGCTCACTCACGTCCTTCCTGAAGTTTGTATGAAACGTCTTCATTTACATCACAGAGCAATGATCCTTCCTTATTTGGATTCAAAGTAAGTAATTGTTGGAGGTTTATCATTTCAGAGCTCACAATGTGAAAATACAGAGGAGCAAACATTATTGTAACAGCCCCTCTTCCAGAACATTTCCAAGGTCTATTTTCGTTCCTAATGCTCAATGAGAAAAAGGGCAACAAGTTGTTGTTCAAATGAGATTGCTTCTTTTGAGCATAGTAAAATCTTTAGAATTTTCTTGATTATCGTCATTATACACCTTCAAATCTAATCGTGTGTGCCCGTGTTGGTAAAAATTACAATATCGCTCAACCTTTGGTCTGGAGGTTTTATGAAATGTCGTTTCAGTAAATAATTTGAATAAGTAAACATCTCAAGATATCGAGCCACATCATAGTGGTGGTGTTCCAGTGCAACCAGTTTGGAATCCGTATGACGATTCTAAATTCACAAGTATTTCATATCGTATGAGCGTTGTGAACAACTTACATTCTTTGGAGATGAAATTTTGTGGCTTCCATGATTAAGCAACAGCTGTACCATTTCTAAATGCCCTTTTTCCGCTGCCCAATAGAGAGAATTGATCGAATAATAAACACCGTTTGACTTGGTTCTTCTTTTGCAGGACACATTTACATTCGCTTTGAATTCTTTAAGGAGCATCTGTGCTGTCTGTATACAATTATTTTCAGCCAATATACTCAAAATTGGTTGTTTGAGGCGATATCTTGCATGGAGATTTAAACATATTAAATTGGAGCGAGTGAAACACTTACTTGATAAATATAGGAAATTCTTGAGAAACACCTAGCCAGTCCAATCGCACCTTTAGTAACTCCTTCACCAGAGTCGTGTGATTATCTGATGCAAGACAGCCAACCAAATACTGATCGAATCGAGATAAGAGCCTATAGTACCAGTTAACATCAAATGATGTCGTCGGCAGGTCCTCATCTACATGATCATCATCTTTGCTTTTGATTAAATATTTGTCTTTCTTAATGTATTCCCAAATGATTGTAGGAATTTGAAGCATTATTTGAGAGTTGTCAAATTTGGTGTGAATTTTTCTTTGCAAAATTAAGATATCACCATCAATTAATTCAGCCTCATGTCCAAGTCGGTGAGTGAGCGTACATAGGTCAATCCTTGATGGAAAAACTTCTTCATAAATATCAAAATCGTTACATATCACGTTAAGTTTTGTTTGACACATCTCACTGAAACTGCTCATACACTCAAGAAATGTTTTGTCTGCCTCTAGGGAAGCATGGCCACAGAATAATAATTGCTGAGTATCAATATCATAGTATTTTACAAATATTGAAATATGTTTCGTTGCTGGAGGTTGTTGACTAGCTACTTGCTCCACAAATATTGCATATTCTCTCTCATAAAAGAAATGATCGAAATATTCTTTGTCCAATGTATCAAACGGTCGGTAGGTTCCGTTAGTCCTTGTTACAAAGAGCCAGAGTTTTTGATTTTCTGGTTGAATTTTGTGTTTGTTGTAAATTAATTCTTTTAGTAATGTGATGGGAATGGATGATTCATTAAAAGATCCGATCGGATCCACTAATCCAAAATCAAATATTTCATAGGAATGATGTCTTACTAAATGTTTTTCCGTGATCACTTTAATTTTACTTTCATCCAAGGCTTTCAGTGGACCCGCTTTTGGTTTGGAATTATTGGCATCACTATGATTAAAGTTATTAATATTTGTCAGTTCCGTATGATAGTGTGATGATTGTAGTGGTGCGACGCTCGTGTCGGAAACCATTGGGATGCTGGTGATAGGTGTGTCCATTTTTTTTACTGTTAAAAATTTTTTTTTACCATACTTTCATTCCCTTATTGCTTAACACGACTACATGTGTTCTGTTATACTGAACCCAAGCTCTGTAAACATGTCCTTCACATTGTAGTAATTGTCATATATGAGTAAATGATGATTACCAAAAGTTGAGTCCACAAAATCATTCACACGTTGCATTCTGAGTCGCAGCTGAGTTCTGCATCTGAGTAATGACGTCTCTTTATCATACACAACTACAGGAGCGATAATGACATCCCTAGTATTCTTAATCTTAATAAGAGTAGCCATAGCTGAGGAAGCTCCTAATGCAGCCACCGTTTTACCATTCATGTGACCTGATTTTACATTTTTCAAGCCAGTCACAGTTGGCATGTCCACACGGACAGCAACACCCGTACCACTCTCAAAGTGAGTAGTAAGCTCGAAAGGAAGGCCTGGAATCATTGGAGCTGTACAGTGAGCAATTAGTAATTCGTCTTCCATTCCGTTTTGTGAAGGTGTGAAATCTACGATATTGGCCATAAAGGGTGATTTGTTTAAAAACTTTTGACACAAGATCATTGCAAGTAAGGAATTCAATTCTCCTTCACAGGCGCTTGCTTTCATTGTCAATAATTTTCCATCACTTAATTTAAGTTGTGGAATACCATTCAACAGTCCAAGAGCAAGACAGGGTGTTGTCTTGATGTCAGCAATTAAATCAAAGCATCCAATGGTAAATCCGTCCAGTTTGTACTTGTTGAGAAGTCGTTGAATGGCAATATAAACTTTGCAAGCTTCAATAAGACTGTCTGTTGGCACAACAGGGAGGGATTCAGTAGAAACCTTACTCAGCACTGTCTCTCCAGAACAAGAATGATCGCCGTCTGATGATTTACATGAACCACTATTGGAAGAACCACATGTTCCAGTAGACCCATGACAGTGAGTATCTTCAGAATGTGTTGTATCTTTCTTTCTTCCACCGCAACATACTGATTTCACTTTTTGTTCCTGGAGTTCTTGGACGAGAATTGCAACTTCCTTAGCCTCATCAACTGTAACATCCTTGAACGTATCATAAAGCTCCTTGGATGATATCTTTGTAAATGGTAGTCGAAATGATGGAGTAACGACCTCCAAGCCACCATTTTCTTGTAAGGATTCTTTCGTAACAAAGTCCTTTTCGTTAATGAGCCATGGTGAAATCTCTCCAATGAGTCCTAGTCTTAAATCCAGAAAATGTTTCCAACTCTGCTCGTATCTTGTAGCAAATTCTTCCAGCTTTGAATGAATTAGATCTGTTTTGTTAACCAGCACCGACGGAATCATATAATTTCTAAAATATTGACGAAGCTCTAGAGACGCAGCAATTGAATTGTGATAACTCTCTCCATAAAGTACAATTGGTTTTTTGAGTGAAACTAAATCTTGAAGTAATTCCTCTGTTCCACCTGTTAGTGGGCACACCAATAATACATTGCAGTCTTGATAAATTTGTTTCAATTTTTCCACACTTGGCTTGTTTTGCTTTGTCATCGACAAGATTGTTTGCTTATCGATATTGTAGTTTGGAAATACGACACTGTTTAAAATTTCCTCAGTCTTTTCTTCAAATTTTCTTTGCATTCTTTCATGCATACCGCTCCATGCAAATAGAACTCCCAATTTAATAAAAGATTTGTTTTGAAGGCTTGATGATGAGCTCTCCTCCACGCCTGTTTTTACATTGGAATGAAAATTTTTGTATTCGGAACAATGGGAGAGAAGTGTGGTGGACTCTTTTACAAGAGTACTAGCTGCCATTGATCCAAAAGAAATGAACTGGCTCTTTCTATTCCATGATGGCATCACGGAACGATAATGTTGTTGCCATTGCTGCTTTGTCAATGAAATGATCTTGTTGGTATGTCTTTTCATTTTTTAATGGTAAGAGTAGCCAACTTCAGGACCATAAAAGGTGCTCAATTAAATAAATTCAACACACTGACAAAAGGAAGCATTGAAGAATTTGAATCTAATGAACATGAATATTCCGAAAGAAAAGATGAGTGAAGAAAAAAATGCAATCTTCCGAAGACTCTACTCCAACGTCTCCACAGCAGCTTGAATCAAAGCCTTCTGCCAACGATAAGAGAGTTGTCATCATCGGAATTATGGGTGATGCTCTAAAATCATCAACAGAAGGGTTGGGACTTGTGGAGGAGCTGAACAAACAATGTTTGGTGTGTATGAATTATTTGATGACGAATATTGCATCGAGTACTGGCTCCAGACTTGGAAACCAACTAAACGAACAATCAGGGCAGCAACAAACGGAAACACAGAATCTAGAACTTAAATATTTATTGTACATTTATGTAAATATTGACAGGTTGTTAGACAGAAATAAGAGTAATATTAACAATGATAACGCATCCGATTTGGCAAAATTTTTCTTGTATTGCACGGAAAATATCGAGAAACATGCAAAATTTAATTCTGTTTATGGAACGAATATTAACAAGCTAATATATTATTTGAAAATAGTATCAATGTATTTAAATTATCAGGAACATTCTTTCCATGGACAGCTCTTGAACTTCAACGAAAAGGATATCATTTTTCATGCTCAATTAATTTACAAAGTCTGTGTCAGATTTTTGACCAATTACAGTAGCAACTTAAAACTGGTGGCAGTAACACTTGTTGCACTTTCTCAATGCGCCAAATTCTTAAATTCTGTCGATGATTTCAATACAGTATTTCGAATATTTTGCACTTACTTGGACTACAAGACAAAAGAAATGTTAAGTGCTTCACAACAAGAGCAAGTATCATCTAACAGCAATACCTCTCCCAGAATTCAGAGAGATCTCTTTGATAGCCTGGTGAAGTCAACAACTAATGTAATTGTGTGTAGAAATGCTTCTCAAGACCAGAAACGAAAACTTTTTTTTTCAGTAATGAATACTGGATTGGTGTTATTTAACAGCCTCAAGCTACGGGGATTCGATGTCAACCCTAATATTAGGCATTCGATATCAATTATCGACCAAATATTAAGATATTGCTCTTCCATCTATTTATTTGTCTCTCAAACCCTCGAAAAGTCTAAACAGCACAATTGTGAAGAGAACAAAACTTTAATATCAGAATTTATAATAGAATATGCCAAGCTCAAGATAGACGAAAAAGAAGAAACAGAACACTTCACACTGCTAACAGCTCTGGTTTCGTGGATACTTCACGAAAAACCTATGCAAGATATACTGACGCCACTTCTTGATATTGTTTGGAAAATTTTAGATACGATATTTACTCGTCCTAAAAGAAGCATATTTTCTACTATTTACTGTCTTATTTCGGTTCAAATTGCTATATATATGGATACTTACGAAAAACGTGACGATTATGTTGAATTTGTTCTCAACAACATTTTACGGGTTAATATTTTCTTAATGCCCGAACTAATGGATGCGTTGAATAAGAAATTAGATTTGAGTGATCTAAAACTTATATTTTCAGAGTACCAAAAATCAACTCTCTATTCATACATGTACCTGGTAGTCAACAATCTTGTCACAATCCCTCAAACGAATCCATCCAGATATATTGATTTTATGTATGACTTTTCCAAAGAATTGAGTGACACATTTTCTCAAGCATTTTCAAAAAATAGACCATCCAAAGGCCCCTCACTGATCGATGAATTAGTATCAATGGAGGATTTGAAATTTCACCTCAAGAATATATCAAGCTTGCTTCTAGTGTTCATACTAAAGATATATTCTAACAACTCTAAACTGATGAACACTTCACAAAGTTTAGCACAAATAGAGAAAAATGAAAAGATTTCTTCTGAGAATGTGATTCAAATAATTAAGATTTTTGCCAACACTGAGTTTATGAAAGATTTAGATTCTGTTTCTCTGTATATCCAGTTCATGAGCAAGATCATCCAATATCATCATCATACTATTTCTGACTTTATTTCCTCGGCCACTATTTTCAACACCCTCAACACACAACTGACCACATCTGCAGGAAATATGGTACTTTTATCCATTATTTACTTTTACCTTAATTTTTTCTCCTCTCTCGTAAAGAGTAAGCAATATCATGAAGATTTGTTCAAGCCACATGTCATTCCGTTCATGTTCAAATGTTTGCTGAACAGTAATAAGCAAATTGTGCAACAAGCACATCATGTATTAATTACCTTCTTTACAGAAAATTATAATGTCAGAAATTTAATTTTACCTCACTATCTCAGAGTTGCGTGTGATAAGAAGTACTCGAATACCAATTCTCATCTCCAGTCCTTATTTTGCAATTCTTTTCACTTTATTTTTAACCATATCAAAGATTCTAGATTAATTGAACACTCATTGAATCAAATTGAACAATTGATTATTCATTCCAACCAAGCTTCCCAAAAACATTTGACCAAGCAATTGATTCTTCTTTTATTCCAATCTTCACAAACCATTGAATATTCTCACCTTCCAATGTTATTTTCTCTTTTAAAAAGAGTTCTCCTCTCAGATAAGCAATTACCACTTTCTTCACTACTCAGAGATTTTTATCATATTGTGAACTCTTGCATTGACTATGTCAGAAGAGATGATTGTGTACAATTTTATTTGGAATTGAGTAAGGATATGATGTGACAACTTCAATGAAACGATAATTATTGCTCATTCTCCCGTTTGTTACTACCAATTTTTCTTGAGATACCGCATGATTTGCAAGTAGCAATAAATTCATTCTTCTCTGAGAAAATTTTGAAACGAAAATGCTCACATTCAAGTTGAGCTCGATGCTGTATTTCCTTCCAATCGAATTCGTCGTTGGATGCCTCTTCATGAGAATCATCGGTTTGTTGAATAGCTTTATCTTTGTAAAGCTTCTTTTTGTACAGACCTTCATAATTGATCCTCACAGAGTATGGCGTTGAATAAGAACGTGTGAATAATTTTCTAATCTTGATATTTAAATTGAAAATAACCATTTTCCTTCGAGTTAAATGTTCAAACAAATTAAGAAAAACAGAATAGGGATCTGGGGCATTGACTTGCTCGTTTGGCTTGTGATATTCTTTTCCTACGAACCGATGCAATTCATAAAACAGCACATTGTTGTCAATCTTTTTCAATGTGGTAGAAATGGGTTCCAATGGTCGTTTCTTTGCAAGCCAAAGAGAAAGATCCTTTTCTTCTTCCCCATTCAATACGCTTTTGAATTCTCTCAATAACAATGTTTGAAGAAAATAATGAGAGCGAATAATTTCACATCGTTTAGAGTCAATCAAACTGCATGTCAGGAACAGAAATTGCAAATCAAAATTTGTGAAAATATGGAACCACACCACATCCAACGAGTTCAGTGGTGTAAATGCTGTGGAATTTTGTTTTGGAGAGGATAATGCTGTACGCTCTTGTGCCAGTTTCTTCTTTTGCTGTCGTTTGGACAAACTTGTTGGTTCCGAAGCAAGCAACTCATCACTCTCTTCCAACAATGAAAATGACATTTTTTTTCGTTTTTTCAGTTCTGATCTCTTTATTTTGATTCACAAGATCTCATTACTGTTCGTGCAAACTTCAATGTTAGAACATCATGCTTCCGTTGAATGTCATTGAAGTGAGGCGTGTGAAATATTTACAAGAGGTAATATCCTCCACGTAATCGCAAGACAAGATGAAGGGTTGAATCTTGTTGCAAGTTATAATCAGAAACTGTTCTTCCATCTTCCAATTGCTTACCCGCATAAATCAAACGTTGTTGATCTACTGGAATACCTTCCTTGTTAAAAATCTTGCTCTTTACATCTTGAATGCTGTCATTAGGATCCACTTCCAACGTCAGGGTCGTTCCTGTTAAAGTCTTGACAAAGATTTGTCGACCACCTCTCAATCTCAACACCAAGTGAAGAGTTGCATCTTTTTGAACGTTGTAATCCGTCAATGTTCTTCCATCTTCCAGCTGCTTACCAGCAAAGATAAGTCTTTGTTGATCCGATGGAATGCCTTCCTTATCAAAAATCTTACTCTTGACATCTTGAATGCTGTCATTGGTTTCAACATCCAAAGTGATGGTTCTTCCAGCCAAGGTTTTCACAAAGAGTTGCATACCACCTCTCAATCTCAACACAAGATGAAGCGTTGCATCCTTTTGAACATTATAATCAGAAAGAGTTCTTCCGTCTTCCAATTGCTTACCAGCATAAATTAAGCGTTGATGATCTGCTGGAATTCCTTCTTTATCTGCGATTTTGTTCTTGACAAGCTCAATAGAGTCATTCGACTCTACGTCCAATGTAACAGTTCTACCAGTCAAAGTCTTGACAAATAATTGCATTTTGTTTGTTGTTGTTGTTGACAATTCGGAGAGAAAGATTTTCTGTTTTAAGGATTTTCCTTGCACTCTGAACTACAGTAGAACTAAAAATACATGTCGAAACATGAACTGGTTCCACATGATGGACGATTATTAAAAACCACACAAGTTCAACATGGTACTCGTATCTTACCGGAATTCAAAAGCCGAAGTTTAAAATTTAAATATTTCTTGCATCTATTTAGGAATGATGATCGTATGACAATCAATCCGAGCATCTAAACACAAGACATCTCTTGTTGATCGGGAACGGGTCTAGTGGTTTTTCTCTAACAACCATCAAGACCAGCAATAGAAGAACGTATTCGGTTTCTTAGTATGATTTCTATCAACGAATACTCCCAGCGAATAATGGTTGCTCATCTTGGACAGCATTTAATTATGGTTGATTTTAAAAAAAATTTTATTATTTGGTGTAACACGCTTTTGGAGTTGAGAAGCAAATACTCTGAAATTGTGTTAAAACGAGGAGATTAGATCTGCCAAATTCTTTCAACAGTCAACACAAAAAACAACCACCACTTTCTTGACACATGTCCACACCAAGCAACGTCCCATCCTACTCGGATTTCAAATCCTCTTTCACATGCACCAAATGCAACGCTTTCAATCCATCACAAGACATTCGTACCTCTCATACTGGAGCTATTCATCGTGTGTGTTCGAGTTGCCATTCAACCAATGATTTGTATTATCCTGCAACAGATATTGTCATTGACTATACCTATGTCTCAACCTGCCATCCTCAGTGTTCATGCACTCAATTCACTCCAACCTCTCCTGGAGATATCATGTGTACTTGTGGACATTTGGGAAGTTATCACGGAATGAAACAAGTTCCTTCTCAATATAAACATTTGAAAGCAAAAGTGAAAGTGAGTGAATTGAAGAGTATCAATCAGACTGAACTTTCTTTTGATTTGTCTCAATGTGAAGCCTTTTAAACATTAAAAATCAGCCCACGAGTTCATGAACATAGCAAGACTGCCAGCCCTCCGAGACGAGGGCGAGAAATACGAAGGCGAAATGAGAAATTTTTGGCAAATTTTGTCTGTTCTTTTCCAAAGCTTTCTTTGCTCTTCCATCAAATTTCAAAGAATCATCAAAAAAAATGCTTCGTCTTGTTGTATTTGTGAAATTCTTTCAAATTCTTTCAAATTTGTTCGGATTCTGTTAAATTCTTTTAAATTCCATCGGATTTTATGGGCAAGACATTTCAAAGTCTTTATTACTATATCTCGTCCAATTTAAGTTGCAAAAAGCACCAACAACTACCCATCGCATATGAGCAATGCGTAATACTTCAGTTTTGCTTTGGGTTTTGATTCTAATTCGTTCTTTGCAAGATTTGAATATCTTGATTTCCCTGAACTTATTTTCTACTCTAATACGAACACTAGAGAAAATTTTGCGCAAGGATGGGTCGTCTGGAGGAGTAATTACACGAGGAAGCCCTTTAAAACCACTGTCGCCAAAAATGAATTCTGATGCATCCATTTCACTCAACCAATGAGAAGAGGTTTTGTTGAACAATTCATTATCATTAACTCTTCCTGGAAAACAAGGCGAAAGATATCCAATATGGCCAGAAGGAGTCATTGCCATCAGGATTGTGATGCTGTGTTGGTTTTTTTTTGCAGAATAGAATTCAAAATCCAAAATTGCGGAATCACAACAAAATGCAGGCTGTTCTGATCCGTCTATTATTATGGTAATCAAATGCTTAAAATATTCTTCACTATTATCCATTCTGAATTGCAAGGTTTGCATACATATATAACGTTTTAGCTCGATATACAACCAATCAAGAACTCTAATTCTTATAGTGGTTATTGCTCGTTTTTCAATTTGAAAAATGCAACTTAAAAATTGGTCCGTACAATATTGCCGCAAATGTGTAAGTGTTATCATAATTTCATCTTCCACTGGAATTTCTATTGGTCTTCCTAACGCATTGAGTCGTGTTTGCTTTCTCAATTAGATTAATTCATGAAAACCTTTTTCACATATTCCAGTAATTTTATGAATTACATTGCAATCAATGACATACTGAGTGAAATTACCTTCGAAAACATGAGGAGAATTTGAAATATTAGAAAAATTTATTTTTTGATCAACTTACTTGGAGTGGTATGAGTTTCAATTACATCATGCTCACATTCATCATCCGTTTCACTTTCATCAATAATTTGATCTTTGGTTCGTTTTTTGGATGATCTGTTAGTTACGGATGAATTGGGGTTAGTTTTTTTCTTTTTACCTGATTTATGGGAGCAATAATGGCGAACCAAGTATTTGATTAAGTGAGAACCTTTACAGAAAAAAATATTAGACTCGGTTTGACCTTTTTTTTCCTTAATGTAAAGGGTTCCCTTACAAACAGCGCCACACATTGAAGAAGAGTCAACATTTTTACAACCACTACACATAACGTCTTCAATAGCATTCTCTTCATCAGATTCTCCATCAAGAATTGACTGCTTTGAATCATTGGTTGAAATGACCTCATCATTGATTTTGTCAATCATTTCAGCCAATCTTTTATTCTCAGTGTTGTCCAGAGCATGAGATTTCTTGCATAGTATTAGTGTTCGATATTTTCCGACGTAAATTTTGGGGAATCCTTTGGCAGCCGTACGGATGGTGCAACAAATACATTCTTTACCGCTAAGTTTATCAGGATGAAGCTTTGGAGAGACATCTTCGCTGAAAGTCCCTAAGGATTGTGTTTGAGACATTGATCCCAATGTCGCTGGAGCCGTTACAGACCTTCTTTTATGGGGAGTGGTTGAATTTTGTATTTTGTGGAGAAAATCACCATCATGTGTCTTTATTCCTTTACATATCAAACATGTGCACAGTGGAATCTCTTCATTGGCAACACATGACTGATGATAGCATTTGGGAATGTGACGATTGAACGCAAATGCATCAATGTTGGTGTTGCAAATAGGACAATTTTTCTCCATGGTGTGCTGCTGTTTTTTTATCTGTTTTTGACTGAGGATTCCGTTTGCTTCTTCACGTTTTATGAATTTCCGTTCAAATTTTCGGAATTTTGCAAAACTGATTGGAAATACCGAGAAAGAGGCTGAAGCATTCGGAAAGCATGGGAAAGTTATGAATTGTCTAAAATTTTCTGGTGTTTTTGCAATTTCCTTCGTATTTCTTTCCCATACCCCCGTGTTGCAGGATGGATTTGGATTCAGGAGTTGAAAAAAAAATAAATGACTTGGGAAGCGGCCATGTCGGTTGGTTGAACAACTCATCGAAAAACAAATTCACAACAACAATCTAGTAATCATCATCGTTGTGCTTTACCACCACATCATCAACAACATGCCTAAGGAACCATCAACAAAGAGACTACCATCAACCAACACAAAGTCAGATGAAGGTAAATCTGAAGGGAAACGGAAGAGACGTTACAAAT